TTTAGCTGAATATATGGTATTGTGTAGATTTACATTAGGCCACATTTATTTGCTAAATGACTTAAAAAGTAGCTGTCTTCTGTGTTGTAAACAGAATCTTAAAAGACACAGCAGAAGAGGAGGCTCCTAGAAAGCAGGAGAATGATGATAATGCTCACTCAATCACACATTTAGTTACCACCCCAATGGTTACTTGTTTTATAGACACATGCAGTTTTTTGTTGTTTCTAGTTCTTAAGACCAAAGTTTAACATGCAATCACATGACAACATGGGCCTGTAATTTCTTTTTTTTAAATCTCACACTGCTATAATAATGCAGCTAGCGGTTCCACATGCCGAACACGGTGCCCTTATTTTTCATTAAGCACCTGCCCCCATAAATGTGTGTGCACACCACTGCTCACTGTTACTGTTTAGTGGACATATGGAAATTTGTTCACACAAGCTCAAAGTTTTAGATTAAACTGTTGCACACCATAATTATTCGTTCCCAGTAGATTATTTTGTCGTTCAGAGGAGATTAACCAAGATTGACCAAAATGTTCATCATGTTCCCTTCATATTTTTTACATCAACACTGTATCTGCAGGAAGGTCATCTGTCTCCTCAAGATAGTTTGGATGTTTAGTTTGAAATGGAAGATTGAAGAAACATTTTAAAAACCTCCTGATGTTTTTTTTATTTCCAAACTTTGAGACTTTTAGTATCTTTAGGAGGAAACTTCTTTCTCTATCTTTACGGGATGTGGGTGAGCGTGCAAACACACAAATGTGCATGTTTCCTGGATGTTGCAACTGCTGTCCTTCTGACTGAAACCTTAAGTTGTTGGTCTACGTGTTAATGCAGCTTGTGTCTGTCTGTGCAGCTCCTCCCCTCCACTCTCTGATACATGACAAAATACCCCATCACAGTGAAACCAGGACTGAGAGTATTTCCTGACACCTTTAGGATGTTTGGACAAGGTGTTTTTATATTCTCGTGCAAAAATGACCCAACTTTGATAGCAAGCTAAAAAAATTATTAAGGTGTTGTCTATTAGGGTAATGTCACTTTTGGCCACCAGGGAGCACTCTTTATATATGCATCAAAATAAGCTGTCGCATCTCAACACTTCAAGATCACTCACAGACACAGGAAACCACACGCGTGCATTCATCATGTTCTTCATCACCCACATCTACCTCTTTAAAGCGAAGATAAGCAGGGGGTTTCAGTGCTGCACACAACACAACACAACACAACACAACACACACACACACACACACACACACACACACACACACACACACTGCATCCGTGGGTGTAAAAGCGTATCTTTAGTTTAACATCTACAGACAAACACAGTCACTGACTCTCTGAGATGGAGGACACAAAGAGTGGAGGAGTTTAGAACAGTTTGTGTTACTTGACTTTGAAACTGTGTTTCCTTGAGGAACAGTATGTGTGTCTACTGTTGTGTCAGTTTGCAGATGTGGGTAATTGAGTCATTTTGACGTCTCATTGTGTGGAATGTTGCATCAGGCCGGTTTAAAACTGATTGTCATTTTCTTGGAAGGACCAGTGTCATTTGTACTAAGGAAGCTGCAACTGTAGAGTGTGAAAATGAAGCGAAATTGCGAGTCTCACAAAGTGCAGTTCCCCCAGTGTCCACTATATGCTGTATTCTGCAGTGAGTCAGTCCCCAAAGAGCCCTATGTTAAACTTAACAGCAGAAATACATGTTCACAGCTTGGAACAGAAACAGTTAAGGTCTCTGTGGCTCATTTCTCTTTAGTTTAAAAACCGTAGAAGGATTTTTTTTTATGTAACTTCTGTTTTGATTGGGAATTTCCCCCTGTGGGACTAATAAAGGAGTATCTTATTATTTTGAGGCCAACAGTTGCACATAGAGTGGTAATAATAGGAAGTGGTGGGGTGTGTTTAAAGACAATTGGGTGCACTGTTGCTGGTTCCAGGAAGTTTAAAGCAGCTCCACCCCTTAAAGCTTCCTCAAGATTGGTCTCAAGCCAGTGTGAGTCAACATTTCCAACATGGTGACTGAGGATTTTCTAAGGCAACTAATTAACTGGTAATTGAAAGAAAAAATTAAATGTTGACCAGTCAACTTGTCTAAAGGTTAAAACACACACAGTAAAGTGCTGAAATGGAACAGATCTGTCAAGCCCAAACAGTGGAGAGTCAGCATGTTCACTATGTCAAACTAGTCTGCAGGTCAACATCCATATACCTGTGCTGGTCACTCATTAATCCAGTGGTTATAAACCTAACCTAACCAGAACACTAAAGGCCAACAGCAGCAATAACATATTATCAATTATAATTATAATGACAATGCCAACAATTATAATAACAAGAACAATGGAGTGATGATTTGGTTGACCTTTCAGCTGACCTTTTTATGGACAGCTGACTGTTGACTGTATGTTCTGTCACACATTTTAACATGGGGCTTCATGGGGGCTGACTCACTTTAAGTGTCAGCCCCTGGTGGACACTGGAGTAACTGCATTCTTTTGTCTCACTGGCTCAGTTTTTCAGCCCTAGAGATTCCATATCTGCTGAGCACACATCTGAATTTAACACGTCTGCATAAAGCTTGTGGGTTTGAGTTAGGCGTTAGGGTGGGGGTTTTGTTTTCTCGAGACTCTTTATCGCAAAAGACATCAAGACGTGAGGCATGAGACCCGCCAAAGCTCAGTGTCGTGCATTTAACACTCAGCAGTGTGGTTAGGTGCTTTAGTGCAAACAGACACTTAGTATCAGAGGGAAAAAAAACAGAATCTACTTATAAACTGAGCGGTTAAAAAAAATTAACACATAGAGAGAAAGGATGTATAACGGTGTGCTTTAATAACATCAGCCAGATATGGAGGTTACAGATGTTTACATGACTTTATTCCTTTATTCCTCACATACACAAACTCAACCACCAGCTCATTATTTATCATCTTCTACTGAAGGACAATGATGGGCTTCAGGTCACACCACAACTCTAAAACAATACAAAGAACCATGTCACATTGGTCAGGATACAAAAAGAGGTCTCTGATGGTTTCAGGCACATTTCCAGATCTGAAAAAACACATCCTAAGAATACCTGACACTTTAAAACCTCACAGACTTAAGGAGATCAAAATAAAGCTTAACAACGCAGAGCAGGGAGGGGTGTGTATGTGAAGTCGTCCGAGGCTTAGCAAAGACACAATTACAGAGGGAGTTCATGAGAAAGGAGTACATGGAGCTGTCGGCACCTCTGAACTATCAGGGGGACATTTCAGAACTCGGTCTCGGGGATTCTCAGCCCTTAAAGAGTCTGGAAATATGTGGGGTATCTGTTGATAAATAAAACATCTCTGATTGTCACTATTTTATTTTATTTTTTTACAGGTTTTGAATCAGACTATCGTGCTTGTGTGGGTTTTAAATGTCTAGTTTTAGTCTGACTGAGGTGATAAACACGAAAACTTACTGAGTGATTATTAAAAACGTCTGCCTGCAGAGTTTTATATAAGCTCATGCTCATTACGTTGCCAGTTTTTGGCCCAGCTCCATTGTCTGTGTACAGAAAACCATGGCAACAGTATAACATGTTTTAGTCTTATCAGTCAGACACAATGCAACCTTTGCAAATATGAACCGTTAAAGATGTTAGAGGAAGTGAGGCAGATGGGCAGATGGTATGAAGTTCCTTATCTGAACAAACACATTTTCTTCATTATCTAAACAAGCCTCAAAGATTCACAGACTTAGATCCCTGTACTTTATCATCAGCAGAGACAGATTTTTAAAATAAAAGCTGCATAATTTAAACCCATATTTGAAACTCAACATTGTTCCTGCAGAGAGAGCATGCATATATTAAGTTAAAAATAGAGTTTAGACAGTTTAATCTAAATGCTGTCCAGCAGAGACAGATTTTTTTTAAAAGCTGTAAAATTTAAACCTGTATTTGAAACTCAACATTGTTCCCGCAGAGAGAGTGTGCATATATAAAGTAAAAAAAAAGAGTTTTGATAGTTTAATCTAGTTTAGTCTAAATGCTGTCCAGCAGTGTCTCTTTTGAGGTGTCTCTGAGCTCCTCAGGTGTCCTCGGGTGCTCTGCTCCTCCGGTTCAGATCTGAACTCTGACTGTTCAAAGGTAACATCCTCCACACTGCTCCCATGTCCACCTTCTTCCTGAAGGTGTCTGTGGTGAAATAATAAGCCACAGGATCCAGCACTGTGTTCACACATGCCACCAGCAGGCTGATGCGGTATGCATCCAGCAGGGAGCACCAGATGTTGTCTTTGTGCAAGAAGAGAAGGAGCAGGGTCATGTGGTACGGGAAGAAGCTGATGAGGAAGATAAGGAGGCTGGCGGTGATCATCTTAGTGATCTTTGAGCTGTCCACCAGGTCGGTCTGAGCCACCGTGCTACGTCGGACAGCTCGGACCAGAAACCAGGAGCAAATCAGCATGAGGACCAGGGGAATCCCAAAACCCACGAAGAGTGTTGGTAGAACCACGATGCGGTGGCTGGCAAAGTCCGGCCGGCTGTCGAAACAGTTGACTTGAGTGGCATTTATCTGTTTGGAAAGATAGATCGGCACACTAGCACCAAATGTCAGCAACCATATCCCACAACAAATCAGCGGGGCTTTCTTCCTCCCATCCTGGACCCGCGCTGACATCGGGCAGGTGACGGCCAAGCAGCGGTCAAAGCAAATACAGGTGAGGAAATAGATGCTGCTGTACATGTTGGCCTTCAAGACCAAACCCAGGATGTCACACAACCACTGAGGAAGATTATTATATCCCAGGTGGTAATAGATCCTCATGGGCAGTGTGAGGATGAGCAGCAGGTCTGCAAAGGCCAGGTTGGACATGTAGATGATGGTTTGGGATCTGGATCTAGCATTACTGCAGAAAACCACCAATGCGATGATGTTTAGACAGAAGCCCACAACGGTGATGAAGGAGTATGTGCACACAAAAGGGATGTTGATGTGGACAGTGCCATTATCGATGCAGGACCTGTTGACGGACATGGTTACCTGAAAGACACAAGAGAGGTTCAGACACAGGACTTGGAAGAGGGTCAGTAACGCAACATTGTTTGATTCGCAATGTTGGTTTATGTCGCGCCTAAAGCAGTCAAAACCAAATTCCTAAAGTACATGTGCCGACAGTTTCCAAATGTCAAAACCCACAAACATTCACCTCAAGATGATTTTACAACTCTGAAAATTTTAACCCTACTGTGGTTTCTGATTTGTCCCAAAGTCCTGAGCAGTTTCCACGATCATTTGACATAACAGCAGTCTACACAGTTACAGCAAAGTTTGGTACTTAAACAAGACCGTATAGCTTTGGGTTAACTACTGGGTCGGCAGAAGACTTAAGCAAACAATGTCTCATGATGGACAGAGCTACAGTTGATTTTATGAATCCTGAGCAAGGATGACTAAACTGAGTGGTCGAAATTCGTGATGTAGATAAAGATTCAATCCTACGAAAAAAACAGACAGGGGAGTTTTCGGTTTCCTTCCCCAACAAACTGCCATGAGTTTACATGTTTTGACAGGTGGTCTGTGGTCTGACATTTACTTTTTTGTAACTGAGATACAGAAACTTATTCATGAGCAAAAGGTGGTGGACACATGGATGGACCTGTTGACAGACTTGGTTACCTGAAAGGCACAAGAGAAGTTCAGACACAGGACTCGGTGGAGGGTCAGTCAAGCGACAATGTTTGATTTGCAGTGTGTGTTTGTGCCACGCCTAGAGCAGTCAAAACCATTTTCCCAAAGGACCTGCCCCAACAGTTTCTGAATCTCAGAACTCAAACATTTACCTCAAGATGATTTTAGAACTCTGGGGACTATAACCCCATTGTGGCCTTAGAATTCTGCCAAAGACCTGAGCAGTTTTCAAGACCAGGTGACATACCAGCAGTCTACACAGATTCAGCCAAGTTTGGTACTTCAACAAGACTGCACAGCTCTGGGTAAAATCCTGGGTCGGCAAAAGACTTGAGCACACTATTCCTCATGATGGACAGTGCTACAGTGGATAAAATGTGTTAAAAAATCTGATTCAGTCCCACAAAAACAGCAGACAGGGGAGTTTTCTGTTTCCTTCCAACAACTTTGTTGTTTCCACAACAAACTGCCATGAGTTTACGTGCATATTGACAGGTGGTCTGTGGTCTGACCTTTCTTTTATTGTAACCGTGATACAGAAACCTAATCATAAGCACGTGACCCAGAACCCTGCAGAGACAGCAGGAGGTTTCAGGTCACACAGTGTTTTTGCTTCTGTTTTTAGTGACACTTCATCTACAGTTATGAGTCATTATTAATTCTCTGCTGACACCCTGCAAGTATTGCTCCACCGACACATTTCAAGTGAAATTTGAATGAAGGAAAATGTGCAATCATACAATTTGTGATACTCGGAGTATTCAGAAATACTTCAGCACATATGATCCCTGAAGACTCCAGACTGAAGGTCTGTGATCATGATGGCATTCTGGTTTAAACTTTGCACTTTGGCTTTTGCAGCGCTCTGATGTTGATAAGAGCTGTTTTTATAAAATCGGTTTCCTGATAGAAATAAGATGACAGCATGAACAGAGTGTAACAAAACACTGGAACCACATGAAGTGGTTAAAAATACAAAAACGAAAAGATTATATTAAGAATAATACGATGAAATACTAACAACAGACTAAGGATCATTGCATTCATTTTTTAGTTCTGGTTTTGAAAAAGTAGATATTTTGGGGTAGTGCAGTAATAGTAATAAATACCTGAAAATACTTGATGGTATATTAATCTTGTCTGGAATTATAAATCCTTGGATATCCTAATACTTAATATTATAGTCAGGTTATAAAAACCTGAATAATCTGAATGATGCACATAAACTAATAAATAGCTGGACCTATGTAAATATACTGGATAGCATAGGTATGGTTACAAATACCAGATACCTTTGATTCAATGAAGTCCTGGAAAGTACAGTTTGTATCATAAAGACAGTGCAGTCAGGATTATAAATACCTCAATATTTCTTATCGTGTTGTAAATTGCTTAGGCCCTGCTCTGCAGCATGACAGCATTGGGACTAAAGATTTCATGTGAGGCTTTATAAACCGGAGAGAAGATGCCAGTTAGTATCAGTTTGGGCTCACGCATTATTCACCAAAATCCAAGTTGTTCATCAAGACCTTTTAATGAGCTGAATGTGTATTTATAAGTTATCAATGTATGAAGTCAAAGTGAAGATGGTCAAAAAGAGGTTCCGATACTCACAAATGCTGCTTCATATTCAGTAAAAGGGACTTCCTGTGACCCTGCAGACCTCACCCTCCACAGCAGTTTTCACAAGTGCATCAAACATGAACAAAACTGTCAACCGTGAGCTGCATGTGTGAATGCAAAAGGATGATTTTTTTCACCCAGCCCTGCAGTCAAATTACCAGAAGAAGTCTGCTCAGCTGATGGAAAAGCACAGCAGGACATACACATGGTGAACTAACAAAGACAGATAGAGAGAGAGAGAGTGAAGTGATACTATCTGAGGAGTAATTTGTACATCCTCTTTTCTGCTCACCGCCTTTCCTTTTCCTTTTATTCACTGATTCTGTGAACTCACCCAAATATTCGCAGCATAAACAGATAGACTAAAACCAGTATCATAACTCCTTTTAGATATCTGACATTTGCTTCCTTTCCATCTTATCTCCTGCCTCCTCAGAACCACAATCATCTACAGCTTAATTCATGTCACACACCCCTCTGTTACAACCCTTTGGGTAAACGAGTGAATGTGCATATAGTACTGGGGAGTCCAGGAAGAAACCGATCTGTGGGTCGTCTCCTCAGGCCTTTAAAGACATTGTTGCATATTTAAGCACTCTTGCAGAACTTTTTTTCTGGTTTGTTTGAAAGTAGGTGAGGCATGCAGGGTGATCCAATGAAACACACTATTCAGGAACGTGATTCTGTAGGAGTATCTCACATAGAAACAGACAAACCCTGCAAAAGTTAATGCCACATGAAAAGTTAAAGAATTCTGAACGAATCAAAGATACAAAATTAAAGGTCGAAGTGTCAGTGAGTGATTTAAATCTACTTGAACATGCACTATTTCAGCGTGCAGGTTTGCGAATCAGGTTGTTGTGACTTTGTGGGTTTTAAAACCATGTGTATGTGATTTGTACTTCTGCAGTGTGGTTCAGTTGGATGGAAAGGTTAACCTTAGCTTCAGATTTTAACGCAATGTGGTGATGTGTCAAGCTCAAACGAGATCGCTTGAAGAGCTTTTTGACATTAACGACCTATTAAAGAGACAGCGTCCTTTTTTATTGTTTACAGAATAAATGAATCATAGATCCTCTCTCCATGTAGCAAACTCATCATACACTTACCTAAAAGCTGTGTCAGTATGAGAGTCCTATAGCTGCAGCGATAGCAGTGTTCAGTGCAGTATTTAAATTATTGGTACGCAACACCATGTGAGAAAATATGTGCAAACTCATCAAACAAAGTCCAAAACAAACCTGCAAAAATGTTACTAGAAAGAGCTGGGTCATATTTCAGAGCAGATCTGATTGATCTGTCTCTGAAATGAGGTGTAAATTCCTGTAATATTATCACTGTAGTGACTCGTTTAAATATGCACAGACAGAACAGGCTGTTAGCTGCACAGTGAGGCTGTTTTCTGCAGGGCAGTGTGTGAAGCATCGATTCTTTCTTTGCACTTTCTTAATCAGATGGTATCTCACTTTCACAGTTTGCAGGTGCAAAAGCTGCAAAGCCTTTCAGTTAATCAGGATCTAAATATAGCTTTCCTGTTTTCCTCCACCTGAACTGTCACCTTTGCTAAAGGCCTCAAACAGAGCGACGTTTAAACTGTCTGCTGAGCGCTGGAGAGGAACTGCGCTGCAGGAGATGTGAGCAATGTGATGCTCAAACCTTTTACCTATTATGATGATAAATCCTCCTCTGGATGATCAGATCAGATCTCTGTCAGGATGAGAGTGCCCAGTTCAGCGTAGCAGAGAGATGCTGACAACTCACCTCTATGAAACACAACACACGAGCAAACTGCACAGAGCTGCAGGACTCAGTGGGCGTGTCTGTGTTTGAACTTAATAAGCACTGTAAGTTTTATTTTGATCGGCTAATTCGCTTCTCCTGAGTCTACTTCTAAAATGAGCGACCTAAGGTTGGTACGAGATCTTTTCTGTTGGTGCAACCTTTTACCGTCTGAATATTTGAAAATTGTTTTCTTTGGTTCAAAGCTGCAGGGTGATGATGTGAGCTTGTGAACTTGAGACCCTTGAGACCCTGCGCCTTCATATACAGACATGATAATCTGGACCTGTTGGCCTCAGTCATGGACACATGGTCTGCCACCCTGTGGTCACAAGACTGATATACACACTAATCTGTGTTCAGGCGAACAAATGTTTAACAGTCAGTAATCAATAACATAAGTATTTATGTTATTAACAGTTTATACTTTTAAAAGTCACAAAATTTTTTACTTATCTAATTAATAGTGATGAGACACAGCACCGCCAAACAGGAAGTAGTCGTATGAGGACGCTGGGACTATTTTTCGAGTAAAAGTATCAAACCAACACACCTATTATACACGTGAATTACCACCTGGTTCCATACTCGACTGACTGTTTCTGCAGCAGTGATAACTCTGAAGTACAGCTATATCATATCACCACAGACTAAAAAAAGCATGTTGGACAAGTGTTCTTGTGTTTTCTTATTTTGAACAGTCATTGTTCAGCATTAAAATGAAACCAAATTATTTTAAGAACTACAAGTTAAAACAGTTTCTCACGCAGTGGTGATTCTCTCATGTCTTACAAAACTAAGATCAATCATCTCCATATCAGGACATCCGTTTTTTTGTTGTTGTTGTTGTTGTTAAAACTACTTCCTGTTTAGAGGTATTACATTAATGGGTTCCCACACTAGTAAAAGAAATCAAAACTGCAAAGCAAACAAAGGCTCGAGTCTCATGAGGTTCAAACAACATCCAACATGAGGACACAAAAAGTTACCTAAACCTCCATAAAAAGCCATATGTAAATAAAGAACAGATAAGTCACTAAAAATAAAAAGTTTAGGAATAGTTAGAGGTCAACATATTCCTTTTTCAGTGGCTGATGTTGATGCAGGCTGGTCGATATCACTGTTTCCGTTTGTTTGTATGAGATAATATAACAATATAAATCTATTAAACTTGTGAAAAACTAAACAGTTGAACTTAAGTGACTATATTATGAAATAAATGTACTTTTAAATCACTACACATTTGTTTAAAGTTAGTGTGAAAGCTCAAACATGCAAAGTCAATGTTGGAGATCCATTTCAAAACATGAAACACACATTATAATCTGACCTAAACGCGGTTAACTTAGTGACGTGTTTTATATTGACTTTTTATGAATTAATAGAAAATACTTGTGGGTAAAGCTTTGGATTTAAAACATAACCAATCCAATGAAGCCAAATTTTAACCGAATTATTCTGTATAAAATGAGAGGATTTGTATGAAACACCTCCAACTGTTGGAGACTGAAAACAGCGTTGCTTAGGGTAGAGTAAATTCATTTAATTCAGAAAAGATTACCTCAGACATGATAAATATACATGTAAAATATTAGTTTTATTGCTAAAAAAAAAAAAAAAAAAAAAAAAGGTATTTTGTGTTTTATCATCCAAAAACTATTTTGACACTATCAGGTTTATTTTCTTTCTTTAAAATGCTTCAACCCTGAACGTTGAACTCTTTTGCACCTTTTGCCCACATGTAATAAAATATAGTTAAAACACGCTGAACACCGCTGACCGACTTTTGAAGAGGAACATGTTGCATTTTCTCGCCGCTGTCTGCAGTTCCTGTTGGAACAGAACTTCCTCTGCAGAAATTGTGACAGCTCTCCACCGAACAGTTTCTCTGTGTTCATGTAAGATGTGAATTTTTCTGTAAATAAGTCACGTTAGTCTGAAAACTGTTGATTCTGCTGCCAAGAAATTAGTTTAAGCGGGTTAATCTAAAAAAGAGTGAAATATTTCCTTACTTACAGTCATAGATTTTTTTTTTTTTTATCACTGAGAACTTTTGTTCTCTGAAATCTGACAATATGAGGTTTTACAGCCTGATAATAGCTGAGAAAACACATTAACCGATAACACACTCAGTCACAGCTTCCCATGAGTCATTTCTTATCATCAGAGTGTTTTCCTCTCTCATACTGACACACACACACACACAGAGTCTGAATGAAAATAAATAATCATATAAATAGAAATGAGCTCTTCTTTACCTGGTGGTCGGTCAGAGGAGGATGGAAATATCAGTGGCACACACACTTACACACACATACATATTCTCAAACCCTGACAGATCTTTAGGTGTGTGAGCCTAACTCAGGAAGTTGACCAATCTTGAGATCTCGGTCTGTCACCCACTCTGTGAATTTCTGCTGCTGTGGGTGTTTTTATGTTGCTTTCTGCAGACCTGCTGATGTGGAAACACCGTCTCCCATCGGCTGCAGATCTAGTTCTCTATCTGTCCTCATGTTTGTCTTTACTTCTCTTTGCCACAGTGAGGCCCAAAAACTTTAGCAGCTTTAAAGAGGAGCGGTTGTGTCTCCTTGCAGCACATAGCTGCTGCATTTCTGTTGGACTTTTGCACCTTTTTATGAACAAGCAACATAATACAAATGTGTTTGCAAATGTCCATCAAACCATCAGAAAAAGACAAAAAACAGGCATGAAGATAACTCAAAATGCTCGGAAACAGTTTGCAGGTCAAATAGAAGAGTATTACAAATAGAAAGCTGATCAAGCTGTTACAGGCTCTACACAGAATATTCCATCATTATCTAGTTATTACAAATATTCTCACTGAATAGCCTGATATCATGCTTGGTTGATTATAAATTGCGAGAAATTTCTTTTGGCTCTTTATTTACTGCAGACTTTGTCATTCAACATATTTTTATTGTTTTCTCACTAATTTTTCTCTAATCCTGTAAGTTTTCTGTTTGTTGCTGCTTGAAGACTGCAGAAAAAATCTCATTTTCACATTAAGTTTTAGATATAAAGAGGTGGCAGATCTAATGAAAAACTCTATATATGAACAACTTTTATATTTCTAAAATCAGGCGGTGAACCTGACTTGCACAGCTGTTTACATGAGTGATTTTATCAAGTTATTTTTTTTCATCATTTCTTTATTGATTTGTTTTGCACCATCAGGCCAAAGCTAAAGGACTTTGTAGAAGCATAGTATAATTTTAGAAAAGGTGGTTTTAGGATAGATATTTACACTTATTTATTCCTATAAAAAGATGTGTCGAATGATCCCAACTGTGAGCTTCATCGTTAGAAACTGTATGAACCATAGACTGTATATTATCTATTTACTATTACCAGAGGTGGGAATTGTGGAGTCAGCAAGTCATCTCCCTGCCATGTATTTGTTCTGCTCAGTTAGTGAACCAGGTGCCTCCACTAACGAGCTCACCTTCCTGGCTGCTCATTGGAAGCAGCTGGTTCAGTGACAGAGCAGAACAAATACATGGCAGGGAGATGACTTGCTGACTCCACAATTCCCACCTCTGACTATTACTATATTCTACAGTATATACAGTGTATGGTATGAACGCTGACATGACTGTGAGGGGGCGCCCTCTGGTGGCTACACGCGTAACAATATTTCCTACCGTAATGACTCTAAATGTAAACCTACCGGTGATTAAATTAAAGGCGAATATCAATGGGAATTAGAGAAACGGCAGTAACTTTATCATGCCGTCCACACACTATATATAATATCACGAATTAACAATCGTGCAATACTTTATATAATTTAATGTTTTCCATTTGGAATGCAGGACCTCGTGGCGCAACGGTAGCGCGTCTGACTCCAGATCAGAAGGTTGCGTGTTCAAATCACGTCGGGGTCAACGGATGACATTTTTCATTTACTGTTGAACTTCACTTTAAGGTTTTTGAGAGAAAAAATAAAAAGGCAACATTATTCATATCTAACCTTGGTTCAACAAATAGATAAACCAACTGAAGTATAGATCAATGTGGTCTTGGCAGAAGGGAAAGAATAAACAGGTCACTTCATATCAGTGTAAAGGTGTGACAATAACCACAGTGCAGAGAACCTGCCACAGGGACTTACCTGAGTCAAAGTACCACTTCAATATCCAAATGGACTCTATAGTTTAACATGAAGGGTTCATCTCTCTGATTTCTGAGCAAAAAATTAAACCTTTAAGATTTCACTTTTCTTTTTATTATCCTCATTATTTTTGTAATCTTAGAAATTTACTTTTAAAGCATTACAAAATTAGCTCATAATGATATGACTTAAATCTCAGGTAATACTGCATTTTTATTCTTAAACAACTTTATTCCTTTATTTTCAATAATTATATTGTTGTAAATTACTTCTTGATTGTCATGATAACCTATTAGGATTCATTCTCCTAATATATGATTATAATCTTTTATTTTACAATGTTACAAGAATAAAGTTAAAAAAAGAAGTTGCGGTACTATGAGTTCTTGATTTCAGGAAAATAAAGCTGGAAATACTTTACAGTAAGGGTCCAAATATTTAGGTAAATTAATGCTTAATTGATGTTGAAGTAATAATTGAATCATGAATGACTCCCCCAAACCAAAAGTTCCTCACAGGATCTTTAATTTATTTCAACCCCCTCTTTGGTTCATATTATAGACAACAATGAAAAATGTGAGTTTAAGTTAAAAGTTTATTACAAAATATTACAACAAACAAATAAATTTACAGACACAAATACAGAATAAAACTACAGGAAATAATCAAGGAAAATTTTTAATTAATTTAATTTAAGGCTCCAGTTTGAGAAGAAATGAATGAAGAGGATTTAAATTATTTTTAAAAAGTTAAAAATGGAGGACGGTTGAGAGTCAGAAGTCTTAACGGCAGAGTTTTAGATGATGATGGTTATGAGGGTGATGATGATGATGATGATGACGATGATGATGATGGTGATGATGATGATGATGGTTATGAGGGTGATGATGAAGATTATGATGGTTTTAGTTCATCTTACTAATGAGAGAAAAGAGAGAGGTGATTAGTTCAAACAGGAGGCAAAGAAGTTTGTTTTATTTGTTTACCTTTTTATTCCATCACTTTACTTTTGTCCCATAAATACAGCTTTTTTATTTTCTTATACTCATACTGTGACTTTTTCTCATTACCATGATTTCATTTAATCTTCAGGTTATTTATCATGTTTTTGTAGCTCTTCTCTCCAAAACTGACTTAAGCCTAAAAAGACTTTTATGACTTAATTGTGACAAATTTTGTGAATAAATCTTAAAAAATTTTGTATCATTGATTTTTGTCTAACGTTCCTAACTTTGTTTGAAAATTATGTAACTTTTTTTCATCGCCCCGACTCTTTAATTACCATGGACTTTCATCTCAACACTAGCTTTTTTTCCCACATAAATGACTTTTTACTCACCACTAAAGCCTTTTTTCTCACAGCACGGCATTTTCTGTTGCTACAATGATTTTTTGCTTTAGCGCTATGATTTTTATCTGATTGACATGACTTTTTCTGTGACTACAAAGACTTTTTGACTTTTGTCCTCTAACTGAAACCTTTGTGTCATCATTGTGGATTTTTTATTTATTATATTGACTTTGGTCTAAAATTATGACTTTTGTTTGTTGTTATGATTTTTATAGCCTTACTGTTGCTGTTCTTATTGAAAGTATTTACTCTTTTTCCCTTTTTTGTGTCATGTTATGTTCAGGTTTTTAGTTTTTCCTTGGTTTTGTGTTTCCCTGGAATGTATTTTCTTTGTGATTTTCCCTAGTGTTTCTTTTCCCTGTTGTTCCTGTTCCCTGTAGTCCTGTCTTGTGAGTTTTTAGTTTGTGTCTGACCCAAGTTTCTTCATGTTCTCAGTGTTTTATTCCTTATATCAGTGTTCAGTGTTTCCCATTTTATTTAGTAGTAGTTTATTCCCTGTGTTTCTAGTCTTGTTTTACTACCTAAGTTTTCCCTCCTCTGTGATTGTTTGCACTTGTATCTTAATGTCTCACCTGCCTCTCGTTGATCGTTTCCCTGTGTGTGTGTATATATAGTCCTTGTCTTCTCCTGTTTCTTTGTTGGTTCATTGTGTGGTATGTATGAATGTCTGTGTGTGTTTGTATGCCAGTGTCTCCACTATCTCCTTGTGTGTTTTTCCCCCAGCGCATTTTCTTGGATTTTTTATTTTTAAGCTGGACATTTTCTTGTAAGCTTTTGTTGCTTTTTATTTAGTTATTTTTTCATTAGATCACTTTTTGTTCTGCAATTGGGTCCTTTTCCTTTTTGACTTTCATCATATTAGGAGGTGAGAAACCCTTGCTCTCTCCACCTTTTCCCCTCTCTAAAACTCTCACCTTTGCCTCCAAATACAAAATGCCATCACTGCATATTAGTTTGTTTCTGCAGTGTTTGACCTTTGATCAGCTCAGGTCTCACCTCTTTACCGGAGCAGGTCCCACAGAGGCATCCAAACAGCCCGTTGACCATCTGGATGAGGCAGAGCACGAGCTCCAGGCTGGCAGCCACCAACAGAGTGGAGAAGAGTCCGACGTTGAAACCCACTACGTTATCTGGTTCTTTGCACCAATCCCAGAGTGTCTGATTTTGCAGGTAGTTCCCTTCTCTGCAGACCATGAAAACACAGTTAGAGGACGGAAATAAAAACAGATCCTGGAAATTGAACAACTTTTATCACAGCTTGGCTTTATTACCCGCCAAAGAATGGTGTCCCCCACACAGGCGCTTGACCTTCTTTGTTAGTCCACAAACACATGGGTCCGTTAACCAGACCTAAACTTGCCACACTCAGACTGTAGGTTGCGCCAGAGACACCAAGTGCCGCAAAACCAATAGACAGGAACATCTGCAAAAAAAGGCGCCAGAGTCAGGAGGGGGGATGTGAAATGCTTTGGGACAGATTTTAGAAAGACCTGCTGTATGAGGAAAAATATATAAATTAAGAGGAAGACAATCTGAGATAAAAGTCATAATTATGACTAAAACAATCAAATAATGACCAAGAGAAATAATGCTCTTTAGTAATATAGATATATAAAACTCACCCCACATCGGTTAGCACAGCATTTCTCAGCACTGGTTAGATGGATGTGGATGGCAGGAACCAGGACCTGAGAGCATGACCAAGAAAGAAGAAAGAGGAAATTGAATAAAATGATATTAGAAATGAAATATAACAAGCACAATAACCCTCCTCTAAAAACTATCTTTGTATGGAGTGATTATCATTCTCATTATCTTAAGCATTTACATTCATTTTTTAACATTTCTCAAATTTCAACATTTCATTTCAATACTTTCTGTTCATTTCCAGCACTTTAATATTTGGACATTGGTACCAACCATTTTTACATTTTTTAAGTAATTTTAACTATTAAACAGTCTTTTTAAACCTTTGTAAATCTTTTTTAAACTCTCTTGTAACACTTTAGCTTTAGTTTTCAAACACCTTTTCCAATGAATACAAAGATGTTTTATTACTTTTGAATTTAACCAGTTGTGGACCTGAGTCCAGACTTTAAAAAAACTGAAATGACTGATATTAAATGTCTTTTCTAAAAAGCAACATGAGTATTTTCAAGGCAAACAGGGCATTATATCATCACAGTAAGGGTTCGGTGTTGGTCTTTTGTACTGGTCAATATTGACACACCTTAGGGGCAGAAAAAAAGTGAGGCTGAGGAGGAGACAACAAAAGGAAGTGATGTAATCTTCATGTGAAGACAGAGATATCAGGTAAAAGCATCAGAGTATTCAGAGCTGTAAAAGATTGATAAGATTTCATCATCTGTTCATAAAAATGTGGCTATAAAACATATCTGATAAACCTGATCTCTTCTTTAGTGCGAGGTGTTGATGGTTGATAAGTGAGTTTTAGTCACTATTTAGGAATAAAAAGTTCCGTCTCACAGCTTTCAACCTTATTTTGTTTGACATAGACATTTTTAGTCTTTAAATTATTCTTTTAGCTAAATGTAACCATTTTAATTGGGTTACATAGTTTTAAGTGTGCCGTGTAACTATTTTGGGTGTGAAAGAATTACTTTGATTGTGTTAATTATAATTAACCCTTTTAAGTGTCTATATTTTGTGAATGGAAGCATTTTCAGTGTGTTTACAGTAACCCTCTCAAGTGCAAACCTTAAACCATTTGTCATCAGCATTGTAATCATCACACCGACTGTAATCTGGTCAAATCTCCTTACCATCAATCCTCCTCCGACCAGGCCTCCCATGTATTTCACCTCCTCCGTCAGGTAGTCTGTTCTGTTGGAACCCTCGGGGAGGTCGGGGGCAGCGTACTTTGTTTCAAACCCGGGGAAGAAAAGCATGATGTTACAGATAATCGACACCAGGGCCAGGACGTAGAGGGGGATGGCGATAAACTTTGAACAGGATCCGGTACACATGATGTCTGAAAATGGAAGAAGACTCTAAAAAAGACAAAAAGGAGGATAAAATCCCAGAAACTCCTCCGAGTGAAACCTTCAAACCCTCCTGAAGCTCAAAGAAGAGGCAAAAGTGCAGTAATGATGATGGAGAGCAGCAAGCGTCCTCAGGTATCAGAGAAAAATGGAAAAACGTGAGTTTAAATATATCTGAGGTTTAGCAGGGTGGAGGGCATACAGGTGGAGCTACAAGTGATAAGGATATGAAGGAGGCTTATCGCCCCCTTTATGACCAGGACCTAATGTCAGGGCTGGATGGGTGTGTGAGAACATCTTTCCATCAAGCCATAAAAGACTCTTGTGTGCAGCTCACTGATGGCTTTTCCTCTTTAGAAGAGTTTTCAGAGGAGTTACCTGAGATTTATCACAGACCACATAATGTCAGTTTGTTATTCTGTCCACAATCTGATATTTTTGGTTAAACAGTCATTTTTGTTTTTTGTTTTTTCATTTTGGAAAGTCAGGAGTAACCATATTTGGACAAAGGGGTGGAGCATGAAGAACATAGGTGTAAGTAGCACGTGCTGAGGTAACCTGGTTTATTCATCAGCTGGATAAAGAATGGCAGGACAAGCACAGAGACAGAACACGCTCTGGAAGAAAAGATTTTCAGAAAATATCTGATCTGCACAGACACTTTTAAACACTTACTGACACTGTAGATCTCCAGAGAATTAAAAATGTTTTAAAAAATTCACATAATGAAAAAAATCCTGATGGTGTGTAAACTTGCGCTAAGAAAGTAACTTGCGTTCACATTGTTTAAGTATCTTGTGTAAGAAATAAAAAGTAAGATTCAAATCTATCCATCTGTTCTCATCTTGGCATCAGGATTACTGCAAACTCGTTCAATCTTATCATCGGTCTTGAATCTTATTTTTTGCAAATTTAGGTTTTTCAGTGATGTGAATATTGTGGACAGCCATCAGGTGCGTTCTCACCAGCCCCAGACAGGAAGCCAAACCCCATTTAAAGCTAGGGCTGACCTTGTTCTCACCAGGCCTGTTCTGTGGACCTTCTTCTGTCTCCACTTCATCCTGCTACAAAGAAGAGGACATGTCAAATCACAGACATCCACATCTTCACCGGATTCTTCTCTTTTTCCACAGTCTACAGATATCAGACTCTGTGTTTTAACATAAGGCTCTATGGGGACTGACCAACTGCGGGACAAAGCCTCTAGTGGACCCTGAAGGATGTGCAGTTGCCTTCTGCCTAGTTTAATATGTACCATCAACAGATTTTTTCAGTTGCTAACAAGCGCTTGTGCACCTAGTTGTCACATTTTGAAAATGTGATAATTTTCAAAATTGTAAACGCAATTAGCACATTATCGGTCTTTTGTGGCCATACCATTCATACATTTCATGGTATTTTCACACAATAGGCAGTCAGTGAACACATTTCCACAATGCTTACACTTTCTTAACAGACAAGCTATACCTCCCAACAAAATAATGGATTGTTTTTGTATTATTTGTTTTTGTTAATACACATCCCAAAATAGCAAAAACAATATTCCAAATATTAGATACAGTATAAAAGCCTCTGCTTCTGCAGTGATATCAGCTCAAAAACAATATATCTCAGCTGATAATAAACAAACAATTGACTAATTAACACACAGCTGATATATGATGGGTAAATTGGGCCAACTACAGCTGATTCCAGTCTGTCTTAGACTCAGTGGCAGGGGTTAAAAGGAGGACTTTGAGGTGTGATGATTTTGGAAACAGAAAAAGACAAACACTGTCATGTCTGGATGAGGAAGAGTAAGAGTAAGGGGCCAGTGAGAGATGCAATGAGAGGGGCAGGTGCAGGATATTTTGTTCACTGTAAGCAATACTGTTAAACTTTTTTCTGCTCTATCATATTGTAAACAGTATTTCTACTGTACCTCCTGTAGTAAACAGTAAAGGGAAAAAATGATTTGCTTTTTACTGGAATGCTTTTGAATGTGAACATCACATGTGGACATACAGTTCCCAACCAAGAAATTTAGTGTAAAAACTGTGGATTGCATGTTTTGTATGCAAATACCTGTAAAACTAAAATATATAAGTGTATGCAGTTTTTAATGTCAGCAATAGCCAGCATTTTAAAACCTGGTGTACTTTGATTGACTGCATGTACCTTGTGAAGTGAAAACAAGTGAAAACAGAATCCTTTCAATTTGAGTCAGATTTCTGGTGTTTTGGTAAAGTTAGTGTGTGCAGAGAAAGATGTGTTCTATTTTGAAATGAAGAGTTTGTACGTATTTTTAAAAAAACGTGTTTTTGAGAAGAAAATCATCCATTTGGCTTAAAGAAAAAGTATCTGAAGTATGGGTAAGCGCTTGTTAGCGATAGAAAAAAACTGTAATGTCTCATAGATGATTTTGAGATATTTGCTCTTTTCTTTCCAAGGATTGAATTCATTCCTTTATTTTCTCTTTTCTTATTTTTACAGCTTCAGTTCAAAGATACGGCCACACCAAAGTCATGATTTATTACACAGTATATTCATTCAGCCATACAACGTGAGGCCATTCAGGATAGTGGTTTGGGCTGGGCAGTCAGATGCTGGTTAGAGTTCAGCTCCTAACCCCTGCAGACTTCAATGAAGTCATAATCCACTGATAAGCCAATCAAGTCATAAAGCCAGGCTTTCTTAGCTGTCAGGGGTGACGGCTCTCTATCAGTTTTCTGTGATTGTGTTCTGATAAACAGACTCCAGGATGGGGTTAAAGTGAAATATTCAGTGCTCTTCAGGTTGTTAAGAAGAACACAGAGTCTCTGAGAAGGTAGGTGTGGCTCTGATGATCGCCTGACTCAGCTGGACCAGGATCTGCTGTCTCAACAACAAAAAAACCTGATCAAGAAAAACAGAAGTTGACTAAGAAGAATTTCTAAGAACAATGCGGTGTCCATTTTCATTAATTTTAAAAGTTGCAATGCCTCTAATATTTAGATCAAATTCAAGGAGCAATGTCTCAGGCTGAGAAGTGGAGCCACCAAAGAAGTGCAGTTCCTCCAGGGTCCACTAGGGGCTGTGTCCTGCAGCGAGTCAGTCCCCATAGAGCCCCATGTTAAAACTTTGCTGTGGACACAAACACGTTAACAGACACAGTTTGGCTGTTTGAAGAACTTTTTTCTACTTTTCTTTCTCACAAACAGGTTTTGTTTTGGACCACAGGACAGTTCCTGTCTGGCTTTTGTTATCAGTGGATTATAGCTCTTGTTGGTGTGGAGAGGAACACACACTGAGCTTCTTCCTCTGATATTTAGACTCGACTACCGCTATGTTGACAGGAAACACTTAGCATTTCCCCGTGGAGATTATGTAACAATGAGACAGTTGAAATTTATGACGTTTTTATACGTGAACAGAAACTTCTACGATCAATGAGATAATTGATGCATCACACTGATGTTATATAAACACCTGGGGCGTACCTGGTACTACCACTCTGATCATAGTCTCACACACTCATGTGATTGAGTCAGTATGACTAACACACACACACCCACAGGTTAAAGAGAGTGTTAACGTAATTAGCCCACAGAAAGCAAACCTCAGAGATCCTTCTCTGCACATGGCTGAGGACAGAGAGGTTTGGAGGGTCCAATAAGAAATGAGAAAAATCGACAGGACCAAAGAAAACCCAGATTCAGCGAAGAGGACTGGAAAAGTCCAGAGCATCCTAAGTGTTCCTTTTGAACTGTGCTACTCTTGAGAGAGGAGGATCTCCAAAAAGAATATCAGATTTGTATCCATCAGTCCACAGGACAGTTTTCCTTTCCCCCTCAGTCCACCTTAAATGGGCTCAGGTCCAGAGATGTCTCTGGTGGTTCTGGATCCTGTTTCTTTCTCCTTTTCCCTTTGCATCGTTCAGTTTGAACCTAATTTGTGGATGCAGTGATAAACTGTGTTTATGGACAATGGATTTTGAAACGATTTTGAGCCCATGCAGCGATTTCCACTCCAAAGTCCTGTCTGTTTTTGATGCAGTGCTGCCTGAGGGCCTAAAATAAGGACCATTCAGTCTTGGTTTTTGTCCTTGTCCCTTAAGTACAGAGATTTCTCCAATTCTCTGGATCTTTTTATGATATTATGTACTGTAGATGATGAAATCCACTAATTCTTTTACAGTGACACTCAGAAACATTATTCTGAAACTGTTGAACCCCTTCTCTATCAACCTTTTGCCCATTTGGTTGTTCCTCTATATCAACTTTTCACCTGTTCGCTTGATCCTAGATATCAACTTTATGACTTTTTGGTTGTTCCTCTGTAACACCTTTTGTCTGTTTGGTTCTTGCTCTTTAACAACTTTAACAACTTTGGACCTGTGTGAGTTTTTCTCTATAACAACTTTTTACCTGTTTTTTTTTTTTTTTTTTGCTTTTTTTTTGCTCCTCTATAATTTTTTTTTTAAATGTACTGCTGACATCAGTCATTTTGACTGCATCATGTCAACACTACAATTAATTTTCAGATAAAATGGCTTTGCAGACGTCACTACTGTACAAAGAACTCCTGCAGGTTAAAGGTTAAAGTGTTTTTCTGCAGTGTGTGTTTGTAGCAGATTTCCAGGTCCCTCCCTCTATTTGTTTAGTCATAAATCTCTGATAAAGTAACCAAATCATTAACAACCTTCCTTACCTTACCATAACAGATTACACTCATGTGTCTGCTGAAGGCTGAGGGTGGAATTTCTGTCTTTTCTTAATTCAGTGATAAAGGTTTAAAACAGAAGCAGCAGGGAGATTGTTTGGTGTTTTTACACTATAACCTCTCTTCAAACGGAGCTAACACCTTTTAAAGAGTAATACAGGAAGGGAAGAACTAAAATAATATTACTTTAACTGTGATTTAAAAAAAAAAACAGGTTGAAAGTCTGTGAGAGAATGACTTGGACAGAGTCAATTCATTCCCTCTTTAAAAGTAAAAGCGTAACATACGGTGTGCCACAAGGATCAGAACTGGGACCCAAGGCATTCCATAATTTAAATGATATTCAGAGTTTCTGATCTAAGTGATATTAAGGACTGTTGTACCCAAGCTGATGAAGCTCTAAACTGGTTTAAAAGTTTTTACTGAATGGGGACGAATAAAACCAAAACTGTCAGACAAGCGTGTATGTGCTATGAATATTCCAAGCATGGACAGCTTACAGTTAACTGGTTTCGAACCTGCCAGGTGAGGGTGTGTGATGGGAAAGATGCCAGTCAGCCAATCACAGTCCAGTTTAAGAGTGTGTAGGGATGCAGTCTGTGCGTCATTATGTAAAGGTGGAGAAATTAAACCTCCATCAGCCTTAGATCAGAGGACTCTGCTGAACGTCATGAGGGCTGCAGGTGAGTACGTCACAGGTTATCACCTTGTCCTAATAAGACAGGACAATCTGACCTCAGGTGGGAACCAAGTACTGAAAACAAGTCTTTATAGGGACCTGCAACCATCTAAATGTCTGGTGTTACCACATTTTAGTAAGAACAATACTGAACCATTTTATGTTTGTGTTCAAATGTGGATGAAGAGACATCTTTAATGATGACAGATTTCATTATAGCAGCAGTTTCTGATCCACAATAAAGACTTTAATTCACAAAACTGTCCTTTGAGTGCAGCAGAGAGATGGTGGAGTTTCTCTTTTTGAATGATCACAAACACACACGCTTTCTCTTCAGCCTGATTTTTAAATCAGCTCCTCTGGACTCTGAACGGAAGGCCGTGTCCCGGGATGATGATATCAGCGGTGCGTAGCGCCTCCTGGCGGCTGACCTGCTGTACCACAGTATTCATGCTCAGGTCCCTCCAGCTGTCCTCGTCTGAGCAGCACTCAAACAAGTCCCCGGCTACGAGGACCACGCCTGCTGAGGTTCCTGTCACCTGCACACTGACGTCCTGTCCCGTATGACCCGGAGTGGGGACCACACACACCTGAGGACAGAGGACAGCCCGTTAATGGGGACAGAAGGTGAACCAGCAGGAGAAAGCATGATCTTCCTTTCACTGTTAGCTCAAGATTAGATAGTGTAAGGATGCCCAGCCAAGGTTCACACTTGAAAGAATGGAAGGTCCACTCAAATGGTCAGTTTGACAAGCTTTACTGGTTGCAGATCTGGGTTAGAGCTTTATCATGCCACAAGTGTAACAAAGACTGGTCTGAGACTGTTCAGGTATATATAGATGTCCATGTTTCCAAGCATTCTGCTGGAATTTAGTTGACCTGAAGGAGAGTCCAAGTAGGGTAAGAACAAAGCACAACACATTTTAAGGAGCCTTAGTTGAACATATAGAGAGCCCATATAGGGGAATACCATAGCACAACATATTTTGGGAACCTGAGTGATGTCAAAAATGTGTACAAGGTCCTTGTTGAGGCCCATGGCTCCAGGAATCTAACATCAACGTATCCATGGTATCTGGGTTACATATCTCCACCACCCTCAAGGATGATGGGATTGGCTAAAGAAAATTCTCCTAACAGATAGTCTGGCTAAGTTTTATTATTTTTATGCTTTTCCCCTTTGACAGGTAGGAGCATTATACCTGACAGTCTCAAAACAGGGCATTAACCAGCTCTTATAACTGTCATTGGTTACGGTTACATTTCTGTCTTATGACCTCTGCTACATCAACTGGCTGCTTTTGTATCCTGGTGATGATGTTACCAGAAAAATAACATTTACATCAACCAGAAGGACAGTAATGGGATGAAAATGGTGTAAGAAATTGCAGAAAAATAGGTGACATGATAAATAAAAGTTCTGGAAGACTCATTCAATTTGTTTCAGATGCAACAGTTGGTTTTTGTCTGTAGAGTGATCTAGATATAAAAATAATACTAATATTACCACTACAGCTACTATTACTATTACCACTACTACCAATAATAATAATAATAATAATCATTATTATTATTATAAAAATAATAATAACAACAATAACAATAATAATAATAATAATAATAATAATAACACTTATTATTATTATTATTATAAGTATTATCATTATTATTATTATTATTATTATTATTATTATTATTATTATAACAACTGCAACAACAACAATAATAAAAATAATTCATAATAATATTATAATAAAATAATAATAATAATAATGATAACTAGAAGAATTGCATTTCCTTCCAGAAAATTGTACAAATGCTGAGTGCTGAAAGCTGAAAAAGAATGCAAAACTGCTAATAAATGTAGAGGGGTATAAATTTAAAAGCTGTTAAAGGGGTGGAAAAAAAGTAAAAGTTGGATAATAGTGAAAATGTTTGAAGGACAAAGTATGAATATGCTCTATAAATAATAACAACAACAACACAACAACAACAACAACAACAACAAGAATGAACTAACGTGCTCGTCCACGCGGTACACCTGTCCCTCTGACAGTTTGTTTGGACGGTACCTGTCCCCCTCACTGTGGTCAAATCCGACTATTAACTCCGCATGCGCAAACAAACTCAGGTTGCCCACGTGGTCTGAGTGCCCGTGAGTCCCCACCACCATGTCAACGTCCCCTGGGTCCACACCCCGGTCCTTCAGGGTCTGCAGGAGAAAGTCCCGGTCCCACGGTCCCCCTGTGTCCACCAGGATAGTACGGGGTCCCGTAATCAAAGAGATGGTTCCGTCGGCCCTGAAGGTCCCGTCCGGCTCAGAGAGACAGTACCCGGGTTTGAGGACTGACACGGAGTATGGGACCCCGGGGAAGTCCAGTTGAGAATCCGGGAGGGGGATTCTTTGAACCACAGCACCGTCAGTCATCACAGAAAACTACAGAACTTATTGTTGATGTTTCACGGCGAATAGGAAACGCTGCTCGAGCTCACTACCGCCGCCACATGGTACGGACGACGCATATATTTACACCGACCAATTCTAAAATCAAATGACAGAAAAAAGAGAAAGTAAAAGAAAAAGGAAATAAACATTTGCTCCTGGGTTAGAGACAGTAGCTTTATTGATGAGGGATGACATGGTATTTGTTAATAAAACCCTTTTTGTGAAAGGCAGAAACTATTAAATACAATTTAACTTCAAACACATGATAGAGGGGGGAAAGAAAGTTAAAAAAAAAAAAAAGAAGAAAAAGGGGACCAAGAAAAGACAAGCATTTTGAGTCCTGATGGGTTTTGGCAGGACTGTATTTTCCCATTAAGTTTAAAATCATCAAGGCATTTCTCTTTATAGATTTCAGGGATTTTTGCCACATCTAAAGTCCTATGTCGACTTGTCGAATTTCTAATCAACTTAAGATAGATGCAGTGTCCACGATTTTCAAAAAGAATATCAGATTTTGGTCCATCAGACCACAAGACAGATTTTCCCTACAGTCCACCTTGAACAGGCTCAGGTCAGGTGGCTCAGGTGTTTCTGTATCCTGTTTCTATCTGGTCCTCTGTGCATGGTTTAGTGTGAACTTCATTTGTGGATGCAGTGATAAACTGTGTTCATAGACAATGGTTTTGAAGTTAGAGTCCTGTCTGTTCATAAAGCAGTGCTTCCCGAGGGCCATCCAGTCTTGATTTTGATCCTTGCCGTATTGTTGTTACTCCAGACGATGGCGCTCCTACCTTGTCCCTCAGACAGGGGTGTCAGATGTGTTTAAAGGTTATGAAGTCATGTTGTGTCAGATTTTGTGATTCTGTTAAACTGACTCCTTAATCTGATCTTTAGAGTCATAAAAAATATCACAAACAGAGCTGTGGATGGATTTTGGACTGCTCATGAGTTCAGATTTTCCTCTTTTTACATGGACTGTAATGAAACTCTTTAATTATCAGGGCCATCATGCTCTCTAAAATCCTGTCCAGGATTTCCAAAAGATAATCCAAAAACAGAAAAGGCATCTTTAATATTTGAGCTTTATTTTTAAACCTTTTATGACTGTCAGCAGATTTTAAAGTTTTTATACAAGCAAAATAGGGAGACTTTGAGTGATTTTAGACCTTCCAACCTCAGTATTCACAGAAACATGACAGAAAAGCTGATATCTCTATCTGAACAAGAAAGAGAAATACAGTCACTATGCATGGCTACACTGTTTCAATGTTTCCTTCAAATTTTTATTGTCTGAGGCTGTTTGAACCAGTTTGAAATCGCTCGGTGTTTTCCACAGGTCAAAGTCACATTTATTGTGGCGCTGTTTACAGTAATAAAAATCTTTGCTGGTAAGTTCAGAGTTCAGACTCGGAGACGATCAAGCTTCACAGAGTGAGTTTGAAATGCTCAAGTCTCAGCATAAGTCATATTTAACTGTATTTGATGTTTTCTTAATGTATCTGCTCTTAAATGTGACATTTTGGGTCTTTTTAATGTTTGTCCCTCTTTCTCAGGTGTGAATCTGTGAGCTGGTTCCGGATGGATGATGGCAGAGGGCACAACAAATCCGTCAGAGACCAGCGGTCTGACTAAGAAACAGGTACTCATCTAAAAACCCTTGAATAATGTTTGAAAGAGTTTTAAGACAAGAATGATATAAGAAATTTTAACTTTGTAATTTATGTAATGATGCTATGTTAGGGTCAACTCAATTTTCATATGAAGTCTATGTGTTCAGAGTGAAGTCTGCAGGATAGGAACAAACATTTGGGGCTGAAGCGGGGCACAGAAATAAATCAGAGGAGAAAGAAATGTTGTTGTTTTTTTTTTTGTTTTTTTTTTATTCATGAAGGATGTCCAGAATAAAAAGTGAGATTGAAGTCACATTTTGAAGCTCAAATTTGTCAGAAACATTTAAAATTTCCATGCTCACATTATGTAACATATTTCCTTTAGAATCTGAATGAATACAAAAGTGAAGTTTCCCTGACTAGCTTTGAGAGTTTGTGTTTATTGTCTCTGTGAAATCTGGATTTATCTCACTGATTCTTTTTTTTTTTCCTGAACACACAGGCTAAAGCTCTGGAGAGGGTTAGCATTGTGAGCTCTGAGCCGTGGCTGAAACCCAGCCTCAGTGAGTTCCAGGTGAGATATTACACATGAATACAGCATGATACATAAACATATAAGAGCATTTTAGTCTATAACTCTGTTTTTTCTGTGATTTTGCTCCCACAGGCGAAGGAGTCTGAGGAACAATTCAGCACCTGTCCACCCTGGAGCTCCTCCTCTGCAGCAAAGGTGAAAAAGAGAACATAATAAAATAAAACCAATGAATGAATGAAAGTTTAAAGATGATCTGAAGGATTTCTGTCCTTTCAGCCTGGTCTGAAGTCTGTGCAGAGTCTGTCCGAGTGTACGCAGCTGCTGCAGAAACTGTCAGAGGAGGTCAACAACCTCAGCCAGGTAACATTCAAACACCTGGATGTAGAAACACAGAGAGCAGAACAGCAGTAAGAATACAGACTAAGACTTGCTGCAAGTCAGTGGCAGGGATCCTTCAAATGTTTATCCCATTGACCTGGATATGAGATGAACCTCAGTCAAGTCAAGGTCAAGGTTATGTTGTAAACATCCTTTAAATTAAAGAATACTTTTTAAGGTCGTCAGTAGATGAAATAAAAAACAATTGAGTTAAGGAAACACATTGTTTTTATGCGAACAGGGAACAGATCTGCTGATACTAACTAGAGTAATCTGAATGGGATGAATCAATTTGAAGCTTTTCTATCTGACCTCTCATCTGAAGCCTGTTTGCTGCTTCTATAGTGGACCTACTTCTTAGTATAAATTCTCCTTACATACAAAAATGGAAGTATACATTTTAAACCATGTACTTGTCACAGCTCTCGTACTTCTATGGCTGGACAAGAACTGTTATTGTAAACACAACAGTATCATATTATACATAACAGCACTTAACAAAGAGGGTTGAATTGTGAAACCCTTAACCTAAACTGAAGGGTATAAGATTTTCATGGCAGTGAATAAATATGCAAGCTTCTCTGCTCATTCTTTGTTTACCTGCGCTGCATTGTGACGTGAATACACACCTTCCAACAGCCAAAAGCTTTGAGTGTGAGGACAATAGAAGACAGTGTAGTTATTCTCAGCACAGTGCATATTTGGTCAATGAGAGAGTCAGGGGAACACAGTGTAACATTACATGTGAGATGCATTTCTATGTGCTTCACTTCAGGGGAAGCATAGCAGTAAGAAAGCAGCACCAGCAGGAGGCAGCAGAGAGCCGGACAGCCTGGAGCGCAGCAGAAGTCTGATCCTGACATGGGCTGCAGAGCTGGATGAAAACATGGTGATCAAATGAACACTTTCTCCTTTTTCAATCTCCAGTTTTCTTTTGGAGTTTCCGAAGGAGAAATTAACCAGCAGCCTGACTGAACATGTTATTAAAAAAGATAGACCATGGTCTGTAAATGAGCGCTGAACAAACATTAGACAGTCTTAACAAACACTGATGCCTAACTTCAGGTTTGTTTGATATGTTAATGCACACTCAGTCTTTATATTGTCGTTTTTAACCAATTTGACTACATTTTATGCTGTTTATCCTCTAATGTTCATATATCAATGTTTTTCAACCTCTGGAAGTTATTTAAAATTATTATTTTATCTCTGAGACAGACGTTTGTAACATTTTAGCAGAAAAATAAAATCCTCCTCATGGTTATTTTTTGTTCTGCAGACTGCACTGTAACCTGCACTTCCTGGTCAGGTTAAACTTGTAAATTTGTGGCTTATCAAGCTTGTTAAATGTGTTTCTGATTCCAAAGGGCGTTTTTATTGTTTTAAAACCTGGAACTGCAGTTTGATAAAGCTGAAACACAGGGGCCTTTGTTGCTGTTTTACAGTGTAATAACTCTCTGTTCGTCTGCCCACTTTGATTCCAGATGAAAAAGAAAACCAAGGCGACAGACGAGAAGACAAAAAGAAAAGAAACTCGAGGACAGACCGAGAAAACAGATGTAGATAAACAGGCTGAGAGACTGCAGCGGTGGGCCGTGGAGCTGTGGGACGCCAAAGAGGTGTGTCAGTCTGTGTTTGCATGAACTACTCATGTAAATTACACTCATCACTTTTTGGTCAAATGCCATTTTTGTCCCTCTGTGCACACACATAGTTAAACTGCTACACTGTCCTGACCCCCACAATGTGATACAACATCACTGAGCTTTTGATCCACATGTTTCACTTTAAAAACTCCCAGATGGCTGACAAAGCAGACGTAATCTGCTCTTTGTGTCAATGTAAAGTAAATTATCAATAAAGTTCTCCAAGTTTGAGCGACCAGCTACAAGCTAAGCATTCAGGTGTAGCTAATTAGACTGAGGGAAGCATAAAGAAGGAAACAATATGGAGAAAAAAAAGGGGAGTGAGGTGCCAAACCCTCATATACATATAAGGGGTGTATGTGGACTGCAAGACCAGCAGAGTCCTGTTTTTATTCTCAAACCAACACACTCCTAACTGTTTTATAGAGTTACTATGGACATATAAACGGTTTTGAATGCAGGGTCATAAAAATGTTTTATAGAATAAAAAAAAAAAAGATTTTAAAGCCCCTAGTTTCCTGACAAAGATCACAAAATGTTGGGCGAAGACTTTAAGACTTTAAGATCGTAAAAGTAACATTCTGTGTGTGTGTGTGTGTGTGTGTGTGTGTGTGTGTGTGTGTGTGTGTGTGTTTGTCTGCAGGCAAACGGTGTGTCTGATGGGGAGCTGAAGAAGCTGCTGTATCCCAGAGGATCCTCCATCAAGTCAAGGGTGGCGACTATTCTGCCTCTGCTGGAGTTTGTGACCTGGTCTCTGTTAGCTGAGGACACTGAGGTCTGTCTGTGTGTGTGTGTGTGTGTGCATGTGTGTGTGTTTGGAGGTGGGGGGCTGGCTTCCTTATAATAGAATTAGTTTTGCATTAAGATATGGCATATATATTTACATTTTTAAGTTAAAAAAAGAACCTTTTAATGAAATAACTCATGCTGTAAGATGTGATAGTTCAAGTCTGGGCTCTGTGACTCTGAGATGACCTTCAGCTGAAGTCCAGATGTTACTCCTCCAGACTCTTTCAAAATGTACAACTCCAACTGAAAAAAAGTTCTGACGCTGTGAACAAAAGTGAATAAAATAGGAATTTGATGGTTGATCAAAAATAGTGCAAAGACAACGTCACGAAAAATTAAACTGACAAAGGATTTTTGCTTCTTGAAAGAAATATTAATTTCAAAATAGAAAAACTGTCCTGTGGTCTGAAAAATCAAAACCTGACATTCTTTTTGGAAATCATGGATGCTGCATCCTCCTCTCTAAAAAGTAGAGGGACCTCTCTGCTTGTTCTTAGCTGCCAAAGCCAGCATCCCTGACGGTATGGGGGTCATCAGAGTCCATGTCAGGGGTAGCTTCCACATCAGTGAAGGCTGAACAGCATATTTTTTAAATTGAATACAGGATTTAAATGATTTTCAAGCCAAATGAAACTGTTTTAACAAACATGTCATACAGGTTCTCTGGAAGCTTCTCAGTTCCAACAAAAATTGTCGTCAAAGTTAAAAATCGACAGCCTGAAGATTTTCAATGATCCAAAAACTCTAATGCATGAATAAATACTGAGACAGACTCAAAGCTTATACACCAAAAAAACATCTCTTTGAATTTATCAGCTGACAGTAAGATGGTTGTGACCCTGCAGGAGTCTGTCTCCATGATGTGGCTGACCACCAAACAAAAAGCCTGGAGGACGGCGAAGGGGAACCCCAAATATATACCTAACTCAGGTGACTCAGCTGCTACCTTCACTTCTAAATTAAATTTAAATGTCTAAAAACTAAAATATCCTGTAATGTTAGGTTACTGAATATTTGATGAAGTTATTCATAATACATAAAAGCAAAGAAACAAATGCTGCACACTGGTGATCTGATGTGTTTTTGTCTTGCAGTGTGGCAGTGGATTCAGAGCGCTGCAGGTAACCTTTATTTCCTTATTTATTACCTGAAAACAAACAGCTGTCAGGTAAAATAACATGGCACCTGCTGTTGACAGGTGTACAAACAAAACCATCATCAGAAACTGTCATAGTTTGATAAAATGTACACCTTTAACACATTTTTCTGAAGTATTTGGGTCAGGACTGATATTTTAGGGTCATGAGGCCAATGTGGAAGTCTCAACAACTGCTGTTCTCTAGGTGTCCACTAGGGGATAGGTCCTGCATTGAGTCAGTCCCCATAGAGCCTTGTGTTAAAACTCTACAGCAGAGATAAACCTGTTTACAGCCCGGAACAGAAACCTTTTGGGGCTCTGAAGCTCATTTCTCTGTTCAGGACAACTTTACAGACTGAACGTAGAGCAAACTCACTTGTTTACATCAGATTAAGAATTAAAGGGATGCAATTATGTAAATATTTAGATCATAATCGGTTGAATAAGTCAGGTGGCAGAGCTGTCGCTTCAGCCCAATTTTTGTGCCTGTAGCTAGATTGCAAAAATGTTAGCCAACATTTCCCATATGGTAATCACTATTGTTCAGCAATGGGCGATGCCACCGTTTTAAAAACTGATTGTTTAAAGCATAGACATAGTCTCAGTTTCTTGGTTTCTGATGCAGATGTTTGAAGCCCAACAACGGCAGAAAGTGGAAACACTGACTCAACTGTTAACCCAGTATGAGGCAAAGCCGTAAAAGCAGGCCTTAAACCTCTTTGCAAATGACTGCAGTGTGCCTGCCTGTCAAGTCAGCTGTACCTCTAGTTATGCAAAACTCAAAAATTCGACCCTTGCACAGTGTGTGCAAATAAAATAAAAAGCAAATTACCCAAAACTGGTCCTGTACCAAGCTGTAAAAACTTAAAGAGAACTTCAAAAGTTCTCTTTAGACTCTCTTAACTCTCTTAAGAACTTCAAAAAGAGGTCACACTTTATGTTGATGGTGTTGTTTGTCTGATGGGACAGGAAAAATGATATAAACTTCAGTCTATTTCATAATAAGATTAAAATCTGTCACATAAATGGTATGGAGACTGTCTCACTTCCATCACCTCAAATGATCCTCCCCTCTTTGGCTTCCAGTGTCCATCAGGTTTGACGTCAGCTCCTGTCACCCCTCGCTCCTGGTGTCCTCAGACCGGCTGCAGGTCTGCGAGGCAGCCACTCCCATCTCTGCTCCCTTACACTCTCAGACTTGCTCTGATTGGCCATGTGTCCTGGGAGACGCCGTCATCACTACAGGGAGACACTACTGGGAAGTGGAGATTTCTCCTAACAGCAGCTGGAGGACAGGTGTGATGTCCCCGTCTGCCCTAAAGAAAAAGAAGAGGCCCTCTGTGTCCCCCAGAGGAGGATTCTGGACCCTGTGGAAGGCATCCAGTTTCTGGGCCTGTACCGACGAGCCCATTAACCTGCAGATGGCGTCTGTGCCGGGAAGGCTGGGGGTGTATGTGGACATGGGGGAGGGTCAGGTGTCCTTTTTTGATGTGGATCGGAGGGTGCACATTTACACTTTCTCTGACACGTTCAAACATGGTTTGATCCCTGTGTTTGGATGGCTGGATGAAAAAACGCTGCTGAAGATCAGACCTGCAGTCCTGTCAGTCCCTGCTCAGGGAAATCAAACATAGGAAACCCTGAGCTCTCTGAAGATCCAGATTTAATGATAGAATTCACTGTCACTACTGAAGAGGATATCCCATGTCAATTATTGTTGTATCTTTTGAATATCTGCATCTTCCAGTGTATCCACTTTAGTATAAAATATGAGAAATGACACCAAACTGTGTTTTAATTGTTACTGACAACAATAAAGTTTGGACGATGTTGATCAAAAGGATTTCAATTGTCTGCAAATTATTTACAGAATATATTAAACAAGTGCAAAAAAGAGTATAACAAATGATGAAACTAATTTATTGTTTTGGCATGATTGCTAAAGTTGATATTGAGGAACATGGAGTAAAAACTTTATCGCAAGGACCAACAGGCCCTCAGGCAGCTCTGCATTAAAAACAGACATGACTCTTGACTGGAAATCCATGCATAGGTTTAAAAGCACTTTAAAAGCCATTGTCTGTGAACACAGTTCAATGAGGTTCAAACAGAACCACGCAAAGAGGAAACCAGAATGAAACAGAATCCAGAAACACCAGAGACTTCTCTGGACCTGAGCCTGTTTAAGGTGGACTGACATCTGTCACTCTGTTTTTGTCCCTAGAAGACCTATGGTTTGAAATATTTTTATCATCACAAATATGTTTCATGGTTTAACTTGTAGTTCTGGACCATTTCTACTTCAGCATAGACTTCAATGATTTAAAACCATCAAGTTCTCTTTCATAGAAACATTTCACACACGGTTTGTGTAATCAGAGTTACCAACTGTATGGTAACATTATCCCAATTTATATTAGAACCGGTAGCCTTCTATAACTTTTAATGCTTTTTAACATTATTTTCAAATTCCCCGGTGTAATGAGGGAATAAGTATATTATCTATTTTTTCTTCGCGACATCATATTTAACGTTTGATATTTGTGGAGCAATCGGAACGTTTGTGCCGTACTATGCGCTAGTGGGACTCTTTATCAGTTGCACATTGAACAGCAACGTCACTCCTCCTTTTCACAATGGCGGAGGAAGCAACCCTGGTTGAAGGGTCACCATTTATGGAGCTTTTTAAAGGATTTTTATTAACTTATTTACTGCCAGAATCCTGTTACGATGAATTCTTCCTGAAGTTCAACTTTCTGGACGGTAAGAGAAACATTTTAAACCGGAAACAGCTGACTGAGTGTCCATCGTTCAAAATCATTCATAATAAACCGGCTTTTTGTGTTTTATTTATTATCTCACATTTTTGTGATTAAAGAGTTTTTAGAGGTAAAAGGGAAGCAAAATAATAATTTAAAAAATAATAAAAAAGGTTGTTTATTTTCTATGACTGACAGACAAATGTAGTTTTAATCAGTGCTGTAATAAACTGAAATCAGTTAAAAATAAAATTACAACTATTTAATTCAATATAATTTAATCATGTGTTTTTCAATTCGGACTTTATTTAATAATAATTATTATTATTATTATTGTTATTAGTATTATTATTATTTATTTCGATTTACTTATTTCGATTTTTTTTTTTTTTGTAAATCAATATTATTATTATTTTGTCTCCACACAGAGAATGGAGATCTATTATTCTAATATAATCTCCTTTATACATACAGACTTTAACAATTTTGTCATGTTTTTTGATATTTACCAATTAAGTCAGTAAACCTTTTAGATATAATTGTTAAAAACACTTTGATATTTTGGGGTTGGACAAAATATTGATTAGGCATTAAATAAAGTGTTGTGTGTTTTTGTGATAGATTTATAATATTGCTTTTTCTAAAAATTATTGAGATAAAAAATTATACAGCTTGTTGAGCAAAAAAGTCAAATACAACATCTTTTCTGTTAATAGTGGGAAAAACAGGAAAGCATAAAGCTTCTTCTGTGCTGTGTCTTCTTTAAAAGTTCAGATATTTGTGAATTTGCACTTTAACAAAAGCTGCATCAGCTGTTAATCTGTGTTTTTATGTTTGTGTTTAATTTTCAGTGCCATGTCTGAAGATTGTTGTGAGCAAAGGTCTGGGCATCGGCATCATCCTGGGATCAGTGATGGGTAAAACACCTGAACTCTGCCTCTCTTACTCTCTGTTTCTGTAAGCTGCTCCTCCTCCCCCTCTCCCTCCTTCATCCAGGTTGTGGTTATCCAGGTCCTCATTGAAAGGGGAACTGAACTGAGGTGCAACGTCTTCAAGAACCTCAGACAAGTCCAGTTCCCCTTTCAAGGAAGAATTGGACTCTGATAAGGAATGTGTAGGAGGCTGGATTTGATTTAATATGTGAACGTCACAAAAATAAAAACATTTCTGTCCAGGGTAGCGACTGTTCTGCCTCTGCTAGAGTTTGTGACCTGGTCTCTGTTAGCCGAGGCCACTGAGATCTTTGTGTTTGTCTGTGTGTGTTTCAGTGAAGCTGCCTCAGATCTTGAAGCTAATGGGAGCAAAGAGCGCTGAGGGTCTGAGCTTTAAGTCCGTGCTGCTGGAGCTGCTCGCCATCACTGGAACCATGGCGTACAGCATCGCAAACAAGTTCCCCTTCAGGTCTCAAGCACAATCACAATGTCGTAATCTGTGTGTTTCAGTTGTTTCAAATGTTGAGTGATTTTGTAACGTGCTGTCTCTTCCACAGTGCGTGGGGCGAGGCGCTCTTCCTCATGCTGCAGACCGTCACTATCGGCTTCCTTATTCAGCACTACGGAGGGCGAACGAAAGGAGGTGAGGGAGTGTTTGCAGTAAAAGATTTCATCACTGATGGACTGGAAATGATCAACTCACGAAAAACTCTTCAGATGCAGCAACTTGTTCTTTTAGAGGTCAGAAATACAGAACAAGACCAAAAAAAAGCAACAACCACAAAGTCAAACCAACAACAAACTCAACAGACAGCATCAGAAAAACAGGAAAGAGGTAGTTACAACCTCAGAATATTAAAGACAAAGGAGCCAATAAAGGAAGAGAAAAGTGAAGCTTCACTGAAAACATCGGCAGTTTGTTGAAAAATGAGGAAATAAAACTTTTTTTCTTAATTTACATTTTAGGCAACACAAGACAGCACCACAAATTACAATCTCACGACTACACGGGACAGAAAAATAATAATAAATAAATAATAAATAATAAATAATAATAATAATAATAATAAATCAATAATAATAAAACAGTAAATCAAAACAAAGGAAATCCCTACAATGATAGTTACGACAACACACCCTGTCACATAGATTTTCCATTTGGCTGGTAATTAATTTGTTGTGAATTGGTGCTGTATATATGAAAGTTGATTGAATTCTTAACTATCTATGCACTGTTTGGTGGGTAAATGATAAGATCATTCTCTTGGCAGCTAAAAAAGCTATGCCAACTGTTTTCCTTTCCTGTTTGGTTTTCAGCTGTTTATCCCTCTGACCCAACAGACATAACGCTGGACATGGCGAAATATTGACATTAACAATCTTTGAAATCAACTTGCAAACTTCTTTCCAAAACAAATTAACAGCAGGGCAGAAGCACATCATATTGGGAAATAAAACATTTAAATCAAGGAAACGATGAGAAAGAGTAAATGTTTATATATAAATCATCCCCTCAGAGGGAGCACTAGGTACAAAAACTTTTTACCAATTTTCTGATTCTGAGACAGAGAGGCTCATAAAAAAGAAACAGGGACTGAAACCAAAACCCACCACAGGATCCATCTGGATTAATCCTCAGTGCATCATATTTGTGTTTATCAGCACTGTTTGGTTAAATGTGTTCCTGGTCGTGTATTTTGCTCTGGTGGTCCTCCTGCTCTCTCCCGTCACCCTCCATGACCGTGGTCACTTACATGCAGGTCCTCCAACATGATGCATGCTTCACGGTGCATTGATGTACATGGACAGTGGTGCCAGAAACATGATCAGTTTTTTTCTGTATGGGACCTGAGCCCCCCTGCTGTAGACTGTTTAACTGGATCAGGACATTTATAAAACAAAAGATAATAAATGCAGAGCTAAATTCTTCTTAAGCTGTGGGGCCTTTAACTCACCGTCTGGTGACCGGTAAAGCTTTGTGCAGGTGTTTTTTACTGTGTGACCTGCATCAATGCAACAACCAGGACACCCTGCGTTGTATTTTTCACACAGGTGCTGTTTAATGTATGAAAAGTCTTTCCACTCTGTGAGCTTGTTTCACTGCAGCAGCTGCAGAAAAAAACAACATATTTCCAAAATGCAGAAAATAATTCTTGATGCCGTTTAGAAAAAGTTAGTTTTAAATGAGATTAAAGTAAAACAAATATTAAAACAGGATCCATCTGAAATCCTCAGTCATCATATTTGTGTTTACAGGTGTTTTGTTCCTGGTCGTGTATTTTGCTCTGGTGGTCCTCCTGCTCTCTCCCGTCACCCCCATGACTGTGGTCACTTACATGCAGGCCTCCAACATGCCCGCCATCATCATCGGCAGGGTAACGCTCACAAACGCACAACACAGATAAAGAAACACAATGTTTAGAGCTGTCCAGGATTCAGGAATCAGGATTAATTAAAAGAAAACCCAGAAAAAGAAATGAAGAACTCCTGCTGAACAATCAGTGTGTGTGTTTGTTTGTCTCAGCTGATCCAGGCAGCGGCGAACTTCAGAAATGGACACACTGGTCAGCTGTCGGCCATCTCTGTCTTCCTGCTGTTTGCTGGATCCCTGGCTCGTATCTTCACCTCCCTGCAGGTAACTCTGTTTTAAAACATCAAAGATTTTTTCATATTGGACATTTAAAATCCACCACAAGCTTGTCTTTGCCTGTTAGAAATACTTAATTTAAGATTGTTTGTGTCGTTTTAGGAAACTGGAGACACCCTGATGGCCCTCACGTACGTTATATCGTCGTCCTGTAACGGCATCATCGCCCTGCAGGTTCTGTACTACTGGAACAGTTCACCAGAGCGCAAGAAGAAGAAGAAAAAGAAGAAGGAGTAAGACTACAGGACTGCGGGACTGCAGGACGACGGGACTGTAGAACTGTTCAATCTTAGAGCAACTCTTTTTCTGTCTGTATCGAATCTCAGACTCTCAGGCGTCTGTGAACCTGACAGTGGAGTGAGATGAGCTGCATGTAGAGAGACTGAAGCTGTGAACGTCCACCATCAGTTTGCTGTTTTTATAAGCGGGTCCAGTTTTTTTTGTGTTTACATTCCTCTAAGTTCACATCATCTCATTCCAGCCTGAATATCTGAAGCCGTTTTTGTGCTCTGAGCTGTCGAGTCTCCTCGTCCAGGTTGTTTTTGTTTCTGAGCGGTGGTAATCCGTTCCAAACTCTAAGACGTGTTTAAAATGAATTATTTCTCATAAACATGATTCCACATTCAGCTCTCAAGTTTTTGTTTATTAGCTCTGCCCATAACACTATCAACAGAACCATTAAATTCATTTTCAATATGTGATAAATATTTCTGCTGCTTTGTAATTTCCATGTAAAAACTCTGTAACTTTCCCCAAAATCATTTTACCAAATCAGGCACAAAGAGACAAAGTTGATCAGTTTCTGCATCATAAACACATTTAGGTGAAATTTGCACTAAAATAAAATCTTTAAATAACAGCCAAAAAAGGGGCACAACCTCCACAAAACTTACATTTTTTTGTAAATGACTTTTCACGGAATCAATTGTAGCATATTTTGCAGATGCAATAATGTTTTTTTATCACCTAGAAATGATATTTTTAGATAAGAGGGTGGAGTCTGGAGGAAATTCCAATAGATCAGCTCTTCATCTATATTATTCTATAATATAAATGATATAGTCATTATGACTATAATATAGATGACTGAAGTCATCATAACTATTGACTATAATATACTATAGTGATAATGACCATATCACTATAATATAGATGACTGTAGTAGACTATAATATAGTCATCATGATGACTATAATAAAGGTAGTCTATTATAATACTAGTCATCTATAATATAGCTGACTTCTACTATAGTCATCTATATTGTAGTCTTCATCACTATAGTATATTTTAGTCGTCATCATCACTATAGTACATTATAGTCATCTATATTATGGGTATCACTTCTTTAGTTTCCTAGACTTGGTCCCTTCAAAACCTCAGCAACCTCTGACTTCCAGCCTCATAACCTAACCTTCTACACTTGGGGATGAGCTTTGCGCCCTTTTATCTAGGTACTTTGGCTCCTGGACTTCAAAATTTGTGCTGGATAAGGTTTGAACCCACAACCCCCAGTGTCCCAGTCAGTCTCCTCATCCTCTGAGCGATGTGAACACACAGGAGAATCCCAGGTTTTTTTTCCTATGTCACTGTTCTTTCTAGACAACTAGACAACAGACTTTAAAATTCACCTTGACCTGGGTAAGGTTAGGCTCGAAACCCACAACCTCAGGAGTCCCAGTCAGTGTTCTTAACCTCTGAGTCATGTGGACACACAGGTGTATTCTGTCTGTTTTGTTTTGTTGTTGACTCAGCTCTTCAGGGTCTTTGTAAAGTAGTTTTGGCTAAAGGGTCTAGGAAGGTGGTATGAAAGCAACTTGACAGACTGCTGTTTTCCCAGAAGTGAATATTTTTATTTACAGTCAAGTCCACATGTATAGTTTCCATTTAAAAAAGTACAAACCTTCCTAAGATCAAACAAAATGAGTCTCAAATGAGATTACACAAGGACACATCTTCCTCCCTTGGGAGCAATTCTCTCTTTTTATAGGCAGCTCAATCTCCAATCCACCTATCGGCTGTCAATCGTCCTCTTCACAGTCTATGCTCTCAAGAGAGGGAGCAACACTGCCGCCAAGTGGATGGGAGAGGTGGTGTTCTCCTCATATGTGAAAATCCTCAACTAGTGTGTGCATATCTTAAAAACTGTGTGAGGTTGATCCACAAACACATTTTTTAACAATTCACAAGCAGATTTGAAGATTTACAAATGATAAGTTATAATAAAATGCACACATATACTTAAAAAACTAATGTGAAAATCATGGAAATATTATTGTGGATCTGATAATCACATTTGGAATGTGGATATTTATTTATGCATAATTTTGAGACAAATCTCTCTCCATATCTTTTCACTGACTGATCAGAGACTGAGGGTGAAGCTGTGGAGATACATGGAGACTCCTCTGTAGGTGGAACTACCTCTTTAATAACTCGTTAAGTGTCTCTGGTAATTAATCTTTGACATTTAACTGTTTCTTTATTAATGATTAAAGAGGAGTGCCTGAACTGATGAGTAGTGAGTGCAGGGTAGCTCACTGCTGTATGGTGGCCTAGAAGGTAAAGTGCAATAAGACTTAAAAAAAAATAAATGAACAAATAATCAAGAAGGTGCCAAAATGATTCATAATATGTAGAAACATTTCCAGAAACACTTTTCTGGAAAAACACACAAAATAAAAATAAAAATCATTTCTCAGAACACACACACAAAAAAGTAGCATTTATTACTGAAGAATTTCATAAATCAATCAAAAATATTTCATTTACAGTAAAAACATTTTAACATATTCAAACACATTCTGCTTTTTATAAAAACATGTAATATGAAATATTTCACAGAACAGGAAAAAAAGAAAATCAAGAAAAAGACATTACAGAAAAACAAAAAATATGAAATTCTACATTTTTCCCAAAACAAAAAACAGCCCAAAGGAATGAAACAAAAAAGTAACAAAACATCAACATGTAAAACAACAAAGTTTTATAATTGATTAAATAACAAAAACTGTTTCTTCTTGGACCAGAAACAGTTTCTTTTCAGATTGCTGAAAAATGTTTCAAACATTTCCACTCAGTTCAAGTTGTTGTTCTGCTGCTAAATCAGCCCCCACACCTTGTTACTCCTCCCACACACACCTTTTCACCTGGTGAGCCTCTCCCTTACCTTTACACACGCACACAGGTGCCTCCTCCCAACCTCCTCACCTCATTAGACTCACCTGTCAGTCAGCTCTCAGGGCTCAGTAAACACTTTCCTCCCCCTGCAGCAGCAGCAGCAGGTAGAAGCTGCTGACAGACCTGACAGAGGGCTGACATGGTGGTCTGACTGAAGACGGGCTCAGATTTAAACCCCTCACACTTTATTTTAGCTTTAAAACACCTGAATCACAGCAGGTTCAGGTGCGTCAGGTGAGGTCTTAAAGCGCAGTTCTCCTGAGCAGAACTGTGTTTGGATAAAAGCTTGTTCCTCCTCCTCTTCCTCCTCCTCTTCTTCTTCTGTGGTGGATGTGTTTTGTTCCCCTGGCAGACTAAACATGGATCTTTATCACACCTTTAGAACCAGTCTGCCTGGCTCTGTGCGTGTGTGTGGCCTCACGGTCCCACCCTGACTTTGCATGCCAGCGGCTGCACGGCATGACGCTGACTCACACACACACACACACACACACACACACACAGGCCATCTCATGTTGAGCGTGTCGTACACTACAACTGAAGAGGAAAACTGCCAGAACAACAACCACCCACATGTTCATCTGCACGCCAGTGAACACACACACCTGTCGAGGAGGAAGTGATTTCCCTGTAAGGTATGCACAAAGTCACCTTTCCCTCCTCTCCATCCTCTCTCTGTCAGTGTCATTAACTTTGAATCATCATGTCCCATTTGAATCACTAATACACTCTTTACTGGGAGTCTCTGAGCTCCATAAAGGTTCCTCTGTCCATCTCTTTCTTTCTCCATCTCCCTCTTTCTCCTCTCTAAACCCAGCTCAGTCTCAGCAGATGACTGTCTAACATGAGTCTGGTTTTACACAAGGTTTCTGCCTGTTAAAGGAAGTTACTCTTCTCCACTGTGACTTGATCATGTTAAATATTTTGTCAATGTTTAGATGACAAATTAAATAAAACTAAGGAGAGACAACAAAACAAGATCAACACATAAATTCAAAAACTTTACCAATAAACACATTAAGTTACAGTCATCGTCCATTTCTAACATTAAAGGGATATTCCGGCGTAAAATTAATTTAAGGTCAAACACACCGTAACACTGAGTTAGACACCCCCTCGAGAGATGAATGTTCCCGACCGCTTGCTTCTCTAGTTATCCCAACTTTAGTAATGATCGCACGATAGCAGTACACAGCGGTCAGAGGAGCCTAAAAAAAACCTCAACCAAAAAGCCACTCTATAGACACAAATAATGCTCAGAACAGCACCTAACTCATTTCTTAATGTGCAATGCAATCAGACCGAGACACGAAGGCAGAAGAACTACCGCGTCTTTAGTGCAAAATGATTAATATGGTGATTATTACTTCAAGGAAATGATAAAGAAATCATCATAAATGTTCTTCCTTGAGCTGTGTCACCCCACAGCAGTCCGTAATGGACTGGCCTGACATCTCGCTCCAAACAAGCGGCTGCTGGAAGAGAGTAGGTGAGTTGTGTTTGGACTCTTTATTAAAGAAATTAGGCAAAGTTAAAAAGATGTTTGGTGGCTAGTACTTTGGCTGGGACCCTGTATGTACTGTTGATGAAGTTAGGTGCTGTTCTGAGCATTATTTGTGGCTATTTGGTTGAGGTTTGTTTATGGCTCCTGAGACACGCTGTGTATTGCTATCATGTGGTCGTTACTAAAGTTGGTATAACTAGAGAAGCAAGCAGTCGGCAACATTCATCTCTCGAGGGGTGGGTGACAAACTAGGTGTGTTTGACCCTAAATTAATTTTACCCTGGAATATCCCTTTAAAGTTTATGATTTATCCACATCAGCAGACTGAAACTTCTCTGGAGATGATATTACCTCATCAAACTATTCTTTGTTCGACTTTTATTTTGAATTATCAGCTATCCAGTAGCTGGTTAGTTACTGAGCTAGTGAAAACAGTTGAAGAAAAGCTGTAAGATCTAAATATTGAGTTGATTAGTGTCCTGCAGAGACTCTGACGTTGTTTTTGATTCATAATAATAATTCATCATAATAATAAATCTTTAATCTCAGTTTATTAAAGAGTCTGATCTTCTCTCAGAGGGAAGCTAGCTCTCTAACAGCTGCTGCTTCTTCTTCATCTCTCTTCCTTTTTAAAGACCTGTGACAGTTACCAATCAGCTCACACAGTTTCTGTATGATTATTTAAAGCAATGTCAGTGCTTTGAAAACAGTAATCATCAGTATTGGTGTAGAGATGTGTTATGTGTGCATATATCGGTCTTTCTCCATCAGATACTCTCCTGGTTTTAAGACTGAGCTGTAGCGTTTCTCTGACTGTTTGCAGAGCTCCTGCACTCTCTCTCCTCTGTTGGTGTTGATTTAATTCCTGATTCCTCCTCTTTCTTGGAGGAATGTTCATTGAAGAAAAGAGACAACAGCAGCAGCTGAATGAGAGTCTGACCTGCAGAGAGACGAGGAGAATAAACAAAGTTTATCAAAACACCAGAGGAGGTTCAGACCTGCAGAAACACAGAGGCTACGCTTTACACCAAGGGTCTACAAATTAATATTCACTCTGAAATACAAGCAGCACCTGAAACACACACACACACTCACACACACACAAACACACACACTCGGCTCTTTGTGCAGACTTGAAGTCACTCCTCTCCTCCATGGAAACCACTTGTTGAAGCCTCACTGCTCGTTGCTAAGTGACAGGATGTATTGGACCAGAAAATCCTTTCATTGACACCCTCCTCCCCCTCCTCCTATCCCCCCTCCTTCTCCTCCCCCTTCATCCCCCCATACTCCCCCCCATCTTCACCCCCCCACCCTCGGACCGCAGCCAAAACAACCCTCACATACATGCTGCGACTTCTGCTGCTGCACACGGAGAGACGGTTTGTTTGGTTCTCAGCCAGAAACACAGAAAGAGGTTAAAGGCTATTTTAACTTTTTAGCATGAAAACAAGTTCCCTTTACTCCGTTTGTCTCCGTTTACGGCTTTATTTTAGTCCACTTACAACTCAACTTCATTTATAAAGCACCTGACGCTCACTCAAGCTGTTCAAGAGTTTCTCGAGTCAAGAATAAAAGAGTTTAGAGAAAATTAAACATTTTAAAAAGTTTAAAACACTTACGTAAAGTAGATATAATTAAAGGGATTAAATATTTAATCAAAATCTGCTAAACAAAGATTTTCATTTCTGCTTAAATCCTTCTATTTTGTAAATATGTAAAAATTTTCCTCCTGCATTTATTCCCAACTTTTTTTTACAGTCTCTTTGTTTCTTGAATCCTTGGGAGAGTTTAAATTAGTCTCTGATGGACATTCAGGGATCCTTGAGGGGTCCTGGAAAGTTCCTGGAGTTGTCCTGGAGATTTAATTGCTCTGGAGAAGAGGAGGGATGATTAAGTCGGTCATTTTTGTTTAAATCTTTGACTCAATAATGCCCACAGAAAAAGACAGATTTCACGTTTTCCTGTTAAGACTGAACTGAAAAGCTTTGTTTTCAAAAACTCCAAGGACTAAACTTGTATTCCAGATTGTAATCAAACATGAAAGTGAACCTCTGTAGTAATCAGTCTCCTTCTCTTTTTTCCATGTTTTCATTTATTTACATTATTAAGTGAAAATCTGTGAGCAGAAAACTTACTCTGTCAGACCTTAAGTAAGTTTTTAAGGGGGTCCTGGAGCTTTAATTCATTACAGGACGAGGAGGAGGGTACAAAACTTAACAACAACAATCAAAAATGTATGTAAGTTTGAGACATTTTAGAAAAGTGTTGCAGAAATCTGTCCAAAATCTTTGAACTCACATCAGTTAAAATTTATTTTTCGTCTGTTTTGAGGTTTTCATTATTATTTTTTTGCTATGTAACGAACGAAACAGAAAACTCCAAACAGAAAAAAGAGAAAGAAGTGGATTCAGCCTTTGATTTTATTAGCAGTACTTTAGATATATACAATTCTTTAAAAAAAAAAAAAACTTTAACATCAGGAGTACTACAAATGTTTTCAAATGTTAGACTGCATTTCAGGGAAAAGTCTTTAAAGGACCAGGAGCTACGGTAGCCCTGAAGGTCAACTGTACAATCATTTCCATTAATCACAAAACCTATTGAAGATTTTATGGAGCTTAAATATATTGTTAAACACAAACAAACAAAAAATTAAACTATACAAAAAGCAAAAAAACTCTAAAGACCAAACCTCATATCAAATGTAGAAATATTGGGTGAAATTCAAAAATATTTAAGAACAAAAATGTTTCAAAACATCTAAAAATGAACAAAAAAGCCTCTCCAATTAACTCAACCAAAACATCAAGTTTATCAGGTTAAAACCCAAAGGCTAAAATGTTGAACAAACCAAAAACTATTTAAGACTAAATTTTACAAAAATCAAATGCTGGATTGAATTTGAATACATCTAAATAAATGCAAAAAATACTTCATGTTGTTCAAAAGTACTTGACCAAATATTATAAAAACTTGCATGAAAAAAAATATTTATTGAAATGAAACTAAGGACATTTTTTATAAAAATATATAATAATTGTATGAATTGACCTAAAAAATGTATCATAACTTCCTGGGAAAAAAATGTGGGTCTGAAGTGCTGCATCATTTTTTAATTTACTTTTGAGGTTTGTTCGATTGGTTTTACATTTCATAAAAATTCATGCTACAATTCTATTAGGACACAATACAGGCAGTATTTTGTGTCTCGTGAAATGTTTTTGTGTTTCATGGAATGTTTAGTTGACCTGCGGGGCCACCGTAGCTCAAAATAATCTGTAACTTTATTTTTGCACTTGTTCAGAGTTTTAAAAAGTTCTTCAGTCTGTTGTGTTCCAGGAGGTGTCCTGGTTATCAGGATATATTATCAGGATACTTGTAAAGTCTTGCAGGAGGGTTCATAAACTTGAATCCTTGAATCTTTCTAGAGGTTTTAATTCACCTGAGGAGGGAAAGGAGGAGGAGGATGAAGAAGATCAGGAGGATGAATATGATGAAGAGGAGGAATGACTCAGCTTAGGATTTTAAAACTCAGTGAACATGTTTTATTCATGTGCTCATTCACTCCTCTAATTTCTCTTTCTCCTGGAAACACCTCATTTCCATTCACTTCTTTGTGATCTGAAAATCAGTGAGCAGAAAACTTTCTCCAGACTTCCAGGTGGTCCTTGAGGAGGTCCTTGAATCCATCCTGGAGAAAGGTTTTACTGCATTAAATCAGTCACTGTACAGACAAGTTTCCAGAAGTAGTGAACCAACTTAAATGAAATTAAACTCACCCTGAGGAGCTCCTGTCTCCCCCCTCGCATCTGCTCTCCTCCCTCCTTCCTCCCCCTCGCTCCCCCTCCTCTCAGTGACCGATTAGCCGGTGCGGGCTTCTCTCACATTTCCATGAGAAAGCCGGCGGTCGGTGAAAGGGTTAAGCCCGGGGACGAAGCCCCCAGAAAGCAGCCCTAATTTTCTGCCCGGCGGGGGGGAGGGGGAAGTGGGGTGAGGGAACAAAGCGGCCCGGGGGAGGAGCGGAGACTCCGGCTTTACTATATGCACCTGCGGCCTGAAAAGAAGTGCACAATGCGCCTCCGACACGGCCAATTACGAGCGGCCATCCACCCGCTTTCTGTGCGGGGAGACGAGGGGGGAGGAGGGGGAGTGGGGAGTGAAAGGGAGGGGGAGGGGGAGAGGAGAAAGTGAATTTTTAAAGAGAGGAAAGATAAGAAAGTAAATAATCGAGCTTTAAATCATCCCAGCCTCTAAAGACAACCCCCCCACCTTTAAATGTGTGAAAGACCCCCGCGTTCAGAGGACAGGGTGACAGGGTGAGAGAGAGAGGGGGGAGGTCGGTGTGTTGATGACGGACTGTCAGACTGACTTCATACCATCAACAGGAGGGATGACATCACTCAGAAACAGCTGATTATAACAGATTATGATGAAGATGATCATCAGCTGAGGAAGAGGGGGGACTCAGACTCTAAGTCCACCAATGAGCACCTAAAGATGTTTCATGTTCAACCGTCTTAATTAAACAAATATGTTAATAAGAGTCTGTGAGTTATTCTTAAAGGGTCATTCCACAGATTTTTTTAACGTTGTATTTACAAATTCATCAGTTCAAAGCAACAGAACCAAAGATTTCTAATGATCTGCATGTCACTTTAGTTTTGTCATAAATCCACGTGGCTGCTATAAACTGGTGCATTGAAGAAGTGCAGATTTCTCAAATCTGAAATATAACCGCAGGTTTCCCCATGATAAAGCACCAAACCACTCCTTTAATGTGTTTCTTTATTTATTATAACATTCGTTTTTTCTAAGTGGAGGAAACTCAAACTCACACCTGTTGAACCAAATTATAATCCCAGTTGAGGGACTGTTTTCCATGTGGATATAAAAGAATAAAAAATAGAATCTGATGGTTTGCAAAACTTTTAGTGTTTATGTTTAAATCCAAATAGAGCAAAGACAGCATGGTAAACAAATACTCAAAATGTCATTCATGAGAAATCTGCTCACTTCAAATTTGATGTCAGCAATATGTCTGTAAAAGTTGTTACAGAGGCCATTTTATCTGCAGGACTCTTCTACTACAGAGCCATGCTGTTGTAATCCGTGATGTTAGAATGTGGTTTGTCATTGTATTACTGAAATATGAAGACCTTCCCTGAAAAAGTCATTGTCTGGATGGCAGCAGATGTTGCTCCTCAACCTGTAGATGTTGTTCAGCTTTCACAGATGTGGAAGCTACCTATGACATGGACTCTGATGATCCCCATACTATCAGGTATGCTGGCTTTGGACTGGGAGCTGAGAACAAGCCAGGTGGTCCCTCTACTCCTTAGGGAGGAGGATGCAGTGTCCATGATTTCCAAAAAGGAAGTCAGATTTTGATTGTCATGAGCACAAGGCAGTTTTCCTTTTTCCCTCAGTCCACCTTAAATGGACCCACATCCAGAGAAGTCTCTGGTGTTTCTGGATTCTGTTTCTATCTGGTTTCCTCTTTTCATGGTTCCGTTTTGACCTCATTTGTGGACGAAGTGAGGAATTGTGTTCACTGTCAATTGTTTTTTCAGTGATTTAGAGCCCATGCAATGATTTCTACTCCAGAGTCCTGTTTGTTTTTAATGCAGAGCTGCCTGAGGGCCGAAAGATCAGGACTATCCAGTCTTGGTTTTGATCCTTGTCCTCTGTACAGAGATTTCACTACATTCTCTGAATCTTTTAATGATATTATGTTCTGCAGATGATGAAATCCACTCATTCTTTCACATCTGACACTCAGGAACATTATTCTGAAACTGGTGAACTTTTAGCTCACACAGTCTCTCACAGTTTGGTGAACCTCTTCCCATCTTTCCTTCTGAAAGACTAAGCCTCTCTGAATGTCCTTTTTATACCCAGTCATGTTTCTATCCTGTTGGAATTGAACCTCATTAGTTGAAGATCTTCCTCCAGCTTTTTTTTTTTTTAGCATCACAACTTTTTACCTGGTTGGTTGTTCCTCTATAGCATCTTTTTACCTGGTTGGTTGTTCCTCTATAGCATCTTTTTACCTGTTGTCCAACTACAACAACTTTTTACGAGTTTGGTTGTTCCTTTAATGAACTTTTGAATGTATAGCTGACACCAAATTTGAAGCAACAGATTTTCTTAATGAAAAATGAAAATACTTCTGTTTTAAAAAAAATTAAAACTAATTTAATGGTACGAATCTTTCTAATGATTTGCAAACCATCAGATTCTGTTATAAATCAACCGTTTATACAGCGTCCTGACTCTGACAGCACAGAGGTCATATGTTCCCCATACTTCAACATCAAACATAAATCAGTCTCATCTGTATAAATGGATGATATCAGAGCATCATCTGTAAATGAAATGAAGTTTTTAAAGCTCCCAAACATCTAATCACAAGGTCTCAATGAAAAAGGATTTGTACTTTTTATTAATATTGTCATGTACTCCATAACAAAGATTTTTTTAATCAAAAAAGGAGTCAGAGACTCTTAGTATAAGAGCCTAAAATGTGTACATTATTTACAGGAATGCTTCATACAGTAACTCTAGTACATGGCAGCATTTACAGACAAGGATTCATCCTAAAAATAGAGATACAAAAGTCAGTATAAAAGTTTAGTTCTCAAATGTAAACATTCACACGTTACTTTAATAAAAAAATCCCTTTTAAAAAATAAAATTGTGTCTGTGCACGTTTGGTTAGTAAAAAGGTTTCAAATTTACAGGGTAGGCTGGTATTTTAAATCTGGACCACAGTTTACATGTTCTCACATTTAAGGACCAAAAGTTTAGATAAGAGAGTTTCATCCTGCAGCAGCTTAACAGGCTGTTATGGGAGGTTTTTCTGTTTACGGTGGCCCTGAAGGTCATCTGCACAGACATTTCATGACCACAAAAACACCACAAATTATAACACTTTTTGTGATTAAATATTTTTGAAATACTTTAATATCCAAGTAATTGTGTGTCTAACGAAACATCATACCTTTGCAATGTTTTCAAAATATTTTTGATTTTCTGAAAAATATTTTTGATTCATTTTACATTTCCGTACTTTAAGAAAGATTGGATATATTTTTTTTTTTAAATTAAATAGTTTTGAGTTTGATATTCCTTTCATGATAAGATGTTTTATGTCTATGTTGTAAAATGTTTCATGAAATATTTTGGATTTATGATTTTTTTTTTATTCATGATTATTTGATATTAGAAATTTTTTTTAAATGTCTGCTTTTCGTTGAAAATTTCTGATTAGGTCAAATGTTTTTGTGTGAAATAATGTCCATTTTTATGAAATGTTTAGAGTCAACCTATTTGTTCTGTGTTTGCTGATATGTTTTACAATGTTGGTCCCATTTTCTCGGACTACGCTGCGTTTGTGCAGTTGACCTTTAGGGCCACCGTACCTGTGAGCCTTAGATTGTTGTTCAAAGAGCCAGACATCATTACAGATAGGATCCAGAAGAAATGTCATTCTTTGTTTGACAAGAAACAGACCTGACATTGCGTTTGTCAAATCCACCAGACCCCATTTACAAAAACCTCACAGGTCATGAGGAGCTGCTGCTCGACTCTTGCCTCCACGGGTTTGTGTTGTTAAATTTGAGTGTTTTTAATAGATAGTTTTAATCAAACACAACCTTTGTCTGTGGAGTCCTCTCTGTACAGCCATCAGACACTTCTGAAAAACAGTCTGAGCTCATTAGTGTCAAAAACAAGAACTTTTAGTGGATGAACTTTTATTGTGTTTCAGCTGTTTGAGCCGGATTCACTGCTGCAGGATGAATAAATCCACAAGAGCCATTTCAAAAATAAATTGAACTTTTGAGTACTTAAGAGCAAAAATACAGGCACAGGTTTAAAAATACCAGAATAGCCCTTTAAATCTGTCTGAATGTGGTACATTATTCAGTTTTTGTAGGTCCATAGCAGCACTAACAACCAGACTAACAGCAGACCAGTCAGTCTGAGAGACATCAGAACCACAGAATCATGTTATTCCCTCAGTTACAGCTCATGAGTAAAAATGTACAAAATGGAGATTTAATGAGAAACTTCCTGTTTTCTGTTGATAAACACACAAACACTGACGCCTCACGTGTGGAAGACTTCATGGATCTGCTGTTTGGAGTTTAAAAACTCAACTGAAATGTCGCATTTCATCTTAAAATCCTAAAAAAAAAACAACTCCTGACTGCCAGAGCAAAACATGTACAACAAAAGGTTTAAATCTACGACTAAAGCTAAGAGATAAAAGCGGCCTGTGTGCTCCGTCAGCGCCCTGAGGATGCAGCTGATTGTCCGACAGGTGTTTCATCCTGCAGGTGAGACAGTAACACTCTGAACACAGCGCTCCACTCGACCTGTGCTTCTCCCTCCCGCTCCCAGAGACTGATCCGTCATCCAGACTAACGGGTCAGGCTGCAGACTGGCTCCACCCGGCACAGAACGGGTCACGAGTGCCGGAGCGACGAGTGTTTAAGGTGGAATTAACGAGTCTTTGACGCAGTATGGATAAGCTCTAACAGAATAAAAAAAGGAAAAAAAGAGGACTAATATGTACAAAATTAACAGACACGTCTTCACTGCTGTCCTTCATGGAGAGAAGTCTGCAGGAGGGTGGAGGGGGCGGAGCCTCAGCTCTGTATTTATGGCGGTGGAGGGGGTGTGGCGCCATAAACAGCTTTTAAAAGACATCAAACATTACGGCATCTCTTTAGAGGAACATCTGGACCTCTAAGACTCCTCACCGTCTTGTCTCTTTGCCCCATTAACTCCGCCTCCTGTGCGTCCAGCTGTGCGTTTCGAGCTCCTCTAGCTCCGCCCCCGCCTGTTAGAGTCTCAGATGTGTGTGAGTGGGACGGTCCCAGTGAGGTAATGCTGCTGCACACTGGTGTAGCCCCTCTGAGCGGCGGACGGGTCCCCGGCCTCCCCTCCTGCTCCGGGGATGTACATGCTGATCATGTCCCTCAGGTCCCCCTGCAGGGGCCCCCGGTGGTGGTTGGGGGTCCCGGTTGGAGGCGAGTGGGAGACTGGCTCTGTCTTCACCATGGGCATGACGGGGCTGGGCTGCTGGGGGCTGCTGCTGTATGACATCGGGCTGAGGAGGACAGGAGATGAGTTAGAGACCAGAAGAGAGTTGAAATCCTTGACAAAAACAGGTGGAGTCCGACCTGACAGACACCTGGTTTCATGAACGCACTGATACAGAGCTGCAAACTTGAAACAGTTTCTTCATTTCTATCTCTAAGTTTGCACAAATAAAGGAGTGACTGCAGCAGGAACATGTTTTTAATCAGACAGAGCTGCTGTTTGAGATCAGCTGCAGACTTTCTGCATCTCTCGTTCTGCTACTGCAGCATCATGCAAACATCATCTTCCGTCTTTCTTTAACACCTGATAACCACTTCTATCCAATTAGAACAGGCCATTCCATTAGGAAAAAACTCATCACACTTTGACAAAAAGATTTGCATCTTCCTTCAAAACTTTTTTTCTTCAAAAAGTTTTGCACATACTCACTGCATGATTTGTTTTTGCATAACAAGAATCTTCAGTAATGTTAACTTCAGTTTCTAGAGGCAGAAACAGTCTGTCTGTTGCCTTAAACCTTCACAAAGTCCTGCAGTTTAATTTATGATATTTACAATTAGTTTAACATGAAGTGTCCACTGAAATACTGTCCTCTTTACATGAACATATTGTAGCTAAGGTACAAGTCAGGAGCAGAAAATACGGGTCCATTACTGCAGGAAACATCATTAATTAACATGAGGCGTTACCATCTTTGAAATAACTTTAAAACATGAAAACATCCCTCTACCATCCTTTCTTCTGATAGTTAGTAAATACAGGCTCAACACGATAATTCCAGGAGATTAACGCAGAATATGGGGACTTCAGTTTCACTCAGGTTAGAGGAATAACGAGTCAGCTCAACTGCTGCCTGAACTCTACGTCAGGAAATGACTCAAAAACGACTCCACCTTCATTTAAACCCTGACAGAGTCAAAGACAGAAGATTAATAAGCAGCTGCATGTTGAGACTGATCAGGCTCAGGAACAGGAGTTTCATCAGCTCAGCAGTAATCTAGTTCACAAACTCTGCTGCTGCTTTGGCCAAACAAAGTTTACAGAGAAAACTGAATCTGAAGACTGAATTTGTAAATCTGGGAGCTCAGATGACTTTAAATAATCCCTCACAGGAGATCCTGACCCAACTGAAGCAGCACGTTTGAGCTTTTTATTCAGTCCTTTGCATGAAATTTTTGTTTATTTTCTGTTTTCTTTGGATGTTTGTGACCTTCCCTGTGTTCATATTTTACATTTTCAGGACAACGACAGATGTAAAATTTCTTCATCCACCTAAACTGCAGGTTTTAACAAAAACAAACTTCTTTTAAACTCCAGCAGAAAATAATGAAGTTCAAAATACACAGAAAAGTTGAACTGTGGAAACGTTTATGGGCTAGTGAAACTGAATAAAACAGTAAAATAACTCAAAATTGGCCTTTAGCAGACCCTAAGGCAGCTTGTTTTTTGTGACATGATCAAATCAGAAATAAATTTGATTTTTTTATGTCTTTTACCAAGAATAATAACTCACTGTTTGCCCTATCAATGTAGCTAACCTGAGCTTTTATTTTGAAATTTGTACTCCAGTTTCTATATTTGTGACCATCAATCCCCTGTCTGTCCTTAATAGTTTAATTCAAATTAGAAATCGAAAAAAAAACTATTTGTGCCTCCTTTCAAAAATATTTCCTCACTTTTTTCCAAACTTGAACCACAAACCAACAGTTTTCCCCAAGTCCCCGATCTATCCTGCACGCTTATTTCTGCTCCCTGGGCTTTTATATTGCAAAGTTTGCACGGACCCCGGGTCACACAGCCTTTCTTGTCCTTCTTTAGTCTTACATTAACATTTTAGGAGAAAAAGAACTGATAAAAACAAAGTTTTTGTTTGTTTTTCAAACTTGAACCAAAGTTCAGATCCAACAGTTTTCCCAAATGTGTTCCCTGAACTTTGAACTTCAGTTTCAAAGTCACATGATCATCCCTAATCCCAACTCTACTGTAAAACTATAAGAAGTAATAGATTTTTAAAGTTCCTTAAAAACAGCTGAAGTTAGTTTTTGTTTGTTTGTCTATGGCATTAAAGAAGGACAAAGACATTCATGTGACATGTTGTCATGGTTTAAATTTCAAAATAAGAGCCTGGAGATCAGAACAGAGTAAGCTAGTTTGATTGTTTATATTGGTGATGGAAATTTTCAGTGGTAGGTTTTGCCTGAAATTTTAAAATGAAACCAATACAAACAGAAATCAGGTCGTTTTGATGTTTCTGGTTTCAGTCTTGTTCTCAGAAAAACAAAGTGCCTGACAGGAAACGTACCGAGCAGACGGGCTTTTGAGGATCTTTTGTATTTCATCACTCTGTACAGATCAGCTTCACAGGAAGTTACTGAACACAAACATTTGACTGATAAATATCTTCATGTTTTATGTTTTCAGCCCTTTGTTTCCAAGTGCAGCGCTCACTCCCTTCACTTCATCTCTATGGCGCTCGACCATTCCTGCTCCCTCTCTCTCTTTTTAGCAGCTCTGACTCCTTTTCATAAATTCTTTTGAACTTTTTGATACTATCTCATGTGAAATTGACAGTTTATATCATTGTAAAGCATTTGGTTTAAAAAGTTCTTTCGCATCATGAACTCTGACTGCTGTAATCTCAAGTAGAGGAGTGTTTTGGATTAATGAGTTAATCCAAAGAAAACTTTACAGCAAATTTTAGAAATAACCAAAAGCTTTTATGCTCTGTGACACAGAGATAGGATTATATTTTTCTGTTTTCAGCACCTAAGATGAGTATGTGCTCCTCATTTTTTAGGTTTTATGACTGTTAGTTGAACTTTTTTTCTTTGAGGACTCAAAAACAGACAAAAGAAGATTTTTTAAGACGTCACTCACAGATCTGGAAGACTTTTTCAACTTTTACAGCTTTTTTTTTTTTAAACTAGATCAGATGAAATGTTCATAAATATTAGGATGTGTTTCTTGTTTTTCCCTCTAACTGGGTGAAGCGTTGTCTCCGAGCCGGTCAGTGAAGGTTTGGGACGAGCTCCAACAGGTTTGTCCTGCAGTGTGACTCACAGACGAGTAACTGACAGAAACTCTGCCGGGAACCGAATAAAATACTAATTAATGAGGCCAAAGAGGGAGAATACACCTGACCGTCATCTGTCCCACACTAAGGTTTATCACACTGGAGGAGGAGGGGGGAGAGGGGGGAGGCAGCAGGCAGGGACCCACAAGTGTTCTTGGGGACAATGGTTTAGCAGGAGCAGAGGATTGTGGGTAAAAAGACCACACACAGAGCCGTCCTGCTGCCGTCGAGTCACACTGATCAACATTCCTGACCGGACCCGAGCAGAAAGGAGAGGAGCGCCGCACGCATAACAAGCAGGAAGCAGAGGGAGTGGAACCAACCAATCAGAAAGAAGGAGAGGGAGCTGATACAACTTTAACAGAAGCAGTTAAAACTCTGATCAGGTTCAAATCAAGTGGAGTGACTTTAAAAAATCCTGTTTACAGGGGAGTTTAGACTCAAATGGACAAACTTTACTTCAACATGTGGCTGATTTAGAAAGCTGCAAAACAACGAGTGAAAGAGGCACACGTTTGAGACAGAAAACTGAGTAAAAAACACATAAACCGAACACCCAAAAAGCTTTTAACATGAGCAAGACTATCACAGAACAAAACCCACCCATATCAAGTTTTTAAAGTTCAATCTATCAGGGTTTAAAGCAGCTTCTCAGGTGAGAGTTAAGGGAAATTTTAGGATCAAAAGTGACCAAAATTCTGACTTTAAAATTCCCTATTCAAGCTTTAAGAGCAGGAAAACTCAGCTGTTCTCTGGGAAATTAAATCGTATTTATTCATTAACTTTAATAACATACATTCTTTCCTTAGTGCCAATTTATTTCCTCTGCTTCATGGGGAATAGGTGAAGTTTTTATTAATTACTTTATATGTGTCATATTTGAACATGCGAGTCGAGGAAAACTTGTTGCCACTCTGTGTGCGAAAAGTAGAAAAGAGTTATTTTTTTACAGTCATGGGAAATCTGACTTCATACAAACTATCAAATTAGATTTAAGTGTCTGTGATTGAATAAAGAGGACTTTATATGTGTTTATCACAATCAGGCATAAATTCAGGTTCAGGGAGTCAAGCATCAAAAGTGACATCCAAAATTAAAGCAAGACTTTTGTTCTGTTTGAAGTTAAATTCCCTTTAAAATATTTTTTTGCATGAAAAATAACTAGATGTCCTCGTTTTTTCTCCTGTTAAAACATTTTTATTAACCCAGTTATATTTATTCTTTTATTTCTGTGAAGCGCCTCCTCTCTTGCCGTGTTTCTCCACAAGTTCTCAGTTTGTATAATTCAACTTTCTTTTCTTAATCCAACGTCATCATGTGATGCTTTAAAGCTCTTTGGGTCAGTGTGCATTCAGACTAAACTCTGAGTCACTAAATAAGAAATTAAACCAGCCCGTTGAGTCAGAGGCAGGTGGATCAGGCCTTCAGAGGAAATTAGAGGCCTGAAATGAGGGTTTCTGTCAGACCTGAAGTCCTCAACTTCTGCTGGAGGCAGAAATAAAACTACAAATTTAGAGTAATAAGGACTTCTGTCTCAATTGTCAATAGTTACTGTTTGAGCTCAGGAGGACAGATTTTTAGGGCCGTCTTTGTAGCACACAAATTAAACTTTAAAAGAGAATCAACCTGCGTCATTAAGTGTGAGTGAGGCTGATCCTGTGTACTTTTGGACAAAGTTAGTCTCGATTCCACTCAAAGTACTTTTTAACCTGTTTGAGATAGCTTAATGTTCTTTTTTTTTTTTAATCTGATGTCTCTTTTTCTCCTCAGCCTGATGTGTGGGGACTGAACTGACGGACATTCTTAAACTAAGAAAGTTTCTTTCAGACTTTTTGTACTCTTATTTTGAAGTTTTCTATCAGGCTGTTGAATCAGGTCAGACTTAAGATTTTTACGTCCCTTTCTAAAAGAGTTCACAACTGTCTGAACTAATTCTAACTCAGTTTTTTAGACTCTCTGACTTCCACCTGTCCTGACGCTCAGGGACTACTTTCTGCGAGCTCACCTGTAGGAGTTGGCTCCGTTCATGTAGGTCTGTGCTGCGGTCATGGCGGGGGGATACTGTAGGGCGGACAGGTCGTACCGGTGCAGCTGCTGCGTGTAACCCAGCGCCTCGCCCTGCATGCCGGCGTACCCTCCGGTTGGTCCCCAGCCGTAGCTCTCCATCCTGGGGCTGCCCCCCTGTCCCTGCGCCGCCGCCGCCAGCAGGTTCCCGGCGGACAGCGGGTACTTCCCCACCTGCGCGTCCTTCTTCAGGAGCGGCTTGGTCTTGCGGCGGGGCTTGTACTTGTAGTCGGGGTACTCCTTCATGTGCACGGCGCGGAGCCGCTTGGCCTCGTCGATGAACGGCCTCTTCTCCGCGTCCGTCAGCAGCTTCCACTCCGCGCCCAGACGCTTGCTGATCTCGGAGTTGTGCATTTTGGGGTTTTCTTGCGCCATCTTGCGCCTCTGGCCCCGGGACCACACCATGAAGGCATTCATGGGCCGTTTCACCTTGTCCATGGGGTCCGCTCCGGGCGCGCACGCGGTCTTGGAGCCCGGGTGAGAGGTGCCAGTGCCGCCCATGCTGCCGGTGATGTTGCCGGTGACCGGGGACAAGCCCTGGGAGGTTTGGTGGGTGGGGGGCTGGCCGGTGGGCTTCAGCTCGTGCTCCATCATGCTGTACATGGTGTCAGAGGACTCTCAGAACAGGTGAAGCTCCTTTTTGTCGCCGTCCACCTGGCGACGTGTGGCCAGGCTCCCCTACAGGTTCAACCGGGTGATCCAAATCAGCTAATTACGCACGCGACACGCCCGCAGAGAGCAGCCCGGGGATCGGTGAATGTTTGAGAGTGTGTGAGTCAGTGTGTGAGAGCAGCAGACATCACTCAGTCCTCTCTCGGTCCAGCGCTCTTCTCAGACTCTGTTGTTGTCAGACTTCAGCCTGAACTCACAAACTTCTGCTCACCGCGCGCACGCTGCTCCAGCCAATCACGGCGCGCAAAGCTGCAGGCCGTGCGCGTGCATTAGCAAGTGTAAAGACTCGAGACACTTGTTGATGGAGGGAAAGAGAGGAAACACATATAACTCATTTCTTAATAATCGATCATTAAAGATGTATTAGATCAGGTTTTACGCACAAAAAAGAATGCGTAAAATGCGCAACAAACACCTCTTATTCAGTTAATCCAGCTGCTCTTCAGTTAAGACTATCAGGAGATTTTTTTTTTTTAAATAAAGGCTACCAGTAAAATAAATTAAGATAAATTTGAACTTAAATCGTGAGAAACAAGCTTCCCCTCTCTCAGTGCTCTTTGGTAATCCTCTCAAAATTAAAACTCGATGCTGGAAAATCTCAAAGGCCTCCTCCTCGAGTTCTGGACTGAACTCAGACATCTTTTTAGAGTTTGCTTGTTATTTGTAAATCTCTGAATTCTCGATTTTGAGCATTTAAAATTAAATTCGCACATTCTAGTGAATATTTATTTAAATCTTGGTTGGTGGAAAGCTTTTTTTAAAAGTACAAAGTTAATGGAACAAGTTGTGTTTCTGAAACTCAGTTAGCAAACATTCACTGTGCAGAAAGGCGAAAGAACCAGAAGGACACCTTAGTATATTTTGTTAGTTGGGGAAGTATGCAGACTGGGATATGGGTAGGGCATCCAGATGGAATAATGTTTCTACAGCGTATACTGAAAGTTATCCACAGTTTAAAGATACAGTTTTCATGTGATCTCCACAGGAAGGACATTCAGATGGGATGTTTTCCTTTCGCATATTCTTTTGAATACTGGGAGGACATTCAGTGGGTACAAAGTTACATTTGATCCACTGAAAAGGCGTTTCAAAGGGACTATTTATATTGTAATGTAATATCAACCGGGAGGACAACCAGAGGGCATTTTCAACATTTGAGGCAATGGAAGGGCATCCAGATGAAATGTTAAACAGGAAAAAGCATGAACAGGCACTTTTTCACGTCTTAAATTGAAAGTGCAACCAAAAGGCACTTTTCCCGCATTCTTATACAGGAAGTGCAACCAGAGAGCAGTATTTTTATGTTTTATCCACTGGAAAAGAAACCAGGGTGCAGGTTTTTCATATTTGATGAATTCATAGGACACCAGATGGAATTTTCTTAAAGGAAAAAAACAACAAGAGGTATTTTTCATATATTTTATGAAGTGGATGGGCATCCAGAGGGCACTATGTTATTTCCACAGGAAGGGCATAAAGAAGGCATAATTTTTATGTTTTAGCTGGGAGGGCATCCAGTGGAAATGATTCTTATGTGACATCCACAGGAAGAGTAACCAGGGTGTTTTTTTTTAATATTGTTTGCACTTATAGGGCATTTAGAGGGTACTAGTTTTCTGTTTGATTGATATAATGACACAAAACAGATCTAAAGAGCTCATTAACAATATTTAAAGTACAGCTACTAGCCATCCATGGTTATACTGACTTCCTGGCTGAATCCTTTGTTCTTTGAGTTTAGCTGACAGTTCTCTAAACTTTGATATTTGTCTTTGTTTGGTGACTTTTTAAACTTTATTACAGCCTTTTTTTCCTGAAATATTCCTTCTCCTAATAGAGTAAACTGTGTGAAAAAGACAACAGTTTTATTTGTCCCTCTAACAGCAGATGAGAAGCTCATTGTGTCTCTTCATAAAGCCTATCTTTAGAGCCGTCGGCCCTCTTTTCAGACGATTGTGTTGCAGACACGTTTCTAAACACACTCACTGATTCAGATCCAGAGAATGAGGAGGATCGGTGCTGCTTCCGACAAATAAACCTCTTTATTTGTTGTCTTTGTCAACAGCCATGTTCTCCAAATACTCCCAGAAAAACAAGCAGGAAACACAAGAAAAGATTAATGCTTCCTTTTGGTATGACGCCACCTTAAGTCTGCCATGTTCAGCCTGCCTCTCCATGATCACATAAAAACATCAGATAAACGGGGCTTTGTTTACTACCATCACCGGTCCATGTTTTCTCAGTGTGACTCGCTCTTATCTGTGAATCTGTTTAAAAAGACGAACAGATAAAGCTGCAGGTGGGACGCTTTCCAGTCCAGACGACTCAAATTGTTTGGAAGCTTCTAACTTCTGCACAGTAACTTTTTTCCCCCATGATCATTCATATCATTCGTACTAAATGATAAGAAGAAACTAAAAGGAGAAGCTGACAGAGCAGAGAAACACTGCAGGGCTTTAGATTCACATGAGGACACTGATCGTGAGGGTCAGCCAGCATGGTTAAGTCGAAGCATCCAGGAGGTCTCCCCTTATCAACGTGAACATCACAGAAACATTTTCAAGAATGAAACATAGATGATCAGGTCAAAACGGTCACAGGATATGGATACAACGGAATACAGATTAAAAACACACAAAGTAACCATGGTAACCACAAGCGTGCAAATGAATAAACATTTGTCCTGTGAAGCTCACAGGTGGTTAACATGTGTAGGTAAAGGTATGTTTGGCTCAGGATTACTGTGAACATTTTATGATGATATGACATATAAAATTATATGATATGATACGACATATGATATGATATATGACATATGATATGATTTGGCATATTTTAGATGTGATATAATATGATTTATGACATATGATATGATATGATATGATATGATATGATATGATATGATACAGTATGATATGATATGATATGATACAGTATGATATGATATGATATGATATGATATGATATGAATGATATGATATGGTATGATATGATATGATATGATATGATATGATATGATATGATATGATATGAATGATTTGATATGATATGATATGGGAACAGGATAGATCTTTTATTTCCCACATCCAACAAATCTCCAAAACTGCCCAAGTAAAATAGCAGATTTCCCTGTATCAGCTTCTCTCGCTTCATTAAATTTAGGGCGAAATTTAAATGGTCAGACACCTTCATGTCTTAAAGATCTCATAGTTCCCTGTTACTCTAAGAAATGACTGTAAATCTCACTCTTGAAGCAGGTGTTTGGTGAGTTAGCTCTGAGACATGTCTTTAAATAAGGCTGAAGAAAGTTTGTGTTATAGGGATTTTATGGGACACCTGTCGCTGCGAACACACCACGTGACTATCCCTAACAAAGCACTGACACTCGTACTGCATCATGGGTAATATAGGGGCTATACTGTAAACAGGAAGAAGAGTCTGAGCAAAACAAAGGCCATGACATTATTTCTGAACATCATGTGTGTGTCAGAGTCAGTGTTTCCTGCAAACGTGTGTGTGTGGCTGTGTGTGTGTGTGTGTGATGCAGGTGTGTGGTTGACACCATGTGTTTGTGACTAATTGTGAATTGTGCAGCTCCAGTCTCCCGTTTCCATCTCCATGACGACCCAGTGTGGAATCCCCCCCTCCCCTCGTCCTCCCCACCTCCCCCCTCGCCCAGCTTTCCTCTTTCAATAACATCTCCCTAACTCTCTCTCTCTTTCTTTTCTTCATCTGTCCGTCACCCTCTCTGTCTTCAGTCAGGACGTTGGTGGAGTTTTTCAGCCGCTCTCTCCTCACACACTCTGATGGTACGTTTGTGTGTCACATCAGAAACAGGAAAGCCAACATGGCCGTCAGTTCCCTCTGTGTCTCTGTCAGCGAGGATGAAAACTTTTCTTTTTCCGCTTGTTTTTTACAGTTAGGAGAGTTAAAGTAAAGATGGACGTGTCTCTTTCTCCCTCAGCTTTTATTAAAGGGCAATTTTGCAGATTTACACCTTCCTCTCAGTCTCCCCCTATTAGGGTTCAAAGTGAGAAAAACTCCTGAAAGTTTCTCTCAGAAAAACTACAGCCTGGATATATTATGGACAATCAGCATTTTGTGTGAGAGACTTTGGCTTCATTTATTTGAACCAGAGTTTACAGCCGAAAAAAATAAAACAAAGAGAGGCCAGAGCTACTTTGCTCTGAGATATCAGAACTGGAGGCACAGAGCTGGAGAATTCAACCTCTCTCATCTACAACCTCAACTGAATAGATATTAAACCCCTATTCTCAGGAAACCTCTCAGGCATCCACGATGGGGAGGGTATAAAGTGGTATATATAAAATGGAGCATGGTGCTAGTTTAGGCAGGTCAAGAAGTAAACCTAGCCAAAAGTGCATCAGCTGACGCTAACACACCCCATGTCACTGATCCTACTCTGTTTTGTACCCCTGGGTTTTTGCTGCTCCTCTCCCTGCCTCAGGTTTGTTATATACGTATGTGAATTGGGGGGGGGGGCTACCCACCTCAGGCCCCACCCACACATAGTTATCCTCTCACCATATTTAAGGTCATGGTTGTGATTAGAGGCAGCGTTCAGAAAAAGGGAAACAAAACATCTACATATCTAGATTTCTATCATCACCTCAGCCAGGCTAATGCCTTCTCCTTCAGGCCGTCGTTATCGGGCTCTTACGAGGTGGACTAAGAGATTTCAGATTTCACTTATCCCCAGTGAAATTCATTTACTGAATGGCAATTAGGCCTTATGATGCACATATTTTTCTTTGCACTGTTTACTGCATTTTTGCACATCCGCATTTTGCTCTTTTTCACAGTGCAACTGACTAAGGCAGTTATCCTTTTCAGTTTCGGTATTGGCTCTGGACTGAACATATATTTTTTTGTGATCTTGTGTATATGTATGGTGTTTCTTTTATTGTGTTGTTTTCATCATGTTTGACTTTTAGACTATTTTTACTGTATGTCACTGTGTACCCTGTCTTTGTGTGCTCTGGCTGCAATACTACAATAAAGAGGTTCAGATTCCCCATGAACCTCTCTGCATGAAAAACAGACAGTACTCTGTAGTGGAAATCTCTGCATTGGCTCTCATGCACTCCCAAAATCATTCATCACTGCATCCATTAATGAAGTTAAAACTGAACCATACAAAGAGGAAACCAGATCCAGAAATATCAGAGACTTCTCTAGACTTTGAACCACAACAGAGACACTGTATCCTCCTTTCTAAAGCGATAAAACAAAAGGCAAAGATGAAACCCTACGTCAACATGATTTAGAGATGCTAGCCACTCAACTGTCCAACTGTCCTGGTCTGACCATTTAAAACATGACTTTCTTTTTAGAAATCATGGACGCTGCATTCTCCTCTCTAAAGAGTAGAGGGACCACCCCATTTGATCTTAGTCCAAATTCAGCTTCCCTGATGGTATGGAGATCATCAGAGTCCATGTCATGGGTATCCTCCATATCCGTGAAGGCTCCATTAATTCTGAACAATATCTACAGACTTAGGAGCAACATCGGCTTACATCCAGACAAAGACTTTTTCAGGGAAGATCTTCATATTTCAGCAAGACAATGACAAACCACATTCTGACAATGGGGATTACAACAGCATGGCTCTGTAGTAGAAGAGTCCTGCTGATAAACTGGTCTGCCTGCAGTCCTGACTTGTCCCCCATTGAAAACATTTGGAGCATCATGTTGTGAAAAAAAAAGAGACGAAGGAGACCCTCAACTGTTGAGCAGCTGAAATCCTCTATCAGGCAAGAATGGAACAACATTTCACTTTCAGACTCCAGAACCTGGTCTAGTTGGTTCACTAAGGTCTACAGAGAAGAACTGGGGACACAGGATAAGAAACATGAACCTGGAACTACTTTTTAAAACATTTGCTGATATCAAATTTAAATAAAGCAGTGAAATGTTTGGGTTTCAACATTTGATATGTTGTCCTTGAGCCATTGCCAGTCAGATCAGTCAGGTCATTGGGACTTTGGATTGTGTAATCTGTCTCCCGTTTTCGAGGGACAGACTTTTCTAGGGAGGAGTTGGAGACCAAAAAGAGGTAAAAAAGAGAAATAGCGACTTATATCCAACAAGTGGACTCAAACGTGAGCCCATAATTTCTTGGAACCCGTTCACCGTCTCAGCCTCACACACACTGGTAGCTGTAAAAATCTGGCGACTAGGACAATGTTTAATGCAGCTTTCACCTCATTATGGCATAATATCTCCTGCTGACTCAAATGTGGACTCAGTCAGCATGTCAGAGCATCAAGTCACATGACTTCTCTCAGCGACAAAGAGGCCTGACAATGACATTTCCATTATAGCTGCTGGCTCACAATAAGCACAAAGTAATGAGAGGATCCGAATGTTATGGAACTCAGCGAGGTAAAAACAGCGTGATGGAAAGGAGGGAAAATGTGAATGAACAGAAATTAAGTGGGATGAAATCAAGGAGTAAGAAGGGCAGCGGAGTGGGGGGGTCGGGGGATGGGGGGGTAGATTATAGGGTGAGAAAAGACGAAGAAGACGGACGAAAGAAAGCCACAAAATGAAGGAAGAAAGGGAGAGCGAGATGGAGAGGCAGAACAAGGGAGGAGGAGGGACGAGAGGATGAAGGGATGGATGATGAAGGGTGGGCTTTGGAGGGGGGGCAGGGGGGTGGTTTTAGGTGACAGGCCTCATTGAATAGCCCTCTTTTCTCCCCTCTGCTGGCTTCTCTTCTCATGCAAAGCAGCCCGTTCAGCCTCCCAGCCATCCGTCACACAACAGAAAGAGCATGGCAGGCCCTTTACGAGCCCCACACTCGCATAATCCCCCCCCAGCCCCGCCATCTCTCAATCCCACAATCCAGCACCCATCAGGGGGCGCAGGGGGTGGCAGGGGGGGTGAGTGAGCTGCAGAGGGGGGATGGGCACGGGGGCATCTTGGCCTGAGAGAAAGTGCCTTTAGAAGAAGACGGGCCACCTAGGCTGAGAGGGACAAAAAGCTGAGACGTCACATGTTTTCAGGCAGCAGGGACGTCACACAGGGGCAGTTAACCTGTGAGTGTGTGAGAGTGTGTGTGATGGGGCTGTTCAACGTCAGGCAGTTACAGGTTTATAATAACTGGTTGGAGCTGTTTTCATGTGTCAGTGTCAAAAATGTCTTCAGTCATGAACCCTGACTGACAACTTTAATCTCACAGATTAACTAGTACACGTTTAAGCGTTTACCTGGAAAAGCACTCACTAGTAAAAATAACATGTTTGTTTGTTACTATCAAGCCTTCTGCTGTCACCATCTTGCTTTCCTGTTGCATGAGTGACCATACTTGAAAAGCTGGAGTGGAGCGAGGGATCTGCAAGTGCAAAATTTAAAAATTATTAAAGTTTAAAGTCCCAATAAAATGCACTTCTGCTTATATCCACTAGAGGCTGCCTTCAAAAGTGAGTCAGTCTCCATAGAGCTCAATGTTAAAGGGATATTTTGGCGTAAAATTAAGTTATGGTCAAACACACCGTAAAATTGAGTTAGACATCCCGTTGAGAGATGAATGTTGCCAACCACTTGCTTCTCTGGTTATACTAACTTTAGTAACGACCACAGATAGCAATACACAGCGGTCCCTGGAGCCACACGCTAAACCAACCATCACCCACTCTCCTCCAGCAGCTGTTTAAAATTTCAAAGAAATGACAAAGTATTGATCATAAATTTTCTTCCTTGAGCTGCGTCACCTTGCTGCAGTCAATGGGCTCGTCCAAGGGCTCCCTACAAACAAGCAGCTGCTGGAGGAGAGTAGGTGAGTTGTGTTTAGTCTCTTTACTAAAGAAATCAGGCAAAGTTAAAACAATGTTTGGTGGCTAGTGCTATGGCTGGGACTCTATATGTACTGTTGCTGAAGTTAGGTGCTGTTCTGAGCATTATTTGTGTCTATAGAGTGGCTTTTTGGTTGAGCACGTGGCTCCTGGGACCGCTGTGTATTGCTATCTTGCAGTCGTTACTAAAGTTGATATAACTAGAGAAGCAAGTGGTCGGCAACATTTATCTCTCAACGGGGTGTCTAACTCGGTGTTACGGTGTGTTTGACCCTAACTTAATTTTACCCCAGAATATCCTTTTAACATTAAACTTTAAAAAATCTGAAGCAGTATTGTTGACAAATTCAACTACAAGTTGTTTTGAATGTACAGTAATGTAGAAACTCTCATTTTAAAAAGTTGTAAAGTATAACACTTGATCTCCTATCTCCACAGTAATGCCTAGAGCAAGTACTTGTTCCTGTGAGATGGTGATAATTTTATAGCTTCCTCCACTTTTCTTGAAAGTTTACTGAATTAGGAGAGGACAGATATTCATGAGTTAACTTCTGAAAAAAATATCCAAAAGAATTGAAGGACCAGAACGAGAGGAGGACAATAAGAACTGAGCAGGGAGGCGTTCACAGAGATGGAACTTCAGACATTCAGACTATCATCAACAGACATCTGATCTGATCTACAAACGTGTCAAAACTTCACAAAGATTTTCTTAGATGACCTGATTTAATTGATAGAGTCTGAACAGAAACCTGGGTTTGCATAGATTCATGATCAGAGTCTAAATGAGAGCATGTGTTATGAAAAGTCCTCATTTTTAAGTGCTGTGAAACAGATTATTGCAGATGTATCAATTAAAATTTCTTCGATGATAATGAACAGTGCAACAACACTGATAAAAACACTTCCTGGTTGTGATTCTACAGATAAATGGTGAGGGACAATAAGCCAAAGAACAATGTCGCCCTCTAGCAGACAGACAGTGGTACTGACTCTAACCATCAGTCCTTAGTTATCCAGCCTCAGAGGATGATTTGACCGATTTTACTCAACAGAAATCTATTATTACAATGGCATTGAAAAAAACAGACAGAATATAATTCACCCAGTCCTCAGAATGCCTCACCTGCGGCTTTCAAGATAAAACACTCAATGATCCCAGTAATTTGCTCCAGCAGTACACCCCAGATCTGCTGTCAGTCTATGAACTGTGCTCACAAACAATGGTCTCTGGAAGTGATTTTAAACCCAGTGATTTCCACTACAGAGTCCTGTCTGTTTTTAATAAGGGGCTCCTGAGGGCCTAAAGATAAGGACCATTCAGTCTTGGATTTGGTACCTTTACCTTTTTGGTTGTTCCTCTCTAACAACGTTCTACCTTTTTTGTTCTTCCCTCTATAACAACTTTTTTTTTTTACCTTTCTGGTTGTTCCTCTCTAACAACTTTTTAGCATGGCATCAAATGGGTTTTCTCATTTTTCACCATTTAAGATATTGTATTTGCATTATTCTTAAACAGATCTTGTGTACACAGTTGGTGACTTGTAGTACACATGTTGATTGATGGAGTTTTAAATTACATTTTATTTGCATTTTACTGACTATAACTTTACTGACTATAACCAAAGACCCACTACCATGGTATTTTCTTTTTTTAGTCACGTTGACTAAGAACCAATCACAACGACGCCAGAGGAGAGAACTAGGCAATCACCGGATAGGGCGGGAGTTAAGCTCCTCGTGGGCACGGTGGGGTAATCAGTGAATCGCCATTTTTGTAGGTAATTCTGGCGGCTTTTGAGAGTGTAAAGGTAAATTTATGGATGAAATCAACGATATCTTCGTCAAACACGCTGTCAAAGTCTTTTCATTGTCTTCAGCTGACGCTGTATCGGAACAGATACGATGCACCACAAAACACGAGCATATAGGTGACAGAGTTGACCTTGAAATAGTATTTTATTGTGAATGACACCAAATTTTAACACCGAAATGACGTGGATGCTTTCATCTGTTGCTTTTACTAACCTAAAAGCCACAAGTTCATTTTCTGATTTTGAAAGACCAACTTATTCACCCATTTTTCCTCCATTATTAGGCAGAAAAATAGAAACACCAGGTTGGACCCAAACTGCAGTATTGTCATTTATAGAGCCTTTTATTTGATGTATTTTTACCATTAATAAGCCTTTCCACGCAGGATTTGGCCTTAAGTTATCATGCTACTCAACAATTCAGAGGCCAGTTTACACTGTTAAAAAGGAGAAACCTTTATTTTTTTTAAAAGACCATTAAAATAAATACTATACAGAATCCAATGTAAAAAACTTGATACACTGTTTCTGTCTCAAAAAGGTTAACAAGTCCGTAAATTCATTTTAAAAAATAGCACTGACTATACACCCCAAAACATAACAGTTCTCCTACACCAGACACCCCATGATGACAGGCATTTTAATATGAGAGCGCTTTAAAGAGGAGGGAGGGCGGTGAAGGTCTCTATATACTTAAATCTAGTTTGGTCCTTTCAGGTAGGTAGCCACCCCCCTTCCCTTGACATTTTGGGGAGGTAGGTTACAAAGAGTTACCACCACCTTATCAAAAAAAAAGAAAAATCAAGAAAAAAAAAAAAAAAAGGTTCCAATATTGCTGAAAAATAAAATCTAAAATGAACAGAGATAGAGGTGAAAATCCAACCAGGTCGTCAGGGTCCAGAGGCAAAGTTTCCCCCAACTCACCGTCAGTTTGCCTCCAAACATCCTCAGCCACCGGCCGGTCTTCACTGAATGCTACTGCACAAGCCAAGCAGTATGTACAATAGCCATAAAAATATATATAATATAATATGAAACAGCAGTAAAATGATCAAAATGGTAAACAACTCATTCATGATGGGTTTTTACTGTACAGGTCTCTTTATTGAGTATGCCCTGTGTGCTCTAGCCCCAAAGCGCTCTTCTTAACAAGATCATCGATGTTCAAGGCTGTTTGTAAAATACACTGAAAGTTGTTTGAATACTGATCTGGTCAAATGCAGCACGTTTCAATGAGTCCAAACTGAGCTCCAGTTTTAACCTCTCATCCAGCGGCAGTGCAACACATTTCACAAGTTTCTCTGATAACATGCACGACGCTAACACAACTGAGCCGACTTTGTGATTTATTGTAAAGCTAACAGCCAGAGCTACAATCCTTGCGGTCACCATGACTGAACCTGGGGGGGGTAATTTTCAGTGTGCTTTTTGGAAATGCGGTTCTGTATTGCACTGGATGGCCCCTCTATGAACTCTGTTAAAAGCTCTCAGTGTGGAAAAGTTCAAATCAAAGTTTGAGAGCTGCAGGGAGAATTTAGGTGCTGATAGTGGTGGTAGACTACGTGAAGCAGGTCAGTAATTCATCCTTCAATCATGGCCAAAGCTATTTCAAAAGAAAGGAAGGAGCGGTGGCTGCGTCCTTCTTTCCTTTTTTTGATGTAGGGGTAAAGTCGAGGCTGAATTTAGCAAAAGAAGTTCTTAGAATCAGATCGTATAAGAAACAAGGTTTGACGTCTAAAATAAGCGGGGTGGGGAGAACAGAGGGCGTAATGGGAGGGCTCTCCTAGATCAGATCGGCCACGTTCATGGGCATCTCCTCCACGGTGGTGTTGTAGAAAGTCTCGATGTCCCTCAGGGTTCGCCGGTCGTCCTCGGTGATCATGTTGATGGCTACTCCCTTTCTGCCAAAACGACCTCCCCGACCAATCCTGGAGGAGACGCAAAGGACATTCAGTGGAGGGTCTTTTTATAGCATGTATTTTTAGAGGACAGGACGGAGCAGTAAACATAGTGAGCAGAGTGACATGCGGGATGAGGACCACGGGTCAGATATGAGGCCAGGGAGCCCTACCCCATTTTTAAGAGTCCATATAATAAGTTTAAGCAACTCAAAATGTTTTGTTCTGTGCTGATTCACACACTCATTTTGTTATGTGCTTTAGTTAGGTGGTCTGATGGAGTCTGAAGTCTGGTTTGAATGGCTGGTAGATTGTGACTCAAAGCATGGCTTAAGATTGTGACTGTTTTGGCCATTCAAGCACCTTAAAATAAATTTGTGTGACCCCAAAATAGAACTGGGAGCGTTTGTAGTAGTACACATAGTGTAAGAGAAATTTGAACTAATTCAGAAACATTTGAGTCTTACCTGTGGATGTAGTTTTCTCTGTTGGTCGGCAGGTCATAGTTGATGACTAGGGACACCTGCTGGACATCAATGCCTCTGGCCTAAGGAGAAAAAAAAAACAATACTCATCAATCACAAGGCTCACTTATCAGTGTTCATACATGAGTGTAGTACCAACTCTGCTATATCACCTCCCAAAACAAAGTAACTTTTAAACATTTCAAAAGATTGTTGATGTTTCAGTCCAATCTCATAAAAAGCCCCCTCCGACATGGAAATCTAAAATTTGACAAGATCAGGTGTAATCTGCCAATTAGTTGTGGTTCCAGGACTTTAGACCTGGTCACAGTGGAGGGCAGACAGCTTCTCTACCAAGGAACAATCAGTCCTTCACCAACACTGCAGCTGGGAGGAGAGGGAACCCTGGACCCTGAACTCTGACACTGGAATATAGGAGTGAACGTACGAGCAGGTCAGTGGTGATGAGGACTCGACTGGAGCCGGAGCGGAACTCCCTCATGATCAGGTCTCTCTCTTTCTGGTCCATGTCTCCGTGCTGAAAAACAGAACCACAACATATGAGTAAAAGGGGCATTTTTTTTTGGCGAAGTTTGTGAAGCCACTAAGATTTGACTTCTTTTTGTTGAAAATGCAAAAACCAACTCAACTACTTATATCGACCAAAACTGCCGAAACAGATGCTGCGACACGTCACAAACCCACAGGTGAAAAACACCCAGAGGCTTATCTGTGTGGTCAAATCCATCAGAGAATAATGACTGTTAATCCAAAACCCTGATGGTATGATGCTAGAGGGTTTGTGGTGTGAGCTGGAAAATGATTTAAATTAAGTAGGAATGAGGATAAGTGTGAGTTTCTCACCAGAGCAGAGACGGTGAAGTCTCTGGCGTGCATCTTCTCTGTGAGCCAGTCCACTTTCCTCCTCGTGTTGATGAAGATTACAGCCTGTGTGATGGTCAGTGTCTCGTACAGATCACACAGTGTGTCCAGCTTCCACTCCTAAGACAGAAGAAGGATGGGAGGACAAACTTTAGACTCCAGAACTTTTCAGTGACTTATTTTAACCATCGAGGCAGCAAACTAAGTCTGGGCTGTCAGTTTGAACATGGGAATATCTGTGTACCTCTTTCTCCACATTGATGTAGAACTGACGGATACCCTCGAGGGTCAGCTCTTCCTTCTTCACCAGGATCCTCACAGGATCACGCATGAACTTCTTTGTGACCTCCAGCACGTCAGCCGGCATGGTGGCAGACAGGAGGACAACCTGTGGAAGCACCACCAGGGAGAGGGCTGCTCAAAATCTAAACTGACATGTTCTTCAACTTTGAAAACTCAAAGACTATTTACAGTTCAATATGTGCTGATTCAAAGCACTTGAAAATATCATTTTCTACAAATTTACTCAAAAAGTAAAGAAAAAGGGGTATCAGGTTTTTTGAAGGAAGTTCTTCATCTTTCTTCGAATGTGACAGAATCGTAGGCTTGTCTCACCTGCGCGCTGCTGATCAGCTTCCTAAAGATGTCGTAGATTTGGTCCTTGAACCCTCGACTGAGCATCTCATCGGCTTCATCCAGCACAAAGATCTTAATGTGCTTGGAAGCTGCAGAAAAATGTGAAAGTATAATTTAGGAATCATCCTTCAGTGAGGTTGTTTCAGAGGAATCTCAACAAGCATCTCTTGTTGTATTTGCACTATTTTCAAGATAAAAGGTTATGATTCTATTCATATTTTCTGCACCATTTCCTGCAGCACCTGAACTTTCCCCACATTGTGGTTTCATTTCCTTCTCTCTAAATCCAACACGTGTCTCATCGCACTATTCTGCTTTAGTCTCTTTCCTTGTGCTGCATTCAGAAATAGTGATGTATGATCATGTCTCTGGACCCCTGCTGTGCCAGCGACTCGAGCAGACAGAACGCCGACCTGAGCGCCAGCACAGCCGGAGTTTACAGAGTCAGTTGACACGCATGGGTTTCATCATCACACAGCAAGTTCTTCAAATTGGACAGACTAAAAAGGGATGTTTCATAGTACCAAAATATAACTATCTAACTTATCTGCTGAGTAATGAAGCTGCCTGAAGTGGCCAGATCAAGTAAGACTTTGCACTCTGGATCCCTTAAAAACTCAAAGTTGACCTCATGTCTGATTCATCTCCTGTCTGTGTTTATCAGACTAAGTATTGTTGACTTACAGAGATTTCCACGGTTCAGCATGTCGTACACACGGCCAGGAGTTCCCACAACGATGTGGGGACTCTCAGCCTGCAGCTTCTGGACTGCGTCACGGATGCTGGTTCCTCCAATGCAGGCATAGCATATGGCCCCCATGTAGTCACCAAGAGCCAGCACCACCTTCTGGATCTGCAGAAAAAAAACAGCAATAGAGGCAATAATTAGAGCCAACTCAGATATCTAAACCATAGTGTCACACCGAAAGGCTGAATGACTGAATTTTGATATGGTAACTGAAGAGTTTTTGTGTCTGTCTTCCTTGGCTAATTTTCCCCTGACATCATCTTTGGCAGTAGTGTGGAGCCTCTGTCTGTACCAACAATCTCAAATTCAATGACTTTCTCAACAGAGCTATCTTTCAGGGTTGCTAAATTTATCTGCGGCGACTATTGAGTTTTGGTCCGTTTGCCCCAAAAAGTACATTTAAAAAGCTACTGAAGACATAGTGGTGTACAAAATGTAGCAGCTGCGTACCTGAATATAAAACCTTGTGAAAACTTGTGTGACTGGTTTTCATAACTTGCCTAGAATGATTCCAACTCCTGATAGTCCCTGCAGGCTTCAGGCAGCGCCCTGTAAGCCAAGACTAACAGACTGTAATTTTACCTGTCGTTATTAATCAGGAGTGACTACATTAGTTTACTTTTTTTTGTCTCCTACCATGCCTGCATCTGCATCCAGGTAGTAAGGGTGCTAGAACCAAACTGTGTTTATGGAGTCAGAAGTTGTGTCCAAGTCTAAGACACAGGCCCTTAACTCCAGACCGATCTGGCTGCTTAACTGTATCAAAATATTGACTGATCTCTTTATCTGAATCACAGCTACTAACAGCTGAAGTTTATCAGAACTGGAATATTTCAGGCTTTTCAGCTATTACAGGTTTCATCAGTTTCCAAATCTGACTGTTTATATAAGTGACCTGCTGAGTCACTGACAGCACCTTTAACTGAGATGCTGCTCACCACGATTCAAAGAGCCAGAATCCTCACAAGTTATAATAGAGCTGGTCCCGAGATAATTCAATTCTGACCAGGTGTGTGCAACAGCATCACAACTTTGAGTGTTTGCAGAGGTGGCTGGTTCACTTCTCAGGCACTGCTGAGGTGCCTCTGCGCAATGCATTGAACCATTGACTACACAGGTGCTGGTTCATGTGCAGTCGCCTCTTTGACATTTCTACATTATGGCTATTTGACTGCAGTGTGTATTTATGGACTATGCATACGGCATACCCAATAACAGTGAAAATAAAATCAACTTCCCTGTGGTGCAAAATCTGAGTATCTGTTGGAATTACACACAAAAACCTTTTTTGTTTTATGTTTGCCAACATTCAACATGTTAGCTCAAAGACACAAAAAAACAGGAAAATGTGTGTTGCCTAAGACTAAGACTGTAAATTTATCTGTAGTTATTGGTCAAATGATCGACAAAACCTGTCATGAAGCTGAAAGTGTGCTGTATTCAGAAATAGTGATGTATGATCACGTCTCTGGACCCCTGCTGCGCTGATGACTCAAGCCAACAGAACGCCAACTAGAACAACAGCACAGCCGGAGTTTACAGAGTCAGCTGACACGCATGGGTTTCATCATCATACAGCAAACGAACGCTTTGATTGTTGGAACCATTAATATTCAGACACCATGTCTGCACACTGGAAAAAAGCACCAGTTTGACTCTTATTTCATCATCTTTAACAAACTTGCGTGTCATTTTCTACTAAAAAAAGGACTTACAATTTTTTTCAAGTAAGCCAAATGACAAATTCTGCTGGTTTATTTAAACTGTGGTAAATGCATTTTATTGTTTTATTTAAAAATAAATAAATAAATAAATAAATAAGGTAGTTCTATGTCTTAGTTTTGACCTTCAATAAAGAAAGTATCTACACAGAATCAGAGGCTCCCACCAGGCCTGTTTATTTTCAGCCACACCTCACAGCCAAATTATTGCAGTTGTGAGTTATGATCTGTCAGGGTGGTTTCAAAGTTCAGTATCTGAACATGAATACATTCTATCACAGCGCAGGAGCCAAAACAGTCACTTGACTGTAACCTTTAAAACAGGAACACTTCGGCTCATTATTAAATCCTATAAATGATACAAAGATGCAGGATGACTCTTTAATCCTGCTGCTTCACTAAATGATCCCTCATCATTCCTTATAATGCTGCATCAATCTAAGGCAATTATAGCTCATACATAACATTCATCTAAGTGGTCTCTTGGTTGTTTCAGACACAGTCTAACCATCAGTTAAGGCTCAACACTGATTAATACTGAGGTTAAGCAAATACCGAAAACATGACCATGACCAGGCTATTCTGAGAGTTGAGGGTTTTATGATGATATTCTAGCTCAAACTAGAGACTGGTGCTCTCTGTGAGGGCTTGTACTTAGAAAAGGTTGTATTGTAGTAATAGAAGCAGACAACACACTCAATCTCTGCGTCTTTGTAGGATTTCCAATGTCTGTTAGAAAGTTTACCTGCTGAGCCAGCTCCCTGGTAGGAGCCAGGACCAGAGCCTGGGTTTCTTTCAGGTCCACATCGATCTGCTGGAGGATGGAGATGGCAAAGGTGGCAGTCTTCCCAGTGCCAGACTGGGCCTGAGCGATCACATCATAACCTTCAAAAGACAAGCAAATATCAGATGGGTGAAAACTTCAGGCAAGATTTCAACAATAGCAGCATGTTTGTCTTTGAAAATGGCTGAAGTTTGAAGGTTTGTCTTTAATGGGGAACTTCATCAGGAATTCAAAAACTTAACTGAGATAACAGCCCAATAGCTTCAGAATCTGTTGCAAACAGTTCAGGCTTAGCAGAGTTCAAACACACACATCTCTAATAGGACAACAACATATATAATATATACTGTGCTACTGTGGGGCAAATACCAGACCCTCTTGAGTCCCTCCACAGTCACCTCCCTTCTGTAAAGAGCTGATAACAGCGGATACACTGACATTTCTCATCTGTACAGTGGCATTTTAAGCATCACTGTGCCTTTACTGGAGTAAATATTTAGACAACATTCTTCTAGTATATAAAAAGGTCATATGGAGGTTTCTTTAAACTCACCCTTGATACAAGGGATAATGGCTCTCTGCTGGATGGCAGAGGGCTTCTCAAAACCATAAGCATAAATTCCCCTGAGAAGGGTCTCGCGCAGGTTCATCTCATCGAAGCTGTCCGTGATCTGATTCCAGTTGCTCTGCAGAGTGAAGAGATAAGAGGGGCCAGTTAAAAACAAAGCTAAAAAGGAGAAAGAGGTCAATATGATACAAAATTCTGCCAATTGAAAAGCTGCTCCATCACAGTAACATGAGCAAATACAGTTACTTTCCAGCCCTGGTTTTATGACCCTAATTTCCAGGTTAAGAAGACTCACCTCAATGATGCCATCTGGCTCCATGCCCTCGGGGCCATTGTCTCTGAATGACAAAGACAATAAAGTCAGTGTTTTACTCCTCACCACCTTATTCAAGAACATACACATTCACAAAAAAACTATTTTCTCTTGTATTTAAAAAAGATTCGCAGTAATGAGATGCTGCCTAAGATATTGGTAATTATTTTTTTTCCTATTGGTTTAAGGAAGAGACACAAAAAACTAAGATGTTAATATTAAATCTCAACGTTTCATTTCCACAGACAGCACGACTTCACTTTTTACATCTATATGCCCATCTAACAAAGTGAAACGATATAAACGCTTATTTTATGCTCAATTAACCGAATTTCAGAGCCCTCATATTATCTAAGCCTTTAGTTTAACAGTAAAAACTTGTTAATCCTTTTCACCCCCGTGACAGAGAGCAGACGCCTTTTCACAGTCCGCCATTTCTACCACATTTATTCAAGATGGTCGTTTCTTCATCAGGCTGAGTCTACGCGAGTCTCCGAGCCACGGTGACAGTAAAGCAGCTGGCTCACACATCTATTAACACATTTCCATTTTTGACTTAGTTTTACCAGTTGCAACCGTATTAAGCCGCGGAAAGTCGAATCCGAGCGTTTTTAAAACGGGAAAATGGCGATGAACCGTCACATACTCAATCAACTGTAAGTTAGCATCGGCCCGCTAACATGTTAGCCTACAGGCCCTGCTTCGCTTTGTGACCTTTTATCACACTTGCCAAGTCAGCAAAACCTTTTCACGTTCAGATCGCAGAAACAAAATGCATTTGTCTGTGGGGTAGTTATTTGGCGTAGACGTTGGGCATAAAGAGAGGGAAGGCTTGTAATAGGTTGCGCACGAAGCCAGTTCGCCCGAGTGCGCGTCCGACATTTCCGCGTTGATCTACGACGATTTTATGTAACTTTTTTACATGAACCATGACCCTCCTTATAATTATTTCCAAACCACACTCCACGGTATTCTTTATATAGAAAACCAACCGAGGAAGACAGCTGTCGCTATCGACTCATTTCGCTTCGCTCTCAGAAGCGAATCGACCGCTTGCATTACACAATGAACGGTAAGCGACAGTTCGTTTGCTCCGCGTCAGCGAGGCGCTTAACAGCGGCCTACTCTACCGGCATTGTCCTAGCCGCTCACCACGACCATGTGCGCAAGTCTAAAATTGAAATAGGATCAAATCTAAGAAAAGTAATAACTACACATCATCTATTCACTCCTCATCGAGTGACGAGAAGGAGATTTGCCACTGGCAACGCAGTTTGTGATGACATATATAGCTTTAACGGTAAGAAATTAGTTAAATGTGAAGAAGGAAGGCCTTGTCAGACGCGCGTTCACGTGCTACCGGAGGCGCCGGTTGGATTTTATACTCCTGTTAGGTAACGACCGTTTACATTCGTGCCGACAATAACTTGAAGATGAACAATAATTTCATGTCATAACACGGATTAAAACCACTACCAATGCCACTACATATCGCTTAGTTTATTCAAAGAACAGGACAATTAGACGGCTAACATTAGCTAAAAGCTAGCCGTTGGAAAGCCCGGTGCTTTCTCAAGTATAGAAACGCGACGTGAGTATGCTCCCCTTTACATCTTCATCTTTCTCTCATCTATAACAACTTATGTATCAGCATCGAAAAACATGATACACTCTTCTCGCTTTTTAATCACGTAACAATAAAAAAGGTTTCCTCACCTATTATCATATTCAGCCGACATTATTCCAAAGAAAGAAACTGCGGCAGAAATGTCTTATATACGGTGACAACACACAAAGAGGCTTTCTCATTGCAACACATTGCCGTCATTTAGCTTTGATCCCGCCCACACCTCATTCTGATTCGCCATTTGGGATGTCAAATAAAAAAAGGCGGGTCGAAGTGAGAGGAGTAGTGTTCGAGTGTGGCACCGTTCTCATGCCAATGGGGCGGAGTTTACGTTTTGTACGCAGAGGCAGCTTTGCTTCTGTCATCCGGGGTACGCCGGTGTACATTTTTTTGGACTTAACATTCTTAGGTTATCCGGTTTTACAACGCTGACAAAAGAGCAAAGATGTATGTCTCCGTTCTCTGTGAAAAACACTGAATGTTATCGTGTTTTTAGAGAAATCGAAACCTGGAAAAATACTGCTGTATGACAACCGGCGTGATGTAAGCACACAATAAAACTGTGGATGAGTCACTCTGTTGTCATCCTGAGCTGCTTGAGGGAAACAAGTAATATGTCATAGAGTGTTACACAATAATACCCGTAAATGAGACTTGAGGAGGACAGGTACGGGTCTGAAGGTCTGAGGGATCCCCAACGGTTAGGTCCAACGTATTTACATCTACAAAAATGTTAATGTTGGTGTTGTGATCCATACACCTTATGTAACTTTCTAAAAATCCCATAATACTTGAGTTCATAGGCTTTCTCATGTATGAGCAGATTCAAGGGGAATTGCATTGATTCATTACCCTACTTTTAAAGGCAGAGTTCAGAAATACAGTGCCTCGAGATACCAAATAGAGAGTAAAAATGTTGGGAAGGATGCTGAAATGATGTGGCAAGATTTAGATCTGACCGCCCACAACAAAATATGTTGAAATCTGACACTCAGGAACATTATTCTGTAACTGTTCAACTATTAGCTCACACAATCACTCACAGTGGTGAACCTCGAGTCTTCCCATCTTTCCTTCTTAGAGACTCAGCCCCTCTGAATGTCCTTTTTTATACCCAGTCATGTTACTAACATGTTACTAACTTTTTACCTGTTTGGTTGTACCTCTATAAAAACTTTTTATTTACAGTTTACTGCCTTCAAATTAAAAATGAGCAGATGTTTTCTTAGAACATTAAAAAATGTTTTGGTCTCTACATTTGATATGTGGTTTTGTACTCATCATTTAAATTCTTATTTAATCAGACTTTAAATGATTTGCAAACCATCAAAATCTGTTTTTGGGGGACATTTCACACAGCCCCAAAACTTGTTTGAACTTGGAGTTGCGAGAAAACTGGACTTTTCACCAAAATTTGAATTACAGAAATGAAGAAATAAAAATAGTTTTAAAAAAGTAAAAAATCGTTAAAATTACTGGAGTCTTTTTGAACCCCAGAATCAAGAACAAACGTTTAAATGTACTATCAACATCTTTACTTAACTCTGAAAATAGTGAATGAACTCTTCCAGCTAACATTCATCCTTTAATTCATACTTGTTCATCATGATGCACATGTATTTAACTTCTGAGCACTGCTTCAGCTCTTTGTTCCCTGAAATACCCATAATTCAACCTGACCTCCAAACTGTTGCCTCTCTACAGAGCTCATTTAATGAGCATATTTTAGATGTTTGATAAACAGAAATTCCTCTTATGTCTTAAAGTCAGTGGCAAAAACAGCTGTGATAGTGAGTAAAACGGTGAATATTTTCAGTCAAAGAGAAAATGTAAATCCCATCAGTCACCCAGCTGATGCCCATGCAGCGTTTGATAAAATGTGGAGTCAATTCTTTGCTGCGTATTTTTATTTTTAGCAACCATAATGCATTGTAGAAGATATATAAAACTGTCAACTCTGTTGCATCAACTCATGTTTGAAAAAAAAGAAACAAAACAAAAACACACAGCTATCAACAAGTTTTGTCTTCTGTTATAAAAAGAAGAGGAGGGTACTGTAACCGGATCTGTCTGTCTGTCGTGGTCCTCACTAAACGGCTCTTTAAAGCCCGAGGATCTCTTTCTGTTCTTCCTTCTAAACAACACAAAGCAGTAGTCCTCCTGTTTAACACCGTCTGTTTAAAGCAAGAAGCATATCAACACGTTTACTGACAGAGATAAACACAGAAAAAGATAAATGCAATGTAAAGAGACCCTTTCTGAGGGCCAATGACTCGTTCTGGGTTTGTCTGGGCATTGATGCAGATCCAGTCTCGCACGTGGAGGTGTTCAGTTTGTACGTGGAGGAAGAGCGATGAAGGCAGGAGGCAGTGTGTCACGTTCCAGATAACCCTCTGAAAAATGCACTTAAACATGGTCGCCTCCTTTGGGTTCCACTTTCAGCATCACTTTTCCATCCAAACACGAGAAGGAAGTCGATAAACAAATATTTTACACTGGAAATGTCACGTCCCACTACAGCAGCGAACGTGCTCACTGGATAGAAGCATCCTCAATGATACAACAGCTGCAGCTTGAGGGAGTGTGTTTAGACTTGTTTTTAAAAAGTAAAGCTGTGCTCAGACCAACAAAGTGGACATTTTTTTTGCATTTGGACTCTGAATACCTGTCCTCACAGAGTCTTAGTTTCATACTCGAACCAACAGATATGAGTCTATGAACCCAAAACAAACATTTATTAGACTGAGATTAAATAACTCCATTTTAATCAAATTTAAGGGCAAGCCATGACCATATCTGAAGCTACATAGAAGTTGCTTGAGTTTGTTGTCTCTGTTGTGCTAACAGCGGGGTTACATTGAGGTGACGTCACTTAACTAGATGTCACACAGCTCCCAAGTGCTTAAATAGGAAATGTCAGTAAATCAGATATTCTACTTATGTCAGGAAACTTGAGTAGCATTCTCTTAACACCTTAGCCAATATTTCTTTACTCAGATCTGAATTTTGGCTGGTAATATCTTGAAAATCAGTGAATGTGTCTTCTGTTAAATCTAATAAAATTTTTCTTTTTATAGAAACGAGACCAAAACACATGGATAGTTTTGAGTTTTTCCAGTGAATATGACTCAATGATATTATTAGTCCTTAAGATGTTTAAAAAAAGACTTCTTCAACCGTCTTAAAATCACTTATCACTGTAATTATAGGTATAGTTTTGTTCTGTTTGTGTATTTGAAATGTACGAAACTAATAAAAGAAATATCAGCCAATAGTTCAGTGTGGCCTTCTCAGCACCAGTAGGCTCTTAAATCTTAAAAAAATTGAGGTGATTTCTGCTCTGAGCACAGCTTTATGTTTTCTCACTGTCATCTTGTTGAAGCAGCACAGCACGCTGTACGGATGGATGGATGAAAGGCATCATAGTCCACTGGTACTATTCAACCACAGGCTTACACACAGACAGCTTCAAATCATCCTCCAGCAGCTCAGGCTTCAGGCATTTCATGTGAAAGACTAACTTTGGTCCAACCTTCATCTGGACTCTTTAGATGATCTTCATTCAGAATGAGAAACACGGTTGGACTTTAAAAAGGATGGAAGGTAAGCACACCCCAAAAAAAATGGAAGCTAGTCTTGGCCTCTGTCAACCACAAAGGAATAACCGTGACATGGAAATCAAAGAGTTTTCAAAAGGGTGGAGAGGGGGAAGGAGAGGAGAGACAAAACAAAGTCACCTACAAGAGAAGAAGAAGAAGAAGAAGAATCTCTGGATGTCGGCAGAGAAAAATAAAGTTTTTGTCAAGTTCTCCAGTCACTCCTTGCTCCCCTGTGTCCTCTTCTTGTTATATCATTGTCTCTTCGTGTAGTCGGGATTAGGTGGGAGCAGGTGGAGATGGTGGGCAGGGGTAGGTAGTGTATGGCGGGTCACAGGGTGAGCTTGCAGTGACACAGTTCTTTGTACATGTTCCTCCTCAGGCGAGGCATATCCTGCTGCCCGAAGCTGAACGGCTGCCCGAGCGACAGACACTTACAGTACTGAGGAGAGAGAGAGAAAGAAAGGGAGACGAGGGTTACTGACAACTACACAACTAATACACAACAATAAGACAATAAATACACAAGAAAAACAGCAGGGAAAGCAAAGTGTGTTTCCACTCTGCAAGATGGGACTGGTGGTTTGAAGAGGATCATTTTAGAGTCCAAGTTTGACACATTTCTGCTGCTTTGTTGTTGTTTTTTTGATGATGATAAGAAAGTAAACTGACAGTAACCGTGGTCTACATCGAGACCGTAGAGGAAATAATCTGCATATGAAACAATCAGACTTTTGTTTTACGCTCAAACACTCTGAGGTGATGACTTGTCATTCAGTGGTTGCCCTCAAGAACCCCCTTCTCCAGTTAGAGCCAAACAAGGTCTGAAAACTTCTCCCTTTACTCTCCATTACACACCCCAAGCCATCTACAGCCCCATATAAACTGTGATTCTCTGTATGTTTGGACTCCTTTCTCTCAGATCCAGCTTGAACTTTTTCTGCACTTTGAACTCCAGCACCTCTTCTGTTGGATTCGACCACATGAACCAGCCTCACATTACTGAACTTTGGACGCCCATGACCCCGACCATGGTCTTCCTCCGTGGGACCTCTCTTGGTAGGTACTGACTAGGGCTGCAACTAACTGCTATTGAGATAATCGACTAATGATCCTTTATTAAATGTTTAACAGCCTAATCAGGTAATAGACTCTGTAAGGATCCTTTACCTCACTCACCCTCAAACAAAGAACAGAACAGGGTGTTCTGGTTTACTAAATGTTACCTTTACACTGATCAGTCATGTCCTGATTTGAGCAAAACTCGTTTCTTATCTTCCCAACAAGCCAACTGGAGCTGCTTGAAACAGCTGAGATCTCAGACGGATATCTGGGACTCTAATCGCTCCATCAATGTGATGTTTGGGTTTTATGGAAAGTCACACAAAAGTTTTATTTGTGACATATTTCTATAATGCAGGATGAAGCCGTCACACAGTGTAAGTAACTTACATCATACAGTGTTATTTTCACACTTCTTTGTAAACAGACCTCAGCTCAAACACAGGAAACTCACCTGTAGCACAAAAGCCCCACAGTCGCTGTCGTTGTTTTGGCGCCCGACGTTCTGAAACACACAATCAAACTACATTAGGGAAAACACAGTCAAGTGCGTATGACTCGCAGCAGCAGCTACACACCCTACCCGTAGAGAATATCCTTTTGTTGTTGAGTTATTAAGACCTGAATCTGTGTCAAGACAAAATACAATGATCTCACCATTTTAAAATATCCTTTCCATCCTGTCAGAAAGTCTCGCTGCTCTTTTTTGATGGCTTCTGCTTGAAGGTATTTATGAATGTGCTGCAACAAACAAACGATTCAGAGGAAAGAGTAGAGGGAGAAAGCAAAGCAACACCAGTTAGTATTCTCTGAAACCGGTACCACTGATGACTAAAGCTTTGTGATGGTTGTTCTGCTCTGGTTGTTCCAGCTGAACTCTGATTTTTTATGGATATTAGAGTCACTGATGTCACACCCATGTTATACCAACAGAATATAATCCATGTTTTCAACCCTGACTTTAGTCGTACCTTTGGACAGCGTCTGTTGAGAGTCCGCTGAGAGTCGAAGTAGGTAATGGCTCGACGGGGGATGTCCACACTAATCAGAGACCAGTGGACCTCCAGGTGGATCGGGATCAACAACAGATCTTTCTGGAAGATATCAACCTGAGGGCAAGAGAGAGAAGTAAAAGGGGGGATTACTGGTTTGAATAACCATCTGCTGAATACTGACACAGTACAGATAAACTCCAGTTAAAATTATATGATGTGTCGTATTTTATATCCAAGATTTTATGACTAATTAAATTCAAGGTTTTTTCATCCACTCACGTTTTTCGTCCATCGTTTGACCCCGTCATATCCTTTTGTCCTTAGCTTATCGTAAAAGAAGCTGTTGAAAAAGTGAACCTGAGGAGGAACAGAGAGAGAGAGGGCGTTGAGAAATCTCCAAAACAACAAACATCCTGAAAACAAAACACTCTGAGCATGTTAGACAGAGGTCTTCTTTAGAGTATGTATACACTACACTTGCAGAACTTTGCAAACAAATGGCGTGTTCGCCATCATTTAACCTAGATTATTTTTTCCAGGCTAAAACTGAAATATCTGTGCGAAGCTGGAGTGAGTTGATGAAAGAATACAGCAGGACACCGAAAAGAGTGACACCTAATAAATAACTAAATCATTTTTTCAGACAGGAACAGAGAGGGTGTCTGCTCATGTGTCTGCTGCTGGTCTTGGTGGTTTCATTCTTCATCATTGTTGTAAATATTAACAGGGCAGACTTCACGCTATGAGGGACAAACGTCCCCTATAATAACTTCAAATCTGTGACGTTTCTTTAGCTGTGTTTCCACCAAGCGCTCTGGTGAAGATCAGTAACCAACCTGTACCCTACTACTTTTCTGGTGCCCTTCTGCTGGGACACCAAGAGTGCTTATTTGAGCCTGAAGTATAATGATTGAGAAGAAGGAAGAGGAGCGATCATCTTGAATTACTGCTTGTCCTTCCCGACCCGATTTATTTGATCAGTTAAATCAGAGGAGTCTCTCCCCAAAAGAAGAGCTTTCACAACCATAGTGTATTTTTCAGGCTTGTGACAGAGATATAGCTGACAGTGAGTGTAACCTTTGTTTATTGCCAATCATGTTTCGGTGTATTTTTGATCATGATCTGCACAACTCGCAGAAATGCACAGCCTGCGTCAGCGCTCGGGTTGTCACGATTAGGAATTTCTGGAGACAATAATTTGTCAGACAAATAATTGCGATTGATGAGTATATGGTAAATTATACTGAATAATAAATTTGCCAAGAGCCAGTTGACAGGATGCACTGGCTGCTGATTGCACTGGTGTGGTCTTTCCAAGTTTGCCGCATTGCTGTGGATGGTGGGTCTGGAGATGTTGTTTCAGATTTGTTGTGTTAGCGCTCTTGACCTGCACTTTTTTATGGCAAAGTTTACATATCGATTCCTCCACGTTATCGTTCGGCTTAAATCCGAAATGCACCCACAGCAGTGCCGTGGTACGTGGCTTTGGAACCTGAACCTCCTCATCCTCCATCCTGACCTGGAGTCGCTGCCCATCCGACCAAGACGAGAGGTAAACAACATATGGCTGCGACGGAGAAAGCTGCGGCTGCTGATGCAACACGATGACGTCAGACTCAGATTTACGGTTATTTTATGCAACTTTGTGGATAAAATAAATAGTTGACGGTGATCGCAAATATTTAATCGCGAAAGATGCAAATCCGAATAATAATCAAGATGGGCAAATATTCTAACAATCGTGACTGCCCTGGTCGGCGCTCTAATATTGCAGCACTACAGCTGAAAATTAAGCCACTCAGAGGACGTGATGCATCCAATGCAGTTCCTGCCACTTTCCAGGGTAGGATACAGTCTGCAGAATTCAACCCGTACTGTACTCTACCAAACCGGACCCCTTGATGAGACTGCAACATTCATTTCCTCACCTTCTCTGGTACTGAGTCCATGACCAGGTCCCCGTACATGTTCATAATCTGAAGAAAACGACAACAGAGGGAGATTGGGTTACAAAGGGGATAAGTTTTTAAAAAATAGATGCAGAAACTTTTTTCAGCACAAAATCACAATTGCAAAAGTGACAGTATGTGTAAACTGATGTGAGTTAACTTTGCAGAGTCCTTGTGTTTGTTGGGCAGAAATAACACACTATAATGTTTTAGAGAAAACTGCAGCAGAAGTTTGTATTCATACATACATGCACCTTAGTCTGATTCATCATGAGGATTTGAGATTTCTAGATAGAATAAACCAATGGTTCTTCTGTGGTCTCAGTCATACAGTATTGTCTGTACCATGTCAATCTTTTGTGAGTGTTTTGGAGCCTGAATGTTTACCTGTTCAGAGTTACATATGGGGAACAGGAGTTAATCACACACAGTCATGAATGTTTGTTTTAAACCTCCTCAAAGACTTTTGAAGGTCAAATTTGAGGATAGAAAAAACATAAACCACAACTACTGCATCCACCTGAGCTTAGCTCACTCCAGAATCCTGCTGCTGTGTCAGCAAACTCTCTGTCATGGCTCACCTGTGATTTGCAAATGCAATAGTGAGTCAAAACAGCCTGAACAAAAGTGTTCAGTACCTGGTCATTGAGCCAGTTCTGCCCGTACAGAGTTCCCAGGTCGTCCATGGTCAGAACGTGGCGTTTATAGTTCACTCTGAATGTTTTAGCGAGAGCTGAACCCGACGAGCGCTGGAAGGACTGTATTAGGTGCTGCACCACTGCTTTCCTGTTAAACAAGTTTACAAAAGAGCCAGTCACATATTTTAATGATTTATCTTCATCAGGGCACCTCAGAGAAATAAAACATGCCCAAACTTCATGCCTTGTGAGCTCAAAGCTTGTCAAAGCCAAAGAGTCAGGTATTGGTTCATCTAAAGGAGACTTTCATGTTATAAATATGATGAAGATAGACAAAAGTTTTGAAACATGCCTTTATTTTTAAACTCTGAAGGAAGTGGAGAGTTTCTGACCTGTGTGGCTGTGAGAAGCTCTCATTGAACATGTCCTGAAGTTTCTCCACAATGTCGTCCACATGGATGGGGATCAAACTGCCGTACTGCTGCAGAGACTCTTCAAGAATACCTGAAAACACCAGAAACATCAGAGACACAGGAGCAGAATAAATAAACTATCATCTCCACAACATGCTAGATAAGGGCGCCAGGGAAGACAGACTCTTGTTACTTGACACTTTTGGCAGTGATTTCCAGGCCTTCAGGCAGCAGAGCAATAAAAACAGACAGAACTCTGTACTGGAAATCATTGCATGGACTCAAAATCACTTCCAAAAACCACTGAATGTGAACAGATTTAGGAACAGGATCCAGAAACACCAGATTCTCTGAACCTGAACCCGTTTAAGGTGGACTGAGAGGAAGAAGAACAGTCCCGTGGACTGATGATCCAAATCTGGACATTCTTTTAAAAAAATCATGGATACTGCATCCTCCTCTCTAAAGAGTAGAGGGACCACCTGGCTTGTTCTCAGCTCCCAGTCCAAATCCAGCTTCCCTGATGGTACGGGAATCTTTAAAGCCCATGTCATGGATGGCTTCTACATCTGTGAAGGCTCCATTAATGCTGAACAATATCTACAGGTTTAGGAGCAACATCTGCTGACATCCAGACAATGACAAACCACATTCTGACAACAGGGATTACAGCTGCGTGGCTCTGTAGTAGAAGAGTCCTGCTGATAAACTGGTCTGCCTGCAGTCCTGATTTGTCCCCCATTGAAAACATTTGGAGCATCATGACACCAAAAACAGGACAAAGGAGACCCTGAACTGTTGAGCAGCTGAAATCTTCTATCAGGCAAGAATGAGACAAGATTTCACTGTCAGACTCCAAAACCTGGTCAGCTGGGTTCATTTAGGTCTACAGAGAGTTGGAGAAAGAAGAGCTGAGGACACACGATGAGAAACATGAACCTGGAACCACTTTTTAGAGGAACAATGCAGGCATTAGAGTTTAAACGGGCAGACATTCTTCATAAATAATCACATTTTTCAATTTCAACAACTGATGTGTTGTCTTTGCTCTATTTTCATTAAAATATAGAATTTTTAATCAATATAAAACCAACAAATTTGGTTTTAATCAACATTTCAAACAGCATTCAGGTTACAGGAATCATGCTGAAATTTTTGGTATTGGGGTTGTAAATCTACTACAAGACAAAATAAGACAAAACAATTTACATCTTTAACAAGATAAGATAATCCCTCATTATTTTCATAAAATCCTTAGTTATTAGATGAATGTGAGAGTTGAAGCTGCAGCTGTACCTGTCACACAGCTCATGTGTTCTTCAGTGAGGGCCAGCTCCAGAGGTTTCACCTCCACCTCCCGTCTCCCCCGGTCCTCCTGCTTGTCTACAGAGCATCCGTTTAACCCTTTATCTGACACACAAAGAAACCAGATAGGAAATTTGTTCAGTTTTCAGTTGATCGGTCAATATTTTCCACAATTACAGAAAGAGGGAAGACTCTACATGAACTGTTTTGAAGTAAAACCATGCATGCGAGTGAGTACCTCTGTCTGACTCTGTGAACCGTTCGTCGCTGCTGTTTTCATCTCCGTCTGCGAACTGTGATTGTCTATACCTTTTTGTCCTCCTCTGCTTGCCGTACAGGCTGTACCTCTGCATCCTCCGACCGAACCTGTTCCCTTGCGAGCCGACCCACTCGGCCCGCTGACGCCAGCTCTTCCAGTGCTGGATGAGCCGGATTCCCAGACCCTTGCGGGTCCGCAGACGCTGCCAGCGTTTGAGCCTCCCTAGGGTCCGGTACCTGCTCAAGTGGAACCGCAACAACTCCCGCGCTTCAGCCTGGGAGGCCAAGTCCTCCACGGGGACATCTCTGCCTGCCTCCACCTGCTGCTGTGGTCCATAATGTGGGTGAGAGGGAGGGTCAGACTGGGAGGGGAATTCTGGGACGTCCCAGTCCAGCTCCTCGTGGTCTCCTTCATCGTCCACCTCCTCATCTTCTTCTTCTTCTTCATCTTCGTCATTGTTCTCCCAACTCTTCCCCTCGTAATCCTCCTCGCCGTCCAGGTTGTTTTCTTCTTCCTCGTCTCCTATCGCCTCCATCCGTCCCATCCCATCCTCTTCCTCCTCTTCGTCTACATACTCTCCAGTCCACACCTTCTCCTTTTGCCCCAGCCTCAAGTGCATTGGGGTGGGCACGCTGTGACCCGACACCGGGACTATGAGGTCCCCGGGAATTCCACCTGAGCACAGAAAGAGCAGAACTTGAATATTACTGTCTGGTTCTAAAACCACGGCATAGAGTTAAAAATTCAAAGTTTCTTGTCTTGGCTGGTTTTGTTCCAAAAATAAATAAGTGTTTCTTATTTCTTAAGTATATTATCCTGCTGTCATACAAGTCTGTGTGAATCTCCACTGAGGGAAATTTTAAAATAGAGTTATTAATAAGACAGTTATTGCTCAATCCTTCCAAACTTTCACTCAGAGGTGATGAGTCTCACCTCCTCCGGTGTCGTCCTGTCCCACAGCGGTCAGACCCAGGTCTCCCTGCCAGCGGTTCTGGGTCAGGCTGCCGCCACTGTCTCGCATTATCCACGAACAACCCACTACCTGCGCCAGCTCGTCACCTGCAGACAACAAACACAGTGTACAGTGAGTGAAAGTTCCACACCCACATCAGTAAATAACATGCCTGATGTCCGCTGTATGACCTCATGTTTGCAGCATTATCACCGCCCTGGTCGACAAGCTCAAACGCTGCTCCATAAGCAGAGAGTCAGATCAAAATCACTTGGATTCATAGTTTAATTAGAGCCCAACATTACGTTTAAGGTAACAGTAAAAAAAAAAGACTGATCTCTGTTAGTGTCTTTTCTGGAATGTTATCAGACACAAAGATATTTTCTATCTCATTTTGGCTGATACTGATATTGAAGCAGATATTGACACACCTGTTTTCATTGAAATAAGAACTTAATGATAATAACTCATCTCACAACAGTCTGTTTATTTCAGAACCAGGCAAAAAAAAGGCATTTGACTGATTGATTCTACGAAATCTGTGCGTAATTCATACTCCACCTTTGTGGCCAATAATCATATCTGCAAAAATTATCATATCTAGCGGTACCAATTATTTTTAAACTGCTACCTGCTGACACAGATATCATTTCCCACTATAATGCACTTTTAAAAATTGGCCTTGTGCATTTACATATGACACTGCAGCCAGTTACATAGCTGAAGCAGTAATAACAAAAATGATAGTCTTCTTTCTCCGTTAAGAACGTTTTTTTTAATTCTTTTTATCACAGTCCAGATTTTCCTTTTCAAAGGTTACACGTTAAGTCAGTCACCCCTTACGTCCTGGCATCATTTCTCCTGTGACTTTAAGCAAAAATCAAACAGCAAATCCGCCTTCACGATCATTTAACCCAAAGATTAATCTAAGATTTTCATACTTTGTTTTGAGATTGAGGTGCTGTACTATTTGTCATTTGTTTTGTGAAAATGTGCCTGCCATTGACATAAACATCATAGCATTCAGCAACCTGGGAACAGTTGATGTCAGGCCTTAGGAGAAACTCTAATTTTTGCCTGATCTCAAGCAGTGGATTATATCTGCAGCTGTCATTTTTCTGATGATGATTTCTTCTAAATGTAACCATTGACTGCAGGTTAAAATGAACATTGTAAGTGTTCACTGACTGTTCAGTTAAAAGATTTAGAGCCCCTTGAGTTATTGAAGACGCTGACAGCTAAATGACTGTATTGCACAATGACACTGGTGCTGGTCCTAATTTTCACTATTAGTGCACAGTGTATTTCACACTAGTATAGGGCTGGGCGATATGGGAAAAAGGTTATTACAATATATTTTTTTCATATCAGTTGATATTAATATGTTGATATATTGATATTAAAAAATCACTTGTCAATCTTAAATGTTCCCTGTTAAGTTCCTTTCCCACCGAGACCATTTTTTTCGTGCAATTATTTCGGACGTCAATATTTTTTTTCGAACCTGTATCCTGTCAATACAAGCGTTCACATCAGGGACATTTTCCCATTCTACGATATTGCTGCATTTATTTTTTCGGATCACAGTCAATTTTTCTTAAGTTTTGCATACTGTGTGTCCACTTCTGACCGATCAGATTGCGTGTTGTTGCAACGTCAGATTCACCGGTATATCCAACATGGCCAATCGGCTGATTGTTTACGTGTCGGAGAACAGAGTGCTTTTTGATATAAGACACAAATATTACAAAGATAACGACCTGAAGGAACAACTTGTGGAGAGTCATAGCGTCGGATTTCTCATATGACAATAGTTTGTGTGCTTTTACAGTTCGCTAAACGTCTTTGTTTTAACTTTCATCTGTGCTAATATAAGCTAACAGTTGTTACCATAGTTTCATGTGCTTATCTCATCGCCTCTGATTGGCTATAAGTGCTGACCGTCTGGCTTGAACGTGTGATGACGTTTCCAGCTTTTCTAGTCAATCAGAGGTGAAGGAGGCGGGACTTTCCCCAGAAAAAGTCTTTTTCCCCCCGGAAAGTCGCAAAATCACATCGGGCTTGATGTGTATAGAAAGGTGCGTCAAAAATTTGCCTCTGAATATTTCGTAATTTCCCTTTCTATATTCGTGTCAGCCCTGGTGTGTAAGGACCTTTACTGTTAAATGAAATTTAACATGTACTCGACATAATTTGCAGTGCACACTACTCTGCTTCATGTCTGACCTCAAAAACCAAAATACCTCCACACCACCAATGTTTTCATGCCAGTGTTGTCGACGATGTCGTCATCTGTTGAGCCTTCATCTGCATTTCTGCCACTCAGTTTCTTTTTTTCCTCACTAATAGTGCTGTCAGCTTCACCTGTTAAAGTGTTATGATTGTGTGTAGCTGCTGCCTGCTACTACACAGTTGTTTGCTACAAGAAACTCCCCATTTCACTGGCTATTCATATAGTCTACCAAAAGATGGCAGAATGTTGACTATCAAGAAGCATATTGACCACGTTTTATATCGATATTGAGGGAAATTAATTTTTAATAATATATCGTTATATCACCCAGCCCTACAGGAGTGTAATGTACATTATTATAACACACAAAACAGCTGAAAAAACACTATCAGTAGCAAGATCCTTATATAATACTTAATAGAGAGTGCGGCAAACAAAACAGACACAAACACAGGGGTGAAATATGACTAAAATTATTAAAATATAACACATCAGACAGTTTTAATTCTATCCTGTCAGCTACTATAGGAGTGGAAACATGATGTTAATCAAAAATGAAGACCAGGGTTTGTTAAATCAGCAAACACAGAGCTGTCTAAATAAAATAATCCTTATTTTCATTCATATACTCAGAAGTATGCCCTCATTTCACAACAACCCCTGTTACAATGTGGACCCAGGTACACATGGGAGCTACTCTGTTGATGTTTCTGCAGGTTCTTATTCATCTAGGTCATGGTTATCCAATTCTGGACATGCCTGAGTATCTTGAAGACCCTTTTTTGTGGATGAGCGTCTTCAAGAGCCTCAAACACATCCAGCACCCTTTCAACACAGATCCGGATCCGGACTGCTAATGCATAGCGAGCAGAATAATGATGCAACCTGGAGAGCTGGCGTTTAAAATGAAGACTTATGGTGTTAAAACGTGCCATGTGAAGTAAATAGTTCATGATGGGAGCATTTAATTCCGCTGCAGTAAATAGTCGCCCCCGATGCTAGCGTTAGCACGCTTAGCATTAGCGCCGCCACCGTCAGGGTTTCATATTTTAAATAAAATAAAGTACAACATAACTGCAAACACAACTCTTGAGGATACTTTAAAATGAAAAATATTCTGTCCTGTCGTTAAAAGTCTTCTAAATTAATCAGAATGGTTAAATTATAAAGATCTCCGTATTAGCGGTTTTAGCCGTTAGCCGGACAGTTAGCATGTTAGCGTGGACAGAATAAACCGGATCAGGGTTTTTCTCACAGACAGGTGAGACCCCTGAGTTCTTACCGTTAGCTTGGAGCTTTAGAAGAAAGACCGCGACACTTTGAGACTGACAGCTGAGCGCCTTTTCTCTGTGTGGATAGAAAAACCAAAACAAAGCTAATCACAGCTCATTGAATGAACTCAGGTGTGCAGCAGCCAGGTGTCACCTCCCCGCGAGCCCCGCTGTCTCTAAGATGTCCCCGTTCACTGAGTGCCCGCTTTACAGAGCAGGAGTAGCGGGTTCAGGTCAAATATCAGTGTGAAACCGTCGGGGTGGATCTGATTTGCTGCAGCAGAGCCGGAGCACCGCAGATTCTTCTTTTTTCATGTAAACTACAACTGACCGTCGCGCAGATGTGACGTCACGCAGGAGAGTTTCCTGAGGATAGTCTTTCAAGATTGACCCCTACCTTCAGTCCACCTGGATGAGAAAATACCTGATTTTGATTGGATGAGAGTGAGGAGGATGAGAGAGGTGTTTTGTTCAGTTTACAGGAATCATCTTCTCATGTAGGGACTGACCTCTGCTGGGACGGCGGGATGTATTAGTTTCTACAACAAACATTAAAGGTGCAGTCTGTAGTATTTTGAGGCATTTATAAGAACAGACTTCTTTATAATAGTCATATTATTGGTCAGTGCCTGTCTATATTGTTTAGCATTAATCAGAGCTGTGGATTTAACAGAGTGGCGACAACTTCAGATCTCGCCGCCGGAGCGGTCTCGTGGTTCATGTACCCCTCCATAGTTCCTAACGCAGTCTGCACTGTCCATGCTCTTCAACGGGACAGACTGCAGTGAGCGCGCATCTAAGAGGTAAATATTAAAATTAACCGTAAAAAGTCAACATTTGCAACTCTTATTGGATTACTGTGTACACGTCAAAGTCACGTACATATATTTAGTGGATGACTAATAAAAGTGAAATAAGACAAGTTTGGAAACAGGTGTTTCTTTTTAATAAGAGAAAATAATACAATAAAGTGGTAAGTAACAGGTGTTACAAGCTATTTAAACAATTTTGCAATGTTTTGGTCTCGCAGCATGGCCTGCATAACATTTTTCCATGTTTAATCCACTGCTCTGCTTTGATGTTGACTAAAACCACAGGAAATTACACAATTTTAACCCGGAAACGCCACAAAATCTCAACTTTTTACCTGATTAATGCATTCAAAGTTATTTTTAACATTTTTTTTTTACTTACAGTACCTTGAGGTATATTTGAGATTATGTTTGACAGAAATGTAGAGTTCTTCAACACAGAGGCGTACTGTATTTATTTGAGGATAAAACTGCTCTTGTTTCCTGAATTAACAAGAATTATATCTCAGAATTAACTAAAACATTTTCGGGGGGGAAAAAAGTTCTTTTTTTATATAGTTAACGAAAATAATCATGTTAGAATTAAAAGATGAACAGCCACGAAGAGCCATACAGCTCAACCGCTGAAGAACCTGTAAAACAACCATACTGAAATGTAATTCATAATAACAGACCAGTGTTGGCTGCTCGTGGGTATCTTTAAATCAAGATAGACATCAAACATGAGTGTATATCTGTGCACCTCAGTGTTGTCGTGTTTCTCCGGCTCTGTGCAGGGGTTCCAGCTCTCCTGCTGGGGGTCAGGAATTGTTTCAAGATAACCTACGAAGGATGTGCGGGTGAAGATAAACCCATGTAGACCATCTTCTGGAAACACCAGGATCTGGGCACCCTGATAAAGACAAGAGAAGACACGACTGAAAAAACATGCCAGGATTCTGAATGCACAGTAATTTGCTGTCATATAAGGTATGACCCTTTTATTGAATAATACACTTACTGGTTGATTGATTTTTAGTAGAGCAATAGGTAACCCTTTTTATGAGTCGCTACTAAGCATTTATAACTTTCCAATAAATCATACCTGCTGAGCGGCTCGTGCAGCCTGCACTTCGTAGATATCCAAGTTTTTCTGCATGTGTTGAAGGGCAGCCTGCCGCGACACCGGGACACAAGGGTCTGGGTTGGTGATTAAATTGTGCTCATACACAGCAGCGATGTATGAGGACTCCATTGCTGGCTGTGTTTGACCAGCAGCCACTGTCAAATAGATACCTACTATGACACTGAATAGTTTCATGGCGTCACTCGACAGAGACAGAAATTAAGTCAATAAGATCAACTCGGTCCATTATGGCTCTTGAGGGGTCAGGAGTCCAACTCGAGTCTACAGTAATGAGGGGTGAGTCAGCTATTTTTTTTTCCTTTTGTTTGTTTATTTTTTACTTTTTTGGATGGTTTGTAGAGTCACTTGGGAAACCCATTTTGCGAAATGTTGACTGAACAAATATACGGACAATTATAGTTGTAACTTCTACATACACCGTGCACATGGAGAAAAAGGTTGTAGTTTTAACAACCACAGCAGCTTACCAGGCCAATTTCAGATTACCTTAAAGCACCTGTGTACAATCACCTGTGTATCCCAGTGGCCTTCGAGCTGGACCAGCTGCTCCAATCAGAAAAACAATTGACTTAACTCTATGTGTTCAAGATAACTCTCTGGTAGACCCAGGGATGCTGAGGAGCTCTGAACCATTTCTCCTCTGTTTTTGTCTCTATCTTATGGCTTTTTAGCAGGGGTCATGGTCTGCTCCAGGTTTTCTGCCTTCTTAGTGAGAAGGTTTCTCCTGTGCCACTCTAACTTTCTAAATGCTGAAAGGTGCTCTGCTTATGGTACATTAAGATAAGACTGAGACTTATGATATAAGATTAGAATGAATCTTATCCTACAGTGATGTTGGCATGACATAGAACTGATTTATAACTCCACTTGCATACAGATATGTGAATAAGGATGTCAGCTGCATAAAAATAACATTTAATTCAGTCAAGCAAGATGAAGATTTTACATAAATTTCCCACTTTACTCTTACTTTTCTAAATTATAATTGTGCAGTTACGTAGAGAGTGATTTACTAAACAATGTTGTATCAGCACACCTATTCCAGCTAACAACAAGCCTCCAAAATAGGCAACAAAATGTACAGAGACCAGGCTGTGAACCAATTCCAGTGAAAAACAACCTGAAGGAAAACCAGGAAAACTCAGCAGGATTGATATTTTTCAGCTCGGATATAAGAATCCATCACTGCTTTTATCAACATTCAGTCAGATCAGCATGAATAAAACCATGAAATCCGGTGGCATCCCTAAAAAGACTTTTTTTTTTCCTTCACACAATACTGTTAATAAATCAAACACGATTAAAAGGTCTTTCTTTCTTACTTTCTTTCTTTCTTTTTTTCTTTCTTTTTATGTTTTTGCTGAGTGGCAGAGGACAGGTTTAGGAGCATTCATGTAACTCAGAAATAGCTCTGATAAAAACAATGATCATGAGGGCAAAGTTGCTTCATTTTTTATCTTCCCTTCTTCTTTTCTTTTTTCCCTCTTCTTTTTATCTTTCTTTTAAACATTTCTTTCTTCTTTCTTCCTCCCTTAATCCATGTTTGAATTGTTTTTATTATCACGAGTAGTGCCTGATACTTCTGCCAAAGCAGTTTACCAATCAATTAATTAATTACCTGTCTATCACAAAATGTTAAACTAGGATGAAGACATCTAGTTTACAGTATTTGATAGGTAAAGTTGATCATATTTTTTTTTCTTTCTGTCCTTCTTTCTTCCAGTTCTTTTCTTTCTTTGGTTATAAATCATTTTGTAGTTTGGCCAGTAAAGATGCTGAATAATCAGCAGAAGAGACAGGATTCATGCCTTCTGATTACTGACACAACTCAAAAGTAGCTTGAGTAAAAATGATTATAAGTGTTTAGGCTTTTTTTTACACCCCCTTCCTTCCAGCCATCTGTCCTCCCTTCCTTCTTTTATATTTTCTTTCTTTCTTTCTTTCTTTCTTTTAGTAACTCCTGTTGTGGTTTCAGCCACAGTTTTTTTTACCCCTAACACATATGAGAACTATGACGAGTTTTTCTTTTCACCTGAGCTGACCCACAGTGCCGACATAATAATAAAGACTGTTTAAAAGCATACTCGGCACTAAACATAAAGCGTCCTCTAGTGGCTGTAACAAACCACTTGGGAATAAATCAGTTTGTATTTAAGAACTTGGTTTTACAGCCTCATCAGTCTTAATATTTTACAAATCTTGTGTTTTTCTGAACTCTTCTTTTCTTCCTCTCTGCACATATGATTTGGTATCCAATACAAATAATTTAAAATGCTGTGAGGAGACAGGCTGTAAGTGTGTGCAAAGGGTTCAAGAACTTTCATCTTTCGAAAACACAACTTAAGACATGGTTTAAACTAAAATGTCAATGTCAATGTCAATGTCACGTTTATTTATATAGCACATTAATAGGACAGGCCAGACAAAGTGCTTTACAGGAGAAAAAAACATAAAATAATAAAAGCTACAAGTATGGCAACATTAAAAGGGCAACACACAATAACAACAATAAAAGAAAAGTGTACGCGAGTAAAAGCAGGTGACAACTCAACCAAAAGCTAGGGTAAACAGGTAGGTTTTAAGGTGCGTTTTGAAGGAGGTGAGGCTGGTTGCAGAACGCAAAGACTGAGGCAGGGCATTCCACAGTGTGGGAGCAGCAACTGCGAATGCCCGATCCCCTCTGCTTTTAAGCTGGGTTCTCAGCACATCTAAGACCATCCGGTCAGCAGACCTCAGGGATCTGGCGGGTCGGTGCGCCTTGACAAGGTCAGATAAATATTCTGGGGCCAGCCCGGGCAAAAACTTAAAAGCAAATAAAAGAATTTTAAAATCAATCCTGAACGTAAATGGGAGCCAGTGAAGTGAGGAGAGCACCGGTGAGATGTGCTCCCGTTTCTTGACTCCGGTCAGGAGACGAGCAGCAGCATTTTGTACAAGCTGTAGGCGGTTAATTTCAGTTTGGCTGATGCCAAAATACAGCGAGTTACAGTAGTCAAGGCGAGATGAGATAAAAGCATGGATAACCTTTTCCAGATCAGGCCTCCTAAGATAAGGCTTGATTTTTGCCAGTAACCGAAGCTGAAGAAAACTAGCCTTCACAACGGAGCTGATCTGCTTGTCCAGCTTAAGAGCCCCATCAACAATAACACCTAGGTTTCTGGCCTGGGAACCTATATAGGGTACTAAGGGGCCGAGGGAGCTGGCAAGGACCTGGACGGTGTCAGGGTTGCCAAAGAGGACAATCTCAGTTTTGTTTACGTTCAATTTTAAAAAGTTCAGGTCCATCCATGTTTTAATATCCCTCATACAGTTTAACACAGCCTGAAGGGATTCCTTGGAGGGGGCTCTTAGCGGCAGGTACACCTGCAAATCATCAGCAAAGCAATGGAAGATGTCACAATTTATTTGCATGTGCAAAATGCGGTGCAGCCTCCATGTCAACATGGCTGCTCTCGTTCCAGAGTTTCTTCTGTCCATTTCAGTCACCAGCTGGATAACTGCTGTGTTAGGAGGCCACTCTTACACTTGTTAAACTATAATGAAAAGACAAAAATATTAAAATACAAAATCCTTTAACAGATATCCACCAAAGTATGAAGAGACCAATCTTTAAGAAGTGATTACATTCTGAAAGAAAAGAACAAAGGATGCAGTCAGTGTACCTTCATGCACTGAAACTCTTGTCCATGTTCACCATCTTTGCTGCTGTTCTCATCTTCTCTTCTTCTTTCGGCTGCTCATCATCTTCACTCTCATCCTTGCGTGTGTCTATTGTACAGAGATAAATATAAGGAGATGAAAGATGAAGAAAATGCAGGTCAATAGAGCAGCACACAAAGACAACAGTTTAATGAAACAAACACATTCATCAAACTTTACTTACTTTACTTCTCCATGTTGTCTTGTTCATCCAATCTCCTTCTGCATCAAGGAGTTGGTCGTCATCTTTGGCCTCCTCTGGAGTCATTTTAGGCGTTTGACTCTTTGAAGTTACCTGAAACAAACATGAATTTCAGCCCTTCAGTTAAAATTGTCTATTTTTTTTCTTAAAAGTCGAACCTTTTAAGTAGTTAAAGAGTTATTTACCTTCAAATTCCCAGAAACACACAGTACATCCGTCATTCATCTTTCCTTCGTCTCTCTCTTCATGGGCCTGTCTCTCGTATGTTTGGTCCTCCTGCGTCTTCTGTCTCGTGCTCGGCTCTTCTGGGGGTTTCTTCTCAGTTGAGGTCCTTTTCCTAAAAAAAACAAAAAGAAAATGGGTCCTACACTGACTTTGTTTCATGTTAACAATGACTCTGGAGGAACCAAACTCACCTTTAGACTCGCTTACCCACTAAGTGAAAAAAACAAGTTAAGAGGTCACGCGAAAGGACATGACACAAAACAACACATCACAACACATCACAACACAAAAACACACACACACACGACGACACAACACACAGAAGAAAACAACACATCACAATATGAGGTAACAGAGTACATAAAAACACATAACATCAAACATGACCACACAACACAACACATTAAAAAACAAGACATCACAACATAAACACATGCATGACAACACAACCCATGAAACAAAACAACACATCACAAGACACTATACTGAAACTGCGCCACTACACAAAACATCCCAACACATAACATCAAAATAAATAACCACACAACACAACCAAGGACTTTTGAAGTTCTGCCCAATGAGTCCAAGGTGAAGTCGTTTTTTCTGCCTTTAATTGAAGCTTTTTTGTTTTTTTAGGAGCATGTGAGAGGAGGAGCTGGAGCGGAGCGAGGGATTCGTTGTCAATGACTTAAATGCAGAGCAGGGTGCCGGAGGCTTTCATTGGAGGAGGAGAGGAGATGCTGCTGAGGAGCTGGAGGCTAACTAATACCAAATTACCGAACAACCTTATTTGTTTTTTTAAGAGCAAGTGCGAGAGGAGGAGCTGGAGCGGAGCGAGGGATTCGTTGTCAATGACTTAAATGCAGAGCAGGATGCCGGAGGCTTTTATTGGAGGAGAGGAGATGCTGCTGAGGAGCTGGAGGCTAACTAATGCCGAATTACCAAACAACCTTATTTGTATTTTTAGAAGAGAAAACTTAACTTACTCTAACTTATCATAACTAAAACTTAACTTACTCTAACTTATCTTAACTAAAACTTAACTTACTCTAACTTATCTTAACTAAAACTTAACTTACTCTAACTTAACTTATAACTAAACAACTTAACTTACTCTAACTTAACTTATCATACCTAAACAACTTAACTTATTCTATCTTAACTTATCATACCTAAACAACTTTACTTATTCTAACCTAACTATGGCACAACGTGACCCCCAAAAGGACTCTTGCTTGGACAGTTGTTTTTCATCCGTCCAGCAGGCCTCTTGTGAGTCACGTTACACCACTGGAACCTGATCTTCATGAGGCGCTCAAGATTCTTCTTCCACTTGGGCTCAGGACCGGTGGAGATGAGCTTGGTGGATGAAGGGGGCGCAGGTTCCTCCTGAGTGGTCCTCAGTGGGGCCATCCACTGTCTCCTCCGTCTGGAGAGCTCCTCTGGTTCCTCGGGCTCCAAGCCAGGCCACTGCTCCTCCTCTGACATCAGAGGAGGGAGGCAGGGGAAGGGGCTGCGGGTAGGTCCCGGTGACCTGGCTGGAGAAGAGCACAGAGAGGGGTAACCAGTACCAGAGCAACAACCAGAAGAGGGGGAGGAAGGAGAAGAGCTAGAAGGAGAGATGGATGGAAAGAAAGGGGTGAGAGACAGGAGGAGGGACTGGAGGAGAGACAGTAGGAGAGAAAGAGGGAGAAAAAGAGGGAGAGTCGGGGGGGGGGGGGCAGGAGGAGAGAAAGAGGGAGAAAATTAGGGAGAGACGGGGGGGCAGGAGGAGAGAAAGAGGGAGAAAATTAGGGAGAGACGGGGGGGGGGGGGGGGGTGAAACAGAGGGAGAGACAGGAGGAGAGGGAGAGAAAGAGGGAGAGACAGAAGAGGAGTGAGAGAGAGTGACCTGGTTGAGCTTGGGGGAGGAGAACGTGGAGGGCCGTCCATCGGTGGGACCTTCCTCAGTAACAGCCAAGGAGTGGACTCATCCTGGTTCTGGACGAGGCTGTACTGCTCCACTCTGACCTGAGACAGGAAAAACGACAAATTATAAAATCTGAAGTCTGCAGAAATGATTTTTCCAGGGGAAGGTTTCACATCTTTGAAATAAATTCATGAATATAATTCAGTTAAAGAAAATTAAAATTAAAAAAGACAAATTCATAAACGCATTTCTGTAATTAAAATCATTCATGCAAACACAGTAAATTTAAATGGTCTTTGGTTCCCAAACTGGAAATGTCCCCTTGCGGGACAAATAAAGGAGTATTTTCTCTATCTTACCTGACTTCACTGGTTTTTGACTTAAGACTCCCCGTCAAAAACTCTTAAATTCATTTTGGCTTGTTATTCCTAAAACAAACATAAAGACAGTTAATGATCTCTGTTTGTGGAGAATTCAGCTTATTTAATTATAATCTATGTTTAAAGATTTTTTCTCACCATCTTCTCGTAGAAGAGGAGATATGCTGACTCCTCTGATCTTTGGCATACATCCTCTCTTGTCATATAGGTGACCATGGAGTCATTATAATTTAGCCAAAGATCACTGGCAGTCTGAGGATCCACATCAGGGTGCAGCCCGCTGCTGATGTAGTGTCCTAACAGGAGAGGAAGAAGAGTTTGCATCAAATGTTGGAGCAAATTTCAGACAAGATTTCTGGATAAACCCAGCTGAACAGAATTATAGCCATAAACATGTGAGTCTTTCGTGATGTTTGTTGTTTGTTTTATGTGTTGATGTAAAGACGGTCATGGAATAAAAATTATCCGTTACTGTGAGCAAACATTTGATCAAAACTCCAAGAAATTCAGGGTGAAATAGTCAAAATGCACTGCAGGAAAACTTGATTAATAACAGCAGCCTACATTTGTACATTATAGTGACAATTAGGTATTATTGCAGTCAGCCACAGGGGGCAGTAGTGGACCATAACATGAGCGCAGAGCAGGTTTGACTAAAGAACCAGAGTAGAGTTAATTTCACAACTTGGCTTAATGTCAAAAAGTTATTCTCTTGTAAAACTGATCACACAGATTTTCTCAGATGTCTCAGTATTTTCTCTGAACATTCAAGGTAACGCTGCATGATGGCTTAAAGACAAATCTGGAGAGTGACCCCATGTCTGCAGACACAGCAGACTCTGGGATCTCAGCTGTCAAAGAGTAAATCAAGTGATCTCACCATCAAAAGTTGTTCTGCTTTGTGTCATTTCATAAACTTTAACAGTTAGTAGGCTCTCTGAAATTTTAATACAATGAATTGCAAACTCTTGAACAGTGTTGTACAGTAAGTACGTAGCATTACTTAAATATAGCACTTGAGTACAATTTTGAAGTGTCTGTACTTTACTGTAGTTTTTTTTTGTGCCCGCGACTTTCACTTTTATTTGGCTGCATTTCTAAAAATAAAAGTATACTTCTAATTCTAATTCTGGTGCTTTAGCTTACATGTTAAATTATGTGATTATAAATCATAAAAATTGGTTTATAAAAAGTTTCTTCAAACATTCTTAGGAGTTCAGCAGTTCTTTGAAAGTAAAATGATGGAAAATGTTACCAAGATCCAAGAGCGGGCTGCACTTTCTGCTGACAGAGACCGATTCAACGACTTCATAATGTTTGATCTTTCTTACGAAGACATGGTTTGAAGGCTAATGTTAATTTGATCTTCCTGAGACTTTAAACATTCCAGCATTTGATTGGCATTTATCTATCTGTTATGTATCTGAGGACCTAACAGAAGACTGCACTGGCTGATCTGACCCTCACTGAGTGAATGTTTTACCTGCGTTTCCTTCACTGCCTAAATGACTGATGACACTAACCAGACTGTACCAGCTCGTAGCCTGAGAGCAAACACACAGAACAACTGTTAGAAACAAACACATACACACACACACACACACACACACACACACACACACACACACACACACACACACACACACACACATACACACACATACACACACACACACAGACACACACACACTTCTACACTCTTACACTTTGGTGCACAAGTGTCTTACCTGGCTAGATGTCACAATCAGTTCCCTGGTGAGGTCCACGGGGTCGTGACGTTTCACAAGCTCATAGGACTCAGTGAAGTGGAACCTCTTAATTTGGAGCACCAAGAAACTGTGGAGAGCAGCAGAGAGGGAATGACCACAGGATTATTAAACTGAGGGAATTTCTGAGCATGAAAATACTGAGGATAAATTAACAGAAAATAATCTGTGCATGTGTCTGCAACAGGGGGAAACAGTGAGTCTGGGATGGATGTAACGTCACCCACTTCGGCAGGGTTGTGAAGGTGGAGCACTGTGCTGAAGTTGTGCCTCCACACTCGCAGTTGAACTCCAAGTCTGTCTCCTGCAGAGAAAACATGCTGTCAGATACTGTGTACATTAAACATGGAAAATCAACAACCAAAAATAACCGCAGAGTCAAACATTTGAGTGGCTTCATATCAGACAATGTGGATGTTGATTAAAGAAGTCCAGCGCCTATACCTTCTCATATTCCTGCAGCATCTGCTGTACCGAACCCCCAGGAATCAGGTCCAGAGAGAGATTCAGGAATTCCTCCTCTCTCTCTGAGGCGGAGCCACATCTGCATGTTAAAAGGACAATACATATGATTATATACTGTAGTTATACATGTTGTGAAAAGAAAATGAAAAGATAAAAGAAAAGATTACTGTAGATTTGACCTGACTTGATAAAAATGAGCAAAAAATTAAACACATTAGTCAAACTGGAGGTAAATTTGTCCTGCAACCATCTGTATGTTTTTACCTCTTGCATTTTCTGCAGTTCTGCATCCTGAACACCAGGTTCCTTTCTACAGGACATCTGTAGGACCTCCCCAGGATAGAGGCAACTTGCCTCAGTGGCGCAGCCAGGTCCCACATCTGACCCAGAACTGCAGTCAGGAACTCATGGGCATCCTGAGCAAACAGAAACACAGGTTTGATTGGATAAGCAGACAAGGAGCAGTTAGTGAAACTTTAAAGAAAACGAGCTGACTTACTTTCTGATGGTGGTCCGCAAACTCTGGGGCCTGGATAGAGAGAAGCCACTTAAATTTACCCAGAGCACTAAGTTTTAGGTGAGTGTCACCACCGTCACGGAGACGAACAATGTCCATGAAATAACTGCAGAGGAACAGAGAGGAGCTTGTTTTAGTTTGATTTAAAGATTTGCAGATAAACTGAAGCCTCATGTCTCAGCAACAAAAAGTTCCTGACATCCTGAAATTAACTTATCCTTGGCAAAAAATCTGTCATGAAATAGTTTAACATGGATATTATCTCTTCTTTTAATGGGTCAAATCTTGTAAGCAGATTTACTGTTCATTTATATTAAATGTTGAATCATTTTTAGACTTAAAAAAAAAAAGCATTTTTTTTTACAGTACAGGGAAAAAAATAAGTTCAAAGCCAAAAACTGACATAAAATTATATATAAATATTGTTTTCAACTTATAATGAATCACATTTATTTCACCAGCTTCAACTCTGTTTATAAATATCAAATGATAAATAATTTCCAGAATTGTAACCCTGTGCCAGTCTACATACACAATGCATTGAAAAAAATATATTGTTATCCAACATTTTACACTATGAGCTAACATTAAAAAAAAAAACAATCAAACTCATATTGGGACATTTTTGTGATCACCAGTTAAAATGATTTGGGGTATGTTAGTTTTTTTAATATGTCAGATTTAAAAACCCATTTAATTACAATACTTCATTTGAATTATCTGACATTGACATATTTCATGTTTTTATTATTTATTATTTTTTATCTTTTCCTCAGTTTCAGTCCTGTATATTAATACCTATTATTAATAATTAATCATTAAATGCTAGTTCATTAACACAATAAACCAGATTTTTCATTTTAAAAAAAGACAGAAGCTTAATATTTCTCATATCCTGAGGACCAAAAAAAGCTTTGGGTCAATTTTGAATAGCAATATTAATTTTGATGCATTATTCCTTTTCTTTCTTGTATTTCAGTTTTTAGTTTACGTCAAAAGTTTGACTCGTAGCTTCAACAACACATTCTATTATTGAAGCTGTTTGAGAGCATGTAAAGATCACAGTTAAATTTTAATCCAAGCCACGATCTTTTCTAAACCAAACCAGGAAACATTGGTGAACAAAACTAACAAATCAGAGACCATTTCTCAACGTAAACCTTGTACTTGGCATGTTTCGTGTGAAATTATTCAAGGATAGTTCAGGTGTTTGAAGGCGGCGATAAATAATAATCTAAAACAAAAATAAAAATATACATTTTTGACTCAAAGTGGTGTAAGTTGCTTCTTGTGACCCATCTGCAGTGCATAGCTTTGCTTTAACGTAGGAACTCCCGCAGACAGCTGTGCTGGCTGTTATCTGCTGTGTGTACCACTCTTACTCATGCAGTCTGGCATAAAACAACCCAACCCTCTACTTTAGTCATCTTTTACACTTATTTTAAACAGTTAACTGTGTGTGTGTGTGTGTGTGTGTGTGTGTGTGTGTGTGTGTGTGTGTGTGTGTGTGTGTGTGTGTGTGTGTGTGTGTGTGTGTGTGTGTGTGTGTGTTTACAGATACTACACCTCATCAGCTGGGCCTCTGGGATCAGACTCCAGACCTCCTCCTGGCTCCTGATGTCCCTCACAAACCGTGTGAGCGTGAGCAAGCTCTGGAGGCTGGAGTTCATGTAGCAGATCTGGGCTGGGTTTGGAAATCTGACACACAAACACAACAAATGGAATCATATCTTAATATCACAGCTCCAGACACAAACTGAGGATTGTTTTTATCAAAATGTAGCTGCATGGATTTAAGTGATGAATCCAGAAAATCACGTGTACTCACCCAAGGTTGATCTGCTGATAGGCGACTATTGGTTCGCTCTGTGGCATGCTGCTCTGAGAAACCTCGTCAGTGCTTCAGTGAGACAAAAACAAACTGTAAATAACAATGAACAGCAAAGAGCTACAAGTGTGTGGGGCTAGTAATCTACTTGTACTGAATCATATTTTACAGTTGACCTCATCCGTGGAAAAGAAGGTTATTTTAGCAAAAATCAGTATTGAGATCGAAGTGGGATTGAATTTAAGGAGATGAGATTTGACCAACACAACACTCAGAGTTTTTAATTCACACTACCAGCACTGCCAATAATCCTTATTGACTTTCAATGCCAATCAAAACATGTCCCAAGTAAGAACATAAAGTTAAAAAGGGGATGAAAGCGATAACCTCAAGCTAACTCAAACCATGACTTTCTTTATTGAGATATCAACCTCCACATTAAATCTGGTACAGAGAGTGTGTATTAAACTGCTCTTTTCATTTAAATTTAAAGTAAAAAAATCAAGTTGGCTATTCTACAGCATTACAGCGCTTCTTAATATATAAATAAATGATTCATAGACTGTCAGTGTGTTTCAAGGGGAAAAAAATAATGTGTCAGGACATATTTAGCAGATATACTGATTTTCATGTACAAGTGACTTCATGTTAAAGCTACTGTGGGGAATTTTCAGCCGATTATAACTGACTGATATTGATAGGGATGCCTCTGTGTGGCCTTAAAAAGCAAATCAGACCACCTTTGAAGGGTTTGTTCATCTCTACAAAGTTATTTGTGAGGTTAGAAACTGTTGTCAGCGGTATAGGTGTCAGATGATTTAGCTAAATTGAAGCTTTTTAAAAAGGCTTTTTCAAAAATATCTCAGGTGAAGACGACCAATGACTTTTAAAATTGAGCAGGGAGATTTTTTTGTTTGAAAACAAGACTTAACACAATTTGAAAGAGAGGTTATGAAAAGAAGCATAAGAAGCAACACAAACCAAAAATTCCTCACGGGAGCTTTAAGAAAGAATTGATAACACCTGATTTGTGTCACGTGATGATTTAACTCATCAGGTGACACCAAAATTGATCCATCCTGTGAACAAAATGAGTTTGTTACCTTCTCTGGAGTTCCTGAGGAGGCTTCTGCTGATCTTTATGATCAGAGAGAGGAGACACACGCTTTTCTCTCTAATGGAGTAAAAATAATTTTGATTTGTCAGTAACAGAATCAACTGAAAGATAAACCAAAACTAATGATTATAACAACACTGAAGTCCAGACTGGTATTCCTATGCTTTACTTACCCTACAGCACTTAAGAAACCAAGAACAACCCCGTTTCTTCTCCTTTGGTTTCTTGATTTTCTCCCCAGGTGGGGGTGCTGTGGAGCCAGCCAGACCGTTGGAGGTGACATCTCTGCAGACACAAGCACACACCCGTTACCTTGCGATGACATTTGTTTTAACAACCTGTAGTGATGTTTTTAAAGGAGTCTGCAGTGACCAGTCAACATTTATTAGAAGCTTTTGTGGCTGCACAAATAAACAGCTGATTGTTGGAGCAGTTTACTCACCTCCGCTGATGGCTGATGAGACTTCTGACTTTTCTCTGTGGAGTAACAACAAATATAAAAATGAAAACCCACTTTGTCAGATATTTTTAGTGTCTGATTTTAAATGTCACACTTATAAAATGATCTTATTTTAGCAGCTCTGAAACATACCAGAGGTTGACCAAACAACCTGTGCAGCCAAAAGTTCTTTGGGCAGCAGGTTTCTGTGTTAGAAGCCTCTGACACAGTGGTACTGGTCAACACAGAAACACAGGTTGGTTATTTTAATGAACAAAACAAATCCATATACAGAAATATCTGCAGAGACACATGACAGTCACACAGACTCAAACCATGGTGATATTCAGACGATAAAATACAATAAACACGCACTGGATGGTCTTTGAGGAAGTATCAGAGTCAAACTGAAAAAGTGTCTTTATGTATCAAAAATAATACAGCACACTCACAGTGATTTAAAACACCTGAAGGTTATTCCCTGTTTTTGTGTTGTTGTTATTGATCAATGAACCCCCTCTTTGTTCACACTTATTCATTAAAAACCTAAGTGCTGAATCTCTTTAAGTTGACACAGCGTTTTTAAAACAAAGCTTTTTTAATGCATATTATCCGGGAAAAGCCTCATACAAAACATGTTTTTCCTTCAATTTCAAACACAGTAAATTAAAATGGTCTTTGTTTCCCTTACTGGGAATTTCCCCTTGTGGGACTAATAAAGGAGTATCTTATCTATCATACCTGACTTTACTAGTTTTTGACTAGAGACTCCCAGTAAGAGCAAACGATGATAAAACTTCTTTATTTCATTAAGTGTTTTTACACATTTTCTTTGTCTGACTGATTAATTGATCAGTAAATGTCTTATGTGAAGCCTTTGAATTGTCTTATTCAGTTAAAATAACCACTGAAATGTATAACATAAATACATGTGTCTTGTGACAAAAAGAGTATGAAACACAGTGTAAGTCCAAAATCAAATCCTAAATTTGCGAATCTTTAGATTTTTGCTGGCACTGTCACAGATTTAACTCTGAACTGTCCCAGATTATAATCTGCTGGGAGGTCTCTGTCATGTTTCAAATGTTACACTCTGCATATTAAATGCAAAAGAGGTAAAAGATTGTTTTAGAGACACATTGTTAAACTACTGTTTAATATCACACCCCTATAAATTTGAGTTTGCATTTTACTGTCATCATAAGTTAAACGCGTTTCTTACCTCATGCTGAAGCTCCACCAGGCACTTCTCGGAGCTTCTCCACTTCCAGGAGTGGGTTGACTCTTCTGTGCAGATTTAAAGAAGAAATAAGAAAGCATTGGTTAGTATAAAAGAAACTGTCAAATAAGTTTCAGACTGACGGCTTTAAATAGCCAAGAAGACATAAAAAATCTCTTATAGAGATTTCTCACAATAACATGAGCTTTTCTGCTCTTAAGCACAAGGCATCACTTTTAAGATAAAGAGTCTTTGACATGGTGGGCATGAAGGCGGAGGGATGTTCTTATTTTTTCTGGGATTTAAAAGAAATCGTGCTATGTGAAGAAGTCCAGAGGCAGCTTCTCATTCAAACAGTAGGTCAGTTAATGCCTTTGATCTCACAGCTGTTTAGGATCCAGTCATTAACGAGACACACAGTCTGACAATGTGTGTGTGTGTGTGTGTGTGTGTGTGTGTGTGTGTGTGTGTGTGTGTGTGTGTGTGTGTGATGCCAAGGCATCACTTTTAAGATAACCATCCGAACGTCTCGACTTTTAACTCGCTGTTGTGGCCACATTTTTTGGAGTACTATTCTGGGCTTCAAAAATTCAGTTCATTGAGGACATTATGGGGTGTACTCAGTATTTTATTCATTTAACTTTTCCCCACTTTAAAATTATTCTCATTATTCATGCATTATTAAATTCGTAAGACAAATCCAAACTCATTCAAACCTTTCTGATACTTCAAACCTGTTTAACACTTTAGGACTTCTAATTATTTAAAATGTTTCCCACTTCAAAATCATTCTCATTATTTATGTATGTTTTAATTCTTCAAACAAAATCCCAGTTCTACCACTACAATTACTACTTATATCACTTTAACTTGTATCTTCACTTCTACCTCCACTGCTCTTGCTTCTCTTAATATTTTTTTACTTTTACTCTTACTTCTACCACGAGCTCTACTGCTTTGACTTCTACTTCTTCTATTCTAAAACTACTTCTGCTGCTTACATGACTACTAATATCACTAGTACAACTACCTATTATCATACTTCTTCTAGTACTTCAACTTAAACTTATGCCTCTTCTTACTTTTCTGTGTTTTAAGGTAATTTTCTTCCTTATCCAATTTTTTTTGCAATTTCAGACAGTTTTTCTAGCCTTATTCAGCATGAATGCAATTTTAATTTATGAAGCACATTCATACTATTTGTACTTCAGCAATTTTCACTTTCATCCAACTTCTACTTTTCTTTCTCCAGCTCTTTAACCAAGTTTACATTAAAACCTTCCTCCATTTTTTTTTTTTTTAGCAGTTTAGCATTGCTTTTTCAGCTTTCAGCACTCAGCATTTCCACGCATTTTCCGCAAGGAAATGCAATTTTTCTAGTTTTGATAATGCCTGTCACATTAAAGTCATAAACACTGTAAATATCTATGCACACATTTAATCCTTGTCGATGCATCGCGTAACCATCACGAAAGTCTCGACAGTAGCACAAGTTTGTATGATAATATTGTCATGAAATCTTACGGTCTCCATGTCGTAGATGTTGTCCTCTTTGTTCAGGTGTTGGTTAGAGGTGTTTGTCGGAGTCCTTTTCGATGAAGCCGTCAAAAGTTGTAAATTCGTAAGCCACTTAAGTTTTTCGTGTTGTTCTCTTCAGATTTGATCTTCAGAAACGATCGCTCTCTTTGGCTTGTAATGATTTAAAGTTTTTACATCGTTACAGGTTACCATGGAGATTTAAAATGCTGTTTACTTGAAAAACCTTCCTTATTTCGGTACAAAACGACAACATTTTGAAAACTATAGCTTAGTACGCCTACGTCTCATAGCTAACCCAACAAAAACTGGAAACTTTGTGTTTCATTATAATTTCCACTGAAGCCTTTACTTCAATTAAATTCAGTCGATTTTCTTTAGAAGGGTACTAAAAATAGTCTATATATACTCCTATCATATCAATATTTTAGAGCAGTAACTACATCTGTAAAGCACTTTGTCACCCTTGTTTAAAAAAACACTTAAAGTTGATCATTGTTATTTGAGAAAGCCCATTATAAGGCATCAAAAAGGCCATAAAGATATCGAATTTTGAACTTTAAAAATTAAAAATATCACATCAGCTCTGAGCCAAAAGACCCTTTCACTTAAGTAAAAAGAGGACTATTTTCACGTGATGGTACTTTATACTAATTCACACATAGATTGAAGTCATCACATGCTTTTATTAACTTGAAAAATCTTTCTAAATCGGCATAAATAATAAAAGATGTTTGGCTGAAAAAGAGATTTGACAGAATATGAAATATAGGCTAATCTAAAAATACTTCAACAGGAACCAGAGGGTGACAAGATACATCCTTGTTTCACACAGCCCATGACTTCGACATATTTAGATTCTCTTATATTTATTCTCTTTTTTTATTATAAGAGAATAATACTATAACAACTCTTTGCCTGTTTGGTTGTTCCAAAAATTGTAAATGTGTTAGTGATATCTTATCTAAAATGAGTATATATCTACTATAAAATAAAATAATTGTCAGTTATAAATTTTGGTTAGTTGTCGTTGCACTAATTTAATTAAATTGACTTTCATTGACTTACAAACAGTCAAAATATCTGCATCCCAATGTTATTGGAACTTCTTTGTGAATTTAAGTCACTGTGAATTGTAGTCTTGTAATATTAACACTATATTCTTGAAGTGTCAGGTTTCTTGTTGACTTTGATGGAGCACTTATGTTGCACTAAATAAAACCTTGCTTTGGGTGATCTTCAGATGGTGTCATACTGTTGTTGTTTCAGCAGAGGGTGCTCTGCTAAACTTACAATGTTTCAACAATTTCTACAGCACAGGAGGCAGAGCACTGCAGCCTAGCTGAAACTGGTTCAGGTTTAGGTTATTTTATTTATCATGTAGGTTGATATTTTTTGCAGCAGACCAATAATTTCACCAGGGGCACGTCTTGAGGGGCAGCCAGGTGTGGCATGGGCCCTCTATGAAATCTGATTGGCCCACCAGATGCCAGCCAAAAGCTGAGTTATTAATTCGCTGGTTTTTCGTGTGAAGTTCCTTTACCTTCAGTTTGTCTCGCCTGTATTTCTGAATTTTATTGATGACTGTGTTACAAGTGTTGTTTCATTCCTCTTCACACCTTTTTTGCTGCCTGTTTCAAACTCTACACACACAGCAGCACTTTCTAAAGCTGGGTATTTGAATGTGTAAGTGGTCATGGGGTGCGCAAAATCAATGCATCACCTTATCATTCCTACATACCTGTAAAAGTTTTCGTATTTGCAGATCCCATAATTGACTTTGAAAGTCCAATTTCTCCAAAATCCTGCAGAGGTTTGATCTTGTTTAGTTGAAACTTTGTTTTTCTGCCGCTCTTCAGCAGGTCAAGGTTCAATAACACAAACAGAGGAATATGATAAAAACACACATGATATTTCAGTGCTTTATAAAATAGAAGTGAATCAAACTGCACAAGCTGTCTAAGAGCATTCAAATCTTTAGTAATTTCAAACTTTACAAATACAGAAACATGTGAATGTAACATAAAAACCACAAATAAAAGCTCTCCTGTTTGCACAGCGCTCCTTATTCTCAGACGGATTCCAGCAGATTTTATGGCAACATGAGAACTGCAAACTGTCACACACAAATAAAACCTCTCCAGTCCAGAAACTTCACAGTAACAGAACTGAACTTGGGAGACTGAAAACTGTCAGCACAAACAGAAGAGGTTGCGTCCTGTAAGGTGTATTTAAGGCTAAAAAAGGTGTGGTCATGCAGAAACATTCAAATCTTCACCCTTTAGTCCCAGGAAAAAACACATTTTCATGATGCATTTAAAGCCTGAAACTGAATCTGAATATTTTTCTAATCAGTTGTGGAGAAAACGCTCCAGTGTCTCTGTGATAGTGACGAAAACTCATCTGTGCAGCTGTTTCTAGAATAAATATTCAGAGTTAAACTTTAAATAAATGCTATAAGTTAGTTAAAAGACTTTCTGCATGGCTTTGTATCCCATTTACATTTCCATTTGTTTTTTCTCCTATCAGTGTCAGAAACACTTGAATGTCTCAATCATCAAAACCACATCACCCTCACCCTCCTCAACTCTAAGAATTCAAACTTTCAGCAAACTTTCGTCAAGAATGGAAAACAAACCGAAACTGAATGTGAGACGGATGCAGCAGGTGGAGTAAATCTTCAGATCTGAGCTGGTAAAATTAGCTTTTCCACAGTTTTTTTTAGTAAGGCAACTTTGGTGACTAACTGCACTGCAAAAAATGTCTCATCAGGTTTAATTTAGGCCACTTAAACCTGAAAAGTCCATAAAAATGTCTCATTTCAAGACATTAGACTAAAATTTAAGACCCATATCACTTCTAATGGGTAAAAACTAAATCTGCTGATGTGATAAGAATCGCTCTACCAGCTGAGTTTCTAGAAATAAGAATTTCTATGTCAAGACACTTGAAAAGTACATATTTCATTTTTCTAGTAGCATATTTTTAGCTTCCCGGTTCTTATTTTGGGAGAGTATATCTCAAAAAAAGACATTTTCTGGACTTGCATGGCTTCAAAAATGGACGTAGGCCGAAATGACGCCTGGCAGGACACCTTTTAAAAGAAAGTATATAAACAAACACTAAATAGAGTGTCTTAATTCTGGGGAAAAAAATCAAATAAATCTTAGTTTAAGACATATTTACCAGACAAATTTACCACAGAGCATGGTAGTCCTTGCAGCACTGAACCTGTGTGCTCTGAGGGCAAATTATTATGTATTTCTGATATTTTTTTCTGTCTTTGTTATCAGCAGGGATCCTTTATGGACAGAGTTTGAATTTCTGACACAAAAACATTGAGATCTGTTCACTTGCTGCAGAAATTCAAACAATTTTAAGACCTATTCATCATCGAGACCCCAAAACATGTCAAAGAAAACTCAACCCAGGTCTAAAAAAGTCCATAGTCTCATGTGACAATTTTTTCATAGATCTGTAAACGGAAAAGTTTGAAGTTACTTCTGAAAAAAGTCACAGAGGATGAACCAAAAACCTTCCTTATGGCTGTTCTGATGCATCCTTTGACTTGTTTGGTATTTTAGAGACTTTTCTGTCATGAGTAAAATGTGATGTTTGTAAATTTGATCATCCTGGCACTATATTTGGTTCTCTGCAGGTCCACTCTGAACCCAAACAGCTCAAACATTTTCCCCTCACAGTTTCGGCAGCTTCAGTCTCACACACTTTCTCTGAACATTCACTCTCTGTAACAAAAAACACACACAAAGCAAACAGTCCAAAGACTCAGGAGGCTGATTCCTGATCCTGGAGCTCCACCGTCCCAGTATTTCCTCCTCATGCTGGGTCAGCTCTTCTCTCCTGGGATCAGGTGTGTTGATGGTCCATGCAGGTGAATCTCACAGCAGAGGAGAGAGGATGATTGCTCCTCTCTGTTTCTTTTTTTTTAACGTTCCTCCTCTTTTATAAAAAAAAAAATATATCAGTTTTTCTTGAATCACTGCATCACACACTTTTCTTTCTGCTGTTTGGCGTACTTCCTCCTGCGCTGTTCCAGACCTCGTTCCAGACGCTCATCTTCCTCCAGAGCTCTGAGGACCAGGACACAAATACAAGTCTGTCTTTACAAACACAAACACACAAATTTGATGCTTCTGTCTGCAGGGGAGCATTTATGATTACAATTGTTGTTGCTCTATTCTGCAGGATCAATCGAGAGGTTTATGGTATTGATGAAATGCAGAGGTTCTGGAGACAGACATCTAATGCACAGACAGGAGGACAATGTTTTCATTTAGGATTGAGAAAGTCCGAATAAACTTAAGTGTAGTAAAACTCAACTGAAGGTTTTCTCAAGTCCAAAAAACAGCTGGGAGAATCAGAGATACATGTTACAATTGCTGTTTTATGGTTACAGCAAACTCCTTACTCTCACCATGACGAGCTTTATTTCTGTTAAAGATTCAAATAAAGTCAATTTTTTAATCAGATTTTTCAGCTCAAACAAAATAAAAGTTCAATTCTTTGAAAATTTCCTTATGCTTGAGTGATATTTCATTACGTTTATAAGGTTAACATGTCAATCATATTTTGAATTTGACTTTTTAAACACATTTTTGCATCAGAGACGTCACATGAACCCTCCTCCTGCAGAAAACTGCAACACTACAACGCCATCTAGTGATGAAACAGCAACAAACACACAAGAGTTTAAGTTTGTATTCACGAAGAATAATCAATATGCTTCAGTTAATAAAAAGCGTCTGTTGTCAGGGTCAGTAAAATAAAAAGAGATGATAATGTGGTCTCACCCTCTCTCCTTGGCATCAATGTTGTGCACCAGCTCGTCTCTTTGGTTCACCAGTGAAACCAGTTCCTGCAGCAGCAGCTGCTCTCTGACTTTATGAGCCTGAGTTTTCTGCCACTCTGCAACAAGGAGACACAGACAGATGAATCTGAGAGTGGGCAGATACTTATTTGTTTGTTTCATGCATCTAAAACATCAGCATTAGCAGAGAAATCACTGAGAGTTGTATCCTCTCTGAACCCCTGTGATAGTCTGACCTGAATCTGCAGCAGTTCTACCGTAAGAAACAGCTAAGACCTTCTGAAAGTCTCTGTTTGTGTTCACTGATCAACAGGCAACATCAAGAAAACATGAGCTGAGCGAGGCGAGCTGTGAAAACAGTAATCAAGCAACATGGATATTCATAATACTGAAGTTAAGAGGCCTAAAAGTAGTGTGGATGCTTTATTGTTTGAAAAAGATCTGAAAGACACTCATTTCACTTAAAAATAAATAAAATCATGTGTTTAATCTTCAGTCTTTTTCTTCATTCATGATCATAAAGCAAAGGAGATTAAAGTCCAATTTTACATGTGCAACAAAAATTGTGCTCAAAGTATCTCAGGAGTGAAATTAGAAAACACTAGATGTGCAAAATGTCTCACACACATTGTGACGGTGTGCAGAATTATGCAATTGGACAATTTATGTGTAAACTCTTCCTATGTAAAGAAAGATGTTCAAAAATATTCAGAAATAAGGCTTTTGTAATATAAAAAAATGTCGACTTTTATGCCAAAAGTCTAAAGTGTTAAGAGATCATGTGTAAAAGTAGATGTGAACATTTAAATATGATTTAACAGGTGAGCGACATGTCTTCATGAGCAGAATAATAGATGTGAAAACCAGCTGTGTTGTAAAATAGATGCAAAAACTTGACTGTGTGCATATACATGCAAATTTCGCATCTGCAATAGATTTACAGATTTTGCATGCATAATCATAAATGTCTACAATAAAAAAACACTGGATGTGCAAGTTTTTATGTGTAAAATGCGCAAAGTTGTATGCCAATTCTTTTTAAAACTCATGTGCAAAAGCAGATGTGATTTACAAAGTAACATGTTCCAGCAATATGAAATAATGGATGTGCAATAATGATAATGTGTTGTGAAAGATACACTAAAATTTCTCCTGTTCAACAGATGTGCAGATTGTCTCATGTGCAATAATAAATCTGTTTGGTTTTACATCTACAGTAATAGCTGTGCAAAATGTCTTGTTGGCAAAAACAGAAAATGACACAGTGATAGTAAAGACCTGCATAATTTAAATGTGCAATAAAAATGTGAATACTTTCTGATTAGCTTGACAGGATCTGTTAAATGTCCATTTACAGTAAAAGTGTTTCATCCGCACTTATATGTGTTCCCGTGGGCGAGCTGTTTAATTTTCTGTGCAATAGTAGCTGTGCAAAATGACATGCAAAACTTCCAATGTGCAATCATGCGCAATAAAAGCTGTACTTTAGTTTCCTACCAATTCAGACATATTCAAATTTGACATCTACAACAACAGATGTGAAACTTTTAATGTGACGTAATCCATGAATTTTATCCAAAAGTTTGTGTGAGGACTTTAAAAACATCTTTACTCTAAGCTGCATCTGCTATGATGTTCCACGGAACAGCTTGAGATGTTTTTAAACTCAAAACTGATTTTCATGTTTTTATAAAAAGGTCATATGACCCATTTGAGATCCAACAGTTTCTTAAATCTCTCTGTTAGAGCTTTTGAGTATTTTAGTTTGGATACCAGCTTAACTTTGATCCTGTGACTCTAAACAGTTTACCTTGTGTTAGTTCGCAGAGTAATGACTCTCAAAGAGCTGGTGATGTTTTTTAAGTCTACTGTTGAGACAGGAAACGTGACAGTAACTATTTGCGTCTCTGAACTGTGTCTATTAATATCAGCTCATGTGAGTGATGCTCTCACCGCACTCTGATCTTTTTACTCTACAGACCAACACAGACTGTGTCACCCAGACTGAAAACTTTTTGTAGCTTCACATGAAGAATTAAATCGCCGACTGTCAGACAGGAGGTTATAAACACAGGGCTCGCTTAGAGTGTTAGTGTGGTTAATATTAGATATTAAGTCTTACCCTTGATAGCCATCAGGTCCCTCAACTCTTCGTTCAACAGCTCAAACCTTCTCTCCAGGTCCTGCTCCTCCAGCCTGTAAAACAGCAGAGAGATGCTTCAGACTGGAGTCAGATGGAGGAGAAGCAGCTAAACGCGAGTCAATAAAAGGATCCAAATTTAGTTTATTTGCATTCTTTTAGCAAAGCTTCTGTTTGGAAATCCTGCAGAATAATTCCTCCAAAACCTCCAACTCTCATCTGAGCTCACAGATGAGAGTTGGAGGGACACGGGGACGTTTGATTCAGCCAAAGTTCAGTTTAAATCAGGAGATGGTTCAGAAGTTAAGAAAACACTTTCCCCTAAAAAACTAAACTCAGTAATCGCCTGAGCGTCCACTCTTCTTATAGAAGACATGATCAACTCAGAAACAGATTCTTAATGCTGAGGAGTCTGTGAGTGTTTGTGTGGCCTCACAGCAGCTGAAGGTGGTCCTGTCTCCTGATTAAAGCGTTCTTCTTGTTGACCAGCATGAACCACTCCTGGATCAGACGCTCCTCCTCCACCTTATCGCTGCCTGCAGTATGAAATCACATCAGTGTGATCAGCAGCTTCAGTTCAAGTCTATCTATCACAGCAGATAACATGGGCTTCACAGCGTGCTGTACTTTCATCGATCTAAACCTGGTTTCTGAGAGCCTCACCTGTTTCCAGCAGCTGTCTGAGTTTCCTCTCCACCACTCCGGCTCTGTTATCGATGTGGTTTTGTTCGGCCTCCAGAGCTTCCATCTGATTCAGCACATACTGACTGACATCCTGCATATATAACACTCATTAACCCACAAATAATGCAACATATCACACCTGAGATTCAAGAAATGGAGTCTGATCACTGACCTGGCCTTCTGGACGTCCCTCCTCAACCACAGCTTCTGGAGGGCGAGATTGAACACAGTGATTTTAACTAATGAAAAACAGCCGCTAACTTTATTTTCAACAGGGGAGAAAACTCTTGTATAGTAAAATAAAGTTTTCATTATTCCTCAATCTTTAACTCTGTTTAGTCAGTTTATTAGCAGAGAATTCACAACAAAGTGCAGTGGCAGTGAGTGTTCTTTGCTTCTTTGACCCCTAAAAAGGTGAATGTCAGTGAAGAGACTGTTTCAGGAAGTGTTTCAGACTCACCCGTTTCTGACTTCCTCCTTGTGATCTCACCCTCTTCTGTCCCTGAAACGACCTGTAGGTAAAAGAGTTTTTCATATGTCACAGCAAACGCGGAAAAAAGTGTTAAAGAAATAAAGATTGAAGATTAAAAATTATAAAGGGATGGTACCATGGATATATCTCCTTCCTCCAGCGAAGCACTTCTCCTCTGTGACCTCCTCTTCTTCACTAGATCGGCATCTTTGACGTGAGAGAAACCTGACTTGGACATGAAATGAGTCCTTGGTGGTGCCACCGGTAACTGAGTCCCCCCTGCCCCTGCTCCTGCACCCTGCAGACGTTTGGTTCTAGGAGGAGGAACCACGTCAGTGCCGGGTTTACTCTCCTCTGCAGAGACGGATGTCCCATTTGTCTCCAGACTGATGCCCTCCTCCTGCAGCCTCTGGGTGCAGTAGCGCACAGTCGCCTCAGGGTCTTCTGGGGTCTCCCGGTCTCCTGCAACAGCGTAGCTGGACTCGCTGCTGTCCTTGTCTATGTGCAGCACGCTGAGCTCCTGGCCGGTGAAATGTGTGCGGATCTGGTTGAGGTAGGTCATGACGATGAGGCGGTCGGGCACGGCGAGCATCACCATGTCTGACGGCTCGATCAGACGGGAAATACCAAGTTCAGCAAAACCATCAAAGGCCTGCAGAGAAAAAGAGATGGATGATTCAGAGGAAGAACTATGAACCAGCACAGACAATATGTTCACATTAAAGGTGCAGCCTTTCCAATCTGCCTTATTTTCATATTATTTTATTTGCCAAAAAGTTTCAGTACTGAGTTTCTGGATCATACTACACTCTAGCAGTTATTATATTTACCTGCTGCAGGATAAAGAAATATGTCAGGGCAATGTTTCAACTCTGTGCACCTTTTAGCATTTACTGAGACACCAGAACAATCAAAATAAAACTTGGACAAGTTATTATTCTTCACCTTTCTGTTGTTAGTTTTGATGTCGTACGGGTCCAGCATTTCATAGTTACTGCACAAAGAAGAAAGAGAAAACATAAACATGGAGAAGAGGAGTACAGTGATATACTATCTGAGTTTAACAGTTTCTTACACCATCTCAGGGTGGAAATGATGTAAGATGGCACAGAAGGCATAGCCGTTCCTCCAGGAAGTGCTAAAGTTGGTGATTTTCACTCCTTTGTGACCCTGTGTGACCTCCTGACACCACTGCAGCAGAGAGTGGCTGGATGTCACCAAGCTCGGACTCGCTGAAACGTTCTGGAGGACACGAAAAAGATGAGCACATTAACACACAAGGGCATCTGCATCTTAAAAAGAGGTGCGGGCAGATACAAAGATGGTGCATTGCTATCTAAAAGGAATATAAAGTGTCTGTGTTAGACCACAAGTTAAGTTCTGGACTAGTTTACCCTCAGCAGGTAACCATGCAGCCCTAACTTTGTTCCCACAGTGCAGAAAAGATCGTTTCAGCGGCTTTAACAACAGTGCATGAATTGGAATTACTCATACAGTGACTCGCATGTTACATGGAAAAGTGGGAGGAGAGAGTTCAATGTGCTGGCTTAAGTCTGGTCTATCTCAGCTGAAAGGCTGCAGCCTACTGTGTAAATAGTAACACCCCTATTAACAACATACTAATTGAAATGATAATTACAAAACTCAAATAACATTTCAGTGATCAGAGGTTCACAGTTAAACCTCTCTGCAGCCTGTGGCTCTCTCTTTATTTGGTCTTTCAGCTGTTATCAAACTTCAACCTTCCTGCACCCTGTTGAGCTCCGTAGGTAGTTTGACCATATCCTGAATCCACAAAAAGAGGACACGACCATGCGGGGGCGGAGTCACAGAGTTGCGCCCTATCCATAGGTGTAAAACCAAGGATAGAGCCCAACCCACAGAAACACACCAATACCATAAACTACTATATACCCCTTTTACTGTATTCATCATAAGTAACTAAAAAGCTTTTGTGTTGTGTTGTATCTATCCGTCCATCCTTGCACATTAGTTCTCTGCTACTGGTTGAAACCTTTGATCAGGACACACCTACAATAAAAAAAGCCCATTTTACATACTTCTGAAGAAGCAGCCTCGTCTGCAGGTCTTCTCTGGGGTGTTGTTGGTTCAGTTGTTTGGGAGAGGCCTCCAGGTTTACTCGGTGATCCGTCTGCTCTCGCTCCTTTCCTAGAAAAGCACAGCAATACGAACTGAGTTGGTGACAAACTCCAAAGTTTCTGGAAACAGCTTTATCGCGAACCAGTTTGACAAACCAGTCGGTCCTGGTGAAATAGTTAGAAAAACCATGAGATGGGACTTTTATTTTGTAAAGATATGATGATGTAAAACACACACTTATCACAGTTATGAACACAAGCCAATACCCTATTGTGATCTGACCAACCTTACCTTTGTTGTTCCTCTAAGCAACCAGCAGTTACATCTACTGACACAAAGCCAAAGTCCAACTCTTCTTCTTTAGATTCCTTCTTTGAGTTTGTTTCCATCCGTTCACCTTCTTTCTCCTCCTCTACGTGTAACCAGTCTTCTGGAGAAGATGCACCAGTAGAAGCAAAGGACCTATCAACCTCTGCTCCCAGGATTTTCTCCATGTCAGGCTGCTGAGACATCATCTCAACAGCTTCTTCAAGCTCCTCTTTTGCAGCAGGTTTATCTGTGAAGGTCCAGCCTTCCATGAGTTCATCCAGCGCCTTTGCAGTATCTTCTGAAGAATCTGCACGGGGATAATCATCTTCACTCATGGCCGCTAAAACTTCCCGCTCCAACTCTGACGCAGCATCATCCTCTCCGTGGGCAAAATCTCCCACAGAGATCACGCTTGAGTCCAGAGATGTTGATCCCTCTTTTGTGTCTCTGACTGATGTTTCCTCTTGGCTCTTCTGAGATGATTCCATTTCTGGGGAGGAGAAACTCTCGACAGGTGGCATGCTGTCTGAATAAGTTGCACTGAGACGTTTCTTCATTCGAGGCAATGGCATAAGCAACCCTAACTGTTCATTGTGTTGCACAGACTCGTGGCAAATATTGCCAGTTGCTCTGTCTGATAGGCCGGATGGTGGTGATCCAGAAACCATAACGTCATCTGGGAATGAACCGCTCAGGCGTTTCTTTACTCGAGGTTTTGGTACCGGAAGGCTTGAAGCTTCTTGTGTCCGCTCCAGAATATCCCCTTCTTTTGCTCCCCCACTCATCTCAATAGTCTTTTTGCTTCTCAGCTTTACTGGAGGTGCTTCTTCAGGAGATGTGGAGGGTTCATCTGGAGGACTTGTTGAGTGAAAGGACAAAGGACCACTTTCTTCATGGGAAACCTGAGACCTGCTTTCTGTGACCTGGAAATTATCTGGAAAAGAGCCACTGAGACGTTTTTTGACACGAGGTTTTGGGACACAAAGAGTTGTTTCTTTGTTCCTCTCTGCGTCCTCAGATTCCTGAGAAGATGTAACGATTATATCGACAGATATCTCATCTGATGTGATTGTCTGCTTTAAGTCATCTTTATGACCCACATTGGTGTTGTCAGGCTGGGCTGGTTTTACAGACTCCTCATTTGTAACCTTTAAAGTTGGCTCAATATTTTCTACTTCAGAGTAAGTTTTAGCAGACTTTTGTGAAGGCAATCTCTTTCCTCGTTGTGGAAGACGGATCTTCTTAATGATTGAGAGATACGTAGTTTCCTCAACAGGAAAGATCTCAGATTCTGGCTCTGGGGCAGCGCTCTCCACTTCTTTTGTTTCTAAAGAAGGATGGAAGTCCAGAGATGCTTGGACAGAGGCACTCTCTGGGGGACAAGGTCTTTTTTCAGTGTCCACTGAGCCAGCCAAATCTGTGTCTGCCTTGGAAAAATCTGTCATTGTCTGTTCCTTTATTTCAACATGACCTTCTGGAGGAATATCATTGACTTTTTGAAGTTCAGGAGGTTCAGGATCAGGAGTTTGAAGAGTGGAAATCATTTGGGTGTTAAAATCTTGTTGCTCTGTTGCTTTGGAAATAGATAAATCTGTGCTAGCTGCACCTTTTCTCCTCAGAGGCTTGCATGGAGCAGTTTGCTGTTTTGAATCAGGAGGCAAGCTACCATCTCTTCTTCTCAGAGGAGGCAGAGGGACAACTTCAGTGGATATACTCACAGATTCAGTATCTGCTTTTTGTCTGCGGTCACCTTTTTCTGACGTTACTAAAGCACCAACGCTATCCTGGAAAGAACCATTTTGGAGAGGAATTGTACTGTCTTCTTTCTTTATACTGCAGGATGTGACTGTGGCTGTCAGTGCAGGAATTATTTCAACAGGTGCATCTTTACTTTCAGACTCTAATGGAGTAACTTTAGGAGTTTTCTTGACCGCGAGACCATCAGTGCTTTGTTTGCGGTCAGGTGTTAAACTGTCCTTCCTACGGAGTGGTCGTAATGGAATAGTTTGTTTCTCTTGATCACTGACTTTCTGTTGAGGTTCAGGGACTGTCCTCTTTGGTCTTCTACCTCGTTTTGGGACAGCAATGTCAGCTTGTGGTTCAACTGGAGTAATGTCCCTCAAGTCTACAGGTTTCTCCATGAGTGTCTCTTGACATGCACTTTCATCTGCCAGTGACTCGTCTGACGTGGGCTGCAGGGATATGGCAACTATTTCTTGAATGCACGTTTGTTGGGGGCTTGAGGAAAAAAAAGGACAAGCTTCAGGATTTTGGTTCGTCACAGAGTTATACCATGCACCTCAATCTCCAACCGGCTATTAATCTGCACAGCCAAACCCCGTTCTTGCACATCCAAAATAAAAATGTCCATTATGTCGTCTTAAGCAGACTCACAAAAATGCCAAAGCAGCTCATCAAAGATACACCAACCACAGGTTGTAACATTGATAAAATCACATCCTGGAACCTTGCAGCAGTTCCAGAGTAGTAACGGTCAAAAGCAACTCAACAGACTGTGTTATTACCAAAAACTGCAAGATGTGTACACTGCATTACCATGCAACCAAACACAGGGTCAATGCACGCTAACACTCACCCTTCATCCAGCTGCAGAGACTTTGTCACCTGAACTTCACCTTGTTCTGTCTCAGCCTGGTGCCTTGCTAACAAACTTTCCATGTACCCTGATTCCTGCACAGATTCCTGCTCTGGGAGTAAATTCTCTTTAGTTTGCCATTGACCATGATCGACCTCTTGTTCCTCCAGTTGTTCACCATCATCCTTTGAAATCTCAGTGATATCCGCTTCTGTCAGGGGTGGCCATTTCTTCATGCTTGTACAAACCAAATACCCATCATCACTATTGGAAGATGGTGATGGAGATGCTGATCGATCACCTGTCAAGTCCAGCATGTATGGCTCCACACTTGTTGGATATTCAGTGATGTGAACACCTTCAAACTCGGACTCTGTTTCCTCTTTGGGTGAAGAGGTTGGAGGGTTGTCCGTGCAGGGTGGAGGAAACTCATCTGAAGGAGTCTGCATCTCATCTTTTAGATCAACTGCAGGGACAGCCTGGTTATCCACTTTGGCTACGATAGAGGTAGATGGCCCCAAAATGGATGCTACTGTTTCATAACTGTGAAACATGAAACCATGCAGAAACAATGGTTTTAATGAAGATTGAGGAAACAAGTGACTATTAGATGGCATAAAATAGATCCCCATGCAAATGAGGTCCAGTTTTTACTTGATATCAAATTAAGACACATCAAAAATGGAATGAGGTGGAAAATGGTGAAGCCAACCCTGATTAACAGACTTTAATGATCACTACATACTGCTGCATGCTCCACTTTGTTTGCTTTTACACTTACCCTTTGTGGAAAACGCCCACAATAGCCTTTACTAATCCTGAGGTGTCCTCTTCTTTAGCTGGCAAAGAGGACGCCTGTTTCCCTGTAACTGTTCCCTCTGTTTCCAATACTTCCCAACCCAAGACACCTATTGGTTCTGGGGTAGGTAGCGGTTTCTTCTGTTTTTGAGCTTCTTCTGTAGCTCTTCGCTCTGTTTTAGGTTTGCTGAAAACCCAAATGTAAAGGGTTTTACTTATACCCCAAACATTCATGCAGCAAAACAATCAAAAATGGAATGAACAGCCTTTGCACAGACACAGAAATTTGCAGTGTGATGTGTTTTCAAGTTATGAAGTTACTGTTAGGCAAGCACTAAACTGACCACTGTCACACCAATGCAAGAGCACCGGGCTCTTCCACTTACCCCTCTACACATAGGTCTATGATTGGCTTTGCTTCATCTGAGAATTTGTCCTCTGTCATGAAAGCAAATAAGGTAAGATACACAAACAGAAACAACACAAACAGAAACAGACGGTCTCGATCTTAACTCTGTCTCACCATATGCAAGTGTCTCGCTGTGTGTGAGTGGGGTATGATCTCTTGGGTCTTCAAGATTTGGTGGAGGTGACTTTGCATGAGGCGGTTCTTGCAATGCCTGCTCCTCAGTAGAAGGCAAGAATGTTTCTCTCTTAGTTGGGCTCACTTGTGAAATACTGGGGAACCCGGGACTTGCAGCCAACCGTGGACATGATGGAGCAAATGCTGCCATGTTCTTCATTTCACCCTGTGCTAACACATGTTTTGCATCAATGACTGCAAGAAGGGAAATTTTCTCATGCAGTCTCTCTGACAGGGACCTGTTTTGTGTTGTCTTTGGCTGTGCATTATGAATTTCATAGCTTAGCATTCGTGCTGATGGAAATCCTGGAGTGCATGAAACACACGGTACAGTTGTGTATGAGTTGATCATGTTTGGTGGTTTGTTTAAAACTGGTGCAGAGGGAAAGCCTTGTACTCTGGCCTCTTTTGGGCAGGATGTAACTAAGGTCACCATGCTTTTCAGGTTGAAGTGGTAAAGCTGGTCTTGTCCAGCATGTGCTGCAAACATTTTTGCCCTTTTCACTTGATGCCTCATCAAAATTGTTTTCTTTTCATCTTGCAACCAGATTGGCATTGTTGTCATGGATGCAAACCCATGGATTCTTGAAGCACTGGAGCATAATTGTACAAAACTTGTCATTATAGGTTCTCTCTTGGATTTTGTTTGAGGTGCAGAAGGAAACCCAGGGATACTGGAAGCTTCTGGGCAAGTTGGAGCAAGCATCAACATCATCTTTGCAGTTGTCTCCTCTTGATTGAGACTGTGAACCACAAAATCGGTCCCCTTCAATGGCCTATCACCCAAAATTTGTGGATCAAACAGCCATGGGAACTTTGGGACCCCTTCAGATGATGAAAATCCAGAAAAACTGGATACTTTAGGACAAACAGGTGCAAGACTCAGCATGCTGTATCTAGGGGCAGATGGGAAGCCTGAAATTTGGGATGTTCTTGGACAAGCAGGAACCAAAGCAAACATATCGTGTGGTATGTCTTTGCTTGTTGACCAACTGTAAATACTGCACTGAATGTGCGTTTGTGGTTTGTGCATCAATGAAACCAATTCAATTGACCATCCTGCATTATCTCTCCCTTCAACAGTAGAGAACCCAGGGATGTCTGAAACCACAGGGCACAAAGGACGGAGGGTGACAACATTATGGCCGTAATAAATTGATTTAGGATTTGGAATGGATGGGAAACCAGGAGTACATGAAACTCTAGGACATGATGGTACAAGGGAAACCATTGTCTTCATTAACCTTTTGTTGTAGTTTGTTGTGTCAAACATAATCCCTGTCTTTGGTGTCTTTTTTAGCAATGAATCCTTTTCTGTAATCCAACCAAGACTCACATCCCCTTTAACTGAAGGGAATCCTGATATTTGGGAAACTTGGGAGCATAATGCGGAAAGGCTGATGATATTTGGTGCAAAATGAACAGTTATAGGATTTGGAATGGATGGGAAACCAGGAGTACATGAAACTCTAGGACATGATGGTACAAGGGAAACCATTGTCTTCATTAACCTTTTGTTGTAGTTTGTTGTGTCAAACATAATCCCTGTCTTTGGTGTCTTTTTTAGCAATGAATCCTTTTCTGTAATCCAACCAAGACTCACATCCCCTTTAACTGAAGGGAATCCTGATATTTGGGAAACTTGGGAGCATAATGTGGAAAGGCTGATGATATTTGGTGCAAAATGAACAGTTATAGGGTTTGGACAAGAAGGAAAACCTGGTGTCTGTGCTTCTTTTGGACAAGATGGTACAAGGGACACCATTGCTTTTGCTGCTCCCTGATCTTTCTGACATCTGCTGTTCACTGATGCCTGCCTTGCCTGTATTCTTAGATCAGAAAGTGGCTCCCTGTTGACTCTCCACTCCTTTGAGCTATGAGATGATAGAAATCCTGGTATCTGTGACATTTTTGAGCAGAGGCTTAGAAGACTGACCATATCTACCATTGTTTTGGGTCGAGATAGAGAGGTTTTAGGGGTAAGGCTTAAAAGATCTGATTCAGGAAGCATTAAAGGAGGTTGAGGGATTGAGGGGATGCCTGTTATGCTTGAATGTTTTGGGCAAGTCCCTACCAAAGCCCTCATTGGTTTATTGTCTTCCTTGTCCTTTGGTGTGTTTGCCATAACAGCAAATTGGCTCAGCATTTTCTTCAAAAGTGGTTCTTGTGGTGGTACCCATGATCTGATACCGGATTCACAGATAGATGGTGAACCTGGTGTAAGAGATACACTTGGGCAACAAGGACTCATATCCAACATATTTTGTCCGTAAAGTCTTTGTCTGTTTTGAAGTATTGATGGAAATCCTGGGTTTCTTGCCCCACTTGGACAAGATGGTGCCAGTAAAAACATTTCCTTCTTGTGCTGTCGATCTTCCTCTGACACACAGTGCTGTAATATGTCCTTCTTTTTTGACTGTTTCTCACAGATCAGCTTTGGATCCATGAGAAGTCCCATCTCATCTTTTGCCGGTGACATGGAGCACATACCAGGAATGTTTGTTACACTGGGACAGATACCCAAGAGAGAGGGCTGTTTGAAAGCAGGCTCTGCATCAGATGGTAAAGACTGTTGACCCAGAGGAGATGACTTTTTAGCCGCCGTTTGTTCTACAAGATCTGTGTATTCCTTCAAATGAGGAACACCTGCAACTTCATTGTCATTTAATGGCTTCTCCAAAGCTGACACACTGTCCATGAATGTTGGGCATTCATAAGTTTGCTTGCTCAAAGATATGAATTCAGTTGTGTCAGTAGCTGTCAGGCACACTGGCAACAGATTTGTCATTCCAGTTTCTGGCTCTGTCTTCATTTCCTCCTTTCTCGATGGAATCACCTTTGGAAGCTCCTCCCACTGAATGCTCTTGTCTGAAGGGCATTTTACAGGAGTCACCTTTGGTAGCTCCTCCCATAGTATAGTAGGGTATTTTTGCAGCTGCTGCTCAGTGTCAGATATTTCGTTGAGGGCAAGTACTTCTGATGCTGCCCCAGGAACATCTGGGATTGATGGCTGCAGTGAGACCATTTTTTCATCTCTAAAAAGAGGTACATACAAAGTTATACTCAGTGGTTATTGAAGGGAGATTTCAGACAAAGTCTTTGATTTTTAAATTCCCAAATGACCACTGCAATCCCCCACTTGCACCACAGTCCAGAACAAAGCACGCTGTCTCTCAGCCAGTAGGACAGTTAATGAGTGCTTTACAATAAGAATACCACATGCAATGTAATAGAAACACGTGCAAATTCAACAAGACCTTTCACATCAAATGTACTCCAGTCAGTTAAATGCTTAAAGGTGCATTCCTACAGACAAAACATCATGCTGTATCATTTGCCTCAGATGACCCTACAACTGATGCCAAAATCGTCAGTGCTGCAAAACGAGAACTGTTACTTGGTTAGAAAGATTTCTTTCCAAATATATTCCTCCTGTATTCAGTTGTGCAATAAATTGCCAAAAAGAAAAAGCTAAATGCCTAAACACTGCTGGCCAAGTCGACAACTGTACTCAGTTGTGCAATTATTTACCAAAAAAGCTAAATGTCTGAACACAACTGGCCACGTCGACGCAATCTTTTAAAGTTAAAACCTCAAAATGAAAAAATTTTATTATTTTACCTTTATGATTGGAGTTTGTGTTGTCCTCACACAACGCTTTGCTTCATTATATTACTGTTCCATATTAATATTTGACCTGATTTGTACAATTTGTATTTCTTGGCTGACATGTATTTGTACTCTGCTGTTGTTTACTCAGTAACATTAGCACTAAACTTCAACTATGAACAAGAAATCACACCACCTGAAAAGGACATAACTAGTAAAACCATGCAACACACCACAGAACCCTTGTATCAGGCTGACAAATACAGAAGCCAGGTATTACTGTCACTTCCCTGCTCTCAGAGTATCTAAATAACCCTTTACCTGTCTTGTCTTTGCACAAACTAAAGAAAACACATTAGTCCATTGACTTAGTCCATTGAAGTCCAGTTCAACTATTCAGAGGTTGTGAGATGATGATCCTCCACAGGAACAACAGAAGCCTGCCTATATGCCAATAGCTTAGCCCTCCTCATACATTACTGACTATAATTTTGGGTAATCATAATTGCTCAAGGGGCAGAGGCAAAGTCCAGGCACATGAAATGCATAGTATTTGGCCAACCTCATACATCTCTGGGCAAAACCAAGTAGGACTCACACAATAAATGCAAATGATGCCATTAATTAGTCAGTCAAAAGGTGCTGGAAATAAGCAAATGCATTGTTTGGAAATGCATCAGTTTGCAAACCAAGGCAACCCACCTCTTCCTAACACTCAAGATTATTGGCATGTCAGGACCGGAGTGCCACATTTGGCATTGCAAGTACCTGGAAACAGAGTAAAAGCAGATCTTTCAAAACCCTTTTAGCTAACACTGCAGTGGAGGCTCAATCTAAAACTCCACAGCCCACTCACCCTTTTGCTATTTCTGCTACTTCAGTTGGTGTCCGCAAGACTTGCTTAGGCATCTCCAAAGGTAAACATACATCAGTTGTTACTTTCCTTAAATCATGATGGAACCTGGTTGGACTAGCTTTATCTAAAACCATCTTAATCTTGACAGCTCTTGAGGACAGTTGGTCCTCTTGTCCTTTTGTGTCTGGAGATGGTAACCCTTTAGCAAAAGCCTCTGCCTGACCAGTTCCTGATTTAATTGTTCTTCTTTCATGTGCATCTTCTTGCACACCTTGGCTTGGGATTATAAATTCTACAGACTTCTCTCTTGCAGCCTCCGCACCGAAAGCATTGCTTTCAATAGACAACTGTTGATTGGTCAGATTTTCTCTTTCCTTGCCAACAGTTTTCTCTCCAGGTGACAGATGTGCTTTGTCTGACAAGATCTGTCCAGAATGGTGTAATGATGGAGCCCCATGAACAGAAGTTTTCTTTGGGCAAGATGGTACAATATTTATCATATTTGCAAGCCCATGTACATCAGAAGTGAGGCTAGGGCTTAAATAAATGTTTTGGCAAAGCCATTTAAGAGAATCAATAGCCTTCATTCTATTTTTCTGAAGAGAACCATGCTTAGCCAATGGCCAGCCCTCTTCTTGAGAACCAGAATCAAACCTCACTCTTGATGGCAAACCAATAATATTTGATTGTTGTGGGCAACACAGCACCAACTCTGTCATAATGGGATTTTTTGCCTTAAGGGAATCAACATCTTGGGGTCGTGGAGCAGATGGAAATCCCGGGTTCAAGGCTTGTCTTGGACATGATGGAAGCATACTTAACATTATTTGTTTCTCTACATATGACATCCCCTGCACTATGAAACCTTGATGAATGTCTATATGCTCTCTGTAGATTGACTTTTTCCAGATTTCATTCACATCCAAATTCCAGCCATGATCATCTTTTACAATATTCCTCGCTGGCAGACCTGGAATTTTACTGTGTTTTGGGAAAGTAGCGAATGATTTCAACATGTTGGGCACCTCTTTCAACAAAACCTTCACTGGTTTCTGTCTTATCTTTGAGGGAATTCCAGGAATATGAGACTGTTTGGGACATGGCGGCAACATTGAAATCATAATTCTAACCACTGCCTTTTCTCGTAAATACATCTTCATCAGCCCAAAGACCACTGGTTGTTTTCCTGGGTTTCTTGGCCACCTTTCCTCTACTTTCAAATCACCCTTAATCCAGTCTGCTTCTTTAGACACAATGTGTGATCTAGAGGGTATTCCACGAACCCTGGAATGTTCTGCACAAGTCGGCAGCAAATTGATCATACTTGACATATCTTCTGGTCTCTGGTATGGTTCTGAAGGAAAGCCCTGTATACATGCAGTGTGGGGGCAGTAGGGCAGCATGGTCATGTGTCTCAGTGGAGCCCCAGGAGCTCTTGATTCTTTGGTACAACTTTGCAATACATCCATCATTAATGGGGTGGTCAAAAAAGAGGGGAACCCAGGCACAAGAGCAATGTCAGGGCAAGATGGTGATATTTCACTCATCATTTCAGCAGTATTTCTATCAAATGATGGCATCATATTTAACGCTCCAACTCCCTGTCTAATAAATGGTCGCTCCCAATGCAAACTTCTACAGTCATACCATTCGTTACCAGGTCTCTGTTCAGTCTTTGAAGGTAAGCCAGAGACCCTGGTATACAGAGGGCAGGAGGGAACTATGTTTACCATACTGGGCTCTCGTCGGGGGGCAGAGGGGATGCCAAAAACTTTGGCTTCTTGTGGGCAGCTCCTCAACATATCTACAGTATCATTAAGGATTTCTGCATTATTCAGTAAACACTCAACAATGTAAGCTTTATTTTCTTTTTCTGGTTTCTTGCTCATGAATCTTCCCAAGGTGAGCCAATCTTTGCTCTGTGGACTATCTTGGTTAATGGATGGCATGCCGGGTGTTTGGGTCTGTTTAGGACACATAGGCATGAGACTAACAATGCTGGGTAACAGCTTCCTGGGTTTTGTGGGAATCCCCCAAAGGCAAGTACTCACAGGACAAGAGGGTGACATTGCTACTGAATGGAGCACCTCTCTTTCAGAGGTCAAACTACGAACTGTTGTTTTCCAAGGACAAGATGCTGTCATATCCAGCACATGTCCATAATGTTTCTTGTCTTGATATGACTTTCTTCCTAAAACTGATTCACCTACAAAATGCCAGTTGTCATGATGGGCTTTAACCACCTGTTTCATTGGCATACCTGCAATCACTGTCTGTTTGGGGCATGTGGGTAGCAGACTTGCCATGTGTGGAGTACTTGAAGCCTCCTGCAGTGGCACAGATGGAAACCCTTGAACCCTGACTTTCCTTGAACATGTTGGCAACATGGCCACCATAGTTTTAACAATATCTGGATCAATGATAGCTTGTTCCTCAACACAAGACACGTCCAAAACAAAGTCTTTTACCTGCAAGGGTTTCTTCCATAGAGAACATCTGTCCCAAACACTTGGGTCATATTCAGTCACTGATTCAGAGGAAGCTAGTCCAGGGATTTTACAAACTCTGGAACATGTGGGTAAGAGGCTAGCCATATTAAACACACGTTTCAAAGCAGATGGGAATCCAGGAATAGTGGCAGCCCTGGGGCAGGATGGAGTTAAGTCCAACATTTTTGCAGTTCCAACGCTACCCACATAAAAGTGAGTAACATAACCTGAACACAGGAGCAAAGGAAACCTGTGGCTCGGTAGCTTCTGAAACAATAAACTCCACTTAGAAGGCCAGGCTAAAAATTGTGATTGATCCAGTGATGCAAAGCCAGGAATCTTGGAGGATTGTGGACAATCTAATAGAAACTCAGTCATACTTGGCTCTCTGACCGCTTGTTCAACCTGAATTTCAGGCTTTGTAGTGGAAGGTAAATGAGACACAGATCTTCCTCTCGGAGACAGTTGACCAATTTTCATCTTAGATACAAACACAGGCTTGTCTTCTTTACCGGCAGCAGGTTTTGATAATACTGGTTCTTTAGTGGTTCTTTCATCAAATTGTCTCTCATCAACAGACTGAGCCACATTTCCAGTTTTCTCTGTCTCCACAAAGTGTTCTTGGTCCACAGTGTGCACAACACAGCCTTCCATAGCAGTTAATTCAATCTTAATTTCAGATTCTTCAGTTTCTTCAGATAAATTGTTAGACACAACCTCCTGTGCAGAAGGGGGCCTGAAATCAGAGTCCAACTTTAGAGGGACTTTTTCAGAAGCAGGTGTACCACAGATAATATCAGGTATTGAAGCCGTGAGGCAGATTTCTTGAGTGTTTTCTTGTGGCTTCTCCGGTGGTGAAATATTCAGGTTGGGTTTTTGTGTACATGGATCATCTGGAGTTTTGTTCTGTGAAACCACTGACGAAAAAGAAGGAAAAGCTTCTCTGGGACAAGATGGCACTGTGGTAACCGAGCTCTCATCTCTGAAGAAGTAAACCAAAGACTGATGTCAGAACAACAAGACTCAAGTACTTTTACCAAAAAACACTCAAGTCCAATGCCGAGGTCAGACTGCACCATCCTTTTGGCTGTTACCCCAAAATTTCATCAGATCTGTGTTTGGTCTATCTCCAAAAGGTTTTCACTTAAGCCAATGTGCCCTCTTCCATTGGCTCTGCTGAGATGTTTCTGTTCTGTCTCAGCTCTGGAAAGCAGCCGCCCTCCAAAGCAGATATGAATGGTGTCTAATTTTTCCAGAGCAAGATTGATCAGTCAGCACAGAGCAGTTTGATTAAACATAAAACCATTCAGCTGTCTTACCCATTTAAGTGCACTGGATGTAATCTGTAATTGTGCTTGTAATATGTAGTCTGACCTCGGCATACATCTCCTCTAATCATCATAAATCCACTCTTGTATCCCGTCTAAATACTGATATGAACTTAAAAGCATTCAAGACCACAGAGTGGGGATTTAACTAATCACACCAAACTTACCCATTATCCAAAGTTACAGGCTCCTTGTTTTGGGCCACTTCTATCCTTGCAATTGGTTTGGAGTCAGAGATTGCAGAAGTTTTAGGAGAGTGTAGCAAAGGTCCCTGAAGTGGTCTGGAAGTTGGTTGGAGTTCAGTGGGAGAAACTGGATCATGTTGATCAAGCTCTGGTTGAGCAAACTGGTTTCCTAACTGAATGTTCATCTTGGACAAATGACTTCTTGGTTTTGACGTAGAGGTTTGAAGATCAGGGTTCAACTTAACTGAGGAGGTGCTGGGAGGGACTGGGGCCCGGATGTTTGGGGATGTCCTCGATGGCCTTGATTCTGACTGATCCGTTGGTGTTTTAGGCATCTCAAAGTATTTAAGGCCTGGGGCTGAGGGTGTTTTAGGGTTTTGGGGCAAAATTGAGGCCATGCTCTCAGGTCTGGAGGGCAAACAAACGAAGATCAGTTACGACCCGAGGACAGTCTCCACTGCAGTTAGGCTGTGTGTCCACCAAAGTGTTTGTTTTTGGGAGGTCAGCTTATCCTTTCCATCTCTGCATTGGGGAGGCCTTCTATGTACACTACCCTGCAACTGAACCCCACTTCTGGGCTTTCCTTGGACTGATTCTGCTCCTACCTCTGTCATTACCTCTGCCAACCTGAGCTGAAGACTTGAAGGGGTGGGACAAACACCACTAAGACCACCTTGCATGTACCTTTTATCACATGCTAAACAACAAAACCAAATTATGTGCCCATCCCTGAGTCCTCGTCATAGTCCGGCAGGTCCTTCCTTACTTTGTTTGCTCTTTTGTCCAGAACAAGGACAAGAGTCAGTTCTCCAACCCCTCACCTCTGCAAATAGTCTGTGTCCTGGCAAACAGATGCTACCGAAGCCTTTAAGACTGAAACTTATTGCACCCCAATGGCTGCTTGGTGTTCCAGAAAAGCCTTGGTGGACACAGGTCCTAATGCAGTCCATATCCATAAACTTTTCAAATAAAGCTCTACAGCACACAAGCAATGTAACATGGAACTTAAAAAGTTACCATACAAATGTAGACTGACACCATTCAAGACAATCAACCAAACAAGCATTTTGCCAAACACAACTGGAGGAGAGTCCAGGATTCGCCAAGCAGCAACAGCCTTGTGAACCAAACTGTCACATCAGGCACAACAATAAAAGTTTACAGAAGTTTCTTTCAAAGTAAAAATAAAAAATCATCTTTTGTCTCATATGCTGGGCAGTCCCATTCACAGCCCAACAAGCAATGTGGTAACCCGAGTTTCTGCATTGCCACAAAGTAAACACAGGATTATAAGCTCAGGAAGCCGCAACACAGAGAGCAACAACATGCCAAAGATGGAGATTCTTTTAATGTGCACCTGCATTAAGAGAGAGTTTACATATGTTATGGCTGACTCTGGCAGATCAAAACTTTTAAATGAAACTGAGTTCTACATCTAACTTTTATTTTAATCCCTTCCAGACTATGTAAACTGAGAGTTTGTGGGAAGAAGGATTCAAAGCCAAAGTTGATAACACAAGCCAAACCAGTTAATGGAAGATTATAAACATACTAGCCCAACTTTAACCCAACTTTAACCTTTTTCCTGGATTTAGGGTGAGCAGAAACAAACACAGCAGGTTTAAGTCAGGAAAATTCACCACCATCAAGTGGGCTTTTGACATCACATTTTTTTTAAGCCTACCTCAGTCTAGTACTCATATTAAACCTGTGATTTAGATAAAAGCCTCCAGCACACAGTCACTGTTAATAAAAGTCTTTGAACTATGAAGCACCTGTCATCCATCTTCTTTGTTTTTAAAGTGACTTTATACTATTTCACGCCACAAACCAACAGCAACCCGTATCATAAAGCGTTAGTGTGGATTATTTCTTTACAGCCGTGCCAAACCATCACTAAAAACCACCAAGGCTTCAAAAATGTCAAACATTTCCTTTAACTCACCCTGCTGACGCTTTGACAACTTCAAATCCAAACGGAGCCTCTTTTTTCCTCTCCGAGGCCCTGAACGGCTCCATCTTCCAGCCTGCAGGGGGTCTGGGGTCAGAGGCTAAACAAAGATAGGATATATAAAGTTAGCTGTGTGCTTGTTGCACATAATTGACTATTTTGTTTGGCAGCTCTGGATGTTTTATTGACGCTCACTCGTTGGTGTTGTACTCTGGTGGTCCTCCTCACTCAGCGTGCTCAGCTGTCTCTTGAACTCTGAAACAGAAGAAGACAATACAAGAGGTTAAACTAAATGGCAAGATGATGTTTGTCCTTAGATTGTGGTTCTTTGTGGATCCTGTACCTGTGTCTGGTTCACAGGGGAGGGCTGAGGCAGTTTGGGGAATATGAGGCTGAGAAGGAGGAAGAGGAGGAGCTGAAGGCCCAGAGACAGTAGGGGCAGAATAAGGACTTAAAGGAGAGAAAGAGGAGGTCTCTACTGCAGGGGTAACCTGGGGTCTCCAAGAAGGAACAAATGCAGGTCTTGTTTCTGGTTTCTGATCCACAGACCGCGCAGTGGACAGTGGGAACGAGGCTGACAGAGAGGGGACAGTGAAAGAAGGTGAAGGTGGGGTCTCAAAATCAGGAAGTTTTGGTGTTAGTTCATCTAACAAAGAGCAGCTGAGCAGGTGGCAGGTGACACGAACAAGATACAAATAAATTCAAAAAGCAAAATAACTTATTCGTGTTTTTGTCCTGGGAGTTTTCTGAAAGATTGAAGCAGCTGTTTAGATGTTTGTAAATCATTTAAAGCTCATTTGAGTTTGAAAATACAACAAATCAGAAGTTGAAACTGAAAAGAAAATCCATCTGCTTATTTTAAATCTGATATGAGCATCATGATTGTGAAAAGTAGTTCCAGGTTCATGTTTCTCATCATGTGTCCTCAACTGATATATGAAGGTCTTCCCTGAAAAAATCTCTGTCTGGATGGCAGCATATGTTACTCTTAAGTCTGTAGATATTGTTCAGCATTCATGACGCCTTCACTGATGAGCCCTGATGGTGATTACCACTAAAGATCAGGACCATCCAGTCTTGATTTTGGTCCTTGTCCCTTTTGTACAGAGATTTCTCTGTACTTGATTCAATGAAATATGAGCTTTAAATGATTCCCAAACCATCCACTTATGTCATTATCACCATTTTACAGAAAACTGCTTTGGAGCTGCCAAACCGAGAAATTCTTCATACAAGCCAAACTCTTCAAAATGCTGAATCAGTGAGGATAAATCAAAATGTGAGTTTGGGATTTAGATGGTAGCTCAGGCAAAGCAGCAGAAGGATTAGCTCAGAGGAGAGCAGCGTGAAGACAAAGGTTCAATAAAAGGAGAGTATCAGGTTAAAGTTACAGGTAACAGGTGGGGCAGCATCATGTGGCGTCTCTATTCTCTGTTTTTTCTGCAGCACTGCAGGCTCAACAGGTTCACTGGCAGAGAGGTGCAGAAACTTTGGAGAGAGACCTGGCTGGGCTAATGGGGCCTGAGATTTAGGAGGCCTCCATTCACTCTGCCAGGAGGCTGGGGGAGGGAGAGGAGGAAGAAGAGGGAGAGGGAGAGACATAGGTGAGGGAGCAGGAACAGGAGTATGAGGCAGTATCTGATAGGATCAAACTCCTCCCTATGACCTGGTACCTGTCTCGGGTGCAGATGGCAGGCTAGTGGGACGGGTGAGGGCCGAGCCTGACTCCCCCATAGAGGAGGGACGGGGTTTAGGCGGTCTGAGAGCAGGAGGTGGTGGAGGTATAAGAGGGAAGGTGCTGAGAGGAGCTGAAGATGAGGAGGAGACAGAGGAAGAGGAGGGGACACTCCAGGCTGAGAAAAAGACAGAAAGAATAAAGAAAAACAAGAAAATGGTGGAAAAGAAGCTGCAGAAAAGAAACAAACTGAGTTTGTTTCAGAATTCAAGATTTTGTTAAATTATTCACTGAGAGTTTATTTTCAGTGCAGATTCATTTTACTACAGAAGCCCTAAGTGGACATGTTTTTTTTTTTTTTAACCCACGTTTTCTCGAGATCACGAGATAATTTTCTAGTGATCTCAAGAAAACGAGGCTTCGTTTTCTTGAGATCACAAATTAATTTTGCAGTGGACTACAAACATAGGGCTGATCACTGTACAAGGTACCCGGTCCGAATTATAGTTCTCTGACTTTTTAAAATATCAAGGGGGGATGCTCTGGAGGTGTGTAGCTACCCATTGTGCACACTTCCCAGGCAAAAGAGAGCGCCACAACCTGGTAAAAATCAGGGTTCTCTGACTTTTCAAAGTATCAAAGAGGGATTTATTTAATTTATTTTATCAATATAAATTAATTAACAAAAAAACCTACACATTATGGACAATGAATTTTTGCGTTTTTATACAGTGTTTCAATTTTAACTATGAAATATTCACATTCATTCAAGCCTTTTATTACTACGTTGCAATTTCACACGTAATAGGAACCTTTAATCGTGAAACTGGGCGCCATTCAGTCTGGGGAAACACTCTGTTCAGGAGAAAAGCTGGTGATAAACTGAAGCATTCATTCTGACTGAAGCGAGGTCGCTGATGCTGAAGCTGTCAAACAAGTACAAATCGGGTTTCTGGGACAGATCAGGTAGCGACAGGCAGAGACCGCAGACCCTGCAACACGTAAAGTGATCAGCCCAATGTTTCTAGTCCACTCATTACGAAAAAAACTATTTCATGATCTCCAGAAAACGGGGGTAAAAAAATTAATAAAAACTAAGCTTCGGGCTTCCATATTTTATTGATTGTCTTACTTTGTATTTTATTTGAGGCCCTAACAGGACAGATCAAACAAAATTAGCAGATTTGTCTGCAGGAAAAACAGTCTGTATGGAGAGCAAAAGCAGGAGGAAAACAGTCCTCTATAATGACCTTCAGCTTCCATGGTTGGTGATCTGAGGAGGATTTGTGTCTCCGTATGAAGGTCAGCTAACAATCTGTTCTAGATCAAACATTTACGCTGAGACACTAATCTGACTAATGCTGAGTCATGTTAAGATTTACCAATTTCATACACAGGCCTGGTGGCTCATCCATCAAAACTAGAAACGGAGCATTAGCCTGTTAGCTCATCCTACCTGTCTGCGAGGAATCAAACACAGTGGGAGGATGGAGAGACGGATCAGAGGGTGCAGAGGACAGAGAGGAGGTGGAGAGCGCTTTAGAAGAAGAAGAAGGAATGAAGGAGGAGAAAGCTGTGGCCTCTGAAGCTTCAGCTGGAGAAGAGTCACAGTGGAAGCTGTGAGGCCTCCGAGGAGCTAAAGAGACGACAGAGAACTTATGTGAGGAGGAAAAACAGGAGGAGGAAGGTGTGGTGAAAAAAGAATAAACAAAAAGATAGGGACATCTCAACGCCTCACGGACAAACAAATTGTAGAGCATGTGTTGGGAAGTGAACATGGAGCCAGTACAGCAGGGAGTTAACTTATCTTTACCAATAATCTGACCCTGCAGAGACACCAGACTCTGCTGTTGCTCAATACCTGATCCAGCACCTGGCTGGAAGATTTTAGGGAGAGCAGGAGGGTGAGCTCGGGTGAAGGCGGGCAGTGAGTAGGCGTAGATGGAGGGCCGAGCCTGCTGGGCGGAGCTGGGTGGGAGTGAACGTAAAGGTGGATGGACTGGGGGAGCAGAGGGGTCAGACGGAGGAGGACGAGATGGGACCGAGATGGAGGAGGGAAAACCAGAGGACGTTTTCCAGTCCATCTCTGAGGTTACTGGATGAGAGGAATGGATGAAGAGGGTGACGAGGACAGAGAAGAAGAAGAATGGTAAGAAAGATAGAGTAAGTGGAGGTGGAGAAAGTTGAATGAAAATGAAACTGGAAATGTAGGAATGAAGTTTTTCAGTATATTTAAGCAGTGTTGGGAGATGTGAATCACAGTCCTGAATACCTGAACAGGTAATAATGTCATAATGTAATAATGTTGATTTTGCACTTAGTTTAATCAATTACTGTTTTAAAATGACTTGGGAACCATCAAATCTGTTTTTATCATCATTTTTTCCGAATGTTTTTTACGTGCGTCTAACTCAGTTAAACACATATTCTGAATTCCCCCCCCCCCCCTCCAAAAAAAAAAACACTTAACCAGGCCTCTTGGAGATACTGAAAAATACTTAAACAAAGTTGCGTTTATAAATAATATATTCATTTATCTAAAGCATTTTTCCTCAACAAAATTATCAGTCGCATACAAATATTTCTCCTTTTCTTTTGCTCACCGGCAGACAGCGAATGTGTGCGTTTCTTCTGTGGCTTTGCTTGGAACTGAGCACAGGACCAGAGAGAGCAACAGAGAGCACTGCACTGCACTGTTTTATAATGATAAATGTTCCAGGGTTTGGCGTGGAACTCCGCCTCTCGGAGTGTGTTTCCAAATGAACCACTGAACGTGTGTGGGAAATACAATGGTCTGTGATGTGAAGATACACACTACACAAACTCAAAAATATGGAAGCCGTTTTCCGCCAGTGAAAAAAAACAGGCTTTTGGAGGATTTTATAAACTCCCCCTGGACAGGCCGGACAGCCCCCCTCAAAAGAGGACATGTCCGTGTAAAAGAGGACGTATGGTCACCCTAATTTTACTCAACATCCAAATTTTTCTGACATAATAATCCGCCCAAACCTTTCAACTGTGATATATCATCATATATTTCTATATATAAATCTTTTAACTCCTAAGTTTCTTCATTCTTAATTTCTCTTTTGTATTCATCGCTGCTGTAAAATTGGAATTTCCCCTTGTGGGACAAATAAAGGAAAATCTTATCTTATCTTAAACCCGCACATGGACAAAGCAGAAGTGAAAGGGGTGAAAGAGCAGATCATTTGAAAAGTGAAAGAGTCTGATTTGTGTTTAAAATAGGGAAACCAAACACAGGCTGAACATTTACAGAGACAATAACACAAACGTCAGTCTGCATCATGATCTCTGTGTATTTCAACGTCTCTGCTGGGGGAACATGAGGAGTGTAAAGGTGGGACAGAGAGTTACCTGAGGGGCCTGTATCTACTGCAGGCCTCCAGGCCAGATCATGCAGTTTGGTGGTAGAAGAAGCTGACATGGAGAGAAAGAGGAACAGCAGATATGGAGATGAAATGAAAAGAGAAGTGAGTTATAAAAAGGAGACGGAAGAGGAAGAAACAGTGAAAATAAAAGAGGTCAACAAGGGGAAAAAAAAGGGTGAGAAGGGCAGAAAGGAGTCTGGACTAAACAGAGAGTTCTTCATTTAGAGCAGACTTCTTGGAAACATACAGAGAAAGACAGAGAGGTGGTGCAGTTGTAGATGTGAAGCATAGAGATGATCAGAAATGTTCCTATAAAGGTGATGTAGGTTTCTTAACCACTCTCTTACCTGTAACATGAGAAGTCTGTCCACTTCCAAAGCTCGGCCTCTTCTCCTCTCCTTCCTCTTCATCGCTGTCGTTAAAGTCGTCCAAGTTCCCGATGTCGCTCATTTTTATACTCATGAGACTCGCCAAACTCTGCATGTCCTCGTCTCTGTGGAAAAGAATCTTTTTAATCACACTGTAGAAACATCTCTGAGTTACATGAACGTGTCTCTGAGTTTGCTGACTCACGTGGCTTTCCCCTCTTTGAGGAACACACAGGACAGGTGGAGCTTCAGCGTGGCCTCGACCACTTTGACAGAAAGCGGTTTGAGTTTCAGGGTGAGGTCGTACTGAGCCGGCGTCGCACTCGCAAACTTCTTCATGTTCACGTCGGCCGAAGCCAAAACCTTCCTGCGACCTTTAGTCTCCTGATGGTTGCAAAAAAATCAACATTTAGGTTCAACACAGGCTCATGAGTTCTCCTGGTAGGGGCTGCAGGAGTGTGTTATTTGCACAGTGGGCATGCATTGGTTCACCGGTCCAAACACACTTAGCAAAACAGAATCAGCAAACTCACATTTTCAATGACAAAGGTCCACTCCTTATCTTCAAACTCCTCTGCTGTTGGTTCCTGTTGAAGGACAAATAAATTTCAGAGATGATGCTTGAAGTCATGCTGCTCCATTTCTTCAAATCCAATAATCTGTGAGAGGATTTCTGACCTTAAAGAGAGTGACAGTGATGTCTAAACTCTCAGGAACCTGCCAGACCACCACACCTCTGTACGGGTTTTTAATCCCCGGCTGCCAGCTGTGGAGCTGAAGGAAAACAGAGCAGGATTAAGTACCGACAGTTACAAGATATTTCAGCTTCTACATGTCACAGCGTGATGGCAGGAATAAAACAAGAATATTCAATGAGCTGTCATCTGAATTTTAGCTGTTTCAAACAGGGTTATCCTGCATGAACCTCCTCTCATTCTTCTTCTCTTCTTACCTTTGTGCTGTGCCGTCTGTTCCTCCTGATCCAGACCACTCTCAGTTTGTCCGGTTGCCTGAAATCATTGAAGAGCACGAGTATTATTTCACTCCCTCGTCATGCCTAAAACATCCTTATAATGATTTAACTCAGACATAATCCCTGCACTGGAATGAGGACTCTGCAGGGTAGATATCCATCAAAAATCGACATCACAAACACTCATTCACTCAGGTAGAGGAAAAATTTGAGGTGTGGTGAAGAGGATGATAAAATTATTCACAAACACAAAAAAATCAGATAAGAAAAGCTAAATGTTGTTTTCCAGACAATTAAACAGAGATTTAACGACAAGAGACATAAAACGGATGAATCCAGGATTTCAGAGAGACTCAAAAACAAAAGTTTGAGGCCAGATCAGCCTGTTCTGAACCCCAGGCATATTTGCTGCTGCTCTCCTTTCCGTAGCTTTCCCTGCAAACATAGAAATAGAGAAGAGGTGTGCTCTCCCCACCTCAGACTTTAACATCCCACACAACCACATGTAGAAGCAGGAAGCTTTCAGGATAGAGTCATGCCTCAAAACATGACTTATTGTATAAAAATACGTTTTACCATGCAAAGAAAAAAACATAAATAACCATGATCCAAAAATGCTTGCAGTTTTGCTGCTGCTCTCCCTGCCATGGCTTTTCAATTTATGCATGAAAAAGAAGAGATGTGTGCTTTCCTCAACTCAGAGCCAACATCATCACATGACTTATTGCATTAAAATTTGTTTTGCTGTTTTGCTGAAATGCACACGTAAACTGTACCATGCACACTGGAAACCATATATATGACCCCAAACACTGGGGACTTCACTGCTGCTCTCCCTGCCTTTGTTTTTATATGTGAATGAAACAGAGGGGAGGAGTGCTCTCTCTACCTCCGACTTTGGCATTCCTTATATGGTTGTGTAAGGGCAGGAAGCTCGCAGAACAGTGGGAAATGTGGCCTCAAATCAATATCACGATAAATTGAGCAATTCACCTCGATAACGAGAAATGGACGATAACTACTCCACAAGCTGCTCACCCCGCAGCCGCTACAACTTTTGAACCGTCCTCCATCTCCTCAACTGTCTTTCCCCTCTTTGTTACAGACTGGATGGGGTGGAGTCACATCTCTGATGTAGGACAGCGTCTTAAAGGGACATGAGACCATAGCCTACCTACACACATCCAAAACCAACTTGTATTTAATTATTTTTTGGACACTGAATATACCAATATGGGCAAAATGACATTGGTTATTGTCGTAAATTTCGGTATTGATAAATTTTGGGTTTTTTGCCCTATCTCAGAATAAGGCCATAACACTAAATATGAACTCCAACATTCATGGAAACAAGTTTTGCTATAGTTGTCCCCACTGACACGCAGGTTAAAGCTGTACTATGCAAAGAGGTCACCATATATAATCATAATACAAAACCGCTGACAAATTTACTGATGCTCTTCTTGTTTATGCTTTTCATGTGTGCACACTAAAATTCATCCGTCTGATTTAAAATCTAAAAGTAGAACAGCTGTCTCCCGCGTTGTAAATGTCTTTATACAGCTGTTTCTGGCTGTATAACCGTGTTATTAACGCTCATTTACTTCGAGTGGATGTGAAACTGCAGCCAGAGGAAGAGCAGAAAACAGCAGCTTGTTTCTGTGACGGCAAACATAAACTCATCTGTGTGAGGAGGTGAGGAGCTAAGCCAGCAGAAAATGAAAATCTTGTGACTCCGCAAGAGAGAGAAAGTGAGTGATAGAGTCAGTCGGCTCAAGTAAACAGCTCTGACTGCAGGAGTGTGTGTGTCTGTGTGTGTGTGTAAAAACACTTTATGAATGGTGGGAAACTGACCCCACTCGCAGATTCACATTATGCTTGTTGTGTGAACGCTGTGCAGAGAAAACAGGTGAGATTTATATAAAGCCTCTGCTCTGAAAACATCACATGCACAGCTTCAGGTGAATCCACAACATGCTGTTAGATGACATTTCCACCATATTCCATATTCCACCAACATATTTTGGGATCTGCTGTTTCATTTAGTTCAGACTTTTGCATGTGCATTATTTCTGAACTTGCAGCATGTCTCTCCTGATAGACATCATTCGTTCTGTTGCAGATCAGTTAGACTTGTGGGCCACCGTACTCAACCCTTTAAACTTGAAAAATTACACACTTACATGCATGAAGCTCAAACTAAAATATCATAAGTGAATGCCGATCATCAGTTTATGACTGAAATTACGTGGAAGAATGATCACAAAGTTTTCCAGGAAAAACCCCTCATGCTGCAGGACCCTTACAACATCCGCCATGTGCATGCTGAGAAGAGTTCAGAGAGAGAGGGGGACATAAATAGACGACGTCTGTCTCTCTGAACTTCACACAGGATTAATAGAAATCCAACACCTGTTGCAGCTCCATTTATCACAGTCATGTTCTTGAGCTGTTAAAACAGAGTGACCTACTAATGGATGACAACGTGTTTTAGAGTCTACAACTGGACAGGCTGTGTATTTCAATTGAACTCTCCCTCCTGTGAGTCAGAGCTGCTTGCTGTGAGGAAAGTTGTTGATTATAAACTCTTAAATGTTTAAACCAGGCTGTCTAAACTCTCTAAATCTTCACTGTCAGAGTTTTCTTCTAATCAGATGAGAGACTGCTGGTCGAGCTGGTCCACATTTTACACATTCTTGTCATAGACGGGAAATCACAGCAGAGATGTCACCCCCACTGTGGGTCAATAAAGTGTTTTACAGTTCAGAGCCAGGAGCAGCAGGCTTTAAGGCTGCAATAAATTCAGATGTCTTCCGCTATTCCTTTTGGCGTTTGTCACCTCTTTAATTTGAGCCGATTCATTTTGATAGGAGGGTCATGACGGACGCTGAGTGCTTCTAATAACATCAACATGTCTGACAGATTATCTAAGTGAAAGGTGGAGCCAAAGCTGCTGAAGCATCAAGATAGAGATGAAACATTCGGATTTAAATTAAAGAAACATTTATAAACGCCAAGTGCAACAAATCTGAAACAGGCTGCAATGACTGCAACATAGTCCTCCATAAATCAAAGTTCAGCCACTCCAAGTTGTTGTTGTTGTCCTTGACAGGCTCAGATTGTCTTACAACATTACAGAAGTGATCTCTGCAGAGATAGAGCTTTGTGTGGAGGATAAGATGATTTCTAACCACCAACAGCTGATACATCACTTTCCACAAAGACACAAAACTGAGAAAAACAAGAACTTTTCTCACTGACACAGGGAGTTGATGGTCTACCTCTCCCTGAAAAAGCATTATCTTTTAGTTGGTAATTGATTATTACAGAAAAATTTAGTTTGGCATCAAATAAACTTTCAAAACACTAAACTGGGAGAGACTGTCACCAGATGAGAGACCACACGCATATTTTGGGATGGCCCAAAGTTGAAAAACTATTGGGATTCAGAAATAAATATTCTCTATCTTAAACATTGATTTACCTCTGACCCCATAATTTTATATTATCGGAGCACTCCCTGAGGGAAGATGGGAAAAAAGGTATCTATTACATGTCCTATTATTAATATCTAGGTAGATGATAACTGTCTTGTGGTTAAAACTGCTCCCTCCTACTATATCCAAGTGGCAGGAGAGAGTGAAAAAGATATATACGCGATGGAGAAGATAACAGCACACCTTCATCTTTAGATGGACACTTTCTCAACAAGATGGGGCCCTGTAAGCAAATATTTAAACCTACCAATGTGAAACATTGTCAAACCATGCGATCTCAGAACTGTCCAAGTGTGATTTGGAAGAATGTCAGAAACAGTCCAGTGACTGAGTGTTTGCCGAACTGTTATTTCTTTGACTGTTCAGTCTATACATTTCATGAATGACATTGGAGTTTTTTTTTCTTTTTCATATGTATGTAACAGAAAGAAAAATCTGATGTGAACTGAAAGATATGTGTAAATACATATGAATACCAATAAAAACTTGGTTAAAAAAACAAACAAACTCTAAACTGGCATAATGATACCTTGAGTTATACCAGTTAAAGTAGCTGAAGAAAATCAACCACTGTCTGCTGTAAGGTAAAATTACAGTTCTCCTCAGTGCAGTCTGGTGTAGTATCTAAATGATAAAAAAAATCCAGAGATCTAAAGGCATTACAGAGTAGATCCCTGCAGAGACTGAGCTTTTCATATAGAGAGAAGGAGTTTTTTTTTCTGTCACAAACAGCTATTTAATCATTTTCTCTAAGCTCACCAGCTCCACTGAGGAAAACAGAGATTTAACCTTACAGGACACAGGAGTTATTGGTCTACTGGTCAAGTATTTCTGTGAACAATCTTTGGTTTTATTACAGATAAACTATCTACTAACTTGGGTTTCTCCTGTGGCAGAAACTATAAAGAAAGCATATTGACGTAAACCTTCAGTTTAGGACAGGAGTTGTTGGTCTAATGTCTCCTCAACAGGCCACTTAGTGTTTGGCTGTAACAAAAACTCTGATGGGCCAAAACTTACAACTTCTGAGACAAAAGTCACAGAATAAAAGACTGAACGATTAAACTCGTAATTTAAGGAAAACAAGATCATATTCTATCAAAACTTTGATTTAATTTTATCATTGCAAAATACTTCAAATCTTGACTTAAAGGATTTGTGATTTTATGAGCTGCTAACCACACTAAGCTACACCAAAGGCATTAAAGACTGACAGGACAAAAGATGAAAATGAGGAGAATAAGTTTCACAGTTCTAAAAACTTAAATTTTAATAACTAATAAGTTAAGTTTTATATTCCTGACTTACAGTCTTCACCGTCAGACACAAAAGGGTATCTGAGGTCAAAAATCCACCAACCCTTTTAGAAAAAATCACAATTTAAACATCATAAACAATTCACATTGTTGCGTCTCACATTTATAGGCTGCTGCGGCTTCCCTTTACATTGTGTGTTACATCACACACACACGTACACTCACAATGACTGGTGTGCCTGAGGGAAGAGCTTAACTAGAACAGAACAAGCTGAGTGTTGAAGTATCACACAGAGTTGCTTAACAGCATCTACGTCAGATCGACCCGGGACATGTTGATACTGGTGGATTTGGATGAAAGTTACTGAAAAGTGAAGACCGCAGAGAGTCTAACAGGCTGAGGCTGGAGGACCCACAGACGTGCTGACGGCTACTGTGACTAATGATAATGGAATTAAAGGAGGTCCTGCAGAGTCAGGACTGCAGCAGCTCAAACACACTCAGGGGACGGCTGTTAGTGTTGATGAAGATCTGAGCTCAGTTCTAGGGTGGAGACACTTAAGTCCAAACTCTGAAGATTTCCATAAATGCTGAGTCTGTGAAAAGCCAACACAACAGCTCACCAAAAGTGAAGTCAAAGCATTTGGAGCTACCCCTACTGACTAGTTGCAGTCAAGCACATAAACCCCACCTCCTCCATGTAAACAGATGGGACATGGGTCAAACTCTACAATCAAAATCCAGGTCAAGTAAATGTTTCTTTTAAGTTCTCTTTCTTCATGGTGATTTATCTCCATGTTTACTTCTCTGACAGGTTTTGTTTGAATGTGTAATTAATGATTTTTAAAAAGGGTTATGACACCATGAATGATAGCTCGTTGAAAATGAGGCTCCTGCAGCATTGTGCGTACCACTTCATGAGCCTAGAAACCAATTCACTTTAGTGAGTCAGTCTGAGTCCATTTAATAGATGTGTTAATCACGCAAAATTTTACAATTTGATTTGATTCTTTCATTCAATTTGGATTTGACTCCTGAGGCCAGGTTTGGATTCAAAATCTGGTTTCACCCCAGTTCATGAGTCTCTCAATATTGTTTTCTTATTTCAGGGTTTATACCAGTCTGCTGTGATGATTGCATGATATACAGAAAGATAGTTTGGTTGAACTAACATTGTCTTAATTAATGAGTAAATGCATTAATGCAGTTCATAGGATGGGCTAAAGTTTCAATTTTGTCCATTAAACACCATAATCAAGCTCCTGACAGCACCACTGCCCTCTGAATGACCCTTTTTACTGTCATTCAGTCCAGTCCCAGACGAGTCAAGAGTCTGTACTTCATCACAAACAAATTTACTAGATCCACAGAGTACTTCCAGTTTGAGTGACAACCTACAAGGTAAGTATACAGGTGGAGTCAATCAGACAGATGTCAGCAGGCAACTGCATCACAAAATCCAGTAGTAGAAATCATCACAGACCTGTGGATGAAACGGAGTAAAAAAAAACAGGGACAGCAACTGAACTAGAACTAGAAGTGCGAACCCTGTTATTATAACCAGTGATCCCTGGACAGCACTGAGAAATCAAAACTATCTCATAATTTACAGACCTGTAGATGAAAGGAGAAAGTGACTACACTGGAACTCCTGAAAATAACATGTTTTATTGCATTAACCAAAGACTCCACTGAGCAATCAGAATTACCTCAGTATCCACAGAGAAAGCAATTCAACCGGAACTCCTGAAAAAAACAAGTCATGTACCTTTACAAGGAATCCCTGGATATCACTAATCAGAATTATCTAAAAAATTACAATCCGTGGATTAAAGTAATAGCGGAAATAAAGAAAGCAAACAAAAATGTGAATGCCACTTCATTAACCAGGGATTACTGGACTTCACTGAGAAATCAGAAATATCTCAAAACAACTGCACACCTTATTCCTCTTTTGTGCTGATCAGCTAGACAAGACTGCAGTAGCTGTGTGGCAAAATAATAACGTATTGTATGCAAAATAATGTAACTTTAAACATGTAATAAAAACATGATTTGTTTAATGCTTAAAATTCTTCAATTCGTCATGATTTTAAAAACTACTGTTTAACAGCCCTAAAAGAAAACAATCCTTATGCACTCAATACCTGATATCTAAAGGACCACAACTAGACAGATAAGACCCTTGAGTTATATTACCTTATAAAGCAGAAATGTGTTTTCACTGAAGTGTGCTTTAATTACGGATACAGTGGGTTAAATCCTCTTATTTTCAGTGTTAAAACTTCACCTTGTTAAATGCTATGGTAACACTCTGACTTATGCCGTTTAATTCAATACAATAGTCCGATCTTTAGTAAAATTTTGTTTATTGGTGCATCAGCTTTCATAACATAAGATGGTAAATGTATTTAACATCTGCATGTTATAATGGAAAAGTGTAGAAAATGTAATATCTGCCTCCAGTTTCTCCTAAAGTCATAGCTGAAAACAGAGTTACAGTAACCACAGGTGGATTTTATTCACAGTTTTGGCCCACTTCATTAAGCTTTAGTGTAAATATATTAAAGATAATGTGCAGGCTGAGCTTGTACACTTTGCAGACTCACTGGGTGCAGCTCTGGTGATGCTGATTAAGTGCAGATGAAGCAAATGTGCTTTCCAGAGATAAAATAAAAAATATGGATAAAACCTCTTAGAAGGGCATAATAAACAGGATAGTATCGTGCTGGATTAAATACACACTGTGGGCTCAAGATATAAACAGCAGACACGGAAGTAGGTTATTGGGGCGTGCTTTCTGATGCAGCGTCACCATATTTTTGTATTAATATCAACCTGAGTACATCTTTAGAAAAACACTTTCATATTAATCTCTAAATCCACCGATTTACTGATTAATTTTCTTTGAAACACATGTGTAAACCAAAAGTCTACTTTCCCAGAATTAAGGTTAATCTTTAAGTAATAGAAAATGCGCTTCAGTCTCCCTGATCATCACGTCTACCCAGACTCTCATCTGTTTTAGTGCAGTTTTCGTCCTTAGGTGTAGGACTCTACCGAGTGGTAATGACGATAGTATTAAGTACAAATAAACATTTTTTTAAACTCTTACAATAAATGTGACGGTTTCCGTGTATACTGTGTGGTAGAAATGGTCTTTCTTCCTTCTAAAAGGCTGTTTTCTTGTGCGTCGTACGAAGAGTAAAATTATGATTTTTCTGAATGGGGTTTGGTGTCGCTTTCTCCTCTCGTACGCGATGTGTCAGTGGTCCCGATACTTACAGAGACACGTTTAAGAGGTTTAACCCAACAAAACACGACACTCACACACTTGTTATCCTGATAAAAGTGGTGTTTCGTGTTACTCACCATTTTTTCGTGCACTCTATCATCAGTTCCTGAAACGAAGCAGCAAACTGGAACTTCGCAGCTTTCTTTCCCACCCGCTGGAGCCTCTTCCAAACCGAAGTCATGGCTGTCAAATTATAATCTCAAACACACGGTTAACCCACATCAACGTCCAATAATCCTGTCACCGTGTTCCTCCGCGGGGACTTCACCGGGGAAAGTGAAGGGTCCACCTGCCTCACTGACAGCTCCTCACCGGTGTCCGCTCCAGACACACATACTGCTCAGCTCACACACACACACACACACACACACACACACACACTGCACAACAAACACACGCCTCAAGAGAGAGAGAGAGAGAGAGAGAGAGAGAGAGAGAGAGAGAGTCAAGCTATACAAGATGAACCGGAACATGCAGGGTCGCTTTAAGAGTAAACACTTTGGCTGTTACTGGAGAAAAACGGTCACATTACTTCTTATTGACTATAAAATCAGAGATTAAAAAATGTATAGTTTTTAATGAACAAAATGTGGTATAAGTGCAAACATCATATTCAAAATAAGTAGGCAGAGTCTATGATCTCCAGAAAAGATTGATTCATCAGTCCATATAACAGTTTTCCTCTTCCCCTCAGTCCACCTTAAATGGGCTCACGTCCAGAGAAGTCTCTGGTGATTCTGGATCGTGTTTCTTTTTGGTTTCCTTTTTGCATGGTTCAGTTTAAAGCTCATTTGTGGATGCAGTGATGAACTGTGTTCACTGTCAATGTCCTCTGAAGTGATTTAGAGTCCATGCAGTGACTTCCACTCCGGAGTCTGAGTGCTGAGCTGCCCAAGGGCCCGTAGATCTGGACCATCCAGTCTTGGTTTTGGTCCTTGTCCCTTTAGAACAGAGATTTCTCCAGATTCTCTGAATCTTTTAATGATATTATGTTCTGTAGATGATAAAATCCACTCATTCTTTCACATTTGACACTCAGGAACATTATTCTTAAACCGTTGAACTGTCAGCTCACACAGTCCCTTACAGAGTGGTGAACCTCTTCCCATCTTTCTTTTGAAGACTCAGCCTCTCTGAATGTCCTTTTAATACCCAATCATGTTACTAACCTGTTTTGGGGGCCTTAGACTTACTTAAGTAGGAGTTACACTAAGTCTCACTTATGTTGGACTTACTGCCCACTTAAGTGACTTTGTTTGTCTCCACTTTTCCAAAACAAACAGAAACAGGGAAATCTGCCTTTTATGGTTAGGCCAGAACCAAGCTTCTCATGATGTGAGTTTGATACATAATGGATTCCTCATTTTCGTAATCTGCAGATAAGAATCATATCTGTCTTTGTGTTTTGTTTAAAATGAATTTTATTAGATTGAATGCCCCTGAAGTCCAAACAGGATGCTCACTGGCTGCCCTTCAGACAGGAAATAGATTGTTAAGGAATGACCTCACCTCATAGTTACCACCGTGACCCCTTTCCCCCCATCTAAATAAGTCCTAACATAATTTTTAAATGATTTATCGCCAAACAAAGCTGCTTTTAGTCCCAGAGAAAGCACCTCTTTGAGGCCTCTCTGTTGTGTCTGTAATTGAGGGTAATGTCTCTGAACCATGAGGGTCTTAAACACAGGAAAACCCTGTTTGATGGGACAGTCCATTTCTAAACCAAGAGCTGTCACTGAGTCGCAGGAAGCAGGAAATGCAAAAAACCCAGAAGAGTTCCTCCGATAAACATGACCTCAGCAGGAAACACTTTGGCATAACACTAACTTTAAAAAAACTTTGAGTCCCACATGTGGAGACTCCCCTCTGCTCCCCATCCTCCCTTACTTTATTTTTGCAAGCCTTTAAATGCAGCTGTTTCCCCGCGGGGCTGCAGAGAGACCTGCAGGGAGGTTGAGGAGGATGAGGAGGTCCGGTCCCACAACAGAGACACCAGAGACTGCTCTGAGAGTCTGATGAAACACGAAGCAATGCCTCTCCATCTGCTGCTAAATCAGAACACCAGAAAGAGAAAGTATGTGAGTCTGGATCCCCAGGACATTTGGTCCCATCATAATCTGCTCGCATTATTGAGACAATAAAAAGCCCCTGATGTGACGAGTGGTTGTGATCAGACATGTCAACAGTAATTCTTATGTCCATATTTACATTCACGTCATCTGTTTGTAATAATGTAGTTTGTCATTAATTTATTACTGACCACCCTCACATCTTGGTTGCAGCATGCTCTTAAAAAACCGAGTTACCAGTGTAAGTCGGAAGAAAGCAAAGTTATTTTCACGTTTGCATTGTCTTTTTCGGACAAGGCAAATAACTTTTGTAGATGTAGCCATCTTGTTTCCGCCTCCGACTTTGCTTTTTTTTTTTTTTTTACTTGGTAACTGAAATGCTGGTAACTCGGGTGTGACGTCATTCTCAGCTAAGATGTCTGACTTCTGAGGTAACTCGAACGCAGCATCAATGCAGCATAATTCTGGTAAAGCACTGCCTTTCAAATTGTTTTTTTGTTGTTGTTGTTGTTGTTTGTTTGTTTGTTTGTTTGTTTTTAACTTTTGGAACACCCCAATGTCCTCACTATCCCTTCTTGACCACTGACCAATCAGAATCAGGAAGGGGCGGGACTTCTGATCACATTTAACACTAACAGTGGCAGAGGTCTGTACAGAGTGAAACTGATCACACTTCCTTTGTAGGGGTATAATGTCAAGGTCTAGAAATGTTAATAATGCTAATAATTCCACCAGTTGCTTCCAACTTGCCTTGGTGGACACAGCCCCCCTGTATGAGTCAGTGCCCTAATCAAAAAGTCTAGACACACCCCTGCAGAGGTGGTATCAAACCAGTGAAATCTGATCACTCACCCTTCCTACTTCTCTACATCTAAAACTTTGATTTGCTATTTACTTTGTCAGAAACAGGACTGTACGAGTCAGCCTGGTCAAACCATTCTGTACACAGCCCTATGCACACCCCCCTCCTGAAAAGTGACCCCAGTCCCAGTGGTTTCTCCCTGCTGAAATGAAAGTTTGATAAAAAGTTATTTATCAAAAGTTGATTTGATGTCATCATGCTTTGATGCCAATCTAACATAATTGTGTTTAATTTGGTTGAGGGATCCCACAGGGCTCGATGATTGGCCCAGTGTTATTTTGTTGAGTTTTGTTTCTTCATGGTCTTATCCTCTTGTTTGTTGTGTTCAATTGGATCCGTATCCTGTTGAAATGAGGTTCATCTTCTGGGATTAGGCCTAAATAAAAGGGTTGTTGAGGGAGAGGGTGAGAAACAGGCAAGAAGTTGAACCCTTTTCAACTTTTCAACCGTTTTTATTGCTTGTGTGGAAACAAACTATCATTGCTTGATTTGAGAAGTCGAATCCATGTTTATTATTTAGGGTGTTTATCTGTGTTAGATCTTCCAGAGGCTACATTATATTCCCAGCTGCTTCGTGTGTCAGCGCCAGATTAAAAATAGACTCTGGGCTCAACTGGAGAAGTCCCTTCTATCTCATGACAGGGTCAAACTTTCCCTAACATGCTCACAGGTAATTTCTGTTGTCTGTTTACTCCTCAGTGATTTCTGTAAACATGGATTCATGGGAACAAGCCGGTTACTGGTTTGTTTGGGGGGATTATTTCTCCAGGACTGCTACAGCTGTTTCATGTTACAAGCCACCCATAGATGTCTGAAACATGCAGGAAGAAGCTCCATTATTTATGAATATATAAGAGCAGAGTCTTTGTGTTAACACGCCATCAGTATTCATGTACAAGCACACACAAGGATTTCTGTATTCTTCAAACAAGCTGCTAATTTACAGCCTTTGTTTCCTTGGCTTGGAAACTCCAACATCTGATTCTCCTTCTTATTAGATTATCTTGTGAAATATGAAGTCATTTTAGGTGTGACTTATAAAGGGGAGCATGACATCCAAGATCCACCCCAGCTGCATCAAGTCAGCAATACTAAGCTGCAGAGGGAGACAGGAAGTACTGAACGGCAAGTGGAACAAAACGTCCAGTCTTTAATAAGTGGAACAAATAAAGTGATAATAGAAGGGGTCATATATGGGAAGTTTATTGGTAATTAAAAGTGGGACCATTCTAAAAGAGGATATACAGTATTTGTTTACTTATTCTTTTCTGTTACTATGGGCATGTTCAGGGGTGGCCTTGGGGTGGCAATGGCCCCCTTATGGGACGCTCACACCAAGCGCAAGTAAAATCATCTACTCGCTTAATACGCACAAATCTAGATGCGTGAATGAATTGTATTTACTCGCTTCATTTGCGCATCAACTGTAATTTCAATGGTAATCCCCACCAATCCAACCGGCATGATCAAGTGATTGACAAAGGTTTCTTACAATTTACCAGGTAATACGACCTCCTCACTCACTTGCCTCCAGGCGAGCTCCTTTTGATTCCGGTTTCGGTAATTTAAAGAAAAGGTATCATATAATTCGGGGCATCCACATACTGACACAATCAGTTTGTCCTCCATTTTAGATACCAGTGAACAACCATCTGTTTTCATACGTCACCCGGCAACCTTTGTGCTGAGTAGTTATTGCAATGCGAATATCCACTCAAGTTGAGACATATTAAGCTTCCGCCCAACTCGCATCATTCGCTCCGCCAGAGTAGTTGGAGCATCTAATCACGTCTTCACATTAACTTAACATGTAATTCATCCACGCAGATGATTTTATTCATGTTTGGTGTGTGGAGACAGTTACAGTGGGATAGGACAATCTTTTTGTCTGCTATAGCAAACAGTGTTGGTCTCACAGAGCCTTTAATTAATGTTGTGACTTGACCAACTGACTCAACCAATCGTTATGAATAAACCATGAGCTTCTCTGTGGCATTTTTTCCAATCATATTCGCTCCACTTTAAACTAGTCGGACTCCTACAACACAAAGAGACAAGAACTTAACTCTTGTTGTTATAACCATAAATAGTGGAGGGTATAAACCTAACTAAAAACCAGGACAGGAACCTTATTAATCAATGGTTAATCCAACTGTTTGATGAGAACTAAATCCTCATAATAAAAGCTCAAATATCCCTGACATCCACAGTTTATGACTCTATTTTCATAAAGAGTTTGTTGAATCACCATAGAGAATAAAACACAAACTGAACCTAAGACAATCACACTCTTTTCTTCAGCTACATTTGAGATTTATAAGCCGTGAAGTAATCAGACCCCCTGTCGGCCTCCTGCCCCAGTTCTATCTCTGACCTTTGTAAAAATAGCTGGGCTCAGTCACACACCTGTGAGCTGTCCGTCAGACAGAGAGGGGGCAACAAGCCGCCACAGCATTCACCACATTATTCATAAGGTCACTGAGCATCATGGCGTCCCTGCAGCGTGATGCAGCAAACAGTCGCACAGTCACATGTTTGACCTTTGAGCAGAGTTGACACATGATGAAACACTGGCATCAATTGTCAGAGACATGAACACTGTTATAGACGTTTTATGAATCATTATCCACATACAGTTATCAAACTTTCAATGAAGCTTCAGATGCTTCAAAATACTCCATTTAAAGATTCAGCTTTTCATGATCTGTATTTCTATAGTCAGAGATGACAGCTATTTAAAGGCTTTCCTGGTTAAATTAAATCAAATAAATAAAATAAACTGATTGAATAGTAACATTATATTGGATATATAGAGATACATGAATTTCACAACAAAAGTAAATATGCAAAGTTGGTCAATTTTGCTCCAAATATAATAAAAATGTGACTTTAAAAAAATCAATGACACAGTTTGTTGATGTTTAAGCTAAACAAAGAGAAATGTTGGAAAATGTTGCTCATAACTTTGCAGTCTGAGCCAACTACAAACAACAAACTGAGCCTGGGTTTCAGGTATGAAAGAAATCCTTTTAAACTCAGTCCAATATAAATCCTGAGTGATGGTCTAAAACCCCAATGTGTCGGTCTACGCCCTAAGAACTGACGCAGGTCCTAGTCAATGTTAATTTTAAAGTTTTTCTTGGCAGATTCTGCAGAACAAGACCAAGTCCTGGATTGATGGGTCTGTAATAATGAGTATGTAGTGGAGAGAAGCTGTTTTATATCTGAAGAGACATCAGTGACAGAAGAAACTGCATCATCTGCAAAAAGAGAGAGTGGTGCATCTTATCTACATTTAAGTAGTAAGAGACCAGGAACAGAGCCCTGTGGAGCTCCATTTCTTATGAAGATAGCTTGATATAGTGAATGTATTTTATGATTCAGTAATTTTAATGCCATCATACCTTTAAATTAACTGATCAGAGCAGCTTTTAATTGACCCAAACAGAAGAGGAAGTGACAGCTGTATTATATTAAAAGGCTAATATGTTCAATTGCTAATCACAGTACTTCACTTGGAGTTGGGCAGCATGTGTTGATCATGTTACCTGGTGGTCTTCATATTTCAGGGGTGGTTCAGGGACAACAGCTGTCCGTGGTATCTGACTCCCTGTTTGCCTGATTCAGAGCAGAATCATGTGTCTGCTGACCGACCATCACAAGGCCGTCACGACCATCAGACAGCTCAGCCTCTGTCCGAGTAATAAGACGGGAAAGACTGGGGTGAAACAGGGAAGACTGGAAGAGGACAATGAAGACTCTCACACAGTGAAGTAACTGTTATCGCAACATTTCCTGCTCACTATCTAAATATTTGCAGAATTAAAAACTCTTTACCCTGCTGTAGGAGTTTATTAGTTTTAGCTCCATTTCCTTATTTTTGAAACAACAATTTAAAGGACATGCTCAGCTTAGCTTAGAGTAAATGTAAATTAATCACAACTGTCTGATAGTTAATCAAGTCTTAACACTTCCCCTTTAGAATTCAGCAAATCACCCGAGAGCATCTCCAACTTCTAGACAGATAATTAATTTCTATATTTTGGACGTTTGTCTCCACCCTCGGACCAGAGTGTAAACAGTCGTCTTTTGAAGGAGTTGGCCTCAGATTGATAACCTCATTTATAAACAAAGAGCAGCGTCTGTGTGTAGAAGGCGGGGCGAGTGTTTGGCAGTACTAGTCACACACTCAGATCCATGTTGGCTCTCTGTCTGAGTCCTCTGTGTCTCTTACAAACAGTCACAGTGAGACACACAGCAGACCTCTGTTAGGCAGTTCATTAAAGGAGCAGCCCCCCTAAATGTGCTGGTGCTGGGGTTGTCTGTCCTTATGCAGAGCTAGCAGAGTCTAGTTCTGGTTTTAAAGGAAAATTTCAATTATATTTAAATTATTGGCTCTGCTGTAAATGTGAAAAAAAAAACAATAAACACCTGCAGATGGAGCTGTCTACTGAAAAACCACACCTCAGCTGTTCACAAGTCACTTATGACACCTTGTGGCCACTTACATAGACTCTGTATTACCCCAGAGACATGGTAGAAAAAAGAGAAAATTCAGCAAAGTGTAACTAAAGATCTAATTAACTATCTGCAAAAATACAGGATTTTTTTATTGCACTTAACAGGGATACTGCAGTATTTCAAGCAAGCAGGGAAAGCTGCTGCACTTGTTTCTCTTATAAAAGAACTGTGCTAAACTTGTAAGTGTTTAGAGCTGCATGAGGTGAGGAGCTTCGTTCAGTGTTATGCTGTAAGTTAATGATGTATTTGTAATCTCACTGATTTTAAAACCAAACTCAAACGCACCTTTTTATTCTTGCTTTTAACTAAATTTTGAATAAATAACTTTACGTGTTTTAGCATTTATCTCTTTCTTGTTTTAATTGTCTTTTATTGAGCTATTTTGCTGCTCTTATTTTAGTATCTTTTACTGTTGTTTGTATTTCATTTTATCTATTATTGCTTAAATTTCACTTTATGTTACTTTGTTTTTAGATTTTAACCTAACCTCTAGTGTTTCCTTATCTTGAATTTTAAAATAGAGTTTCCTCAGTGCGCACATTCCTGTTTCTATGAATTCGAGCCCTTTCCAAGTTGCATTTTAATACATGGGTTGGGTTGGGGTGGATTTGGATTTTCTTTGTTTCATTTATTCCTTTGCTGTGTAAAGCACTTAATGCTACATGGTTGACATTTTAATCTTAAAATTTCACTTGCAGCTGACTTAAATGCGAAAAAAAACTCTAACATTTGCTGAGCTGATAGCCAGTGACTGAATTTTTGTGGTGCATCTTTGTTGTTCTGCTGCAGGTACACAGTCACAGCTAAGTTTTCAATCTTATTTAATCTAAAGAAATACTGTATGATGGGATTTTAAAGTGCAGTGCAACGCCAAACAAGTTCTGAAACAGTTAATGATCACGTTTGGGGCCATTTAATACAGCAGCAGAACTATATGTTTAGACAGAGAATCTTGTAGCTTACATTGAGCTACAAGACTCAGGAGGATGGGGTTGTGGAAATAAACATGTCCAGAGTGAAATGAGTTAAGCTTGAGTGGACTGCCTGGACTAGCTCACAGGCGTCAGTCCATTTCTGACAGCTTCCCAATTCTCTTCAAAAATAACAGCAGACATGTACTTCATGCCCTACAGAGGATGATTGACAGCTCACTGTGTCTGTAGCCTCTGTGCAGGTTTAGATAAGTTGAGGGAAGACTTTGGTTATCTATCAGAGCAGCTGTTTCTAGACGCTACAAAGACTGAATCTACAGGAGGAGGAGAAAGTTACTCTACTTTTAAACTTGCATCACTTGCTGTTGTTAATAATCACGCTCATTAACATGCCAAAGAAATGCAACATGTTGACATTACTCTGAGAGATAACTCTCTCTTAACCCTCCTTGGAAGACCTGTAAAGTTCCCGCTGAGTACATTTAAAGATCCCGCCCACTTGGACTTTATCAGTTTGAACTTCTGCCTTCAGACGTTTCAGGACGATGAAAACAAGAACAGACTGAGGAGGAGTTTTTATCCCAGAACCAGACCTACACTGGAGAACTGTGCAACATGAAAACTTGAACTTTTTTAGCGCAATCTGTGCCAGGAAAACAACTGTCTTAGATGGCTGTCTTTTTGTTTGATTTTTTAAGAGTTTATCCCCTTTTTAAATATATGATCTTAATAGTTTATTTATTTAAAAGTTGGTTTTTCATTTATTCTTGAACTGAGCTGTTCGCACCTGCCAATTTTGTATTTTGTTGATGTTTTGAACATTTTCTCTGAGTGAAAAGATTAATTCCTAGTATGTGATATGGCGTTTTAACGCTTTAACTATCTTTTATTGTCAATGATTTATGATTTATTTCCTGACAGCTGTTGAAATTACTTGTTTTGTTTTTTTTTTTGGTAAGTTAAGCCTTGTTGACTCCCCACTGTGCATTTTTCGGTCTAAAGAGGTTTAATAGATGTCAAAATGTAGCCTAGAAGCCTGGTCTAAATTCAGGCTACCACAGGTCTAATGATGAAAGTTTCTTAGATGTCTAAATTTAGACCAAGTTTAAATCTGGGCTATATCTATACTACACTATATACTGCTCAACAGCTATCATAATTATTTTGGTTAAGTATTTGGAGATCAGTTATGCAACTCACAGTTGCTTTTTGAAATAAATAGTTATCAAATAACGGGTTAAAGTGCAATGTCTAAATTCCATCTAAAAACATACAGAATCTAGACCGTTGAAATTAGGTCTAAAATAAAAACTAGACATCCAGTAGCCATCTATTGTTCAGTGACTCTTGGTGTTGCTCTCAGTTTATACATGTTTTAACTTTCTGATCTGACTCCGATGCTCTTCAGTTTTCTTCAGTTTTTGTTGAAACACTTTGAAAACATTTGTCCTTATTTAAATAAAGCTTTGATTTTTTTTTTTTTTTTTTTTTTGGCTCTTCAGTCTCTCAGCTCACTGATTCACTTTTAGTCCACAAGATTAAACACACAGATTTAAAACATCAGGTTTATCAGGCTATGAGGCTCAGCTGGTTTTGTCTGCTGTGGTCCTAGTTCTGTGCAGGTCTATGTCAGTGGTCTGGTTGTCTGGACTGGGACCTGACAGGTGCAGCGGGGTGGAGGAGATGGTGCAGATGGACTGGGAGTACTGGGGCTCCTCCTCACAGTCATTCAGGGTCAGCTCATTCAGATGGAAACCTTCTAGTTCAGAGTACTGAGGACCAGAGAGGAGCCTCAGCACCGCACACACCTGAGGAACCTGCAGGAGGGTGTCCTTACAGGTTAGGAGGACCACCAGACCCACCACCAGGTAACCTGAGGACACACACCAGTCTCTTAATCACTTCTGTACTGGACTTTATCCTCTAAACAACTGTATTGACTCATGCAGGAACTCTTCATCACATCACTTACATGTGGTGAGGAGCTCCAGCGTCTCCTTTGCCCCTGAACTCCACGTCCTCCCCAGAGCGTCTCCCCCCTGACCGACGGTGCTCAGAGTGAGGAAGCAGAAGAAGAGGGAGTCTAGGAAGCTCCAATTTGGCTCCAAAAGGAACACCAGGAGGGCGGGGACGAGGAAGAGGAGGCAGAGGACGAGCAAAAAGAGGAAGACAGCGTGGAGGAGGGCGGCCTGGGCGTGAGGTAGACCCCACAGAGTGTGCAGGTAGTGGATGGGTGCATGAGTGAGGATTGGGAGGAGGAGATTAGAGGAGAGGGTGAGGAGGAAGAGAGTGAGGGGGATCCCCAGGGTGCAGTAGAAGATACAGAAGAGTTTGGCCTCGTCTGATTTGGGGGTGTAAGAGTCAGAGCCTGAGGAGGAGGAGGAGGAGAGGGAGGAAGATGTTACTGAGGAGTGAATTAGAGCTTTTTTCAATTTGGATGACTATGTATTTGTAGAATCTGAATATTAACAATCAGGTGTCGCAGCTCTGTTTAGTGTTTCTGTAATCTTACCCATGGTGGTGAGAGTAACGATGACAAAGTACAGAGACGAGGTGAAGCCGCTGTGTCCCTCCTCCTCTTCCTCTTTCAGGACAGGAACATCCCTTTGGTAAGCAGACAGAGTCCCCCTTAGCACATCCTTCAGCTTCTCCTCCTCCACACACGGGTTCTCCCGCAGGAAGGAGCTCCACACCTCCTCCACCTCTGCTCTCAGCTCCTCCTCCATCGGCTGCTCCACAGCCGAGAAGACAATGGCTCCCAGCAGGATGAAGAGGAGGTAACAGAGGAGCAGGAAGAAGAAGGCGTTCACCCTGATGAAGAGTCCTAGAGACGCCAGGAGCCGGGCCATCGCTGGATCTGACTGCAGACTGAAACCAGACACTGAGAGCCGGGACGCTTTCAAATATTTACACCACAGCAGCACAGGTCGGGTTAACGGTCCAGAAACAGGACTCTCCAGACTCACAGTCATCAAACCAGGTGACAAAAATACAACATCATCTTTTATTCCAGGTAAACAAACATTTACAAAACATCTACAATGTCTCTAACACTGTCCTCCGTTCAGCTGAAGTGCTGCTCAGACTTTTCTACTGTATTTATGTGAGTGCAGTTCCTCCAGTGTCCACCAGAGGCTGTGTCCTGCAGTGACTCATATCCCCATAGAGCCGCATGTTAAAACTTTACAGCAGAAATAAACATGTTTACATCCTGTAACAGAAACAGTTTTCAGTCTTAAACTCAGTTCAGGGAGGGAATTTTTTTATCTGGACTTCTCAATAATGTTTAAATGTTTTTAAATCTGAATTTTATTTAAAAATACTGCCAACACAAACTTGGTGTTCAATCTGGTGCCAGAGTGTAACTCGCTTTGAAAACTCCATTTTGTTTTTCTGTATTTCTAAATTGACAAAACATGTTTTAATTTATTGTCTTGTTTTTTTATTTATTTATTTTCAGTATTATTTTAATTTTAAGTTTAAGTCAACTCCTTAATGTTAAACTCAGAAATATTCTTTCAGCTCCACTTCAGACTAACTTTCTTATTATCTTTTAGATTAATAATTTGTGAGGATTTGCAGGAGTTGAACACTGTTAAAGTGTCTGCTGCTTGATTGGTCCTTTATTTTCATTTATTAATGAACTTTTTGATATGACAACTAGGGGGCGACTGTGGTGGTTTTAGGGATCAACTGCAGAGACATTTCTTGAGGTAAATCATTTATCAAAATATGAAATTAAACACAAAAACACCAACAGGACAAACATATTTCAAAATCTACTCACGTAGTTCTTGAAATAAATATATTTTGCAATTAATCAACTCACATTATATTTTGTGAATTTCTATGTTTTACAAAGTGTTAATCAACTTTTTTTTTGCTGTTTTTGCATTTGATAAAATATTTGTCATGTAAACTGCTTTTTGCACTTTGTTGATTTTTATTGCCTTTTGGAAAAAAAAATTGTTATACAAAATTTTTCCTTCTTGAAGAAAATTTTTGAATTTATTAAAACATCTTCTGTATTTTGTTTTATTTTTTTTGTGTTCATGAAATGTTTCTCCAGTTGACCTTCAGGGCCACCGCAGAACCACATATAAAGCAGACAGTAGCTTTAAGTGCACATATAGTCTTTCAGCTGTTGTTCTCTGAGCAGATAATAAAGCTGAGTTCAAATTATCACCAAAGTGGTCTGCGGAGATCATGGGTCCTCAGGGTAATCAGAGCTGGGTCTCTAACTCCTCCTTAAATCCTGCAGTCCGAGTCTGTCCCTACAGAGGAAGGTAAAGGGAGTAATGTGAGCACGCCCAGCGGCGGACAGGTTTGCCCACCCTGCCGATGACGGGCAGTTTATGGGCGTAGGCACGAGGTGGGACAGCAGAGAGAGGCGGGGTCGGGAGGAAAGTTGTCTGGAAAGGCCGCCGCCCCTGACAGCGGCGTCCCATCTGCCGTCCGCCAATAAGGAAGGAGAACACCGGAGGTCCTGTCTGAGGGGAGGTGAAGCGAGATTTGGGGAAAACGTCTCTGGACAGACCTGCTGAACGCTGACCAGAGCGGGAGGAGGAAGACCTGGAGCGCTGCATGGAGGAGGAGGAAGAGGAGGAGGAGGACCGAGCCAAGGACCTGAGGGAGGAAGAGCCGAGAAACCGATTCAAGATTAAGTTTTTGTTGTTTTAACCAGAGGGTTGGTAGACATGACCCTTAATATTCAGGATTTTTAATTTCTTTTTGCAGGTTTTGATTAATTTTAAATTGAAAATGTTTTAATAAAGAAGTTGGTTTTCAGATTCAAGTCTTTTACCTTCCTGTGGCAGCCAGGCTGGGCGGGGGCGGGTCTGTACGAGGACTCCCATCCTGCCTGGGGCTGATGTTGAGGTTAGCAGTCAGCTGCGGCATCTTCCTGGTGGTTTCCGGGTTGGAGGCTGGGCCCGGAGGCTCCTTCCTTGCTTCATTGGGCAGGGAGGGGGTACAAGGAGGGTAACAGCCAAACCCGGGTCCCGTACTGAAGCGGACCGCCAGACTGTCCCCGAAGAAGGAGTAGAGCTCCTTGTACATGTCAGGGAGGGGGACAGGGGTCCACTCCTCCCAGGGACAGCCGGCCCCACCCGCCTGCAGGTGGCTGGCAATGCCGAGGGCCGCCTCTGAGAGGGGCTCTGGAGGGGGGCTGAGGCCAGGGGAGCTAACCCTGTAACCCAGACCCCCTCCAACAGAGCCCGGCTGACCCCCTGCCCCCCCCTCAGCTGGCTGAGACAGTGAGAGCGCCTTCATCTTCAGGAGACGCTCCACCGCCACCTGCAGGACAGTTGACAGGGTTAGAAAGAGCGTCCATATTGATCGTATCGTACCATATCTCCTCTGAATCCTTCCTCTCTGCTCTGAAACAGTCTGTGGTGCTGAACCGTCTCACTGTTTTACAGCCCAGAGGAAAACGGATTTTCGGAGTTCATCATGTGACAACAGCAGTTTAAAAACACAGACTGTAGAAAAGATCATTTCAGAGCAGACGTGTCTGAGTAACATGAGTCTTCTGTCTCTGCAGCACTAACCAGGATGGCTCCGTAGACTTTGTGTCCGTCCGCTTTGACCTGACCGTTAGAAACCGAGTAATCGTCCAGAACCGCCTGAAGGTTGGCCCAGTATGCAGGAAGGTGAGGGAAGAGGACTCTCTCGACGGCCTGAAAACACAAACTTCGCACCATGAGGAGTTTGTTCTTTCACAGAGTTTATGTTTGTTTGATGAAAAACTGACAAATGCACAAAAATAAAGCCCAAATTTACAAAGTATTTCACAGGTTATGTTGTTTTATGTGCTGCAGAGACATGAAACATCTTTCCATGAACAGTGAACACACCTTCCACCCTAGAGCGTGCAGCCCAACCACGGCGCCATAGTGGGAACAAAGCGGCCTCACCGGGTCTGACAGAACCTTCTGGAGCGACAACAGGATCTGATGGTAGAGACCGCTCACCAGATCACCATGAGTCCTGGAGGCAGATATATAACATTTAGAGAAGCTACAATGGTTGAGGACAAGGAAAAAAGCTGAAGATAATCTCAAATCGTCATGGTAACATCGTCTGTTCAAACAAACTGAGTCTGCGGTTTTGATCCTGACCAGAAGATGTGGCTGAGCAGCAGGGCGGCGTAGTCCCGGAGCGTCCAGTGGTCGTTGAGCGGGTTGATGGAGGCGGCCAGCGGCTCCAAGATGCAGTACATCACACTGGACACCAGGCTGCGCACATACGAGCCCAGGTACAGGTACGGATTCTGGACCAGACTCTTCACCATGTGGAGGAGTCTGTTCAGCTGCTCCAGGTCGTGGCTCACAGACTTCACCTGATCAGAGAGATGACAAGCCGGTTTAGAAACGGCAGACACAGGGGAACAATACAACCTCATTTTTAATACCCCTTAGGTATTAAAACCTAACGTACCCCGCTGATGACATAAACAAAGTACGGCAGCAGAGCGGCGATCTTGGAGTTGGATTGCAGGTCCAGCAGAGCCACCTGAAACACACACACACACACATCGTAAATGTTACAGAAAGTAGCTGTTTATCCTCCAGAGAGCACCTGTCTGTGTTCAGCAGGGGTTTACCTTCATCAGGTGAGGGTCCTCTCCCAGGATGGCTCGAGTGATCTGCTGGTAATATTTCAGCAGGTCGTCTGAGAGCGTCTGTACAGCCGAGGGAACTGAGACGAGGACACAAACAGATCAGAAACCTTTAAATACTTTCTCCAATCTCAAAATTAGAGGAGGAAGGAAACAGAAAAAGGTTGATTAATGAAGAAAATAGTGTAAGATTTAGAGTACGGTAAATTAAACCCTTAATGAATGTTGTGCACAAACTGAAGAAACGGCTGATTTACTTGAAAATAAAACGATAAAACAAGCATCTCTGTGTTGATTTTAGTAACCATCACATGTCTGAGTCTCACCTGTTCCCTGAGGCTCCAGGTTCCCTTTGCCATCCAGGTACGACACGTTGACTAAAAAAAGAAGAAAAGCATGATAAGTACTCAAATAAACCTCCTGATTTATGAAACATCAGCTCCTGACGGTGCAGAGACTCTCACCTCGCACCATGGTCTCCGCACATCCTTTTGGGATGTTTGTGGCCAGAGCGAGCTCCACCAGGTTAATGTCCCGGTCCTCCACAAAGAACAGCTCCCCTTCTTTCACCGAGCGGAAAGGAAGAGCATCCTGAGCCCCGTAACCACAGATCGCCTATGGGAAATGAAAGGAAGTTGATAGTTAGAATACTGCTCTAGTGTCAGAACAGAAAGTCCATCACACAGTTCTGACCTCCACGTTGCTCCAACGCAGAGCTCTGTTGAAGTCCTCCACTGTCAGCTTCCTCCTCTTGGCGTGTCTCATAAACTGAGAGCTGCTCTGTGAGGGTCCAAAAAAGCAGAGTCAATACTACATGTCTGGAAACACATTCCCATGTTCCTTACCTGTCCAGTACTGACCTGAGCAGCCTCTCTGAGCCGGTAGCACACATCCTCAGCCAGCAGAGCGGCCACATCGTCCCCCAGCTCCACGCCTGCGCTCTCGGCCATGAGTTTGACTGAGTCCCGGGAGACCTCAGCGAAGCGGCGCTCCTCCCGGTCCGTCATACTCACAGGGAGGACTGGGGTTGTAAAGAGCACCTGACATTATTCCTACTATTCATTTCAGCTTGTTTGGCACTAAAGTTCATCAGCCAGAATCAGGCCTAAAACTCCTTTAAAACTTTTACCATGGACTTCAACAACTTATATTCTTAAGACTTTATCAAGGATACAGCAGCACTATGTGGATCATGTATACCCCGAATACACAAAAGTAAAATAAATTTGTTGCTACTCTTGACACCCTTGTGCATCGTTTATGTATTAAGTGAAATTCTTTAATAGATAGCTAAATTAATACATTTTCCAATTGGGTCTGGCATGCAGCTTCTAAAAGGTAACAGACGCATGTGAGTTATAACTGTCCAGCATACAAACAAAACAAGGTAACTGAAAAATTTTAAAGGTAACAAGTTGCCACTCGGGACCATTTATGTGACATCTGGCATCTTAAAGCAGAGTTCTTTCACTTTCCTGATAAAAACGCACAACAGCGTCGCTACAGTGGGCGTTTTGTACCTTTGTACTATTTTATTAGAACAAGGTGGTGCTTTAGGGATATTTTAGTCCCGATATGACAAACACCCATTATATAGGGCGTTGGTATTGACATCTGGTGCATCCATTGAGTCTGAATAGGTAAAAGGCTTAGATTCATTTAAATTAACATTTTTCTGATGCGGTTTTGTTTGTATACAGCAGCTTTTTTGGTTTAAGGCGCAGGCGCGGACTCGCTGCGCAGCATGCTAACAATAACAACATGGATTCAAATGTGCACTGGAATATCACAACTGAGAGCCTATACCGGTGCAAAAAACCCCACCGTAATAAAAAATTAGTTTAAACTTGTAGTTAAAATATATATTTTTTTAAAACTGTATTGTGACAGCGCTGAGCTGCTGCCGTGAAGTAACCGGTTGTGCTAAGTTAGCCACACACAGGTGCTGACATAGAGCCGTTTAAGAGCGACTGAGGAAATGCCACAATGATAACTTTCAAATATCTAACTTCACCTTACCTTCACCGTTGGACAGTTGAAGATTTATTTTTATTTGCTTGTTACTGGAAAGTTTAAATCTGCGTAGCTAAAAGCTAATACTGGTCACTACATTCTTCTTCTGTCGGTTTGGTGAACATCACAGAGTTTCATTATCGCCCCCCAGTGGACTATAACAGTTTTACTGTGAGATTTTCACATTTACATGGTCCGCCTTTATTGGACACATTAAAATTTCAGACATGATTTTCTGAAATTATAAGAGCGACATTATTAATTTAAATTACACATTTAGAAGAGAAATTCATATATAATGACTTTTCAATGAAAAGTCATTATATTTAAACTGAGTCTGGAGTTTTTGTGAAAAGTTTTCACAAAAACTCCAGACCCAGTTTTTGATAAACTGCTTTGACTGTTTTGGCATATGACTGTTTAAAGTCCAGATTGTCTTAAATTACTGAATATCAATTATAAAGAATTAACCAGAAGTAAAGGAACTGTATTGATCCCCAAAGGGAAATTCAGTTGTTTTTTTTTTTCATATTAATTTAGATTAATCAATATCATTGATTGGGCTACTTTCTCTCTGTCCTCGTGCTAAAACTGGGTTAATGTGCTTTAAGTGAATATCTGGCGTAAAACTTTCCAGGTTGTTTGTGGTTACAGTTTTGTCTGGTCTGAACAGTGTTTTTGTTATTCGCTAATTTTTAAACAGTACATTATCTATCACTTAAAAGTACCCTAAATAATAAAAAAGGCAGAATCTCATCACATCATGTCAGTTTAAGGTGAATTTCCCAACTAAAATATCTGCTGTGCTGTGAATTGTCCTGTCCAAACTCCTCTATTAGATACTCCATGAGCAGTTTAATGTGTTTGTCCTCACTCACAATCTACATCACAACTTCAAGCTTTCCTCCTTTCTTACGGTCTGAATCGTGAACACTGATACCGTCCTGTGTGCATTAAACCTCCAATAAAAGATGGTGGATAATGTTTCAATGTGCAACGCAAAGCTGCTATTCATGCAAACCTGTTAAAATACTATTTAGTGAGTGTATTTAGCCTGCACAGTTGAGTCCTGCAGACACTGTTCACCTTTTTCTTGTTCTGCCATGCAGAGTCCAGAAATATCTCTCCACGGGATCAACAGAAGTTTATTTTTGGACGAGAGGACCTCCAACAATCTGTAGCTTTAGAAATCTTCTCACACTGCACATCAACTCATTTCTAATCTGGAGAGCCAAGTTAAATATCTTTGCAGCCCAAGAACAGCCGTTTGAAATAGAGTACGATATACTAGAATGACTTAGTCTCACCATGCTTTGAGCCACAAGAATCCCATGACACGAGATTATGAATATTTATAGACACCTAGAAATCAAGCAGTTTTCAGCTGCATCATGTTTAGATTTACAAGAATCCCAAACCCCTGCACTGTCATCAAGTTTTGTAAATGGCCTCAAAAATCTGTCACAAGTAGTTTGAATGATTCCCTCAATAAGACACTGGAGTCATCCAGTTTCTCTTAAGAGAATTGAGATATACTGTCTGGATTTCCCTTTTATCTATGCAGTAAAGTAACCTGTGCAGTAACCTCTGACACCCGTCTGTCACACTCAGTCTTTTCACCACGGTCCGGCTCTAGTTCTTTCTGGTTATTGATCTTGCAGTCTGCTCACCTGACAGGAAGAATAAAAATCAGCCAAAAAAGGAGATGTTAAGCTTTAAGATGAGTTTATTCATGAGCCCAATCTCACACATTTCATTTACTCAGGTCAATAATAACATATTTACAATAGTTAAAAAATTAAATTACACTCATAGCTACACCTAAAGAGTCTCAGGAGACGGTCCAGAACCACATGAAGAGCTTTAAAGCCACACCTGAACAGTTGGGAGTCCTGAAGAGCTGCAGACAGACAGCCCCGACTTAAAAAAAGCTTAAAGTCCTCTCAGGTCTCAGAGGGTCAAAAAATTTAAAATAAAAAAAATTAACTTCAGGAGTTGGTGGTGGTGCCAGTGCTGCTGGTTGTGGTCCTGACCTGCTCTGATCCGGTCAGAGCCCCCGGTTGTCCCAGATCTCAGAGGCCTTGTTACTCTCCAGCTGCTGCAGGTGCAGGGCGAGCGGCAGCAGCAAGTCGCTCAGGTGCTGGCTGGAGAAGGTGAAGGCGTTGTGGGCAGCGGCCTCTGCAGGCGGGGTGGCGAGTGGGGAAGTAGAGGGAGGAGAGGAGGAGGTGGAGGAGTTAGGAGAGGTGGAGGTGAAGGGAGAGGTTGGGGAGGGTAAACCTGAGCTGCTGGGGTATGCTGGCGGTGGTGGGGTCTGCTCAGAGGGTTTGATCTTGCTGGGGAGGCCATGCTGGAAGCGGCAGCGAGTCCCGTACAGGCAGAAGCCGAAGGAGCTGAAGGTGCGGCACAGGGCGCCGCGCGGCTTCCACTCTTTGCTCTGTGGAGGTGGGAGGGGCTGAGGGCTGGGAGGAGGTGGGGTCTTCTCCTCCACATCATCAGCCGAGTCCACGCTGCCGCCCTCCAGGTGCAGGAAGTTGCAGCGGGTTCCAAACGGACACACTCCGAAGGAGCGGAAGGTGCGACAGGGGACGTTCCTGCGGCGGCGGAGGGTGGGGCGCTGCTCTGTGGGGCTGTGCACAAACAGGCAGCGGTTGCCATAGTAACAGTACCCAGTGGTGTGGTAGCTGCGGCACAGCTCTGTCTTGTACTTGGGGTGGCGGAAAGGCACATGGAGCTCGTGGAGGCCGTGGGCAAACTGGCAGCGCTCTGCATACTTGCAGGAGCCGGTGGCAGAGTAGCTGGTGCACAGCTCCGTCTTATAGCGGGTGGAGAAGAGCCACGGCATAAGGGGAGGGGAAGATGACTCCACCAAGGGGAGGAGGGCCTTTGCCAGGGAGAGACCACCACCCACATCTCCATCAGACTCCTCAGAGGACAGCAGGTTCTCCACCAGCTCCTCATCTTGGTAGGAGGGCAGAAACAGGTCATCGCTGCTCGTCTGCATAGAAAACAAAACAGATGGTGTTTAAGTGAAGATGCTCTCAGAGTGAGACAGTTAGAGGAACTGGTGAGGGACAGCAGGCCCTAAATCAGGTCTGAACCAAAGTTCACATCACTGACAAGAACTTCAGGAGGAAGGAAAACTTGTCTGAAACAATCCGTCAATCTCTGACTTGGATTTTATTTTAGGTAACTTGATCAAAAGATTTTAAAAAAAGGAGCCGTTTCAATTTACAACAGCAGATGGCAGCGTGCTTGTTTGACATCAGAGACTTCAAAACAGATTATGTCCAAACTGACCTTTGAGGGGGTTTTTTTGTTGTCGTTTTTTTTTTTTAAAAATCAACTCTAACTTTAGTCTCTACATTTCCTATACTTGACAGAAGTTTCACATTTTGAAGGTTAAATTCAAAGTGTACAGTGAGACTCCTGCAGCCCTTACTCATTTGTTTTTCCTCTCTAAACTCGCCTGTTTAGGAGACATCTAAATGAACATAAGAATTTGGGTTTTAATTTTGAACTTAATATGGGAAAAAAATTCAGGATTTAAACCCGCAAGAATTTATTTATTTTTTTTATGAACTTGCCTCACAAACAAGGTGTTGGCTAGTAAACGGGAAAACAGCTAACATTTTTGAAACAACTCGAAGTTTTATCATTACAGGTGAAACTGGGATGGTAACATTAACTTATAAAAGCGTTTTTTGGACATTTTGACAGATAAAGGTCTCTGACGGTATAGTTTTTCATGAAACCAACTGTTCTCTGCTAAGAAGCTGATATCACTGGTGTTCCGGTAAAATGGCTGACCATGTTAATTCGAGACTCAGTCTGAGAGTCAGTGTTCGGAAACGTCCACTCCTCATACAAAGCCCCTCGTTTTTATTATGGTTGGAACATAAAATTAAAACAAATTTATGTTAGATATTACTGAAAAGCCACACAGAGGAATATTCGCAAGGATATTTTATCCCGTCGAAACCATGTTCGCCACAGAGTGATTCCGCTGAATGTCACAATTTAAACAGGGTAACTCTATCATCCAGAACACCGACGGTTAAAAACGCAGCGAAAACTATCCCTAGGCTATCAAAATGATGTTTTGACTTTGTTTCACGAAAATATCCCATGGTAAATATTAAAACAAACAAATTAAATAAATGCTGATGGGCCGAGCACTTCTTTCTGCTAAATTAAGCTAATTTTGTTTCTTGAGCCAACAAACTTAAAAAAATAAATAAATAAAATACATTTTAAAAGAGCGATGAAAATAAAAATTAAATTAGTGATTAAACTACAGAAAACAAGAGAAATGTAAGATGTCTGTAAATAAAAAATGAATTAGAAATCGAAAAGGTGAAAAAAAAAGCATTTGAAGAAAAGATAAAGATTGGACTCCCTGTTTTGCAATCCTTTGGTTTTGAAATTGTCAGTTTAGAGTGACTGAGGAAATTTTTCCAAACCAGATTAAGGCTTTAAAAAAGTTGTTCCACATCCCAATCATAGTTAATATTAAAATCAAAAAATTAAAAAAAAACTGAAAGAGTTAGATTGAAGCTTCAATGACAGAAGTCCCCTCCTAATAAGATCCGTCAGAAAACAAAGTTTAACAGGATTAATGTCAGAAAAAAATGGACTCACCTCGAACATGTCTGCAGACAGGTGGAGTGTGAAGATTATACAGGTGAGACCCGCAGAATAAAAGCCTCCGAACCTCTGAGCAGAACTTGACCAGCAGAAAAGTGAGTTATATGGTGATATGGCCCCTGACCCGCTGGACTCACACACACAGACACCCTGAGCTCACTTTGTCTTTTAACCTCGCGCCCTCTTCCTCAAACGAGCCTCAGGTGTGCGCAGGATGATGTCAGAGGTGAGCACCAATCAGGTCCACGTGCGGCAGCGTCATAGTACAGGTATTTACCGGGAGTTTATATGGGGAAGAATGAGTAATTTTTCTGTTGGAATCTACTTTGTTGTTATTCAGCTGTTTGAATGTTAGAAATTGACCTTTTCTTTTTTGCAAAGTCATAGTTTTCTGTCCGGTGACGGACGTTTAACCTCTGAGGGGCTCAATAAACATCCTTAAAGGAGAGGTTCTCACCTCATTAAAAGGTCTGTCGACAGTCACACCTCAGTCGGAAGTAGAAATCAAAACAAACGTAATTAAAAGCCGTCTGATGAGAACACACACTGAGCACAAACACACGCGTCTTTCACTGAACTTATCTTTGTGTTAGGACAGGTCTGAAAGATTTTTAAGGGTAAAGCTAATTTATTCATTTCTTTGACACATCATCAGGAAGACTTCATATTCTTTTAATGCATACTTCTCATGTTTTTATTGTCCTTAATCTATCTAGTATATCAGTAAACCTATCAAAGAGAATAAACTGATTATTTTCTTGATTTTGAAGGATGTGCTTCAAACTTATGGAGCGGTAAAACCTTTCAAACAGAAATTAATTGGACCAGAAGGTGATAGTGTTAAATACAGCTTAAAGACTTGTTAAAATGTGTGGGTGAATCAATTCCTATTTCATTTCAAAATTAATTTATACTGTTTATAAATATCTGAGTACAAGGAGGGATTTTAAGGGTTTTAAGGTGAGGAAGGGTTTGAAGCTGACCAAAATCTCCAACCTGAAGTCTTGCTGTTTGAGATGCAAATAACTGAAACTGTGTGTCTGGTTAAAAATAGTTATATGCTCCAAATGTTTTCAATCGGGACTGCCTGTTTATCAGCAGGACTCTTCTACTACAGAGCCATGCTGTTGTAATCCCTGTTGTCAGAATGTGGTTTGTCATTGTCTTGACAATATGAAGGTCTTCCCTGAAAAAGTCTTTGTCTGGATGGCAGCAGATGTTGCTCCTACACCTGTAGATATTGATCAACATTAATGGAGCCTTCACAGATGTGGGTAATCCCCATACCATCAGGGTCGCTGGCTTTAGACTGGGAGCTGAGAACAAGCTGGGCAGTCCCTCTATTCCTTAGGGATGAGGATGCAGTGTCCATGATTTCCAAAATGAATGTCAGATTTTGAGTCATCCACAAGACAGGATCCTGTTTCTATCTGGTTTCCTCTTTGCACAGTTTAGTTTGAACCTCATTTTTGGACACAGCGACGAACACTCATTCTTTGACATTATTCTGAAACACTCTCTAGTCTCAGGCTGTATCTGAAATGGACCCCTAACCCCTATATAGGTGACCACATGGAGGTTCGCACCATTTTGAGGGGTGTCCGAAACCTCCAATGATTGAGTTCACGACATAGTCAGCTAAAAAGTGAAATCCCATATGGGGGTTAGGGGTTAGGGATTGAGTGATTCATTTCAGACACAGCCTCAGCCTCTCTGAAAGCTCTTTGCCTCTTAATGTTTGCTGTCTCTACAGACTGAATCTTCCCAACAGCCGTCTCGCTCTCTTAATGAGTCAGTGGCTCAGTGTTGTCCATGTCTTTCTTAGCTGTCATGTCTGTGGTGAAAAGTTGGGGTTTAATGAAAACAAAAAGAGCTCGTGACTGACCACGAAGAAAAAAAAAATCTTTATTTCTTTTCTTATCAAGATACATTAAAGGATACAGAGACATCGGAATAAAAAACACTTGAGAAAAAGTTTCAGTTGTAGCATGTTTGTCTCTCCGTCATACAAAAGTCAGCCCCCGTCCCTTTTGAAACGACCCCCACCCAACCTAAACCCCCATCCCGTCCCCCACTCCCACCCACATGATGAAGGAGAGCACTGTTTCACATGTACATCATCTGTTAGAGCCGCCTCCACAGCACTGGAGCAGAATTACACAATTTAGATGTAAAAAAGTTTAAAATACGCCGCTTTTCTTCTTTTTCTTTACACAGATTAGTATTTGCTACAAACTCCACACTTCAATTTCTTCTTTTTGAGAAATATTACAAAGCCCACATTGGGACCAAACTCTTTTATAAAACCAGAGTTACCCCTGGATTCTGCAGGGAAACAGAGGAATCATAATCACCAATTTATTTAGTTTTTAGTGCTCGCCCTTTCAGAACGGTACAAACAGGAAGAAAATAAAAAACGTAGAGACAGCTGAACTTTCACATCGATTTCAAACCCAATCGACAAACTTTCATCACGGCCTTTCAAAACAGCTCTGAACAAGTTCGTACAACCTTTGACTTTTTTTTGCACTTTGAAACATGTTTTCCAGAACTTGATTTTTGGCCCTAATGTCCTTCCATACATGTATGTATTGCTGCTTTTTTAACACTTGTATTTTTTAAAAACGGACCACTCACATAAAGTCAGTTTCATCCTCACAGAGCAAACAGTACATCGCCAGAAACGCTGCAGCTTCACTTCAACATCACTTAGTTTTCCACATTATGGCTTCATTTTGGACTTTCAGAGACTCAAAGCTCCTCAAAGCCAAACGAGTTCCATCATCCACTACATTTCCTTCTTACGCTGTAAAACTACAAACTCTGAATGATTTGATGCTCCACCTGTGATTTTTGACAGCTATTAGAACATTGTAGCGCAAGATTAAAAGCCTCTTGAACGGCTAAAAGTGGTAAGAAAAGAGCTGAAATACAGCAACAGGAGAGGAAAGACTGGAACACGTTCAACTCTCACTCAGGTCTGTAAAAAAGGTGATGTTAGGGTGGAGCAGGTATGGAAGGTTCTTACAGACGAAACTATCATTGTTATAAAAACTGGATTAAAGCACCTACAACTGGAGAAGAATTCCGGATTCAGTTTAACAAACACAAACGGATAAATCCTGAATGATCCAGCTCAAACGTTTCACCTGGACTCTTTCTCCTCCTTGACAAAAACGGTGTCTCGATGAACAGGTCTAAGTCTGATGACCTGCCAGCTAAAAGCGGGACCACGATTTCTCAGTGGGACACCAGTTTGAGTCTCAGTTTCACTGCGTCTAACAAATCTCACTAAGGTCAGCTGGAATCGGTGTCCTTCAGCTCTACGCAGCCAAAATTATCAGATTTGACCGAGTTAAGGGCAGGATGAAACTATGACATCAGGATGCTCATGAGCAAAAAGCCTTAATTTAGGATTTGTCCGGTCTTCAAGAAGAGGAGACAAGTTTGGTTTGGTGGTCTCTGCTGAAATACTTCTCGATTAACCAAATATTTATAGGCTTTTTTTAGGCATCACGCAAATTCCGAAATCAAGTTAGAATATGACCTTTGACCTAGAATACGCCAACCTGCATTCTTCACTGATGTTTTATGATGTTATACTGCACTTCGCTTCTGATCTGAGCACCACAGAGTCCAAAAAGTGACAATCTTATGTGCACAAACTAACAAGTGGTGTGCAGAGAGTTAGTACTTCAACTTTGAGGAACTATGGTAACAACATCAAACTGGTTCCCATAGGAAAGCTATATTGCATGCACAAGATAATATCTTGTACAACATATTCACTTATTGAAACAATGTAATAACTTTTGCGCCCAACTTTATATCTTGTGTGAAATAATGAACCAGTTCCTGCAAAATAATTCACTTGTTCCAACAAGATATTAACCTATGTGCACAATTTAATATCTTGTGCATGCAAGATAGTCACTTTTTTCTGAAGAAAATCATATCATGTACGCCAGATGATTTACTCGTTCTGATAAGATATCTTGTTCTCACTATCTTGTGTGCATGAGATAACTGCCTCTTTCCAAAGATAATCATACTACATTTAAGATGTCTGACTCATTTGTCACGTTTTGGACCCCAGGGGCTGCGTTGAGCACTGCTGATGCTGCAGCTGATTTAATAGCTGGTTAGTTCTGTTGTACATGTTAGTCTGAACGGGAAATCTAAGAATTATTACTGACATGTTTTAAGACTAAAGGGGAAACTTTTAGACTGGGAACAATTTAACTGGACAAAGGAGGTGTTTTCTAGATGAAAAGATGTATGAGAAACGCTGCCTGCAGATTTGACCGCAGTGAGTAAACAAAAGCCTGACTGCTCCTTCATACTTCATCAGAATCAAAACTAAACTTTTTGTTCTGCAGTTGTTTTTTCTGTTTTTGCTCTCTTCTAAAGTTGTTTTGTGCGCAGGTTGAATTTTTGACACTTCCAGGCTTCCATAGAACAGATCAAACGGAAAGAAAGCAACCTGTCAGGATTCACTAACCCCTGAAAAACCCCCTGTGTCAGACTGCTGATTGTGAGCAGGGATATCTAACAAGTCGAGGAGTTGTCATCACGCCCACTGAGCATCAGGCGGATGTTCTCCTGCTGGATTTGAGTAGACGAGCGTACGAGTGAAGTCTCTTAGCCAATCAGGTCTCTCTCCTGCTACAGCTGTCTCACACACTGTTTGTGGGTGTCACCCCCCCACTACACGGTGCATATATTTACACAAAGATCAAGACGTGGAGGAAAAAACAAAGTGTGCTTTATCACCGTCGACTCAGGAGGAGAAAAATCTTGATTTAAGTTACACATTTAAAAAACAGGCAGCGCTGAAAAGGAGGAAAAGAACTCAGGAGGTGGATAAAATACTACAGAGCGCAGCAGGCTGAGTGTGTGCAGGCAAGTGTGTGTGTGTGAGTGTGTGTAAATGTCAGGTCGTCTAAGTGCTTGTGTGTGCGAGTCTGTGTGTGTGTTTGTGTGTGTCAGCCTGTGCGCAGTAACAGAGGACTAAAGTAAAATGACACTGAAAAGAGGAAATAAAGACTACAGGTATGGTGGACTGTGCTGCCTGCTATGTGACAGCCTGAGCACAGACCCCTCCCCACCAACTCCCACCCACCCTCCCCATGTCCTGAAGAAGCCCCGCCCCCCCCTTTAATGTCCCTCCTCTTCAGTCCTCCAGGACGATTGGTTCGCTGGTGCTGGAGGGGAGCAGGGGCATGGCCAGGGAGCGAGGGGGAGGGGGCAGCTTGATCCGGACCAGCAGGTGAGGCTTCCTCGCCGCCCGACGCATCTCGGACTGACTCAGGTGTTTTCTCAGAGCCCTGAAGAGGTGAGAGAACCAGAAATACATCTATGAGTCCCACTACAGTCCAGTATTCAAAGGTGTTACCCTGATGCTCTACAAACCGAGTCACACTTAACTATAATCTGGACTTTAAAATCATTAAGACTTTATTCCAGATGTTTCTTATCTGTACCAACCAAACTCCAACTAAGTCAGGACACCATTTTGCAAACCACTAAATTTTGATTCACATTTCACACCAAAATAATTCGAGCTATAAAAGAGAATTCATGTTTGAAGAGCAGAGGGTCGAACGTACCTGGTGTCTTTTGTGGCCACAAACACCACGGGGTTTGGAGCCTCCCCCTGACTGACCTTCTGCCTCTTGATGACCGACTGAGAGGTAGTCCTCATACCTGAAGTGTACGGCCTCCCATTGGCTGGATAGGGAACACCGGGGGCCTGTGGTCCAATCAGAGAGCAGGAAAGTTTAAGATTAGATGGGATCAAACTCTCACCCTGTTTTTCTTGAAGGAAGCTGTGCGAGTTCAGACGCAGACAAAACCAGATCTGTCATTAACGCGTGTGTTTACTGACGCTGTCAAAGCCTCTCTTTCCCAGAAGGCTTTGCCCCACTCTGGGCTGACTGGCCTGGTTCCTGTTGATGGGAGTTGACGGTCCTCGAGACGCCTTCAGTTTGAGGGGAGCGGAGACAGCTGCAAAGACACACAGACGACAAAACTCAGCGACCAATCAGAGTGTAGGAAAGAGGTCAGGGCAGTGATGTCACATGAGCTGTTCTCACCTAAATCCTTCACAATGGTGGCGAGAGACTGACGAGGGATCAGTTTACTCTTCAGAGGAGTTTTTGTGGCTTTGGGCAGACGGATCATACCTGAGGACACACACACATTTTTAAAAACACACTCTGAATGCTGTACATGTTGTTCTACAAAGGTTTAGATGTTGTGTGTACATACACTCCGCCTTGACCGCATTGGCGTTGATGGAGGCGTAGGGTCGGCGTGCAGCACGGCGTGGCTGCAGGATGTCCTCACACACCCGCCTGGCGATGCGGGTCAGCTTGGTGGTCTGCAGGATGAATGTCTGCCGGTTCTTAGCGAGCAGCTTGGCCCGCCCCTCGTTGCGAGTGAACGGAGACAAGCCCTGGACCTCCTGACGGGTCATGTGACCGCGGGGGCCTGACTCCTGTGCAGAGGGTTAAAGAGGATGTAAAACACTCCGACTGACCTCTCTACAAAAACAAACCCTCCAGATGAGACTGAATATCAGGGACTCACAGAGCCAGCTCGAGCAGCGCCCTCTAGCTGTGTGGGGGTCTTCAGGCCTCCATATTTCTTCCAGTAGATCCAGCAGGAGGCGCACAGTCTGCACTGCATGTTGGACGGGCCCCAGGCGTACCACTGAGGAGACTGAGCCGCTGAGGGGGGAGAGGAGAGACATGTTTAGTTAACAGAAGTGAAGTGATAGAGATCGACGTTTCAGGATTTTCCTCCTTTCATAGAAAAAACATTTTCATTAGCTTTAAAACTCAAATTAACGCTGAATAATTAATCTGTAATATCTGAGTCGAGGGTCAGCTTGGAGCAGTGAGGAAGTCGAGCATGTCTGAGCGTGAATAAGGAGCTTTAATCACTTTGTTTTTTAGTGTCACATAACAGCCAAGAAACTCTGACGGCAGTTTTAGATCATCACTTGTATACGGAGGGTAACATCATGTGCACTCAGGATACTGACTTGACCCCACAATATGAAAATATTTTCTGAGACATATGATTCACTACTTCACACAAGGTAATAACTTGTGAGCACAAGATCATGATCCTTTACAAAACATAGCAGATGTACAAGATAATTTACTAGAAGAAGAACAAGAAAACTCCCACGGCTGTATTAGAAAGGTTCAAGTGTTAAGGCTAAAGCAAACAGGATGCGCATCAGCTCAGTCGCAGCATCATATCGAGAGCAGTACTGCTAAAGATACGTGATGAGTCTTTATTTGCTTCTCTACGCTTCTAATGCATGTCAATCCACACAGAGAAGATCGTTCCAGACAGGAAGTCAAGCATGAAAACCGCACATATATTTCAAAATAAAACACCATAAGCGGACTCTCAACTGTGTATCAGTTTGTGCAGATGAGAAATACTTCCTGGTTCTGGATCAATCAGTAACACAGAACAATCCGATGGTCAATCCCTGATCCATGTGGACCCCAACAGGACTTTTAACTGCTAACTCTGTCTGAAGGTAACAGCACAGCATAAAGGAACATAGTTTACTTTATTAAACATGAGTACACCGGCAAAAACTGAAACTGTAAAATCACGTTGCTTTTTCACATATAGTGGAGGCTTAATGGTCACTGAATAATCTCCAGATTAGCAGGAAATGGACCTCAGGAAGGCAAAACAATCTGTTGTGAGCATGTTGTCTCCTCTATTCTGAGCCCAGCTGATCGGGGATGCACTACACTGCTGCCACACTCCAAATACTCATCCTGTATGCGTTACCCAGCACTGCTCTACGGAGCAAATACGGAACACGCTCAACCTGTGATGGTTACACAAACTCAGGCTAACTCAAAACATTAAAAAAACTTAATTTCTCCAGTATGAACTCAAAGTTTAGAGACAAACTCTAAATCAGCTCACAAAGTTAAATTTAATGCTTTGTAAGATGGTGTTGGAGATAATCTTCATACATTTCAAAGGCCTTAAATTATGCTAAATTGGTTTAAGGGGTACACTTCTGACACTTACAGGCTTCCATACATGTACAGTTTAAAAGTACCAGACAAGCTCAGTTAAAGTGTAGGGCCCGGTGAGGATCAGGAAAAACTCTCTGAACTAAACCAGCTGTTGAATCCCCAGCTCTTCTGTTGCTGTTCCTACACTAACCATCGGTCATTACAGTAACTGCCTATCAGCTCTATCACTGCTGGTATTACTGCCGTGTTGATGAGCCATGCTGGCCTTTGTTTTTGTTTCGGTTGCTGGTTGATTGTGTTTTGACTGAAACAATTCACTCAAGGGTTCAATCAGAAAAGAGCTGAGACCACCTCATGAAGGGGATCTCTTAGTGGGAACTAAGACCGTATGTACTTACTGTGGCAGCCCTCACAGCTGAGTCCTTTCTGGAAGCCTGCAGCTCCGTTCATCCCGGGTTTACTGCCCGGGACCATGATCTGGTTTGGGTTTGGTTTGGTGCTGAGAGGAGAGGACAGACAGTTATTCTGACAGCTCTGTTTAAAAGGAGGAGAGTGTGTTTTGGTTTCAGGTCAAAGGAACACTCACTATGTGGGGATGTACACCTGCTTCAGCTTGCTGTCTGCCTCTGCTGCTTTTAGTCGTTTCTGAAAAAGAAAAGAGAGAAACACAAGGTCAAAGTGAGTCGAGAAGAGTTTTTTTTTTTTTTTTTTAAAGACAGTGTGACTGCAGGCGTACCTGTTGGATGTAACGGTCTGTAGTCTTCCACATGTAGTAAAACTGGACCACACTGGCGAGAGACTTCCAGGGCAGCTGAGGGAAACAGAAAGAAAACGCTGAATGAATAACTGCATCATGATGGAGCTGAAAAACTTCTGAGAAACATCCTGAAGGAGGAGAAGAGCTCACAAAGTCCTGACGGATGTCGTTGAAGTCTTTGCCGTATTTCTCCAGCGCCTCCTCAAACAGCATGGCCTCTGAGGCGCTCCACTCCTCCATCTCATCCCTGCAGAGGACCGGCCCACCCTGGGGGACCAGCGTGGACATGGCTTTGGCCAGGTCGTAGCTGTTCTTCTGCAGAGTGTCCATGGCGTGGAACTGAAGGTAGAGAGGAGAAGCATCAGACACGTGACATGTGATTTTACTCGTTCTAATATGATCATGGACACACTCTTAATATATCTATATGTTCAAATATTCACCCCACTGTTTTTTATTCTTAAATTAACCATTTATACTCTATGTTAGCTTTACAAACAGACATTTAACCAGATGGACAACTTTTAACTGGAAATCTCAATGTGAGGAATCAGCTGAGACTGACGATCATTATTTTTACCGATGGTTGTCAAAGGCCCAGAAACCTTTTTTTTTAAATGGTAATTATCCTGAAATCATCCACAGCGCTAACTATGAACATTCCTGCTAATAATCTGCAGAATTCATATGGACTGAAGTAAGAATTTAGCTGTTTATGTTGACATGTAAATCCTCGGCTGAAACCTTCAAGGCGCAAATCTTAAGAACTTCTCCAACCAGACCCTTTGACCTTTGCACGACCTCCCTGAGGATGTGAGGCTTTCAAGATCAGTCACAGTTTTTAAATCACTTCTTAAAACTCACTTTTACAGACTTAGTTTTATTTAATTAGACCGTTTTTACCTTTTTTTTTATCTTGTAATCTGATTTTATTTAGATGTGTTTTCAACAGAAATCTTTGTTTTGTCCTTTCATGCTTTTATTCTTGTATTTTTCTGCCTCTGACTTAAACTTCATTTATCCTCTACTGTTCAATTTCATTTATTCTGCTTTGTCTGTCAAAGCACCGTCCTTCAATGAGTTATAAAAATTCAATTGTTACTATTTGGATTATGAACACTGTATAATTTTCACTCCAAGATGGTGTCTGTGAGTTAAAAACAAAGTTCTGTTAGAAGAGAAGTTGTAGTTTTTGCATTTTTAAATATGCAGCCAAAAATAAAAAAACCTGTTCTTTCTTTTTTGTTTTGCTGCAGTGAACTTGATTTTAATTTCAGAAAAAATACAGCTACAGAACCTGAAGCTTGTAAAACTGCCTTTTTAAAAAAACAGACAGTCATGTAGCATTGACTGAAAACCAGACGGTCAGCGCCCTCACCAGTGTGATGTCTCTGGAGGCTGCTGCTGCGCTCATATGGAGGCTCGGCTGGCGGATGGAGCTGCTGCAGTCCAGAGCGCGAGCAAATGTCCCCACCGCCCTGAGAAAGGATAAGAAAAAGGAGCGGTGAGAGGAATCTTCATCATGAGCAACAAGGCAGCTTCAATGTTTAGAGAGCGGTGGTTCTCAATCCAGTCCTCGGGGCCCACTGTCCTGCATGTTTGCTCCAACACACCTGATTCAAATGATCAGCTCGTTATGAAGCCATTACAGAGCTTGATAACGAGCTGATCATTTGAATCAGGTGTGTTGGAGCAGGGAAACATCCAAAACATGCAGGACAGTGGGCTTCGAGTATGGACTTGAGAACCACTGTTAGAGAGGAAACGTGTGCAGCCTTGCATCCTTGAGATGTAACCACTAGGGGGAGCATTTCACACATGCACTCATCCATGAGAATTCCCTCCAATTACAAACTTCTTATTTAAATCAGCCGTGTTGACACTGAGAACACAGTGGTCTGAGAATTTGATGGTTCAGTTATAGTCTGAGTAATAATCCTGGTGGGGGCGTCATGTATAACTAAATAATAATCAAATTAACAGGATTACATTGTATTACCCCCCAAAAAAATGAGAGAACACAACAGACATACAAAGAAAACAGAATATAGATGTGAGTGCATTTGATTGTAGACTCTGGTGTGAAGAGTGAGAGCAGAGACACTCAGTGAGTCGATGGTTAAACATCATCATTATTCAAAGTACAGTTAAGAGTCAAACTAGTCAATCACTGCTTCCCTAGCCGACACACTCAGTCTAAACTTCACCAGACTAAAATACTACATTAATATTCCTTTAATTTTTCTGTACATGTGCTCAACAAAAACAGAGATTGTTGATTTTCTGTGTGTCCACAGATGTCTAAACCGCACTTTGAAGTCTCTCATCCTTATCTCCACCAAACATCGATGTTTCAGAGCTGTTTGTGTCATCTGCAGGATCTACTTTGTTTGTTCTTCTTGATTTGACTTCTTTCATGTTTCCTGATGATGGACTTGAGCTGTAATTTAAACGTCTTCCTGCGTGTTCACTTTCCGTTTTCACAGCGCTGTGCATTCGTGTCAGAATACGGATATACAACGTAAAGATATGTTTATGAGCCTGTGAGAGATAATCAGACTTGTTGACAATTCCTGCACATCCTCTAAAAATCTGGTCTGAAGTTGTCATGGCAACAGGATCTAGTGATGATGATGCAACAGTGTGACAGACGGCCTGGGGGTTGTTACCTCGCCACCACTAGGAACTGGTCTATCTGGTGGTCTTTGAGTTGGTTGTTGGGGTCCCACACTTTGGTCTCCAGCTTCTCCTGGACCCGGGTGTCTGACTCGTCTGAGAGGGGGAAAAAAAGGACCTTTACTGTCTCTGCTTTTAAATTACAGGTGGAAACAGAGACAGGTGTCAGGACTCACTCTCTGCCAGCATGTCAGGGATCTCTGCCTGGTACTTGGAGCCGACTCGGATCTCTCCCTGATCAGCCAGCAGGGTCTTCTGGACCGGGTCGAACACCAGTGAGTAGAAGAAACAGTCCTGCACAGATTAAACAGATTACAGGGATTACAGATGATGTCCAAAGTCCTGCAGCACATCTAGAGTCTCTGTTTCAGCTGACGAGTGAACAGGTGCTGCCTCACCTCTTTGTCCAGGTATCCAGCCAACACGTCTGTTTCATTGAGGAGGGTGACGTTACATTTCCCCCTGAGGAGACAGAGAGGAGCGTTTAAACACCAGGACATCTCAGAGGAACATGAGCACACTCTCACCACAGTCAGGGGTAAAACTGGAGGAAATACATCCAGTAACAACAAAGCAGCTTCAGGCAGCACAGCTGTGTTAAAGGTGACAAAAATAAACCATGACAAATTACAACTGAGTCATTTGGCCTTTTTTGTGTTACTTCTTTGTGAGTACTTCAGTTTCTCAGCTGGTCAGCGAGGTTTGAAAATGAGGTGGTCCCTCTTTTTTTAACGTCTTAAGTTACCACCAGTGTGATCACAGAGCTGGGTGTGTCTGAGTCTGAGTCCCCCGCTGTTTTTGGGCCTCTTTTCAGCAGCTCCAGTTGAAGTTTTCTCCTCACCAGCTCACTGACAGTGGCCTCCCACTCTGGACACACGGCTGCTCACCAAAATATAAAATCCCTTGTGATGAGGAGTAAAAGTTGGTCATCTTCAGAAAAGTTGCAGCACTGATGTGATATTTACAGCCACCCTCTTGGTTCTGACTTGGTTTTTACAGTCCAAAGCCTGGTACCGGTCTGAGGCCTGATGATTGGGGACCTTTGCTCAGTCTGGAGCCTGTTTCATGTCTCTGATATTTCACAGTCAGAGTTATACTTCATAATGTACCATCAAGATAAAATGGGATTACTTCAGTCAGGTGCTGGTTTAGAGAGGCTACGATCCTCCTCTCTCTGAAGGTAGGTTTGATTTCTGTCCCGACATGATTTGTTCCTCTCAGGTTATTCTTCAACTTCTCCTTCTACATTTCCTGTTCAACTGTCTATAAACATTATCTACTCACGAGCTGTCCTTCAAATTTGCAAATATTAGCCGATACTTACATACAGATCAGAAAAAGTCACGATTATAAGGGTATTCATATAAGCTGCACTGAGAGCAATAGATTTCTGTTTAATTCAACCCCTGTATACTTCCTCTCATTTAAAAAGGGTTTCTACACATTGGAATTTCCATACTTCACTTTTTAGAAATATTTCTGGAAATACCTACTTTTCTACTTTAGAAAACATTATTTTAGGACTGTGGTAATAGTCTGGAAACATAAATATTTCTCCATACTTCATTTTTCATTTTCCATGCTTTTTAATAACTGGAAAATGATCAAATTTATTTCCATTCTTGCGTAGGAACCCTGTTTAAAGCAACACAACAGGTGAAGCCATCAATTTTACAAAGCTCAGTCTGTTAGACTCTTAACTGTGTCTCTTTCTCCTGAAGACCGCTGCACTCAAACCTTGCTCTAAGTGCATGAAGAAGTATTTATTGTTTTTTTTTATTCTGAGAAAAAACACACAGCCTGACAACAAAAACTCTCAGCAGGATTCACTTCAGTCAGATTACTAACAAATGTTGAAGAGAGTTTTTAAAAAAAAAAAGAAAAAAAGAGAAACTCCCTTGAGTAAGAAACACACAGATTACAGAAAGCTTTTCTTATTTGACGCTTTGTTATTTTTTCAGAAAGAATATCTTCAATGCAGGAACTTCTCTTCTTAAAACTCTGCAGGCTTTTTTTTAAACAGTAAATAAAAGATGGATTTTCTTTATTAACTACTTTAAATGTTCAATGTGCAACTGATTTAAAGAAATTTACTCAATATTGGACGATTTTTTTTCCAAGACCATCCCTAAAAAAAAACATTAACTGATACTGTCAGGTTGATTTGAGTACAGAGTGCTGTTTTAAGAGTCTGTTAAAACAGTTTCAGCTGCTCCAAAGTCAGTCAGTCTGTTGAGTCTGCACTGAGGGGAAAACTTTTGGACCGTCACACTACATCACAAACAAAAACGCCTCTGTAGGCGATTAGACGGCTGAACTTAAATGATCGGACCTGCAAATGAGCCGAGACAGTTTGAAGACAGAAACCAAATTCATTCAGAGTTCTACAAATAAAGATTCAAACACGATCTTACACACTCCTGTTTTTCGATGTTGGGTTTAGAAGCAGTTGATTAAAGGCTTCAACATAAACTGAACCTGAGATCTCTGGAAACAGTAAAATGAGATAACCGCTTATCATCCTCACTCATTTCCTGATCATGACCATCGTAATCTTGATCGTGTGTTTTAGGAGTGGGAATCACCAGTAACGCCATGATACAATATAATCATGATACTTGGGCCGCAATACAATATAATCACGATACTAGGGCCATGATACAATATTATCACAATACTTGGACCACCATATGATATTATTACAATACTTGGGCAACAATACGATATTATCACAATACTTGGATCACGATACGATATTATCATGATACTTCGGCTGCAATACGATATAATCACGGTACTTGGATCAAGATATGATATTATCATGATACCTGCGCCACGATACAATATTATCACAATACCTGGGCCCACCCTTCGACATTATTGCGATTTTTTACATTTTGCAACACAGTGAGTATTGCGATACACTATATTGCAATATTAAAATAATAATTGGGCCACGACACGCTATCATCACGATACTTGGGCCACGATACGATGTCATCATGATACTTGGGCCATGATACAATATTATCACAATACTTAGGCCACAATACAATATTATCATGATACCCAGGCCACGATTCAATATTATTGCAACTTGTAACATTTAGCAATACAGTGAGTATTGTTGTAAACTAAACTGCGATTGATGCAATTTTTCAACTGTTTAGCTAATTTAGCATTTGTCTTTCCTTTATGTTTGTCTTCTTTACACAGTGTTTTATTTTTATGTGGCACATCTTGCAAACCTTAAATATATTTTCTGCACTAACACACCTGTGCAGTGTGCATGTGTATGTGTGCGTAGGCCTGCAGCTCAGTCGGAGTTTAAACAGACGTACCGTATGTGAGTCGCAGGTAGAGATTCAAACTGTCGGGACAGGAAGAGTTCTCTATGTTTGAGCTGGTGTTTTTGTTGTTCGGACAGAGACGGCTGCTTCGACTCCTCCTCAAACTCTCCTGAAACACAAACACAAACAGTCTGATGGTTACACAGAGGAACTGGAGCACTGATCTGCGATATATGGGCTACAAAGACACAGTAGTATAAGTTTGTAATAGAGGGGAAACCTTTGCTGACATCTGCAGATGCCCCCTGGTGGTCACAGTTATCACTTTGGAGGACATTAGCTCTAATACATTTTTGGAGTGAAACTTTGATCCTCTGAGTGTCAATATATTAGCATTTAGCTGCTCTTTTGAGTCTGAAGTCTGACTTTCAAACACAAGATTCAAAGTTTTCAGTCTGAAGTTCAAAAAGTTCAAAACTTTAATTACCTGAGAGACAGAATTTGAAAAGTTACCTGTAATTTGATGCAGCATGTGTGAAAAAAAGTTGCAACATGGCTTTTGAGTTAATTGACTCCCCTCACAATGTGATGATTGCACATGTGCATGTGTCTGTAAATGTAGTTTAGGTGAGGTTGCATTATTTTTAGATTCTGGTTTACTGTAAGTGAGTCTGTCCTCCTTTCACTCAGAGTGAACAACACCAAAGTAGACGAGGTTTTATTAAAACGTCTATCCATGAATGAATCAACACACACAGTCTTTAGGGACAACGAGAAAATCTGCCCGGGAAGCCTTGTCTCCTTAGTCATGTCTTCAACTCTCAGGCTACCGTGTTCATATATCTTATGCACTGACCTTTTATTTGCCTCTGAGTTAATGTTTCGCTTTGCTGCTGTTGCTTTCACTTTCTGCTGTCACAGTTCACATATTTTTTAACCTCAGTAAAGCCTTTTATTGGAGTTTGTTTAAGGATCAAGAAAGGAAAAGTTTTCTTAGCGCTTGGAAAGATGGTTTCTGTGTGGTTTATTTTCTAACTAATTAGTCTGAAAAAAGAGGGATTGTCGTATATTTACTGGATCTTACTTATCTACTGGACAGTGAGTTGTGCCGTTCGTCTATTAAGTGAGATGCCAGCTGACTCACTGCTTCAGTTCCAGGAGGATAAAAGATGGGGAGACAAGGGGACCGGAGCAAAGTTTCAACGAAGAAGGACAATTTAACAACAAGTAAAACAGAGTTACTGATGCTTTTTAAAGAAGTGGTTATAGAGGCAGCAGAGACATGGTCTGTCATCATCAAACAAACTGCAAGATGTGTTCAGTTTCAGTGTTCAACAGCATGTTCACAGTCAACAGTTGACTGGTTGACAAACAACCACCAGCCTCGTTTCATTTAAAGACTTCATTTACTGTTTAACTTTCATAAAAACTAGTTTTACGAAAAGGTTGTCATCTTTGATTTGTTGAATTCGATTACGTGACCTTATTCAGAACAGTGTTTCAGCTGACTGCCACAAAACTCACTCTAAAGTCTGCAGCGAAACCCCTAAAGGAAGCACCACCGCCATTAAACCTCAGTGACAGCACTTTCTGAATGGTCCTGAACTCAAATGATTTCAAAGTCATTCAAACAACACTCAAATACTGCGGAGCAAATATAGTTGCAGGCCCATTGCTGCCTCTGTAATGTTGCATTGACCACACGTGTGTGTGTCCTTGGACCTGAAATAAGTCAAAAGAGGGCCCAGGTTCAAACTCCAGGACTGACCCTCTCAGACTTCTGTGAAAGTGAGTGAATCCAAGCTGCAGACCGGATTTTACCACCCACTGCAGCGCAGACACACTTATTAATGGATCTGACTGTGAAACAATCATTCTCTTATCATGTGACCCGAGTTTTCTGCCAATAAGAGCTCAGAAAAAAATGAACCCAACTCTGTGTGTGAGAGAGAGAGTGTGTATGTGTGTGTGTGTGTGTGTGTGTGTAAGTGTGCGTTTGGCCACTAGATTGCGCATTCCTAATTTCAGGCGGGTGAGTAATTTGTTGCAAGCTGGAGGGGCGGGACTAGACTGCTTCGTCTCCGTGGACTCCGCCCCTGCACTCAGCCACAGGAAACCCTGTCAGTGAGGGCAAGAGAGAGAGAGAGAGAGAGAGAGAGAGAGAGAGAGCGACACGCAGAGAGATAGTGAGGGAGAGGGACGGGACCTTAAGCCACACCCCTTTTCTGTTAACCTCTCTAACCCCCCCTCCCCCCTGTCCGGCTGGTCCCTGCCAGACAAAGTAGGAAACCCTGTGTACCAAACCTGAGGCGCCCATCCCCCCCCAACATGTATCCCCAACTCAATCCTCAAACACACACACATACATACACACACACACACACACTTACACACACAAGATGAAACCACACACACACACACAAAAAAGGAGCGACAGACACAAGGCGAGTCTGAATTAACCCGTTGCGTGCCGTGGCCCTCAGGGGGAGATGAAGGGCCTTTTGTTCTGCTCAGAGAAATGATGGTGTGTGTATCTGCATGAGTGTGGAAGTGAGGAAGGAGGAGATCAGGAACATCATCAAGTGAGGCAGATAGATCTTGTTTTAGAGAGGGAGCAGGTTCACGTTTTCATCAGTGTTGGAGGATCATGACAGGCCTTAAAAGACTCTGAGTCTACAGATCGGGGTCAGGTGGCTTTTCAAGCTAAAACGACTTCACTATTTATAGTTACACTGTTTTATTTTGACTCCAGGAAGTAGACCTATGCACATTTCGCTCATAAAAGTATTGATCAAAGAACCCAGAAACACCACGGCTATATAAAAACCTGAGAAACAGCTCTCTGCTGGTTTTAACCCCAACATGACCTGGGTTTAACTACGACAGTCTAAAGTGATTTATTTTCAGGTCGTGTGGATTTAAACCTGAAGTGGCTATGGGTGTAGAAGTAACCGTCAGAGGAGAATACACTTGATTGGACATGGCTAAGCACAGTCTGTAGGTAAATGACGCCACGGTGGTTGGAGGCCTGTGGTTAACCTCTGCAGAGCTAACACCACCAGCCTCCAGTCCTCCTTCCTCATGCCTGTGCTTGTCACTCTTTCACCAGACACAGCCTACAGCTTGATCAGCATGTTATGATCAGTACACTGACAAACCATCCTGTTACTGGAGGACATCTGTCATCTGTGCTCGATTACATCCAGGTAGTAAAACATTACAGAAGTAGACTTTCAGTAGAGCTACAGTCCCGACTAGTGCTGTAGCTCAGACGTTGAGGTCCTTTCATACCGGGACCGTTTTTGTCGTGCGATTATTTCGGATGTCAATATTTTTTTCCGAACCCATATCCTGTCAATACAAGTGTTCACATCAGCGACGTTTTCCCGTCCTGCGATATTGTGGCATTTATTTTTTTGGATCATGGTCAATTTTTCTAAAGTTTTGCATACTGTGTGTCCACTTCTGACCAATCAGATTGCGTGTTGTTGCAACGTCAGATTCACTGGTATATCCAACATGGCCGACCGGCTGATTGTTCATGTGTCGGAGAACAGAGTGCTTTTTGATAAAATACACAAACATTACAAAGATAACGACCTGAAGGACAACCTGTGGAGAGTCATAGTGTCGGATTTCTCATATGACGATGGTTTGTGTGCTTTAACAGTTTGCTAAACGTCTTTGTTTTAACATTTATCTGTGCTAAGTAACTTTAGCTTGTAAGCTAACCTGTTCAGATACAACATACCATATGTATTTTCACTGTCTCAAACTCAATCGCATTGCTGTCACAGCACCATTAGGTCCCCTGAGCAGTCTACCAGATTGCCTGACTGTAATGTCTAAACTAGAAGTGCATTCATGTAAGGCAGCCCAGACCCAGAGTATGTGCTAGCAACAATAAACCAATCAATGCACTAATGCTTAATGCACCTTACAATCTGGTACACCTTATGTGTGAACGTAGACATGTTCATTCACAGCGTGCCATAAAATCCGGTGCGTCGCATCGCCTGAAATATACGGTAACTGAAAAGTACATTTTTTAGGGTAGCACTTTGAATAAAGCCTACAGTAAAGTATCTTTGTTTTCAAAGGCACCAAATCTTCTTTCAAACATGCATATCTAAAAATTTTGCAAAACTTTGAAGAAGCTGCCTCCAACATGTCCCTGATGGAGTATCGTGTGTTGGACAGCCTTTAGACAGTAGATTCGGTGCAACGATTTGGGGACTTGGTATAACCTTTACCTTAACTGTCATGGCAAAATACAGGCACCTAGCAATGCAGTTCCAGAGTTGTAGTCCTGAAACTACAGCCTCCACATTCAGACCAGCCTGAAAATTTCCAGAAGTTTCAAAAGTTTTGTGCATGTGTGAATCTGACTGCACTGGGGCAACAAAGCAGTAATTTTCACATATCAACTCTTGATATTTTCATTTGGGAAATTCAGGCACAAATATTTTGCAGGATCACTTTTCACATGTGCATCTAGCAGCAGAAGATTATCTCTGTGTTTCTTTCAGTATACAAATGTCTCTGTTTAGTTTTTGGTGTCCGAGAGACAAACTGACTGTTAATCTGTTATGGCTCTGTCCACTCGCTCGACAGAAATATGGAAGAATATTACCTGCTGTGTTCACAGACTTTCTACAGGCGTCTGCAGGAGGAAAGGTGTGATACTGTCGAGGTAAAAACAGATTCAGATATTTTCATTCTGCAAAAGACTTTGAGGAATTTTCTGGAGTGCAGTTCAGATGTGAAAGGGGCTACATAAAGTCGTCATGGTATATCCATTTGCTTTGTTGAAAATATTGATAAATGTGCCATGAATCCAATAATAATAGCCTTGTTTGTTTGATGGTAATGTTTGGTATAAAACCTTTAAAAAGAGCAGACAGCCTTCAGCAGCACTCACTAAATGAGCACAGGATAAAAATACAAATGCTGTTTTCAGTGAATTCTCAGACATGCTCATAACAGAAACAGAGCAGCGAGGTAACACCTTGTTTATGTGTGTGATGCTGAGTACAGTCAAAGAAACAGCTTCCATCTTGAGGTACGTGTGTGTGTGTGTGTGTGTGTGTGTGTGTGTGTGTGTGTGTGTGTGTGTGTGTGTGTGTGTGTGTGTGTGTGTGTGTGTGTGTGTGTGTAAAGACGTCTTTGTCTGAAGCACTGCGGGCCAGAAGGAGGAGGAGGAAGAGGAGGAGGGAGCTGCTGGTGGGGTAATGACTGAATGAGATCAGGAGTCTGTATGTCATTAGCACCATCACACACACACACACACACACCACCTCCACCCACAGAACGACAGAAACTGATCTGATTGGCTGAATCAAGGTGGGGCAGAAACCATAATCAATACATATAGATAGCACTGTTGTGAAGATGTCTCCCTACATTTGAAGCGACAAAGACCTTATTTGTTGTAACCTGATGAAGAACTGCGTTATACGTGAAAGTGAGCAAACATACCTGCCACTCTCACCGCTGAAACAGAGAAACAAGCGTTCACTGCTGCTGTTCATCGGTTCATTTCGTCTGGTTTTTGGATTTGAACGTTCAATTTAAAACCCTCTCCAAGCCCGGAGAAGTGATGGAAAACTCTGCGGTTTTATCTTATTGTTAAGCTGATTAACTCAATAAGAAATACACACTGCCACCACACCGCAGTAGTCAAGTTGAGTGATAGGAATCAATGACTTCGCATCATTCATATTGGGCTGAATAGGCAACTCATTTTTCCGATCACAGACAAGTAATTCAGTGTTTAATTAACTGTTGTTTTTGACAGAGACTTTTGAATTATCAGATAAATGAACATGAATGAATGAATAAATGAATTTCAGTTATGAAGAGAAGGAAACACTTAGATTTAGACTTTGATCTCTGATTTTAAAAAGGGAAAAAATCTGATGAATTTGGTGAACTTATCTTTGAAGGACTCAAGTTTGGACATTTACACTGACTAAAGTTGAACTACAATGTTAAGAGGTTAAATAGATTTAAACTTGCATGACTGCAATTTTGGTTAAATCAGAAATCAGTTTGAAGACTTCATCACTTTAAAGATAATGTCTCAAATGTTTGCACTGGGCTTAAAACTGAAATGTACATGAATTTCTTCTCTTTATCACTCTCCTCAAGCGTCAGACTGAAGTCACAGTGTTACTTCCTCCCTATGAGTGTTCCTGTTTTATTTTACTCCATAAAAGCTGAAGAGGAGCGCTGAGGTTTTTTTTTATGAGAAACACAAAGAGGAGCGTCTCCGTTAAAGAGCAGCGAGCCGGATCACAGAGCATCAAACAGAGAGAGAGAGCGAGCGGGGTTCAGGACTCACTGGCGTTGCTGTCGGCCAGTGTGTTGAGGTTTCCTGAGATGTCTCGCCTCCTGAACAGACACACCACCTTGGCCTCCACGTTTCCATTGGCCGTCTGTGAAAGGAGAGGAGAGGAGAGGTACATGTTAGCGAGATGACAACAGACTTCAGCTGGTTTTGGTTTACACATATTTTTCATACCTTACACTGAGAGTTTAAAACAGAGGCACCATTGGTTTTCTTTCACATTCACTTCATTTAGTCGGGCTTTCACTTACTCTGGTTCCTTGCATTTTACCTCAGCGAGCCACGATAAACAGGAGGTAAAATCCACTTGAACTATCAGCAGATGCAGGCTGCCACTGTCTGTTTATCCCATTATATCTACACAGAGCACTGGTTATAATCAACTCTTTATACAGAGAGGAGAGTTTGTTTTCTTCTCTGCTCTGTGCAGACAGGACCATCTCCCTTCATTACAAATCTCAGGTCTGCTAATTATTTTTGCTTCCTTATAATCTCAGCTGTAATATATTTATATATTAATTAGGGCCCAACCGATGTATCGGTGAGTCGATTAAATCGGCCAATTTTAGCCCGTTTGAGACTTATTGGTAATCGGCCAAAACTTGCCGATTTTTGCCAATATTTTCAGAAATAAAATGCGGAGAATAAGATTCTGATTTTTTTCCCCCCTAATAATCGGCATCAGCCCCAAAAAATCCATATCAGTTGGGCCCTAATCTTAATACATACACATTTCTTTAGAACTATAATGATAAATGAATGATAAAAACACTTCTGAAATACTGAAACCAATCGCACCAGATTTCATATCATAAATAATGGATTTACAAGACGATGAGGGATTTTATTCTGGCTGGACTAATAGTGATCAGACAGAAGGGAAGCAACACACACATGTGCGTGTGCACACACACACACACACACACACACAGGGCTACAGGCTGGAGCTTGGACTCGTCCACGCTCTCACTGTCTCCCTCTGTTAGCCTCCATTCATTGTGCTGAGCAGCCATTAGCACTCAGGAGTCCTGCAGTCCTCCTGGTGCTCAGCACAAGCCCTTCAAAATAAGAGTGTTACATAAATGAGCTTAATCCTTTGACTGGGAAACAAGCCTGTGTCATATGCTGCTGCTGCTGCTGTTGCTGTTATATAAGAGGCTCCTGTACCAGTGTCCTGTCATCCCAGTGGCCACAATTTACCAACAGAGGCCAGGACATGCTCTGTGTGTGTGTCCAGTGTGCTGATTAAAACCTGATGTTTGATTCTGACCCTCTGAAAACACACCTCCAGCAGGTGACATCTTTAATTGTTCATCTTTTAAATCACTTCTTAGATGAAGATTTGAATCGTATGGTCACACTGGAGAGAGGCTAAGGGAAGCACTGCACTCTCATATTATCGATGTCAACATGTCATATTAAGGGCAGCCGTGTGAAACGAGGTGACTGCATGCAGAGGGCCGTGACCCGGCGTGGACAAACGCTGAGCATAGTCACGTTTAAATAATCATGTTTAAATTCTTCTCCAATGAGACTTTTAACATCTTCAGTCTTCACCGTTTCTGCCGGAGAAAGATGAGAAAACTGTTTTGATTATGCTGCAGAAAGTGTCTTTTAAAAGGTGTTAGGTGTAATTTACCTTCAGGGGATAGTTAAGATAAGCCGTTACATATTTTTGTCTTCTTTAAAAAGGATTAACGAAAGTTCAGAGCGTCTTTTAATATCTTGTTCAGTTTCTTACTTTGCAGATTTTGTCAGGATTTATGTTTTTGTCAAAACTGCATTAATTTGTTTATAATAGATCTTGAATTCGTAATCATGATGCCCTTCAATCCTTTAATTGATCACCCGTCCACTAACTTAACTCTACTGACCCACATAACCTCCTCAGAATCTGTTAACACTGCATTTAACACTCATCACAGAAACAATAGCAGAGTAAGCATAAACTGGACTGAAAATTAGGGGTGGAGGAAAATATCGATACAGTTATAAATCCCTGTCCTGACCTGTGTGACGCAAACACTGATCCACCGGGGGTAAGTATTGATATTTTCAGTGAGTAAATTCAGCACTGGTAACGGCTTTCAATACTTATACTCAGTGACTTGTGGTGCTAATGATATGAGAAGAATTTAAATAGAAGTTAACTGTGGCTCAATAATGGCTGAAGAAGAAGAAGAGGAAGAGGAAGTTGTGCATAACAGTTGAAGAAGAAAGCGAAAAGTTGGAGAGCTGTGAAAGAGGCTAAGAGCTGAAGCATAGCGGACAAAGACGAATCATTTTCAGTTCTTTTCTGAAAGCTCAGACTGTCAAAGTGAGGAAGTTTCTCCTGTGGTGTTTCAGGGTGACTCAGTACTGCGATATGTGGTATATATTATGACATTATTGTGTGTTGATAGACCGTTAATTAAATATTTTACTTTTCATTCACTTTTAACGTAAATGTTTATTTAACGTTAAAAAAAAACACTTTTGGACCATTTTGAGCATTAAAATGATCTCGGACATTTGTTGGTTTATTATCACTGACGGGTCTATGTTAAAGTTTAGTCAGGATACTTTGAGGATACGATTTTAAATGTCTTAATGGCAGCAGATAACCACAGGTGTTGTCTCAGTGAGACCACAGTGCTGTGAATAGATACAATAATCCTGCTCCTCATCTTTTTGGTCAGTAAATCAGATGTTCTGATATCTTGTTAAATGACTGTTTTGTGATTTAGATGCATTACGGCAGCATCACTCTATTATTACTTCTAGGGCTGGGCGATATGGCTTCAAATCAATATCACGATATATTGAGCAGTTCACCTCGATAATGATAAATGGACGATAACTACTCCACAAGCTGCTCACCCCCTCCAACATTAACTTTGTCTACTTCAGCTGCAACAACTTTTGAACCGTCTTTCCCTCTTTGTTACAAACTGGATGGGGTAGAGTCACGTCTTTGATGTTGGACAGCGTCTTTAAGGGACATGAGACCATAGCCTACCTACACACATCCAAAACCAACTTTTATTTATTTATTTTGACACTGAACATACCGGTATGGGAAAAACGACATCGCTTATTGTCGTAAATTTCAGTATTGGTAAATTTTCGGTTTATCGCCCAGCCCTAGTACCATGTCTAACATACACAACCTTTCGATGGGAACTAAAAGTGTGAGGCAAAGAGACAGGAGACCCACCTTGTTGAGCTCTTCTATTCTGCGGATCATGTACGGGTTGCTGGAGGAGTTCTCAAAGTACACGTAATCTGCAAAAAAAAAAAAAAACAGGAGAAAAACATGAGATTTAAGTTTCATTCACATTCATCAACAAACCTCCAGCAAAATAAAAGTGTGTTGAAATCTTTTTCTCAGGAGCCCCGAAACAACATCTGGTCAAACCTCCTTTGTGGTTTCTGTTTCTGCTCACTGTGTGTAAATGTTTTGGCAGAGCTGGACAGCGATCAGCTCACCTGACAGGTACCTCTCAGCCTGACACTCAGCCCTAACATGAAGCCTGTCTGTACAGCAGGGAGAAGCTGTTAACAGAATCAGAGCCTGCCAGCTCAGTAAATGGACGAGTGTAACGTGAGCTCCACCGGGCTGCAGACTGAGTCATGTGATATGATCGACGGGATGGAGTAAGACTCATCTACAACCAGTTACTGCAAAAAGGAGCATGTAGCAGACAGTGACGCTTAAGCATGAAGGCTGGATTCTTCTCCTGCTCTCACCCGACTGTTTCTAACCTCCATCCTACATTTGCTTTTCAGAGGTTCATTTACTTCACGACCACTTCGAGTATTACTTCACATTCAGTAACTGTATTTAGATTAAAAAAAAAGGCTTAAGCAACTAAACTACTATCTACTTATCATATCAAAATCTTAAGACATAAGGAAATCATCATGATATGATCTTATGCTATGTGATTCATTTTTGGGAACACTCCCCCTCCCCTTAAACAGCTCCCAGTTTCACCTTTTAGTGGAATGTTGCAAAATCAAATTGCACAGCACCAGTACAACTTAACAAGCAGCTACAGGTGGAGAGAGGAGAGAGGAAAGAGGAGCAGGAGGAGGAGAGAGGAAAGCAGAGAGGAAGAGGAGAGAGAAAAGCAGTGAGAGGAGAGCATTGAGAGGAGCAGGAGGACAAGAGAGGAAAGCAGTGAAAGGAGAGCAGAGAGAGAAGCAGGAGGAGAAGAGAGGAGAGCAGAGAGAGGAGCAGGAGGAGGAGAGAGGAAAGCAGTGAGAGGAGAGCAGAGAGAGAGAAGCAGGAGGAGAAGAGAGGAGAGCATTGAGAGGAGCAGGAGGAGAGAGGAAAGCAGTAAGAGGAGAGCAGAGAAAAGCAGAAGGAGGAGAGAAGAAAGCAGAGAGAGAAGCATCATTTTATTGTAAAAACATTGATAGGTGTGTTTAAGAACTAACAAGAAGGTCTGTCAGAGCTTACATTAATATTGTGGATACACTGTTTGTCTGTATTTACTATTCTACAACACAGTAAAGCCACCTCAATAGATGGGGTGTAGCATCATCAGTTTTATAGAACGTTCTGCATGAGAGTTTGAAGTTTGATGAAATAAATAGTACACTCATGTTACTACCTTGGGGTCAACTTTTCACAGTAACCTAAATATTCAACAACACGTATGGTTAGAGGGTTCTCAAGAGGTCAGAATCTATTTGTTATTGAAATAAAACTGATACTGTGACTAAAAATACCTCATCAAATCAATATGAATCAAACGACAATGAAATACAATCGGAATCCAGACCTCATTAAGCAGCATTACCTGTCTTCTTACTTAACGGTAGCACATTACAATACCATCATCTGTTTTCTCTAATTTCTAAGTATGACTTGTAGTCTACCGTGCCGAGCAGTTCTTGAGTCTGCGGTTTTAAAGACCCCTGTCAGTCACATTTGAAGGTGAAGAGGTCAGCAGGCTGCCTCAGAGCAGCATGACGCTGAGATGAGCCAGCAGGACACAGAGAGGCCGACCTTCACGACATAAATACATGAGAGAAACTATCACCGAGCTCTAAACACTGGGTAATAAGAGTCGGATCACACTTGATGGAGGAATATTAGTAACAGTGAAGAGTAAGTGAAATGAAAGGGCAGAGGATACTGGGAGGCTCCAGGTGCAGGAAAAGGTCAATCCTGTTAGAACCAGATATGGTATATTTGTGTGAGTTTAGGTATTACATCTGAACAGGTACACATTCAGCTGAACACACACAGAGGGTGGTTGGTAATCTGTCAGCAACACTCCTCCTACAGATGGTCTGGCTCACACTCCAATCAGATGTCAGCCAGAGTAAAGTGGCACCTGCCCAACAAGGTCAAAGGTCAACCGACTTCACTGCTACCTGCTGACATGAGTTGTTCTAAAGCTACAGACGAGCCTGTGTGTGCAGCCTGTGTGTCCCTCCCTCCACTGAGACACTCCTCTTTCCTTACTGCACCACAAGTGTACTGTGAACCGAATACTTTATATAGCGTTATACTCCTGCTGTTTATGTGAGGAGGAACTGATTCTCTGCTGTTATCTCCTATACATTGAAAGAAGCATTCCCTACCTCTGTTTTTTAAAAGAAGAGTGTGGGTGCAACCTCTCCCCTCGAACAACTCTTACTTTCACTTCATCATAAGCTGCTCAGATCAACGAGAAACAAGGTTTGGGAGAATGAGGAAGTTGTAGCTCCTGCTAAGATTAATGGAAGACTGCTGTATCGACGACAACAACACACTGAACAACAGGTACAAACTATCAGGCAACTACAAGTGGAGAGAGGGGAGCAGGGAGGAGAGAAGGAGGAGAAGAAAGGAGAGTAGGGAGATGAGCAGGAAGAGAAAGGAGAGCAGAGAGAGGAGCAGGGGAAGGAGAGAGGAGAGTAGGAAGAGGAGCAAGGGAAGAGAGGCGAGCAGGGAGAGGAGCAGGAAAGGGAGAGAGGAGGATAGGAAGAGGAGCAGGAGGAGGCGGGTGTGCGTTAAGGCAGTGGTTCTCAAGTCCAGTCGTCGAGGCTCACTGTCCTGCATGTTTTGGATGTTTCCCTGCTCCAACACACCTGATTCAAATGAACGGCTCGTTATTAAGCCATTACAGAGCTTGATAACGAGCTGATCATTTGAATCAGGTGTGTTGGAGCAGGGAAACATCCAAAACATGCAGGACAAGGGGAACTCGAGGACTGGACTTGAGAACCACTGTGTTAAGACAAAGGACGGCATGAACAAATAGAGAGATGTTGTAGGCCACGAGGACTAATGAGCTAATGAATGTGGGGCTAAAACATGAGATATATCATTCAAATCAAAAAAGAACAAAAAAACACAAGTCTCATAAAAGATGTAAAAATCTTGATTTGTTTGCAGCCTGTCAAAAAATGTTGAAGTACTTAACTACATTTAACATTTAATTAACTGAATACTATCACTGAAACTCAAGCAAAGCTCTTAAAGCTATTGAAGTGATGTATTTTCCCTTTCAGTAGAAGTACATATGATTTATCATTTTTAGTCAGACAGACACGGTGTGGAAAACAAAAAGGTGGGCTAAACCTTTTTTTAACTAATTAGGCATTTTTCTAAGTATTAAGAGTTTTTTTTAGGAGTTTTAAGTTTAGTAAAAGTGTGATGAAGATGTCAAATCAAAGGTAGCTGCTTCTTATGATCTTTATATCACTATTAATTTAATAAAAGTGATCAGGATTTTTGCCATAATCTAGCGGCCCTATTTAGTATGCAGTTATTCCTTCAAAAAGGACAATGACAATATCGACCTTGTGAGGGCTGAGGTCATCGCAATGCCGATTGTGTCAAAACACCAATAATCAGCCTGATTATCTGGTCTCTCTCTGTTTTACATGCAGATTTGCAGGAAGAAAATGCAAAGATGAAGAGGATTTTCAAATCAACATGACAGGATTCAACAGCTTTAAAAGACACAGACTGTCACTGCAGCTGGAAAGAAAATCTTCCACTCTTAACAGCCTCTCATTTATGCAGCACTTACATGTTAAAGAGCAATGAGATGTGTTCTAATATTAATCTTATTTTATGCGCATCCCTCAGTAATTTATGCAAACGCTGTTTAGACTGGTTCTTATTTAAGAGGCTGTTTTACTTTTAAACAGTCAGTAATTAGTGATTGTTTTTATGACTTTGGGTAAATATGTTCAGATTGGGAGAAGAAGTGCTGAGAGAGCAGCAGCTGCTGACAGCTTTAATAGAGACTCCAGCCTTTAAACAGCATATTGATGGAACCTGCCAGTCTTTATCACAGACTCTAAGCTTCTGTTGTGCCGTTTGATGCCGCTCTGCACAGCTTCACGTCAGGCTCCATCTGGTCCTCCCACGAGCGAGGACACAGAGCCTCAGGAGGACTTCTGACGCTTCCACGGCGAGCAGAGACGCAGAGCGGGGATTCAGACAGGGAGAGGATTTCTTGCTCTACTTAGCACAGTTGATGGGGAGCCCGAGCGGAGAGGCTTCACCTCCTTGTTCACAGTGAAGAAACAGAGCAGCAGAACATTACATAACCCGGACAGAAGCGCCGAGATGGGATGTGCACTCTCATGTGCCTGACATGACTAATGCTAGCTGTAAAGACGTTGTGATAGAGGAAGGGGGGGAGTTATTTTATTATAATCCTGCCTGGTGGGACACATTACAGACTGATCCTGTTCCAGCAGAACTAAGGAGGGGGTGATGGATCAATAATCAAAGAAAAAAATAAAAAAAACACGCTCGCCTCAGCTGAAGCTTGCATTCGACATAATCACATTGCCTCTGAAGGGGTTTTATGTTAATGTTCAGATTTAAGTGTGGAAAGAAGGTCTATAAAAAGAGTGTGTGTGTGTGTCTGTGTGTCTGTGTGTGTGCTGAGGTGGCTGAGAGTGTTTTGTTGTGGATGTACGTGGCAGGAGTGGTGCAGTGTGCTGCTGCTTGAGGGTGAATGAAGAGGAGGAAGCCCTTTGACTAATCTCAGGGGAGGATAATGATCTTACATGCGGGCTGAACACTGTGTGCTCGTGGAGGACGCTGATATTGGCGCTTGTTAGGAACCGCCTGCACCTTCCAACCGCAATAATAGGAACCCGAACTGAGCGCTGAATTCGTGGACAGGTTAATCAGAGCTAATTCATTTCTTAATGATTATTCCTGCGTTATACAAACAACTTATTAACCTCACTGCTGTGTGGGCTACTTAAAAATACATTTCTGAGTTATTACATAATCATACGCTTGTTGCTAACTGTATGATTACACGGGCTGGACTTAGCATTACACGCTAATGTTTTAATGGCTTCATCACAATGAATTCCCGCTGTGAAAATTCCTGCAAACACTCATGATCCAGCAGGCTGGCAAAGAGAAACTCGGCCTGAAACACCCAGGAGGCCGCAGCATAACAGACTGGAGCTGGACCCTTCAAGACAGGCCCACCAAAGACCCACAGTGGTACAGGAACCATCTGATTTGAGCGCTGCTTAATTACACAGTATTTTCATCTGTGGAAAGCGAGACCACAAATGGGATGAGAACCAGCCAGCTAGCATTTCATTTCCTTATGATGATACTGTGGGCTTATACAGACGAAAGCTTTGTCTCTGCTTAAGCAGCATGGTCCCTCATCAGAAAACTGTGTCACAGTCTTCTTGTAAAATTTATCACAACAGCCTGAAATTCTTTCAGTTTTCTTTCCCCCTAATTTGTGATTTAGGTTTCGATTACTTTCTCATTTTTGGACTTATCTAAACTGTATTCTTTGTTTGGGCTTTGACCAAGACCCAAGAAAAAGATGGATAAGACTTCTGATTGCCAGTGTGCCTCTCATTAATGCTGTTATAATCCCAGCCACACATGAGTATTTGACTGTGATCTCAATACAACTGAGACGGTAACATCACCATCTCACAGGATACACATATGAGCCCATGAAGACACCATCAGAGCAAAGATTACACCGCGGGGCGCATCTGCATTTCCAGCCACCCAAAAAACACTATTTTAATGCAAAATAAAAAAACTCTGCTACTCTAAAAACATTCTCTTAAATGTCACACGAACATATATATTTGTATGAATTGGTACAACTGAAAGGCTCACACAGAAAGACCCCACAAACACATGGTGTGTCCAAAATCGCATACTTCCAGTACCAAATACCTAAAATTTTGAGTATACTCAACGCAAAATGGAAAAAAGTATGGATAGTATGTGAAAATTGAGAAGGCAAAAGTACCCGGATGATGTACTCAAATCGGTCAAGATTTTGAGTATGAGACTGTGGACACTCGCCGCACTCATCTCATCAGTAAGAATTGCTGTGGACAGCTGTGGTGCCAGTGGGTCGGCTACGGTCGACCTGGGAGCTTTGTACAGATGTAATAAGTTGCCTTTTACACATTTTACACATGTTCTTTCCACCAAGCACCACCAGCGTTTATTGTTTTGAGTATATTTGTGGTGTAACCTGGGTAACCTGTTTGTCTTTTACCGTGAACGTTATCACGAATGCTAGTTAGCTCGTTAGCTAGTTAACTAGTAGCCGTCAGGTTCCGAAGCGTTACCCGTGGTGTAAAAATGAGCGATGAACATTAATTTTGTTGCTGATTTTGCCTCAAAAGCGGATGAACGAGTGCAGGCAAAAGGCTGCGGTAATTAGCTGATGCAGAGCTAGCCGGTGAGAAATTGGCGTAGAAGAAGAAATCGCGTCGTCATTTTTGGTGAGTGCGCCGCTTGGCAGTAAGCGATTTGGCACAACACTGCACCCTCGAAACTCAAGCACTAAGCAATTGAGTACATAGTATGCTTAGAATACTCAATTTGAAAAATCTAAATATTTAGTGCGGAAGTATGCGATTTGAGACACACCAACAGGAAGAACACACACTATGCTAAGTGACACTATATATGACGAACCAAGTTACCAAGCAAATTCACAAGATCAACTATGACACCAACAAAAGGGATTATTAGGAAAAGAAACTATATCAGACTAAACCTGAAGACAGCTACATTTAGTGTTTTGAAAAGACGTTTAGGGACTCAAAACTTCCGCTGATAGACTGTAAACTATTATATCATTTCCTGCAATCTTAATCATTATAAAATCCTACAATTTTATTCAGCAGACACTTTTGTGCAAAGCGCTGCAGATCTGAGAGAAAGCACAACACAAACAAAGATCCAGACAGATGGAACCAATAGAAAAAGGTGCCACAGACTGCTCTCAGGCCAAGTGGACACAGGTGCTGACATGCACTGCAAGAGCCAGAACTGTTTTTGATGATAAAACAGATCATTTTGGGCAAAAGACAGTTCAAACTCTCATTGCAGTTTATCAAATTCGAATATTTTTTAACTTTCTTTCCTCTTCTGAAATGGCAAACTGAAATATTGGACTTGTGAATTTAACTAGTTATTTAAGGACATCATTTTCAGGTTTTGGAGATAAATTATGCACATATTACTGCATGTTTGTTTACAGCAGGTCAATAAATCTACATAATACGTAATTAATCCCATGAAAAACAGCCAATAACTGCAGCCATGAATACAACAGATCTCAGGACTCTGGTGCACTGAAAAAATAACAGGCTCTACATTATACATACGTCACACCATGTATCATGCACCAAATGAACATCAGAGCCTGACTTATTTACCTGTATCCTCTATGCACGATCCATGCAGCTTAAGTAAATACTGCACACTCTAGTATATGATCAAGTCAGTGCACATACGTTTCGCACAGCTCTATGCATACTTCATATTTAGCAGTAATGTTTAATCAGCATGGCCTAAATATCCCGCTGATGAATGACCTTATGCAGCGATAAGCCCGTCCCACTGTCTGTTCAGCTACAGCAGCAGACTCAAAGAAGGAACACCAAGTCCTGACATCAATATCAATGCCCAGAGACAAAACACAGACACACATACACACACACACACTAAGGCACAGGTACATCTGGGCATGAACCGGGATCAATAAAAAAACGGCTGAGGACATGTGGTTCTCAGCTGTTTCTACTTTTTCAAGCTCCAGTAACTAAGATTAAGAAAAGAGGTTAGGTGACGGAACACTCATTTCACCATTTTAAATGACATATGGTACTTAACAATGCGCTTCGGTGTTGATTGTTCAATCAAATATATTTAGCCAAGGTGCTGCGTTTCCGTCCAGTGGTTAAGTAGTAACAGTATATGCTCAAATGAAAAGCCCAATCAATAGCAAACTCCCTATCTCAGCTGTTTTCTCGACTTTAAGCTCTGAAGTGAGCGCTTTGTCTGCAATTATCTTACCTCCAAAACACGCTCTTTTCTGAACCAACCAATCATTTGTCATCGATTCCTGGAGCTGTCACACTGATTTACACTTTTGCACATGTGCACAATTAGCAAGAGCTACTTAGCAATTAAATCTGCCAGCACAACAAACAGTTGCATACAAAACAACATGGCGAAGGTTATAATTAAATGAACCTATGAATGCAATGGGCTCTGCTTCAGTTTGACAGTTGTTGCTATTATTAGCTGAATGCTAAAACCAGACTTATTTGGGGGTGGGGGTGGTGGGGGTCAATCTGGAGCAGTGACATTTCAAGTATCAAGCAGACTTCTGCATAGATTTTATGTAACTTTAAAATGTAATGTTACAGTTTGGAAATGATAAAGTCATTCAAGATAAATCTTTTCAGGGCTCATGCAAATGTTTGCCCAAATTCACGATTCAAAGTCAGGGTCAACCTATACTGGTTTTCAATGCTGTTTTATGTAACTGATATTTGGAACAGTAGAAATGAAAAATCCTTGTCTATGGAAAATTACAAACTCCAACAAAAAATTGTGAGAAAATCTCTTGAGGTCAAAACCTTTTCAGACATGCACCAAGTTCTTCAAATGACACCAGTGAGCTGTATGTCATGGCTACCACAGCGTCTATTTGATGTGATGATCAGCCTCCTCAAAGCCCCCCACGCCCAACCATGCGACTTCATACTGTGAGGATGTATGTGTGAACAGAACAGGCAGGTACGTTTCCGAGGGGGAGGCCCTGAAATTTTCCGCTGAGCATGTCTGACAACAGTGACAGTGAGACGGAATAGTGCAAGAAAACAGACACAGAAGTATGAGCAAAAGTAGCACAGTTTTCGATAAGTCATCTTGAAGACTCCTAAAACAGGCAACTGGACTGTGTAGAGCAGTGGTTCTCAAGTCCAGTCCTCAAGGCCCACTGTCCTGCATGATTTGGATGTTTCCCTGCTCCAACACACCTGATTCAAATGATCAGCTCATTATCAAGCTCTGTAATGGCTTCATAACGAGCTAATCATTTGAATCAGGTGTGTTGGAGCAGGGAAACATCCAAAACATGCAGGACAGTGGGCCTTGAGGACTGGACTTGAGAACCACTGGTGTAAAGTGTCTCAACTCTACACAGTCTAGTTGCCTGTTTTAGGAGTCTTCAAGATAACCATGACCTGGATGAGTGAGAATCTACATGGACTTTTTGATAAGTTCATTTTATTGGCCATCCGTGCAATAAAAGGCCTTAACTGATAATCAGCCAAGTGCCAAATACTAGGACAGATATTCAGCCAAGACTTATAATTGGTCAATCCCTCATTTAAAATTACATAAACAAATAATATTTTACAGTTAGACCGTGTGCAGGAGCTTGTTTGATTTTTGTGATGGATTGATTCCTCGCCCACCTGTTTTGTATTACATAGATGAACTGTAATCTATTTCATACTGCTAAAAAAAGCTTTTAGTGGAGTTTAAGGATACATTTATAAAGTTTTTAAGTTACAAAGATTACTAAGTGCAATGATAAACCTCTTTATAATATATTTCTTGTGTTTCACGCCTTTCTTATTTGTGTTGATTAACTGATACAGGGTATTACTCTTGCTTTGGACACAACAGAGCAAATAAGTTTGTGTTTTAACTACTTTGAACATGTCAACGACAGTGGTTTTATCCCTGTGTTGTGTTTATCTTATGATTCTTGTGCTTATCAATGCTTGTACAGACCGATAAGTCCATAAGTATGAGTTTTGTATGCATGAATAGTGTTATTATAGCTCGTTAGTACTCAGTCATAACGTTGGAGTTTCTTTAGTTTGTCTGCAATTAAGTGTGAACGCGCATAATACTACAGAGAAGAGGTAGCATTAGCAGCTAGCTGCAGATAAAACTAGCAGCTTTTACTTAGCCAACACTGTGTTCCCTTCAAAGACTATATGAAAACTGATAACAAATGAATGTTGCTGTGCTGTTATTACATTTAACAATGCTTTTGTTTGATATATTCACTTTTTCAGCTGTTAGACGGTGCTACGCTGTCGTAGTTTTTAAAAGGGAACTTGTCAGGATACCTGAAGTCAAAGTTGGTACTGTACATGAATCAATATGGTTTAGTTAAACTACAACCGGGTTAAAACCAAGCCATAACGTTGGAGTTCTGTTGATGTGCTTTCTGGCTCCGTCGGGGAACTTTACTGGATGTTTGAACACATCTGATGTTACTTTGACGAGTGAGAGCACGTACAGACGTTAGCAAGGAGTTAGCTTTAGCACAGCATTGTAATGTATTAGCAGCATTGTCTTCACTTCCAGGACGTTAAACACAAACTGGACACAGACTATGGTTGCTTGGCGTACATGCAACCACTTCTACAGTTTATTCTGCTACACAGTAATCCACCCTGCTGTTATCAAATGTCAAAGTTTAATGTGAACTTACAGCTGGTGTTCCATTAAATAGTGCTACCTGTCGAGAGATGCGCTACTGAGCTGTTCTGCACATGGGCACAGCAAAATCCACGAAGATAATGCTTCCATTAATTTGATAAGCGTCACCAGAATGTAAATAGAGACTTTTGTCACGGTTCTTAACCAAGTTTTAATCCTGTTTAGTGCAAATAAAAAGTGAGTGATGTAATACCAGAAGATTAAGAAACGGGGGTATACTGTCAGTCCACTGAGATGCGCTTTATCTGATATTCTTAATTCAGATGATATAAAGGGAACCAAAACAATATTATCTTGGTCTGACAGTGCAACAGGAGTAATTATTCTTTTTGCAAATAATGATTATACCCTGGGGATGTGATATAAAGCGGTATTTTGATGGGTATGGATTCGCGCTGCGGTTGCATTTAGCAAAGCAGCAGAACTGAACAGAACACCGGTGCTGAATCGCCTGCGGTCGGTAACGTAGTTTGTTGGAGGAAACTAGTCCCACAAATCTGTTGTCAAAGTTAATATTCTTTATGTACCTGAAAAGATTCGAGCCATTAAATTGCAGTTTACTAACAGTGCGCTGATTCTGGTTATATGGCCGGGTGTTTTAACAGATTTGACATTCCTCTAATAAAGAGTGAACGCACGTACAGCGTTAGCTAAGAGCTAGCATTAGTTAGCAGCTAGCCGCTAGCTGTCTGAGCGGCTAGCTGGAGACTAGCTAAAGAAACGAACAATCACGCTGTGGGGGTTCTTCAAAATATTAAACACTCTTTACCTCCCACTCGGTACATATTAGCCGCCATCCTGTCGTCCCCTGTAGAAAAGCAGTCCCGGGATATTCCCCGCTCAGGTAGAAAAAGGTCGATGGGGTTTATTTTATTCCTTCATTTATCGTAGACACCCCCGCCGTGAAACAAAGCCGGCTCCGGGCACTGTGAGCCGAGCTGGCGGGTAAAAAGTTAAAAGTTTCCGTTAGGAACGTTCCGGAGGTTATCCCCAAAAAATCCAAGCCTTTGTTTTCGGTCGACCTTCCTCTCCTCTTCCTCTCTCTCTCTCATTCACTCTCAGCTAGCCTGTATCTTACTCCACTCTTCCTCCCATCCTCCGCTCCCAGCTTCATCCTCCTCTTCTTCACCTCCGCTCAGTTCAGCACACACACACAAACACACACTCACTGGCCCCCTTCGTTCGTGTGCAAATCGTCATCTTCGGACATTGTCGTCAATCTCCGGGATCTTACAATTAACTTTTCACTCTTAATGTTTTTTTTTCAGATAACAACCTGATAGTTATAAAATAATCATATATTTATATATTTATTTTGAAATGCACTTAAACTACTGAGTTACTTCAAGCATTTAATAGAAAATTGCAAAAGTTATTATTTTAAGACCAAAATATTCTCAAAAGGTATAGTGTACTCAGGCCTGTAAATGAAGTGCATTTAAAGACACAAAGTAAATAAAGTTGAGTTCCAGACAGATTTAGACAAAACAGGAAATTGTGAAAAAACACACCTCTCTAATAAAAATTTTAAAGCATCAGGAATACTGTAAGTTACCTTTATAATGGGAAAGTCCTTTGTCTACAGAAAACCCTCAATTAAAAAGTTATACATGAGGAAATTAAACGTAAAAATTATTTATTTATTTTTTTTCCAAGTTCAGTTCAGCTCTTCTTTCACCAACTCTCTGTAGACCTTAGTGGACCCAGCAGACCAGGTTCTGGAGTCTGAAAGTGAAACGTTGTCTCATTCTTGCCTGCTCGTGGATTTCAGCTGCTCAAACAGTTCAGGGTCTCCTTTGTCCTATTTTTGGATTCATGATGCTCCAAATGTTTTCAATGGGGGACAAGTCAGGACTGCAGACACTGATCTATAGGACTCTTCTACTACAGAGCCCTGCTGTTGTAATCCCTGTTGTCAGAATGTGGTTTGTCATTGTCTTGCTTAAATATGAAGGTCTTCCCTGAAAAAGTCATTATCTGGATGGCAGCAGATGTTGCTCCACAACCTGTAGATATTGTTCAGCAATAGCGGAGCCTTCACAGATACGGAAGCTACCCATGACAATGAAACTTGATTCTCTAAATCTGTTAATGATAAAATTTACTGTAGATGAAGAAATCCATGCAGTCTTTTACATTTGACACTCAGGAACATTACTCTGAAACTGTTGAACTATTAGCTGACACAGTCTCTTACAGAGTGGTGAACCTCGTCCCATATTCCCCTCTTAGACTCAGCCTCTCTAATGTCCTTTTTATAACCAGTCATCCCACAGCTGTGATTTTTTTTAGCATTACACAACTTTTTACCTGTTGGGTTGTTCCTCTTTAAGAACTTTTGACCTGTTTGGTTGTTCCTTTATAAGAACTTTTGACCTCATTAGTTGTTCCTCTATGAGAATTTTTTACCTGTTCAGTTGTTTTTCCACTTCTGAGGCATTTAAAATAATTCCTTTACCCACCTGTTAGTTCCCACTGGGCACTGATAAAATATTAAAAACAAGTAATCTCATGAGTTTCTGCAACTAAACTTGAACAATGAGGATCTCACATTACCTTCTGTCTGGGACATTTTGGTCTACGACTACACAGCACAGTGTTCAGTTTGTGGAGCAGCACTGCCCTCTAGTGACACCACACACATTACAGTCCAGTCTTCAGTTCTTTATTGGGAGATTAATACATCACAGTGTTCCCAATATTCTCTTAAATACATAAAAGGGTATTACAGTTATAATTTTAGGAGTACTGATCTAAAAAAAAAACTATTAGTCAAAAATGCAGAGAGATGATTTCATTGGAAGGATTTGTCACAGTTTGTTTAATGGAAACATTAATAATCAGACAGCTTCAGTATTAGCTGAGATGTCAAAACAAACACTGCTAAAAGGGTTAATTCTGATGTTTTTAAACTTGGCCATTTTTTATAAACTTAAGGAGTCTTGATTACTTATAGGTACAAAAACTTGAGGAGTTGCTTCAGTAGATGGAGAATAAAATCTCTTTTGAGTCTCTTTGCCTGCATGTTTCACTTCAGTCCAGCACAAGTCAAAAACTCCAGCCTGAGCAGAACAGCTCTGTGCGTGTGTGTGAGTCCATATCTGAGCATGTGGGTATATGGAGCTCCTGTTGTGTGTTTACAAGCTGAATTATGGCAGTGTCTAAGAAGCTAATGTTTTGTGGGTACAGGAGCACTGGGGACCTCTTTGCACGCTTCTACTGTGAACTTTCAGGTCTATAACTGATCCTGCAAGACTCATCTCTGGAGATATGCAAACAATATCTACTTTATTATTATCTTAATTTTGTTTTTGCAGATTTGGTTTCTGTGATTGCCAAACTCCATCACTCTGGTGCTCTTAAACACATTCACTCCCACCTTTAATAGTCCAAACTACTTTTACAGCTACAGCCTGTTTCACTGCTGCAGGCTGAGTCAATCTACTGAAGCAATCCCAACACTATCTGTATGTATGAGTCATTGAGACACCTAAACATGAAAAAAAACAAGGCTCAAGTTTAAAAATGTCAGAATTCCCTTTAAAATATTACAACTATGTAAGAACATTGTGATAACACCTTTAAAGGCACGATGTTAAGCACCATGACGCGGCTCTTTGGTAAGTTTGGTAAAGGAAACACAGAAATGTTCACTAATATCAAAAGTCTCTGCAGAAGTCGAGTCATGTTCTGTACCAGCAAACACACAAGACCACTTCTTCTTCTTCTACCCCTCGAGTCCAACAGAGTTCCTGAATCAGAGCGTCCAGTTTCATATCAGGATTAAAGAGGAGTGTGAGGGTGAAGAGGGGAGATGATTCCTCCCCATGTTCTGGGGAAACCTGACGCAACGCTGCAGCTCAGACGGTTGTCTCCAGCCTTTCTGGCTGTGGAAACATATCTCTCTCTCTCTCTCTGTCTGTTCACATCCAGGTCCTGATTAACCAGTTACTGGCTCTGGAGAGCTGGTGGAGGTGGACGAGAGGGAAGTCAGCCTCTCCCTGCTGTCCCCCACTCCTCCTCCCATCACCCTCCACTGAAGGATACAGGTATCCTTCCCCCCCATGGAGAGCAGGTGGGAGTCACAGTGGGTGAAGCAGACGTTGGTGACGTGACTGCCGTGACCCTCGTACTTGTGACTCGGTGCCTGGGGAGTCGAGAAATAGTTTACTTTTAGAAACACAGAATCAGACAGCTGCTAGAGTAAATCATTTGCACTCGGATTATCCTTATTCAAATTTTTTTTTTTAATTTACTTTTATGTTTGGTGACCAGGACAAATGCATGAAACCAAATTGGTACCATGCACACAGGTTTCTGTAACATCTGAGACTCATGTTCCTGGTTAGGCTTCAAAATTAAAACAAATTAAAGCCACAAGCAGTAATGAACAGGTCCTCGCACTTTTGCACCCATTTGCGCCTGCACCAGCTGTGAGACATGCAGCTGGGCATGCCTGTGCTGCAGCTGTGATTTCGCAGGAGTAAGTGGTACAATCATCATCAGCTAAATGCATATCTGTCAACACACGTGTTTAATTTAATTCAACAGGTGGCACTATTGCTATCGCATTAATGAATATGCAGATGGATAGAGACTAGGACCTTTATGAAAAGTGAGAAATCTGAGGCAGATTGGACATTGTATGTAAAAGTTAGAACCATGTACTTCCACAAGATGGCGCTATGACTGCATATAGATGAGTTCAGTGGTTGACCCTTATTATGTATGTGACATTTCAATAGGCTCATACGATGTTATTATAATATTATTATGTGTCATGGTGAGACATTAAAGTTAGATGTGCCTCAGCTGATGTTCTCAAAGTGCTCTGGTTTTTTCATCTTTCAGTGTCTTTAACACAATCACAGCTATTTATGATTTGATGGTTTTTACAGTTTAATGAAGGCAAATGAGGCCACAAGTCTTTCTGCACACAGAGAGGAAAGGTGAGCTCACACCACAGGGGGTCTCTAGAGACAGACCCAGTACACCTACATAAGTATACCAGGTCTGACCAGCCCAGATTTAGCAGGTTAACATGCACCTTTAATAACATCCCCAGTTTAAGAACATCACGCTTCCACAGAGCAAGGTGATGGTTTAGGTACAAGCTAAAACAGAGAAAAGAAGTTAATGAAGAAGTGATGGTGAGATGTGCAGAGATGGTACCTTCGGTTTAGGACAGGGGTACTGGAAGAGATGAACTTTACAGAAATCGTCGGCCACGGCAACCATCCTCTCACTGTGAGAGCGGCACAGAGCGTTAATGTCTGTGCCGTCCGAGCCCTCCAACCACACACCTGAAACACAGAGACAACAACAGTCACACACCTGACTTTCAATAGAACAATAAGACTCTATAGTGATTCACTTAACTGCTGCTTTCTGATTAACATGAGCTCATGACGCTACTAACTCAAGGACAGAGCAGTTGAATCTCTATACCTGTAGACTCTGGGGTGTGCCACAGTCTGATTCTCTGTCTCTGAGCTTCATAGGACTCCTTCAGTGATTGGAGCTGAGTTTTTATTTCAGAAATGAATGAATGAATGAGTGAATACCTTCATTGTCATGGCAATAAAGGCCTCTCTGCTCTGGGTCTGTTTTTTGTCCTCTGACATTTTTGTACTTAAAAAAAACTGTCTCATGTTGTGAATAATCAAGTTTGTATCTTTCTTCTATCATTACTTTGGTACAGGTTTAATTTTCTGTGTTCTTCATGCCTGCAAGGAGTTGATAAAAGGGAAAACGTGGACTGAACCTCCACAGATCCAGGCGTCTTTGCGAACTTTGCACATTTAAGATTAATTGCTTGCATGCACTTGTGTGTCTTTAGTCTGTACCAGAACATTCTGCTAGTAAAAATACACCTAAAATGGACTGGGATGATTCTGCAGCTCTGTTATCAGCTCTTGTTTGTTTCCTTTTTTCTATTCTTAATCAGTAAAGAAATAGAAAATCACCCTCACAGCTTGATGCCTCAGGTGTTTTATACTGCAAATTTTCCAAATAGATAGACAAATAAACACATCAGACTCAATGTGCAAGGTTTCTGTGCTTCATGTTTTTGGACAATAAACCCCAAAAAATGCATTTCTCCTCCACATATGCTGCCGCATTTATGCCCCTGACTGACTATACTGATGTTTTATACATGCATGCATCTACTTACTGTTCATCATGACCATTGAAAATCTGAAGTCTCTAACTCATCACTGCTCCCTTTACACTTAAGTTGGCTGGTCTGCACCATCTATCTGCAGACTCAATCACTAACATGTCTTTTCTGTAAGATGATTTTTAACTGGTTTCCTTCTTTTTTTTAAACTTTTATTGATTTGAAAAAGGGCTAGAAGCTACAGTCTTTGCTCCCTGACTCAGACACATGACTTATTTTTTATTTCTGTTGTCATTCTTTGTATGTTTTGTGTGTCACTAGCTTGTGTTGAAATGTGCTGCTGCTAAGATTTTGTTTTGAACAAGGCGTCTCTTGTTAAATAAATGTGAATAAATGAACCTGATGAAAAGAGAAGAAGAAGAGGAACATTGTAGTTGTTTTACCCATGACATGGAAGCCAAGAACACAGGTATAAGACGCCCACTCTCTGTCTTTGCTCTCAAAGCGATTCCTCAGCAGCTTACAGCCCCCTGCGATGTCCCCTGATTACACATAAACACACACACAAAGTCGTCATCACAGTCTGCAGACAGGAAACAGTGTTCCTGATGTCTGAGGGTGTATATGTTCTCTCACAGTAAAGGATCTCGTAGTCTCCTGAATTGGACATGATGTATTTCCCGTCTTTGGACCAGTCCAGGTGAGTGATGAAGCTGGAGTGACCCTGAATGGAACAGAAGCAGAGACTCAGTCAGGACATGAGGAGTCTGTTACTCTACAATTTTATCACAGTCACTAAAATCTGTGTGATCCAGAACTTCTCAGTGACTTTAATCAAGTGTTCCCAAACTTTCCAGTCCGGAGATCATATACTGGACTATGAAAAGTGAGATGTGAGATTTTTTCCTGTAGGGTATGAACCTGCACTGGTGGATACAGAGTCCACTCATGCAAAACTGGATTTTTTGGTGGGGGGACAATTGTGTACTGTAGATGATGAAATCCACTCATTCTTCCACATCTGACACTCAGGAACATTATTCTGGAACTGTTGAACTCACGTTACATTTCCCGAAGCGAGTGTACCTCCGGCCACTCTCTGTCACAGTGTAGATGTAGATGAAGTTATCATGAGACCCCACGGCTAAAAAGCTGCCGTCTGAAATGACAAAACACCAGGAGGGCTGTTGGAGGAAAAGTCTACAAACTCTGCAAAAGTCATACAGGAAAACCCTCCATTTAACAGTGTGAATATTATAAATACTTATTCTGACCAGGTGAGTATCTCATGACGGACAGCTGCTCATTCCCGTCAGTGGACTCGGAGACCACCTCTCGGGTCAGTAGGTCCAGGACCACCCACCTGTCACAGGCACAACAGCACAGAGAAAGACAGGGAGCCCAGGACATCATAATTAACATCTGCACATATTCACACCAGTTTCATGGCTGCACATTAAGGGGACATTTCAGTATTTCTGAAGTGTTGCACCTACAAATACTGCAAAAATGAATGTTTTTTCTCAAGTGCTGAAAATGTCCCTAAATTAGCTGAATGTCATGGCAGAGGCTCGTCTGCTGAAAACTGTAGCCAAGCATGCATGCTGCTTCCCCCTGTAGTTTTTTACTAAAGGGGCCAAGCTGATTGACATCTGTTGAGGCAAAACACTTCTGGCGACAAGTAACTCATACGACCTCACTCCAAAAATACTGAAATATTCCTTTAAATGCAAATAAATGACAACACACACAGAGAATCTTTACAGTCTTACTTTAAGCTCATTGTTCTTCTAGTTTTGTTTCTAGCAGGACTCACTGAGAAAACTCACTTTTGAAAAGATAGTCTAAGTAACAGCACTGTGGTGTGTGTCCTTTGTTACCTTCCTGTGTTGAGGCCGACTGAAACCACCGAGCCGTTTGGACAGAAACCCGCACACAGTCCATATTCCTGTTAGACCCACACACAGGAGTTTAGAAAAGGTTTTAGTGTAATTTATCCAATCCAATCCACTTTATTGATATAGCACATTTTAAAAACATTTAAGTTTACCAAAGTGCTGCACAGTAAAATCAAAAAGAACAAACACTGCATAGGTAAAAAAAAAAAAAAAACATCAAGAGGAAATACATAAAAGGAGGCAAAAAACAATAAAAATGAAATAAAAACACAAAAATGTGAAAAAATAGAAGCAATGAAAAACATGGATTAGGACCATAAAGGACATAAAAGGACAGAGATTACACAACTCTCATGCTGAACTAAAAGCCATATATGTGTTTAAAAATTTCTTTATTCAGCATAGGAATCCTTGTGCTCTCTCTGTCCCACTGCTTTACTAACACACCTCCTCTTTGTGCATGTCTACCTACTGTTCTCTCTCTGCCTGTAGCTGTACGTTAGTTTGTAATGCTGGCAAGCTAAAGTTCCTGCGCCCCGTAACTCTTCTGCCTAATGATCTGACTCTGGACAACATTCCTTTTTTATGTGCATGCATGAAAAGCCGAGGCAGGAAAAGCATCACCAAAGACACTTGTTAAATAAGACCCTGTATAAAAAGGAGAAAAAGGGACCCTGGGGTAAAGCTCTCTGTCAGAACATTCAAATGTCTGTTTTCAGAGTGTAAAAATCCAGGATCAGTGAGTTTTACCTCCAGACTGATGCTCCAGTCCAGTTTGTGCTCCTCCGTTTTCCACAGACACACCTGTCTGTCATGACCACAGGTGAGGAAGATGTTCTGAGAGGGGTGTGTGGCCAGACCCCACATCTCATCTACATGACCCTGAGAAACACACACACACACAGTTATGAAGAAAGGCTGCAGAGACAAACATCTAAGAGTTTACATTTTTCCCTCCATGTATTAAAGTGTTGAGCAGCTTTCACTCTGAAACATCGCCAAGTAGAAATGAAAATGTTTTATTTTTTAGCTACCTGCACAATGGCCACAAATCCGTCTGAGAAAGTCCCTCTGAGGACAGCGTTCCTGGTCGTTCCGACTAATAGCTCCTCACCGTCCACATCTGCGATGGTACGAACCGCCCCATACTTCTCTGGAATCTGAAACAAAAACCTCGTTAACCAATCATATGGCTTTAACACCAATCTGAACTTAACGTTACACACACGTCACACGCACGCAGAGCTGCCGTTCACCTCACACTCTCTCTCAGGAGCCAGGTCGGCGCTCCAACGGATGATCTTTCGGTCCTTTCCTCCCCCGCTGAGGAGAGCGCCGCCCTGCAGGTTGCACAGAGTAAAGACACTGCCTTCATGGGCTCGAGTCTGACGCATGATCTGAAATGTTTCTGCAAAGAAAAAAAAAGTTTTGTTTTTCAAAAGAATGTAACAAAACTAGGACTGGAAGTTTTATTTATTTAAAATATCAATTATGAGGAAGTGTGTTTAACTATTTATCTGACAAAAACACTAAATGTTGGCACTTCGCTCAGTCTTCATGTTTTCTCTGACCTTTGGCTCCTTTTCCGAGTGTTTTAATGTCTGCGGCGGATTTTCCCCACGTCAGGATGTTTCCTTCAGAGTCTCCGGTCAGAACGTCTCCGGTCAGACTGAACACGAAACACTGGATGAACTTTGGCTTCTTGTATTTCTGCAAAAAAAAAAAAAAAAAAATAAAAAAAAGTTTATTTTAAGTGCAGATCTATTTTATTATCCTTAACTTGGATTTTTATTTGATAAAAAATGATTTCCACAGAGACAGTAAAAAAAAAAATCATCAGAGGACAAGATTTTGATGCCATGGTGGATTTACTGAGGTATATTTTAGCATTCATTAGTTTGTTTGGTTGTTGAATAATGTTCAGTATGTCTTCAGTTACTTAGAAATAGTTTTCTTTTTTTTTTTATCTCAGACATGTATTCTTTCACGTACCTTGACATGTTTCGGCGGAAACTTCGCCTTCCTCCAAAGTATCACTTGGTGGTAGATGTGACTGTCCTCTCAAAAAATTTGACAGGAGGGTCACACCTCCGCAACACTAGCTGATATGACGTGTTAAACCTACCACCAACTGACACTTCTGAGAAGGGTGAAGTTTCTGCGAAAACATGTCAAGGTACGTGAAAGAATACATGTCTGAGATAAAAAAAAAAAAAACTATTAGTTTGTTTGTTAAACACTGTCATAAAGTAACATTGGTGATGTACTATTTCACTGTGTATAACTTCTATATGTACTGCTGTATTGCCTTTAAGGTGAGGGTTAACATTTGAAAACGTTAACTAAGTTATTAGTTAAAAAAGTTTAAAATTGAGAGCCTTGTTTTTCTTGTCGGAGAGAGCGCTCTGCTTCTTGTGACCTGTCCTCTCCAAAAAAATCCACAATACAAGAAATGACATTCCTGGTCTTCTCTCTTACAAGGCATGGACTCTGATGTGTCTGCAGAGCCTTCACTTCGTTCCTCTCGGCTCTCTTCATAAAACATCTCCTGTCAGACTGGGATTGAGATCAAAACATGTCTTACTCCAAAAATGCCCTGTTTCTTGGTGAACTGCCCGTTGCTGAGCGTCCAGAAGTAAACGTGAGATTTCCCGCAGGTGATGATGTTGGAGCTGTCGCTGGGGTTGAATTCGACCGCAAACACAGCCTCGTTGGTGCTCTGAGACACACACACACACACAAAAAAAAACGCACATAAAAACAACTAAATTAGCACAATAACAACCATGAATGACAGCTGAGTCACATACAGGACGCATGGATCTGAGAGCACTGAAATCAGTCAGTTACTGTCTTTACAATAGAGCAAAAAGGCACCAAACTTATAACTGGGGTGTCCCGATAAAATACGATATTGATATCGGATATCGGTACAATATCAGCAAAAAAATTAATATCTGATTATATCGGCCTTCATCTAAAATCTCAGATATCAGCACTCAGATACAAGCAGTCCATTCCACACTCCACTCCAGCACCTCTATCTAGCAAGCTGAGCCCACAAAATCCCAGCAACAGTGTGTACTAAGGTACAAACAAAGAAGCAAGGAGTAAGAGTGATGTTGGCCTTGTGGCAGTATTTTTTGTTGGAGTCCAAAAAAGACGTTGCAGCTGAGTGAAGAACTTGTCATGCAAAATGTTGTGCCAATATTGGCTCAGTATCGGTCAATATTGAAGGCTACAATATGGGTATCATATCGGAAGTCAAAAAGTTGTATCGTGACACCCCTACTTAAAACCAGTCTCTTTTAAATGCAGAAGATAAAGTGTCACCTTACATCAGAGTTAAAAATATCACAGTCACATTTATTTAATCAGAAACAATTTGTTTTTTTTTATTAGTTTACCAAACCGTTAAAACTGTTGTCATGAGTTTGAAGTCCTAAAACCTTCCCAGGAACTTCGTCTAGACGAGTATGAAATATTTTCTGATGTTTTCTGCCACCAGAGAAACATGCAAATACACAAACAGCCTCAGTGTGAGTGTGTGTTCAAAGAACTTCACTGCCGCTGCACAAACAGCTCATTCATGTCCGAGCTGTAAAGAAGCATATGGACTTCTTCACTGCAGGAGGAGAAGGAGGAGGAGGAGGAGGGGTAATTATCTTGTTCCTGTTGGAGGAGTGTGTATTTGTGTGCGTTTGTGTAGTGTATGTCAGAGTCGACCCGTCAAGAACTGGATCTCTCCCAAAATCTGAACCATGAGCGCAGCAGGTTTCATAAAAACACACGATCCTGCACAATGTCGGACCCCTGAGATTACAACCATGATCAAAGTGTGTTCCTCTGCTACATTACAGAATACACACACACACACACATGTTCAGTGTATACAATATTTACATTGTTGCCATGCCAGCAGTGCAGAAACAGCGCCAAGGGAAGTTGAGGCGTTTTGGGATGAAGCCCATAAAAGCAGAGCAGAAACTCGGCGGCCGTCTTTCCCCCTGACTTCCTCTCTGCACAGAGCGTTATTCTCCTGTGTGAGTTATTCTGCTGTTACTGCAGTCGGCCTCATCCTGACAGCTCTACTTCAGTTTTAATTTAACGCTTTAACATGTCTTTATATCACTGCTGCTAAAACAACACGTGTGCACAGTCAGCAGTGGTTTTGTTATGGGTAAAGCTGCCTGTCCTTTCACTGTGAAAGTTAACTGCTCTGTGTTTTCTGTTATTGAAGTGTTTACCTTGACCTCTGCTGTCTTGGTTGCTTTGTTCCAGTCCCACACTGACAGCATGTGTTCATTAGAGTCATCGATCACACACAGAGACGCTCCGCCGTCCTGAAAACAACATCAACAAACAGAGATTCATTCAAATTCCAGATGAGCACAATACAAAACTGCAAATCCTGGAGTGTAAACATGAGTATTCCCATTAGGTCCTCTGTTTGAATATCCAATTTTACATCAAAATCAACCATGATTGTCTTATCACATCTATTTTAAGGCTAAGAGCTCTCCATAAAACCACATAAATTTATGGTAAAAGAGACATTGATGAAAAGAGAGGATTACTGTGTCTCTGCTTTCCTTCTTCAGAGAAATTTTAGTGTATAAAAGGCCAAATGTTTTGTTTAATCAATTACTGTTTAGTCGTAATGGCCATAATTTCAACACAAGGCATGCATCAAATGATTATTTAACACTCCTACTCACCAATACTAACTCTGGACAGCGTCCTGTCATGTTCAGAGGTAGGAAAATATGGAATAGTCTTCCATCTGTCATTACAAGGTTAACCATGTGTTTTAAAAGTAGGTCTACCAATATCTAATGATCCAGACTCAATGAAATAAGAGACAGAACACTTAGACTAGGCTGTGACAAAATACAATACATGCCAATGAGATTTTGATCACTAGTAGATTTATCTTGGCCTTTAATGGTGTCTATTGTAATTGAAAATGTAATATCATCATAATTCTTGTTTTAGTTATGATTTTAACTTCTTGTACAATTCTCCTGTTTGGACTTTTATCATTTTAGTCTATACAAATGTGTACTGTCTTCTTGCGGACCCCAGGAAGAGTAGCTGCTACTTAGGTAGTAGCTAATGGGGATCCAAATGAATACATACTTATAACAGATAGGGGGCACAGTAAGTTAGCTTGGGCGGAAGTATTGTAGGTGTTTGCCGTTAGGCCCTCAGGCAGAACTGCATTAAAAATATACATGACTCTGTAGTGGAAATCACCGCATGTGCTCAAAATAACTTCCATAAACCATTATCTGTGGCTTAAAAATATACCATACAAAGATAAATCATATAAATAGAACTGATCCAGATATATTAAGTCTATTTAAAGTGGACTGAGGGGAAGTGGAAAACTGTCCCACTGTCTGTCACATCTAAATCTGACGTTCCTTTTGAAAATCTTGGACTCTATATCCTCCTCTCTAGAGATTAGTTAGTCCATCCTGCTTGTTCTCAGCTCCCAGTCTAAATCCAGCATCCCTGAGGGAATGAGTATCATCAGAGTTGATATGTTCAGTGGATGGGACTCACCGCAAATGAAAAAGCGACCGATCCCACTCCTCTCTGGAAAGTCCCTCCACCGAGCTGCTGCAGAGTGTTGAGCGTGGTCGAGTCCCAGATATAAACACAAGGCTGTAAAGGCTAAAACACACAAACATACAGTCAGCTCTAAACTACATCAACCAGGACAAACTAAAGGAGACAAAATTAAAGATAAAACTCTGGCAAAAAACTTTTGTGAGTAACAAAAAGTATAAAAGACTTGATGTTTTTTTACACCTTGCCATCTTTATCCACGCCAGCTGTCTGTCCAGACGCCACCCTCACTTTGTCAGGATGGAGAGTCAGACTGCAGGAGGGACAAAGATTATTATTAACTTGATGACAAGTTAGGGTTTAAAAAAACAAAGTGAACAATAACCTGTTAGAATAAGAATTGAAAAAAAAAATACAAACAAACTAGTGATGTGCAATCAGCCTGCTTTATTTTAACACTCAAATAAACCTACTTTTGAACCCTCATTGACTCCTTTGTTTTTGTGGGTCATATAGAAGCACCAGCATTAATTTAGGCCTTTTCATATCCAGTTTGAGACTCCTTATAAGACCTTTAAAGAAATGAAACACGTGCTACTGCAATTTAAGACTGCACTGCTTTAAGACTTTTGAGACTGTGGAAACTGCAGTAAATTCCTCATTAAAGCCACATATTTTATAGGGATGGTGTATTTTTCTTTTTTAAATTCAATCTGGTTGCTTTTATTTTTCATGTATTAGAATGGACACTTATATATCCACGCTCCCGTCTCCTCAAGCCAAAACCACAGCGAGCTGTCAGACCCTGAAGTTATTTTCAGCTGCTGTCCATGCTCTGCGCTCTAATAGAAACCATTATTTTTAAAGACTGCTAATAAAACTCAGTCTGTTCAACCCTTCACCTTTATACTTCTGGGTACTGAGAGATTTTACATTAGATTTTACTTGGTAGAAGATAAATTCATAATTTTATCCATCAACTACATGTGTGTCCAAGTCCTGCTTGTCAGCAACCTTCCAAAATCAAGTCTCGTTGTTTCGCAGGTTGTTTCTTGTTGACAGTCTGGTATTGAATTTAGATTGATTTTCTTAATAAAACAGATATATTAAATTTCTGTGAGGTTCACCGGGGCCTGTGTAAACACTTTCTGTACTCAGTAGGACTACAGCAGGAGGGAAAGTCCCATAACTCTGATTCAGATGAAAAAATGAACGTTATATCACACCCATTCTTTCAGTCGATATATTTTGTACAGGTTTGTGGTAAGAGTGGCCTAAAGGCAGGCAAAGACATGTCTGCTTGCACACAATCAACCCGGTACCCGCCCTGAGCCGCCACATAAAGACCTGGTTAAGTTCATTTCCAGGTTAAACCAAAAATAACTTCATCAGCTCTTGGCATGTCTATTCCTGGCGTGTTGTTACGTCTTCAGACAGACTCAGACAACACGAGTAAGTAATCTTACCAATTTTTTAAACACCTCAGTCAAGCACAAAAGACCTGATTGAGGGAGCTGTCAACAAAAGGCAGTCGAACCCAGTGCAGCCACTGACTCTACAGAAAGATGGATGATGTAAAAAAGTGGTTTCCAATCTGTGAGAAATTGTTGGCAGAGGCGACTTGGCAGCAGGAGGTATAAAGTCTGAAAGTACACAAGATTTCTGCACAGCAAAGATGTATGTTTATTACTTTAGAGGTAAGAGAGCAAGAGTTTTAGGGATATATGAATCATGTCCACAGGACACTGTGTCCCCGAGTCCTGTCCAAAAAATCTAAAGAATTTCCATCGTACACTTTTTCTTTACAGCACATCCACTCATAAAGAAACATTTCAAAGAGTTTATGCGCTATTATGCTGGCGTATCTGTGTTTCTACCTCTCTCATCTGTTTTAGAACAAGACAGTTTTTTAATTTTCTTACAAAAAAGTTCAGATGATTTCAGATTCTTTATGTTTCAAAAACAGATGATAAAAATCTCTTTACTGACCAGCGGACACAGTCGGTGTGTTTGCGGTAGTGTCGTTGTGTTCGGTTGTTGATGTGGTAGAGAACGACAACACAGGCGATAAAGTACACCGCCTCTCCTGTCGGCAGGAAGTACAGGTTAGCTCTGCAGTCCCGCCCCCGATAACCATACCTGCATCACAGTGTCAAGGTGAATCACAAGACTACTCTCGTGTTTTAATATTGACTGATCTACGGGTAAATGTTTGAAAATAAATCAAGTTTTGGCGATAAAGTTGTGTATTAAACATCTGGTATCCACATATCCAAGTCTAACAGTTAATCTTTGGTTGATTCAGCTCTCTGCGGACCTTTAAAAAAGATCATTTCTATTACTGACAGTGTGGCTTCAGTCCAGGAAATAACCTCACAGTGAAATCAGCTCCGTCTGAATGTAACACAGCTCTCATAAATACGGACATGAAGCTAGAAAAGGATACACCCAGTCCAGCTCCAGTCTCTCTGAGGGTGGCTCCATCTTCAGGTCCTCATAGTTCTGGATGTTGGAGGGGATGTACATGGTGATTGGACGGCCTCGGATGAACATTTTTATCGACTGTCCTGTAACATAAACAGAGCAAATAAGAAAAATGTGTTTTAGTTAAATTCAGCTTTTTTCAGACAGAAAGACTTGATAGTTTAGATTATTTAGATTATTTCTGTTCTGAGAGCCCCCTGCAAGTCCATGTGCAAATTGGAATATAAAACCTGAGGCGGGGAGAGTAGCAGCAAAGACCCCTAAGGTAGAGCTCTCTCTTCTCCCATGAGCACTTGAAGAATGCCTAAGGCTAGCAGGGGGTAACACATTTACTTGCTCTTTCATACTCATACATAATATCCAAGGCAGGGAGAGCAGCAGCAAAGACCAAAAGGGTGAAGAACAGAGTCGGTGGAGTGGAAGTGGGTTGTTCAGCAATTTGTAGAGGAAGCAGGAAGAATATGCAGAATAAAGCAGTTCAACAAAACAGACATCTCAACATTTGAATACTGGATACTAGGGCTGGGCGATAAACCGAAAATTTACAGATACCAAAATTTACAACAATAACTGACATCATTTTGCCCATATCGATATATTTGGTGTCAAAAAATAAAGTAATAAAAGTTGGTTTTGGATGTGTGTAGGTAGGCTATGGTCTCATGTCTCTTTAACACACTGTTCTACATCAGAGGCGTGACTCCACCCCATCCACCCCATAACAAAGAGGGAAAGACAGATGAGGAGATGAAGGACGGTTCAAAAGTTGAAGCGGCTGAAGTAGATGAAGTTAATGTGGGAGGGGCTGAGCAGCTTGTGGAGTAGTTATTGTCCATTTATCATTATCAAGGTGAACTGCTCAATATATCATGATATTAATTTGAAGTCATATTACCCAGCCCTACTGGATACATAGAGGTCATTGGCTGAGCTGTCACCTGAGATAACTGGTACTCAGATCTGCAGGCTGAGCCTGAACTGAGGTCGTGTTTAATTTTTAACCACAGAGAGGGCAATTTTATTTGGGGCATGCAAATTCATCAGAGCTTTGACCATGCTGGAGGGCAGCAGGAAACTGTTTGTGTGTTTTGTGCAACAGTAAAAAAATGCATAAAAAGTGCAGTGTTACATAACAGCAGGTCTACCTTGGCCATAGGTTCCTCGTCTGGACCCAGGGGAACCTGTAAGGATAAAAGCACAAGGTTAGCAGACCAATAAACACCTCCTCCTTTAAACTCTGAGTCATAGGTGGCCCGACTCTGACCTGAGAAGTCTCAGAGGGCCTATAACGATTTCTACGACTCAGATCTATGAGCTTTGAGTTTCAAGCTGTGTTATATTTTCCTTTTCCATCTCTTTTTGGGACTTCCAGCCTGGCTCTGATGACTTGGCCATTGTGGTGTTCGTTTATGAGGCTGGAGGGTGAAGGCTGAGCCGGCTCGGTGTTCAACTATCTGTCTGTGGTGAGACTTTTAAATGCTGGTCACTAGTAAAACTCGATGGAGGATGGCCAGAGAAGAGACTTGACCTTTGACCAAGTAACAACAACAACAGTCATGGGACAGTGAGGAACAGGAAGACCATAAATCACAGCGCCTTCCTGTTTCTCTAAGACGCGAAAAGATAAGAAGGGTAGTCGGATTAAACACGAAGGACCCTTAGAGTAAGAAAAGAGTCTGCAGGAAGAAACAACTATCAAACCATCAAATGAATGAAAAGAAATAAACGAACATTCACCCTCCAGTTCTTTTGCTCATTCAGGATAGGATTACACGGCTACAGACGTCATTTTCCCCATCAGTTTTTTCCAGCTCCACCTGAGGCGTTTACAGGCCAGATGAGATACACAATCCTTGAGTGTTTTTTAGCTTACCAGTAAAATCTTCAAACCTCCCATTTGAACCACGGACAGACTGCTGGACCACCTGACAGCTCCTCAAGTGTGAGGCACAACAATTTTCCAATAAGCACCTAACTGTAACCATCTTTACTGTCTGACCCACACCTTTGCCCAATCCTCGCCTTTACTGTTGTGATGAAACCCAAGTCCAGAACTGTGGTCCTAAAACTGCAGCCTCCACCTCAGAGACCAAGGACCCTGTAGGGAACTGTGTTTTAACAGCAGGAACCCGGGTCCAAATTTAGTTTTGAGGTAACTGATCGCTCCATCCTGCTTAGAGGGAAGTCCAGGAGCTGAAGGGGGACAGGGTCTGAGACAATCTCATTCACAACAGGTCCTCAACTTACATCTAAGGTGGAGATGTTGTGGACATTATCTCACATACAAAAACTGTCTTCTAACTGTTCTAACAGTTTCTGGTGTTGGTTTTACTAGGAAACCACCTTGTTTATATCTAAGATGCTAAAGGGAGCTTGATTTACATACAGACAGGTAGATCGCACAGGAACAAAAAAAATCCCATAACCTGATGATATGAAACCAAATGGTTCCTGGAACTTTTGTTAAAAAAAGAATACAAATGGAACCTTTTTTTTTGGTGTGTGACCCAAAGTCTTCCCAGAACCTAACCAAACGGTCATATCCAAACATGAGTTCTGGAGAAAATGGCCCTAAATTGTGGTCCTGACACTGCAGCCTCTGACTGGACTCACAATAAATCAAACTTCATATTATCTTAAACACCCAAACAATGCGGTCTGATATTTCTCCTTGCATAAATGCTTGGCGTCAGACTGGCCCAGGAGTTCTGAGCATGCTCTATAGCGTTGGGCTCTAGCCTGAAAGTTTAGAAGCAGAAATGTGTGGTAGAGCTGTAAAGTTGATGTTTACATTTACTGACATACAAACAGTCAGCCCCTTGCAAACCTGTTTGTTGTCTGTTTTAGTGCCTGATGTATCAATTGACGGGGGACATGGCTCAGACACTTTTACAGCTCTGTGAGTCTTTGTTGAGCTTTGGTGTAAAAATGGTTCCCACAGGTTAGCTATCACTAGAAATCAGCAGGTTACAGGAAATATTTGCTGTTGTTTAATCTCCTCTACCTGTCTGCTCCTCTCTCTGCTCAGCTAGTGACTGTTTGTAAATTAAGCATCTATTTTTAAAGTAAACAAGACTGTTTCCCGATAAGAAGAAGCCCTCATATTTCAAATGTAAATGAAGGACCTCATCTTCAGGCCCTCCACTCTAAAGTTCCTGCACCTTTAGAGAGTCGTACCCCTCTCACAGAGACTCCAAGTGTGCAGATCAGCCCCCATAGAACTTAATTTAGACCCTGTTCCTGCTGTTGAGACATACCGAATTCCTCTAAAGGTTCCAGGTTTCTGCTATTCAAAAGCAGCCAAAGTGGTTTTGTTTGTACTCTGAACAGAAGTGAAAGTGGCTCTGTGCTGTATTCATGATTCCTACAAAAGTACTAGTTTCTCTAAAATGTGTCTGGATGGTGATGGCTCTGAGTAAACACTCTCATGATTGTAATAACTACAGATGAAGCTAAAAAAAGGCACTGTAATTTAACTTCTGCTCCAAGGACGAGCGTCCAAACTTAGCCTGGATTAAACACAGTCTCTAACTCTATGATTAAACTTGTTAGAATGAAAACAGGCAGATTATGAATCTGTTTTAAATGAGCTATTTTTATGCTGTTTGATGGACAGTGATTCCAATAAGTTCTAGTCTATGAGCCACTTTTAGACACACGTCCCATAAATGTCTCAGGAATCTTGAAGTTCAGGCTGATCCAAAGCTGAACTATTACTCCACCAAACACAAACTGTGAGGACAGACAGAGAGTTAAAATGACAGAGAACAGGAAAAATGTTTTTCTGGCCTCCTCCTCTGCACAGCGGATCATCCATCACCCCGTCAGGAGAGCTGGAGAGCAGCAACCGCTCGGCTAACCACAAAGCACGTGACCGAGACAGTGTACAAACTGTCCCTGCAGACTGAAAATGTCTCTGATTTAAACACAGAGGGGGAAATATCCTGCATATTCATGGTTCAGGTGTTCACATAGTCAGACTCAAAGCATCTAAAACGACCTCTGTGGAGCTCAGGCTTAAGTTAGACTGAATTATACATCTGTTAAAACAGAGTTACGCAAACAGTGATTTCCACTAACGCTGAAGCCCTCACTCTGTTTTAAATCATAAGAAACATCCTAACCATGTCACGAATGCACAAAAACACAACTGTGTGAGAGACAGATGTCCTTGCTTTCAGCTGCAAAGAGAATGAAAGCCCTGAATGTAAAAGTTTGTCCTCTGAGTTAAAGCTCCTGTGAGGAACAGTCAGGTCTTGCAAATTTGGCGCCCCCTGTGGACAAAGCAGCAGTTGCTTGCTTTTTTCTTTACATGCTGGATTGACAGAAATCTCACCCTGATGACTTCTGAAAGTCGTACCACTTTCAGGCTTTAAAGGGATATTTCAATACTTTTGAAATGAGGATGTATGAGTCAGTTTTCGCCACAACAGACATCGACCAGCTCTTCCCCTTTAAGAAGAAACTGCAGGGGGGAACCGGCGCAGAAGCTAGGTTACAGTGCTCTTCAAACCGGGTTGAATTTTCAGCCCTCGCCATTGCTGTCAGAAAGCCCATTTATTTTTGCACTATTTAAAAAACAAACAGGACTTCTAATGGCAAAGAGCTGAAAAGTTTTTTAGTAGAGTGTATGTTAGACTAAGGTCGCTTTCACACCAGAGCTGTTTGGTCCGCTTTAAACGGACCAGAGTTCGTTTCCTCGGATAGTCCTCTTCGTTTGGGCAGGTGTGAAAGCTCATCCGAACTCTGGTGCGGACCAAACAAGCAAACTCTGGTCCACCTGAAAACGTGGGTCTTGGTTCGCTTGCAAGTGAACCCTGGTTTCGGTTCGTATGCATTGTGAAAGCTCACTGGACCAAATACAGGACCAAATGTATGTAATGATGCTATACGCAGTGCATCTTGGGTAGAGGAAGCACGGCATCATTTGTTGCTATGGCAACACGTGACCGCTGACATTAGCAGTTGCTAGCTAGCTTAGCTCAATTGTCTGAACAACAATAACCCATAAATTCACAATTTGGCATATTTAAAAAAAATCAAATCACAACTACCAACAGTCACAGTCCTTAAACTCCGAGCTCTTATGTTGTCACATGTTAGATCGTCAAAGTAAGAAAAATAACAGGATCAATCCCTGACAAGCTACGAGAGCATTATAGGAAGCACAATACAAGACGGCTAGTCCACCCGTTTGTAATCCGTGAGGTTACATACCCCTCCTACTTTGTCCAATCGATGAGTGCCCCTTTCAACCACCTGATGCTGCTCCGAAAGTTCTGTGCGCTTTAGAAATCACAGTGTGAAAGCAGAACCGAAACAAGTGATAAATGCAACAATGTTGCGACTATCAGCTCCCCAATCGAACCGGGTCCGCTTGGTCAGGTGTGAAAGCGACCTAAGATAAGTATTTGGCAGACTCGCCCCGTTTGCAGAAAACTGTAGCCTAGCTTGCATGCTGGCTCTCTCTGCAGTTTCTTATTAAAGGAGCCGGGCTGACCGACATCCACTGTAGCCAAAACACGTACTAATGACTGTAACTCATACACCCTTCACTTAAAAAATACTAAAATATCCCTTTAAAAATGTCAAAATAAAAATCTTCAGTCTTGTCACTGATGGTCTTGTTTGCTTACCATAAAAATGCACCAATTTAAATTTCAGTCTTGTTCATTAGCTTCAAAAAATTCCACACAGGAGCTGTAGCTGCAAATGTTTATGCACAAACACAGAGTCTGACTTTATGTTTACTCTGCAGACATGATGGTGGTATCCGGCTCTCTGCAGGGCAAACCAACACAAACCAAGAAAGAAACATAACAAATCACCAATGCAACGATCAGACAGTCTTATATTCCAGATGCAAAAACAAAAATGCTTTTGCAAGAATCACTTTCATTTCAGGTTGAAATGATCCCATAGAAAAAAAGCTCAAGTTTCTGTGCAGCTGTCCTGTAGAGGTCTGTCTTATGCAGAGCCAAAGTTTTGCACCAGTTTCTACTCTTCAAATCCTCCGCTTGACTTTCATAAACGGCGTGTCCTGAACTAAATTGCAGCGTTCTGCAGGAATGAAGCCTAAAATCAGAGCTAACCCAAACCAGAGCGAAGGCCAGCTCTCATAAAAGCTACTCTAACCACACTGTGGTTTGTTGGGAAATGCTCTTGTTTTTACACAGATGACTCCATGTGTGAACCAGTGAGAGCGCCTGAGCATGGGGATAGAGTCAGATTTTTCTTCCAGTAAAGCAAGGGTGGAAGAAAACGTGGGAAAACACACGACCAGTGATCATGATTCGCAGAAATATGTCATGGCACCGTTTTTCTTCTTCTGCAGAAACTAGGAGAGCAAATCCCGCCCTCTTCTGCACTGCACTCCAAATAAAAGGTCACCTGTCAATCAGAGGGTCCTGTTTTTAAGATTACTGTTCAGCCTGTTTTTAAGTTACTCTGTCTGCGGGAAAACACACAAAGAATCCAATCTGCACAGATCAGATGAACCCGCTCTGTTTAGGATGTGACATTTACACAGAGAGGCGGTAAACCTACTCTTTGTTTGCACAACTTGCCCTGATATTATCTCAGGTTTTGATCTTCAGGTGTGTCTTTGTCCTCTTTTTACAGGATGTTTCTGGTTACTGAATAACAGGACAGGATAAAGCCTTTTGAAATTAAGCCTTTGATGCTTACCTCTGCAGTAAAGAGGGATGATAAGCTACATGTAAACCCCATAAATCTAATTTCTGTTGGAGTGACAGCATAACTCAGATGCAGGATTAGCAGAGAGAAATATGAGCACTGCAAGGCTGCGATTTTTATCTCTGGGTATTATCTGGTTAATTCAGTTTATCTTTCCCTTAAAGCTCATGTGAGGAGTTTTTTTCTGGTTTTGGAACAGACTGAAATCAACCTGATGCTTGCTAGCTAGGGTAGCTGCTGAATGACAACACTGGGGACAAAACTCTTTTTATTCACTTTCCACTGCAAATATTTAAGATGAGTGATGAAATCTGATGTTTAAAAGAAGCAATAAGGTGAATTCAATTTACACAAACAGCAAAGTAATGAGAGGCATCACTTTGTCCACAGGGGACGCCAGAATCAACACAAAGAGAGAGGTCCTCATAGGAGCTTTCAAGTTACAGCAGACTGGGCTCAGTGTGTGCAGGCAGAGGGCTGCACCTCTAGCTCCCGGTCAGTAACAAAAGGAGTTCCCCACAGCTCGGTGTTGGGACCACTGATTTTTCTTCCTTACATCTGCGATGTCAAATTAAAATGTGTTCAGTGCAAAGTTTTATTTCTATGCAGATGAGACTGTGATGTACTGAGCTGCACCAGCACCAGACCAAGTTATTTCTCAGATTTAAGTTGCATTGACACTTGTTCAACAAAGAAGTTTTTACAGTTTCAAACTGTTTTCAAACACAAAATCCAAGTCCCCAAACCTGCTCTCAATCTTAAAGGGATATTCCGGCATAAAATTAAGTTAGGATCAAGCAAACCATAACACCGATTGAGGTTTGTGCGTTGAGTGGTAGACCGCTGTATATTGTTATCGTGTAGTCGTTACTAAAGTTGGTATAACTAGAGAAGCAAGCAGTTTGCAACACTCATCTCTTGACGGGGTGTTTGACCCTAACTTAACTCTATGCCGGAATATCCCTTTAACTTCACAGTTCATACCCCAGTTTTGACACCTCAGTATTTTTCAGCAAGAGGATTAAAACTGAACCTTTATTTCAGATTTGAATCCTGCTCCAAAAAGAGACCAGTCTCTGCCAGTTTACCGTCAATGCTGGATTATTTTTATTAATATTAATAATTGATTATTAATACTGCACAGGTGCAGGTAGGCGCTGGCTCTCACTGCTCATCTGTCTCCATGTTGGATGCCCAGTGGTTGTCTGTGACATATCAGTAAGGCATAAATCTTGGGTTTTAGGGCTTTTAACTGTCCTGTAGTATCCATTAAGTAGCTAATAGACTGTATGTGGATGACTGAATCCTTTGCCTTTTGGAAAACCTCACACAACTGTCAGTATTGAGTGATAACTCACCTGCACTGGCGATCAGCTCTTTGGCTCGACTGTGGAGAAAAAAACAGTGGAGTGAGACAGAAATACATCATTTTAAACCGTCTGTGTCACTCTGCAGGGTCTTAAAACTGTGAGAGGAATTTCATTGTTGTTCATCTGGGCTTCAGAGTCCCAGTCTGTGTCTCTTATATCAGATCCAAGCGGCTGTGTGTGTTTATGTGTGTGACAGCCGTGATTTGCAGCCATGTGACTCACTTCTCAAGGCTGGGCGAGCGGGTGAGGAGGTTAGCCGAGGACGCCGCCTTCTTGTCCAGACGTTTCCTCTGTTTCTCCGGGTTTCCCATCTTCTCGCTGTTCCTGCGAACTCTAAAACAACCCGAGGACAGGAGTCAGACTCCAGGAGTGAACGGCATAAACAGACTGTAAATCAGGCGCAGAAGGATGCAGTTAGTCGTCTACTAATGCATGCAAACACCTAACAGCAGCCAGAGTGAGTGCATGCAGCTACACCCAGAAACAAGCATCAACGAGAAGTCTGACTCAGTGCAGCACAGGTTCATTTTCTAAAAGTTTTGGACATCATCACTCTCTACTTTGGTCTGAATTTTACTCACCAACCACGCCTGTCTTTACCTTGGCCTTGACTTTTCATTCAACAACTCAAAAATACAGTTAACAAAAGTTATGATGGCAACCATGCTGCCTTTTTCTGCCAGGTTTGGCAAATCTCTGCTGATCTTTCGCTTCATTGATTTCAAGTTGAATTCAGAGACGTTGCTTTTGAATAATTTGTTATTTTATGGGTAAGGAGTGAACTCCATCAAAAAATACACCCAAACATCTAACCACAAATTAGTATCTTCTTCGAATAACATTTGTGGTAAACTGAGAACTTTGAAATTCCAGAACACATCAGAGTTTTCTTATTTTCACAGTAACTTCTCAACTTTAATCTTTGGCAGCCTGAGCTTGTTTCTCCCAGCTCTATGAAATGTCTAATATATGAGGTCTTTCTCTTGCTCAGTACAGCATTAAAAACAGACAGGACTCTACAGCATGGGCTCAAAATCACTTCAAAAACCATTGTCTGTGGGCTCTTTTATGACAATGTTTTGATTTATTTAAAAAGAAACAGACTCCCGCCTCCCAAAATTAATGACATATTAAAAAACTATGGGTACCTCTCAGTCTACAAACAAATTGTCCAGAAAATACAAGTGTTATCGTTTAATTATTCCCCCTCATCTAAAAAAAAAATCAGGATAGATATAACTTTCAGTTGAGCAATAAAATGCTTTGTTATTGAGGGATAAATGTTACAAAAAAAACTGTTGGAAAGTAACTGCGTACCTCTTAATCAAGAAGTATTTCAGGACAGGGGAAAATGGTCGGTATTAATGTTGGATTTTAGTTCAAGGGTTGAAACTATAAAAATGAATGTTCTACCAACAGTTTTCTATTTATTCCAGTTGGTGCCAATTCCACCTCTGCAATTTCAAGAGTGGAATAAAAAAATTAAAGACTCATCTGGAAAGGGCACAGACCAAGTATCAGATGTATGCTGCTTCAATTACCGAAGGACAGGGGGGACTTACAAAATCTTGAAGAATATTTCTATGCTGCACAGTTGCGGCACTTGATTTGTTGGAGTGGTACAAACTAATTCACAAGATGTTGAAGGATGTTGTATGCAGGCAAACAGAAAAATGTTTAAAGAAAAAGAGGAAATGCTGGACCCAGTTACTAGGTTTAATTTGGAAATCCGGTTCCAGGGAGTTAAGAAATATAACTTGGAGAAGGAAACAAAGATTTTCAGAGGGATAGCATACAATAAAAACTTTAAACCAGGGGTTTTAACCATAGACTGTATAAACTATGGACAACTTGGTTCCGCCTCCCACCTGTAAATGGATTTAAAGCCAAAAAGCTCTCGGTATCTCCAGGATTTTTCTTCATTTCCTGAAACCTGTGCCGCACAGTAGCGTTGTGCGCATACTGCGGGGGAGTCGCCGAGAGTCACTGTGATGACGCTTGGTTCAAACAGCGTATCCCCTCGGGTGAGCTACGCAATCCCTGAATGCCAATAGGCTGTATCAGGTGTCAATCATAGAAAACATAAACCCCCTAATAACTTTTAAAAACGGAGGTTCACAGAACAGAGAGGACTTGAGCACAAACCAGTCTTATTGTAACTACATGTCAACATCACAAGCAGGGGGAAAAAAATGTATATTCTGTGTAACAAATTTCTAAAGTTTGTCCACAGCCCCATAAGCTTTGCTGGCGGAGGCGGGATTTATGACCTATACTGCCAAAGTCTGGTGAGAAGCAGAACAACATCAACTCTTTATATAAGGGACAAATGGTAAAGAAAAATATCAAAAGAAGAATGGTACAATATGTGCAGGACACAGATGAGGACTTCTAGCTCAAGATACTGGAGGGAATTCTACTGGAGGAATTTTTGTCAGATTTTTTTATCAGCCCTTGTTTGAAGAAAGGATTTATTGAGGGAACCCATGTTTTCTGGAGCTGTATAAAGAAATAAGTAAGTATTGGGAGGAAGTAGGAAAAAGAATGAAAGCCATATTAGGATATGAGCTTCCCATGACCTTTGAGGTAATATACCTCAAAAGGAAAACACAAGCTATGAGGAAACAGACATTTTTCATAAAAACTTTTCTGTTTTTTTACTTTTAAAATTTGAATGTTGTCTTTGCACCTAGCTGTTTCATGGTGACCCACCACTCTACAACAGGAAGTGTTACAAGACTAAAAAATCCTTTGGCGTTTCTCCACGTCACAGGCAGTAAATCAGGGAAGTGAAACCTATCTGGTAATTCATCCCCCCCTCTCCTTCTCCTTTATCGCTGCACTAATCTTTAAATACAGTGTTGAATTTAGAGCACGCAGGAAATAGCTCTCCCAGTACCTCCAGTTTCCATGGAGGGGCATGTCAGAGCTGAGCAGCTTCTGTTACCCATCACCAACAACAACAAAAAAAAACCTTTACAAGCCACTACAAGGAAGTGAAACAAAGAAGAGTTGCATGCACGAGCTCACACACGAGTAAACAAAAGCAGCAGAGCTCCGATTCTTTGATTTCAGAGTACAGAACAAATCACAGCATGCAGCAGATCCTTCGTTTGTTTGAAGAGGAGAATGATTAGTGCAGAAGTTCATCGGAAAAACTGTCGATTGAACAAAGTTAGTGTGTTTCTGCAAACCCCAACTGAATCTGCACATCTGCATCGTCTTATACAGACCAAAACTTCGGTGTGGAGGTTCATTTGATGGAAATGAACTCTGATGTGTGCAGTTTGGACATTTTAAACTCTTTATTTTTGACCTTTCTCGCTCAGCTGAAGTGTAAACACACTGTAACACTAACCCTGCTTGTAGCTGTTTTTCTGTTAAATTGCCCTCTCGTCACTTTTTCCACTGGGCTCAAACCTGTGTGGAGTTAATCTTGGATCTGTCACTCAGTGTGCACGAGCGCCTCTATTGTGCTCAACAAAAAAGGCTTTATGTTTCCTCACCCAGTGCTTAAACACAGGGGGAGGAAAATACACAGAGAGAAGAGCAAACACGACGACAGATCATGTCATCAAACCTCTCCAGGTGAATTTTCTAATCTGTTCCTGCTAATGTGATGAAATAGATCCAGGGAGTCTTTTTGGAAACAAACTCAAACCACAAACCCGAGGCTCCGAAAAAAAAACGAGACTGTCAAATCTTTATCTTGATCTTTTTGGGCTTGAATCACGAAAACAGACGGTGTTTAATTCTTGAAGCTCATCATGTGTTAAAAACATCTAAAACTGTGCTGCAGGGCAAATGGCATCTCTTTGCACTAGTGTGGTTTGCACATATTTAAAGGGTCCATTATGCCTTAAACTGGACTAAAACTGGGGTCTTGAAATGCACATAAACCTCACTGCAACCTCTGTTTTTATGTCAGCTGAGAGGTGGTGGGAAATGTGCAAGTTCCAAAGTTCCAGTGTGAATATCATACTCTTACTATCACTTTGATTTTATTGTTATTGGTATAATCAGAAGTTAAACCCATCAGGTGGTGGCCGTCTGTAGACAAACCTCCCTAATTTGGGCCCATCTGGAGCCATTGTACACAATGTGTTTTTATCTAAACAAACTGCTCTTGCTTTCTAGCTCCAGAGAAGATATTTTATACTGAATTTTATACTAAATATACAAATTTTATACTGAATTTCATCCTAAATATACTAATTTTATACTAAATTTTATCCTAAATATACTAATTTTATACTAAATTTGATCTTAAATACAACTGTCGGCCCAAAAAATACTAATTTTAAACTAAATTTCATACTAAATTTTATCCTAAAAATACTAATTTTGTTCTAAATTTCATGCCAAATATACTAATTTCATACTAAATTTTAACCATAAATATACTAATTTTATACTAAATTCTTTACTAAATATATTAATTTCATACAAAATTTTATACTAAATATACTAATTTCAAACTAAATTGTGAAATTTGTGTCACATGTGTCATGATAAACTTTCACTAATAACTGGAGAGAAACTATCTGTATGCGCAGCAGATTTCAAATCTGTGAGGAAAAGTGTGCTCAGCTCAGCTCTGTGCAACAGAGAGTTGGGATGCTGACAGCTCATCTCCACAATCAGGCGCAACACTAGAGCAAACTGCACAGAACTGCACAACCTAATGTGTTTGTGCTTTAAAATCATTTTAGTGATACAGTTTGTGCAGAAGAGCAGATGGTGGAATGATGCACAGGTCATAGTGCTACTAAAAACTATTAAAATTAATTATTTAAACTTGTTGCTGCTGTGTACTCTTTATTTGTGTTGCCTGGTGCAATCACTTAATGTTCCTGTTCTTCTTTATCTATAAACTGCGAACCATCGAAGAGCCCATGACAAATTTCCCTACGAAGACAATTAAAGCATATAAAATAAAAGGACATAAAATGAACTTGTTAATTTAACAGAAAGTATTCACATTGTCATTATGAGACACTGTCATCATCTCAAAACTGAATCAAATCTGTTCAATATTGACTAGTCAACACTTCAACAAAGTTTCGGATCATTTAAAATACTGGGAAGTTTTTACGACTCACTGGATGTTTTAAGGGAAGTTTCTCTTTTTTTAACGCTATTTGTGCAATAGATGGAGTGAGACAAAGCGACGCCCTCTACGGGATCTTTTTTCATCACATTAGTGGATGTTTTCTCGCTCACTGTCAGAGATGAGGATGAGCAGCACTGTGGGGTTTGCAGTCACACAGGTGTTAATGAATCTGATTGGTCGCTATCAGTCATGAAATCACTAAGAGACAGAGAGAGGTGGATAATCAGGACGGCGGCAGTGAGACCACGCACAGCGGCTTCTTCTCTCCCTCCTGGATGGGGGACAGCGGTCCAGTTCTGGGGCTCAGGTTCTGGTCTGGGGTTCTGACTGAGGGGGAGGAGGAACCTGGGTCCTCAGGGGAGCAGCTCCCGTCCTGAAACTCTTCCCTTTGCAGACCCCGTAACGTTGTTGGCTGGATCGGCTCCTCCACAGACGACGTCCAGCCTAGCTCGCCTCCCCCTTCTTCATCCTCCTCTTGCTCCTCATACTCCTCTAGACCTGGAACCCGGTGCAGCTTGGCTCGTATCCCTTCCACTGCACACTCCTTAGGGGGGAGGGCATCTTCCAGGTTTAGGCTCTGAACCCGCCTGGACAGATGGACCCTGTCCTGCCCTGAGGGGGCGGGGTCTGTCTGTGTACACCTGTCCTGAGTGGCAGGTCCAGGTCTTTGTTTCAGGGACTCAGAGCTCCCTATGTGTCCGTTAGTGGTGCTCAGAGACTCGGACAGTTGGCTAGAGAAAGGTCAAAGGTCAGCACAGAGGTCACATGATTCAAACAGGTTTCTGAGCAGAAATAAACTCCACATCCAGAGAATGAACCCCCCCGCCCCAGTATTAGTCTGTTACCTGTTAGCAGAGAGTCTGATCCCGTCACCTGTGCAGCTGGACGACAGTTTCCTGCTGTTACAACCATCAGAGCAGCACACCTGGTTCAGGACTCGAGCCGCTGCCGGGTTCACTGCAGAGGATCAGAGACCAGAGTGACGTCTGTTACTCTCCATGAGTGAAACACGAAAGTGACGCTGGTCTTACACCTCTGTTAAGTTGTGTCCTCACCTGCAATGAGCTGCTGCGTCAGTAACGGCAGCAGCTGGTCGTGGAGGCGGATCCTTCTCAGAGCGTCAGCCAATGAGGACTTGAGCAGCGTGATCTCGTCCTCTTGAGCCTGTAGCCGAACCTCCATCATGGACGCTCGGTCAGGGAACTCTGCACTGCTGTCGGCCGACACATCATCTACACACAGAGAAGAGAGAGAGAGGTGGGTTTATAAAGAAGATCTAGAAGCTTCTGGACTGGATCTCTGGCGTGTCCAGTGACCAATTAAAAAAAACACCTGAAGCTCAGACTTTTTCTTCTGCGCGTTTCACGACTTTTAGTCCAATCAGCAGTTTGAGCAGTGACCGTGTGGCGTCCATTTGCAGAGAGGATCACGGGTGTTCACAGCAGAGTCCAAACCTCTCAAAGACTCTATTGTGAGACACAGTTCACGTAGGACAGAGCTGGTTCTGGTCCAGACTGTGTGTGTGTGTGTGTGTGTGTGTGTGTGTGTGTGTGTGTGTGTTTTTAGAAGTGTCTGAGGGTGAAATGAATCTGTGCACAGAGAGCTTCAGGAGGAGCAGAGTTTCATAATTCCTCCGCTCTCTCCGACACCGTTGGTGTTATTTTCTCTCTTCAGGCCAGCAGAGCTGAGCGTTATTGACTGTGAATCTTTGCTGCCCGGTAATACGAGGGTAAGAGGTCCTCAGCTCACTGCACAAGCTCTTTAAAGACTCCATGCTCAGTTTCTGCAGGTCAACAGTCAAAACTCACTACAGCTAAACCAGCTTTGAGAGTAAAACTGAAAATACTCAACAGAAATGTTCCTGTTAATGCAAAAGTACAGAGAGGGTCCTGACCTGGCGCTCAAACATAAATACTCAGATCAAAATTCATTTCTAAGGATTTAGAAAATGTCTCTGTGTCTGCCTTTGAACTTACTGTGAAATTATCAACTGATATGATTTTAATCTTGTTTGTAGACCTTGTGCTGATTTATACTAAGATCTTTTCATGTCTAGCGTTTTATGATGTTATGAAGAAAAGTTTAAGTACAAAGTTTAAAGTATAAAATGCCAGCAAAGTGCTGTATTCCAATCACAGCATCTTTTTATCGTATAATAAAGTAGCTTTATGATAAAGAAACATCCTGACCATCAAACTATCATTTTGAGATTGAACTTAATAACAAAAGTTTCCTTTTTCTATGTTTCTGTCATTTTTCAATTGGTCATAAAAACCATAGTGTGAAAAAATCACTTCCTCTTTCCTTGTTTCACAGCGTGAATATCAGAGAAAATAAATCCTGACTTTCAAGCCTCGCTTACCACCGCTATCTGGTGCAAGCAATAACATTTTAGGTTTACTCTTCAAGCTGTTTATCCCACATGATTTTTTATAGATTTGCATAAAATAAAACATTGAAAACATAAAAATATTAGTAGTATTTACAACCGTTATCCTGTCTGATCAGGATCTGCAAAAGGATCCTGACAGGATAAAAACTACAAAATAAGTTTGTATAAATAAGCAATCAAAACGCAGACCGATCCCTCTCAATCCCTGCATCCATAAATGAAAACAGAAAGTAAAACCTGCATTTCACTCCTGCAGCTCCAGTCTCTGCAGCTTCAGTCTCTGCAGTTCTCTCACTGGGAGCGTCTCTGCCAGCTGAGTGATGTAAAAGCTGCAGCCCGAGGCCTGCTGGAGGTTTTGGCAGATCCGGACTATGATTCACTCGCTGTGGCTTTTAAAGACATTTTCCTCTGTGTAACAGTTTCACTGGAACAACATTTCATCATCAGCGCTGTTGCAAAACGCCTGGATAGGATCCAGAAAGCACGAGGAGGAAACTGTTCCTCCAACACTCAGGTCTGCTCACTTATTACACAATAAGAAACCTGTTTTCTCCGCCCTCTCAGGTCAAATACCGGCTGATCTCTGAATTTTTAGGTTTTCTTTTTAACTTCCCTTATTTATCTTGTCTCTAACTTAAAGGTTAGGGTGGTAAAAAAAAAACACATTTCTCAACCTGTTAACTCCTTCCACATTGAAGTGTAGGAGTAACATGTGTGGACGACTCCCAGATTATTACACTATTCATCACATGTCTGACCTACACTGAAACAGTGGCAGACCATGAATCTGTCCCAGTTCAGCTCCTTAGCTCTATTCACTCAGGCACCTAGCTCCTGAAAGCTCCCCAAAATTTCCAGGGTGAGCTGCACATGTGAGCGAGCTGAAATCTTCATGATGACTTCACCTGGACTTATTCCTGCAGGTCTGCATTAACATTTCATCAGGAAATATTCAAGGAAAAAATCACTGCTGCAAACCCAGGAGAGCCACACGTGACAGGATGAATGAAATAATGTGAGGCTGAAGAAGGAGAATCATTTATCAGATGAGAGAAGTGAAGATGTCTGCACACCTGTCTTTTTATGTGTAGCACTGGTATAAAAAACTTCACGCTAAAGCCCCCTCAGACGTGCATGAAGCTCCTGAAAATTTCCAGCAATTACCCTGGAAGTGAACTGCGTGTGAGAACACAATCCATTAATCAGGTTTTCCACCCTGACCTCACCTGGAATACTCCCTCCCAGCCTCCTCATGTCATGTCAGGGTAAAGCTCAGGTGATTCCCCACCTGCCTGCAGCAGTGGGAGGATGTTGGAGCTGAGCAGTTAATCAGATTTTATCTCATAGAAATATTAAAGTAACCATGATGATCATTTTTGCTGATCCAGCAGCCCTAACGTTGGTGTTATCATACAGTCTGTGTTCTGTCTAGTTAAACTACTTGGTTAAAAAATGCTGGTCAACTCGTCCCTTTTAATGAGAATCTGCTGAGAGAACCAGCTTTCAAGTTCATAGCTGTCCAGTATCCCATTTTGGCCGTGTGTGATGTGTGTGTGTCACCTATCTCGTATGTAAATTAATGTGTACCATCTCCTGGACAAGCTTGTTCTCATACTATTTTTTCCTTGCTTTTTGCTCCGGTACGTTTTTTGTGTCAGGGTATTCCTTGGTGTGTGGGGAGGTACTTGTGTAGCGTTAAACTATCATGGAATTCATCTGGTCTGTGTGTGAAAATATAAAATAACAAAATAACTCAGTCCGTGAAGGGGAACATTACGCTGTGTACGCTTGCTTTCAGCCTGCCCAAAATTTATTAAAAGAAGAAGAGGAAGAAGATAAACTGACATGGAGTTTTCCAAAGATGAGTTTGTGACCAGCTGTTCTTGGGAGAAATTAACAAATGTTCAAAAACTGATTTCTGTATTGGTGCTACGTTTTATGATGTCCTTGTTGCCTACAACATGAAGAAACGCTTCTTCGTGTTGTGTACATAGACCATATATGGACAACTTGGTTCTGCCTTGGATCCTGGGTAGATGAATCCCTGAAGGACATCAAAGTCAGAAAGGGGTTGGCCTGGAAAGTCCTCAATGATATGGACAGGATATGGAAGTCCAACATGAATCCAGGTCTGAAGAAGCGTTTCTTCGTCGCCACGGTCGAGTCAATCCTCATATACGGGTGCGAGAGTTGGGCATTGAATAATGCAATTGAGAAGTCCCTCAATGGTACCTACACACGCATGCTACGCAGGGTCCTAAATGTACACTGGAGCTCACACACAACCAATGAAGTGCTTTACGGCGAACTGCCCGCAGTCGCTGACAAGATAGCAGCCAAGAGACTCCAGCTTGCAGGACACTGTCACCGCCACCCTGAGCTGAGCACCCAGAAAGTCTTGCTATGGGAGCCAAAGCACGGCCACAGAGATAGAGGGCGGCCACGAACATCGTATGTGGATACCCTAAAGAAGGATACTGGAGCGAAGAGTGCCAGCGAGCTAGCTTCACTGATGAAGGATTGTGATGTTTGGCGCAACCATGTTCACTCTCGCCGCGTTGCGACCTAAGTCAAGTAAGGTTCTGCCTTCCGCCAGTATACGGATTTGAAGCCGAGAAACTCCCTGTATTTTCGTGATTTTTCTCCATTTCCTGAAACCAACATTGTGCAGTAGCGTTGTACGCATTCAGTGGGAGAGTCGCCGAGAGTCGCTGTGATGATGCTCGGCTCAAACAGCGTATCCCCCAGGTGAGCTACACAATCTTTGTACACCCATAGGCTGTATCAAGTGTCAATCATAGAAAATATAAACCCCCTAATAACTTTTAAAAACTGAGCTGCACGGAAAAAAAGAGGACTTGAGCACAAACCAGTCTTACAGTAACTACATGTCGACATCACAACTAAGGGAGAGAAAATGTATGTTCTGTGTAATAAATTTCTAAAGTTTGTTCACAGCTCCATAGAGATTGCTGGAGGAGGTGGGATTTATGACCTATACTGCAGCCCGTCACCAGAGGGTGCTGTTCTTGAAGTGGGTTCACCTAGCGAGGGAGGCAGACCCTGTCTATTCTATATACAGTCTATGGTTGTGTGTGTCGCCTAGCTTGTATGTAAATTAGCTGTGCACTCTCCTGCCCCCGAGGGCACATTCTTGTAGTACTTTTTCCTTACTCTTAGCTCGGTTAAGTTTCTTTGTGTCGTGGTATTTGGCTGGCAGTTTTTTTCTTAGTGAGGGGAGGTACTTGTGTAGCCGCTAGGCTGCAGTTCTCTGCAGACAGGGGTGGCAGAATCTACCAGATTCAGCTCATTTTGTTTAAGTGCTGAAAATTTTCTATGTGAGTGTACACTTACACTGAGGCGAGCATTCTGGTTCTCCCAGCAGTTTCTCACTGGGCTAGCTGTTTGTTTGCATTGGTTATGAGCGACACAAAGAGGAGATAGGTCAACACACAACCAAAAGATCTGAGTGGAAGACTCTCTTCAGTCAGATTCTGTAAATGCACATACAAAGTCAGTCACACTAAATATCTGCTGTGTGGTTTCAGCTTTATCAGATTGTCTGATGCCTCTGCAGATTTCCCTTTTGTACATTTTTAATTCCTGTCTTATCTATCAAAGTAAAAGTCTGCATAGAAACCTCAGGCCAGTGGCCAAAGTACAGGAAAAAGGAAGTGATTGTTCAAACAGCTCATTGGGAATTTCCAGTGAGACCTCATATGCACATACACGCACCATCTGAAAATGTCCACGTGTTCGATTACTGCCTGAGACTCTTTTTCAAATCCTTTTTTCCTGCTTTCTCTGCAGGGTGTTTAATCGTCAATGCAATGCTGGAAAACCAAATCTTTCTGCAAAAGCCTCCATCGTTCAGTCATGCTTTCCCTTTCAACACCTAATTAGATCTGTAGGTGTTTCTGCAGAACCAACACCCTACCAGTAAAACCACTGGGAATGACCAAAGTCTCGTAAGACAGAGAGGAGGCTCACTGGTCTGCTTTTCTCTCACTTTTATTACAGTTTGCTGAAAGACTTAAATGGAATTTCTGCACAATGGCATAAAAAAATAACAGCAGCGATATGAATAATGACAGCTGTTTCAACCGTGGAGAGCGAGCATTGTTGTTTTAACTCATAAAAATCATGGCTGGTATTCAAGCTGAAAGATTTGTGAAACAGAATCATCCTGCAGACTTCAATGTGAGGAATTCAAAACCACTGAACGACCTGGAGTTTGTGAGAGTTTAAATTCAGAGTGTGAGGCGGGCTTAAACGAACAAATATGATAAAAATCTCATCCCAGGAAGGGGGATTTTAGTCACATGACTCTGACACCATCCTGTCACCCTGTATTCTCAGTGTCCAGACTTAATCTGCATAAACATCGATCTAAAATCCCCGCTATGCAGGAAGTCTGTCTGTCACATGACCATGGAGCGCGAACCTGCTCCAGAGTCACAAACCTGCAGCTGCCAGTTACCTAGAATACTGTCTTTAGAGAAGAGCATGACCATATACATAAACATGACCATAAGGCAGTAACATTGCACTACTGCCTTATGGTCATGTTTATAGACTGATTTATTATTTAGTGTAGGTATTGCCACAGTATTTGTGAAATGTGTACTGTGTTTTATTGGTGCTGCCTCTGGTTTTTTTTATTTCCCTCTGGGTTTATAAGTATCTATCTATCTATCTATCTATCTATCTATCTATCTATCTATCTATCTATCTATCTATCCATCCATCCATCCATCCATCCATCTATCTATCTGGAGCAGATTTCTCAGACCACGTTGTCCTGTTGGTGTCGCTTCTATCAGTGAAGTTTATGCAGCAGCTTGTTGCTCCACTTGAACTCTCTCCTCTTCCTCAGTTTGGACTTCTCCCTTCTGCCTGTATGAGAGGGTTTGATTTAAAAGCTAGAAATAGTCTGAAAGATCCAAATTTAAAAGTATTTTCATTTTATTGATATTTTAATAGCTTCTAAAGACGTCAAATACTCTACATACATTTGGAATAAATTCATGTGTTTTATCAGATCATTATATATATTGCAGACATGTAAAATTTGCAGTTTTTTGTCCTTTTTGTGCAGCCTTGATATTGTAACCTCTTTGTTGGAATAGAAAAAAATTGGACTCCTGTTCAAAACGAAACTGCAAACAGTTCAGGCTCAGAAAAAGGCACAGAGGAGACATTTAACAAACCGATGTCTTATTTTCTGTTTCCCCTCACTCTCTTTATGAATCTCAGTAGCTTGAGGCTGAAAAAAAGACTTTTGCTCCGTCCTTCATGTAAAATAACACAGAATGTGTTAATCAGAGCTTGAGGTGGATTAAAGTACACTGACGATCTTGTAAAACAACAGTGTTAGCTCGACTGTAAGTCCTCTGATGGTAAGGAGACTCAAACGTACCTGATGAACTCAGATCTTGTTGAGTCTTGGCTCTTAAACCTGCTCCTTCCGGTCTGTGAGATTTTTAACACCGAGTCTGCAGCTTTAACAGCCGTCCTGACTCCTCCACACAGAAAACTACCTCCTGATAAACAATTAAAACATTCCAGCGCTGCTTTTGTGAGGCTGAAACATGGACGTAAAAGGCTGAGGAAAGCAGAAACACATGCGGAGAGAGAGGGACTCCATCAGTCAGAGAGGAGCATCAGAGAGAGACGTCCTGAGCAAATAAACAAGTTTCCTTTTACAGCTCCAACTAAGTGACAGTGATGGATGGACACATTACTGTCTGAGAACTACAGCATGGGTTTGGCTCATGTGGGGCTGTAACCTCAGAGAATTCAGCACAGCTGCTGTTGTGGAAAATGCACGTTGGTTTTGGTGTTTTTATTGAATGTTTCATCACTGAAGTAGAGCCGCCACTTAAAGGTTGATGATCTGAACCCTCAGTCAACAGTTAAGAGTCAAAACAGAGTTTTGAGTGGAGCAGGAAAAAAGATCCTGGAAGGAGGTAGACTTTACTAAAGAGTCTCAAAACGGCCCTCCAGTGAGTTTGCCATGAGGCGAACTTTGTAGAGGTTTCTTTTCCAGAACAAAAAAAAAAACACAAAAAAAAAAAAAAAACGTAACTAGGGATGATCCATGGAGGAGCAAATACAACCCTGGCTCCACAAAAGATGATTTTACTATAAAGCCAGATGAGTGAAACAGCTCTCTGGAAGTCCTTTTAAACTAATGGTGTTGAACATGCAAACATTGACGTTGTGAGGTAAAATACCTTTAAAAACACAAGAAAACCTGCCTTGTGAATTTCAGCCTGCATCTGTCCACAGCGTAGTGTAAAAATAGTGTGTTTTGCTGACCTGCAGCAGAGTCCATATCACTCAGACTTCACCGCTTTGATCCAACTCTGCTAAATCACTTGGTTCTGTCTCTGTTTCCTAAACAGTAGGATAGCTCAAAGGCTGAAAGACAGAAACCATATCAGAGGTTTTCAATCTTTCAAACAGATCAAAAATCCATCCAACCATCACGAGCTGCAGCTTCATCATCAGAGCTCACATCTCCTCCTCCTCCTCATGAATCCTGGACCGACACAAAGATCTAAAGCTCAGCAGCTGGCTTCAATGATACAGGCTGTTAAAACTCTGCGATAAACACACGAGAACAACACTGTTTACCTTCTGACTGCCATACACACACACGCACATAGCATATCAAAGATAGGATGTACGACACACTGGAGACATGCTACAGGCAGAAACTACAGCAGGATACTGAGACGGTTTCACTCAGACTTGAGGGAACTAAATGACGATATGGAGACTGAGATTTTACCGCTATCACAGTTTAACATCAGCTCTGAGAGGTGTGCATCATCTGCAGCTTGATTGCAGACTTTTACAGATACCACGGCCTGTCTGCTCTCTCCTCCAGCAAGAAGGACAGAACAATATTTAAACAGCTAAAAGCCACAATTTACAACACCATCACAAACTTTGGCACTGCAGCTGTAACCACGTCTAGAGTTCATAAAACAGAAGGAAACTGTGGGTTTAGCATTATTACAACAGTAGGACTGAACAGTGAAGTTTGACTGAAGAGTGTGTGAACTATTATCATATCATAGGAGCCATATGACCAGCATTACATTAAACTGTCACCAGTTTCTTGTTTACAGTACAATTCTGCCTGATGTCACCCTAACATCAGGCAGACTTGTATGCAGAGAAACCAGTCTGAGGAGATAATCAGCCCGGCGCTGTGTGTGATCCAATTAAAGGACCATGTTCAGATCAGAGGCAAAGTTAAACTCATCCCTCCACATATGTCTTTGAAACTGCTGTCATTTCCTGGTTTATCTGCCCATTCATCTGTTATGGTGAGTATCAGTTTCACAGAAGATTCATTCCAGCTGTTTGGACTTTCTTTTAACTCCTCAATTCAATAAATCACATCACTAGCCCTCATATCAGATCATACTGTATGGTATCATAACCTTGTCGGAACACATAGTATTGTATTGTATCAAACCATACGGTATTACAAAGAGTCATAATGTATCACAATGTGATGTATTGTATTGCATTCTATCATATTTTTAGTTTTGTACCTTCTGGTATCATATGGTGTTATATTGAAAAGTTTTTTACTTTATTGTATCATATCATATCCAGTAGTACCCTATTATATTGTTTTCTATTGTATTGTATGGGGGCTTCCTGATCAGCTTTTTTGGCCACAAATCACAATTTGATTATAAATTATTGAGCCCCTGCTGCATCCCTGCAGATTTACAGTAAACTACTGTAAAGCAGTTGTTGTTGCTGTGCAGGTGTGTGTTCATGAAAAAAGGTTTAAGCCATGGCTGGAGCTGCGCCCTGGTATCTTTTTTTTATTATTTTACTGTTTGATTATGAATTATTGAGCACCTGCTGCATCCCTGCAGATTTACAGTAAACTACTGTAAAGCTGTTATTGCTGCTGTGCAGGTGTGTGTTCATGATGGCTAGAGCTTCACCCTGATGTCTTGTTTATTATTTTACTGTTTAGCATGGGTAGATGAACCCAAAACGCTCAGGTTACAGTAATGAGCTAGTGTTTGTGTTTTGGGCTCAGTGACAGAATTGATCAGGCAGGACAGGAAATAAAATGCCAGGATCAGCTCTGAGCTGATAGTTGAAATCGGGATCAGGACATCCCTAACATCATATCACAATGTACCAAAGACGTTTAGTTTGAATGAAAGCTGCCGTTACAGCTGCTAAGTCTCAGTTTGACTTACTTTAGTGTTAAGTCTGTAAATCTAACATTTTCATGACTCAGTGTCAGTTACAATAAAGTCTTTGTGTAAATATTTGATTCTAGATCTGGCTGTTAGCTAACCATGCAGATATTTGTTATATATCAAATATCAGATTACCAACCATGGGAGTCAAGAGGTCATTTTCTAAAACTGATCTCAGTGACATCAGCTGAGAGAATCTGGATATCACTGTCTCCCTCTGGTCATTTCTCTGCAGGAATGCTGAGGAAGTCGGAGTCGTCCAATAAAGAAAGTTTACAGTTGAATTCACCCCGAAGGAGGAAACTAATTAACTGTTCCCAGCCGACCACAGTCTGTCTGCAAATTCTGCTCATACTCATCCTGACCGAGCCTGAAGGGCGCTGATGTTTCAGTGAACATAAAACCTCCTCTGTTTCTGTGCAGACGGGAGAAAACTGTCTTATTTTTAGTGAAGTCCACATTATATTTATTCTGAGGCTGTGACAGTCAGTGTGGAGCAGCCACACCCTCCCTGCCTCCTCCTGCTGCTGCTGCTGTTACAGTATCTACAGGCTGTTTTTGGCTGAGGGTCACTGTACCCAGAGCTGCTTTCACACATGAGCTGGATAGATGAGGTGTTTTACTGCCTGGTTTAGTCATGTGGAGGTTATGTTTGGACTTTCATGTCCTAATTAAACCAGAATATTAAAGTATGTCTCGTCTCATCTTTGAATTACTTCATCTTTTTCTGTCAGAGTGCATGTCTGGACAGTTACAGTGACAGACAGTCCTTTAAATACTGCAGACTATAAATATGACTCTATGTAATTACTCTGCTTTTATTACTCTCTATCTGTCACTCTGAACCATTACAGATTATAAAAATCATCCATTTTCACAAACCAAGTATGGAAGTGGAGTCTCTGCTAAAGTTCAAGAAACTACAGTTCCTTCAGTGTCCACTAGAGGCTGTGTCCTACAGTGAGTCAGTCCTCAAAGAGCCCCATGGTAAAATGCTACAGCAGAGATAAACATGTTTACAGCCTGGAACTAAAAACACTTTGGGTCTCTGTAGTTTATTTCTTTCTTATGACAACTGAGCAGACTGAATTTATATATATTTAAATAACTCTCTTGAATAGAACTCTATAGCTGCGTTCCAGTTACCTCGGAAGTCGGATGTTGGAGCTGGGAATGACATTACCCCCAAGTTGACGGCGTTCCAGTAAACAAGTCGGAAAACCAAGATAGACACCTACTGTTACCCATTGTTAGCTGTTATTTACAATTGCCAGCTGTCGTTAGCAGTTGTCAGCTGTTATTAGCAATTGTCAGCTGCTGTTAGTTGTGTTAGCAATACCAGTTGTAAACAATGCATGACACAGTATTTTACTTTTACAAACACCATAGCACCATGTTCACAGTTAGCCGTTGGGCAGTACAACATAAACCACTAATTTAATTTCACAAAAACAATACAAAAGTGCTAATAAATAATACATTACGAGAGCTTTCACTGTTACTCTTTACCGTTGATGCACTGCGCTGCCATCTTGGATTATGACATTATCGTCAAGTCAGGGTTGGTGAGTATCATCCGACTTTCCAAGTCGGAAATCTGACTTCAGGGGGGCATTCCAGAAGAATTTCCATGTGCATCTGGAACGCAGCATACTAAATGTTTTTGTGCTGGAAAAATCAACTTTTCTTAAAGCAGCAGTGCTGAAGTGTATAATTGTGATGTTAATTGTAGGTAAGTAGGAATGAACTGGTTTTAAATGTCACTCTGACATAATTATGAAGGCTTTACTGCACTGTTGTCTGGTGACTGGTGTGTCATGTACCGCGATTATATAGAGACATTGAGGCCACACTGCGTTAGCTTAACTATGGCAGAAGGACTAGACTGAAGTTTTGTGCCCACAGAAGAAAGGAGTGAAGTCAGCAGTGTGGGGGGCCTGTCGGGTACACCAAGAAAGACCAACAAGCCAACAAAGATGACCGATTACCCATCTGCAAAACCTGCAAGTGGTAGCTGAAGAGTTCAATACCTCAAACTTAATGCCACAAAGGTGCTACATAATACCTGAGTGATATTATTAAAGCAGGGCTGATCTGAATAATGTTTGAACATGCTATCTGTAAACTGTGCCTGCACAGAAGTCCATGGGCCTCTTTATGGTCCAGGATCAGTCTTTGGTAAGGATTAACCTGAACTCACTTTAATGCTGCAGCTCATTTCAACACACACAGACGGTTGTGCAGAGAGCATCTGTATCTGTGTGTCACATGACTGTAGACTGTAAACATGCACAGGAATAGAGCTTGAAAAAGTAACGTAGCAAAGTAGGAATACTGCAGTGCATTGTGGGTTTTGCGGGCAACTGAAAAAAGTGTGTTTACGCTGGCTGCATGCCCGTCACTTCCCTGTTATCCTGCTCTTGAGAGCTTAGCGCAGAGTGTTACTGCAGCTGAAGTCAGACTTACAGCATCAAATAGATGAAGTAGGGGGATCTGATGGAGCAGCTCTGTTGACAATTTCAGGGAGTTTTATGAACAGATCAGCAGATTTATTCTGAGGTTGCTCAGGTCAAAGGTCGAGATCTTAAGCTAAATTTTCTACCAATAAATGATTGTTATTTCTAAGTTTTTAACACTGATAAAACACACTGAACTTTAATTTTCTTGTGTTTTAACTGAATATCTGTCGGTGTTTCTGAATTTGAAAATCTCGGGGATTGAGAATGAGGATTCTGTTGTATTTGCAGGTTAGGCAAAGGTGTGTCATTAGCTTCTGTAGGGAAGTATTATTTCTTCTATGAAGCATGACCAAACTGCAGATACAGAGCCTGTGAGAAACAATCAAGGAGTTGAAACAAACCTCAGATTCACAAACACGTCCAAACTGATCTACTCTACAGTTACAGTCACTGCACAGAGGTTACCACAGGTTATTACAGAGTATTTACAGACCGGCATTATCGGCAAGGAAGTACAGTAGAGCAAGGACACACACACACACACACATACACACACACACACACACACACGTATCTGCATGCATCAACAGTCTCCCGCTCTTTTCTCTGAACGTCTGCTTTTCTTGTTTTCATTTTTCAGTTACGAGTCGTCTCTGCGGTGACTCATCTCTGTTTGGCAGCGGCTCATGGGAAGCAGGAATTTGATCCGAATCCAATTCCCCGGAATTCCTTTTCAAACTCGGACTTCATCCATAAGACCACCATGTTAACATTGAGCTGTTACTGTGAGAAATGCTCATTATGTGTCGCACTGTTTGGCATTTCGTCTTGTAAATTCAGCGGTCTGGTCGTGTCAAAGCGCCTCAGTGTTTCCTCTGGAGGCGTCTGAATCCGACATTCCTGCACACAGAGAAGCAGCAGCAGAGAAATGACAGGAAATGATGCATGAATGCTTTTCAAACATGGCAGACAACAGACTCTTATTTCTTCTGATTGCCTCAGATAAACACCTCAAGGCTTAACCACAGTATAGAAACATGGATAACACGGTACAGGAGATTAACTACTTCAGAAAAAGAAGAAAACTACAAAGACACGAGCACTATCAACGAGGTTTATCCATGTGGGAAATCTCTAAATATTTGACATTCTTCGAAAATAAGAATTCCACACTTTTAACCTCAAGCTCTATTTCTGATTATTTTAGGGTTTGAACACTCAGGAGTGAATAGTTTCATGATTGTTGTAGCAGCCACCAAACCCCATTAACAATTACAGAAATTAAATCTCACTCACAACCTGAGCTGCTGGTCCTGACTGGACTGTTCGGTGTTACTGTGTGCTGCAGAAACACCGAACAAAACAAACACAAAGGTCAAAAACAAACCTAAACTTCGAGGCTACCAAAAACTCCTGTGTTTCTGCAGGTAAAATAGACGTTTTTGTGAGTGAGGTCTGGTGTGTTTGCGGACAGTGATGTGACAGCTGTTTCTCCCTCTGTAACAAACAGGTTTATCTCCCTCTGATGCTGCCAAGCTCTTATGATAACAATCAGAGTCAAACAGAGGGACGAAAACAGGAAACACTTTGATAATTTTTATGACTATTTTTCACCTACTGTGATTCTGCATGTTTACCCGCTGTAAAATGGAGCAAATATGATCCTTTTTTTTGCTTAAAATGAGACTGTGAAATTGGGTTTGTCATTAAAATCTGTGGGGTTAACTCTGTTAATTTGCTCTGTTTGATATCAGCTCCAAAAACCAGGCGGTGTAACTTGGCCACTTACAGTAAGTCCACTTGTTTTGTGAGAGCGGCAGCTTTCCGCCCACAAACTGTTTCTGCAACATTAGGAGTTTTTCTGTCCCACAGAAAAGGTCTGTGATGGTCCAGTTAGAAGCAATGTCAGCCTGAGTATAGAAATATGACACATAGATCTTTACTGAATATATTCACCCTGTTCAGTCTGAGCAGATCTATGCTCTTTTTGTGCACCAACACCTGAGTACTTCATCTACACTCATGATCATTTTAAATTTCATTTTACTCACAGGTTTATTTTAACAAACCAACATATATGATCTACTATTGCTCTAAATTAAAATTTCTGTATGTTAAAATAAGTGTTTATATCTGCAGACAACTAACTAATAGCTGCAAAAATCAGCATTAGACCATTAAGATCGTGTAAAAGAGAAAGAGAGAGAGAGACACACACAGAGAGACACAGAGAGAGAGAGAGATTTAAAGTGTTGAAAGAGGCTAGGCCCTTATGTCTCTGCAGGGAGGCTCATAAAACTGATGTTCGTCCTCTTTTAGCTCTTTTTAGTTATTTCTGTCACTTTACTATGAACCCCGACAGAGGAACCCTTCCAAAATAAAAGCATGGCTGTCATCAAAATAGTAAATATGTCAAAAAATGTCAAAATAAAAGCACCACAAGTAACATTTTTATGAATGAATCTCTTCTCTAAAGCTCGAACATAAATTAAGTCACTCACACCCTTTAAATAAAACATGAACAAATGTTATTGTGACCCCAGCATCAATTCAGTGCACTATTATGTGTGCACTGGAATACCTTTGAGTAGCTTTAAAGTCACAGAACCCCACATTCAGCTTCCAAATTATAAATATTAGTTCTATTTATGTCATCTATTTTGGTTTACTTTGAAAGTTACAGACGACATTTATGATTTTTGGATCAAACGCTCTGCCGATCATGAGGCCCGTTTTTAAACTAAAGGGAACTCAGTCAAATCACTGCTATATAAAATTCCTGCAGCCGCCCTGTGTCCCATAAAAACAGGAGCAGGATCAGTCAGTCGCTCTAATTTCTGGATATAATCCACGGTCGATTAAGGTTCATTTGGTGAGTCAGACAAACTATAAAATGTAGAGAGAGAGACTGCAGCTGACGTCTGTTGAAAACTGGCACTTTAAGAGACAGGCCAGAGAGTTTATAAGAGAAATTAAAGCAGGTTTGTAAAAATGGAGAATGAGGAAAAAACATGTTTTTCTGCAGTTTCACTCCTCCTACATGTGAGTGCACAAAAACAGTTTGGTGAATTTCAAATTAAAAGCCTCTCGTCTCCAATAATGCCTTTAAAAAAGAGGAAAAGCAAAGAAAAAACAAACTTGGTGTTTGATTTTGAGTGTTTTTGAGCCTGGAGGTTGATTCAGGTCTTGTGGGAGGCTGGCGGCCTGACAGCTGCACAGCCACACATTCTTGGACTTGAGGGAGTCTGTTGTGAAGTCTCGACTTTACAGACTTTCTGGTCCAACTGGTTGATGTTCAAGTTTACAAAAACTTCCCTTTTCATCCGTCCAGGAGTCGAGCCAGGAGCAGAGTGGAAGCAGCAGATATAATTAGCTGAGCATGCATTCCTGCTTTTCTTTTTATCTGCAGGAAATCTGTTTGTCATCCAGACTGCCACGTCCCCAAAACGCCCCCAAAACATCCCCAACACGTCCCCAAGGTGACAGACCGTCACATGAAATGAAAGTTTAAATCACATGCAGCATATTCTCACGGTCACTGCCCACTCTTTCTCTCTTCATCTAACCTGAATAATGACCTCAACCTCCCACAAACGCCATTCTCCCAGAGTGCAGTGCTCTCAATGTGATGTTCTCTGCTTTGACTCTGACGCCACACCACCGCTCAACTTCCTGTACGCCCCTGCACGGGAGTCTGAGAGTGAAACTGAGCAAAGCATCGCCACAGATGAACACTTTCTCTGCCCCCGCTCTTCGACAGACTAACTGCAGTTATGATCGTGGAGCCAAAACCACCGTATGTCCTCAAAATACCCTCATGTTTAAATCTAACTGTGTCATATAAGCATTAATCTGCATCTTAGAGGGCATCTAAAAGGAACGTTTACAACCTCAAATAGGACATAAATGTTGATGTGTGAGCTAACATTTTAGATTTTAGTGTTTACAGTCCATAATATCATTAGAAGAACTCTCTGAACTAAAGGGACAAGGACTAAAACCAAGACTAGACTGTCCTGATCTTCAGGCCCTCAGGCAGCCCTGCATTAAAAAAGTCCGGACTCTGGAGTGGAAATCACCGCATGGGCTCAGAATCACTTCAAAAACCATTGTCTGTGAACAGAGTTTATCACTGCATCCACAAATGAGGTTGAAACTGAGCCATGCAAAGAGGAAACTAGATAGAAACCAGAGACTTCTCTGGACCTGAGCCCATTTCAGGTGAGGGGGAGAGGAAAACTGTCCTGTGGACTGATGACACAGCTGCATCCTCCTCTCTATAGAGCAGAGGGACCACACAGCTTGTTATCAATCCAAAACCAGGATCCCTGATAGTATGGGGATCATCAGAGTCCATGTCATGGGTATCTTCCACATCTATGAAGGCTCCACTAATGTTGAACAATATCTACAGGTTTAGGAGCAACATCTGCTGCCATCCAGACAATGACTTCTACAGGGGAGACCTTCATATTTCAGCAAGACAATGACAAACCACATTCTGACAACAGGGATTATAACAGCATGGCTCTGTAGTAGAAGAGTCCTATAGAGCAGTGGTTCCCCATCCAGTCCTCGAGGCCCACTGTCTTGCATGTTTTGGATGTTTCCCTGCTCCAACACACCTGATTCAAATGATCAGCTCGTTATCAAGCTCTGTAATGGCTTCATAACGAGCTGATCATTTGAATCAGGTGTGTTGGAGCAGGGAAACATCCAAAACATGCAGGACAGTGGGCCTCGAGGACTGGACTTGAGAACCACTGCTACAGATGTTTATTATGAGCAGCAGTTCAGCCTCTTAATTTAGACGCTTTAGTGAACAGACATTTAAAGTAAGTCTTTCTGTTATGCTGTTAAATCTTTGTCTCCTGTCTTAGCGAGTAAACGCCTCTAAAATAACTAAAATCAGAGAGGATGGTGGATGTGTGAGCTCACACTCTGGTAGCAGGTCAACTCACTCTCACTGTCATCACATCACTGCTTTATCTCCCAGGAACAGACGCAATCAGAAAACAGGACTGAGCATGCTCCGAAACAACAAAACCTGAGTGATGGTCTGATGGGTCGTAAATCTCTGCAGCTCAGAGTGAGGAGTGACGAGGTTTAAAGATTCTGATGACGTAATATCCAGAGATTTACACATTAATCTGAGTGACTTAATCTAAAATAATAAATGTGGACTCTGTCAGATTTATGTCTGGAAGTATCTTAGAGCTTCAGATTTGAGATTTAAACACAGAGACAAAGTTTCACACAGAGACTAAAACAGAGGTTTTTAATGTTCCAAACATATCTTTTCTGGTCCTTATTCATTCAATATGAAGTTAAAAACTGCATGGCTTGTGTTTATACTTCAATCCATCATTTATACTGCATATTTCTGTGTCACATCCTCCACTAACCTCTTATTTATGGCAGTAGTACTTTCAGTTAGTGTCTTTGCTCTAGCTCAAACTTACCGAAAAGTTACCGGATAGATTTTTATATATGTAGTATGACCCGACATATTTTTCTATTTCATGACCTGATCTAAAAGCATCAACCAATACTTGCTATTTCAAAATGCTGTTAACTGGCCTGATTAAGCTGACTGACATTTGACTTTTTGAATTCTAATACCACAAGAAAAGATTGCTTCCTTTTTTTGCATGTTGTGTCTCGTCCGTCAAAACCTACAATCAACCTCAGCAGACAATGCAGTTCTGCCTTTAAAGGTGTCCATGTAAATACAGCATGCATGCATTTCGTGTTTGCATGCTGCATGAATCAAATTAACTTGCTGATAAACTTCACAGTAAATGTGTAAATATGGATGTGGTTGCTTCAAAGAGTGTTGAAACTACAGCCCTAATACTTAGAAACAATGACGGTCTGCCTCCTGACTACAGCAGAATTCTATTCCTCTGAAAAAAAAAGCTGTTTAACAGCATTCTGGGAAAGTGATGCAACTTCAAGTCTGTTCCAAATACCTCCATCCACCCTGAAAAGAAAACATTAGAGGATCATACTCGTTCTCTTATCTTACCACTGTGACTGACAAGAACACTGTCAGTGAGTTTGTGAACCAAACAGACTGTGATTGAGCAGTTTAACTACATATACCTCCAGAAACCACGGCCCACTCCACTGCATATCCATCATAAATAACAGTTACTTCAAACTGACTAAATGACCTTATTTTCAATGTGCTGCATCAATTACAGTCCAGTTGGCATATTTAGGAGCGACTGTATGATCAAATCAGAAGAGAAATTCACCCCCCAGATGAACTCTGAATGATAAACACTGTCATTTCTCTGTTTGTTAGATTCCCCAGAGAAGTGCACCTTCATCTGTCTGTGGAGAGTCTTGGTTTCTCTGTAAATATTCTCTCAGAGGCTTCACTCTATAAAGTGCCACTAAAATTTCACTCTTGCTTATGGTTTGTTTGATTGTGCTTAATCTCAGTTTTACTGGAAAAAGGAGGTAACAGAAAGATTTTACTCGGAATTGCTTCAGCAATACGAACCGGAAAAATAAACTGACGTCATGATGCTGATTCATCCGAAGTCCAGTTTTGTCAGGTCTGTACTAAAGACGAGATGAAAACTACTTTGAAAATGTTTATTGTTGAATGGAGGTCAGATCCATCATTTCTGATGTATTCAGGAAAGTCCGTAAATCTAAACTCTGATTGTCTTCAGTGACTCAGCATCAGTCAGATTAGTGTCTCAGTGTGAATGTTTGATCTTGAACAGATTGTTAGCTGACCTTCATACAGAGACACAAATCCTCCTCAGATCACCAACCATGAGAGGTGGAGGTCATTACGGAGGACTGTGTTCCTCCTTCTTTTGCTCTCCATACAGACTGATTTTCCTGCTGACACCTGATTGGTCAATATTACTTAGAGTGCAGATGGAAACCAGATCACTTCTCAGACTAAAATCCAAATTCTTGAATTTGATGTAAAATCAGTGAACAAATAAACTATTTTTAGTTTCTGAATTGAGTTAATAATATCCACATTATTTAATTGTTCGTTTTGATATTCCCACTTTAAAGAAAAGACTAACAGGGATGCAGTGAAAACTTTTGTGTGTGTTTTCAATCACATGTTTAAAAGTATTTTGTAGTTTGGAAACAATTTTAAGTCCATAACTTCAACCCATGTTTATCACAGTCTTCACGTGCAGTGAAAGAAACTTCAGGAGTTCCAGTTGTCATAAAGGTCCTGAAAGCATGTAATCTGTAAATTTGTACTCTTTTTATCCTGTGATACTGTGTACTTAAATTTTCAGTGTTTTCATTGCTTCTGTTGCTGTGTAAATGCTTAATATTTCTCATCAGGTTGCATTTCGTAACTGCAATTTAAGCAAGACTTTCACCAAACCGCAGACAAACATTTCAGACAATACGGGTGGACAAACTTTGTTATTAGGTATCTGTGCATCAGGAACCAGTGACCTCACATCATCTGACTTTTCATATGTCAGCTGACTGTAAAACACAGACAGGAGGGGATGTGAAAAGGACATAAGACCAGATTAATCATGAAGATTAACACTAATGAAGACAGGAGGAGGAGGAGGCAGTCTCTGCAGGGGGTCCGTGCTCTTCACTTCCATGCAGCACCGAGCCACAGCAGCCATACTCACAGATGCTGGAGTGCATCCGCATGTGATATTTACTGTTCCCCTGTGCCTCACCACCCCACCATTTTACAAGACAAGTAAACACAACATCAGCACACAAGGTGGGACAGTGAGGGCCTACAGATGTGCAACAAGACCAGCTTTGTGCACCACAATTCTCCAGTTTGAGTAAAAACCTGATGTCTGCACATTTCTAAACTTGGTTAAAGTATTAAAAAGTCATTCAGTGCCATCTTTATGCATGCACTTTAAATTTTTGTGAATTTTTCACAAGACAGCTGAGTTTCCCCTTAGGGTGGTTTGACAGTTTGAAAACACAACCAGCTCCTCATGCACCAAACCTCACTGACAAAAACACTGATTTTAACAATAACTACACACTCTTCAGTTACAAACTCCACAACCGCTCCACATCACTGACAGCAGGATTCATAAACACAGAAAAAAAGTTATAGTCACGCCTTAAATTTGAACTGAGCCCGCGTGCCAAGGTAAAGCAACAGTTTGAATCCAGGTCCAGTCCATTTGGGCTCAAAGTGAAAGCAGCAAGCAGCAGATAATGGAAAGAGCAGATGTTTACCAACACACCAGGATGTTCTGCACACTCCCACACAACGACACAAAGGCTGCTGTCAGTGTGCAACACTACATGCAATAACAATGAAGAGGTTTTATCTGTGTTTGCAGAATCAAACAGCTTAGGGGCGTCTACTTCAGACCAATAGACCGATTAAAATGTGAAAAAAAATCCAATTTTCACTTTAGATCTCGTATTTCAGTGTAGCGCCACAAGCAACACTAAACTCCCTTATTATGATTTCCCCTGTCAAAATACACTAAGAATTGCTTCAGCAAGCACTGAGAAAACACTGTACCATCAAACTGAAAACTACCTCATGGCAGATGCACAAGTAGGAAAGAAAGATGTTGCACAGGCCGAACTCTGGAGAAGAGCTTTCAGTTTTAAAAACTAATATAGATCATGTTGTGTGACTTCTATATTTTGGTATAAAGGAGAATAACTTTTACTGTCACGTTTCTTTACGCACTTTGGAGAAGTGTTCCCTCCGTCACGATGTGAGCGGAATAACCGACATCTGTAAACGTTCCATAATGCTGCCGATAAATGAAGGGCAAAGACACACAAACTTCACTAACATTTAACACTCAACTTACCCAGACTGTTAGTAGAAGAATCCATAATCCAAGGTTTGAAGAGTGAGCGGTTTTTCTAAAGTTGAAATCTGGACTGAGGTGTGTTTTCCATGCTGGGAGAGGAGTGTCAGAAGTCAAACACTGTGCGGGACTCATGTGGAAACACCTGAGATTACTACAGGAAGACTAAACAATACTTTCAAAATAAAGTTAGGGTTAGGGTTGGGTAGGTGCTTGACTAACACAGGTTCGAGGGAATAACAATAAGAAGACAAAAAAGTTGATGGTTTTATTTGCTTTTATATATAATAAAAGGTCGATTAAAATTTCAGTCTATTTTATGGACATCAAAAAGAAACTTATTTGAGTTTTCGATAAATCTCTATTATTCACATTTGTTTTGTAAAGGAAAATCACAGTTTAGAGTTCCCTAGTTGTTTATAAACCGTTCTAAACTGTGTTATTAAAATTTTACCTTAGGTAAGAAACATTATTTCTTTATAATGCATTCAAAAAGTATTTAAACGTCTACCGGAAGTCATTTATATCGTAACGGTAACTTTCACACTTTTCGAGAGCAAACGGCATGCTGAGGCTGGGGTGTATTATGAATGTTCATATTTTATCTTTTAACGCTCCCTGACTCTTAAGATGTTTATTCTTTGTGCTCTGGTACGATTGTCCACATAGAAATAATTGATTATTTCTATGTGATGTAAAAGCAACTTCTTCTGGTTCCTTATAAACGTCTGTCAAATGAATAAGGGCCCGTTTTGATGGTATTTGTCGCCACCTTGCGGCAGGACTACGTGGTGCAGGCATATCTCGAGACAAGAAAGTACAATTTTCGAAATCAAATTATCATATTACATCAATATATTTAGTTAGTGTTTTATTCAGCCTTGATTTCAACGATTCTATTTAAGTAAGGTACGTTTTAAAGTATTGTAAGCGCTTCCTCGTGTGCAACTAAACTGCCAAATGACTGAGTATGTGAGGAAAAATAGGTAAATAGAGCAAAAACAAGTCAACATGATATGACAACAGGGTGATTTTGAGGAGTTAAAAATACGCCCCCAAAATATGTTTAAGGTTTAGAGGAGACAACAGCGGAACAGAAACGTACACGCAAATGTTCCTGTTGTTTAGGGGAAGGAAACGAGTGTAGGACCCGGATGTTAACCCGGCTTTTCAACATGGTGGCGTCCGTGGATCGAGAGTCCTGAAGGAGACACTTTACTCACTGGGTTTATTCACTTTAAAGGTTGGTATTTGGTTTAAATAAAAAGAAAAGATAATGTTCGTGAGATTAGTTTATATTGAAGAATGACATTATTTAGCGATTATGTTTCCAAACCACACAGCTGTGCCCTAAAATAACCTTTACTAGCCAATCTTCATACAGAATTGTGCAAGTTTTATGTGTTTGTCACTCTGGGCAAATATTAACTCTCAATAGAAGTTAACAGATGTATTTTATGAATAAACAAAAGTCATCCTTTCGTTCGGTTATTATGATTTCACCAAAATATTTTCATGTGTTTATTTTTATCTAAAGTTAAAGGTCCTCTAAACCTCTTTAACAGCCTGTTTTAAAGAGAATTTACTCACCGTGGATCCTCGGAGTTCAGCATAAGTTAGATTTATTCATGTGTTTCTGTCTCTCTGTCCCTGTCATATCTCAAATCCCTCTGCAGATCTGTGTTTTCTGGATCTTTCTGTGATGTCTCCATCATGAAGTGTACTCGCTGCCTGCTGCAGCTGCAGAGTCTAAGACTGGGGGTCCAGCCAGTTAGACCTGCTGTCCAGTATGCTGCCCTGCTTCAGTCAGCCTCCCCCAGTCTGACCAGTGTGCCACACAACCCTCAGCTGCAGGTGAACTCTCAGACTCTGCTTCGTGAATCAGTCGTAGGCACAGACTTAAGTCTTTTTTTTTTTTTTGGTAAAATAAATCCTGATTTCAGGTTATAGTACAGATTAGGAGCAGGCGGAAAGAACACTTCAATGTCACTTGAGTGTAAAACTTCATCTAAGTAAAGTTTGGTATGTCTTTTAGGTGTTGAGGCGTTTCCATGGCAGCCCTGTGTGTGCAAAGACTCCACCTGTGAAGGCCATCAAAGAAGAGGAAAAAAAGAAAGAAAGATCTCTGGTCACACAGGACGGCCTGTTTGAGCAGATCCCTGAAGATGCCAAATCCGAGGCCACCTTTAAAAAAGTGGTTGATGTCTTTCTTAAGAGGGACATCAGACGGCGAGGTCACGTGGAGTTTATTTACGCTGCTCTGAAGAAGATGCCAGAGTTCGGTGTAGAACGAGACCTTGCTATCTACAACAAGCTGCTGGACGTTTTCCCCAAAGAGGTATTCGTTCCTCGAAACTTCATCCAGAGGATGTTCAACCACTACCCCCGCCAGCAAGAGTGTGGCGTGCAGGTCCTGGAGCAGATGGAGACCTATGGTGGGTATCTTTAACAGCTCCCAGGCTTGGTCCTGAAATTCCTGGAACGCTTTGGAATGAAGACGATAACATTTCTAAATGTTTGTGTTTCAGGAATTATACCCAACATGGAGACCAAAGTCCGGCTGGTCCAGGTCTTTGGAGAGAAGAGTCACCCCATGAGGAAGTTCCAGCGTATGATGTACTGGTTTCCTAAGTTCAAAAACCTGAATCCTTACCCTGTCCCCCACCAACTGCCTGAAGACCCCGTGGACCTGGCTCGCTTCAGTCTGACGCGGATCGCTAATGACAAGGACGCACGAATCACCATCTACCAGGTACGACTGAATGAGACATGTAACTGAGAACAGTCTTCAGTTTGCACTGAGATTGAGGGTTTAATTATACGGCATCATTTCATACCTGCAGTCGCCTTTTAAAACAGACACAGAGCAAATTTAAGGATGGGTTATAAAACTTGTAACAACAGTCCCGGTTGTCTTCTTTTAAGTCTTTTACTTTTAAAGCTTCACGCTACCCTAAACATGATAAATGTGCGTCCTTTTTTCCATATTCTTGTGTTTGTAGATTTTATTGTCTTTGTTACAGTCATCTGTTTTTCCTCCTCCCTGCAGATGCCGTGTACAGACATCACAGAGAGTGGAGAGGAGGTCACACTTCCACATATAGTAGGTAAGATACCACCTGTGTTTCAGGCACTGAGAGTGATTGTTTCCCACAGAAGTAAACCAGCATATTGAGGTTTGATCTAACGGTCTGGGTTTCCTGTCCCTCTCCTGTTGACTCCGCAGGGATCCAGGGCCCGGATCAGATGGAGCTTCTGGCCAAACACAACCCGAGCCGGCCGGTGTTTGTGGAGGGTCCGTTCCCTCTGTGGCTGAGGAAGAAATGTGTTCATTACTACATCCTGAGAGCGGACCCCATACCTGCCGAGGAGAAGGTGAGACAAATCTTTTAAAGGCTTATTTATCCGTGTACGGATATTCTTCATGATTTCACGAGTGAGTTAGGCTGAAAAATGACCATGACCTCATCCAGGTGTGCCTCTGTGTCCTCCTGCAGGTAGAGGAGCCCTATGATCCAGAGAGGTGTTTTGACTATCCTCTGCAACTGGACCTGGACCTGGACCGAGACTTCGGGGACGAGGAGGACTTTGACGTTGAAGACTGTAAGATCTCTGTCAGATTCAGGTCATGTTCAGGTGTTTTAAGTTCAGGTGTGTGATGAAGCTGTCGTGTTTGTGTGTCTTGTCTCCAGTGGACGAGGGTCCGGTCTTCGCCATGTGTATGACTGGTCAGGGGGACCAGTCCACCCTGAACCAGTGGATCTCTGGACTCCAGCAAACCAACCCCATTCTGGGTCAGGTCCCCACTTTCTTCCGTCTGGAACCTGGGCTCAAAGAGCTGCAGGGGGCCAGGGACTCTGACTCCAAAAACCACCAGAGACAAGATCATGATACCCAGAGGGAGGAAGGAGAGGATGAGAAGGAGAGGGAGGTCACAGCGGAGGAAGAACCGAGGAGCAGGAGACAGGGGATGAAGCAGTGAAACAGGAGGACAGACTGTTTCAAAGACATTATGGTGGAGGGTTCAAGGTTCATGGAGCAGGATGAATAAGAGAACGAGGAGTGAGGACTTCACAGACCGAGGAAACTCAAACTGGACTGACTCTGAGGATCAGAGAGCGAGGACGTAAACCAATCTAACATCAAACCTTCTGTGGGTCTTCTTTTTAGGTCTTTGCGTCAAAACTCAGAGACTTTTGGCAGATTCAAGTTTTGGTTTGTCATTTTCCTCCAAGTTATAGTGCTCACATAAAAAAACAGTAAATTTTGTCCAAGTCTACGACAAAAACAAACAAATAGATCTCAACTGAACCTCCTGTAATTACCCCCCTGGTTATTTCACAGACTTTGAACGAGCAAGCGTGTTTGATTGGGAAATAATCAAACAGACATGTTAGCGGGTAAGTTGACTGTTTGAACATCATCAAAACAATGCTTTCAATATCCTGCTGTATCAATGTCAGTTTAAAGAAATAAACAAGAAGCACCTGTAGATAGAGTCCTGACTTCTGATGCTCCATCATTATTCATTGTATTTTTGTGAATAAGGAAATGATAAAAACAGCTGTTTCCTCAGCTGTTCTGTTGATTCTTCCTTCCTCACACCAGTTTCAGGCCTCAGTCTTGTCAGTTCTGGTTTGTTTGTTTTTGTTTATCATAAAAAGACATTTATGTGAATTTCAGTCTTTTATTCATGTTAAAAAAAAAAAACTCCTTATCAGAGCTTAAAGCAATTAAACTAAAACAAACAGCAAATATCAGAATTCAGACAGGGACCTGTAGTATATAAAACTACTATACAAGGTAAACAAAAGTCTATAAGATCTTGTGAACTTTTGACATTATTTGGTGAAAATAGATCACTTTTAGTTTTGAAGGATTGGTTAGTCTCTAAAAACATATTGGTCATTACTTTAGGATAACAAAGCTGCTAGGTGTCACAGAAATACTTTGCGTTCACCTTCAAAACATCCATTCAGGTTAAATGTTTCTTTAACACAAGCTAAGACTGATGTCATTAAAGCTGCTGTAAGGAATTTTCCACTAAAACAGGCTGAGTTGTCTTTAAATTACATAATGCTTATCAAAACTACAAACGGTTGGATGTCAAAACAGGTGTAGACAGCACGATAAAAATCTTGACTTTCTGGTTAGATTATTTTTTGGGAGACAATATTCATTACTGTGGACGGAATTAGATCAGCAAAGACATAAACAGATCAGTCTGTCTATGGAGGCACCAAAATCAACACAAACTGAAAGTTCCCTCCAGGAGCTTTAAAGGGATATTCCGGCGTAAATTTAAGTTGTGGTCAAACACATCGTAACACAGAGTTATACACCCCCTCGAGAGATGAATGTTGCAGACCGCTTGCTTCTCTAGTTATACAAACTTTAGTAACAACCGCATGATAGCAATACACAGCAGTCTATGTCTCCATGTGCAAACCTCAACCAAAACACCACTCTATAGCCACAAATAATGTTCAGAACAGCACCGAACATCTTTTTTAGCTTTGCCTGGTTTCTTTAGCAAAAAGACCAAACATAACTTACCCACTCTCCTCCAGCAGCCGCTTGTCTGTGGGGAAGCCCTGCTAAGTCGATCACCGAGTGCAGCGGAGTTTCGCAGCTCAAGGAAGAACATTTATGACCATTACTTCATGGAAATGCAATCAGACAGAGATGCTATGGAAGAAGAACTACTGTGTTTTTCTTTTCTTGTTTATTTGCTTGTCAAGTTTAGACAAAAAAATAAATTAAGTGCCCTATGGATGCTCTTTCAGTGAACACAATGTTTTTAAAAAGTCTTCTAGATGTCTGGATTCTCTACATTAATAAGTGCCCAGAACACAAAAAGGGCCCCTCGGTTTATCTTACCGTGGATAAAGAGTCAAATGTGCCCACTAGATGCCATTGTATAAAACACGATAAGGTACCATTTTAATAATTTATCTAATAAGTTTGAAATAATCAAAGAGTGAGCTCAAAGGTAGAAAAGTTTTATTACTGAAAAGGCATCGAAACATTCCCTTTAGACCAGTAAACATGTCAGAGTTACATTCTCAGGGTATAACCAGCTGCAGGCAGATCCTCCACAGCTTTGTGCTCAAACACAAGATTCTTTCAGCGGCTCACTCAAAATAAAAATCTTACAAAAACATGGGAATGCATCATCTCCAATACACCACTGATCGTCCTTTTTTAACTACTGTTCATGCAGGAAATCCTCCACTGGATCAGAAACACTCACAGATGAAGAGCTAACATGGATCTATCTACAAATAGGAACATCAGCAGATCAATAAATAATAAATAAAGTGTCAAACAGCACAGTCAAAGAAAAATTTGGCATTTCATCACCACTTTAGTCTTTAGTGTATTTACAGTGCAGAGGGTTGTTTCATGTTTTCATCAGAGCTGTAGAGAAAGCTGCGGTACAAAGGTAGAAAAAGTCGAGTATCTAGAAGGTTTCAGGGTTTCAGCTCAGCCATGTTTAAAAACATGTGGGACGGTTCTGGACCTCCATGCAAAAAACAAAAAAAAAGTCTGAGACCTGAATGCAACGAGTCAGCAGAACAGAAAACATACAGATTACAGACTCGATCAAAGAGGTTATATTATCTTTACAAGGAGATACCGAGATTTAAACCTCTGCAGCAACTCTAAAAAAGTCCAGACTCTGTGAAAAATGTTGATAAAACAGAGTTTGATAGTTTGCAAATCATCCATGAACTCCTCAACCTAGAGATATTGTTTAGCATTAATGAAGCCTTCACTGATGTGGAAGATACCCATGACATGGACTCTGATGATCCTCATGCTATCAAGGATGCTGGTTTTGGACTGGGAGCTGAGAACATGCTGGGTGGTCACTCTACTCTTTAAATAGTCTCAGGTCCAAAAGGATCTCTGGTGTTTCTGGATCCTGTTCCTATCTGGTTTCCTCTCTGCATGGTTCAGAACCTCATTTGTGGATGCAGAGATGAACTGTCTTTACAGACAATATTCTTTTTTGTAGTGATTTCCACTACAGAGTCCTGCACAAATACATTGTTGTGCAGTCTTCCATTATGATTTGCAAACCATTGATATCTGTCTATCAGCGTCCCACCTGTGTTGGATTGCGGGTTGTAAATTTATTGTGCAAATTCTTGTAAACATACGTTCTCACTGTGTCAGTGTTGCTGCTTTTTAAGCTTTTTAAACCTTTTTTGTTGTAACAGTCTTTGAAGGACTAAATCAAACATCTGAAATCAGAACTAGAAAAAAACAGGACCTTAACACAGTGCCTCTAAATCTAAAACCACAGACTGTGTATAAGAAGTGGATGCAGCCTCGGCTTAGACCTGCATTTTCTGACCAGTAGGGGGCAACTCCAGGAAATGGACTCAATAGAAGTCTGTGAAAAACTGGTCCCACTGATCAGCAAATTCACTCCCTCGGTAGAGAATTTCCTGATGAGTTAATAGTCTCAATCTGTAGTTTACAGTCTTCTTTATTAAAAAGTAATGTTAATGTAGTAAATTCTGGTCTCATTCAGAGAGACTACAAAGCAGGGGAGGAGTTAGACCAAGGACGCCTGGGGTTGATAAATTTGGATCATTTGTGTTTGAATTCTGTCGTCCTTTCCAGCTCTACTCTCTCATCCAACTGCACCAGCTCCAAAGTGAAGTTGATCCTTTAAAGCAGAGATTGGTTGTTGTTATGTCTGGTAAATGTGAAACTCATCCACTTCTTGTGCACACTCTTTGATTAGTACACTCACTACCATCAGTTTGCTGATTCAGTCCTGGTTCGGATGGTAGCTGATGATGACAAAGGTTTTCAAATTTAAGGGGGATATGAAACTCTTGTAGTTGCTGCTTCTTGCCACTTGTGGCCGCTGTTCACACCAAACCAGCCCTTGTTAAACAGGTTAAATCTGATGGTGTGCTTTCAGAGCATTTCAGTGGTTTAGGTTAAAGTCTGTGTAACCCTAAAACCAAAAGTCTTTCAGTTTGTTGAGGTTGAAGACAAATTTAAAGGGATGTTTAAGTACAAAAAAATGACTGAAATGTCAGTTTTCTTGGTGTGTTTGTTGAAATATCAGGTGTGGGAAGCTTCTGGACAAGCTCAGCACATTTCTGGACTTTACACGTTTCAAATATGATACGAAAATCTAAACTGCTGATTTGATGAAACTCAGATTACAGCCCTGGATAGAAATGAGGTAAAGCTGCTTTCAGGCTGAATGTTCATGTACAGTACAGTCTGTTTAGAAAAGGTTATAAATAAATAAGTTATAAATATGACAAATAACGTGTGTGTGTGAGGGGTGGGGGAGGGGGTCTCCTGGTCCATGGTCCTCAGATGTCTCCTGCAGTCATCTCCTCTGATGGTGGTCAGTCTCTTTGAGCCTCTGAAAAATAATCCGGACCGGTTTGACAAATTAAAATAAAGTCAGTGATGATTCTGCTGCAGAGCTGAGACATGAGACAGTCTGACAGTAGAGGTACATCTGTATGAGTGTCAGAGTATTTATTATCATAAACCAGGACAGAAAACTACATCACTGAGCCGCACAGTCGTATTATTTTTAAACCAGCAGAGACTCTAAAGCCCTCTGGATCAAAAAATATCTCTCTTTATTAGAGCTTGAATGAGCTCAGCCGGATTCTGTGGCTTTTCAGATTATTAAATATCATATATTAGATGTTCAAATCATCTTTAGAAACTAGAGTCCAGTCAGTTTAGGAGCATTTGAGGGGCTCATTTCTGTGATAGTACAAGACTCCTAGTTTAGTTTCCCATTTTAGATTTTACCAGCAAACTCCATCCTGCGGTGTAACAGCTGCTGGGATGAAATCTACCTCCTCTTTTTCTACGGAGATCCTTCTTATAATGTAGACAGACAAGTACAATGACAATAACAGGAACTTAGATTGATCTGAAAAAGAAGGACACCTGCACATGGATGAAGTACCAAAAGACTTCCTGCTACCCTAAAAACCTTCTTCAGGTTTCAGTAAGGTTTAAACTTTAAACTGGCTCCACATGTCAGCTGAATGTCAGCTCCATGACCGTGAAGCGTTTACCTGTATGTTTTGCTGCAACTTGGCTGCACAGCACCTGAATGTCACCTGCATATCAACACCATGATGCCAGAGAGTTGCTTGCATGTAAACAGCATGTTCATTTTACGATGCCTGAACATTGTCTGAATGTTGTCACTATGAGCTGCAGCCACCCACCTCCTCAAATTCAGGCCATGAACTCTCCTTTACTTGTATTTCTTGACTTATTGTTATTATCTGAAATTATGTTTGTTTGTAGTTCTATAAGATGTCATGTTTTTCAAAGTAATGATTGTGTAGGTAGTGTTGGGTTTAAAGGTAAAGAGGCAGGAAGTGGTCTTTAATAGTCTGAACCTGTCAGAGGCAAAAATTTCGCAGACACTTTGATTAGGAGCTACTATAGTGTGTTTTTCTTTTTCATACTAAAGATATTCAAGATCTGATCTCAGGACTGTTTACTCTGTAAAGTCAAGCAGACTCTGAAATCTATAAAACCCCCTTCACTGTCTCTCTCCACGTCTCCTTCCTCCAGTGTTTCTGTACCTGTAATCACTTCGCTGTTCCTCTGCAGCTGGCTGGTGAAGAAGCGTTCTCGCTGGGATACCTGCTCGTCCCAGGCCTCCAGGATCCTCTGGTGCTCGGCGGTGTCCAGGTTCAGTGTGTCCGGGTGGGCCTCGTCGATGTGGGCCCTCACCCCCTCCAGGCTGTGGCAGTACTGCTGCTCCCCACATACCATGCACACCAGCAGCTGGTTCAGAGGGTCGTAGTCCATCAGGTATCGACTCCTCCACACGGCGTCTGAGACCGAAGGGTCCTCACCGTTCATGTTGTCGTAGTCCAGGAACTGAAGTTCAGACTCGTCTGAGATGAGGGTACAACAGAGAGGGAGATAAGGATAAACAAACGTCTCCTCTAACTCTATCTTTTTAGCAGAAACAACTCTGAGGTCTCACCTTCTAACGGGGCCGTGTAGTTTTGGAAGTCAAAGGGTGAAGAGTCGGTGTCTGTGGGATGACTTTAAAACAAAACACAAAGTTTATCATTTAATAGTTATGACTTGACATCAGGAAATCCAATTAATATGAGATACAATCATAATTTTCTGACCTGGTCAAATGTTCAGACTCCTCAGAGTTAACCCAGTGAGTGGAGTCCTGCAGGAGAAAAACAGAAACAGTATGGTGAGACTTAAAGGTTTTTAAGCATCTTTGGAGTCATCAAGCCTCCCTTTGTGGTTTTAGTTTCTGTAAACAGTCTTCTGTTGGTTTTGTGAGTCTTGGTGTGATCCTGACTTTCTTCAGATACAATCTGATTTTTAGTTATTTTACATCTTAGGTATTTATCTAGCAGACTCTCAACTTTGTTTCTTTTTGTCATGTTTACATGTTTGATTTGTTTCTTCTCTCTGTTCTCTCTGTTTGTGGTCGTCCTCACAGCTGTGGTTAGGGCTGGGCGATATGAGAAAAAGTTCATCACGATAATTTTTTTTTCATATCAGTCGGTATCAATATATATCAGGATATTAAAAAAAATCACTTGTCAATCTTAAATTTTCCCTGTTACTCTTAAATGAAATTACCATGTACTCGACATGATGTCTCTGAGGTCCATCTTAAGTGTATTTCTGAACACCTGTCCCCCTCTCACCTGTGTTTGCAGGTCGTGTGCAGGTAGGATTGGTCTCCAGCTGCTGGTCGACCTCCTCGGCGCCCCTCCTTTCTCCCTGATGGCCTTCCTCGCTCTCTGCTCCTTCTTCTTTATCCTCCAGTACTCCCTCTTCCTCCTCAGGAAGTCCTCCTCAGACTCCCCAGGGATGGGTTTGGGAGGGACCATGGTGCTGATGGGTACCAGTTTGGTGGGACTGTGGACGGTGTGTGTGGGGGTCTGGATGGGGGAACAGGGGACTTTAATAGGGCTGAGGGTTGGGGTATGTAGAGGGGGTTCAATGGGGTGCAGGTTGATGCTGGTGAGTGGGTTTTCAGGGGGTTTTAGAGTTGGGAGGATGGGGGGCGAGTCCATGTCTGTGCTTCTAGAAGTCCACTTTCCCGACCTTGGCATGCTTTGTTTCTGGTCCAGGTCGGGCATGATCTTTAAAGGTCCAGGGTTTTTCTCCTCTGAACAGGAGACTCTGTTGATTGGTGGTTTGACCTGCAGCGTGTCAGGTGAGTGCTCAGGGTTACACACAGGCGGGCTGACTACCAAGACTGTGGGGATGTTAGTCACTGCGGTCAGAGAGGCTGTAGATGGTCTGGGCTGGGGGGTTAGCTTCACTGTAGGATTCACACCTTTGATAGAATTGATGGCGACAAGACCTGGAGGCTGGAGAAACAAAACATAAACAAATGATTGAAGACGTTAAAGAGACAGACTAAATAAAAGAACAATCTCTGAAAAAAGAACAGAGTCTGTTCAAGACTCAAGACTTCAAGAGGACCCGCTCCAGAACTCCAGACCCAGCTTTGTTATGATGATTCAGGTTTCAGTCCTTGAGGGCATTGACCTCAGTGGAGGGAAAAGGTCTATCTCTATGTGACTGTAGAGGGCCTGCAGTTTGGGTTAGGGCTGGGCGATAAACCAAAAATTTACAGATACCAAAATTTACAACAATAATCAATAACATTTTGCCCATATCAATATATACGGTGTCAAAGAAATAAAAGTTGGTTTTGGATGTGTGTAGGTAGGATATGGTCTCATGTCCCTTTAAGATGCTGTAATACATAGAAGATGTGACTCCACCCCATCCAGTCCGTAACAAAGAGGGAAAGACAGGTGAGGAGATGGAGGACGGTTCAAAAGTTGAAGCTAGAGGGGGTGAGCATCCTGTAGAGTAGTTATCGTACATTTATCGTTATCGAGGTGAAGTGCTCATTATATTGTGCTATTGATTTGAGGCCATATCGCCCAGCCCTAGTTTGAGTCTAAATAAACTGTGAATCTATAACACTCAGGATTCTTGCTTAAACTCTAAAGAATCTAAAGATTGACAAAAAAAAGACTTTTGCCATTTTTGCAGCAGACCTAGACTATAGGACACCAATAAAGGCTTAAAATCTGTCTGGATTGGCACATACAGGAATAAGAAATTGTATTTTCTCTCTTGGCACTGACAGTTTGTGTTTCTGTGAATAATCCACTCTCCCCATACTTGATTCTGACTTCTGTTGGTTTACAAGACCACATAGGAACTGTGAGAACTCACTCTGAGTTTGATTTCCACACATACTTTACATTAGTTCCTTCATTCCCCCCTATATTACCTGGTTGTTCCTCTGGGGAAGCCGACTGCCTGGTTCTCCCGCTCTGTCCCTCTGCCGGGCCTTTAGCCGGGCCCTCTGCTGCCTCTTCATCAGCTTCCAGTACTCCCTCTTCCTCTGCAGGCTGCTCTGACCGCCATGCTCCATAAGCGTGCTGCGGTACTTCTGTGCTAAAGGCTTGCTGATGCATTGCTCTTGTGCCGGACATGGTTGAAGCTCTGGTTGAGGTTGATCTAAGGGTGGGTGGTGCAGCTTTGGTGGCTCTGGGGGACAGGAGTTTTGATGGACGGTGTTTTCAGAGCAGATTTGTTGAGTTCTGTGAGGTGAGGACGGGCAGTCAAAGGCGTCCACTGAGGGGTTTAATATGAAGTTTGAGAGGGTTTGGGATGAACTCTCACAAGTGGGGTTGGGGATGGGAGTTGGGGGAAGTGTCTCACTAGTTTGTGGTGAGTTTTTCAGATGAGGGTTTGGAGAACCTTCTTGACTAGAAGCATCAGGATCTGGTTGCCAGCTTTTTATCTCCAGAGTGAGATCAGCAGCAATAGGAGCCACCTCGTCCTTCTCAAAAAAGAGCTTCATCAGATTTGGTTTTATCTCTGGTTCTGAAACCTCCTCTTCGGTCTTAACGCTGGTCTGGGCGCTCTTACTCTCCGTCACGGTGCTGAGAGACTCCTCCAGGAGTTTCTTCATGGAGGCCACAGCTAGCAGGGTGGTAGCCTGGCTGTCTGCACTCAGAGCTGGGTCAGGCTCTTGCTGAGAAGCTAAAGTGGGTGATGGGGAGGATGGGGGTTTGATGTCCGGACAGATGGCTTGGTCTGGTTTGGAATATAGGTCAACTGCTGCCTCCTGTTTTATCTCACATGCGGTTGTCTCACCAGGTTGGGTGTTCTCTGGATTGTTTGTGAGACTTGTGTTTGGCGGTATTGTAGTTGCCTGCTTCTGGATCCTCCTCCTTTGAATTGCCCTTGCTTGTAGGAGTCCCTGCTTAAGCCGGGCGGCCCGAGCCGCTCGCTGCTCACGCTTCTTTATCCTCCAGTACTCCCTCTTCTTTGCCATCCTCTCCTCCTCCGTCAGATCTGGATCCAGACACAAAGCCGATAGAGTCATGGTGCTACTTGAAACAGCCATTTTCATGACACACCCACCAAGTTTCGACCCTGCTGTTGGTCCTCCAGAGGAGGAACCTTTAAGGATCTGAGGATGAGTAAGTTTGAGCTGACCTACAGTTTGGATTGAAGTGCTCTCCACCCTTGGTCTGATTGAAAGCAGTCTTCGGGGTTTGTTGAGTCCAGTGAGAGGGAAGGACTCTTTCACCTGAGCCAGACGAATGGGTGCAACATCTCTCCGTTTAGTCTCTGCTTGATTCTGGGGCTTTGAGATGGGGGAACTTTTAGAAACTTCTGCTATGTCTTCTTGTTTGAGTGCTTGTGCTGTGCCGTGATTCGGTGGGATGTTGATGGTCACCGTCCCATCTTCTTTGATGAACCCTCCAATGGTCTCTGAGTCCTGGGCGAGGGTACTTCCTGCTGATTGCGCTCTTGCCTTCCTCATGTCCTCCAGGATCTTCTGATAACGTTTCACTCTCCGTATGAGACAGTCTTTCTCCTTCAGACGATTCTTCACCTCCATGGACAGTTTTGCTCGCTGTTCGCGCTTTTTGATCCGCCAGTACTCTCGCCGTTTGGCGATGATCTGCTCAGGAGTGTCACTGGGGTCTATTTTGGGGATGTTTCTGGAACCAAAGAAAGAAGCCACCATTGGAGACTTACATCTGATGTTTCTTTGATTCATGAAAGTCTTTTGGGCTTCAATGAGCCTCTGTCTGGGTATTTTACATCGTCCAACTCCTCTAGAAACGTTGGAAAGATGTGCATACGTTGGAAGCTTTCTTTGTGACTCCCCAGTTCTTTTTACAGGTATAACTTCAGGTGTGATGGCTGTTCTATTCCCAACTGGATTAAGGACTTTTACCTGATCTGCTTGCAGGGTTTCTTGGGCTAAACTTGTCTCTCTGCCTTGCATTTTATTATTTTCCCTCCTGGCAGATGTAAAGGAAGTATTGCCCCATGGATGACACTGCTTCTGTCCAACTCTTCTCAAGAACGTCCGAGACTGAACATGTGGGAGACCTGTACCCCCCACAGCTCCGGATTTTTGTGCTGTTTCCCTTGGTAGCGTCACCTCTGTGCTCTGTATCCTGTCTCTGGCTTTAGTGATCCGAGCCGCTACCTTTGCCCTCTGCTCTCGCTTCTTGATTCGCCACAGCTCCCTGCGCTTGGCGGCTCTCTCTTCCTCAGATTCTGGGGAGGTTAGCTGTGAATTAGTAAGACCTTTAGCCCTCTGAGAAGTGACCAAGGCACTCTTTGTCCCTCTTTGAGGTGTTGAGCTAGTCCTTTTGCACTCTGCTGAAAGAGAAGTTGCATTGGTCTGATCTGGAGTCACATTTGTGGGCGAGAGTTTGGGCTGAATGCAGGATTCAACTTGTGCCTTGGGTTGTGTTTTGGGGACGAATGCTCCCTGCATAGACACGCATGGCTGAGGTGTTTTCGTGGAGCTGCCGTTGGTTATTCTGGTCGCTCTGGTTGGAGGCACTGAGGAACTGGTGGTACCACCTGCTGTGGGTGAGGTAACGGCTTTAGATAGTGGCCCAGCACACCTCACTGTTGGGCATTTTATGGCGGTGCTGACACCCCCAGAAACTCTTGCTGAGATGGAAATTGAAGCTGGCACCTGAGGTAAGACCTTGTTGAGCTCCATGGTCTGGAGCCACCTCTCTTTTTGGCCCTCGGTGGCCCCGACTGAACCGTCCTCCTCCTTGTTTTCACTCCTGAATGACTCATCGTGACTCTGCAGAGCAGGAGTGAGAAGAGCGGTCGAGCCAGAACAGTTTGTATGTACGTGCTTTCCCCCTCGACTTTGCTGTGTCAGCTTTCCTCTCCGCTCTGAAAGTCGAGCCCTCTGCTCTCGTTTCTTGGTCCTCCAGTACTCCCTTTTCTGAGCAAGCGTCGCATCATCGTAGTCTGAAGCTGGGCGGTAGCGGTGGGACGGTGTTCCACCCTTGCCTTTTGCAGTTGGCATGCTATCGCCAGCTTGGACAGCCCATCAGTTCTCATCCAACAGTTCTGACTTCCTCTTTTCTTCTCATCCCTCTCAGTCCAGAATCTTCTTGGCTTTTGGCTCACAGGGCGTCCCCCGGTTGGATGCCAAAGCAGTCATAGTTTCAGCTCAGTGGAGCAGCTGCCAGATCAGTCAGAATCACATCATTGACCTGAGGAGCACAGACCAGGTCTTAAGTAAAGCTCAGTAAGGACAAAAAAAGAAAATAATCAGTTTACATTCACTTTCCTGTGATTCTCATGTGAAAGGGAATCTAAACCTGATTATAAAACCTGATCAGAAACACCTCTGAATGGTAATCAGTCAACTCTCATCAGGTCCATTTGTATGATGTTTTCTAATTCAAACAGCCTTTCAGGAAATCAGAACTGTAAAAATATAATAAAAACATTTGGACATATTTAGAATTTTTATCATCAACAGTTCATCTTCTCTCGAATTTGTGACTTGACTGTGGAGGTTTGACGCTTTCGTAAAAGTTGACTCTTCCTGATTCTTATTTGTTCTCAACATGGCATTTTCTTTGTGACATCTGGACCTAATCCTGGACTTTTAAACTCAAACTCCATTCATACGTATCTTTATTTGTGAGATTAAAACTTTATTCTGGGCAGTCTCAACTATCATTTTTTTCATTTGCAGTTTACATTTTTTAACAACACGATTTAGTTTCTATAATCCAAGGAGTGAATTAAACACTGAAAGAGAAAAAAGAACACCTACATAAATAACCCTCTATTTTCACTTATATTTACCTTTATAACTTTATTGTGCTCATAAATATATTATAGTTATAAGAGACATTGTGCATCTGGCCTACATACAATACCAAGGTGAATGCCCTATTTCTGCTGATATTCCTCTATCCTGTTATGCATACTTAATTTTTTTTATGCAACATTTTGATTGTATTTCTGAAACTGGACTCAGTTTTTGAACATGTATGACATCTTATGATATTTATATATTGTACACTGTATTTTTTACTAAATGTAGGGGTTTTGACTGAGCAAAGTTTTACTTTACCGTTGGCATTTTTACTTTATTTTTGATCATTACAGTACAGTTTTCTTTAATGCTTAAAAGAATATATTGTGTATATTTCTGCCTCCTCTGTTAGCCTGGCCTCATTGCTCTGATTTCATGTCTTTATATTATTGTGGACATTAGTCTCAGTTCAGTCCATCTGTAACATGAACTCTTATTCTGGTCAGTTTACATGTGACACGATCAGCTTTAAATTCAGATTTTCCTCCATTTCAACTCTAAAAACACCACATCTGGAGCTACTAAAGCACATGTTAGCATTTTCACAGACGCCTGTTTCACTGGATTAAATGCAAATCAAGACAAAGCAAACCGCCCATCTCCTCTGTCACCACACTCAGTCCACACTGTTTCCACGTGAGACCCCATCCAGCTGACCGCAGGGTGAAATTACAGGCTTTTACTGTTAAAATGGGACAGATCTGGGCTTTGGTACAGCGTGTTTAGTGGAGTGAGCACGTCGTGTTTGTGGGCTAAAAAGCTCCAGGAAGCAGGAAGGAAGCAGGGTGACACTGTCCCTTTAAACCTGTCCTTTTCTATTACAAATCCTCTCCGTGCAGAGCCATTTTTCTGCTTTATTCTTCTCGAGAGGTAGTAAACGCAACACAGACCCCCTCCTAAGGCTGAGCCGACCCTACACGAAGAGGAAACCCGAGAAAAGAGAGCGCAGATCGGCCATGAAGAGCGGTGTCTCTACGCTGCACAATGGACAAGATCTTCCTCCTCTGTCCACACGAACTGGCGCCTGTCTGAGTCTAGAGAAACCGCAAAACCCGCACACTAGCACCGCAAAGCAGCAGGCCCAGAAACATGCGGAAGAAAAACATGCAAAGCTGTTACCTTTCAGTTACAGATAACTTTCCGGGGCAGTTTGAGGGAACGGGTTTAGGACAGGTTTTCTGCCAGGACACTGCAGCTACTTTCCGCCTGCTGCCTGCCGAGCTCAGGCTGCCTTGACAACGCTGAAAAGTACCAGGATGTGGGACCTGGATGCTGTGTGTGTGTGTGTGTGTGTGTGTGTGTGTGTGTGTGTGTGTGTGTGTGTGTGTGTGTGTGTGTGTGTGTGTGTGTGTGTGTCGACACAGGGGCAGTGTACAATAACCCCCCACCCCCACCCCGTGAGTCTAAACCTCTAAACCCGTTTTGATCATAAGATAATAAACCTTTAAGTCACATGGAGTCAGACCCGATCACTGATCAATACAGACCTCAGTGACCGCTCTCATGGACGTGATGTGGGTTAAAGTTTGCGTTCACAGACTATAGTCTGAACCAGTTGTGCAAAGGTTCATTGATTTATCGTTTTTTTTCTGCACATGACCTGATTTCATACTCACTTTGTGCAGAAGTTAGTTTCAGTTGTAACAGAAGAGACAGTTTTTGAATAAAGGAGTAAAACAGGTCAAGGTACGGAGGTTAAAAATCATAAATTCAGAGAAAAAAAAACAAAATAACAGCAAGATATCCTTATAACAGTTTTATTAGCTTAAAACGTTATTATTGTACATGACGTGACGCCTAAATATTCTGTCCAGCTGTATTTTTTTTAAAGTTAAAAAATGTTTAAATGCACAAAAATATACTTTCTATATGTAGTATCTCTCTCATATATGTAGTCACTTCAACGTTTCAAAAATCAGGTCTTATTTGTAATTTTTCTGAACTTCAAAGTGTCAAAATATCATGTGGTGTGACCAATGATGACATTGATTGTATTAAATACAAACTGAAATATCTAATTTCTGTAACTGAAACATTAGTACCTGATACAATATGCTCAAGTGAAAGGTAGTTTTAAAACATTTTTATCAGTATTATGCAATTTAAAGAAAAATCTAGTCACTTAACTACATTTAATATTCAAAAAAGTACACGCATGCAGGATGTGAGATCATTATTTACACAAACTTAAATAAAATGCAAACACTTTGTTTCTATCTACTTGATATTACTGACGATTTGTAAAAAAAAAAAAAAAAAAAACGTATTAAGTGTGTTTAAAAAAATTTAATAATTTTGAGATAAATTATGGTTGCACAACATTACATTTTTTAAGGCCATGGCCAATTCATCTAAATGAAAAAACACTAAAATTGCCAAATTTAAAAATTTAACATTAACTTTTGCATACACAACATCCTTAGTGTTTGAACTTTTGCAAAATATATTCTTATTTTTGCTATTTTAAAATTGGCATGTTTAAAAACCTTATATGTCATTGACCCTTACATAAGTTCCTTAAAATTTGTTATTTTCTCATCTATGATAACCTAAACACCGTCTACAATATAAATAAATCATTTATTTGATTGAATTTTCACCAAAAATATGCTGTGAATTCAAATTGTTGCTATTAACCAAATTTAATTTCAGTCTTTTTTGTCTTCTTATGTTTTTGTCTTTCCATTTATGTTTTACATAAAAATTCTTGGAGACCATCTTCTTTCAAAAAAAACGTTTCTGTGTATCTTGCTTTTAAAAGACGTTTTGTTATTTTGGTTTGTTTTGCCTTTTTAGAAACAGAATCTCACTTTCAGTGTTTTCATGCTTTCAGTATCTAAAGACCTCCTCCACAGAACCTGACCCCTTTAGATCTTATTAATCTGCCAGAGTAAAAACAAAAAACGGGGTTATTATTTGTACAACTGAAGGAAAAAGTAATCTAAGTGAAAAATTATCAGAAAACATCCTTTATTTTAAAGGTAGTAGGTGTTTGTTTTGTCTGTTTTTAACCGGTTTTCATGTTTGATTTGAGGTCGAACAGCCGCACAGAGAGCGAAGTGCTGCCATCTAGTGGTTGGCGGTTTGAACACACAAATAAACGGCTGCTACAGATCTTTACACATTTATGTCAAATAGAACGATACTGTATTTTCTGGGAGCTAAAACTGATATTATGTGAAAAGATACTCATACAGTCCCATCTACTTTGTTTAGATCTGTTTGGGGAAAAGCTTCTATTCATCCTGCCTGAACAAAGACATGGTTTAGAGTAGATTATGTACAGTTGGATTAGTAATGTGCAGGACTCAGAGTGAAGTCCTCTACTGCAGGTTCGCTTCGTGTAACAAACACACAGCATGATTTTTAATATCATTATAACCATAAAGATAAGTAAATATAGGCTCCCCAGCCTAGGACACAGTGATCTGGATCTGTTGGGGCCCATATTTGGACCCGCCTCGTGTTTTAACCGCTGCGGTGCTGGAGTGAGAGCCTCCATCATCACATGATCCTGAACAACAGTATTAGTACCAGCAGCTTATCAGTATTAACGCTGCTGACCCCCCACCCCCACCAACACCCCACCCCGCCCCCCGGTGAGCGCGCACTGTTGACGCTGCTACTGTCTCTTTAAATTTACCCAGGAGCCCCTTAAGGAGCCCCAGGGGCCCCTAGTCCGGCTCCCCACCCTGAAGACAAGCAGGAGCCTTAAAATACTCGAGAGGAGGCCTGCGATGATCCGCACTCAGCAGCTCGGAGCAGCGGGCTCTCTGCGCCGCCGGACTGCGTGATTCTTGCGGGATTGGATGAAAAGTTAACTTGGCTCCCGTGCGGGGCGCGTGGGGGACATCGGAGAGCACGGGCTCGCCTGGCAGATGCGTGTCTCGCGGAGCCGTGCGGGTTGAACATGTCTCTGTGAGGGGGGACATGTCTCGCTCCAGCGCTGCGGTACCGTGAAGGAAGCAGGAACCGCAGCGGCCATTACCGCAGCAGCAGGGCCCGTGATGGAGGAGGGAGGACCGGGCGGAGAGGAGCCCGGGGAGCTCCGGTGTGCGGAGCAGGCGGAGGTGCTCTCATTAATAATAAGCGGGGAGGAGGAAGCGACGCAGGCGGACAGTGAAGCGGGAGGTAAAGAGAACAGCTGCGGGGGTGATTCTGTTTGTTTGGCACCGCACGGTCAGTGTGCGGGGCTGTCACAGACACGCCATTGTCAGGCCGCCCGTTAATCCGTGTCAGGGACAATACCGGAGCAGCATGGCCCCTCCGTCTGTGGCTCCTATAAACAAAGGCTCAACAGCACGCAGGCAGGCAGGCAGGCAGAGCGACACAGCGCCGCCCCCTGGTGGACGGTCGCTGACATGAATAAACAACAACAAGCAGAATAATAATCTATCAGACAGGTCAGCGTGGGGATTAAAAATATCAACTAATGTTAATCAGGAAAGGACAGGAGTTTAAAATCAAGCATAACTTTAATCTTTTACACACTGTTACTCTATTGTGTTACTTCTGAGAGTCTCTTGACAGTTACAGCTATATTTATCTTTATCTGTTCTTCAGTAAAAATAAAGCCTCTTAATATTCTTTCAAAACTTTTCTGCACTGAAAAAATAAATCAACGTTTAAACCCAATTCCATAAGAGACGGGACACCATAAAATATATTTGATAATTATTTTAATTATTAGAATATTATTTAAAATTTTATTTTTTTGACTTGGCAGCACAGATAATTCAATAAAACTGACATTAATCAACAAAGAATGTAGCAAGAGATTAGAAAAAATACTACGATTTTACAAAACCTGGACACTACAGATGTTGAAGGTTTACAAATCATTTTATGACTGTATTTACCTGAAGATAGAGGAAAGACAACAAATCAAAAGTTAAGACTGTTTTTATTTTATGAAAATTTGCCCATTCTAATTTTGATGTTAAAAAAAATTGTTCCAGGTCCATATCTCTCATCATGTATCCTCAGATCTTCTTTCACCAACTCTCTGTAGACCTTAGTGAACCCAGCAGACCAGGTTCTGGAGTCTGACAGTGAAATGTCCCATTCTTGCCTGATAGAGGATTTCAGCTGCTCAACAGTTCAGGGTCTCCTTTTTTTTCCTGTTTTTGGTGTCATGACGCTCCAAATGTTTTCAGTGGGGCACAAATCAGGACTGCAGATAGACCAGTTTATCAGCAGGACTCTTCTACTACAGAGCCACGCTGCTGTAATCCCTGTTGTCAGAATGTGGTTTGCCATAGTCTTGCTGAAATATGAAGGTCTTTCCTGACAAAGTCATTGTCTGTACGGCAGCAGATGTTGCTCCTAAACATGTAGATGTTGTTCAGCAATAATGGAGCCGTCACAGATGTGGAAGATACCCATGACATGGACTCTGATGATCCCCATACCATCAGGGAAATGTCTCAAAATTCTGTATTTTCCTGTAAAAATCAAATTTTTAAATAAAGAAATAAAACTGAATCTCTGTTCCTCTCTTTAAGACGGGGACGGTCTGGCTAACGGTCATGGTGAGGAGGAACCTGGCGTGGTCACACCTGTCAGAACAGCAGGAACCAGCTACTGGAACATCACGGAGGTCCAGGACCACCCGCTGCTCCTCTCCCCGGCCCCAGGCCCCTCAGGACGTAAACCCCCAGTCCAGAAGGCCTCGCGTCCAGGCCTGAGCCGGATTCCGGGCCGCGACCACCGACGGTACTACCATGAGTACTGGAGGAGCGAGTACCTGATGGACTTTGACCCGCAGAGACACGGGATGATCTGCATGGTGTGCGGCAGCTCGCTCGCCACGCTGAAGCTGTCCACCATCAAACGACACATCAGGCAGAAACACCCGGACTCCCTGCTGTGGAGCGTCGCAGACAAGGAGGTGATCCGCTCTGGCTGGGAGAGTCACCTGAGTCTGGGTGGGGGTCAAAGGTCGTACAGCTCTGCAGAGGGACCTTCAGTGCAAGAGGAGGAGGAGCAGCTGGACTCAGAGCAGCACGCAGCAGGTGGGTCGAGTTTATTGTTTTTGATTTTTATTAAAGTAAAGACAAAAATTAAGGCTGATGGTCCGGCTACTAAGAATAAAAGGAAAGGTCAGTCACATGAGCCAGTCATCAGATCGAGCGCTGACTTTCCACCCTAACCAAACCCTTTAACAACTACATCCTGATCCTAACATGCAAAAAAGCTGCAGAAAAAAAACACAGCTGTCAATCTGATCTGTGAAAAAAAATACCTGAGTGAGAGACAGCGCAGGAGCTGCTGCAGGCGGGAGGACTGCGAAGAGAACACGCCATCAGCTATCGCCTTAGCAGCCACACCTCAGAGATAAACCAGCCGGAGTGAGTGAGCAAATCTGCACGTATGACTGAAGAGAAGAAAATTTTTAAGATTTGACAAAGTTGTGCCTCATTTTTAAAGGTGTTTATCATTCAGAAGAGGACTGTGTATTTTCTTTTTGCACTAAATGTTCAATGCAGCTTATTTTCATAGTTACTTTTCACACAAATCAACAAAACTAAAAAGCCTCTGAGTTAATGATGTGAGGAGACTGACCTTTAAACTTTAATGTTTTTTCCCCTAAAAACATCCGATAACAGTGGGATAGTCTTATATTAGGGTTCAGTGCTGACCATTTCAATGCTGATAAATCAAGTCTTCCTTTTAAATCGTGTAACTGTTGTGTTAACATTACACAAAAACAGTCAAATAGAGCCACTGTCTGTAAAATCCACTCACTCTGTGAGACTGGCAGCTTTTGTGTGTCTGTGACATCCTGGGTTTGTTTTTTAGAGTCTGTCTGGGCACATCCATCAAAAGTGAAGGTGATCCGTGATGATTGTAGTTTTTATCTAAACAGACGCCACAGTTTGCTCTTCATGTGTAGCGGCCCTCGACAAATTACACAGCGGTAGAGTTCGACTGGTGTTCGAATCGTCTTTATTAAGAGACGCTGTGAAACTGTGAAAAGCAAACAAGACATTACAATCTGCATAAATCCAAAATTTAAATTCATTTATTACAAATACAAAAGTTAAAATAAGATCAACAGCATTTAATATAATCAATCAATCACCTCGTACACTTAGTGGTGACGGGCGCCTTTTCATTTTGTCACTGTTGACCAAAAATGTTTAAACAATGAAACAATAGCAAATATAAATATGTAGAAAAACAAACATTACTTGCTACACACCAAAAGTCTTGCATGGGTGTACCGAGCACCTGCTTTGATCAAACTGAAAGGTTGGCATCTGATGTCACTGTTTACACAATTTCTGGGGTTGCGATGCCGACACGGGAACATGAATGTGACCCCAACAACAAAGAAGGGCCAGTGGCCACTTACATCATATAAAGACCAATTAAAACCAGTTACATTGAACAGTTTTAGGTTTTTCTCTGGTTAAAACTCACACATTTTTTACTTAAATAAAACTTAAAAGTGGATTATGCAACTTTATACATGATCATTTTTGCAACACTGAGCAAAAACAAACTGGTAGAAACAGAAAGTGTTCTAGGAAGCAGATGCTGCAGGTAACCAACAAATAATAATATTTCAGTACCTGGAGCCCCCTCCTGACCTGAAGTCTTTTTATTAGCTGGTCTATCAGCAGGGACTTGTTGGGGGTAAGATAAATAATGTGCACAGGGCTCAGGTTTTATCCAGGTCTAGAAACACGCTCAGCTCCTGGAAAATTTTCTGCAGATAAAATCTTCTTTTTATTTGGACTTAGACTGACTTTTATTGTCATTCAGTGTGCAGCAGGTGAATACAGACCAACATTTCATTAGCATATGCCTCAGTTATTGTTTCCACACTCAAAAACATCAGAATTACAAAAACAGTCCAAATGCTTTAAGTCTTAAAATATACAGCCAAACATTTGTCGTCTTAAAACAGTAAAAATGTACTTTCAATTTTTGGCTTCATGTGTTTTAAATCCAGCAGAGCCCCCGTACCCAGTGACCCCCCAGGAGCAGCAACAACAACCTCTCAGCCAATCCCCTTGCTTTGAGGAGGGTGAAGCCCCCCAGCCCAAAGAGGAGGAGGATCAGGATCTCCCGGGGCCGTCGGCTCGGACTCTGGAGCGCTACCTGAACGACTCCCTTCACGCCTGGTTCAGACAGGAGTTCCTGATGGAGTACGAGGCGGAGGCGGGCCGGCTGCTGTGCATGGTGTGTGGAGGAGAGCTGCCCTCGCTCCACCTGGAACACATCAAGAGCCATGTGTTGGACACCCATCCGAACTCCCTGGTCTACAGCTCGGAGGAGAAGCACTGCATCCTGCAGGCCTGGGCGCAGACTCACGGTGAGAACACACGCACACTGCAGATCATCTAAAGCTCCAAATGTAGTGAAAACTCTGCAAAGACAAAGTTTATATTATTAGAGCTGATGGATTAAACGTTTCGTGAAATTTATAGACGCTCAGTTTGAATTTGGTAACAGCAACATGGTCCAAAAAGGAAAGGAAGTTTCAACAAGTCAGGACTGCAGATAGACCAGTTTATCAGCAGGACTCTTCTACTACAGAGCCATGCTGTTGTAAACCCTGTTGTCAGAATGTCGTTTATCATTTTCTTGCTTGAATATAAAGGTCTTCCCTTTAAACAGTTTTGTCACAGTTTTGTGTTCTTGTCTGTCCTGGTACAGAAGAGTCAGACATGTCAATCAAATCAGAGCCAGACACCAAAGACAGCGTGGGGGCGGAGCTTTTCTCTCAGGAGGTGGAGGCGGTGCAGCTCCACACTGGCTCGTACCCGGAGGCTGACGGCACTTTAACTCAGGACACATGTCTTATCGGAGAGGATGGGGGAGTCGGAGCTCCTCAGCAGGGACCCCCGCCTCCCCGCCCACCCAGGAAGAGGCGTCTGCGAGGGGGTGACCCCTGGAGGCTCCGCCTCGACTACCTGGTGGCGTACGGGCCTGCGGGTCAGGGCACGTTCTGCATGGTGTGCTCTCAGGTTCTCCACGAAACAAAGGTCAGCAGCTTCCGCCGCCACATCCAGGAGAACCATCCGGAAACCACGAGCCTGAGCCGGCAAGAGAGGGAGGCCATGGCTGCAGCCTGGACCAAAGATTACTCTGGAGAGGGGTCACATGGTCAGGACGGTGAGGACACACTTTAAGACGCTCTGAAAATCTAAATATGAGGATAGTTTCCCTGTTTACTTCCATTCTTATTAAACTCAGACTTTTGCAAACTCCACCTGTTTAATATGCTTCTCCTGGTGATCCAGAGTCAGTATAACTGAAAGAGGTTTTATAATAAGCTTTGGAGTCAGATCTCCACTGCTAACCCTTTCCTTCACAGAATCCAGACCAGAGCGCCTGACATGTGGAAACTTTTTAAGCACACAAAAGTTCAGACTCAAATAAAGATCTGTGAAATACAGTCCTGATGTCATGGGCCTGATTTGTATGATCTGTTAGAGACTTCAGGCTGTGATAGAAACACAGACAACAGTGGACCACAGGAACTATATACATCCTTAAAGAAAAGTCCCTAGAAATTAAAGTTCCCTGTATTTTGGTCAGAAAGTTCCTATAGACTTAAATTAGGATAAAAGAGAGAAAAAGTCTTTAAATAACATGTTTCTTTTCTGTTTTTTCATCAGATATAAATGTGGGTGGAGCCAACACCCTAGACACCCCCGCAGAGACGAATCAGGACACCTCACCTGATGCCAGGACGCCGAGCAAGATGGTAAAAAAGGAAGAGGGGAGCGCAAGCGGATGCAGGGGTCGAGGAAGAGACGCTGGCACCACAGCCACCCCCTCTCGTCATGGTCACTACCCCGGAAAGGACCAGCGCAGGAACTACCAGGTGCGCTGGAGGATGGAGTACCTGATGGAATACGACAGCCGCAGACACGGACTCATCTGCATGGTGTGTGGAGCCACGCTCGCCACCCTGAAGGTGAGCACTATTAAGAGACACATCCAGCAGGTGCACCCCCACTCCCTGGACTACACCCCTGAGGAGAAGCAGCAGGCCCTGCTGAGTTACAACCAGAGCGCCCTGCACTTCATCCACCCCGAGGACCTGCCAGCCACCCCAGAGCATGCACACGCCGAGCAGGGCCCCGCACCCTCACAACACTTTGGCACTTAGAAAGGGCTTCAATCTACCGCCCCTCACACACCCCCGACTCTGTCCTCAAAGGGAAGGTCAAGTTTTTGTCAAACAGGGTCTTTAACTTCCTGTACCTGCCTCTTAATCCTCGTCTCACCTGGCTTTACAAACTTGTTCAGAGCAGCGGACAGAAGAATGAGACCCAAGTTTACACCAACTGAAAATCACTGCTCCAACCCCTCTGAAGGGTTTACTCTAGAACCTCCAGGCCCTACAAAATAAAAGTCCAGACACAAGCCCTAAACGAGAGCTCTTACCTGCTAAGCAATGCCAGAATTTGGGTTTTTTATTTATTGAAGTAAAACAAATGAGGGATCTGCAGCTTTTTACAAAGAGATAATGAGTCAAATCTTCTCTCAGGACAGGAGTTTAAAACACAGTGAAATTTTGAGGCCACATTAGAGAAAGATAACGGAGATCTGGGGAATTGAGTCATAAAATTACAGAAATAATGCACTTTTTTCCCTCAAGTCCTCCTGGAGTGTCTGGACTTTTATTCTCCACAGCAGCAGGTTTGTGGTTTCCATGCAGCTGTTTACCTGTGACCTGCAGGTGAGGGGGTGTCCAGGCTCGAGTCTTTCGCTCTCAGGAACCAGAGTCTTCGTTGAGGTCTGACGTGTCTGAAGACAAACACAGCACTTTGTCCCTGAACTGTTGGAACCCAGACGCCCGTCTGTGTGTCAGACTGGACGTTAAAGCTGAAGACAATGAATGCAGCGTGCAGTTTCCTTGCTCTCCGGTTTATTTATGTCCGTTTACAGTCCTGGAGACGTCTTCTCCTCTTTACTGAGATATGTTATCTCTCCGTCTGTCCGCTCACTGGTCCGTTTCCTCCTCACTGCTCATCCAAACTGCACAAAGACTGTAAATAAATATGAAAACGGAAGTATTTTTTCTTTCTAAAGCACTTTTATGCACCTGCTTTCTACAGAACTTGTTTGTAACTCAGTTTTTCTACTTTAAGAAAACAGTGTTTCTTCTTCTTCTCTTTCTTCTTCTTCTTCTTCGACTTTGAAACTTTTGCTCCAGTTTTGGTACTGCTTCATTATTTTCATTTTCTGTGCAGTGTGAGCGACAGAAAAAGTTAAATTAATTTAAAAAGATGTCAAAAAGAAAAATCTGCCATAAAAAGTCACGACTTCACCTGGAAAAAGTAACTCAGGGATTGTGTTTACATCGAATTTCATCAGTGGTCTGACAGGTAACGTGTGAAATGGGTTACCTGTAAGCTGAGGTTACAGGTGAGGCTTTAGAAACGACAGAGTGACAGGGCTGAAAGACTGAGGAGGACAAATTTAGATCAAATCAAAGTATTTAAAGTTTGGCAGAGGAGGCTATAATTTAACTTTTTATTTCTTTAACTTAAAGACAAAAAAATGCAAAAAGTGTTTGAAAAACTTTCAATTTGTCATATTATCAAGTCAACGTATTTTGAGTTAAAGCTGTGATTTTGAGAGGAAAATGTTGACTTTGCAAAAAAAGGAAAACAAAAAAAATCAGAAATGACCCTGAAATACTTTTTGTTAATTTTAACTTTTTATTTTCAAAATAAATGTTAAAAAGAAAAAGTTGAGAGAAAACAAATAAAAATTTTGCAGTAAAAAAAAAAAAAGCTTCAATTCTAAATCTTTTGGAATGAGGACATTTAGAGAAAAAGGTGATTTTTATTTTAAGAGTCAAACTTAATTTAAAGGAAAAAGGTGTTTGTCAAATGAATCTGTAAAAGTCAAAATAAGGAAAATGTTCTGTTTTTATTCAGAAGAAAAACTCGTTAAAGTGACTTTAATTTGAAAGTTTAAAAAATAAGCCGAATTGAAAATGTAAAAGTCAAAGATTTGAGTCTTTATCAGAGGTGGCACTTAAGTTAAAATAAACTGTTGGGGTGGTCTTTAACAGGCTGGTAGTGCAGTTCAGTGTGAGGCATTTCCAGGTGAGGAATTTTGACAAATCTCTTTATAGAGTCAAATTCGGCAGATTTAGAAGTTGATTTTCTTTTGAAAGTGAAAAACTGTAATTGAGAATTTATAAATCAGACATATCTGAAGGAAACAACCCTTCAGCTTTGGGGTTAACTCTTAATGTTTTTCACACCAGGACACCCCCATATAGAGCTGCACACCCCAGTTTGGCCCTCACATTCTAAAGGCTCTGGCTCTGCCCCTTTGATTGGAAAAAAAAAAAAGAATTTCAGGAGTAAGACATGATATCAGACAGTCAGGAAAATGAAAAATAGCACTTTTTAGGATTTTGTCCTCTCAGTTTTTTTGGTCTAGTTTTCATGTTACTCTGCCAAAAGCTTGCAGAATTGTCTCTGATGAATTTTTATTTTTAAAGATGTTAAAACAGAAACAAAATTCCCTGTGACTCTGAAATTCAGCTAAAAGCAGTCTAAATTCACTCTGTCTAAAAATAAACCTACAGACCAGACAGCACTTAATTATTTAAAATGAAGTTACAGTGAAGAGTTTATGAGTGTGTGTGTTACTATGTGTGTGTGTGTGTGTTTTGTGTGTTTACCTGCAGAGGTTTTGTGTTTGTCGTCACTCTCACCTTTCCTCACCTGAGCTCCTGAACATGTGAGATGTGTTTTTTTTTTCTCCTGATGATCTTTGAATAAAAATATCAGACTCACCGTAAAAATGCCTCCTGATGCTCTTGCTGCTGCGGTCATGACCACGGCTTAAGCTTCAACACCTGTTCATGATGTTCATGTGTGCATGAATATTTTAAGACAGGAATCTGAAATCAAAAAGTTAAAGTTTGTGTTTATTTGAATCACTGAAAATGATTCTTGAAATAGAAAATATATTTAATCACCTTTCTTTGGTTAAAAAAAATGTCTCTATAGACTCTCTATACATCCAAATATCTTCAGCTTTGTTCATTTTTCTCCACATTTAAACCCAAATCTCTCAAAATTCAATATTTTTTCTTCACATTATTCATTTTTTGTCCTGTTCTGCCGTCATGCTCTTTTTAAAAAAATTTTAAAAAAAGAGAATAAAAGAGGATTTTACATAAATTAAAAGATAAATTTTGGTTCAGCCTTTTTTATATTTTGTACACTAATAATAAAACTTAATTTTCTCTTTGAAACATTTGACTAATCACCTTCAGTTGTAATCTTAAACTTGAAATGTCTTCTCAATTTTGTCTTAATTTCTTCCCTTTTCGCCTTCCATACAGGCCTGTGTCTAAAAGCCTGGAAGCGGACTTTGAACTAAGCTGAAATGAAACAAAGAGAGAAATGTTGGTAAAATATTCATTTTTCCTGAAGGTGCAGACTGTAGCAGGAGTTAATTAAATATTAACATGCATGAAGTTTTTATTGAATTATGTAACTCAGGCTTTAATGTCTGCATGTGACTCTCAACACGTTAAGATCTAAAATTAGAAACTTTAATCTGCTCTCCACCCAAACAGCAGACAGACAGCAGCCTCCACTCAAATCCACTTATTTTACTTTTAACAAGTTTAAATGGGTTTTTAATCCTCCGCCCTCCCACAGTGCAGGGATGCATGCTGGGAAATATTTCAGTTGAAACACAAAGAAGAGACCCAGAGAGTCAGGAGAGTCCTTTGAGGTGTTTTTATTAATTTCACTTTGACATCAGTACAGAGACCACATACTTTTATTTTTTTCAGTTTTCTTTTTTTTTTCCTGCAACACTTTTTTTCCCCAAAGCTTCAAAAAAAGGAACCAAAGTCAAAGCTAATACAAAACAGAGCTGATGTTAGTGAACGACGTCTAAGATACCAGAAAAAAAGGTCAAAACACTCCTGTCACACACTCCCGAGCCGAAAACATGGAAACACAAAGAGGACGAACAGGAGGAGGAAAAGAACATGCTGAGAGGAGGGCAAACGTGGAGTTTACTCCCATTATATTTTACACTCTAAAGAGAGAAGCAAACGTCCCGGGCTGAAGGTTTCCTTAATGGGCCAAGCTAATTATCTTTAGCACAGAACCCATGAGTCAAACTGAGAGCTTCAACATTTAAGAGTGAGATCATATAAAGACAAACATGTTTCCTTCAGAGGTATCCGACATGCATTTCATCCTCCCTAAACTCAGAGGACCAGGGTTATGCCTGTTTTTTTCAAAAAGTCACGTTTCCACTGCAAGATCCATACCGCTACACCAGGAACCTTAAGAGTAACATGGTTGATTTTCACCGCACAAATCCTTACCTAAATTAAAAAGTTATCTTTGCCCTCAAAAGTTCCCTATTCAAGCCTAATTTATTCTAAGATTGAATAGGATAAACTGAAAAGTCCAATTTACACTCCAAGAACATTCCCAGAGTACCAGGAACCATAATAGTAGCAGGGTTTAACTGATTCGCACAGACCCAGATCTAATGGTGTTTTGCATATATGATAAAATCTGCAGAACATTTTTTTCTTGCATAACTGAAATTATTTTTTTTTTTCTCATTTCAAAAACGCTGTAAAAATTTCCCTGTACTTTCAGAACTTTCTTTTTCTTGAGTTTTTGGACTTTGGTGGAACCTCGTGGAGTTTTTAAATTTTAATTTTTTTTTCATTTACCTCTTTTCTTTAGTTTATATAGGAACTCAAAACTTTTAGAGTGCAGTGGAAACCAAAGAACAAGAGGCTTCAGGAACCTGTACTTTCTTGGGCTAAAGGTTCTGGGTTCTTTTGGTGGAAACATGACTTCAATAAAACCCAGTAGCTTGCAAATATAAGATGAAAATGAAACTTTAAAGCTACATTTTGCGCTTTCTCCACATTCAAATAAATTAATAAGATGCATATGAATGTTATCAGTGTTTTGTTTTCTTTTAACAGCAGGAATCTCAGACAGAAATTTTGCATATTTTGTCGTTGATCCCGAAGTCTGAATTTAACAAAAGAAGTCGTTCTCGAAAGGAGAAAACATTCAGGCAGATTTCGGAGGAGTTTAATGTTTACTGCATTCAGAGCTAATGAGAGAATGAGTTTCATCATTGTTTGGGGACATTTACTCCATGCAAACTTAAAAAATGAACAAGAACACCAACATTTTCGTCATTTTACGTCCTTCTATAAATCCATCCCTTTAAACAATATGGAGACGCAGCATTAGCGCTAACATATGACTATGGTTTTTCTTTTACTGAGTTCAAAAACACCAATGAAACAATCACGAGTAATAATCATATTAATCAAAAAGTTAGGGTCAAGAATATGATACAGCCTATTATTATAGAAAGGGTGAGAGTCTGTTTCCAGCTTACACTATGACATGCGCTTCAAGGCAGTCAAAGAAAAAAAAAAAGTGACAAACTGAGCTCTACGATCTTTAACACTTCAAAATAAAAAAACTGTCTTCAGATTGGACAGCGACACACTTTATCAAACTCATAAACCTCCTGATCCTGTTTTGATACCTCCAGAAATCTCTCAGGTCACTGCGGAGAAACAAATGTGCCAAAAGAAAAGATGTATGATTTTAATTTTTCATATTTTAAAGAAGAATCACATATTTTATTCTGTTTATTGCTTTTTATGCCTTTTGGGCTCCCTCTCACTCTCTCTATTTTCCAATATGTCCCTTCTTGAAATGTCACCTAAATATTAAATCATTAAACATGTCTTAAAACTTAAAACTCTGTTTTGTTGTCATCTGTGTTCAATGCCATTACATTTATAATTTATAGTTTCAATGCAAAGATTCACAGGTGTTTATTTTCTGTTGTTTTAACCCCCGACCACTAGAGGGCAATGCAGTGATCTATTTGAGAGAGAGGAGAGAGCACAGGCCAAAAAACAGACTGCCATTCTAAACTGTCCTGCTGAAAACACAGAGATACATCACAATATCTCAGTGCTGTTACTTTTTAAGTGCTCCATTTGCCACCATCTACCTAATAAATAAGCAAGAATTTTTTTGTTTCAAAAAACAAAACAAATAACATCTTTGGATTTATCTTTATCTTTTGCATAAACTTCAAATTCAATCTTATTTTTGGAGTTTAACTGGATTTTTTGATTTGCATATTAAGAAAACTGTTTGATGCCGGAATCTTTGTCTCCTGCCAACTTGAGATTTTGGGATTTCCTTTGACTTTTTTTTTTTTTATGCAAAGAGGAAAAAAAAAGCAACTTTTCATGCAACCTTTTCTCACCCTTTGCACTAAAACTTTATTCTCCAGCAGATTTCAAAGTGACTTGCTGAGTTGAAATGCAAAAACAAAATCTCTTTGAATTTATCATTTTATTCGCTTTGCACTCAGCAGAATAAAAACTAAAACATTTTAAAGTTCCTTATTTTAACTCAATTCTTAACATCAAAATTAAAAATTGTTCAATGCCATACTCATTTGCTCTTGCATTCTTGAATTTTTTTGCTTCAGTTTTTTCTCTTCTTTCCAAGGCTTTTGCTCCTAGTTTGAACCATATGTTGCAAAATTTACCTTTAAATGAAAAATCAATAATGCGTTACACTTAAATTAACAGTTTCATTTGTTAATTTGCGAAATGTGTAAGGTGGACTTTTAGGCAGGGGTGGAGCCACAGTTTTTGTTTTTTTGGGGGTGGCCTAATTGGGGCACTGGCTTCTGTTTACTTTGAAGTGACAGCATTTTTGACGGAATTTTTACAGATTCAGAAATAAGATTAAAAAAAATGTGCTGTTTTAAAAAACTAAGAAAATGTATTTGGGTGGCCAATTCCAAGAGGGGTATGGCCATCTCTGACCAGAACCTGGATCTGGCCCTGCTTGGTGAGTTGAAGTCAAATACTTTTGGCACATTTGAGACTCTGTACTTAAGAACTGAGAGGTTTCCATTGTCGGATTAAATGAGCATTAAAAAAGGATCAGGAGGTGCTTCTCTAAACGTCTCCTCTCTCAGGAGGCCTCTTAAAGTCTCAAACATAAACTCTGTGAAATGACACTTAACACAACTGTTACAATGCTGTCGTCAAGCTAATAAGGGAGTCCAAGCAGCCGTCCTATGATTAATATCAATAACAGGAATAAGTAGTGATGAGAAGAATCAAAAATTTACAGGTGAGTGTGAGAGCTCAACACTTTGTGGCTTGAACAGGTGCAACAAAAGGACTGCTGTAAGTCAGTGAGTGAGTAAGGGAACGTCCTGTCAATATAAAAAGCGAGGCTAACGTGTTCCATACAGCAGAGAGACAGAGAGAGAGAGAAAAAGAGAAAAGAGAGAAAGAGAGAGAAAGCCTTAAAGTGTATTTACACAGAAAACTGTTCAAAAAATGCTTCTGATCAAAAGAGGGTGAACTAGACCAAATTATCACAGCTGGCTCAGTGTTTCCAATCCTTTTATTTCAACCTGCTCACGGGTGTAAAAAATTAGACTTCAGTGCATTGCAGAAACTTACATACAGAGGAAGTGCCTGGAAACAAACTCAACTACAGGCCGAACCCCAAACCAGCTCATTCCTATCCAAACCGCAGCTGCAGAGCGAGAAGATGATCAGTGGGGATAACACCCAGAAGGTCGATTCATTTCAATTTTCAGGAGGTGTGTTTTTAAGTACAGACATTTGCTTTTTGATGTGACCATCGCCCGCCTGCTCGCTGCACAAAAACCAGGTCATAGATTCAGTCTAGTTCACTCGACCCTGCCTCCATCTCCCTGTGGCTCCGCCCACAAGACAGTCTGGGTCCGCAGCGGCGGCTGTGTTACATCACTTCCTCTCTAGCGACGTGCTTCCTGTCTGCACAGGCACAGTTCTTTTTAATGCTTTAATGCGAGTTAAGCTGCGCAGTAGTTTTACATTGAATATCGAGTAGCTCAGATTTTCTACCTAGCAGGTTCAGTGAAGGGGGGGTGCTGATGGTGGATGGAGGAAGGGGGAGGAGTTAGACTGGGGGCGGGGTTTGTGGAAGGGAAAAGGTTTAAGATGGTGATGAAGATGAGGATGATGTGGAGGTTTCTAATGATGAGGAGGATCATTCAGTTTTGCTGCGTTTCACAGCTCCAGGGAGTTTCTCTTGCAACCTGAAGAGGAAAAAAACAACGAAGAGTTAAAAAAAAAAACGATCAAGAGGAAATCTGCTGTTCAAAATACTTCATCTGCTGATTCAGGGATTTACTGACTTGGCCATCGTGGTGTTGACTTGAGTGCGTGCCAGGTCGATGTACTGATCGATCTGAGTCTGGAGGAAAAAAACATAAAGAGAGATGAACGTCAGTCTGACAGAGAAATATGCGTTTTCTTAAATCCTGTCAGCAACTTTTTTTTGAAGGTAAAAGCTTTTGGAGAAGTTCAGCCATAAAGACAGTGTTGAAGCTTTTATCAGGGCAGCTGCACCCTTTTTAAATCAAAGAGTCAAACAAACAGCAGCTAAAAAAATCACCACAGACCAAAAGTAAACAGGACTAAAGCTCAGTTTACTGATTTATCAGGGTGATTATGAAATTACATCTGAGCTCATGAATTTCAAAAATTGACTTAATAAGACTCCGAAAGGATCTGCAGTCCTAAATCAACCTGTTTGTCCTAAATCATGTATCATAAATTGCATCCTTCAGAATCCAAAACATGTCTCATGCTGAAGTCCAGTCTTCTGTAATCAAAGTTTAAGAGAAGCCAGCAGCTCTGTTATTTGTCCTGACAGTCAGATGACTTCATGTCCTCAGCAGCTGGACGACAACAAGAGAGACGCAGAAAGCTTTCAGAGAGCGATGATGCAGACTGCAGTCATCCAGTGAGCTCACTGCTGCCGGGTTTGTTTTCTAACGGCTGCAGTCATGGCCGCCCTTTAAAACTCAGCGGATAAACTCCTAATGATCCGGGACGAGCCGCAGACTCACCTTGTTCTTCTCGTAGATTGGAGGAATAGTGAAGAGGAGGATGTCAGCTGGAGGACGCAGACAAAGGACAGGTCAGAGGATAGGTACAGACGAAGTTTGGATAATCAGAAACAGATACACAATTAAACCCTGAACTGAGACTGTGTGGAGATAACAGGGTGAATAAAGCAGCAGAGGAACTAATACAGAGTAAATACAGCTAAACTACGGTGGCCCTGAAGGTCCAACTGTTTAACCGTTTCATGAGACACAAAAATAATTCACCCAAACCATAAAAAAATTCACCTATTTCAAAAATATATAAACAAAGAACAATTCACCAGAACTAAAATACTAAAGAAGCAAAAATTTTTCAGTTTAATAAAAAAAAAAAAAAAAAAAAACGAGACCTGATTTAGATTTTTTAAAAATATATATAATGAGAAAATTTTGCATGTTTTTAAGTTGAGTGAATTTTTTGGGAGAGGGTTTTTGTAAATTGTCGCAGTCATTAAGTGTTTGTAGAATTGACACTAAAGGGCCACCGTATCCAGCACAGGCAGAAAGAACAGGTTCTATTTTACAGTTTTACATTATTTTTTCAAAGATAGTCAATCTAAAATAAAAGGAAAAAAACATACAGGAGTGTGAATACATGAGTAGATGCAAATAACTCTGACTGGGCATGATAATAGGAAACAAAGGGACATAATGGTCATGCTGTGAGAGTTTGTTCCCACGGTGCTCACCGAGGATGAGGATGGTGATTCCGTTGAAAACAGCTCCCACGTAGGTCAACAGCCACATGACCACAGCCAGCTGAGGAAGAAAACACACACAAAGAGACACAGGTCAGTCAGAGACGACAAAGACCCCTTTCCCTCGTAGATCTACACAGATACTGCTTTTGGCTCTGTAGTAGAGGAGTCCTGCTGCTTTATTTTTCCACACTTGTGAAGCTGTTGCACAATTTTTTCAGTTTAGTGGGACATCTTCCTGCTCTACAAAACCATCAGATTGTGTTTTTAATCACAGTTTTAAACAGCACCCGGACTCTTCCGGAGCTGGGACTGTACCTGCTGTTTAAAAAAGTTGACTGAATGATAGACGAGCGTGTCAATCAGGTATGAGGTTCTGTCGGGTGGTTTATGTAGGATGTTGAGTCTTTAATCCATCAGGTCACACCTGAGAGAGACTTTATTCCCCTGAGACAAAAGCAGCCTTCAGTAAACCATGCAGAGACACGCCCTGATGACCTGCTCACACAGGTGTGCTGCTGATCAACCTGACAGCCAGGCCCTGTTACTCCTGTTCGATTAGTCACACCTGTTAGGGAGGGACGACCAATACTACCACCACCAGAACTATTAACTACTACTACTACTACTACTACTACTACCACCATCACCAGAACTACTACTACTACTACTACTACGACGCCGACTACTACCACCACCAGAACTATTATTACTACTACTACTATGACTACTACCACCACCAGAACTATTATTACTACTACTACTACTACGACTACTACCACCACCAAAACTATTACTACTATTACTACTACTACTACTACTACTACTACTACTACTGGCACCTTAACTACTAAGACTACTCCTACTACCCCTTCTTCTACTACCCTTTCTCCTTCTACTACTACTACTTCTACTACTACTCATACCACCACCACCACCATAACTACAACTCAGAAATATCCAGAACACCTGTGTGTCTGTAAAGGGCTTTATGACCTTTGACCCTTCGAGGTCATCTTCATAAACTTTGGTTTGGTCCTTTTTTGTTATTTCTGTAGTTTTTCTTCCTTTAATGAACTCTAATTAGAAAAAGCTGCAGAGGGAGCGTCCTCATTTTTGTTTATTAGACAGCTAGAGCTAATTGGACGGACAGGAGCAGAAGAGACAGCCCCTATATTATTGTAGACCTTCTTGTTTCTTTAAGCACAGTATCAGTGCATTATAAAAACGACACCAGACACCTGAGCAAAGTCAGAGGACTGGGTCCCAGAGAGGAGTCACTACAGGACATGGTCAGGATCAGATATCGTCATTAAGAGCAGACTGAGAGGTAAGAAATGAGGATGATGATGGTCTGAAGGAGTGAAGGCCGGAGCAGCTCACCTTCAGGGAGTCCACGAGGTCCTCCACCAGGAAGAGGCGGCTCATTTGCTTCAGGGCTCGGTTGATGTAGGTCAGACTGGAGTCCACGTGCTTCCGGAAAGTCTCAGGGGGGATGCTGACATCCTTTTCTATCAGCGTTCTGCAGAGAGGAAGAGAGAAAGAGGAAGAGGAGGGAGGCAAAGAAAAAGCTTTAAATGTAGGCTCAGGTGTCACAAAGCTCACCTGTTAGTGCAACGAACAACAAAATGAAATGATCAATTTTTGTGACTGGTAACCTTTTTTCATCATGACCCCCCCAAAAAAAAGGCTGTCAAATCTGAGTCTTCTTAATCCTGTGAGCTTTAAAATCCACACTCACATTTTCAATCAGAAGCTTAAGCAAACGAATAAGAGAGAGAGAGAGAGAGACACTGAAGAACGCATGAAAAAGAAACCTGCTCTCTGACTGAACCAGGCAGCAGATCTGAGAAATGAGATTCACAAAGATTCAACTCTACAGACCCCCCAAAACACATCCACACTTCTGCATAAACAGGAGGGGCGCTGATTCAGCTTGTTTGCAGCTGGTTCCTGTGTGAGTGTGTGTCTTTGCTCTGCTCTCCACCACAGCCAGATAACACTAACGCTAATTCAGCTTCTGATGAGACACACAGGCCTTTCATTTGACCTTTCACTTCTATTAACAGTGAATCAAATGTTGCTCTATTTTCAGTGGCTTTTGTTGTAGCAGCGCTGTGAATTGATAAATTCATAATTCTGATATTGTGCTAACTTTAGTCCAAAACAGTATCTGCAACCAGGTCGAGTTTTAGACTTTGATACAGTACAAATAAGAATCAGACACTGATACCTGCACACAGACCAACATTTAACCTCCTGCCACAAGTTAAGAAAGGCACAGAAAGTCAAAGTGAAAGACTGAATAAACATAAAATCATGTCTAAAACCAAAATAACACAGACGTCCTCTTTTAAGACCGTCATCTATGATCCACAGGAGGTGTGGAGGTGTGTGTCCTAGATTCTGCCATGTCCTGCATTTTCTAATTGTCTTATTTTGGACATTTTACAACGTCACTCCTTTCACAGAGCTGAGAAGTTCCCTAACAACAGTCTGCAGATCAGGACTGAAGGAGACAACACAGGGTCAAGGTTCAATTAGATCAGAGCGATCACAATCAGACAAAGATGTTTTATTTCTCAGGTTCAAAATAAAAACATTAAACAGACTGTTATTTCATTGACCTCCTCCTACATGTTTGATGGGTTTAACCACTTTTATTGTCTTTAATGGCGATGTATGTCACTAAAGACAAAGATCACGTCCATAAATCATTATTTTGTCCTTGATTCAGAGACATTCAGCTTTTTTTCTTGTCACAGAGGAGAGAAGAGTCCATGAAATTTTCACATTAGACAAGCTCAAAATAGAAACTGTTCAATCTCAAGCACTCTGCTCTGTTTCGGTATTTGGCAATAAACCCAAACAGATGACCGTCTGAGAGATTGCAGCACCATGTCACACTCAGTGCAGACGTAAATATTCAAAGTCCAGCTGCTCTGTGGTGAATTTACCCCCCCCCCCCCCCCCGATTTATTAATTTATGAGGCTTTACGAGAGAAATAAACTGTTTCTTTGAAGCGCCTCCTGAGCTTCGCTGCTTTAAAAATAAAACCTGAGCAGACAGAGGTTACCCAAGATGACATCACACCTGACCTTTGACATCAAGGAGCTTTGTCATGTTTATAGTCACATTAGAATTATCAGTCGTCACAGCAATAGTTGCAGTGAGACTTTTAAAGTCTTATATTTAATTACAAGAGGAGTTTTAAAATAGGGCCCAACCGATATGGATTTTTGGGGGCCGATGCCGATACTGATTATTGGGGGGGGGGGATCAGATTGCAGATTTTTTAAAATTTTCTATGAAGTTATAAAATATATTTATGTACTGTAGATATCTACAATATACCATATACTGTAGATATACTGTAGGTTACTGCCCTTCATGCCGACAGGAAGAGCGACTAAACAAACTCGGACCACAAAAGCATTTTCAACTACTCCCCCCCTCGGTGCCTCGGCGTCTTAACTCACGTTACTTATTTCCGGTCCGGTCTCATCTGGAGACATGCAGCTACTGTTGTTTATTCTACCATTACTGGCACGGCTAACAGTGTAGCAAGGCTAATCGCAGATGGCTAACTCTAATTTTAGCTTGCATGGTGCTTCACCGTTAGCTCGGTGTGAACGAGACCAGCACAGCGGGGAACATCGTGAAGTGGGTTGAACTGAAACTTGTTGACTTATTGTGTATTTCACAAACTAGTTTATTTACCGTTAAGGCGGACCACTCTGCTCTGTGCGTCCCTGAGCTGCCTGCTTCAGATCTGTCACGCTGCTGTGCTGTGAGGTAGTTAGTGGATGGACATTGTCATGAGGTCGCTGCGCCATCTACAGGATAAGTCAGGGAAGTTTTCAAACGGCGGAACATTTTCGAAGTGAAACCGAATCTTAGCAGCCACCCTGAATCTGCGCGTTTTGGCAGATTACGATTAGTCTCAAATGGGCTGAAATTGGCCGATTTAATCGGCTCGCTGATAAATCGGTCGGGCCCTATTTTAAAACACAGCACCACGGGAGCACAGCTGGAGTCCACTGAAGGGGCATTTAAATCCACGTGAGTCAACGAGTCTCAGATGAGAAACCACTCACTCAGTCCCAGTCTAACTCTATATTTAGTCAGTTTCATTTCTGTGTAAAACTCTCCCTCTCTTGCTGCTCCTTTAAATCTTGAAATGAAACTGGACTCTGAACCAGAACCACGCCTTCAGGAAAACTACTAATGACAGAGCTGAAACAAAAACCGCTCAGATCAGACAGATTTACCTCATTAGGCTGTTACTGAACCTTAAACAAACACTGGGTCTCATTCATGAACCAGATCAGTAAGTCTGTGTGTGGATTTGCAAATAAAGGTCCTTAGTACTTAAAACCTACATCAGATCCATAACACCCTCGTAAAGTCAGGTTTGATAACAGACGTGTTTTTGTGTTCATGTGACAGCTTCACTGTAAGCGATCGGACTTAATCTCCGCCCATGTTTATCCAGTGAGCACCATATAAGGAGGTGTGCTTCCTGTGGGCCGGCAAGCTCGACACAAAGTTCTTTTGGGTAAAGTGGATTTAAGAAAAAGTTAGTTCATTTTCTCCTGAGCGACTTCAGGACACAATTGGCGCTCTGTGACTGTCCGAGTCACTGTGTGGGCTTCATTATGAGCTGAAGGGTCATGGTACGCAGCGACACACATGTTGCTCCATGTATGTTTACAACTTTCTATGTCATATATCGTTTTAATTGTCATTAAACATGAAGAAAACACACACTAAGTGGTTTAAACAACCCTTTTTAATTAACCTAATCGTTACAAATTTAGTCAAATGTGTGAGACCTGTCTCTAAAGACATCTTACCATAATGAACAATCGAGTCAAATCAGATCAGCGCTACACTGAGGCAGAGTCACCAGCACCCTAAACCACTGTACCAGGAACAGACTGTGTTTACCCTCCAGCAGGTCAGTGCATTTTACACCTTTGCACCTCGTGTCCACACTGTAGACACGTCGGCCTGTGGGTGAGGAGCCGCCTCGTTGGTGTTTGTCTCGCTGTGTACACGCGGGCCATGATCGGCTGTGTTTGTGACGATCAGCTGGTGACCAATCACGTCCAAACAGGCTGAAAACCAGTCGATGCCAGTCACCAGCTGATCGATTCCATCACTTTGATCAGGCGGGCAGAGGTTTAAAAAGCTCAGAATGAAGAATTCACTTCGGCTGTGACTTTCTGCATCTCATTAGAGAAGTGTTTTGAAGGAATAGTTTGTTAAATTTGTACTCAGCAACTATTTTGGAGGAGGAGGAAAACAAACTGAGTGTTGATTTAATACCTAAACAGATTAATTTCTGTCGGTAGTTGATGCCATCTTTAAGACTCAACCCTTTGCACGATGGTGTCAGCTCATTGCAATTATCAAACTCTATAATTCATGATTCTTATGTAATCTCAAACACATGGGCTGGAGAATAAGTCTCCTCTTGTGTGAGTGTTTTGTTCAGGGTGGCTGCTGAATTTGCAGAGACACGTGCAAACCACCTAAATGTGCATCTCCCGGCGTTTCTTCACATTTCTGACATTCTGAGTGTTCCTGCTGCTTCAGCTGGTCGCTGTCTGAGACTCACTCACGAGCTCTTCAACTCTGCATCACGTGTTTGTTTTCAGTTAGTATCTGTGCTGAAATAATAGATGGTTATGTTGTAGTGACTCAAGTGTCTTACTTGAAGGGGTGTCCGTCGCTGGACTTCTGCACGGCCTGGACCACGGACTTGTAGATGCGGAAGGTGATGGTGACGCAGAGCAGGGCGAGCAGCAGGTAGGATGCCACGCTGATGACGCTGAAGGCCGCCAGCGACAGCAGCAGCAGCATCGACACCCCGAACACCAAGCCCGACTTCTTGGGGTCTCGCCAGTGGATCAGATCCTTCACTGTAGAGAGGAGAGGACGGGTCAGACTGACTGAGACAATACAGAGAAGTCCTGAAACTCTGCTGAAGAGCCTCAGATTTACTGACAGAGAATCACAATGTTGGGTCTCAATTAGGTTTTTTTTAAAACTGATAGATAAGATCACAATAACTACTCATAACTGGTGTTTGAGAAAGGTTTCCAGCATTCATTTTCACGTCTTGATCATATTTCTACAATCAAAACTACAAGTCTCCAGATTTTAAAAGTTTGTAAGTTTCCCATTTTATGTCGGCGCCTTAAAGAAAAGAGCCTCATAGAAACGTTATTATTGCTTAAATTTGCTTTTTTTCTGTCTTGCTCCAGAGTTATTTTGTTTTACTTTTCGACAGCCTCTGAGCATTTTTTGGTCTAAAAGGAGGTCTAATAAACGTCTAAATGTAGCCTAGACGACTGGTCTAAAATCAAGCTAGTAATGAAAGTTTTTTAGACGTCTAAATTTAGACTAAGTTTAGATTAAATCTAAATCTGAGCTGTATCTATACTACACAGTATATTGCTCAACAGCTATCATAATTATTTTGGTTAAGCATTTGGAGATCAGTTATGCAACTCACAGTTGCTTTTTGAAATAAATACTTATTGAATATTGGGTGAAAATGCAACATCTAAATTCCATCTACAAATATAGAGAATCTAGACGGTTGAAATTAGGTCTAAAAAAAACTAGATGTCTAATAGCCGTCTAACTGTCTTGCTCAGTGAGCAGCTCATGAGCTTTTATTTTGAAAGGATGTAAAAGATGGTGAAGTTACAGAATACTTCAAACATCCTAACTCAAAGGATCTGTGACAATTTTTGCAGATTTCTCGACTCGTTCCGACTGTTAATCTGTGTGCACAAAGGCTCCATAAACCGAGTCTGATCACTGCACATCTTCGAAAGCCACAGACTCTCCATCAGACAAGATTTTAGCCCAAAATCACATGATGTAATCCCCGTCAGTAAACAGTGAAACCAAACCGTCTGTCACTGCTGAGGAAAAAAAAACAGCTGTTTCACAGGGAGCTGAAGGTTTGTAGGAAGCTCTTAGCTGATCTAAGATTAAAACCTCCACACTGAGATTTCCTTCGACCACGTTCCTGTCACTGACTGAAGAACTTTGTGGCGCCCATCAATGTCTGCTGCTAAAATATAACAAGCAGACTCCTAATTGTCTGACCTGCCTCAGCTGTTAAAACGCTGCTGGAAGCTGTAAATGTCAAACATCGCTCTTAAAAGTTTGATTGACAGCGCTCTACGGGAAATCAGCCAATCAGAAACAATCAGTCAGCTAAAAGAAGATTTATGAGCTGCAGAACGCTGAATGTTGGGTTCATACAGTGCTCAAGTTTATAAAGAGCAATGTCTGAATTTGCATCATCGCTGAGGTAAATTAAAGCCCCGCCCACTCTGAGTATTCACAGGCATGCTGAAGCAGTAGATATCAGCACAATTATTTGCCACAGGTTGCATAAATGCAGAAAATATTTTTATTGGCCTGGAAACAACTGTGCGTGCACCTCTGTCTCCATAAAACACTCGGCACCGTAAATCTCCTCCACACTGCAGTGTGCAGGAGTCAGTCAAGAGCTGCATTGCTGGAGAGGCCGCTGACTGTTTGAATGCTCGTCCTGTGAGGAGTGCTGCATGTGATAGCCTCTATACCAGCAGATTATGTAACGCTGGCACGCTCGAACCACCACTCCTTCCCTCTGCGTGGGGAAAAAAAAGGGGGTATTTAAAAAAGCCTTGTGTAAGTGGAGGAGGAAGCACGTGGGTGATGCCTCGGGGACGTTCAGGCCTCTGTGCTCAGACTGGTTTAATGGGAGCACACGTTATTATATAGGACCTTCTCACACATGCAGAGCACAGCTATGGCTACTATTACAGACACGTTTGAAGCATGCATTTCATATCTATATTATTCCTCAGATAGAAAGAAGAACAGTGACTTTTCCAAAATGCTGGAGACCATCGTTGTTGGCATGAATTAAAATACGCAGAGATTTTTTTTAACCCAAAACACCACTCTGGTCTTTGGCGACTTGGACTTTATTCACTGTGGTATTTTCATGTTCCTGACTGCGAGCACTTTGAACCCTGAGTCCAAGAAACATCCTGTGCAGTATGTAAATGCAAGAGAACAGACAGAGCTGCTGCAGTTAGTCTGTTATGAGTCTAATCTATGTTGTGTGTTGGTGCAGAACCTTTGACCTGCACCACCTGAAACTCTAACTGAAAGCAACACAGGCTGCTAGATCTGTGATTAGCAGATGTTACGCTTAGATTTACTTTTGTTGGTTCCCGGGAAGACAGTGTAGAAAGCGTGTTGCCATCTAGTGTTTAGGCAGAGCATAGCAGGGGAATTAGGACACTCAAATGCACTTAAATGCAAGTTTTTTTTCTACAATCTGGTTCGTAGCGTGGATCTGGTTTGGTGAAATGTATCTCAGTATGAGATGTACAAAAACCACAGCAGCCAAAAAACACCAGCGAAGAAGAAGCTAACATTAGATTTACCGGTGCATCAGATAAAAAGTCTAGAAACACAGAGTTGAACTTTATGCAAACTTAACCAAAGTTGTGTTAAGATGAGATGTGTGATGATAGGAATAACGCCGAAATAGCTGAAGAGAACTTCTTCATCATGTCCTGATTTGCGGCCTTTTTCATGCATTTTTGGGTTTGTATCGTGTTTAAGTGCAGAGCGTTTGCTGCTGATCACAAAACAAAAAACAAACAAATGTATGAGTTAGAGAACACTGAAAATAAAGACTGTATAGTGCTTGAGTTATGGATCGTAACATTGTATGAGTTTGAGCAGTAATGCTGGGTTAAAGCTGGGGTAAGTGAAGCAGCTCCTAATCCTGTCCTGATTTGCAGCATTTTTCCTGTTTGTGTTTCAGGCACTTTTGGATTTCTCTCATTTCTCTATTTGCAGAGTGTTTGTGTACACAGCAACCTTCCCTATATTTCACATGCATGATAGTTACTGTTGCATATTCATGACTGTACATTAAGTGCATCTTTAAACATTCAAGCCCTACAGACTGAGCTCACGCACACTTACATTTAAGTGTGCAGGAGTCACACACACACACACACACAGACTTCCTGTAAGCAACGGATTCAACGTTTCTGTTTTATCTCAAAACCTGAATCTATTCCTCAGGGTTAAAGAGCCACAGATCGAGGGCTGCCTGAGATTGTTAGGACACAGAGAGTCTTGAAATACTGCTTTTGAGACTCATTTGCATCTTTTATATTTTGAAGTTTGGGGCCATTTAAGTTGGTTTGTTGTGATAAATTAGGGCACCATTAAACAGAACTTTTATTTACAGTATGGCCTGCTGCAGAAATCATCATCCAGCAACGTAAAATATCAACATATTTATCATATAATTTCAAAACCATTGAGCTTCGTAATCCATGAATGTGAAAGGGGTGTAAATACATCTGTAGAGAGCAAATAATGAGCTCTTTATGAGGAAGAAGACAATGTCTTTACAATGAGCTAAATGAGCTCTTCGAGATTTACTGATTTTTTCAATCAAAAATAAAAATAAAAAAATAAAATCAGTATTTCGGTCAGTGGTTTAATGGATAACAATTGGTCTGCAGTGTTAAACAGAAAAAGCTTCATCGTTCCTGATTCTGCTGTACCAACAACGAGAATCTGAAAAAATACAAACACCACAATATTAATCCATCAGATCGAATACGACCATATGTGACTTTAAAACTGACTGTGCTCAGAACAAAAACAATGCTGTCATATTTTTATCTCACAACAACAACAAAAACAACACAGAACAGGGTTTCCTCATCCTATCTGCAGGGGTGTGTGTGCATCCTCCCAGCATGCCTTGCTGCGGGTACCCACAGGGAGGCAGCCGGAGCTTTGACAGCCTTCATTATCTCTCCCTCCCTCTCTCTCTCTCTGTCTGTGTGTCTGTCGCTGCTTTCGGCTGAGCTGCAGTGTCCTGCTTTTACTGAGCTGCTCTTAAAGCTGCACACACACACACGTGCGCACACATACACACTAACATCAAACACTAACTACAGTGCTTTCTTCTTAAATCGTCTTAAACACACGTTTGTTCTTCTATCAGCTGAGTTAAATTGATGTCACCTGGGATTAGTATGAATAATTGCATCAGAGGCAAAATCTTTAAATAAAATGTTTACAATCTTTGCTATAAATGAAATTTGCTACTAATACAGCAAACGTCTATTCAGACAATTTTTGCCTCGTGTCAAATTGCTGACCTTGTCTATATTATCTGAGTACTATTGCCACGTGGATAGGTGTTAAAATTTATTTTCGACAGTAAATTTTTAGATTTAAGCAAAAATTTGGTAGAAAAACTACCAAAAAAGAGAGGAAAAACTGTATCTAGTTGATCACCATTCATACTTGCTTGACAACAACGTGCAGAAAAATCCAATCCGATTTTCGTCCATCTATAGCAAAGACACAGCTTTGGTTAAAGTCACCGATGACATCCCCCTCGTGGCAGCTAACTATCTTCAGCCTCACTGATCTAAGTGCAGCCTTTCACACCATCTCTCATAACATCCCTCTTTACAGACTAGCCTCTATTTTTATCACTAACACATCTTAAGTTTACATCACATATCTCTGGCCTCATTCTGTTCACTCCACACAAAACCTTTGAATCCCAGCCTTTTTACATTACCGCTGGTGTTCCTCAGGGTTCTATTCTGGGGCCTCCTCTGTTTACTCATCTACTACTGCCATATCTTATAAAGATTACAGATCCATCAATGACAGTTTTATCATATCTTGTTGTTTCCATCTTCTTTTTGACAAAATACAATTTAACATTACTAGTAAATAAGAAACAAAGTTGGGGACATTTTATTGACCGTCATAACAGTCTGAGGTTACTCATCACAGCCTCCCACATGAGTAATGCTTCACCTTAACAGCATGATAAGATTACAACACTAAGCTTACATAGATTGATTTCTTCTAGCTGCAGGGAGTTGAATAACCTTTGAAAAACCCTGAAATATCATTGATCAGTTTTATGTTCATGGCCTGACTGTGTCTGTCTGCAGTTTAGAGCCGGGTGAATATGTTTTGACTGAGCTTTTCCTTCGAAACAGCATAATCAAGTTCTTGGCCAACAACGAGCTCTTGGTTCTTAAGTCTATGGAAGTTAATGAGTTTTCTTGAAACTACCTTTTTAAGTGGACAGACTAAGTAACAGACCTTCCCCTCTACATGTGACCCCATTACAATCTGTCTGGGTTCCTATCTTGTTTTTTAGTTTGAGGCAGTCGTGTCCAACAAGACTTCACAGGTTCAGCTTAATGTGATGCAAATGTCAAACGCTGATCCAGGTTCAGTTTGATCCAGGTATTTACATGTGCCTTTCCTCCACTTTGCAAAACATCAAACGGAGGATTAGCACAAATCTGAACACTGGAGGAATGTTTTATTTTAACTAATCTTTGAAGCCCCGGCAACAAGTCTGGTGTTAGAGCCAGCGTAAAAAACAAGGTGCAGAGACTTTGAGCCTGGGTGGGTTTCACTGCAGACTGATATCTGCACAGCTTGTCCTCTAAAAAGGTTGCAAAGCAGCCTGACAACAGCCACACCAACTGAAACAATCCTACCTAGCTGAAAGTACCCCGCCTAATAACCTACTGAGTTGTGGAGCAGCACTGCAGAGAAGCACTAAAATAGAAGCAGCTCATGGCAGAAGGGGGGAGGATTCAACAACACAGCTCTTTTACAGAGCACGACACAAAACAGAGCTTCCACTTCAACACAATTAAAAAAGAACCACCATATGCATGCCTACTGAGCTGCGAAGATCGGTAAAAGAAGCAGCTTTTAAAAAAAGCTGCTGTTTCTTTTATGCACTTTCTGCAAACTCTGCTTTTGTCCCAGGTTGCCAGAGCACCAGCGCTCTGTTGTACGGTGTGCCAAACTCTCGGTTAAAGTATTCAACACATGTAGACGTAGCTTTGAATGTGTCAGGATTACCGTCTGCATACCAGCCCCTGTGTGCATGTGTGTGTGGAATAGAGATCATGTTTGCAGAGACAGGGAGGGTACTGCTGGACTGGCTGCTGGAAATTAACACTTTCCACTGCCGTGCCATCACTGTGGTCAACTTTTAACAGAGTGTTTGCACGTACTAAACTTGCAGAGAAACATGCTGATGTAGGGCAGCTGAGATTTCAAGTTTTCAAATGACATCAGGCTACCAGGGGGAGATTGAAAGACCCAATAATAGTCTGATTTCCCTAGTTGGCATCTTGCCTCAAAGTGTAACAGCACAGAAATAATTTGCATCACCTCAGCCTTCAGATATTTCATTAATTCTGCATCAGTTATTTTTAGCTTGATGCCTTGTCATGTCACGGCCTTTGCCAATGGTGCTGTAGGAAGTCGCATAAAGGCAGAAACCCAACACCATGGATTGACCGTAACCCATGACTTCCAAGGTGCTTGCAAGCCAATGCTCGGGCACCATATTTAAACCGCCACACACCCCCTCCCTGTGAGTGGACCACTGCAGCTATAAAGGACAGAGGGCAGGGAAGGGTCAAAGCTCAAATGAGGGGGATCACTGGAGCATATGCAGCTTAAGTGTCCATATAGAACATCATGCTGGATTAGCCTCCATAATCTCTGACAACTGCACTTTCCACAGCTGCATTGTCTCTGGAAATGTTCTGATAAACATATTTTCCTTCCCGATTTCTGTTCAAATCACTAGGCCTCTGTTTTGGTCAGTAGCAATCTCTACTCTGACACCACTGCAAGTGAGAAACAATGATTGCCTTTATTTCACCAGCATCAATAAATGATACTCTTTCCTAGAGTCATGTTGTTTTCCACCCACGTCACTCGAAGATTAAGTATAAGCCAATTTTAAATCTTGTTCAACAACTTTGAATGTAATTAAATCATAAAGAGATGAAGTCGGTGACTTCAAGAAAGAAAAACATGATTTAACTCTTCGTAGACTGATTGCCATAGAGCAAACATTCCAAAACATGCACAAGGTACAAGTAAGGATAGGGGTCCTTCTGAGGTAACTGTATGAGGTTAGCTGGCCTACTGCCCAAAAAGAAGAGGTGTTACCTGATAAGTGGGTTAGTATTGCTGTCAAGACATGCTCAGCAAGATGATAGGCTTCAGCCACCCATTCGTCGATGGCGTCTACCTCTTTGGAATACATGCTGTCAGACACACGGCTGCTTTGGGAACATGGAGCAATAGGAGCTGAGGTAAAGGAAGACTGCTGTGTAGATGCTGCATTGAGGTTATCCTGGTCAGAGGCCTTTGACTGAGGAGGTCTTGTCTCATCCTCCTCTTCTTGACTGTTGCCTAGCTCTTTGAGAGCACTGATAGTAAGCTTTTCCTGTTCAAGATCCATCACAACAGTTGGAGGGTGCTGGGAAGGCGAATCAGTGTGCCCAGACTTTTTCGCGGAAGCATCTTGAGGTTTATTATCAGGTTCTTCATCCTGTCTTGATTTCAGGCACTCACGCATGAAATCGACGAAGCTGTCATTCGGATCAGAGCTGTCAGGGTCGATGCTTTCCGTCTTGGTTGTTTTGTCAGGTGCATGCTGACCTGTTTTTGTGTCCTTTAAATCACTTCTTTGCCCCGAGATGGAGCTGCTGTTTCCCGTGGTGTTTGTGGCAGGTTTCTTGTTGACATCTTGCTCCTTGGTGGTGCCTATAGGCGTGCCTCTGAAAGAGGAGTATGGGTCCTGGGGATAATCTCTTGCCACTGGTTTGGTAAGGGCATCATCATCACGGTCTTCTTGCAGAGCTGTTTCATGGATTTGGGAAGCATCAGAAAGAAAGCGCTCCCTGGCATTATGTAACCCTTTACTGTCAAGGTCATCCATGGGACAGGATGCATCATAATCATAATCAAATGACTGCCTATCGTAGATTTCATCCTGCATGAAGGTGGATTTAGGAAAGGAAGCAGTCTCCATGTAATCTGCTTTCTCAGTTGTGCTTCTTTTACTATCTAGCACAGTGTCAGCGTAAGGATTTATCTCCGTGAGAATCTCATCTGTCTTGCTCGAACCAACAAGAATATCTTGTGCTTCATCTGACCACTCGTCATCGTTGTCGGGGAAGTCCACTTCATCATTTGTACCCATGAAAGAGTAGGGTTCTTTTTTGACTTCGCTCGAAGTGGTCTGGGGTTTCTCAGATTCAGAGTCTTTTGCAACAGTCTGAGCCTCGGGTTTTGATGCAGATTCCTGGTGGGCTGTATCAGGATGAGATCTGGGTATCTTCTGTTCAGGAGAGTATTCTTCATCAGAATCCACAGGTGAGGATGGAGGAGAGTAGCCTTCCATGAATTCAGTTTCTAAAGGGCGTTTTTTGGCTGTTTCATTTTTACCTTCCTCTGGCTCTGAGGTTTTTGAAGCCTCCCTTACCGGGTCTTTGACAACCTCATAATCTTCTTCTTCTGCTCCATACTCCATCTCATCATCACTGTAGTTTGGCTCGTCTGTCTCAATAACATTGATTGTGGGAACCTGCATCAGCTTCCTCTCAGATCTTGGTGGAGGAGTCTCTTTTTCCTCAGTTGACTGATTGGCAGGGGCAGGTGAAGGAGCAGTTGTAGGCTCAGTTGAAGGGGTTGGATCCGTAGAAGCAGGAGGAGGAACAGATGCAGGAGCAGTGATGTTATCTTCAATAACTGTATCATCGGACTCTCCTGAGCTGTCTGCTTCACCTGCCTCTGGAGCCTCAAGATCTGCCGTAGAAGACAGCTTCTTGTCAATCAAAGTGTTCTGCTTGAGATCTGCTTGAGCTGGAGGGGAGGAAGGTGGAGTTGGGGAACCAAAGCCTGCAGGAGGTGCAGGTGAGGCTGGAAGCACTGGGTTATCATTTGATGAAGCTTGAACACCTGATTTGTCCTGCTGATCCCACATGTAAGCTGTCGGCAAGAAACTGAGGTCAAACTCAGACTCTTCCTCCACACTTGGCTGCTTCTGTGCATCACCTGAGTCATCCTTCAGTTTTGGAGCTTCAACAGGAGAATCCTTAAAAGCATCAGGGACGCAGGCAAAGGCAGCTGGAGCTTCAGGTATCACAATGTCAGCCACCTTCTCTTCTTTTGATGAAGTTGGGGTGCTTTTCACTAAGCCAACAGCTTCTAAGTCTGGCACAGGAGGTAAATGAGCCTTCATCCACTCTTCTGTCTCTTCAAATTCACCAACTTGTCTTGGATCTCCAAGTACTTCAAAGGGGGACTCTGGTGATTCCAGATCTGATGAGCCCCCTTTTTTCTGAACAGGTGGTGTAAATTTCTCAGTCGGGGATTTTGAGGTCTCAGTTGGGGATTTGGGGGTCTCAGTGGGAGTCTTGTCAGATTTCTCATGATGGCGATCCCTATGGTGCGAAAAACCTCCATCACTTCTAAAATCAGGTTCCTTCTTTTTGGCAGCGAGAGCTTCAAGCGCTTTTATTCGCTCCGAAACAGGTGACGTCTTTATTGGTGAATCCGGTTGTCCATCTGGCGGACTTGCTTCACTCCCGTAGTTACCAGGACTGAATGAACCGGGCTGAGAGGGAAAGCGTAGGGATGTTGCTACACCTTCGCAGGGCTTGTCAGAGCCCAGGACAACTCTTTTGTCTGCATCACCATGTGAGGAGAACGGCAGTGAAGAGGAAAAAGGAGGGGAGGTCATATAAATCACAGACACTGAACTCCCATGCACTTCTTATATTATTCAGCGAGGCCTTAAAGTTGCAGCCATAGCAGTCGTGCATTGCATCATGGAAATGTAAGGCAGATCAGTTAATGGATGGGATTTCAACTTGGTGCATGCTGCTCCTAATAACTCTACAAAGTTGCCATTACTTAAAAGTCAGTATGGCAACTGAAGATAGAGTGATGAAATGAAGCAGCAAAACAAATTAAATCTCATTGGCTGATAGTTCTTTGGAAGACTAAGGGTGCAACTTCTGCTGCAGGTGTAGATAATTGTCTTTACACTTACGGATTTTAATGGGATTTCTTTTTGATTGTGGGCCACTTGTCTATTTCCATTAGTACCATACTGTGTTAAACACTTGATCCTGATTGGTCGAAACACTCCAACAGTAATCTTTCCTAACATCAAAACTGATGCTAAGATCAACAAGACCACAGGAGTCATATCAAATCAATTCACAGGAGATACTCCAACCTTCCTTATCTGCCTGCTGACACTGAGGCAAAAACGTTGATTGCATCTCACAATGTCCTAAAAAAGTGGAGCAACATCCTGTCCTGCAATATGTGCATGGGCAGCAGAGCTGCTGAGAGCATCTTTGAGTTTCTGGTCACTAGAAATACCTCAAACCGTGGGCTGACGTGAAAATGACAAAAATGTTAGAAGTTGTGACATTTGCCTCTTTATTTTTAAAAGTGTGTCGCTGCCATTGCTCTAAGAAAAAGAAGGGGAATAAGGACTGAAATGTAGTTGTGTCTGCTTGCTAATGTTTTAGCTGGTAGACAGGTCAAAAATTGGTTAGTGTATAGTGAGCAGGTAATTTTGAAATTTAGAAACCCTTTGGAGTTAAATAAAATCCCCCCTCCAAAACCCCTGCAGTTTTTTCAGAGGCCTCTGTAGCTTTATGTTGAAACGACTGAACACACTTGTACTAACTGTTGTCCTGCTAGTTTCATGTGTGTCTAAGCTTCTCCTTAATCCCAAAGTGCTTTAGTTGTTAGCTGTGAGGCTTTGTTTTCTTACCTTTCCTAGAAAATGACTGCTTTTAATTCCAAACACAAACAACTGATGGCTAACGGTCCTTTTCCAAGAAAGTCCAGACACTGTAAAGTGTAAGCTAAGACAGATTTTGATCAATCTGAATTTTTAAACCCCATGCAAAGATAACACTCATGTCCAAACTAAGAGACTGTATGAGCACATAGTTCAACAACTTCAGTGTCAAATATAAAAAAAGGAGTGGATTTCATCAACAGTACATCATGAAAAGATTCAGAGAATCTGAAGAAATCTCTGTACAAAAGGGACAAGGACCAAAACCAAGACTGGATGGTCCTGATCTTCAGCACTGCATTAAAAACAGACAGGACTCTGGAGTGGAAGTAACCACATGGGCTCAAAATCACATCCCAAAACACAGAATTTTACAGAAGACAATGACTAATGTCACAACAGACACTTTAAAACATCATGCAAAACCTACAAGCCACAGGAGAATGAGATTGGCATTAAAAATCCAAAAAGTACCAAACACACAAAGTTCCTTCACTACTTCCCAAAGTCTTATTACACTTAGAACTGCAGTGAACTGAATGTAAACTATTTTGACAGAAAAATATTTGTGTTTCCGCCTTTTCAACCACAATCCTAAACGGGTTTTCTCTTCTTTCTGTAAGTGAATCTTGCTTTATCTTTGATCCTCAGTCCTTTCACATGAGAATCTGAAGGTTCCAGATAAAAATTATGAGACTATTTTTCTTCATAAGATTTTAGACTTGGATGATGTTAACCTTGGTTATTTTCCAATGCTATTTAAATTTTTCAAAACATGTTTTTTATTTTTTATTTTTTAATGCTAGCAGTCTGCTGTGTTGAAAAAATAAAAGTGAAAGTGAACAAAATTGCAGTTCCCCCAGTGTCCACCTGAGGCTGGCTCTAAAGCCAAAGAATCCTCATTTTGTCCCATTTTGGAAATTTACAAAATTTACAGCAATATTCAACGTATTTAAAAAACAAATTAATAAAATGTTTTTGGTATCCTACTTGTTTATCCACTCAGACACGCTGTAGTTGAAGTGTAGTTTGAGTTTTTTGTTGTTGTTTTTTTTAAATAAAAAAGGGATAATATTAAGGCTAAGAGTTGGACAAAAATTTGCATTATCGGGTGCACAACTAAGTTGACTAACAGGAGAGCCTGTGTCATTAAGCCTCGAAATGTCCCTACAGAAACAACTTTGTGGCGTCACTCCAACTCAAGTTTTATTTGGATCAAAAATTCTGCCCTGAAAATTTAACAGGATGTTAAAAAGGATGGTCCAAAGTTTTCAAAGTAAATAAATAAAAGGGAAATCTCAATTATGTCACAAAAAGAAACAGAGCTGTCGTCCACATCCCGCTCCAAAACTGTCAAATCAAAATCTCTGGCTTCATCAATAACTGGGCCCCTCTACCCAGCTTTGGGGCCCCAAAGAACCTGAAGGCCAAAGATGTTCACATAATCCCTTTCAGCTCCAATGATCTCCAATGTCATGTTCAAACCCACATTGAACCATTATGTCAGGCAGCTAAAGTGCCTCAGCTCAACCTCTGCACACCCACTACCAACTGTGATTTAACTTTCACTCAACAAGCACTCCCCATCAGGATTTGCTGGTTTTATCTAGTTTATTTAAGGTTAAGGTTTGTCCTATTTTGATTGAGCCCAATAATGTTTGCTCTGAGACTGTGCACACACAGATTTTTCCACAGATGCCTCACTGACTGGTCCACTTTGTCTTACACAGGACAGCCACCTCCCCTGCTCCACAATACAATGCCTTGTTCAAACTAGGCCACATGAATGGACTTTCCAACTCGCTAGCAGCGTTGTAGTCATTTGCAGGCTTTGTAAACAAATTCCCAAAACAGCTTTTGCTTGGAGAATATAAGCAGGGAAAGATACTCCAGAGAGACTATTCTAATCCAGGAGTGACTTTATGAACATGCTGCAGATAAAACTGTCAACAACTTTGCTTTGTAATTGGCCACTAGTCATGTACCATCTGCCAGATCAGTCCTGAGAGCTCTTAGTCGTCTGATTTATGTAATCTGCTGCTCTCTGCAGAAGCTGAGTGACTTTGTTTAATGCTATGGTATGGCAATCATTCAGCAAAAACCTACTTGGTGACAGCTGGGGAAAGTGATAGAAAAATGTCAAGAGAAGATCATATCATTGAGGTGGATGATTTTAACATTAGTGGAAATCTTCAGAAGAACAGCCAGGAGACCTTTGAGTTGGTTTGTTTTATCACAAATGTTCTAAAAACCTCCAGAGTTTCACTTAATTATGAAATGTTGCTGTTTAAATCAAATAAATACAAATCTACAAGAATTGCTCCAGAATATTTTTAGATTCAGCACCTAACTATCAAAATGTTAAAAGTTTTGTCACTGTTTTTTTTTTTAAATATTATTATAGTAAAGTTTTCAGGAAGGAGTTCAGTCAGCAAGCAGGCATAGGACAATGGCAGCTCAGTTCACAGCCCCCAAAGCCTGACTTCAAACTGCTTAACTCATCGATTTAATTACTTTTTTCTTCAGCATGAGTGAGAAGACTTCTGTAATTTAACTGTCAACACCGGTTCCCAACCTAAGAATAAACAAAGCATCAACAAACATGCCAACAGCAACTCGGCCCCCAGCCCCTCTGAGTGTCCACTCAAGGGTAGACACACACTCATTTTCCCTCTTTTAATCACCGGCTCTATCATTAGTAATCACCACCTTCTTTTCCCTTTAATTTATTACAATAATTCATCCAAATATCGCATTTTTGTGAGCAGGTAGCTTAAGTTGGTGGCAGCTCAGTTTGCAGCCCCCTGAAACACTAATATTAAATTTGAAACTGCTTTATTTATTGTTTTCATGTCTTTGTGTAAAGTAGACCTTGAAATAGACCAGGAAACTACAAACATGCCAGTGGCAGCTCAGCTCACAGCTCCATCCAACATTGTGTCCACTTCTTTGAAAAGTCACTCTACCAATTCTTCCCTGTTATCTGTTTTTACAGTTTTTGAAAATGGATCCTATGAGATTAAATTTTGTTTGGGACACTGAAGGATCTTTACCGACCCAGAAAACTTGGCAGACTTTCATCTGTACTTGTAATCTAAGACCACTGTGATCCCTCTAACAATAAGCAAACCAGCTCTGGGGTCTTTTACGCTGACTGATTCAAAACATCCTTTTGCTGCTTTGCCTCTTTTACGCTAATAAAGTGACTAGACTTTGAATGTAAATCCAGGTTTTGTGGAGTCCAATAATGCAGGTGTTTGTGTTGAAACTCACAGAATTGATTTACTGCTAGAACATTGTCCTGAATAAGCAAAGTCAGATATCTTGGATGGGAAGCAGATGAGTCAGGAGGAGTTCAAATTCCACAGGGTGCAGTCACGTACGTACTTTTGTTCCTCCCTTATAGAGTCAATAGGTTGGGTTGTTGCAACATATATGTGGCTCTGTGCCACAGGGATACCACCTATCCTACGCTTTACCTATCCTACTCTAACATTTCAGGCTAAAATCAGAAACCACAGCACAACAGAGTCTAAGAATGAGAAAGAAAACCTAAAGCTAAAGCGAGGATGAGACATGCATAAAGCCTACAAAGCCATAAGCAGGTAGTGGGGTGGAGGGCGGGTGAGCAGCCACAGGCGGTGGCAGGCCCAGGCTGCTGGGTGGTGGATGATATCTCCAGTGCCACTCATCCTCAAAGGGGCCCGGTTGCTACTTGGGCTCAGGGGCTCAGATATTAGGGCAGCAGGAAGGTAGGACCGTCCCCGCAGGACCTGGATCCATTTTTAGGATTCTGCTCTTGTGCGCACAATGTGAACTTGAACTTCTCTGCTTTCTTAAAATAAAGTGGCAATCTTGGGATTATCTTGAACCTACAGCAAGTGCTGCTGACCTAAATAATGCTCGACAGCACGAGGTAAAGACTGAAACGGATCGGATTGCTGGCAGCTGCTGAGGCCAGGTTTTACAGGGCTAATTCTTTAGCAAACATAAAGGAGATAATTAGCTGCTAATGCCAATTCAAATCAATAACAACATCTGAGGAAACATTAAAAACATGTGGAAATACCTCCCTGGATTCAGTTAGTTTAGCTTCTGCTGCTGCGCACAGACACGTCTCCTGCAGCACGCACAATAAGCTAACAATAAAAATCTGTCAATAGGTCAAGAAGGCTGTTTTTAGAACATGCTAGAGAGGTTTCATCTCGAGTTGCAGCAGGGGTTGTTGGGGGGTTGGTGAAGAAATCTACTAAAGCCATATGTCATTGAAGACAGTTGGAGCTGCTGCGCTAACTGGCTAACTGACAGTCAGCAGTGTTGGAGACAGATGGAGTAGCATGGCAAGGTCGGCAGGAGGAGGGGAGGGTGAAGAGCGGTCGAGCTGGAGTTAGGATGGGAGCTAGCTAAGTCGTCTCTGTTCTCTGCAGCCTCGCTCTATTTTCACTGGACTCTCACACGAGCAGGAGAGGGGCACCAGAAATAAAAGAGGGATGAAGAAGAGCGGTACAGCAGCAGGCCAGCGAGAGAGGAGAAGAGGAGAGAGGGAGAGAGCAGGCGAGCAGCGTAAGAGAACCATACACTTGCCTTGAGGAGACTGAATGAGAGATACAGGCGAAGAGGAAAGAAAGCAATCTGAAAAAATAAAAAGGACAGAAGAATGATCATCCTAGAAAAAGAAGGAGAAAAAGAAGAAGTCGTCCTATCCGCTGAGTCCATTGAAATAAAGGCATTTCAATCAAGAGTTACCTTATCCAGCCTTAACAACTCTACAAACTACACAATCTACTGAAAATTCAGACCACAGACACAGAGATGCTCCATGCAGACGCTCTTAATGTAAACCTATTTTCACTTTAACACATGCACTTATCATTTCAGTACAGGGAAGACAGTTGGCTTATGCAAACAGACTCAGTTACTATCAGCAAACAGAAGAGCTTCTACAAACTACAGCTGAAGACCAGCGGCACTTAACCCCAGAGGTTATTTTACAACTACAAAAACCTGCGGAAAAACAAAGACTTAAGACTCCTCATCAATGTGGTCCAGGGCCAACACTGGGTCAGGATAACCAGGCTACGGTGGCCCTGAAGGTCAAAAACCAGTTCGCTGGAAACCAAAACTACATCCCACTTAATGTAGTATTTCACTAACTATTTCAAAAAAGCAAATGAAAAGAACTTTACAATGAACTCATTTAATTTGTTCAGAAAAGCAAAATACGGAAAAACAAAAAAAATTACCAGAATTCAAAAGTCCAACAAGACAAATACTTAACTAAACATGCAAACGTTCATAAATTTGCACAAAACAAAACTTTTTTTTTAGTTTTTTTGCAGTTTTATTAAAAACATTTTAGTATTTTCATTCCATGAAACATTTGTGGTTGCAAAATTGTTCCTGTATTTCGCTTTATTGCAGGTTTTAAAGTATTTTTTTTCCTTTGAAACTTTTTTGCATTTTTACAAAATATGTATGATCCATGAATTTCTTTTGCTATTTCATGAAAATCTGTGTTCTGTGAAAAGTTTTCTGCACTCAGTCTAATGTGCTTTGTGGTCCCAAGACATCTGAAGAGTTGACCTTCAGGGCCACCGTACAAATATCTACAAAGAGCTTTGGAATTTCTCAGGTTAAGAAACGACCTTCGAGAACTGTCACAACCTTTCAGGATGAATCAGTTGCAAAAAAAAGTTATTTCAACCGTCTGACAACTTGATAACAGGATCCCTACAGACAGAAACCTCCATTAAAGGTTAGACGAGTATTTAGATCAAAACAGTCATGAGAAACTAACTCCACCTCACAGGACCTACCTGTCTAATGTCAGATGCCTGGACCTGTTCAAGCACCTGCATTATATTATGTTAAATACATTATGTCGTAACCATTTCAAACAGCCGAGGTGACAGGAAGCATAAAGAACAAACAAACAGCAGAAGCAGCATCAGACCAGCTCCTGTGTTTGTCGGTGGAGTCTGGAGGGTTTGACACAAGAATTAGGGATATCAGTATCAGCAGACAAGATGAGAAAGTTATCAGTGCCTGCAGTAATGAAATATTTTGAAGATATTTATGACAAACAATGATGCATCAAGTACGACGACAGCTCACAGGCCCAACAAGAACACTGAGCGGCAATGTGGAGGTATTTTTGTCAATGTGCAAGAAAGTGGCCCTGCATTCTCAGCTGTTCATCTCCACCTGCTGAAGCAATTTCTGTACGCCTCTTTACAGCATGGGATCCTTTTTTGTAACGTTATCAGACACTTAAAGTAACTATCATGAACTTCTGGCTGCGAGAACCGAGTTTGGATACTCGCCCCTCAAAGACTGAATGTTTCTACCTTTACGTCATGTGGACCCTTTAAGATTAACTGATGAGTCAGGCTGATTCATGACCTTTTTGAAACGATCAGCATTCTCTGTTCTCTGGGCTCATGAGGCAGATTAGAAAAAAGGACTATCTGCAGGCAGCCTTGTCAGTGTGGCTAATGTTGAGCAACATTAGCGCCCTTTGAAACGTGTGTCAAAGGACAGCAAGTTTAACAGTTGTACATATTCTGCTATAACATACAAAATAATGGAGCTTAAAACTGCCTCTAATATAAAGTCTAATGTATTTTTTTGACCATGAGTCAATTAAAGATGTGTTTCTGGTGAGGATAACTGAATATCAGACTGTACAAGACTGTTCATGTAAAATTATTATTTTATCAAGTGCAAAAATATAAGCATAATATAAAGGCCATTGGCTAACCTGCCTTGTGGCAACCGAGAAGCCACATTGGTCGACCCCTGCCCAGAGATAGTGGTCTGCAATTTTGAAACCCCACATTTATCTTTTGAGGGGAATCCCAAGACTACATATGATTATTTTAACTGCCGTGTTTTCCAGGCCTGATCTCAGCCGCAGGGTGAACAGGAACACCAGCTGCAGTGTTGGTCCTTATCGCCCCACATCAGTGTAACCTGTCAGCAGAGCTCTGGTGTCTCACAGAGTAAATCCCTGCTGCTCAGATGAGCAGGACACGAGGCTCGGATGTTACTCTGCACATACTTTCAGACATCATAGATTCTGTTGACGGCCTCCAGCGAGAGAAGGACGAGGTCACGCCTCATTCTCCGTTGTCACCAGACGGGTTGGGAATGCCGGGACAGAAAAATGTTGACTCATGGGTAAGGACTGAGAACGTCTGAGAGTTTCAGGTTTGCTCAGGGAGGAGCGGGTGGCGTCTCTCTTCACTTTGGCTCAGCTGGAGTGAGCGGTAGGCGGGTGGGCAGGTTAGGGTTGGCGTGCCCTCGTGCTGCAGCATTCCTTCTCGGAGACTTTTAGCCGTTTTCACACACCACACCTTCACTTATTAAACCACACTAGAGTGGGGCTCGCTGGTATTTCTGGATAGTCAGGGCAGACGGCTGCAAGAGGAGAAATATCCACCTGCACAATATGATTTCTTTCATCGGTCTGCAGGTCAAGTTAAAAAAGTACAAAATAAACAACATGGTACAATAACAAGCGTTCAATAATGACAAACCTGCACATCTGGGATGTCTAAAATACTTCAAATTGAAAAAAGAAGTTGCAGGCACATTTCTGAATGTGTGCAGCAAACAAAGCTGCATACATGAATACAAACAGAAATTAGTATAAATGTCAGACTGTGCAGCCAGTGAGAGGAGCTGTGCAGAATATTTATCTGATTCAAAGCTGCATTACATTATTATACTTTAGAAACTGAGAGCCACGTTTGACCTGTCACCGCCTCAGGAAATGCAAAAAGTTTAATATTTATAAAAGATGCAGAGTTTGTTAGCGTGGACAGGTTCAGTCACAAATTTCTCTGTCCTGTCATGATGTTAGCTTACAGCTGATTTTTTTCAGGACTTTAGAGCTTTATATTTCAGGCTCAAAAATCTGGTACTTGCTGAACTGATCAAATGTGCAAAAAAGGGCTGAAGGACCTGAAGATGTCAGTGCTGCAGGGTTCATGTTTCAGTCTTGGTTTTTATTATTATTATTGAACAGGAGGTGGATTATATACTTTTACAAGTCTTCATCTTCAGAAAGACAGGCTGACTTTAAGTTAGCAGCACCAGAGGAGTCTCAGACAGACCCTCAGACAGACCGGTTTTAGAATAAAACTGCAATAATGCGAGTTTTAATGGAGAGTTTTACAGAAGAGGAGATGGGCTAATGTTAGACGGTTTGATATGGGTACAAAACCCTCCTTAATGAAAAACGACTGAAGGAATCCTAAACTAAAACAAAGAGGCCTCGTTATCACTGACATTTTGTTTTTACGGAGTCCGAGCCAGATTCATGAACCTGTTCTTAAACTGCAGACTTGTTCACACCTGTGTTATTAAACTGGTAAATGCTAAGTCCTCTTCAGTTTGAGATTTGTGCCAGTTTTCTGTAATTAGCACAGGAAAATGCACCTTCAATGCCCATATAAGGGCATGCCACTGCAGCACATGTATAAAGCCATCAGGGCTTTCACACTAGAGGACTGGAGGAACAAAACACCTACAGTATTTTGTAACTGACTTCTACTCATGAACTCTATCCTCATTTTACCTCCAGTTACATTTGTTTACAGCAGCAGAGACTCTGAACTTCATGTCTGATCCTGGTAGAATAACATCTGGGAACAACAAATCAAACACACCTTTCCCTGCGGTCTGTGTGTTTATGAAGCAGCTTCAAGTCAACATCTACATGATGTTATTGTAGAATATTTTATTATACCTGTATGTAAAAATGCACGGACAGCATCATGTAGTTCAGTTAAATTTTTACATTTTGGAGCTTATAACCCAGGGGTGGGCAATTATGTGCCATGGAGGGCCAGGTTTTCTTTCCAACCCAAAACTCCACCAGGTGATTTCACTGATTACCTTACCTCCAAGCAGAGAACAGGGACTAATCAGTGACATCACCTGGTGGAGTTTGGGGTTGGAAAGAAAACCTGCAGCCTCTCGGCCCTCCATGGCACATAATTGCCTACCCCTGTTATAACCGCTCAGACTTCGTTGGGAACACAGACTACGTGACTTTATTGCCTCACAAGTGGACAAATGCCTCCCAAACCGGCCAAACAACAGAGTGGGAGAAACAACTCGGATTCCCCGGATAGCGTTAGCAAAAAACCGATGCAAATGCAAACAATATGACAGCGATGGCTAATGCCATTACTAACGTGGAAGCCTGTATCAACTCATTTCGGGAGGAGAACCGGGCGTCAATTGCCTCTCTACATTTCATTCTGAGTATTTATGGCGAACGAATTGCTGGCATAGAGCATCATGTAGTTCATTAATATATTCATCCGGAAAAAGTGTCTGACTGAACCACTCCATTAAAGCTCTGAGACACCAGCCGCGCATGATACTGCGAACTCGACTAACTCACTGACATTGTTTACCTACTGTAGTCTATTCTAGTCTAGTCTAGTCCCATCTTTAACTTTGGTAAATAAACTGTGCTCAATTTGGACTACTTCCTGAGAGTTTGGTTTTCTTGGATCAGTTGTGATATTGTTTCATGTTTAAGCAAATTGGCAATGATCCCTTTGAAACACCCCTGCTCTCATCTGACTCTGGTATTTTTCCATTCGTATCCAAGTGCTTATATCAAAAGCTATAATTTTGCATTTAAACCAAACTTGCATGACTAAAAAGAGTTGGCTACTTTTAAATCGTGGATTTATAAACATCTTTTTATATGACACATATGTGCTAAATGAAGGGAGGCAATGTATCTAGTCATTCTGCAGATATATCCTCTCGTCTCACATGTTCCTTGCAAAGAAAAATGGCGGACCAGACAATTTTGGTGAATAAATTGATTTTCTTGAAAACATTGACGGATTATTTTTTCTCTTAAAACACGGACGATGATATACATATACATATATATATATATATATATATATATATATATATATATTTTTTTTTAAACCTTTATTTAACCAGGTTGGTCCCATTGAGATTGCAAATGCAAATGCAAAATTTGAAAATATACGATTCGATTAATCGATTAATCACAAAATTAATTGTCGTTGTGTCAATTATCAGAATAATCCTTTGTGGCAGCCCTATTGGTGAATGAGACTCAGGGTTACCCAATAATACCTGCAGCTACCAATGTCCTTAAAGAGGGGCTGATTACTTGAAAGAAACGGCTTTTAACTATATTTTTAATACATTTACTAACAGTTCTTCAAAACACATGATTGCCAGCAGTGGCTCAGGTTTTGTGCACACGTTGTACTCTTGCCCAGCAAGCAGCCGTCTTCCCTCTGCTGAACACACTTTACCACAGGAAGTGTCAAATCTGTCGATCAGACGCTTTTTGGACTCTGGGACACAGGTTAGACCATCTAAATGAGCTCTAACTTGTTATGCGTTAAATCTGTAACTGGAGGTCAGTTTTGCCCATGCAGCCCCTCCGAGCCTCTCGTGCTCCTCCCTGACAGGAAGTGATGGTGCAGGGTGGGTCAGCCGCACCGCCTGCCATCTCTGCCCTGGTGTTCCAGATATCCCGACTGTCCTCCCTCCCTCAGGGCGATCTGATTGCCTGTGTGACCTCAGTGATTCGGTCGGCTCCAGCAGGGAGTGAAAGAGGGAGGAGGAGGAGGAGGGTGAGTTGGCAAGGCGTGTGCAGAGAGGGAGGGAGGGAGGTGGAAAGAACTCTGTGTTCTCCAAAGCTTCACCTCCATGCGGTTTACACGGAGCAATAATCAAATGCCCGTCAACTTCACTCAAGTACGCGTCCACGAGGATGAAGAGTGAGCTCATCTTCTAACGTCAGATTGCAGGGGTATCAGAGATAGTGGGTGCTAAATAAGTTTTTGGTGCAGCTAACCTCAGCACTAAAGTCGTGTCAACACAGAAAAATGACAAAACTTTGTGTTAACTCGTGTTACATCAGAGCAAAAAAAATACGAAAAAAAACCCTCCTGTCAGAATGAAACAAACTGATGGTCCAAAAATAGTACACAACAAGTCTGATCTTATGAAAACATAATACAGAAAAACAACAAAGAGCTAAAGCAAAAATGATGTTTTCTCCATCTGAGCCAGATTTCTGTCTGCATACTTTGAGTCGACATGACTTTTAGGGACATCAAGTTTGAGAGTTCCTCCAGAAGACTGAAAACAACCATAAAAGGTTCAGCAGCATAAGAACAGATTTGGTATGAAAGGAAATTTAAGAAGTTTCAGAAGCTTAAGTGAAGCAGCCGAAGTAGCTGAAGCCTCCTGACAGAGCAGTGAAGGTACATACTATGTCCTAAGTTGACACAGATATCCAGAAGATCTGACGAGGAGCCTGATGAAGAAATTGGATCATATCAACATCTATCAATCCCCATCCCTGCTAAACACTTGACAACTTATGAATCATCATAACAGGAGCTTCTTGTCCTCAAAAGCCACTGTAGCTTTGCCAAAGGGAGGGGTGAGCAAGGAAACATTTCTGTCTAGGATCTGACTGATAATAGTCTCACTTTAACGCACTTCAACGCTTGATCAGACTAAGTGTTATGTTAGAGTCTGACTTCATTAGAGGATCCCTGCAGAGGTGAAGCGGAAGATGACTTTTGTAACCGGAAACAGCTGTTACGTCACTCTCTACAAAGACAGCACAATGCTCTGATAAGAACAGGAATTTTATCTCCTGAAATAATGAGTGCTCTGCTGAATGTGTTTTGGGCGTTTGAGAAATCAATGGAACGTGTGAAACTATTCAGTCTGTTTGCATCGCGGAGTGTTGATTTTGTTAGCCGTCTGCTTTCTTGGTTCATGTTCTATGTTTTAATTCTCAACGTTAACACATGCTGACCATACCTATAATAAAATGTGCTTTTCATATAATATTGCCATTTCTGCATAATTTTCATACAACTTGCTTTAACTGGGGTTGGTTGGCTTCTGACTGGATTGCTACAGGTCTCACCATGGGTACAGCCTCTAGTTGGTCAACAGTCAAAAACAAAGATGGCAGCCTCTAGCTTGTGTAGTCAGCTAACAATAGAATGACATTATTTATATCATAAATTTAGGTATAAATTGTCACAGGTTATCTTTGTTTTTGGGGAACTGGATCTGGGCAGTCTATAAAATTAGATTCTCCATAGGATAAAACAGTTCCTGAGTATTACAGACACACAAAATGAGTGGATTTTACACAAAGTGGGTGCATCTTCCTGCTCTGTCATTTTAATCCAACATTTTTACATGCAGCATTTACATTTGGTTTGTCTCTGTCCTCTGTCCACTTCCTAGACTCCTTGGTGGTCGTTCGTGCTAATTACCTATCATGATGCGCCACGTAATCATTTTGCAAGAGACGCAGAATTTCATGGAAGGCGCAAGAAGGGAACTGTTGAGCATAGCGGCAAATTATGCTGATGGTTTAAACTAGTTGTTACCACTTCTTGATTCCTATCCTTAGCTGAAACACAGAGGTAAAATTTCTGTTTTTGTAAATGGAGCCTGGTGGTTCTCAGAAACATGTGACATTGTCGCCGTATCAGGTAAAAAAAGTATTGTCCTTGGTTGGACCTTTACGGCTAGTTCCTATGCTGCAAGGTGAAGTATTGTATTGGTGCAATTAAATTCTACAAAAGCGGGTTTTCAACACTAGGATTACCACATTAAGTATCTGTATGATAGAGTTCCTTTCAATAATAGATGCAACATTACATGGATTGATCAAGAGGCTAACTTCCCCTGAATCTCTGATGTAATGCAGCTTGAGAAATGAGGTCCTCATTTTGAAGTGTGCCACTTCCTTTGTGACTCGTGTCACTCATCAGTCAAGTGGAATGGGCTTGGTTACAGACGCTGGAGAGGTGGGCCAGGCCATCTGCTCGCATGGGTGTAGGTTACTATGAAAACTACTCCAACCAGGGCGGGGCCATGTGGTGGAAAAGGAAGTCTCTGCCTGGGTAGCTACATACCAGTAACATTAAACATTTAGAGGCTGTTTGATGGTGTTCTGTTAAAGGTTGAGCTGCAGAAACAGGATTTTATGAAAGGGGCAAACAGGTATCCTCTTACTTAACTATCATAATAAGCACAGGAGAATTAAGGATTCTTGATCTGTAACCTCTGGTTTATTCAAAACAAACTGCCAAGAAAATATCAGAATGGTTTTATAACTCAGGAACACTAAAAAAGCTGATTTTTCTTTTGTATTTCTTGATAGGATGATCATATCCAGTGTCTAGTCTTTCCATATGATGTAGAAGCAGACTCTATGTCCCAAAGCCCTTTCTTTAGGTGACTCAGCAGAGCAGGAATGACTCAGGTTTCTGTCATCTTTCAGGGAATATAACAATGATCTGTCCGGTCAGAGCTGCAGGACAACTATTTATTTCCACAGCTCTGTTTCTGACTTTCCACTGAAACTATAGATGGAGGTGGGAAGCAGAAAACACTCACATAAGCTTCCATCGACTCAGCCTGCAGATGTATCTAGAGAGAAAAATAAGGCTTTGCAGTGGCAACAGAACTGCAAAACCAAATGTACAATACAGGGTTATAACACTACCTACCATCCAGTATGTATGAAAGCATAACCTTAAATTAAACTAAATGGTAGAAGTCTCAAAACTGCAAACTGTCTTGTAAACAAACCCCCAGCTCTAGAAAACTCAGTGCGTCACATAATCATGCACCAAACGTCCCAAATTTGCAAATTATTTGAGAATTTACCAGAACAAAGTGGAGCAAAACAGGATATTGGCTGATAGGCTTATCCATTGTTTTGGGATATGGTTATATGGGCACTTTGGTCATATGATTTTAGTTCCCACATGCTCTAATGCTTACTTTCAATGATATTCTGCAGATATGACGATAATACATTTTCCCCTCTTTCCTTTTTGTGATAACAACTATCAGTGAGACGTGATACGCCATGCCTTTCCTTATCCAGTTGACGCCCATGACCACATGTGCTGTAATTCTCCAAATCCCACAATCCTTTTGATTAAGAGGAGATGGCTTTGAAGGCGGGTGGCTCACATGTAGTAGCTGGCGTAGATCAAATCAGACTGCTCAGCTCACACACAAACATGCAACACACACACTGATGGAACTGCCACTCCCTCTTTATAATACACAAGCACCCTGACAATAAGGCTGCGATGGTGGGGGACAACACTGCTCCTTTGTGTTAATTGGGCTTGTCTAGACTGTAGAAAATGTCAAATCCATACAAACCTAGAAGGGGATAGTATTAGATAAACATAAAGGATATTTCTGCTGAAGCTCTTAAGGATTGATTTTTTTGTTCTTGGACTAATGCTATTATCAAGACACAAAAAGAGCAATGCGCCTTTAAGAGGTCCTCCCTTCACTGGCACTGGCCCAGTAACAATGCCTCTGCAGTGCAGAGTATCGCAACATTTCATCAAGCTTTGTCATACCAAATGTCCTGATTAAAACTGTGAAATCCTCTTTATAGAGATGTAAACAAACATGCCCGCCGCGTACAGCATGATGTAAGATTACATTAACAGTCTTTAGGATACAGGCTTCAATTCGGCTATGGTTAAAGGTCGTGGGCAGCGCATGTTTGCTGTAATTTCATTTTTTAATCCAATTTAGCCTTGCAAAACATGATTTAATACACAAATAAAATAACAGTAATTGTAAAGTACCTTTATGTAAATCTGCTGTCTTAATTCTAGCTTACTGTTAGGCTAAAAATGTCTTAAGCATGCACTACAATAACGAGCCTCCGCTTAATAATAAAGCCATTTATAACTAGTCTCCTCCACTAAATAGAGTAACCGCCACACAAGACAGCAGGCTAACGGCGCGGACCCACTTCACGCAACCAGTTCGCCCAGCTGCGCTGCTCACTTTATGGCGTAATTTCGAGTCTTTTCAATCCAAAAAGCTTTCCATTAGGAGGGGTACACCCAATTTTACAATTAGCGTTTTCTTTACATGCCCGATTCGATCATGTTGTTGGGGGAAACTGTTAAAAAGGGGCATGGTTCGCTTAGTATCCCAGCACGCTTAGAGAGGCGAACCTGCCGCTCACAATGCACATCCAAACGGGGGGAGACTTGTCTGCCGCGTCAGTTCGCTTTCAGTGGGTCCGCGCGGTTAAGCTAACGCTACACAAGGTTTGATTGGCAGCCGTGCGTCCGGATATGTTCATTAGCTACCACAGGTGTTTCCTATTAGTGCTAATAAAAGCTTAGACAACTACACACAGGTAAAAAGCAACTGAACATATACAATTATTCATTCCTACATTACTATCTTAAATCATTGCGTTATCAATTTACGTCATGATGCAATTCAATGACACTATCCTTTTTAAAACGACTTATAACAGGCTTAACTCAGTTCAATTCAAGACATCAGGTTAAAATTAAAATCGGCACAGTAAACTTAACATGAAGGTCTCGCTTACCGGACATCTTTGATTCTTTGGCAGCTGAATTTTGTCCATCGGCAAACCCCTGCGACGATGATATCTGGGCGGACTGAGTCATTGGATCCATTTTACTGTAAATCAACTGCACAAATGCGGTGAATTGTGTGTCGTCTAAACTTAAATAGTCTTATACTGTCCTTTAAAAGACGTATATGTCGTCTGATTTTCCTCTAATTTCCCCCAAGAGCGGGACTCGGGTCTGCACCTTAACGCAACGTCCGAGCACTGAGCGATCAGCAGAGATGATGGAGGGAAACAAGGCGGACTAATGGAGGAGGGGAAAACATGTCGGGCTGTGAGGCGTTCAAGGTCTCCGTTTAGGCTCATAAATCTCATAAGCAATCTACGGTCAAGTGCAAATACATAAATAACAAAAATTGTCACAGTTTTTTAAGATATCCACAAATCACGACCCTTCTTTTAGTCAATATATGCTATATTTGGAGATTCCATGCTGTCAAAATAAACTCTACAAAATAACGTATCCGATGAACTTGTATTTAGCTGCGGGTATAGAAATATTCTACAGTATATGAAGGCAGCAAAAAGAATATTCCTGAACGCAGACAAGACACCATGTTATAACCTGCAACGAACAAAAGAGTGGATTCATTTATGTGCCATAAACTGTCTTACCATTCGTGGGGCGTACAGTTTGCATTAAATACTGACGAACTTTCACACTGTAAGTATATTGACAAAAAATAAGAAATATATATATATTAAAGGCTAGTCATGGCCAGAAATGTTATTGATAAGGTGGAATAATCATACAGGTGCCTTCCCTTTACCTCTAGAATACAATTAAACACGACTGTACATGGTGTATAGTCTGTTTTCCATTATGTAATGGTTACCTTTGTTCTATTTTGAAGCAATTCATCACATTTCGGCGCCACGCTGCCCTCTACTGGGCGTGTCAATGATACTTTTATAATAAACTTCATTTCCCAGCATGCAGGAGGAAACACCGCCTGCGCAGTGCTGAAGATCTATATTCACATGGATGGGGCTAACAGCGCTCAACAGCCAACCGCGTAGTGATGTGAGATCTGCACTCGCGCGCCAACATAGCGGGTGATGACGTACCGCAGTGTATTTTGTGGCAGACAGAAGTGCGCGGCAAAAGAAGGGGGGACACAAACAAAAAACATGTGGCTGAGCCTGTGAGAAAACAGGTACGTAATGTCCTACAAACCAGTCCTGTTTTACCTTTATAAAATCTCAGCGGGAGTTTTTGTTATAGCGGATTGTTACGGCACTCCTGCGAGAGTACCGGGGCAAGAAGTCTCATACTGAAGTGGTGAGTTTAGCGAACTAGCAGCTTGTTAGCCTGTTAGCTGCATCTCATAACATTCAAACACCTGCTCATTTAAGCTTTACGCACCATTGTTGGTCTCTGCATCATATAGAATATTCCTTCACTTTATTTCACCGCATAATTTTACTTTAACAAATAAAACTAGTTCAAATAGCAAACTTAAATCGGCAGCCAATATTAACTCATCTCAGCAAAGATAGCTGGTTAGCCTACATAATCTCACCACGCATACAAGCGAATTAATCCTTTTAACGTGGTATTGTGGTAGTTTTTGGGATGTTCTGTTGGCTTGTGATATTTCAGATACATTAAAGGCAGTAGGATTAAAATCTAGATTTTTGTTTAGCTGATATTAGCAGTTTATCATTGAATGTAAGTAGCTGTGTAGCGGGGGGAGTGCCCCGCCCACCAAAGCGCCATACAGCTCCTGATAGCGGCATTCATGTAACATCATTATGCAACCGCGCAGACTGCTCAGCTGCGGGTCAGTGTCCTGTTTTATTTTTGTTTTCTCTATAAGATATAATCATTGACGTTTTGATTGATTTATTGCTTTAAATTGAAGCCCCTCAAACTGTATATAGATGGGCAGTGAGCCATTCTCGGTCAATGTATGTGATCATATTTACGGTAAGTTGCTCCGCATAACGTCACCCAGGCGACTGTATTCGAATGTGTTGATCAAACGGTGTCCTTAAAAGTCCTTAAAATCGATATGGATGTACATTATAATTAGCTGAAATTATTACCGAAACAAAACATAATTTGAGAATTTCTAAAAAAGTAAAAGTTAACCTTATTTGTCTATCACTAAAATCGGTCAAAGCAGCCTTAAAGTGCTTTTACAATAGATATATTTAGATAAAATAACACTGAACACAAAGATTAAACACAGTTCATAAAAATGGTCATTAAATTAAAAGTAATTAGAAATACTACCAGGAATATTAATTTAATTAATTTGGGAAAACTGAGTTGTATCAGTTGCTCTTTCACAAATGATAACAGTGAGAATATAATATTGGGTAACGACAAAGTTAAGAAATTTGAAATAGTGACATTTTAATACAAAAATGATTAATTAAGATTTTAATGCACAGGTGTCAAACTCAAGGCCTGGGGGCCAAATCCGGCCCGTGGAACAATTATATCTGGCCCACAAGATCATATCATATTTGTATTATTATTGGCCCACCAGTATGAGGTCTGCAGATTTCCTCCAGGATGATAATGTAAACTTTAGCACCATTATTTAAAAAACCCCTAATAAACCATGAAAATCTGGGAAAGTAAAGAGTAAGGAAATTTTGATAAATAGCCAAGAATGTGGGGGGAAAAATGTGTTTTATCCATATTTCCAATTTTGAATCTCAAGATTACAAGTCAAACATGACTTTATTTTTTGTGCCTTGTTTTTTTTCCAACTCAGTATTTAGATTTCTGTCATTTTAATCCTTAAGATTCCAATTTTAAATTTTAAGTCATATATTGACTTTAAACTCTTGATTTCAATATGACCTCATATTTTGACCTTTTAAACTTATGATTTCAACTTTCTCCTCATGTATTTGCTCTTTTAAAGCATTATTTTTTAATTTTTTGTATAGTGTTCTGATCTTTTGAACTAATCTGTTGGATTTTTTTTTTTATCTCAGATTGCCTTTAAATTTATCTTTTTTACTTTTTGAATTTCCAAGTGGTTTATAATCATCAATGATTTTGTTGTATATTTTGAAAAGGAGGCTGACAGTTTGGGTTAAATGTTGACCCTGTTGGGCCCTCAGGTTAGATTTAAATCCAGATTACGGCCCTTGCTGTGGTTGAGTTTGACACCCCTGTTTTGATAGAAGGCAGTGATTTCTACTTCTTTATGAGCATTGCACTCACATTACCAAACAAGGTGTTGACTGGTTTACAATCCATTTCACAGTAAGAATTGACATTCGAAAATATTACAGAAACAAATATTAAAAATACAAAAAAATTGTTGGAAATTAAATCATTTCAACTGTAATAGCTATAAACAGTCTAAATTTAATCATCATAATGACAAAAAATGAGTTGTACACAACCCTAACATGTCTGAGCTTCTACGATAAAAGTCAACCAGGATTTACAATTCTGAAGTTAGAAGTATGAAACAACAGTGTGTTCACATTTAAAGCCTTGTAAATGCAGCAGGTGATGTGTTCCTTTTTCACTTTGTTTGTTTTGACTCAGTCAGGGCCCTCTGACCTGCTGCACCAAATATTCAAAGGGCACAAATGGGGATTTTTCCACTGTTGCAGATAGTCCCCCTCACATGGATTATTTTCTTCAGCTGTTTGGGAGAATTACAAGCTGTCTTTAGAGAGAAAATAAACTTTTGTGGGCTGATTTGGAAAGATGTGTGGTGAGAAGCAGACAAGCAGTGAGTTTTTTTATTGTATGTCTTGTGGTTGGAGAGGATTTTTTTAGGGCTCGCTTTGACAGTCTTTTAAAGCCCCTGTTTTTGTTTTTTTATGGACTTTAACTGTTTTCTCTTAAACTTTTGGTCCTGTAGGTGTAGACAGTGTCTGAGTCATCATGGGTCTGCACTCATCCCAGAAGAAGCACTTCCCTTTGCGGGGCATCGACGGCGTGGTTCAGCTCTTTGACTCCGAGCTCCGTAAGCCAGAACCGGACCTCGCCCTTCTCTCCCTGGTCCTGGGTTTTGTTGAGCACTTCCTGGCTGTGAACCGTGTCATCCCCATAAATGTCCCAGGGGTCCGGTTCGAGCCCCTGGAGCCAGACTGTCCGAGCTCGTGTTTCCCCACAGTGGAGCTGGGGATGATTTCTGCACTGTATGAACGTTTCACAGCACAGATCCGAGGCGCTGTGGACCTGTCCCAGTACCGCCGTACCGCTGCCGGGTCCAGCAGGGAGCTGGTGAAGAAGGTCTCAGATGTGATCTGGAACAGCCTGAGCCGGTCTTACTTCAAGGACCGGGCCCACATTCAGTCCCTCTTCAGTCTCATCACTGGTACGACACTGAGATCAGATCACCACTGTAAAAAAATATTGATGGAAAAGTTGCGCAGAAAGAGAGTAATATGAGCTCTTGGTTTCAGGTACTAAACTGGACAGCTCAGGTGTGGCGTTTGCTGTGGTGGCGGCCTGTCAGGTTCTGGGCCTGAAGGATGTTCACCTGGCACTCTCAGAGGACCACGCCTGGGTGATCTTTGGTAAAAACGGCGAAGAGACAGCAGAGGTCACCTGGCATGGGAAAGGGAACGAGGACAGACGTGGACAGACAGTCGCAGCAGGAGTCAGTGAGAAGGTGAGGATGACCTTCAGACGCTTGAAATCATGAAATCTGAACAGAGGTCTTTAGAAACCAGAGGGTTCGTTGGTTAAAGTCAAAGTGCTGTTTATTTTAGGTTGTTTTTCACACATCGCTCTACCTGTTAAGGGTTAAAAAATGTCTAACATCACTGAAATCCAACATTATTGACCTGATAGGAGCTCTTAAAGCAACACAGTCATTTTTTTCATTACATTTAGAGAAAAAAAATCCCTTGTATTGTATGAGTGCATAATTTCACTGATTTTGAGCTCTTTGTGGTGTCAGAAAATTTCCACCAAACCCTCCATATTTTGCAGTGTGTCAGACGCTGGAATTTCCCCTGTGGGTTTTGATGTAACAGAGTCATTACTAACAATGCCTTTTGTTTTTTAAGCATTTCCTGCTTTTGTTAAAGCCAGGCGTGTGTGTGCGTTTGTGTGTGTCCCCCAGAGCTGGCTGTACCTGAAGGGCTCTTACATGAAGTGTGACAGAAACATGGAGGTGGCCTTCATGGTCTGCGCCATCAACCCGTCTCTGGACCTGCACACTGACAGCTCTGAGCTCCTGCAGCTGCAGCAGGTAGGAACTCGAACAGTTTGAAAACCACAAGCTTCAGTTTCATAATCGGTGTCACAGGAAGAGGTGACCTGAATATGAAAGAGTCAGACTGAAACTGAACAAGTTGATCTAACATGTTTTAACTTATCTTACTTACTGTTCCTGTTCGGACCCTCTGACCCCCAATGAGACAAATGTAACATCACCTACGCTCTCTCTGCATCTGCAAAGCAACGATCACTGCTGAACTGTTTTAAAGTTTCAATTAATTTTCAATTTATAGAATTTGGTTTGTTTGTTTCTCCCTCTAGTTATAAAACAGGTCCAGTGATAGAGAAAAAACTGGGCCTGACTCTGCAGTTTTGCGGTTATCAAAGTTTCAGAAAGTCACAACTGTCGAATCTGTTGGACCTGATTTGAACTCTGATTCCTTGTTTGATGCGCCCTCTTGATTTGTGTCTTCTTCCTGCCTGCTGTGACAGAAACTCCTCTGGCTGCTCTACGAGAGAGGAAACCTGGACAGGTGAGAGAGTGGTGACGATTAAGACGTCTCTGATGATGTCACAGGTTGTATAAAGTGCAGAGCCTGACCTGATCTGTCCTGACCTGTCCTGTCTGTTTCAGGTATCCTATGGCCATGGGCACCCTGGCAGATCTTGAAGATCAGGACCCAATCCCGGGGAAGGAGAGTCCCCTGAAGATCCACCTTAATGTAAGTGTTTTCCACGAGGTCATAAAGCAGAATGAGGTTTTTAAATCTGTCTTGATTTTGTTTCTGTGTGGTTGTCAGGCTGTGACCTCTGCTCAGAAGTACTACAACAACGAGCACATCTACCCCTACATGTACCTGGCAGGTTTCCACTACAGACACAGGAACGTGAGGGACGCTCTGAGGGCCTGGGCCAAGGCTGCTCAAGTCATGCAGGAGTGAGTTCTCGCTGCTCTTACACACTAAAATATTACATTTCCAGGGTCAAAGTTCAGCATGAATGACTTTTATACACATTATCATTAATTTCAGTGCGCCTCTAATGATTTCTACTCGTACTGTGTGAGCACAACAACACACAGCGTTATTTTCGACTTGTTTTGAGTCATCAATGAGAACATTAAATCTTGTCGGACCCTTTTCCATCCACGTGAAGGGTAATGTTTGAGTTTATACACAGCGAGTATAGCGAGTAGCGCAGGTAATGTAACGTAACAGCGTAGCTCCTTGAGCGGCAAGAGAGTGGCAGTAACAGCGGAAATTTCTAGGTGAAGACTGACCTGAGGAACAGGCTACAAGAAGAGCATCTTATACACAAGCACTTTATACATGTAAATTATCTAGAAATTGTCAGGAGTGCACGTGTGAAAGAGCGCATATTTACTTTGATATTCAAAGGTAATAAGACGAGCAAACACATCAAAACCTTTCGAGGCTCCTGTCAAAACCAACAAACTTAACACTGCTGCAGTGAGACTTCATTTTCTGAACATTAAGTGCACCAGAAATGTCTATCACATTTGCATCTTGTCAAACTACGAAAGAGTCGAGTTCCGCCACAAACCTTCAAGCATCAAAATATTTTTAATTGAAGATTAAACTATCGAATGTCCTCTGAAAACTGTCTGTAAATGCAGCCTGAGTTAGTTTGAACATGGCTCACTCTTTTCTACTGAGAAGCAGTTTGAGAAAAAAAATCTAAATAATGAAATAAAAACCTTTTAAATGTTGTGAATATTTAGAGGATGTTTAATTTGTTATGAAATAGTTACTTTGGAAGTTTCTCTGTTTGTCTGAATGACCAACAGAAAGGAAGTAAAGGCTCAAAAGGATTAAAAGTCTTCCCCACTCTCTGGTGCTTCATTTAAGACAGTGATTCTCAAGTCCAGTCCTTTTGGGTGTTTCCCTGCTCCAACACACCTGATTCAAATGATCAGCTCGTTATCAAGCTCTGTAATGGCTTAATAACGAGCTGATCATTTGAATCAGGTGTGTTGGAGCAGGGAAACATCCAAAACATGCAGGACTGTGGGCCTCGAGGACTGGACTTGAGAACTGATTTAAGCCATGGTGTTATCATGTCTACCTGTGCCCTGTTAAACAGCGCCACCTACAGGAGACACTGTCTGTGTTCAGTTTAACCATTAGATATTTAAACACAATTAAAATTAGTTTAATTTCTGCTAGAAAAACACATTTTACAGTAAACATTTTGCGCTTGTGGACCAGTTTTTTTAAATGTGAGCATAAAAGTATTTCTTGTCAGTTTCCATGGGCTGATTCACACAAAACTGAGTAAGAATGAAAGCAAAAGTAATCAATGAAATGAAAGTAATCATGAAAAAATTTAAAAATTAATCAGACAACACGTTTCTGTATCATCAGCAACTGTGTTTTTTTTTCCCACTTCTCCAGTCTGCTCATTTTCACCTCCAGTTATTCCGAGAAAAGCTACGTGAAGAGAGATCGTTACAAACCAAACACCTGGGTGCACTTTGTGGAAGTGCCATGGAGATGTTAAAGAGTGTTATTTTCACATGAAGCTAACAGAAACATTTTAAACACAAAGTAAGACGGTCTCAGCAGCATGTTTGGGTGTTGTTCCACCAGATGAACACAAGATGGCAGCAGATACACAGCTGACTGTTCAGTGACGTGATCAGAAAATAACCCCAAAAAGACTAAATTTGTTTATCTGCAGTGTTAAACTAGAACAAATGTTTCCTGTTTAATGTTCAGTATTGAATTTGCACCCCGGCCCCCGTTAGTTTGGAGGGTGTGGGTTTAAAACCAGGAAGTGTGGAAATCTGCATCCTCACACTCTCTCCTCCTGCAGCTAAAAATACGAGCAGTGACCCTCTGCAGCTCCTCGGCTCACATTCCCTCCCCGTCCATCAGCTTCCTCTTCCTGCTCCGGCATTGTTCTGCATTGACAGGAATGTGCATGTGTGGGTTTGTCACAGTGAACTGTTTGTAGATCTCGCAGCAAAGTTCACGTGTTGTCATGTCTGAGAGGATAATCAACATGCTGCAGGTCAACAAATCAAAGTCAAATAAATCCTGATTTATTTACAGTTTGTATAACGCTGTCTAATGTTTATAGAAGTAAACATGGCGTTCAAGCGTGCATGTTCAGTCACATCCTGCAGTTTGTATTAAATCAGTTTGCTCTAATCTCTTCTCCCCTCTTCCTGCAGATACAACTATTTCCGCGAGGACGAGGAGATCTACAAAGAGTTCTTTGACATTGCGAACGATGTGATCCCAAACCTGCTGAAGGAGACGGCTACTGCTGCAGAGAGTTCAGGAGAGGGAGGAGAGGGCAAAGAGGGAGCCGACAAGGTGAGGAATCCCAGCGGGAGAGGGGCGGTGCAGGACAGTTCTAGTAAACTTCTCACAAAGAGGAGAGCAACGAGAGGAGCAGGAGGAAGAGAAAGGAGCAGGAGGACACGAGAGGACACTGGGGAGAGGAGCAGGAGGTTGAGAGAGGAGAGGAGCAGGAGAGGGGAGAGAGAAGAGCAGGGAGAGGAGCAGTAGGATGAGAGAGAAGCAGGAGGGAAGAGAGAGGAGAGCAGGGAGAGAAGCAGGAGGGAAGAGAGAGGAGAGCAGGGAGAGAAGCAGGAGGATGAGACAGGAGAGCAGGGGGAGGAGCAGGTGGAGAGAGAGGAGGGGAGCAGGGGGAGAGGAGGAAGAGAGAGGAGAGCAGGAGGGGGGAGGTGTGTCTGAAAAGCTAACAAAGTACTATAATGCAGTTGCTAATTCAAGAGTAATGATGTATAATAGTAGTGACCTTTAGAGTCAGTGAAAATAACCCTGATTATGACTTTGTAGGTGGTTGGTGTCTATTACAGAAGTCTTGGTACTGATCTGAGCTACCAGGTCATTGAACTGGGCCAGGGTTAGTCTCAGCAAGCAGGACGCAGCAGGCAAGTACATCTAAAAAAGTCTCAGGTCACAGAGGAGGAGAAGACGTGACCGCAGCAGAAAGAGAGAGAGAGAGAAAGAGAGAGTCAAGGAGATGATAGGGTGTTGTTGAGTTTCTGTTGCATTTGTAGGATGGAATATTTGCAGGTTGTGTTAAAACATGCAAATAAACTCAAATGAGCCTGCCGTGAAACTCTGACATGAAACTAAAAGAAATTTTTAAACTGCAGGTAACAAAAAAAGCTGGGATTGGATTTTTCCAGGTTGTCCAGAGTTCTGGATTTTCTAAAAAAGTTGACCCCTGAAATTTTAGAAATCCACAGGGATGTTAGTTGGTGCTCAGCCAAACTCAGCCTGTTGGTTTTGCCATGGCTGTTTGTGTTCATCCTTCCTCTGTGACAACGCTCCATAGTAATGTAACAAGCCAGTGGATCTCAGAAGGCCGTGAATCACCTGGCTGTAATCTTGAAATGTAAAAAAAAATATCTGTTAAGTTTTGAGCAGATTTTGCACCTTCTCTCACCTGCTCCTCTGCTGTCTGCATGTCAGAGCTGCAGGGGTTAATAAACCCTCCTCTTTGTCTCTCAGGAGCCCAAGGAGGCAGCTGCTGTTTCAGCTCTGCAGGACGCCGACTGTTTCGCTCACCTGCTGCGTTTTTATGACGGCATCTGTAAGTGGGAGGAAGGGAGTCCAACGCCGGTCCTCCATGTGGGCTGGGCCACCTACCTGGTCCAGTCCCTGAGCCGCTTTGATGCTCAGGTAAGAGACTAAGAGGGATCGATCTAACCTTGGCCTTCAGAGTGTGTGTGTTCGTGTGTGTGAAGCTGAGCCTGTGTTCTGGTCCTCAGGTGCGTCAGAAGGTAACCATCATCACCAAAGAGCCCGAGTCTCAGGACGAAGATGACCAGTCCAGCGATGACCCCCGTGAGGGCCGCAGACGAGGCCCCAGGAGGGAGTCCAAGCTGGAGGACCAGAGTTCGCCTCCACCTCCCCCCTCTGCAGCTCCCCCTGCCTCCCCCTCCGCCACCTCCCAACCAGCAGCAGCTCAGCCCAAGAAGGTGGGCGAGGGAGGGGGCCGCCGGCGCTCCTCTCAGAGCCTGAGAGGAGGAGACATCGAAGGAAAACCCAAATCCCCGACCCCAGACTCCTCCCCCACCTCCTCCTCCCAGCAGCAGGAGGCGCCCCCTTCCTCTCCTAACCTCTCCCCTGCGGGGCCCATGGTCGTGTTTCAAAGCGAGAAGATGAAGGGGATGAAGGGGCTGCTGTGTGCCGCCAAGGTGAACTCCAGCGCCATCAAGCTGCAGCTGACGGCGCAGTCCCAAGTCCAGATGAAGAGGCAGAAGAGCACGCCGAGCGGGGACTACTCCATGTCCTTCATGAAGAGGCAACGCAAGTCTCTGTAGACCAGGAGGAGGAGGAGGAGGAGACTCATACTGTGAACAGAAACATCTCGCTTTCATTCGTCAGACTTTTTACAAGTGTTTTCATCAGTTCAGTCTCATGTTTCAGCAATATTTCAGTTGCTCTCTCTCCACATATCAGGTTTGTACGGTGGCCATAGAGGACAGCATCTAACTGCAACAGCTCAGATCTTCATCAGGAGACTCACACCGCAAATGCAGAGACAACACAACTTCTCTAACACATGCAACATTTGAATCGCTCTGCAAATGAGAGAAACTGCTGCAAAAAGGCAGAAACGACAACATAAACGATACAAAGCAAAAACACACAAAAGTGGAAAGTAGCTGCAAATGAAGGTAGAAGTGTCACTCGGCGCCCCCGCAGGCCTGGAGAAGTTCTGCTAAAAAGTCTTATCTGCTTCTTCAGATTTTATTTGTAGCTGCTTTTTATTTGTGTGTTTTTTGCATAGTATCATTTGTGTGTTCGCAGCGTTTTTGTCTTGTTCTGGGTTTTTGCAGCACGCTTTTTTACTCTTATTTGTCGCGCATTGTCAGCTCTGCGTTTGTTTTGGACTTTGAAGTTCTGTGGACCGTAATACCGGGCAAATAAGCAGTGAGAATGACTGTAATGAGGGAAAACAGGCTGCAAATTCAAAAAACGCAATAATCTGAAACAGAAAGACCTCCATGGATCTCTTTAGGGTTTTGTCTTTTGCCTGATCTGGCTCTGTGTCCCCCCTCAGGCCTCTGAACCCTGTCCTCAGGGGGTTTTATTTTATTTATTTATTTTGGGACGTTATTTCTGAGAGGACAGGAACGGGGACCAAGTGCGAAACAGGGATTGCTGCTGGAGGATCAGAAACTCCTCATGTGGGATAAGCACTTAGACTGCTAAGCTATCTGCACCTCCTCAGGGTGGTTTTAATCTCTTTTTTTCATTATGTTGAAATTTATCACCCCCTACAGGAGCACCTTTATTATTCTCTTACAATTTCTTGGGTTTGACTGGTTTTGGAAGTCTTTCCAGTGCATGTCCTTCTTCCTGATTGGTCCTGAATCTACCGCATGTTTCTGTTTCACTCATTCTGAGATTCTGTCTATGCTCTAGTATTTGTTTATCCTCTGAATTTGCAGCCTGTTTCTCCAGAACAAACTCATCTCAGCCGTTGCAGCAGGTTTGCTCTTCAGGGCCACCATATTTTTAAAAAGAAGGAATGAACTTTTCCTTGTGCTTTTATTTATCTCCTGCAGAACTTTCCTGGTTTGACAGATTGTAAACACTCATTAGTTTGTGTATTAATTGGCAGCCAATTGCACACTGACTATTAACTTCTGATTGACTCTCATGTGGATGTTTGAAGCCAAAGTCTCTCCAGAATCCCGTGAAAACAACCATTCAGACCACATTCACGACTGAAGCCTGGAAGTGATGATTTTAGGATAGTTACTGTGTAACATTGTCCACCTCTGCTCTATCGACAGCTTCTTTCTTGCTAGCTCTTTGTTGCCTTACGTTGCCTTGGTTCTTTTCTACTGTAGGTGGCCTTTAGTGTTCAGATTAGCTGAGTCAGGCCTCATTTCTGACGCATAGAGAAGAGCAGGAGACCATGCACTGTTGAGACGGGACCTCATTAGGAGGACCCAGTACATCGATTTACCTTTTTGTTGTTGTTTTTGTATCTGGGAGTAATAAAGATCAGATGGAAGCAGAGTGTGAGGGTGTGTGTGTTCAGGGGGGACCAATCTGTGTGAGGCAGTGCACAGTAAAAAAGAAAGCTAAGACCACTGAGATGCACAGAGAGGCCGATGAAGAGATGTCATAAACCTGCACTCTCTCTGACGTCCAGCAGGGGGTGACTCAACTGGTAAAATGGTCTTACCTTTCAGCTGATTTGAGTTTACAATCTTCATATGTGTTCATATATGTATCATCTACAAACACTAATGCAGTTAACTGTTCTCTGTGCACGTCATTTTCAGCTCATCAGTGTCACTAATCAAAGGTCAAAAGGGGCGGGGCTAGTATGACAGTGTGAGGGCCGCCTTATTTCAGATGGGTGAAATGGCGACAGATTTCAATAATAAGAGGAATTAATTGCAAAGGTAACCATCAATATGTAATAAAAGAAGAATATTGTAATGAAACAGCTTTAATATTGAAATACGGCCTGTATTCTCATTAAACAGCAACTTTGTTCCTTTACTTATTTTTAAAACTTAACTTTTACTAACATTTCTACCCTCAGAATTATGACTACCCTGAAAAATCAGCACTTAATTCTCTCAACATTTCAGACTTTTTTTTCAAGGCGTTACAACTTTATTTGTGTAACATTTCAAAATTAATTCTCATAACTCTGACGTTATTCATGTCACATTATGGTTTTATCCTTTTCTAGTATTTGACTTAACCTTAAAATACCAACTTTATTCTTGTAAAATTACAGTTTTTCAAATATTTCTTCTTTGTACTCTCAACATAACATCTGTTTTCGTGACCTTTGATTTCCCCTCAGGATGATATATTTTAACATTACAATTTTTTTTTCATATAACATCAAGACTTTATTCACTTTACATTTAAGTCTGATAATATTACAAGTTTATGTTAGACTGGTCTTGCAACATCATTCTGGTATGACTATGATTGTGTGTTCATAATGTCGTGACTTGGACTTGTGCACACAGACTCATTTGTTTGAGGGTAAAATTTCTAGTTTAAGAACTGCTGCTCAAAAGTACAATTAGGGCCTGTGTCCATTGAATGCATTTTTGTTCTGTCAACAGATGTTTTCAGTGCAAAACTAATGCAGTTCAGCGTACAATCATGTTTTTTTGCTGCATTCTAATTGAAAATGGATCAACTTTTTAAATATAGCCACTCATTACTGTCACTTATTTTTCACCAACACAGGAAAGAGAACTTCATAAATCAGCAATGAGGAACATTAGCTTCCTTATACCGTTACAATTGGTAACTGTAGGCGTCCATCTTGGTTTTCTGACTTGTTAACTGGCACGCAATCAACTCAGGTGTAACAACGTTCCCTGCCCCAACGCCCGACTTCTGAGGAAACTGGATCGCAGCATAAGTACATACTTTTTTGCCCACAGTTTCTTCATATTTCTAAGCATCTTCAGACCACCATAATCCATAGTCCTTAAAAAGTTCAGCTGAGATTAATTTGTTGAGTTACTTGATCAAAGTTAAGATATGATATACAGATGGATAACACCTGTATGATACTTTAATGCTAAATTGAAATGATTGGTGTAAACATGCTGGATTTATTCATGCCTGCTTGTGCACCTACATCATGCCACCCCCCCTGTGAGTCAGTTCCTGGGTTGGGCCACCCCACTGCTGAATCGTGACCACGCCCCTGCTCCTCTCGGTCTTCCTCACTGTTGCAGGACGCGCACAGTCTTAGGTATTAATGTCAGATGGTTTTACTGGCGTGGAGCTTTGGCCTGGACACTGGAGCAGGGGGGAATCAGGGTAAAACTTGTCCAAACATTTTTTACAGTGTAGTCTCTGCTCATGCGTGATTTGACTCCAGCTCCACTCGGGACTGTGCACACGCAGATGCTCGGAGAGTGTCCGTGTGCTGTCACTGAACTGTCTCTGTCAGTCTGTCAGCGTGTCTGCAGGGTGAACTCTCCAGGAATAAGTCTAACCCAGTTTGGACAGCAGACTGTCTTTGGACCCTGTCGTTGATCCGGACCCGCTCACAGTCAGTCTGAGGGGATTCTTCTTCTCCTGCGGTAAATCCTGCAGCTGTGATGAGTGTGTGAGCAGCACCCTGAGCTGTCTCCATCATGGACACGATAGGTGTCTCCTTCTTGGACCCTCTGGATGATTATGAGCTGATCCACAGGATCGGGTGCGGCACCTACGGAGATGTTTTCAAGGTGAGCGCCTGCGTTTCCTCGTGTTTTCAGCGCGCGAGGACGCGTTAAATCAAACAAACACACACCGTGGGGTTGTTACTTCCTGTCAGAAAGGTGAAAGACAGTGTTTGTGTGTCTGTTTCAGAGTTTTTCTCAACCCAGGATGTGTATTTGAACATTTTCAGGTCTTGTTTTCTTTCATAGTTCAGTGTGAAGGAGATGCTGCTGGTGTCTTTGTGTCACTATGTAATTTTAACCCTTTAATCCCCAAAGAAACACCGTGAACACACAGGTAACCCACACATAGCATGGGACCTGCTGAGCTACAGGTTAGACACGGATTCAGACAGAAATAGAGAGTAAAATTGACATCAAATCACATTACAACTTCATTTTAAGCTGCAGTATTCATAAATTCCCTTTTTAAATCTAACTATCAGTGAAATCAGCTGTTACAGGTCAAATAATCAGACAAAATGAGTGTTTGTGGCTGAATTATGAAGAAAAACTCAAATAATTATAATTCCCTGGTGTGCTCAAACTGCAATCATTATCAGTATAAGACTAATTTGTCTTCAGCTACAGTGTTTTCCCTGTCTTCTCTCTCAATTTCGATGGTTTTGTATTTAAAACAAAAAAACACAATGTTCCAGTATTTTATGAAAGGAATCAATGTAATTGAAAGCATAAAAGACTGTAGAATGAGGCTAATCTAATGTTAAATACTCTCATATCTAGACTAAAATGCAAATTTAGGAATTCTGAAAAAAGCAGGGTTTAGTATCTTTTTTTGTCTGTAATTCAAAAATGTTCAGTATACTGTCAAAGAGGAAAAAAAAGAAAATATTCACGTCTTACAGGAACATTTGCAAGTTTTTTCCTTAAAGTAATGACTGAAGTTTATTGCTTGATTTTGTTTTATTTTTGAATCATGCACAGGACTGGCACATCCTTCATGGGTTCACTCATGTTGGTCTGATCTTATAGGATCAGTCTTATCCCACCTTTACACTAAGTCTTTGTAAACAGAGGATAGTGTAGACCAGCATTTTGTGAAGTTGCCATAGATGCACTTGTTTTAAATTAGTGCTATTCAAGTACTAATGATAAGAATTATACCAGAGAAACAGCTGCAGTTGTCCAATAATTCTGGAGCCATTTTTAAACTTTCGATTTCTACCTTTGTCCTTACAGGCTTAGAGAAAATCAACTGAAAGATTTAGTTCCTCTCTTTAAACATAACTCAAGTTTTTCGAAATTATCCCACCAGAAAAAAAAGATCATCGTTTTTACTGAAAAGTCAAACTCTGAACTCACAGAGGAGACAGAAACAGGAAACGAAAAGTTGAAACAAAAACAAGTTTAAGCCAAATCACAGAAAACAGCAACTCATCAGGAGAGCTACAAAACAAAATCTGTGTGTGTGTGTGTGCGTGCGTGCGTGTGTGCGTGCATGCGTGTGTGTGTGTGTGTATGTCTGTCGCTGGTTTCAGTGTCAGGATGCAAACATCCTGTGCTGCTTACCCGCCCGGTGCCTCGTGCATCCTGCAGAAAGAATTTGTATTGTTTCTTTTTTTACTCACCAGCAGCCCCCAAGTCTAAGCTCACATTTCACCCACTTACATTTTAAATTAATACACATTAATTCTCAGAGTAATAATGACACAAGTGTTGAATATGAAGACTAGATCCCACGTATCTCTGTGTTAAAAGTCATAGCTGCACATGTTTGTAAGGCAGGTGCAGGTTGTAGAGGCTTGAATACTCTGTGATGGTGAAAAGTCAGAAAGTCAGTGTGCACAGTAACCATGACGATGCAGTTTCAGTCTCCTTAACTGCTGGACCTCCTGCCTTAGTTTGGACTTTATATCATAATATCAGATCACAGTTGTTTATTCAGTCAGATACCAGCAGACTTTCTGGACTAACGTCAGGAGACTTGAGGTCAGACTTGTGTCCTAGACTGTGAATGTGTACAAAGGGCCTATCAAACAGAGCCGCTACAGATCCATCTGCAGAGTAACAGACTCAGGATATTCTTCAAACACACTGAAAACCTTCATTTGATACATCAGAAAGGTGGATCATCAAGTGCTGCAAACTCACTGATCATGTCTTTAATTGCTCCGGCTTTAGGCTGTGTCTGTAAATAGTTAAAATTGTAAATGTCCCTCCAAAGTGTAGAGAGAGGTGCAGAAAGGATAGCATTAATTTACTATCATTATTTTTAATTGATTTCAGTTAGGGTGGTGCTCTTGATGTGAGCCTTTAAGCTCCTGATTTTTCCTTTTTGCCTCTGACTCTGAGGTTCCTGTTTGCTCATGTCTGATGAATAGTCTTAGTCATGCAACAGTAAGACAGTTTATGATACAGGATGAGTATCATGGAAACTTCAGACATGTGTGATCATCCAGTGTTGGCTAACCTTGCTGTGTCCAACACTTTCAAAAACACCATCATAGACCTAAACTATAACTCTCTGCTATCCTTTTTGCACCTCTCTCTTGAATCAGCACTGTCCTCTTTATTGGTGCCAACATTGCTTCATTGTTCTTTAATACATCTTCACTGTGACAACAACTTTCAGGTGACTTTTGTGATCAGCATTATCATTTATGGACTTTTTTCAGCTGGTTTCATTGACTGTATAAATATGGACATTATCTCTGACTGAACTGGACTCATAGTTGATCTAACCAGAGGAGGTGGAGTTTGAGGCGTGTCTCTAGCCTTCTTGCTAAGAGCTAGAGTGTGTTCACCCACTGATCAAGCCAGCCACGTGTTTAGTTACACAAAACTTGTAACCCTAATATCTTTAAATTTGATTGAAATTTAGACCAAGGCTGTATGTTTATTTTTGGTGTAAAACAGACTTTTTAAATGGATGTGTATGTTGTTTCCAGTGTTAAGCATCCTGCCTCTAGTGGACATTTGAGGAACTGCACTTTTGACAGTTCCACATCAGCCTTATTTGTTGCACCTTTACACGTCCTTCTCCTTTTTCTCTGTATGTAATGATAGATGACAAACCTTTATCGTCTGTGTGATAACCTACAAACTCATCAGTAAGTTATTTATTAATAATGAAGTATTGTTATTAAAGGCCAGTACTGTTTTGAAGCTGTTTACAATCAGAGCTCCTGTGTGGCACATAGGAACTGATAGTTTTAGTTCAGGTTTTGATGGTTTTGCTTCTTGATGTGAAATTGCTCTGCTGACATTTGGAGAGGTTAACACTGACAGTGATGGCGAACCTTAAGCCTCTCTCTGGCTGATATATGTACTCATCACTGCTGTATCACATGAGGACGTGTTTCTCTAAGTCTGCTGTAAATGTGAACTGAGCTGCTAACAGTCACACACAATGGCACATTATCTCTCCCACTGCTGCTGTTTGTGGGTTTGAGTCCAGGCTGGACCGCCGGTCATGTGACTGTGTGGGCTTTAAGGACTCTCCTCACACAGCCCTCATTCAGAGACACTCCTCCTATTGGCCCTGATCTTTGACCTTCTGAGGATTCGACCGGTCCCAGCCGGTCCAAGAAAAGACAGATTCTGTTCCAAGGCGGTCTCACACTGCAGTCTGATGATGTCAGGGAAATCCAGATGGATTTGCAGTCAATAAAAACGAGCAACATTGGTGTCTCCATCCCATTTACTTCATCACATTTTCTCCATCACGTTTTCTCTATCACATTATTTCCATTACTTTATCTCCATCATGTTTTTTCCATCTCGTTTTGTCAGTCATGTTTTCTCCATCTTTTTCACCATCACGTTTTCTCCATCATGGTTTTCCCATCTTTTCAATCATGGTTTTTCCTTCTTGTTTTCTCCATCACTTTTTCTTCATCATAGTTTTTCCATCTTTTCCATCATGGTTTTTCCTTCGTTTTCTCCATCACGTTTTCTCCATCATGGTTTTTCCTTCTCGTTTTCTCCATCATGGTTTTCCTTCTCGTTTTCTCCATCATGGTTTTCCTTCTCGTTTTCTCCATCACATTTTCTCCATCATGGTTTTCCTTCTTGTTTTCTCCATCACGTTTTCTCCATCACGTTTTCTCCATCATGGTTTTGCCATCTCGTTTTCCTTATCATGGTTTTTCCTTCTCCTTTTCTCAGTCATGTTTTCTCCGTCATGGTTTTTCCTTCTCGTTTTCTTCATCATGTTTTCTCACATCGTGTTCTCTCAGCTCTCTAACTGTCAGTGTTGAAAGATTTCTCCTCCTGAAGTCAAACCTAGGAGCCATTCACTTAGTTTTCCCCACCTGAAGCCCACACTTGATTGGAGGTTTTCATGTTTTCTCCACCTTTTACAGCACTGAGTTGAATTTTCACCCTCTGACATAGACGGTGTCCTGGGGGCATGCTAGCATGTTTCCTCCACTATTAGATCTGCTGAGGATGAACTTTCCCTGCTCCTCTCTGTAAAGAGCTGTAGAGGTCTCAGTATAAACAGTAATTTGAAATTAGAGTCTGACTCGGTGGCCCTTTAAATGATGAGTCACAGGTTTAGCCTCCTCGTGTGGTTTTAAGCAGAGACACAGAGCTGATTATAAAATGTCTGAGTTTCAACTTATTTATGCAAAGCCTGACAGAAGTCAGAGAGACCTGAAGGTTAAAAACAGATTATGAATCACAGAAAAATCACAGCGTGTTCATACTACTGCTCAGATTTACTTGTTTCCTCTGCAGTAGAGCTGCAGAAATAAAGACAAGGATGTGAGATGTTTACACAAAGAATCACAGGTGTTATAGAGGTGTAAGTACTGCACTAATATTTGGAAATATTTTATTTATATCATGGGCTAAACAGACCAGGTGGAGGTGAAACTATGTTTGTATATTTCATTTATGCATATGTTTATTTCTAAATTTGTCCCTCCTGTTGCTTTAACCTCTCGATACAGTAATCCCTTCACAAAATAAGATATTTATCCAAATCCTGACTGTGGACTTATTAGAATTTCATTTCTGTGCGTAGTATTAGTATAAAAATACCCAAATAACTCTATCAGATACTAACCTGAAGTATACGTTATAGTTAGAAGGGCATGTCTACAACGATCAGGCTGATTTTTGTATGAAATCTTCATGAATCTCAAAATTTTCTTCAACTGATGAAGGAAAATAACTTTTTGTTTACTTTTTAACACGTCCTGATGTACAGCGGTTGTGCAAACTGCAACTCATGGAGTTTGAGGCCCTGTAATGGGGTCTGTTTTGGTTCTCTTTAAGGTGGATTGTTTTATCACCTGATTCTGATGAAACTAAACCAGATACAGGTGTGAAATCACCCTAAAAGATCCAGTTTGAAATGGATTAAAGCAGAGCTGTTTTTAGATCTCCTAAATCCTTGGACAGAAACCTTTATGCTCCTGATGTTTTATGTGTTTTTGATTTCCTGCAGTCGAACAGTAAATCATAGTGGAATAGAATAATAACATCTCTCTGTATCGTATCAGCAGACAGATGTTTGAGGCTGTTTTCAGTCTGTGGTTTTAAATTGACTTTCTTATCTTTAAATTAGCTCTAAATCTCATCTGGCTCTGATTAAATTGGGGTCTGAGGGTCTGTTATGAATCCCATTAGAGGTCTGCTGTTTATTCGGATGTCTGGATGCTTTTGGATCTGATTCATAAAAATCCTGAATGTTGTTCTTTGTTTTCTGCCTCCCCTGAGGATCCCTCCTTCTCCCCCTTATTTCCTCTTTTTGTTGCAGCGCTGTCTGATCCTCGGGGTTACACATTTTTCTTCTGTACTGATTATGTATTAGCAGGATTAGTCAAGCTTTTATTAGAAATACTGACAGACAGCATCACAGTGCACCCAGTCCTGCAGGACTGTAGACCTTAAATATGGCTCTGGAGTCTCTACAGTGAGCTTTAGAGACTCAAACTGTTTCTGTTCCAGGCTCTAAACATGTTCATTTCTGCTGTTAAGTTTTAACATGGAGTTCTACGGGGACTGACTCACTGCATTACACAGCCTCTAGAGGACAAAAGAGAAACTGCATTTTTTTTAAAACTTACACATGTCGGCTTCATTTTTCCCAGTGACAATTGCTCCATCATGAGTTAAAGCAAAATCAAGAAAATCAGCAAGGGCCTGTGCCCACCAACTAATTTTTGAAATGGCACTTCTCACCAGGACAACTGTTGCTAGGTTACAAGAGTTGTCTCACATCAATTCGGCCTCCTTCTGTAAGGAAATAAGCAACAAATAGGTATTCTATCATCAGCAGCAGCTCTAAGCCTGGAAACTGTGTTGTTGAAAGATAAATCATGTGTTTTCATTTGCAAAGTTCGTATCCAAAGCTCCTCCCCTTCTTAGTCTTAATTGGTCATCTGTAATTGGTCTTAATTAGTCAAGTGCTGTCTGAAGAGTTGAACAGTTTTTGATAACGAGGGTGTGTTTGTGCCGAAGTCACTCAGCTGACAACACTTGACTGCATTGGTTTTAAAGTAGGCAGGTTTAAACTTCCTTCTTTTTTTGTTTGGAGGCCCTAGTGGACACAGGCCCTTACATTACCCACCTGCACATTCGTAACCCCACCTGCCACTCTGTACTTCTCTGTAACATGTTTAAATGTTTTTTCTTCATTTCTTTTTTCTACAATCAGCGGAGAAAATGTTGTAAGATGCCAAAAGCTCTCTGTGTGCCGTTTCCTTCTTGTTTTGTCTTTGCTCTGTTCTGGGAAAGCCCAGGTGTGTTTAATGTGACAGGTTTTATTAATGTTGACCTCAGAGAGGCCCCTTCCTGACTCAGAGAAACCCCCTCCTGACTCTGCAGGTTCTCTCAGCATTTTAGCATCTTTCAGCTCTTTGTTTTGGTCCCATGGTCGTCTCTGTAATCTCACTTAAACAAGCTGTTTTCATTGTCTTTGTTCAGTTTAAATTCACCATTCATCCCTGTGCGTTACATCTGTGTCCAATAGGAAACGAGAGGGGGGGGGCGGGTTTATAATGTGGGGTTACAGTTTGAATAAAGACCTGGTTTGATCAGTGTGCAGCACAGTTTCCTCTTCCTTCCTTCATTATGTAACCCTGACGTGAGCTGTTATTTCAGGCTCCACTGCGTTAAAAACTCTCAGAGACGTTACTATCAGTGAGAGAAAAAAAAGTTACTATTAGTGAGTCACAGGAAGCACTGCGGTAGAACAGGAAGGAAAACAGGAAGTGAGTGCAGAGAGCTGCAGGTTGGATGCTGGGTTTGTTTTAGGCACTCGGGGTGAAAATCAGATGCTCTGACGTCAGAGCGGCGATGAATGGAGATGAGTGATGATCTCAGGAAGAGTTCAGGAAGTGAAAAACAGAATATACCAGCTCAGAAACAAGAATCAGCATCACCTCTGACCTCTGACCTCTGATGGACTGTTCTGGAAAGACAAGGTCATTGGTCAATCCTGGGAATAAAGATGACAGCTGGACCTGTTTGAGTTTATCTAGACTTCTCTAAAACTGAACTTAGAGAGTCAACAGGTCTAAAAATAAAGCTCTGATCTGGACTCGTACAGATTTAACTCTGAGAGAAAAAAGTGTGACCTTTTATTTTACTGTTTGTTGGTTTGAAAGAAGAAGAAATCTCAGGCGTAATAATAAAACTGAAATGATAACGAAGCACTTTGAAAACGAATAGACACAGAAATAAAAGTTCAACAAGATTGAAATGACAGTCATCAGAATTTATAACTCCAGAAGAGCAGTAGGTTTGCAAGAACAGTCAACAGGAGTTAATTAAAATGAATTAAATAAGATCAAATCTAGACCTTTAGTTATCCTGGAAAAACCAGGAGCTTAAAAGTTATTAAAATAAGTTCAACTCGGTTAAATACTCAGACTCAACCAAAGTGCAATTTTAAAAATTACTTTTTAAACAAGATTTTTGGAAATAAAGAAGGTATGAATTAGGGTGACCAAAAAGAAGACACGACTATGCGGAGGCAGAGTCACAGAGTCGCGCAAAGTTAATTTTGAGAGTTTTTTGGGTTGAGTGTTTTTTACGCACTTCTAACTCAGTGTGTCCACGCGACACAAACTCAAAACTTCCATACAAAACACCGGACACTTGAAGGATTTTATAAGCTCCCCTGGACAAGGCCGGACAGGCCCAGAAAAAGAGGATATGTCCAAGTAAAAGAGGACGTATGGTCACCCTATATAAATCAGAAAAATTAATCAAACTTTCATACAGTTTAATAATAGTAAATAATAATAAATTTTATTTGTAGTGCCCTTTACATCAAAAGACCTCAAAGGGCTACATATCATTTCTACATCTGCCTTTCCACAGTAACATCCAGAGAGCTGGGGCTTCTGACTCTGATCCTTTTAAATAATAGAGCTGAATTATAATGGGACCCAGACCTTCATTAAACTTTAACTTTATACTCAGACTGATTCTGTTATCAGTCTGTCTGACTCTGACTCGCCAGCTTTTGTCTGACCCTCCAGTCTCAGAGATTTCTCTCTGCTCTGGAATCAATAGGAGGTTAAATCGGAGGTCAAGTAGAAGGTTAAACTGATTATACATCTGTCATCATCCTGATAAAACTCTGAGCTGCTGGGTGTTTGCCCAGGTTTGTTGTCTTGATGGAGCAGGTGGCAAAGCTCCAAACTGGGTTTTATGTTTTCAGGTCCGATTATAGGATGATATTTTATTTGATATCTCAAACATCATAGCCTTTTAATGAAAGGATATCTGTCTATAATCATCTAAAATGCAGTCAGGGAGGGTTTAAAAGCTTTTATTCCTGCACAGATTTATTGTTTGAGTTTTAGAAATGGACAAAAGCTGTTAAACGTGAACAAGATCACATCTCTGAAGTCTCCCACTGGATGTTTATAGATACTTGTCACATTTTCATCAGGGTACAGAGGACCCTGTTAGGTGTAATTGTGCAGCTGCATCTGAATAGAATAACTTCTAGAGAAGGTAGGGAAAGGGTGAGACTATTTCAAACATCCTAAATACATGGTGCTAAGTGAAGTACAGGGCGTAGACAGGCTAGATTAAAACCCTGGGTTACTCATCAAAGGTGTGTTTTAACATAATATGAGTAAAACTCATGTATCTGTTCTCATTCTTTGTAAGGAGTAACCTGAAGACAGACATGTATTAACACAGCAAATTCAGCCTTTCTGCTTAAATAAACCAGCTTTAAGTCAGATCATTGAACTCATCTTACTTGGGCCCAAAAACACAAACACACAGGTCAATGTAATGTTGATTATGTTATACAATCACATATTATTTCATACTGTCTCTGCACACAGGAGGATGTTTTGCTTTGTGAAGTTGAGACTGTAGTTTTTAGTCTGTGCAGGGCTGAGGTGAAGCAAGTGTGTGAAAATATAAGGATGATGGTGTCCTTGTCCTCTGGCATCCAGATCAGCCCCATACAGAGAGAAACAATATGATGTGTGAAGAAGGGGGTGTTAAGTTGCTTTCCTAGGCCTTTAAACTGAGGAGAGTGTCTGGCAGAAAACAACAATGACACTTGTGCTTCACACCAGAATATTGACAAAGTTAGACTCATACCGCAGGAAATTTCTTTACACTTTTGGGACTCTGCTCGTTCACATGTCCTTTACATTGCTAAGTTCACCTTACTTTCATTTTTTATTATTCATTGCCTCCACTTTTGCTCTTATGCTTGTAAAAATTTTTTATGAGTTTTCCTACTATTTCCTGCTTTTTTCTCCCATAAACTCAGTCTGACTTGCTGCAGAAATTTTGCTCTGTGGAGGTCTGAAAAACTCCAGGCAAATTCAGATCAAAAATCTTAGGCTATTTGCATTTACACATGCTGCTCACCCTGAAATTTTCCCTTTTTCAGTAATTTTGATCTTGTGTCAATATGATTTAAGAGGAGGATTTTACGCACAGATTCAGCAGGAAATGTTTCTGACTTTAGATTAAATTTAAAAACAGTTTTGATTCTAAAAAGTGTTTTTATTTTTTTCCCTCTGAAACCGTTCCTTATTTACGACAGAGTATTAGGGCCACATTAAGAAAAAAAATTACGATTTCAGGATTAAAGTTGTTAATTTATGAGAATAAAGTCATTAATTATGAGAATAAAGTCATAATAAAATCATTATGGTACTTGTGATAATGTGGTGCTGATGTGCCAAACGATAAAGTATCTCCTTGTTTGAGAAACCTATATTGATGTACATTTTTACAAAATACTTCATGGCTCTCATTTCAACAACTGTCATCTTAAACAACAGGTTAGAATATAAGGACTTTACAACGACTTTATTCTCATTAGTTAACGACCTTAAGCTCGAAGTCTTCTTCTTCTTATTATTATTATTTCGATGTGGCCCTAATGCTCCATTGTACATAATAACTTCATCTATACCTGATATAATTCAGACTGTGACAATTACTGCTTTAACCCATAATGTTGCAGCAGGTCAATAAAGTCAGTGCCTGTTTCCACCTGATATTTACAGGTGAATCTGTTCCTACCTCTACCATTTCATGGTATTCATGAGAATTAGGCAGGGCTAGATAAGATAAGAATGATAAGAAGATAAGAACTTTATCTATCCCCAAAGGGAAATTCAAGAGGACATATCTTAAGAGGATTAGCCTCTGATAGTGTTTGAGTTTTGCACAGGAAACATGTCATTGTTTCTGCAGCTACCTGTAGCTTTCCTTTCTCACCTGCAGCCTGCATGATTGAGCAGGAAGGATTATTCCTCTCTAAAGAATGGGGTCAGGCCGGACGGATTACCTCAGCAGATCATATCTAATCCACTCTGTGAGCATCTCTGCATTTTAAAGGAAATTAAACACTCATCTAGATTTGACTACGGAGTCGTTTTAGAGCAAAAGTCAATATATTTAATGATTTTAGTAGAAATAGCTTCATGTCCAGAATTTTTCTGTCTGTTTGATTTACTTCTAGATAGTTTGTAACTTTTTATTCAGACTTGTCATCTGCTGTCACTGAATGCAGGATTATCAAGGTGGTTTTATTTGAGCAGAGATGTTTGAAAGTGTTTCATATCTCATCGCTGACCTGATGAGCCCTTTAAAAACACAGAGGAGGTCTGGACCAACATGTGTCTCCCACATTTTTCTGGAATTTTCTTCCGTGCAGGTCATAGAGAGAACATGATGGACAGGTTTCAGATTTGGACCAAAACAGTCTGTAACTCAAACCCTGTGGTATTTAAATCTGACAGTGAAACAACAGTTCCTCTTAATGCGAGCTCTTTTCTGCACGTTATCTCTCAGTAAAGTAAAGTGATGTAACTTAAACTGGGTCGAGTCTTACACATGTGAATGTGGTTTTGAAGTGTATTTTATTGGAGCGTAGAAAAGCAGAAAAACAACTTTAGAAAGTTGCTCACTGTTGATGGTAAAAATATATCTGTAATGTTTATTTATCGTATAATTTTCTCTCTTTCAGGCTCGTAACATCCGGACGTCTGAACTGGCAGCTATCAAGATTGTCAAGCTTGACCCGGGTACGTTAAAAGCTTTAACTTCACACATGCTCACAGATGCTGTTTCTTTATTATCAGACTTTTTATAATGTCAAATATAAAATCAGCTTTTACGCAAACTCATTTGCAGTCAGCCAAAAGAGGAGATCTGATCATGATATTAGAATTTGTCATTCTGTGAAGGAAGTAGTTCACACCTACTCACACATGTGAGTTCCTACCTTCAGGAACCAACAGACCAGCAAAGATCAGGTTTTTATGTAAATAAGTGAAGAAAGAAAGTCTCAGCTGTTTTAACTCTTTAATGAACCCTGAACTTTACCTGGACTTAGAGAAGCACAATGTAATGCTGGAATGATTATCAATTTTAACATCCTTAGTAGGTTTCATTCAGGTATTTTAGCAGATAGGTAGGTTTGCAGGAAGATAGCCCTTAAGTTGGCAGGGCAGTAGGTCTTTATGCAGGTGTGATAGGTAGGTTGTAGGTATAAAGTATATAGGTGAGTAGATGGATTGGTTAGTGAGGAGAGGTGTGTAAGTTTGAGGGTCGGCAGTTGGGAGGAAGGCGTGCAGGTGGGTCAATGTAAAGACAGGTATGAAGGTAGTATGTTTTTCAGGGGTAGGAAGGCAGGCAGGCAGGTGTGCATGTAGGTATGAGGAAATGTGGCTTGGTAGGAAGTAGATCAACTACTACTGTGGTCATGCTGAAGTTTCAACCCCACATGTGAGCACCCGCAAGAACATTTTGGGGTATGTATTTATTAACAAAAACACATAATATGGTTTTTAACTACTATATCAACTCGATTTTGATGGACACTCTCACACTCACACTTGCCCCATGTGTTGGAAATTAAAGTATATACAGTAGGTAGGCTAAATGAAAGGGGAAATATTCAAGACTGACACAGGTCGATGCGCACACACGGTTATGTAACCGGCTCTGTGGTCAGTCAAATGACACAATCACATGCCTACAAAGTTACCAACAACATGTTCGAAGTGAGGATTCAAACAAGCCAGTTATGCGCAAAGCTGCTTCACTGACAGCATTTTTGCCATTCAAAATGCTCATCTACAGTAAACACAGCACTAACTGTAGGCAGGGATTTAAGACCAAAGCACCAGAACTTAGTTATTGTACAATTGAACACACTGACAGAGTAATATTTTAACGATTTTTATTGAAGGGCTTGGGCATGCGCTGTATTTACAGCTTATTATGACCTATAGGTACCAATAAGGGGAGCAGGTGTTTTAATAAGGAGGTTAGTTGCTAGTTAGGAAGGTCAACAGGGAGGTAGGTAGGTCGACAGGTGAGTAGATTAGTTTTCAGGTTGATTAGATCTGGTAGGTAGGCTGGCAAACATATAGGTTGGTAGGGATGTTGGTTGGAAGGTTGTCGGGTTTGTAGGTCTGCAGGTAGATTTGTCAGCAGAATTTTAGAGAGGCTAGTTGGTGAAAAAGGTTAGCTAGTAGTTTAAATGGTGAGTAGGTAAGCAGGCAGGAAGTAGTGTAGGTTGTAGGTTTGTTGGTAGGTTGTAGGTAAATGTAAATAACAATAAGTGTGTATGTAGGATAGTTGATTGGTAGGAAGGTTGGACAGAAAAGTTGTGATAAAAATTGTGACAGTATTTTTATGTGATCATTTTTTCATCAGTCCAGACTTCCTTTAATCCAGACCCAGTTTGATTCAGTTTTTACTGATGGACCTGCAGAGACTGTTTTTTCTGTTTGATGAAGTGAAACTCAGACCTGAAATCCTCACAGTCAGTCTGAGCTGGATCTCTACTGCTCTGTAATTTACTGTGAACCCAGAGCTGCTGTCAGCCCAAACACCCTAACACTGTCTGTCTGTGTGTGTTTAGGCGACGACATCACATCCATCCAGCAGGAGATTACTATGATGAAGGAGTGCAAACACAAAAACATTGTGGCGTACTTCGGCAGCTACCACAGGTGAGCTCACGTCTGTGTTCAGGTGTGAGGGAGTCCTGGAGCTGCTGGTGGACTAAAATGTTAGATATCTGACTTTGATTTCCCCAAACTGCTGCTGGATTCCTCTCCCACCCTCTGCAGCTTTAGACAGAGATGCTGAGCGTGTCTGTAGGCGGCAGAATATCAGGGAGGGTTTCCTCCTGATAATGAAAGATTTCAAACCTCTGTGTCTCTGCAGGAACACCAAACTCTGGATCTGTATGGAGTACTGTGGAGGAGGGTCACTGCAGGACATGTACCACGGTATATAAAGACCAGGAAATTATCATTTAAAGCCTGTGATTACCGGGAAATGGTGCAACATTGACATCTCAGTGTTGAAACTACAAAGTTTTATTGTTTAATGGCAGCGAAAAGTTTCTAAAAAGTTAATATAGGAACAAGGACTTGTCCCCTATTGAAAATATTTACTCACCAAATAATGATCATGACTTTTAGGCAAGAATGAGACAACATTTCACTTTCAGACTCCAGAACCTGGTCTCCTAGGTTCACTAAGGTCTACAGATGGTTGGTGAAAGAAGAGCTGAGGACACACGAAGAAAAACATGAACCTGGAACTACTTTTTACAAACATGTTTTTGCATCAGATTTAAAATGCGCAGATAGTTTTTTCATTAATAACAATAAGGTTTGGAGTTGTTTTGAAAAATCTCCTCTGAGCTTCTCAAGCACATGCTGAGCTTCCTGTAGATGCACCGAGATTAGATTAAAACCTTCTTCATCTGCCTGTGGGCCAGTTAGCAGACAGGTTTCCCACACAGCTGTAATCACCTCCTTCACTCTGAAACATTAGTGTAATCACTGTGAGACAGGCACAATGACCTCTGAAAACCCATTTCGGATCTATTTTTAGGACCTCTGCTGCAGGCTCTGAGTTTTTCCTCCTCTTCTAAAGTCTGAGAGTTATTAATCAAACTGTTGTTCACAGTGACGGGCCCGCTGAAAGAGAAACAGATTGCGTACGTGTGCAGAGAAACCCTCCAGGTGAGTTTTATGAAAGGAACAGCAGCTTGTTTTGTTGTGAAATCTCTGAGGATCCTCCACTGACAAACTGAGTCATGTGTTTTTCCAGCCTGCAGAGGAGCTAAATAGTATTTAACCTCGCCAGACCACTAAATATACAGTACTGTAAATGCTGCTGCTGCAAAACACAGTCCAAGGAGAACAAAGCAGGCGGTCTTTATTTAGTTAGAGAGTGACCTTTTCTTTCTAGGTAATCAGGTTTGAAGACAACGAGCAAATCTGACTTCGAGTTTAAGAGAAAGAAAAACACAGATCCACATATTGACCAACAGCCAGCCTCTTCCTCGACTTATTTTACATTTAATTAATGCTTCATTGATTTATTTAAGTAGTCTGCACAAAATGAATCTGAATGTCACTTTTTTTAGGGTTTGTATCACCTGCATGAAACTGGGAAAATGCACAGAGACATAAAGGTACAGCAGGTTTTCCTTCAGCCTTTATTACTGCCAAAGAATAATTCAGTCACTAAACAAGGTTTAAATTTGTTGCATGTGTTTCTCTCCAGGGAGCAAACATCCTCCTGACAGAGAGAGGAGATGTTAAACTGGGTCAGTGGTGATCTGTTAAAGTCAGAAACATTATTTCAGTTCATCGTCTACCGCCTCATTCTGACTTTCTTTGTCTCTCTGCCTCTTTCTTTTCCACGCAGCTGATTTTGGAGTTGCAGCAGAAATCAGCGCCTCTGTTGCCAAAAGGAAATCTTTTATTGGAACTCCTTACTGGTGAGTTGAAATAAGGGATTTCTGCGTCTGTTTTAAGGCCATGTGAATGTTTCTGCATACTGACTGATGAAAAAGGCTGGATTTTCATATCTACTGATCTACTGATTTTGTGTCACATTTATTGAAGGAGTGCCTCAGGGGTCAGTGTTGGGACCATAGATGTTATTCTTTTTAAAGATAAACCAACTGACATGTTTCTGTCCATTGTCCTGTGCTGCTTGGACCAAGCTCATTTATAGTGACAAACTGCTTTTAATGCTGTTTGTCTTTTTTATGATTTAACTCTTAATTAGGGCTGGGCGATAAACCGAAAATTTACAGATGCCGAAATTTTATGACAATAACCGATGTCATTTTGCCCATGTTGGTATATTCAGTGTAAAATAAATAAATAGATAAAAGTTGGTTTTGGATGTGTGTAGGTAGGCTATGGTCTCATGTCCCTTTAAGACGCTGTCCTACGTCAGAGATGTGACTTCCACCCATCCAGTCTGTAACAAAAAGACAAGTGAGGAGATGGAGGACGGTTCAAAAGTTGGAGCGGCAGCAGAAGTAAACGAAGTTAATGTGGGAGGGGGTGAGCAGCTTGTGGAGTAGCTATCGTCCATTTATTGTTATTGAAGTGAACTGCTCAATGTATCGTGATCTTGTTAGTCTCTCAGTAAAGTTATCACTTGGAATATCATGAGTACTGGAGTTCATAGATGATGTAAAACATAAAAAGTGAATCATGCTCCATTTGTTAATAACGAGTGGCTCCAGTAGGGTACCCTGAGGAATGCCAACAAAAACAATCCCATTGTTATCTGGTTGCTGAAACGTTTTTATGTGTCTAAGTGGGTAATAAAGGAGGGTCATATCCACTGCTTCCTCTCCTCATCCTCCTCATCCTCTTGTGTCCTCTCTTTGTCCTTCCAGGATGGCTCCTGAGGTGGCTGCAGTGGAAAAAAAGGGCGGCTACAACCACCTGTGTGATATCTGGGCTGTCGGCATCACGGCCATCGAGCTGGCTGAGCTCCAACCGCCCATGTTCGACCTCCACCCCATGAGGTCAGTCTGCAGCGCCGACAGATTCAGTGAAGAGACTTTTGATCCAACATTTCAGCCGCCTGCTCTGCTTTTTTACTTTTCATTATTTGTCCATGGGGGGTTTCAATTTATTCGTTGTTTTTTTATCACCCAGTATTTTAAGTTTTTCTCAGTTTTATTCAAACGCTGTTGTTTATCTCACTGATGGTTTTTAGAAAGTGCAGAGCAAACAAGCTTTAGTATCTTGTTTATCCTGCTTCTTTGCATCTTTTCCACCTCTGTGTTTCAGAGCGCTGATGCTGATGTCAAAGAGCAACTTCCAGCCTCCACGACTAAAGGATAAATCCAAGTGGTGAGTTAAACCTCCTGATTCTGTTTTTTTCCTTTAATCTCATTCAAAACTTTAATAGTAAGTTATTATCTTCTCTTCGCAGGTCAGCAGGTTTCCAGAGCTTTGTGAAGATGGCTCTCATTAAAAGCCCTCGTAAAAGGCCGTCAGCTGAGACTCTGCTGCAGGTGAGTTTGCTCATTATAGCTGCTCATTAATGACCCACCGTTAACCCTCCATCTGTCTTCTTACTCGCCTCATCACACATTCACTATTCATAAACACATGAAGTCCTATTTTTAACTGTTTCCAGAGGAGCTGAACTCTTTTTGACCAGCTGCTTCACATTCATAAAGACGATAAAAATGTGTGAGCAGAATAAAATTTGTCATTTGTTTGTGTTGTTTGATATGTCAGAGTGTTCAGAGCTGTAAATCAATCAGATAAAAACACAGACGAGGTCAGATCACAGGGCCGCGCTGCTGTTTTTGTTTTTCTCATGCCAATCAAGATCAAATATCCGTAAATCTCTGCTGAACAAAAAGCACTTTGATGTAATGCAACAGGTGCATCACACAGGAAAGAGGGATCATATTTAGACAGTGTGCAAACAACAGTTTTCTCTTATTTTGTCATATGCAGTGCATCACTGTAACACCCAGCTCACATGTTCTAATGAATTTGCTCCCACACGAGCACCAGTGGGCGTATTTGTCTTCAAATGGGGAGTGGTCAGGCATAAAGGTGGCATGCAGAAAGCTGCGTGCTATGATATTTAGAGGACAAATTAGCAGGACAGTAAGACCATTTCAGTCGGTCTTACATAACAGTCTTTGGGAGACCATGGAACAGTGCCTGTGTTTTTAATTATGTTTCTGGAGGTCATTTCTCCTTCTTTATTATTATTATTGTGACATGTGCTGCTGACCTCAAGGCTAGGTCACCCTTGAAAAATAGATCTCGATTTCAGTGGGTTTCTTTCCTGATTAAATAAAGGTTAAATCAAAACCTGAGTAAGAGTTGCCAGTGTTCATTCCTCTGCTTTTTAAACATTATCAGAGAAGCACTGCTGTTCTTGAACTCAGAGGGAACGCTCTTTTTCTCAAACAGTGAAATTAAGTCTCTATTGGGACAGCGGGTTTGGAGACTCGTGTATATCTTCTTACCTTTATACACCATCATACAGTTTGAAGTTGGTCTCGGGATGCCAGAAGACGAGGACACCCTCATTACTATCTCCTCACACACTTGCTTCACCTCAGTCCTGTACAGACCAAAAACTACCAAAAAGCTCTCCATCATAGTCACTCTCAAAAACCTGCAGAAACAAACACACTGACATGCAACTAAAAGTTTTATTTTTTTCAATTCTCACACATAACTGTCAAGTATAAATGCCACTGACCATCACGCCCTCAGACAAAGAAGGAAAGTGAGCAGCGGGGAGTGTGGTCCAGCAGAAATAAGTAAAGATCACAGCCTATCTTTGTGGGTGAGAGGTTGAGAAGACTGTTTAACACTTTAAATATTTGAAAAGGTTCCCATTGCTGTGTCTTGTCTGTAAATTCTCCCATCTCTGTCAATTTGAAAAGTCCCTGATGGTTTCTGCTGTTTGGTGGGATGGCTTCAGTGGATTTATTACTAATATGTGCTTTAACAGAACTGATACAGCGACAGTAGAAGGAGGTTAAATACGCCAGTTCAAGTAGGCTGAAATGTGCTGTGTAAATAGTAACACCCCACTCTTACATGGATTAGGACCAGACACACTGATAGGTTGCAGTTATGTGACACCCAAAATACTAGGATGAATGATTAGAGGACTTAATCCATGTCTCTCTTAGCACTCAGATTTTGCCCCGCTGAACCAGCAAAAAAGAGCCGCCAAACATGCCTTAGTTAAGTCTGTGGTTGCACTTCATACTGTGGGTTCTGGATCAGGAAAACAGGGCTCTGTTTTTGTTTTATCAGACATATCACTTTATTTTCCATTGGAACAGACAATCTTTTTTCTTTTGTTAATTAGACAAAAAACATTGCAGTGCATTGAAAAGTTAAGGAAGTAGTTTGTTTATTGCTAATGCTAATTAAACAAGAACTCTCAAAAGTTCAGCGTCACTCCCAGAGGCTCATGTCGTCCTCAGCTGATTGCTGTCAAATGAGAACTCCCAAATGCACCAGTTCAAAGATGCAAGCAGTGATTCACAGGTCTGCAGCAAGCCTACCAGCGTTTAAATAAATAAAGAGTGCAGATTTTCTGTTTTATTTGTTTCTTTGTTTGTTTTGTGTTGCTCATGATCTGAAAATTGTTCCTCCAGCATCCATTTGTGACTCAGCTGCTGACCCGTAACCTCATCATCGAGCTGCTGGACATGGCCAACAACCCCGAGCTCCACAGTGCGCACACTCACAGCATGGATGACATGGAGCTGGAGGTCAGTGATACTCAAAGGGACGAACGCTGGCTCTGTAGACTCTGTCAGATTCTGTGTTTTTCTTGGCGTGTCGTATAAATGCGATGTGTCGACAGGTTGGGGAAATTGGTCCAGACAAGATCCAGTCAGCAGGGAAACACCTGCCAGCAGAGAGGACGCTGTCTGAAGAACAATGTGAGCAAACACACACACAAACATGGACACACGCTCTGACATTTGGGGAAAATGTAGTCGTCTTGGTGAGTCTGAACATGTCCTGGAGCAGTCTGTGTACTCGCTGCTCAGAGATGAGACAGATACAGGCTTAGGGAAAACACTTCTGCTGCTTCTTTTTATGCACAAACGCAGCTTGTTGTTTTAAAGGCGTTTGCATGCTGAAACTGTCCCTTGGTAGTCATTTTTCACAGTTCCTTTTTGTCTCGTCTGCACATAAAGGTTCCCAGGTGTGGTACCATCCTGTCTTTGAAAAGTGAAAACTCTAAATCTGAGCTCCCAGCAGCTCAGGCTTCAGAGATGGTCTGTTGTTTAGAGTTTTTCCTCTCAAAACTTTAGATTTGTCAGACCAAAGCTGTAAACCCCTTTATATTTCTGCTGCAAAGATGGACATTTTAAAGGGACAGTTCAGGGTTTTTTGAATGATTGTGTGAGGTTCTTGTAGATAGTACTATGGATCCTGGTCAGCTCAGACCCTCTGTTTTAAATCTGGTGAAAGAACTAACAGAGATTTGAGTTATTTTGGGTGAAGCAGGAATTTAAAAAATACTTTATTTTGGTCTGTGAGAGTTGGTGTGACACTCATCCTGTTGGTACACTCTGTAACAGTCTGAGTCTCTGTGTGGGCTTCATCATAAACCACCTGTGGAACGGTTAGACCACTGTGGCAAACGCCTTGGGAGGCAGCTCAGGAATTTTTAATCTGGACCTGACACCTGGAGCCTCTGCACACATGTATTCATGTAAACTAGCTTTAACTGATTCATCAATAATCTCACTGCACCAGTCTCCAAATGAGTGCCAACTATGAAGCTGCCGCATCTCCCACTGAACCACAAAGTTAAGCAACACACACTTCCTGCTGCAAATGTTCTCAACTGCATGTTGACTTGTTTTTGAACTTCCAGAAAACACAGTGTTGAAGTCATTGTTAAGACCCTTTTGCATGTAAGATGTAGATTTTGTTGGTAACTACTCACAAACTGGAGCCACTGAAATATTGATGAATGTTGGATTACATTAGACAAATTCACACACATTCATTCTGCTTATTTTTCATATATAAGATCTAATGGTTTTTAGAGATGATTCTGGGTCTATTGCTAATTGCTAATATGAAGTCAAATCTATGATAATGGAAAAATAAAATCAACTGTTTGTCCAGTGAGGTTGGCAGAGTTGACAACATAGAGCAGGAGAAAGTTAGTACAACAAATATAGGAGCAAATTAGGAATGCAAGCAGGGCACAAATAAGATGACCTGACACATGAGGTTTGCAAGATGTGCTACATGAAAATAAAATACAGAGTAAATAAACAAACATAAAGGAAAGACAAAAATTTAGCTGAATTAGCCAAACAGTTCACAGAATTGTATAAATCACAATATTTTGTTTCGCAATATTCACTGTATTGAAAAATGTTATTTTTTAATAATCACAGTAATACCCTATAGTGACCCAAGGAAGTAATAATATTGTATCCTGGAGCCACTAGTGATTCCTACCCCTAGTTTTTAATGCAGTGTATGAAAACCCTACACTGTTAAGCTGCTAAAATCGTACATCAGGCAAGGTATAAACAGCATCTCAACTTTGGAGTTGTGCACTGCAGCTATTTCAGCCTGTTGGCCGAAGGAGGAGCATCTCAAAACATTGATGTACAAATGAGTCTGTTTGACTCTGAATTGTGTGTAAATAGAGCTCAGGTTCAGCTGGACTCCTCTGGTTGGAAGCTGGAGGAGACAAACTAGTGAATAAATTAACGACAAACACATTAACGACGTGTTTCAGTCGGTTTCTGACAATCTCTGAATGTGAGGGTGCACTTGTTGGCCGTCTGTGTGCGTGTCTGCAAACACTGTATGCTGCTTGTTCAGGCTGAAGAGAGGCTTCATTGTGTGCAGAGGCTCCAGTATTCTCTGCTGTAATCTCCAGAATATGAACGAGGACAAAAGTGTCTCAGAGGTCCGTTGTCCTGTACGGCGTGCACACGTGTGGGCTGCAGGCTGCGTCAGAGGAGGGTGGCACTGAGAACATGCCTGAGCCGTGTGACACACAGAGCGGCCTTAGTGCCGTGGTGACCTCACACTGCTGGTCTGCCAGCACGTGTGTTGTCGTGTTGATGGCGTTTTGGTGTGTCTAGTGTGATCGTCAGGCTTCACACTTGACCAAACACTCAGTGATGATTCAATCAGGGCCTCACCTCAGCTTCCCTCACAGACAGAGTTCGATTACAGTTACAGAAACCACAGACACCCTCAACACCTGCGCCTCAGTTTGACCCACAGAGGGACTAAAGATCTCACTGTCACGGCTGTTAGTGTTTCTGCTGCTGCTGCAAGGCTGATTTTATCATCAGGCAGGCAGGAAGTTAGCTGTGATAGATTCATGGTGATAGAATAAAACAGAGTAGATGTGCAGTAACAAGTACGAGATGTACCAGGTAGAGTAGACCTTATGTCACCTTAAGTCGGCTTTATGAGGTATAAAGATAAAAAAGTGAACAGAATAACAAAAAATTTTATCATAAACTACACCATGAGTTGATTGACCTACAACAAAAACACACTCACTTCAGTGAAGATGAGCAGACACTATGAGCACAGTAAAATATAAACATCCTGTCCTGAGAGTTTAACTGTACATCAAACTGTTGCACAAACTGTTGCACACATTAGTGTCCTCTCACACATTATTGGAAGGTAAAATCATGCGCATGAAATACAAAGAAATGTTGGTACATTAAAATTCATCCATATCTGTCAACATAATAAAAATATTTGAAAATTTTGAACATAAAATTTTGCACATAGGTGATTGCACATCAAATTTTGCATGTATTCTTGTAAAAAAAATGCATCAAATATGTTTCACACTTGTGCATACCCAAGTGCATGTGGTCATGTAAATTTCGCACACAGTATTGCACACGAAAATTTAGCACATATTTTGGCACATTGATTATTGTGAAGATAAGTTTGCTTGAATAACGCCACACTTTAAAGTCTTGCATATCTGTTATTAGGGATCAATTTGACTCTTGACTTGACACATTGAGAACTTATATTATTGCACTTAATGTTTTCTCTGGTCTGCAGAAAGTGATGCAGCAGTATTGTCATGTTTTTCAGTAAGTATATCAGAGGTTAGAGGTTTTAATCACTATGGAGTTTTTATGTGATGGAATTCGATTTTTAACTTGCTTTGGATTTTAAACTTCAGCTGTATTCTGAGCCTCATCTGTGAATGAACAGCCTTCTGAGATGAACCGGGATGTCGACAAAAAATACAAAACCGACCGCCAAGTATGATTCAAATAGTTTGAATCATGTTTGTCGGTTTAAATAGTTGAAAAAATGAAACAGGAAATAGAAAAAGCTTTTTCACACTGTAAATAACACTGAGCATCATGCTTTGTAGAGTTTGAGGAAGTTGTTTTGCATCACTTCTGTCACTTGTTGATTCAGTGCAGAGTTTTACAGCAGCTGTAAACATGCAGCAGTAGCAGCAGCGAGTGTTTGGATCCCAGCAGAGCAGAAAGGACTCTTTATACTCTCTGTGGAGGAATTTCTGTTATAGCCAGTTTCAAGTCTCTGCAAGATCATTTTCAGACAACAGTGAAAACACAGTTGAAGATAAGGAAAAGTTAATAGAAGTAACTCATCTCATTTTGTTATCCCTGTTTGTCCTGTTTGTGTCCTCTGTGACAGCTAACATGCATGTGAAGAAATTTAAGACTTCTGCAGAAGGGAAAGTGAAAGTTTAGACCTAAAATTTGTGATTAAATTATAAATGAAACATATTGATGCTCAGAAACAACATGAGAGTTAGATAAGCTGATATGAGAGAGGGTAACTTCTGCTTTCAGCGTCTCTTATTTCCTCTGCTTTAAAGTCTCACAGTCACAGATCGACCAGGTTCTTGTGTGGTTTTACAACAACTCGCTTCCTTCTCATAGACACATCGCTGTTGCAACCTCGGAAAACATTTGCCCCCAAAAACCTGCAGAAATAAACTGAAAATGCAGACATGTGAATGCCAAATCTGTGTTTTATGGCCAAAAGTCCAGACATCAGCCTGCAATAAGAAGTTTCTCCGTATGTTCCTACTGCAGCTCTGAAAAGTGCCTCAGTGTCTCTTATTTGAGGTCTTACACTGTGTGTTGCAACGTAAAAAGTGACTGAAATAGTTGTGCAAAATGTGTAATAATAGAGCCAGACAGACGTTTCTGAGAAACCTCTCAGAGCAATTTGAACTTTCTTAGTTTGTGCTGGAAACCATCCTTGAGTCTGGCTCATGTTAAAGTTAATCAATACACTTTTTGATCTCTTTCTTTTTAATCTACTGAGATGAAACACACACACACAAAGCTGTCCTGTTTTAATGCTGCACATTCACTCCTCTATGTTTGTGTCTTTCCAGTCGACCAGGTGAAGTTCAGGCCTCCTCTGAGGAAAGTCACTGAGCCTTATCCTGATCTGGTAAAGCTCTTTTTGTGTGATCAGTAAAAACATGATCACACTCTGACATATGATCAAAAACTGAGATGTTGTTCCCTCTCAGCAGGGATCTTATGAGGATGACTGGAGTCTGTCTGGAGATGAAGATAACTCTCCGTAAGTGTCCTCTCTGTTTCCCTCATCCATTTTTAATCTGTTTATATAAAACTGTGAAAATGTTTCAGGTGTGGAGGAAATCTTCTTTAAAGTTTATTGTCAGGAAAACAGTGCAGGAAATGTCCCAAAATCTTGTTTTTTTCACAATGTAGACTGATTATTTTAATGTTAGGGAGTAAAAGATAACACACTCCCTGTGTCATATTAAACCATAGACTGTATATAGAATGGATGCCGTCTGTCTCCTCGCTGGGTGAAGCCACTGTGAGAACAGCACCCTCTGTTGATGGGCTGCAGTATAGGTCAGAAATCCCGCCTCTTCCAGCAATCCCTATGGAGCTATGGACAAACTTTAGAAATTTTTTACACGGAATATAAAATTTTATCCCCACAGGTTGCGATGTTGACATGTAGTTACAGTAAGACTGTTTTGTGCTCAAGTCCTCTTTTTTTCTGTACAGCTCCGTTTTTAAAAGCTATTAGGGGGTTCATGTTTGCTATGATTGACACTCGATACAGCCTATGGGCGTACAAAAATTGTATAGCTCCCCCGGGGGAGAAAAAAACGCAGAATTACCAAGAGCTTTCTGGCTTCAAATCTGTTTACTGGCGGAAGGCGGAAACAAGTTGTCCATAGTATATACAGTCTATGTATTAAACACATGACTGACACGATAGCAAAAAGAAAGAAAAGACAAAATAAATCTAAATTAAAACAATAAAACAGCCAGTATTTTACCCACATGTCCTCCTAAATCCAAATCTCCTGTAGGAGCCTTTTGTTTTAAGTCAAGTTTGGTTAGAAATTAAAATCCTCAACTATGCAAAAGAAGAAAGAACTTTTTGAAGAAAATTTTGTCTTATATAAATCAAGCCCAAGAGTTTTTAATTCAGTGCTTCATCCTGGACAATAGTTTAGTTTTTCTTTATAAATTTCTGAGTTCGGTTCAGCTGATTGATTCTTAGTTTGTCTCCACGCTTCAATCTGAGAAAATAAGCTTCCCTTTTTAGAGTAAATTCAAACTTATTCTTGGGAATTCTCCATTTTTCTACGAATATTTTCTATTTTCTATAAAGTTTATTTTAAAAAAAAGACAAAAGACCCCTGACTGTGATATTTTTTCAATCCTAACGTAGTGAGAAACATGCAAAGAGTGCATCTCCATCTGAGATAAATCAGGTTTTAGTCTCTCCAAACATGAACTCGGACTCTAAGCAGTCTCCCAGTCAGACTCCAGCTCAGATCTGGGGCCTCAGAGTCTCTCAGGCCCGTAGTCAGATAAATATCAGGTCTTCCTGTTGCAGGAGCCTGTTGGAATGTGTGGAACAAGCTCTGCAGCTCAGGTAGGTCCCACCTGTCAAACCCGGCCTCTCTAACCGCAGTGACCCCTCCCCCCACCTCACCTGAGTGTACCTGAGATGACCTGCCTGTGATTATGTGTAGATGAGCTCGAATCAGAGTCAGTGGGTTTGTGTTGGCTCTCTGTTAAACCTAAAAGCTCCAGACTCTGTCATAATCTGGTTTTCTTTCAAACACAAACCCGCTGGTTCTCAGCTTTGTGGCCTTTTTTGTGTTTTCTGCTTTTTTTGAGGGTTTTATTTCAGTTTATTTGCTGCCGTGTGCCTCTTTCAGCATCTTTAGCATCTGCCTGTGTCGCTCAGCTTGTTGTTGTTGTTGTTGTTGTTGTAAAGCCCGAAATCAATCTCTTTAAATATCTCTACATCTTTCTACCCTGATCAGAACGTGTTGCTTCCTTGTCTTTCAGGAGTTTAACCATCAGGAGGGCGCCATCTACTGATGTGAGTCTCACATTACCATTAAAGCTGTGTGATGTTTGTATTTTATGATTTCATTAAAAGTTTGAGCTTGTGCCATAACTCTGAGTAGAGTTTCATTGAAGTAGCTTTTCAAAATAAAAGCTTCCAATTCTTTAAACATTTTTTAGCTGTCTTGTTTTGAAAAACCACAAAGTGAGTTGTTGTTGATGTTGTCAGGGTGGCAAGAAGAGCGGATTATTCAGTCCAACCACAGCCTCCCTGCCAGCCTTCAGCTCTTTAAGTCCAAACTCAGAGGACAACAAAGACCTGACACTGAGACCCAGCTGCACCCTGGGGCCTGACTCCGCCGTCACTGCTGATTCCACCTCCACTACAGGTGACAGTAACATACATCACTGAGTCACAGTCCAACATAATTACGCTGCCAAGAGAGAGACAAGCACTGTGAGACTTTCCTTTCACCCTACAGAGCAACTCAGCCAATGATAGAGCCAATGTCAAAGTAAAAATACCAAGTTTCATTGTTTAAGTGTAAAGTTTCTGAGTGTTGGTCTCGAGTTTCAAGGTGGCAGTCCCAAGTTTTAGAGTGATAGAGCCAAATTTAAAAGGGATGGCACCAATTTTTAAGTATAAATGACAGTTCCCATTGCTAAAACAGGAAGTGGTTTGGCAGAATCCCAGTGCCATGCTGCATAAAGGGAAAGGATCAAATAGAAGGGCTGATGTAAAGAGCCCAAAAGTACATCCGAGTGGTTTAGCCTAGTGGTACAGTCAGAGGAAGGGTCAAATGATTGGGTCTGTAGGAAAGGCCTTGTGGTATTGCCAAGCTAGGCCAAGGTAGGAGGTGACAAAAGGTCAAAGTAAGTGCCAATGGGAAGGTCCAGGTGATATAACCAGGTGGTTTGACTAAGTTATAAGGCCAAGCTGAAGGTCCAAAGGTAGGCCAAAATGGTTGGACCTATTGGTGTTGCCAGGCTAATATGGAAAAACTAGATGGGAGGAGAAAGGTCATAGTTAAATGGTGGGCCAAATTGCTAGGTTAAATGAGATGCAGAGGGAGCATGGTCGAGTATCAGGCCCAAGACGTACAGACCAGTTGGTTTGCCCAGAAGAAAGGCCAAGTAGTCAAGCCCAGGAACAGGACCAAAAGGTAGAGCCAAGTGCAAAATTAAAGTGTGTGGCAAGAAAAAAAAACAAGCTGTAAACCCCCAAAGAAGGTAAAGTAACTTTGGCTGCACTGAAAGTCAAATGGTAGGGCTCAGTGGTTGGACCAAGTGGTAGTGTCAGATATTAGAATCAAGTCCAAGTACAATGTGGATCAGCTTGGTAGAGGAACAGAGGAATCAGTCTAGTCCATGTGCAAGCACAAAGAAAAGACCAAGACAAGGGCCAAGTGATCAGGTCTAGCAGAGTAGTTGGACCAAGCTGTACAATCAGCCAGGAGGTAAAACAGGGGAAACAGCCAGGTGGTCAAATGATGCATCCACGTCACGTGTCAGATCAAGTTGATCTGCCACATGACTTGAACTAGCTTCTTCTAGTTATTGTAGAGTAAGTTTATATGATTAAAAATGTTGAAAAACAAGGTTGTATGGCCTGAAGCCACTATCTTGAAACTCAGTCTCAGTTTCTGGATCGACAGCTGGGTCTGAATGATCAGAAAGAACAAGTGTCATGTTTTAACACATTGTAAATCTGATTAATTCTGCTGAAATATGATGACACATCCAGATGATCCTTATTAGTGTGAAATTAAAAACAGTCCGATTTATTAGATGTCGAAGCCTTTCGCCTCAGCTATAGGTTGAATTTAGGTTTTTATGCACTTCCCTACGTTGGACACAAGAGGCATCATCTCCTCAGTTATGGACCTACAGACACCTTGCAGGTATGTAAATGGAGACAAGGCCTTGTTAGTCACGGTTTTGGTCCTTTCTCTTGTGTTTTAAGTATTATCCAGGTGCACAGCCACACAGGACATCAGACAGCGCTGCGGTGACCCACGTCTGCCTGCAGGGGACGCTGTTACGTCAGAGAAAAGGCGGGTCACACCTGTTACCTCTCCGAAAAGAGAGACCCCACTTTCACCTGAGTGGAGCACGCTGAGGAGGAAGACTGAGGACTCTGTGAGTTCACCTCACCTTAAACATCAGTGAGCCTGTGTGGTTTGCTAACCGAATAACGTCCTAATGAATCATGTCTAAAGATGCTGATTTTACTTCATCTGATGTCAGTTTTTGTCATCCCTTGTGTTTTGTTGTGTGTAACCTTTGACATTTCCAGAGGGCTGCCTGTCATGGACTCCCTCCTACCCCTCAAGTCCATGTAAGTGTGAAACCTAACAGCATGTAACCTTCAACAAAAGCTGACCTACATGACTAACACCTCCTCACTTTGCATGACACAGGAGAGAGATCTCCACCTGAAATCAGACTTATGTTAAATCAAACTCTCTGACTGTCCTGAGCTTTAGTGATGATGCATTTTCTGCAAAATTCAGTCTGATACTAAGAGCACCTGTATGGCCTCAGAGCTGTATCGCTGTGTTTTGGTATTTGGAGCCACCAGAGTGCAACTTTTCAGAGTCTAATTACTTTAATTATAATAATACATGTTGTTGAACTAAAACCAAATTAAAGGGTCAGTGCTGCCCAGTCAGATCACTTCTGATTAGCTTGCTGTGCTGCAGATGGGAGCCTGTTTCTCCAAAGTCTTCAACGGCTGTCCTCTTCAGATCCACTGTGCTGTCACCTGGATTTTACCCAAAACAAGAGGTAGGATCATCATTTATGATTCATTCATCACTGGTGCAGACTTAAGCTTGAAAACAGGAAGTCAGTGATGCTAATCCTAAATGGGGCCTTTAAATAGACTGGCATGTGTCAGGAGGATATTTGACTGAATCATTGCAGCTTTAGTTCATTAAAGGGATATTCCGGCGTAAATTTAAGTTGGGGTCAAACACACCGCAAACGCAACTCTTGCACATTGAGAACATAGTAGGTACCAGTTTAATGAAAGGAGGAATGAGTCCATTAAGTACAGCATTCACAGTTTTACAGATTTGCCCTTTAACATCTCTTTTCTCTTCTCTCAGATCAGTACCTTATTCTCGGTGCAGAGGAGGGAATCTACTCTTTAAACCTAAATGAACTTCATGAAGATACACTAGAGAAGGTAAGGCGGTGCATCATCAAGTGTTTTATAAAAACAGGGAAGCAGATGAAACTGTTTGACATGTTTCACTTGTGATAAGCTCACTGTCAGTCCTGTGTATATGATACATAAACTTTAAAAGACACAAGTCTGAGCTGTGACCTGTTAGCCCTTTCCCAAAGTTTGTAATAAAGTATTATTTACAAGAATAAAGTCGCAATAAAATCATTACTCATGGGAATAAAGTCGTAATAAAGTAATTACTTACGAGAATTAAGTCTTTATATTCTAACCTGTTGTTTAAGATGACAGTTGTTGAAATAAGAGCCATGGAGCATTTTGTGAAAATGTAAATATAGGTTTCTCAAAAAAGGAGATGCTTAATCCTTTGTCACGTCAGCACCACATTATCATAAGTACCATAATGATTTTATTACAACTTTATTCTCGTAAATTATTCTATTACGACTTTATTCTCATAAGTAATTACTTTATTACAACTTAATTATCGTAAATTAACGGCTTCAATCTCGAAGTCTTGATCTTTTTTTTCTTAATGTGGCCCTAATACTTCGTCTTAATAGGCAGACCAAACTAACTGTCTGTTTTTCATTTCTGATCATACGAGCAGACAATCAAAGATTATTATAATTTAGATGAAATCAGACTGAAAGAGTTATATCATGGTGCCTCATCAGTCTGTAATCACCTCCTCTTTTCTGATAAATCTGATTGAGGCTCTAGGTTTATTAGCATTCAGAGCAGGGAAGTGAGATGCACTCATAAGTGGTCTCTGGAGATGCAGGATTTGGCTCATGGCTCAGAGCTGTTCACTTGTGATTAGATCAGCTGGATCGAATCACCTACACCAGGTAGAAACAACACTGCCTTGATGAGTATGAGCTGATAATCTTTTTGTCTACAGCTGCTCCCTCAGAGATGTACGTGGCTGTACGTCATGAACAACGTGCTGATGTCTGTATCAGGTAACAAAAATCTTTGAAGTCTCACGTTTGTCAAAGAGCTGAATATGATCCGCTGAACCAAGACGGTCTCTGTCCTGCAGGAAAGTCCTCCCAGCTTTACTCGCACAGTCTGACGGCTCTGTTTGAACAGAGAGGACATCTGCAGAAGAGACACGGCAGTCTGTCTCTGGGCACCAACCGCTTCACTGAGAGGATAAGCACCAGGTCAGGAGATATGCCTGGAAACCTCAGACAATTCACGTAAATCTCAAAGCAGTTAGTTTTTTTGCACAGCCTCAATGCAAAGACTTAAACACACCTGCACGGGAATGATTTTTTTTGTCTTGAAAGTCCAAAAACTCTGAGATTCTTAGGCTGTATTTATTTTGCATCAAAAGTGTAGATCCAAACTCAACCAGTAAACATGCAACTTGATAGCTGATTGACTCTCACCTTGCAGACAGACCTGACAAATTGGGAATTTTGACTTAAAAACAAATCTACATCATGATCTCATCATTTCAGCTAATTTTTAGCTTCTTCCAGTCAGCTCTGAGTACCTGGAAGCTGACAGGAAAGTTCATGCAGACACAGTTCATGAAGGAGGAGAGGAGATAAATCGAGAAAAGTCTTGGGGAAGATTTTAACCTGGATTTTTGTCTTCGTTTAGACATACCTGGCCAGACAAACATTTTCCAATCCTGTTTGATAGAAGTGATATACGTCTGGAAAATTTTCTTAATTTATTAAGAAACATCAGATGGTAGTTTGCAGTTGGAGTGATGGTTAAGCTAGTTGTTATTATTCCTGTTACCACTAAAGGCAGACATCTTTAAACCTCCTCAGAGTGGCCTTAAAGGACGGCTGGTACAGTTGTATTTGTTGTGTTTTTAACTAAATCCTGTTTTCTCTCTCAGCCAAAGGAAGTTTGCCATTTCTGTGAAGATCCCCGACACTAAAGGCTGCAGGAGATGTAGTGTAGGTAAGTGACAAGGAATTTCCTCCTCATCCTCTGTATGCTTTATGTTAGAGGCAATGTACAATGAGGAGGTTGTCTCTTTTCAATCAGTCTTCTTCACAGCAACAGTCTGCAGTCCTGAAATAGCAAACCTTCAAACAGTTCAATCAATCAATCAATCAATCAATCAATCAATCAATCAATCAATCAAAACTTTATTTATAAATAGCTTTTCCTGTGTAACACAAAGTGCTTTACAGTTTATTAAAACAGTCACACGTCCCTTCACCCAACCCCCACTACAATACAACTGGCATTCAACAGTCACATCAAGGCCACGCACACCCACACACCTGCAGAATACAGACGAACCAGTTGATTTAAGAGTTGTCATGCATTGGCCAATCAGAATCAAGTATTTCACAGACTCTGACTCTCCGTCTCTTCTCTCTCTCAGCCAGAAACCCATATACAGACAGCACGTTTCTATGTGCTGCTGTTCCATCTGGTTTAGTCCTGCTGCTGTGGTATGAGCCTCTGCAGAAATTCATGCATCTTAAGGTTTGTGCAGACATGAAAGACTTTAAATGGTTAGAAATCTGGTGAGATTTGGTCCAGAGAGTGTTTGATTGTTTGACTTTTTACTTGTTTTAATACAGAGAATCGTTCTTTACGTCATGCAGTGAATAACAAATGTAGAAATCTTTCGTTTTCAGTGCAGAACAAACTTGCTTCCAATAAAACATATTATACTGTAAACATTGTTTTACACATCTGGTAAAGTACAATGTGACTTGAACAGAGAAATGCAAACTGCACAGGAAGAAAACACTTTGAATGTCCTTTTAGAAAAGTGAGTGTTGGAGTGGAAATGCTAAATATACATTACGTTATTCTGGTATAGTAATGATTCCTCTCAATGGGATTCATGACACTCAATATTATTTTTTGTCATTTCCCTTCCACTATGAACTTAAAGTAAATTAAAATATTAGTACACCAAACAATGAAATAAAGACGAGGAACCAGAGCGAGAAGGAAAATTCAAAACAAAATCAGGATTTAGTTTTTTCAGATGAAGAGAATAAGCTGGTATAAAAGTGGACTTTCCACACATACACCAGTGTATCATCAGCAAAGATGAAATAAGGTTGAACAACATCATTTTTTTTCTGATCTGTGATATAAAAATACCTTTAAATACATTTTTGCCAAATGGCCAACTGCTGACAAATACATTTTCTTCATTTGTTGTTAAAACCACAAAGTCCCCCCTGCACTGATTTTACATGTTATAATTGTCCCATTCATGTTGGTTTATTTTAGACTAATTATAAGGTGCAGTTTTGGGTTTTCGTCCTATCATGTTATACATCCAACTTAGATGGTGCAACCTTACCTCCAATAAACCGATCAACCTCTGAGTGTCCTCTCTGCTTGTGCTTTCATCCGTTCACCATGCAGCACATACCGGTCAAGCTGCCCGACTCTCTGCCCATATTTGAGCTGCTGGTGTTGGTGACGGACGAGTTTCCTCAGCTGTGTGTGGGAGTCAGAGACTGTCTAAACGGGAAACGTCCTGTCGGCCAACAGCTCCAGTTTGATATCGTAGAGCTGAACAGCTCGCCTGTTTCATCACCAGGTAGGATGGATTCTTTAACCGTATTTAACTATCAGGGGAACTGAAGTAACTGTAACCTGAGCCAAATTTTCACCTATTTTAAAGTTTGATTGAATTAGTGCAGAAGTTTGCGAAGAACTTCCATGGATTGGTTTAATGTTTTGCAGGAAAACAGGCTATAATCAATCAATCGATCAATCAACTTTATTTCTATAGCACATTTAAAAGAACCACAAGGGTAGCCAAAGTGCTGTACAATGACACATAAAAACAAATAAAACAATCAAAGAACAAGATAAAACGAGCAGAAATACATCAATGCAAAAGAATAAATAAATGTATAATGGTGGTAAACCCTCCAAACCCCCAAACCCTGGTTTCTGCAGTTAAAAATCACTTCAACTACTCCAATCCAGCTCCTGAACTCTGTCAGGTAAAGTTAACAGAAAGGTGTGTCTCAGTTAGGGATCCTTTCTGAAACGATGTCAGACACTGACTGGAGACTTCCACCAGCTACAGCCCAGGCACTCTGGATCTCTTAGCAGCAGAAATGCAGTTTCTATTCCTGCCGGTTGCTGGAGCATGAAGCATCAATCAGTTGTGACAGGTGAGACAGGCAGCCCGGCGCCAAAACATAAAACATCAGAATAAAACACTCAGCTGTGGTGCAAGATCATATTTCATACAACTGCATCAACAAAACATCATAATGAGCAGAGCCGGGTCTGGAGCCGACAGGGCAGGAGGGGGTTTCAAAGGCCTGAATCAGGAGCTGTGGCAGAGAGGTCACTCAATGCACCTGCAGCCAGTGGAAGTGAGAATATCAATCAGAGCCTGTTTCACTCCTGCTGACTGAAGAAATCAATCCAAGTAACTTCAACACTTTAGTGACTTTGAGTCAGTGAAACCCTCAAATATCTGGAAAGACTGACAGTTTCAGCATCATCCCTCAAAGCTTTGCCTTCTTCTCCCTGCAGACGGTGGAGCTCTTACTGCTGCACAGGTAACCCAGCTGGACAGAGACACCGTCCTCATCGCGTTAGAGAGTAAGTCAGTCCCGTCCATCTAACTCATGTTTGTAAACACTGATTTATACCAAACTGTGACTCATCTCCCTGGCTTCTGATTGGACAGAAACTGTGAAGATTGTAAACCTTAGGGGACTGCCATCCAAAGATCTCGCTGCTGAGATGGTTTTTGACTTTCCTGTTGAAACTCTGGGTAAAATTTAACCTTAAAAACGAACAGAGTGAATGATATTTAAAGTCAGTGCTAACAGTTTGATTGACATGCTGTTTTTTTTATCAGTCTGTTTACAGGACAGCGTGCTGGCTTTCTGGAAGCATGGCCTTAAAGGACGAAGTTTTCATTCAAATGAGGTAAAAAGAAACAAGATTAATCAATGACCGGACTGATGTCGTCTTTTTCACCCACTTTGATCCATATTAATATGCTGCATGTTTGATTCATCTCATCCTGCAGGTGACTCAAGAAATCACAGACGAAAGCCGAGCATTCAGAGTTCTGGGGACAAACAGGTACGTTAGCACCTACCTAACCTGTTAGTAGAGGGATTTTAGTTCGAGAATATGCTAGTTCCAGTCCTCCATAATGACCTCCAGCTCCAGTGGTTGGTGATCTGAGAAGTGTTTGTGTCTCTGTATGAAGGTCAGCTAACAATCGGTCTTCAGCGTCACTGAAGACAATCAGAGTTTAGATTTACGGACTTCACTGAATGGATCAGAAATGATGGATCTATTCAACAAACAAACATTTTCAAAGTAGTGTTCTTCTTCTCTTGAGGACAGACCTGACAAAACTGGACTAATCTGCATCATGATGTTATTATTTCAGCAAACCTGTTAATGAGGAGAACATCACAAGAACATCAGTTTCTGGAGGGTACTAAAACCCACAGAAAGGGAATTACCCATCTTTATACTCTGTTTGTGATAATATTGATAATATTTGATTTTTTTTTTTTTTCAAAGAGATAAAGATGATGGTTAATGAATAACTGTGGCCGAAAATCTCCAAACTGGGTGTTTATCCCAACACTGAATGTTACTTTGGTAGTTTGTTTCTTCACTCTGGGTGAGCTTTAAGTCTCGTCTGATTCTGTCATTTTCAGGGACATCATCCTGCAGAGCACACCAACAGACGAGCCGTCAGCTCTGAGTAACCTCTATATCCTAACTGGACACGAGAGCAGCTACTGAGAGAAAACAAAGGGTTAACTTCTTCAAAATCACACTGAAGAGAAATCTGATCTCTGAGACTGTTTTAGAACTGATTCCCTGTTTTACTGAAGCTGCAGAAGTACAAACAGATTACTCATACTGTCTGCTATGGAAGCCTGTAGGGGACAGAGTTAAAGAGATGATGTGAACTGGAAAATACACATCCTTAAAGGCAGTGAGTATTTTTTTTTATTGCTGCAAAGATTAAAACTAAAATGCCAAAATGTTATTTCTTTTCTTATTTCCACAAATTAGTAATGGCTTTCTATCATATCATAGAATGTCAAGTTAAAGCTCCTGTGAGAAACCCTAATGTCTGTGTTGACTTTGGTGCCCCCTATGGTCAAAATGATACAACTCAACTTTGTGTTTTCTGGTTAAAAAAAAATCTTCTCACAGTTAAAAGAAACATTTACTAAGAATATTTCCCTTTAAAAAGTAAAACATTTGGCCTGTTGCAGCTACAGGAATTAAATATTATAATATAGAAACTTTTAATCCTAGTTCACTTTTGAGGTTTTAAAAAACTTCAATATTGTTTTCAGTCTGTTTCAGATCCACCAGAAACTCTTAAGAGGGGCTTTAAAATTAAAAATCTGTCTAAATACAAAACCTCCACTTATCATTTGACCTAAAAAATTAACTTACTTTTTCATTTTCAGTGATTCATGAGTTTCCATACAACTATGTGGAAACAAACCCGATTATTACAGTGTACAATGACATGTGGGAGTTATAATATAGGTGTGAAATGTAAGTTTGCATTATCCTTTTAACCTTGTCTCCGGTAGGCTTCCATAAGTGCAGTATCTAAGTTTTAATAAGGGATTTTAGACGCCTGTCTTTAGTGTAAGTTTTTAGAAACATGTAAAAAGGAGATGTGCAAACATGCTAAATGTGTTTTTAATTCTTCCATTCTAAGCTGCAAATGTAAAGTTTTCATTCAGATAGAGTTTCTCCAGCCTAAACTCAAATGTAGCTACAAAAGGGGAAAGCTGGATTCATCAGTCTGCTTGTCTCAGAATAGAAAATGACTGCAAAGGGGTGGTTGTCATATCTGTGACTGCACAAAAGTATCAGAGTTTATACGTTTCAAAACTCCAACCTGATATCACTGTCCGCTGCCATCATTCTGTCAGACAAAAGAAAGGGATGCATGATTTTACTAGCATGACATCGGTATCAGATTATGAAGTTATAAAAATATATCTGCAAATATTACAGTTTCTGCAGATGAAATTATCAACCAAAAAGTTAATGCATTAATAAAAAGTGGTAATTTTACAAAAATGAATTCAAAGATTTTTAGTAGAATAAAGTCATGAGTGAAAAATGTGAGGATTGAGTGAGTGACAGAAAATGCAATAATTTTATTTTTAGAGTTAAAATTTCATTACAGTAAAGTTGTAAGATTAATAGAAAGAAAAACTGTTGAAATCCTTAAAGAAAAAGTTGTGGTCTGATCAGAGTAAAGTTATAACAATACCATATAAATGTTGTAATTTAACAAGACCAGAATAGTAAGAAATAAAGTTTTTTGTTAGAAAAAAAAATTAATTTGATTAGAAAATATCATAAGAGAAGAAAAGCAGATATTTTACAAGAATAAAGCTGTTGAAAATGAAATGAAAAAATTAAGTATCAGGATGTAAGGGAAAAAAGAGGGAGAAATCATTAAAAAGGAAAAATTTTAATTTTTATGAAAATTGTATATTTACAGGAACAATCTTATAGATTAATCAGATTAAGGCTTCACAGTTTATGAGAAATAAGCTTCAGTCATAAATTTCAAAAATTAATAAATTTATGGGAATAAAGAAGTTTAATGAGAAAGATATTTATAGTGTGTAGTTCATTCACATAAGGACTGTCACAGTATACCACCATTTCTGAAAACTGTCTTCATATGAAAATAACACCCTATTATGATGATGAAAATTAGTGAAAGTTAACTCCTTGAGCTTATGGTAGCTGTGGTTCCTTTAGACTGTTATCTGCCTCAATTAAAGAGACAACAAGCTAGCAAGTTAGCTTTAGCATCCCTCTGAGAGATGATTCAGCACTTTTAAAAACTGACATTTAAGAGTCTAAAATCAATGTTTGAACTTGTGTCTCTTCAGGTAACTAATCAATTAAAAGTTTATACTCTCTGACCATAACCATTTTTTTTTCAGTTTGTGACTTATGATCCACCAAAAGCAGTGTCCTTCAAAATAAAAACATAATAAACAATCATTTATTGAGGCAACAGCTTGAAGAAGTAAAGACATTTCAGCCACAGAGCTGGAGATGGGGATAATTAATCATCATCAAAATGAATGATGATTTTTCTTTCTAATTTATGCCTTTCTTGCGGGAATATCTTTATTTTTTGTCTTTATTTTCTTCTATAACATGAACCAAACACTCTTGTCATCCCAAACAGGGTTTTTCTGTATTTCTTTACATACACCATCTCAGATTGTCAGCCTGAATATTCAAGTGTATTACTGAGACATTTTATCAAATGTATTTACAGAATATATCGTGTTACTCTGAAAGTTTTGAAGATGTTTTTGCATTGCAGCGTTTCCATAATGTTTAGAGAGAGCTGAGATTATGTGAATAAGATGTTTAGCAGGCATTGTCTGTGATCCATAAGTGCCATAAACAGGCTTAAGTTGTGTATCCATCTCTTCTATAAATTACCCTGTTTACAGAGAGACTAAAAATGCTTCTGATTCCATGAGGTGCCATAAAACTGGATACATTTACACCTGTTTGTCTGACTAAAATGTAAACTCCACTACACTAGAGCTTGTGTGTGATGATATTTATAAAAAAGGGAACTGTATGATTAACATATTCCCCTGAGACATACTTGAAAAACATGATATGCATATGGATATTTGATTTTTTAAGATGATTTTATTGGTATTTGTGTGTAAATTTGATGTATATAACAATTCTGTATGCTTTTACAGAATTTAATGGGTTGTATTATGCAAAATAAACATTTTAATATCTCTGGAAAGTTTTATTTCTGCGACACTGACCTGTAGGAAGAGTCTCAGCATGTGATGACACAATAATCAGCAGTTTGAGTCATGCTAATTAAAGACATCATTGTGAATATCAGTAAATAAGTCAAAGGAAATGATATTTTAAAACTTTCGTTCATTTTTCAGGGAGTAAAAATGCTCATTATGCCACACCCATCTCAGAGGCTATTTATGTATGAACAGCCCCTGATATCTCATGTTGAACATGATAACATGATATACTCTTATTTTTAACATGATATTTCCTGTCAGAAATCAAACATTAAGCGTGATCTAAAAAAAATAGCATTCCACAGAATTTAAGTTTAGGACAAGACCAGCAGAGTTTCCTCAGCTGATTTCCAACAGACTGGAGAGACAATTGTAGAAAAACCTTAGACGTAGAGGCAGCAAAAGAAGTCCATTTCAAATTTTTGAACAAAATCGATCCAACAAACAAATTTTTAAGATTAAGGTTTAACTTTGAAGCAAATAATTGTGTGTTTTGTGATGTGGACGTTGAAAACCTGAGCCATGTTTTTTTTCACTGCGGTGTGGTACATCTCTTCTGGTGTAAAATGTGGAGCTGGTTGCAGTCAAAAAACATTGACTTCCCTTTTCAGCAGAAACTATTTTGTTTGGTGTTTTGAATGAGGATAGGGACTTGGATTTTGTTTTAAATGCTTTGTTGCTTTTGGGGAAGTTCTTCATTCACAAGTGTCGATATTTTAAAACAAGACCAGGCCTACCTCACTGGATGAATGAGCTGCTATTTTTTTGTAAATCCTTACAACTTGTTGCAGACAAGAAAACCCTACACCTATTTTCCTTACTAGAAATGTTCAAATTGATATAGAATGGCCTCTAACATTGAAATTGTGTTTTTTTTTTCTCTTTTGATATAATTCATGCTCAATCTAAGGCAAATATTCTATTATTTTCTTTTATGATAAAAAAGTGCCTTGTTTGTTTGTTTGTTTGTTTGTTTATAATTCAATAAAAAATAAAAAAAACCTTGGACGTAGAGGCCGGATATGAATGCATTGTATCTGCAGTACCTCCTCCTGAACAGCGGGGCGCTGAATAGACCGGAAATACAAGCAGAGACGCTGCAGCTGCGGCTTCGTCATTTCACTTTTCATTCATTGCCGCCGAGGCCTGCGTCGCTTCTGAGGTAGATTTTTTAAATTTAAAGTCATATCACGATCTTAAACTTGATTTAAGAGTTAAAAAAGCTTGCCAAAATTATTTCAGACGTAACATTTTCTTATAAATATACGGATCGGAAATATCCCGCAGGCGAACTTGTAGACTTTTAGCCAGTATGCTAGGTGTCTAGCTATCAGTTAGCTTTCTGAAATCAAACACTTTTGAAATATAATCCGCCTAGAAAGATTTTTAAAATACATTTTATTGGAGTTTATCTGCAGTTTCTATACGTTTAAGCTTGTGACTTTGTATAAATAAGGTCAAAAATGTGCTAAAATACTTATTACGTCAGAGATAGTTGAGGACGGTGTTAGCTATCGTTAGCCTTTCTTAGTTTGTTTACGTTTTAGCTTGAGGTAACTTAAGACTGTGTGACTGGTTACATCAGACTACGTCAGGTCACCTCAGACTGTGACAAATAACTCAGTGACAAATATGTCAGCCTCTTCAAGCCTGCTTTATTGTAGTGGGTAAAAATTAGGACGATTTTTATGAAGATACAGATCTTTGTCACAATTCAGCCCGGGAAATGTTAGCTCATTTATGCTGGTGATCACTGCAGCCTCTCTGTTGTCATGCTTTGCTGTCCCTTGGCTTTTCAGACAGTAAACACCCACATACAAACACCTTTCTAATGTTGCTCCACTCCCTGTTCTTTTCTCTTTACCCGTGGCTGTATGATAGTTTGTACTCCTGTACCACAACATTGTTGCACCGTAATCTATGCTTGTGATGATGTCAAAACTTAGGGCTAGTGGAAGAAAGGAAGGGTGTTTTTAATTTACCAAACTGAAAAAGACAAGTCAGATACAGCAGGGGGAACATTACAATTAAAGGAATATTCCGGGGTAACATTAATTTAGGGTCAAACACACCGTAACATCGAGTTAGACACCCTGTAGAGACATGTATGTTGCTGACTGCTTGCTTCTCTAGTTATACCAACTCTTGTAACGACCACATGATAGTTATACACAACGGTTCCAGGAGCCACGTGCTCAACCAAAACGCCACTCTATAGCCACAAGTAATGCTCAGAACAGCACCTAACTCAACCAACAGTACATGTAGGGTCCTAGCCATAGTACTAGCCACCAAACATCTTTTTAGGTTTGCACGTGGAGACCTAAACCGCTGTGTATTAGTATCATGCGGTCGTTACTAAAGTTGGTATAACTAGAGAATCAAGCAGTCAGCAACATTCATCTCTCAAGGAGGTGTCTAACTCAGTGTTACGGTGTGTTTGCTCCTGTCTTAAATTTACGCTGGAATATCCCTTTATGTCTCAATGATTTGGAGGGGGGATATATTTGATATATCTTGTGTCTCTTTTAGGACAGACCAACCTTCACCATGGTGAAAATTTTCATTGGCAACCTGGCCTGCAACGCCACAGCTGATGAGCTGCGTGAACTCTTTGAGAAGTACGGCAAAGTGACAGAATGCGACATCGTGAAAAACTACGGTTTTGTACACATGAGCAGCACGTCTGAGGCAGAAGAGGCCATCCGCAACCTCCACCAACACCAGCTGCATGGCTGGCGCATGAATGTGGAGATGAGCAAAGGGAGGCCCAAGTCCACTACCAAGCTGCATGTCAGCAACCTTGGCGACGACGTCACCTGTGACATGCTCAGGGAAAAGTTTGCAGAGTTTGGCCCGGTTGTGGAGTGTGACATAGTGAAGGACTACGCCTTTGTGCACATGGAGCAAATGGAGGATGCCATGGAGGCTATCGATAAGCTGGACAACAAGGCCTTTAAAGGTGAACTCTTGAGCAGGGGGAGCTAGTTGTTCTCTGCTGTTTGTAGTTCTGTCGCCATAGCGCTCTCGTAGGAAGTGAAAACCACTAAATGGTGATTTTAAAGACCAGGTGGCCTGAAAAAAGTCACTTGTAAGTTTTTCCCTTGATAAGCAAGTTGCAGTGTTACCGGTGAATAAGCAATGGCATAAAGTCCCCCTTCACCTGCCGCGTCAGGTTATCTCGCTTCGCTTTGATATTGTCCGTCAAATGCATTTGAGGTGTCTGATAGTCGGTAAGAAGCTTTCCGTGTCAGATTCCCTCGGTCTCATGCGTGTCTTCTTTCTCCTCACAAGGCAAGCTGATGAGCGTACAGCTGTCCACCAGTCGGCTCCGCACGGCCCCGGGAATGGGAGATCATACCGGCTGCTATGTCTGCGGGAAACATGGTCATTGGTCGAAAGACTGTCACGTCGGTCGGAACGGTAGCCACGGTGACGGCTCAAGAGGTCGCAGCAGCCGGGGCCCCCCACGCGGTCCCCCAAGTTATGGCAGGGGCAGCTACGAGATGGCCGCACCTCCAGCGGATGATTACATGGGTGGCTCTGCGTATAGTCGAGCTAGTTACGTAGGTGGGATACCGCCCCCCCCTCGTAGGCTCAGCGGCTACGGCACCGAGCTGGGGGATCAATACAGGGCGGCACTCTCCTATCCTGAGAGGTCATCGGCTTATGATCGTGACCGCATCTATAGCAGTGTTGACTACTATGAGAAGTACAGAGCTCGTCCTTATGGCGCGAGCTATTTCGAGGATCGTCGCATGTCCTATATCCCCCCTCCCCCTCCTCCCCCTTCCTCCCTTTCAAAGCTTTCCTCCAGTTTAGATCCATATGACCGTCGGCCTCTGCCTCCTTCTTCATCGGCCGCCACAGCAGCTGCTGCCGCTGCTTACTACGCACGAGACCGCAGCCCGATCAGACGAGTACCTGTCCCCCCATCGAGCTATGGCTATGAGCGAACACGCCTGTCTCCGGTGCCGACCTCCAGGAGCGCCTACCCTGCTCCACGGCCGAAGGACCATTACGCGCCACGCTACGCGCCGTACTGAAGCCACAATGCAAAGGTGAGGAATGTGACGTGTTAAACATGTCACTGTAATTGATCGCTGGGCAGAGGATTGTGGGACGTTAGAAATATTTTTTTCCTGATTGTACCATGAAGGATTTATTGAACGTGATATAGCTGATGTTTTAAGATAGTTTGTACTGTTACTACTCTCAGTGGTGTGATTCAAAATATAGAGAGGACTTGAAGAACAAAAGTTTTATTGATTTCTTTGCGATGATGAATGAAAGTACATGAGTGTAAAACTTCAGCCAGTTGAATCTATGGACATTTTTTGGCAGTATTTCCGCTGAGAATTTCAGGACCCAGGACATAGAAGGTTGTTAACGTAATAAATAAGGTTAAAAAGGCCTGAGTAAAACATCCTTACAGAAATAATGAAGACAAAAATGTGGACAGTGTGACCATTGATTTAGAATTTGATGCAGTCTACATGTTTCTAAAAAGTCATTTTAGAGGAACAACCTAACAGGTAAAAAGTCGTGCAATGCTTAAAAAAACAGCTGGATGGACATTTCAAACTAATGAGGTTAGTTTCCAACAGGTTAGTAACATGACTGGGTATAAAAAGGACATTCAGATAGGCTGAGTCTTTTAAACAAAAACTGGGAAGAGGTTCACCACTCTGTGAGAGACAGTGTTAGCCAATACTTCACCAGTTTTAGAATAATGTTCCTGAGTGTCAAATGTGAAAGAATGAATGGATTTTATCATCTACAGAACATAATATCAATAAAAGATTCAGAGAATGTAGAGAAATCTCTGTACTAAAGGGACACGGACCAAAAGCAAGACTGGATGGTCCTGATCTTCAGGCCCTCAGGCAGCACTGCATTAAAAACAGACAGGACTCTGGAGTGGAAATCACCGCATGGGTTCAAATTCACTTCAAAACCCTATCAGCCTATTAATGATCAGTCAGGACATCTAAACACCTGTCCATACTTTGGAAACGAAGTAATAAAGGCTGTGCTATGAGAAATAGGTGGACTTGTTTTTAAATGCCAGTGTTTGCTTTGTTTCCAGGTTTGTTGGTGAACAGCAGGACTCTTTCTTTTCCATCAAATCTTCAAGCTACAGGATTCCAACAGAAAAGCATAACAATCCAGAAATGAGAGATTTAATGCAAGATCTTCAGGCGCCTGAGACCCTAGCTGTTGACAGATAACTCGTCTCTCCAGTCATGTCATGGTTTGCAAACTGCATTGACTCTTGTGATGTATAAAAACAAACAATAATTTTCTCACTTTTGCAGGTTTTATCTCAGACTTAAGCAGCGGCTCTTGTGTTATCTCTTACCCATGCTTCTTCCTTACATGAAGCAAATTGTAAAAGTCAGAAAAGTAAATTGGTCGGCTTCATTTCGTCATTTTTGGAAAAGTTTTGTCAATACATGTGAACATTTAACTTGTTTTTCATGCTGTTTTGAATTGTCTTTGTAGATCGGAGGTCATCTTAGTCAGCAGTAGTAATAAGATGTTTCACAGAAAGAATAAGAACAGAATTAATAACACAGAGAGCACAGTTTGGGTCTAATGCCAGAAAAATAACCTCAAACATTCCAGCCTAATTTGAACACTTATCCAAATCATTTCAAGCTTACCCTTTTTAACACTTCTCCATGTTTCCTCTGAGCTGAGGTAGTGATTTTGGGGATAAAAAGTGACATGAAAGCAAGACTATTTAATGACCTGAGAAGTGAAACAACTCTTTAACATTAGCATTTTGTGTTTTCTTGCTTTGCCTTCAGCTGACCACAGAAAATATCCTGTCATGTCTTAGTTTGAGTCTGGGATGGGTGTTAATGGTCTTTAATGGTGTGATGTTAGGCGGGACTCAGGGCTCGTTCTGTGTGAGTCAGGAGGCACCGGTTTTTGTTTAAAGGTGCCTTTATTTGTTTGTTTTGCAAATATAAAGGTGGATTTGAAGTTTGTATTTTTCATACTAGCTGTAAAGTACCAGCACACATTAAGTATCTCAAATGGAAAATGATTTTTAATAAAGCCAAAGTTATTTTGGTGTGAACAGTCTTCGATTTTTGTTTGAAAATACACGTGATTCTCTGTCCTTTTGTTTCAGTGTTACTTGAGTTCCAATTTGACACATTTAAAAAAAACAAAACATTTCCTTTTAAGGATGAAAACTGATTTTAGAGCTTGTAATTTATATTAAACTCCATAAAGTCAGTCTTCTTTGACTCTATTATCTATTCTGGATAAAATATGATGCATTCTAAGTGACACTATCTCTGTATGTTTTAGTTTTTTATTTAAAATTCAGTTCAAGTTGTTAAAAGGCGTAAGAGTTTTCACTTATTCACGAAGTTTAAATTATCTTTAAGGCCACAAGTTTAAAGTTTGGTGGGGAAGCAGGTAGAAAGGAAGGGTTAAGGACAGGACCTTAAATAATCTATTGCCAAAATGACTTGTGTGAATGAACTTTTTTTGCATACAATTAAATTATAATAAAAGTATTTAGTTCTGTAGAAACAAAATAAAACATTATCTAAAAATAACACAGTCTTTAAAAACACGGTCTATTATAAATCTGCTGAATATTTCAGTGAGTGAATAATGCCAAAACAAGTCTGATACATCTGCATAGTGTGTATGTTTTTTTTTTTTTCAACATTTTCAACAATTTACAAAACTCTCAATGGGAGACAAGTGCAATTCAGATGTACATCTCTCTTTTATAGAACAACAGTGATAATACACATGAGAACAACACAATGTAGAAAAGAAAAAAAACAAAACTTGGAGTAAGGCCTGCCTTTGGAATTCATACAAACAGCAAATGTAAATATTAGATCATTAATGATTCATTGAGTTACAACAGTGCATATTTTGAGACATCATCAAATAGGTTTTCTAGTTTTAGACTAGAGTCTTTAATTAATGACAAGGAAGCAAAATAAGATTTAAGTTCTGTTTTAAACAATGCAAGGGATGGATTTTTATTTTGCCATTTACTTTTATGGATGTGGTATTTACCCATAATTATTATATTGCAAATTTTGAAAAATTTGTTTGGCATGTTGTAATTTCCATATAGAACTTGTTCCAATTTCAAGTGTGCAACTTTATCCATTTTAATTTCCAACCAGTTAACTAAATCATGCCAAAAGTTCTTAACTATGCTGCATGAGAAAGAAAGATGTTCAATTGTTTCCTCTTCTTGCAAGCAGAAAACACATGGCTCCACCTCGCAACCAAACCTCTTTTTAAGGATTGTTGATGAAGGATAGTAAACATTGATTATTTTAAACTGCATTTCCTTGATTTTAGGGGGAATTGGCCATTTCATCAATTTTACCCATTTATTGGTTATTTTTTCATCACTATTATACATTTTTACATTTCTATTAAAGTTATGAAATAGTTGATCTTTGAATAATTTATTATTATTTTTGCTTTTTTTTTTTCAAGTAAAGAAACCTGGTCTAACTGTACTTTAGGCAAGGTTATTGTTCCTTAGAGTAATGCATGTAATTTTGTGCATTGTGTGTACGTGTGTGTTGAAGGACCTGCTTACATCGTGTCTGCCAGGTACTTCCGGGTCAACGCAATCATTTTGGAACCTTGCCGGGTGTAAATAAGTATTGGGACGCGGCCTGGCAGTCATTTCATTCTCTGGGTTTGAGAAACATTAGCTTTATAAGGTAAGATTATATCGACACTAAAACGATATTTACACTCTGAAAATAGGGTAATCTAAGCTCACTGATGCATTAAGGCCATACAGATCATGGAAACATAATAAAGGGAAAATATAAGGTAAATGAATGTTAATGCTAAGCTAAGGTGTAGCTTGACAAGCTAAAGGCGTGCTGCGGACACGGACAGCTGAAATACATAGAAGTGTGAAATCTTCATTTTCCTGCGCATAGATCCTCCCCAGAGTGATCTATACCGGTTTAATCTGCTGCCTCAGTGTTAATATAGAAGCTAATGTGATCTCTGGAGCTGCTCAGCCTGCAGCATGTGATGAAGACTGAGTAATAAAGGGGGGGTGGGGGTGATTGAAGGTTTATACACTGAAAGAATTCACTATTTTGTAGAAAATTATTGTTTTAATTCTAATTTTGGAGCTGCACACCTGAACTAAATACCGCATACCAAGAATGCAAAATATCCAAGAGTGTAATATTCAAATTGCAAATAACTTTAAGAGGAAAAATGTGGCGATTACTATCATTGAATGCTGCTTTTTTAAAATCTGGTTTCAAAAGGGTATCTGCTTATTTACCTATGATTTCTAACTGTTACTCTAGACATTGAATGTTTTATAATGTCTGCAAATATTATATCTGTGATTATGTTGCAGCAAGCTGCAGAAAAGTGTTGTAAACAAACAAACAAAAAAAAAAACTTGTGGAATGACCCTTTTTTTGCATTTTTATAAATAATATAATTGTTCACAAATCTAAAAACTGTTTTAAAGAGACTACAGTCCCCTCCAGAAAGAACTACGCCTGAATCTGAGAAGTCACAGAATCAAGAATCAAGGTGCCTTGTCGCTGTAGGGTCATGCAGCTAGATAAACAATGAAAGAATTTAATGTCTGCAAATATTATATCTGTGATTATGTCAATGCAAGCTGCAGAAAAGTGTTGTGAAAGCATGCAAACCTGCACCCAGATTTCAAAATATAATGTTCATTCATTTTTAATACAGCTGTGGTGATCATGATTTTCTGTATTCCCTCAGTGACTCAAAGGCTTCAAAATGGTGAAAATATTCATCGGGAACTTGGCCCAAGAAACCACGTCAGACGAACTTCGCTCTCTCTTCTCTCAGTATGGAAAGATTGCAGAGTGCACCATCGTCAAGAACTTTGGCTTTGTGCACATGGACGACAAAGCGGAGGCAGAAGAAGCCATCAGTAACCTCCATCAGTACGAGCTGAACGGTCAGCCGATGAACGTGGAGCTGAGCCGAGGCAAGTCAAGAGGATCCACCAAACTACACGTAGGAAACATCGCCTGCACCAACCAAGAGCTGAGGGCCAAGTTTGAGGAGTTTGGAGCTGTGCTGGAGTGTGACATAGTAAAGAATTATGCGTTTGTTCACATGGAGCGGATGGAGGATGCCATGGAGGCCATTAATAAGTTAGACAACTCTGCATTTAAAGGTGAACTTTTGCCTTAAAGATTTCAAGAATGTTAAATTCTGTCGTTATGAGTTGATAGGTAAGTTATGGATGCATCACAGGTGAGTAAAGAGAGAGACTGAGGTAAGCTGAAGACAGAGAGGAACACTTTAAAGCTGGTATCCGTAAACTGATCGGTAAGTACGGTCTGTTTAACACATATCTGTAGTTTTACTGATTCATTTAGGCGGCGTAGAGCTGGATGAACCTCATACGTGGATGAATGTGCAGTTTCATTTCCTATGAGTTTGCGTTTGTAGTTTTAAGAGCATCTGTAACCAGTCAAATTCGGGATTCGTCCAATTAAAAATAAGTTACTTTCCTTAGTAAATTTGCATTTTAACCTGACTGATTATTCTCGTTTTAAGTTGTGACGCCGCTGCTCGGGAAAAATGTTACGGATTTCAGCTTTAATGAATGTTTCTTAAAAATGTTCTTTCAATATATTGATAGAATTCAGAGTTTTAGGGGAGCCCTGAGTCAGGAAAGTGTTTTTGTGCCAAGCAGGAAATGTTATGTGACTTGGTTTCAATGCAGGTATAAATCCTCATTGAGTTTTTTCCTTTTAAAGGCAAACTGATGAGCGTGAAGCTTTCGACTAGCCGCCTGCGTACTGCGCCGGGAATGGGAGACAGATCGGGTTGTTATCGTTGCGGGCAGGAAGGCCACTGGTCCAAAGAATGCCCTCTAGACCAAAATGGCTACCACAGAAACGGCTCAGAGCCAAACTCAGATGGATACGATGACTCGAGATTCGGTGGGCGTGGTCGCAGCAGGGGTTATCATCCCAGCTTCAGCGGGGAGCCAGATTACGGTCCTGGCTACCCTCCTGTTCATGGTTTTCCACGGGGTGCTGCTCACAGCAGCGCCATGGCCGGGTACAGACGGGGCACAAGCTACGAGAGTGCAATGAGATACGGGCCGCCCCCGGGTTACAGCATTAGCGCTGTTCCTGACCATAGCATGGCTCGGATGTACAGCAGCGAAGCGGATTACAGGAGCAGCAGCTCGTACTATGGCGCGGTACCCTCCTACCCAATGCGACGGTCGCCCTATGAGCAACGGGATCCGTACGGGGTCGTGGACTACTATGAGAAATACAGGGCCAGTTATTTCGAAGATCGTCGCGCCGTCCCCATGCCTGCTCCTCCTGCAACCTCCTCCTCCACGGGTTTAGTGAGGGAGCGTCTGCCTCCCTCCAGCCTCGACCCATACGGGTGCCCTCCCCTCCCTCCTCCTCCAGCCCCGGTGTCCTCATACTACGCACGTGAGCGGAGTCCGATTCGGAGAGTCCCTACCGAGGCAGATGGATACGCATACGAGCGTTCGCGCCTTTCCCCGGCAACCTCCCACCAAAGAAGTTCCACCTACGACCTAACGCGGGATCCGGCCGCTGAGCGGGCTCGATATCCTTACTGATTCTTGTCCTATAGAGCCCGGTGGAGGCTGGGTGACGCTTAAAGATAGGACAGCCCAAGTGCCATTGGATTTAATGATCATTAAACACACATCCATTTATCTCTGAGAGGTGCAGGACAGTTTTCTGCATGTGAAGGAAGAAAAAGCTCAAAAATCTTGACAGATAGTAACTAATCATTCCAGGTTCAACTACAGATGCAGTACAGCTGATGCTTTTATTGTCTATTTAAATGTTGTGGTATTAGTACAGCTCTGAGATAGCCTAGTGTTAGTGTAGACGTGCAGTCTTATTTTATCTACAGCCTAATTGATTAGAGTAACTACGTGTTTATAATTTCTGCTTAGTTTGTAGAAACAAATTGAATTAGTGCATGGTAAGTCTTCAGGTGTTTCCAGATTAAAAAGTTAAGCAAATTTCACACTCTTTGATTTTATACACAGTCATTGCAAACTTACAGATTTGTGCCTTGCAAAACAAATAATTTAAGCGCACAAAACTGAACTCATTCGAATGCATATGAATCTCCCTCCATGTCTCTGAGCACAATAGAAAAGGTGAATCCAAACCTCTGAGGAAAATGGCATTTCAGGAGACTGTGGGACGGGGTTAACCTTTTCTTTTTACAGAGCTCCATGGCCAAGTTATTTCCATATGTCTGAATTTTGACCTGTTCATTAGAATAACATCTAAGACAGGACAGGTTAATTTGATAGGTGGTAAATGTTATAAACAAAGTTCACTGCTTGACATACCTATCTGGTACTGGAGTGAAACTGACTAATACAAACTCCCTTTGTTCAACTTGGGTAAGTAATGTGAGGTGAAAATTTGCTTCACTTTTTGTCTCAATACACCCTAAGGTAACATAAATGGTATTTCGTTAGCAGTATCTTGTGTATTTCTCTGTGCATTATAGTGTTTTGTGTACCTTTTTAAAATCTGGTGTTTTCAGACCACAAAGTTCAGGGTGCATGACCAGTTTCTTTGGATGCAGTGCTGCATCAGTTCAAGTTTTCACCAGTTAAGTGAAGGAGCTGAAACAGTCGCACTGATAGTCTTAAGAGTCATCTTCTGTTCCTGAAGCGTGAAACTCTCAGTCTGAAAACACCTGCTGTTTTCTCTTATGTGAAGCAGAGTAAATTTAAATTAATCTCTTACAATGTTTGATCTGTGGGCTGCTGCTCTTCAACCAAATATGGAAATGCACAGTTGTAAAACATGGTTTTCCCTCTATGTGACCCAGTTTGGTTCATCATTTGTGGGATTTAGTCAAACTTTTTTGAAACTGTTTAACTTTTTTTAATTTTATAGTTGCTTAAAAATTCACTTTCAATGCTGTAATGAAAAGACAGACCATCACATCTTTTAAACAGCACAGCTTCAAAGTTAAAATTATCTCCTGATTTCTGACTTTAACACTGAAATAAAAATATCTGTGGGTTTGAATTTTAAAGACTGACCTGTGTGTTTGTTGTCTATGGTCAAATTCCCCTCCAAGAACAGAAACCACCTCAGGAGGGAACATAACCACACGTGTTAAACACATATCCAACACAACCTCATAACCGAATGCATATAGGATACTAAACTAGGAGACAGCTGAACCATACTGTTAAAATACATACAGGATATGGAACAATACGAATGTGAAGCTATGAGTCACAAATTCAGATGAATTAGAAATGTTACAGAAGAATACATGAATATAAATAGTCTTTTAGAGGACAGTTTTCTAAATTAAAACACATATTTATCCATAAACTGCTGCGTGCGTGTAGTAACTATAATGTAATGGTCTAGATTCAATACAGATAACTGTTATCGGTTCTTTCGCCCTTTTACCAAATGTCTGTAGACTGTTGGATTGTGTTTGCAGCTGTTTAACTTAATAATTGGGTTTTTATTAAATGATATAGTTTCAGTATTTACTCGTCCTTTAATCAACTCAGTTCAGTAGAGCCCAAGAGCAATGGAACATGAATGACAGGAACTAAAGCCAATCAGCTTGATGTATGGGGTGAAGGGCGCATTTCACCCAGCCAATGAGCTAATAGGAGGGGCTTACTCCGACCAATAGAAATGCTCTTTACTAAAACAGTCCTGCCTACCTCCAAGGAACGATCTTTTGTGGTTTTCTTGTGGGCGCCATTTTGGGTAGATTTATGAGAAGGAGGTCAGACCCAGACTGTTTTTTCTCTAAGGTAAATCCTTCTTGGTAAAATCATAGTCCTTTGGATTTGGATGTGAGTTAGCCTTTGGAGCACTCCAAAGATGGCTACAGGAGCAAACGCCACTCCTTTAGGGAAGCTGCACCCCAGCATTGGCGCTAAACGAGGCTTCGACGCCGGGCCTGGTGCGGGAAACGGGCTGATGCCTACCCCGGGGCCGCCTGCAGCCTTCCCCCCGCTGCAGGCCTTCCAGCCGCCGATGTCAGCTGCCTCCTTCCAGCAGTTCAACCCCGCAGGAGGATTTGCAGCCCAGGTTCCACAGCAGCCGGCTAATGTAGGAGGACCAGGTTCGTAGACCCGTTAGTAACCGTCAAAACCGTCAGGATTTAGCGTTAGCCTCTGCTAGCCTGCTAATGTGGTCCTTAACGGGTCCACACCGGGTCCTGAAATGGAGACCACCAGAGTCACTGTGATGCTGATAGAGGTTAGTTAGTTCAGCGGGGTTATTCAGAAACTCTTACAGGGGTCAAGTCCTCAGTCTATTTCTGTCTTTGTTTGTTTGTATAGATTCAGTTTTATTATTTTAGACTCAGACAGACGGAGCGGGAGGATTGATTGTCAAGATTAGTCGAAATTCACATCCCAAACTTCACTGTCTGAGCATTACACAAGCGGACTAAAGCACGTTGAAGCTAAAATAAGATGATGAAAACTGTATCTGGTTTACAGGTTGTAGGTCACCTTTTTTTTTGGAGAGGTCTATGAAAATCAGAATCCGTTAACCCACATCTGGGTAGATACTACAAGGGTCAGCCTCTTTAAAGCTCAGCTGTGATTTTGTCATTTTAACTTCATAAAGGCTAATTGTGCTATTATGACCTGGTCTGTTGTGGTCTAAGGTTAAATCTCTCCCTCCATTTTCACAAATACAGTGTTAAGAGTCTTGATTTCTGTTATTATACGTCTAGAAATGAATTTTGTATATTATTAACCCCAGAACATCCTCACATAGATGTAGTCACACAGGATTCGTCACAGGTACTTAGTTGGGACTCATGACTCTGGCTGATACCACCTGTAGGGACGCCCTAAACAGCTTAACACTTCCTAATGTCAACACACAATCTTGTTCAGATCAAGTCTGTGTTCACAGGTTCAGGATCAAGATCTTGTTTCTTTAACCACCCTGTCTGAGACCAGCAAGCATGTGCGAACCGTGTAGGTTCATACAGCTTGAACCGTCAATGGATGATGATCCCTGGTTTCTTTCTGTAGATTTTGGTTCCAAGAAACAAAGGAAGAAGAGTCGCTGGAGTAGCGAGACGCCGGATCAGAAGACGGTCATACCGGGCATGCCCACTGTCATTCCCCCCGGCCTGACCCGGGACCAAGAGAGAGCTTATATAGGTAAATATTCAAGAATTTTCTGTTCTTGATTGATTATGCCATGTAAGTTCTAAATGCAGTTTTGTTTTATGTAAGGTTCTAGCTTTCTTACACATCAGTAAAAATGTTGCACTCACATCCTGTTTGATGAATCCCCAACAGTTAGAGCTGTAAAGGGCACCCAGGAGATCAAATTTAACATTAAATGAGTTACTCAGACTGGGATTTGTCTTCATGCTCCAACTGTTGAGACCAAGAAAGAACTTCTGATGATGCTCAGTGATGATAATGTGATGTCAAATGTTGACTGAGGTCATTTCTCTTTTTAATGGAAGTAAAGTGTTGATGTGGTCTTTCTGTTTGCATACCACTGGGCAGCCATTAGCAAAAAGAGTCGGAGAAAGATGATTAAACACCACTGCTTGCTGCTGTCTGTCCCTGAGCTGCAGGTCACTGCTCACTGTCTTGCCTGATCCCCTGACACATCATCAGTATTGTTCTTGTGCATGGAGGCGTTTACCCATAATGTCCTAATATGCTGAAGTGTGCTGCTGTTTATTCTGCTCAAAGTGTGAGCAATGCTGCTTCAATGGCGACCCAACATATTCATCTGATGAGCAAAAATGAAAGCTGAAACGTTTATTTTGGCCTCAATGAAATGATCATTTTAAAAGAAGGAGATGTTCCGAGACCATAATATCAGTCTGGACACGTCTGAGGCTAGATTTAGGAACTGTTTACTGCAGATTTTTGATTAAATACCAACACTTTCACTTTTTTATGTGGAACTACTTAGTTTTTTAAGACATTTGCCACCAACTACCTCTGGAAACATTAGCAGATTTGTTCACAGATTAGTTTCTAATCACCACATGACAGCTTTTTTTGTAATAATGCTTGGCAGTCAGACTAAAATTATGAAAAATAAGACAAAACAACATAGTTCTACCCACATTGCCTATTATATATGATATGTTTTCTATCTACCATTGTTTGTTAGTACTTTTAAGGAGCCAACACAAGCAAAAAATAACAGTGTCTGCTGTCTGAACCCATTTGGGTTGTAGTGAAAATGACACCAAACCAAAAAGTAAAATGTAAACACAGCAGGAAAATAGTGAAATAGACCAAAGGTAAAGCTACCGGCCTGTTTCAGAAATCATCATAATGTATTTCTGTTACTAAATTGAAACCCTGCATGGCTCCAAAAGAGACTAACAAGCACCCTGCAACAAGAGCCTTCACACAGCAGCTGTTGATAACTCATATTCACAAAAGCTACGTGATGCGTGAAGATTTGAAAGGAAAGAAATGTTACGAAATCACAAAGGCTCGCGCCCCAGTATTAACATAAGATTAGTACAGTAGTTAATAATTATAATATTGATGTTGATTTGAGTCCATCTTACTCTACACTAACCTGAAATCAGCTCTTTGATCTTGACTAGTTGCTGCCTGTGGATTTCATTACTCCTTTTTAAATGGGGGCTGATAAATTCAGATTACAAAGTAAGGTGATGTCGCCCAAGAGTGTCTCAAAGATGGTTATTCTGGCGTTGGAACATGTCCTTTAAATGCAAATTGGGAAAACCTCATTGATGTGCTCTGAGGCCATATCTGACGGTTGGTTTTGACCTATGAATGCCTTCCAGCAGCAGTGTAGCACCACCATGCTGCCTTCACAGGCCCTCAGCGGGGTGTTCTGAAGCAGACGAGTCCTTTTTTTGTCAATAACTGACATCGTTATTGATGTTGTTCACTCATTGGTAATGGTTGTTGTTCTCTGGTATGTAAACGTTCATTTGTGCCCACCTCCTTTCGTCACACTTACTGTTTCCTTTGCTCATACAGTAGATCTCTTTTAAAAAAAAGAAAGAAGGGAAGTGTTTCTTTTTAAGATGTGAAGCACAGTTCACCAGGCCTGTATTCATCTCTGTGATTCAGAGTAATCCTCTCAGTGATAAGTGAAGCTCTTTGTGTTTGGGGGGGAATCTCATTACAACTTTCATAATGTGCATGGGATGACTGATTGATTTCTCCATCGCCTTCTTAATGTCAGAGTTGCCTGTGTCACTGCAGGCCCTCAGTGTTAGATCTGTGGAGTGCAAAGAGAGACTGTGATCACCTTTTTTTTGTTTCTGAAACATGCAGAACAAATAGAAAAATCAGTGATTTTTAGAACCCATGTGTCCTGAAAATGCCAAAGCTGATTTAAAAAAATCAAATACTAACAAGGAACTAAAACCACAGCTTGAGTTTGAATGCTGGGCTGCGTCTTCAGGAACCATGGTCTAGATATCTACTGATATGTTGCCATGTTTAATCATTGTCCAAGACAAAAGTTAGTCCTGTTCCTGCTAACGTGAACACCTCTGAATCTTTGACATGCTCAGTAAGTGGTTTCATGCTGTAGAGTTTGACCAGATGTTTATTTTTTATCTCCCTTTATTTAACAGACTCACCTTTTTTGTCTTTGACCTCAGTAATGTTTGAGACATTGCTCTCATGAACAGAGCGTTGTCTCTCTAATGTTGTCATGATAACCACATTTCTCTCCATCCTTGTTTTTCTTTCCTAACCTGAATTCTTCCAGTCCAACTGCAGATCGAAGACCTGACTCGTAAACTGCGTACAGGAGACCTGGGAATCCCTGTTAACCCTGAGGACAGGTCGGAAAAAGATTAAACCCATGAACAGTAACACTTTCTCTACCTTTTGACTTTTTGGAAAAACAAATGTTGATTTTCATTATATTTGTATATGTGTGGTTGTTAGCCTAATCTGAAGATTGATAAGTAGTCTTAGCCAGCAGATGTAGCATGTAGTTAGCTATCTCATAAGAAGAGGGCAGTGTTGATTTAAAATGTTACATTTTTTTAACCATTATTAGAGTTAAAAACTAAAGAGTTTGTCTATACTGTTCTACACTAAGAGTTTGAACGCTTTACTGCTTAAGGTAGCTGAAGTATCTTTGATTTAGTATTGACAGTAGGTGTATTTGAAACTTTATTTTTAAGAAAGGTGAGTATGGTCAGTATTTACATTGATTCTTGATTCACATAAACAGAGTTTTTCCAGTAACTGTGTGACAATACAACTATATTATATATTAGTAAACCTAAAACAGGAAAGCCCTGTCTGCTATTACTTTCAATAAACAACATCTTGTTAGTGTCCCCTAATCTATCAAGTTAATATAAAACGATCAACTGAAATACAAAACTGAATAACTTTCACAAACATATTTATTCCTCCTGACTGTGGAGCAGTTAGTCTGACTTTCTTGAAAATATTAGTCATCTAATGGGGAGAGAGTGAGCTTAAACAACTTCAGGATTTGAGTTTTTTTTTTTTTTTTTAGTTAATTATTTACATTTAATTGGGCTGGGTGATAAGCAACATAATTTATGCTTAATTATAAGGGATGTCCCGATCAGTTCTTATGGCCCCTGATCGAGAGTTCAATTCTTTTTAGCTTTGAGTATCTGCTGATAATGAGTCCTGATCCCATACAGAGATAACCGTATAAAATTCTGCAAGGTGTATAAAATGACAATGTAGTAATATGACAGCAGTATGTATCAAGAAGTGTTGTTTTTGTTGACAATGGCGTTGACAAAAATATTTCTTGAGTATCATCGTCAACGAAAACAACACTGATCTTTTTCGTTGATGAAAATATTTCGACAACGCCCCTTTTTTTCCAAGACGTGACGTTGACGAGCTAAACCTAAGTCTTAGATGACTAAAATGTGACGAGACGAATGTGCGTTTACGTTGATGAGACTAGACGAAAACGTAAAAGGTGGACGACAAACAGAGTTGCAAAATTCATGAGCATTTTGTCAGTCAAACGCTAAACATATATCCTACAGTGTTGTTTTCGTTGACAATGTCATCGTCAACGAAAACAACACAGGTATCAAGTATACAAAAGCTCTCACAGACGACAATAACCTGCATTTTCTACCACAAAGATGGACTTCCTGTCTGAAGCCATGAATTGATCCACCTTCTCTGTAATCTTCCAGGCGTTTTCATTCTCTCCAGGATATTTATCTCTCCTGTTAAAGTCCAGAGCCATCTTCTGCTGCCACACTCTATGCAGCAGGTTTAGTTTTTAGCTGTCGTTTTATATTGTCGTACTGAACCCAGCTTTGCTGCTGCCACCCTCCCTCCCCCACATATTCGGTATTCTGCAGACGCTGCTGACATTTTAGCTCCGGGGTCAGTCATCCTGAATTATTTGCAAGTTGGTCCTCTGGCACAATTTGAGCTGAGGTTCGGACTGTTGATTTCAATGATCAGGTTAAGATTATCAGCTCTAAATGCAGATCCTCAAATAGTTAAAAAAAACAACAACACCCAGAACGGCTGGAAACCTCTGCCGAGATCAGGATCGGGACATCCCTATTTATCACAGTCATGCCTGATAGGAATTTATTCACTGATTGTTTTTTATTTTATTATTATTGGCCTTATTTTTGAAATGTTTTTCTTTCTTGTGACTAGAGACCGCGCACTTACAGCATCTAGTAACGTGGTTGTAGTTATTACAGGATTAGAGTTCTTTTTAAATAGATTTTCAGTTTCAAATTGTTTTAGATTATAATCATCAAATGATCTGATGAACAGATTTATTACCCAGCGCTTTTTATTCCCTCATTTTCCTTCAGATCTTAACTCTATGTTTCTATGTGACAAAGCAGAAAACAGAGTTATTCATTATTATAATAATGATAATTTAACTGTAAGGCAGAAAAAGAGACATGCATTAGAGTTAGCCTCGGCGCAGTTTCACTCAGTTTAATCAGTTTCTTTCAGTGAAACTGCTCACTCGTGTTTTCATACCTTTTTATTGTCTGATTATTTCTCATTTGACTCCAGAGTTCAGTGAGTTTTTAGCTTCAGCTGTTCATCCCTCATGGTTTCACTGACTGTTCTTTCTGGGGTCTAACATGAACACATGAATACACTGATGATGCAGAGGGTTTAAAATGTTCCTCTCAAACAGGTTTTAGTTTAATCCACCTCAGTTTATCTCTGATTTTTTTTCATCTTTAGCTCTGGTTCTTTGACTGTCTTTCAGCTTTAAGGATAAAATAGCTCGGATTAATCGGCTCTCTTGGACACAAACTTTTTTTAACTAAAGGTTGAACGAAATCCCATCAGTTCATGTTTCATTTCCAGGGTGTTCTGTAGCTCTTAACCTGTGATAAGTCAGCCCAAAGCTTACAGGATCACCATCAGATATCAGTTAAAGTTTCATTTTGAATCTCAATGATTTGCTGCTGGTTACAGCTGTTTTTTTCCCATCATGTGGCTTAAACATTTCCACCCAGGGGGGGTTTGTTCCCGTTCTCCCTCTGGACTCTTTAGGTCTGGAAGAAAATGTCCAGAATGGTATGTGTTCTGGAAAAACAGCTCTTATATTCTAGTGTCCCTAAGGATCTGATCCAACAGGAAGTCTGTAACCTCTTTAGCTAGAGTCCCTGTTGTCTGTGTACAGTTTCTCTGCATAATCAGACATTTCCACAGCAACTCAAAAGTTGACAAACCTCTCCCCGATCTAATGTGACACGACCAGCAGGCCAGGGGTGTTTCAGGTTGTCACCGTTGGAAGTTTGAAAGGAAAAACTTTTTTTTTTCTTCACATCACATGGATACAGATGTGGCTCTCTGCTGGGAGAGCGTAGGAAAAGGTGGATAATCTAATCTCAATTCCTTTTCTCTAACCCAAATTACCCCACATCAGCTAACCCTTTTTCAAGCACAGAGCCTCCTTAACGCAGCAACACAGGTTTTCAGCATCTGAGGGGAGGTACGGACCTCTCCCGCCACGTCAACACCAAGCGACCCTCACAGCCAGCGTTCTGCTTAGGACTGGTTCTTTTTCTTACCTCCAACTTTCCTCCTGTAGGCCAACAATCCTGTATGCAGGTTTAGTCATGGCCGTGTATTTGTATTTTTTTTTCATTCTGTGTGGTTGATGCCTCCAGAGAATTGGGTTTATTACCACTGAACAGCTTTGGCTGTCCCCCTTTTTTTCTCTTAACTGTTAAAAAAAAAAGAAGGACTCTAGCCTTTCAGATGGCAGTGCTGAGTTCCTACTTAACTTCCTTTCTGCACTGGCCAAAAGTCACATAGCTTAACTGAGAGTCTTCTCAGTTCATCCAAATTTGTGAGCATTTTTTCAATTTTACAGTCAGCGCCTATTGATTCAAACATCCCCACTGAACAATTGTCAAAGTATTAGTTAGCCATAGGGAGCCTGTATGACTGTTGAAAGCAGAACTCCACTTCCAGAAAGATATCCATGATGTCCTCTCTGTTTTTTTGTCGTCCGGTTTCAGGTCCCCCTCACCGGAGCCCATTTACAACAGCGAGGGGAAGAGGCTGAACACCCGTGAGTACCGCACACGAAAGAAGATCGAGGAGGAGCGCCACTCCCTCATCACTGAGATGGTCGGATTGAACCCCGACTTCAAGCCTCCTGCAGACTACAAGTATGCTTTGTTGATAAAACTCCACTGTCACCTCCTAATGTATCATGGGTATAACAAGATGTGGCAATGCTCCGGTATATGGCTCCATCCAGCAGTAGTGAAATAAGCAGCAAAGGCTGTCACTGACAGATTCTGGTCGTTTCAAGTGTCTGACAACCTTACAGAAAGAAACCCTGCAGAGAGACAGAGAACCTTTAACACACCTGATTCAAATGATCAGCTTGTTATCAAGCTCTGTAGTGGCTTAATAACGAGCTGATCATTTGAATCAGGTGTGTTGGAGCAAGGAAACATCCAAAACATGCAGGACAGTGGGCCTCGAGGACTGGACTTGAGAACCACTGCATTGGGCCAATTGTCAGGGGACCTGATCTAGAATATTCTTCAGTATGGGGACCAATACCGAAATCAAATATTGGATCGGTGCATCCCTAGTGTGTACTAAGGTACTAACAAAGTACCAAGGAGTAGGAGTGATGTTGACCGTGTGGTAGTATTTTTCATTACAGCCCGAAGAAGTACATTGCAGCTGAGTGCAAAACTTGTCATGCACAAGTTTGACCTGAAAAAGAAGTTTCAGTGATCTTCAGTGTTCAGGTTCTGTGTAACTCCAGGTCAATGTCTAATGTTTTAATGCAGTAGAAGAAGAATAAGGGATGTCTATTGTGCAGTAATGAATGTAATCAAATATTAATAAAGATGCTTTTACAGTCAACAAAGAGCTTTTTGTAGCTTACTGTAAGTGCTCACCTTGTGTTTGTTTCCCGCAGACCTCCAGCAACCAGAGTCAACGACAAAGTGATGATCCCTCAAGATGAATACCCAGAAATCAACTTTGTCGGTCTTCTGATTGGACCACGGTAAGTCTAACTTTCACTTAACTAACGTGTTTCATCTTCACGCTGTTTTTAAAGCTGACAGATTTCACGTTTGCGTTTCTCTCAGCGGTAACACCCTGAAAAACATTGAGAAGGAGTGCTGTGCCAAGATCATGATCCGGGGGAAAGGGTCCGTGAAGGAGGGGAAGGTCGGCCGAAAGGATGGACAGATGCTGCCAGGGGAGGACGAGCCGCTGCACGCCCTCGTCACCGCCAACACAATGGAGAATGTCAAGAAAGCCGTGGAGCAGGTCAGACCAACTCAGCTGGTCTCATGCTTCTTATTCCTGCTGTGTGCAATTTGTTAATAATGGATGTTCTGTGTCTACAGATTCGCAACATCCTGAAACAAGGCATTGAGACCCCAGAGGATCAGAACGACCTGAGGAAGATGCAGCTTAGGGAGCTCGCCAGACTGAATGGCACGCTGAGAGAAGACGACAACAGGTCAGTGTGACAGGACGACTTCTGAAAAGATGACGATTCACGCCTTTTAGACCAGAAAATCAGGACTCCACTCATTCTATTACTCCAGTATCTGCACTTCAATGCTATAGCTGGGATGTATTTTACAGAATGAGGCAGATTGGCCAGACTTGAAGACCAGGACAATAAAGAGTTTGAATTTTGTGAGATTTGAGAACAAAGGTCACTTCTCTTGCAGAGGCCCATTATTACTCATGACCCATTACTACCCATCATTGCACAGACACTGTCAACAATGGTCAATGACTGCTGCTTCTTTCCAGAGGTCATGAACCCCAAAGTGAAGCTGCTGTGTCTCTGTTGAGCTGTGAGGAATTGCTCCAGGGTCAGTGGTTGCAGACAGAGTCTACTTTAGCCTCCCCCTCCTGTTTTCATTTGGGGTAGTAGGTCTGTAAAGTCGAGTGTTCTTCAAAGAGATGCCTTTTGAACACATTGGTTTCATATTTAAAGTTGGTGGAAGAACAGATTAGATTGGGCAGTGCAGGTGGAGGAAACTGTCTTCACTGTACGTTTTTCACCTTACTGGGGAAAACAACATTTCTAAAAGTGCGGCTACTGAGCACGCTCTAAATCAGTGGTTCTTAAGTCCAGTCCTCGAGGCCCACTGTCCTGCATGTTTATGATGTTTCCTTGCTCCAACACACCTGATTCAAATGATCAGCTCGTTATCAAGCTCTGTAATGGCTTAATAACGAGCTGATCATTTGAATCAGGTGTGTTGGAGCAGGGAAACATCCAAAACATGCAGGACAGTGGGCCTCGAGGACTGAACTTAAGAACCACTGCTCTAAATGTTATGAACTGAACTACTTCTGTTGTTGTGCCAGAGACAGGAATTAGATTAGGAATTAGTTAGATCCATGTTCACTGCTTCGATCAGGGCCCTCTTAGAGGTTCATCTGCAGACAACCTGCAGATTAGTCTAGTGATGCACTTCCTCCCTCTGATTTTTGAACTTCACAGATAAGCTGACTGAGCTTCTGCAAACTTTTTATTTAGAGTAAAAGAGAAATCCGATGACTGAAAGCCTTTTTATGATGAATAATTCAGTAAATGGTGACAGGTGTGTGACCTGAAACAGCAAGAACTATTTTGAGGTGATGTGTTTAATGACTAGACAGCATCTGGCTTTAATGTAACTCCAGTGAAACCAGGGGCCAGCTTAGGTTTAGATAAGAGGCCAGACCTGCAGTGTGACAGGTGTGAAGAAGGTGGAGATCAGAAGTCTCTAAAGCTCCAACACCACTGAGGACAGACTGATGGATTTTGTTTTGCTGTCTCTGCAGGATCCTTCGTCCCTGGCAGAACACTGAACCTCGCAGCATCACCAACACCACCCTGTGCACCAAGTGTGGAGGAGCTGGACACATCTCCTCTGACTGTAAATACACCAGGTGAGGCCGGGAATCAGTTTGTTCACTCTGAGCTTGAACGTGTTTGATCTGTCATGTGATGATGTTTGTTTTTCTCGTCTGTGCAGCTCCTTTGCTGCCCACAGAGCGACCGGCGGAGAGCCCCCTCAGTCGGCTCAGGACAAAGCTCGCATGGACAAGGAGTATCTGTCCCTAATGGCCGAGCTGGGGGAGGCTCCTGTCCCCGCATCAGGGGGAGGACACACCAGCACCCAGGGAGGAGCACCCCGGGCGGCAGGACCCACCAGCAACCAGCCGCCACCGGTTAGTCCGCAGCAACTTTACAGTCACTCGCTCTCCTCTGTTTCTGTTTCTGTGTTTGAATAAACCTCCTCATGAACGTGTCTCTGCAGAACCGACCCCCCTGGATGAGCTCCGGGCCCACTGAGAACAGGAACTTCCACAGCATGCATGGAGGACCAGGAGGGCATGGAGGACCACACAGCTACCCTCCACCCATGCCAAACATGGGAGGTCCCCCCATGCCACCCAATCCTAACGGAATGCCTCCCCCATGGATGCAGCCCCCTCCTCCCCCAATGGGCCAAGGACCAGGACCTCATGGACACCCCATGGGTAAGAAGAAGGTTTTCCTCAGCTAGATGACCCTGCAGTTAGGGATCATCTTAAATCTGCTGTAGTTAGTTCCTGCAGAAACACAGTAAACTGGAGTGGAATAAAGAGTGTGGAGCCGCTGAGATAAAAAAAAAAGAAAACAAATAATCTTCCACATGAACCAGAGCTCGAATGTTTGTCTTTTGTTCTCCTCGCAGGACTACTGCCTCCTCCAATGGGCATGATGCCACCTCCCCCTCCTCCCCCCAGCAACCAGCCCCCTCCGCCACCTTCTGGACCTCTGCCACCATGGCAACAGCAAGCTCCACCCCCACCTCCAACCAGCAGCATGGCAACCAGTACACCGCTGCCATGGCAACAAAGTAAGATCACATAAAAGCCGTACACGGGGAACCCTCAACTCCAGAATCGACACACTGGTCTGAGAGAACACGATGTTCCAGAGAGGAAAACACAGTTGACTCAGGAGGAGGGGCAGATTTTAGTGGATTGTTGATACTGTACATTATTATATAACCTGTATGTTTTAATCAGTCATCAGCGCCTTCATTTGTTATTCACCTTTGTAGTTCAGATTTGAGAGTCCTGCGAAAATTAAATCCAGGTCATGTTGTTTCTTTTCTGTTTGTCTTTGATTAAAAGAAGGTGTTGCATTTGGACGGTGGCTCTGAACGTTCACGGCTTAATTGTACTTGTAATTTCACTGTCTGTTCACTAATGGCAGTGAGTGATGGAATGAAATCAGACAGGATCATCTTTCACACTTCTAATGTATTAGCCCTGAGATACACTCAAACTGCAGAGTCCCGAAAAGTATTTAAAGCCACAGGAATCATTTTATGAACAAAGGAACAAATTTATCCTTGAACACTATCCCAGAATTGATTAATCAGTGAAGAAATCTGATTGGTTTTCTCCTCTCTCTTCTCTCCCTCTGCAGATACCACCACCACGTCCAGCCCTGGCACCGCCACCCTGCCTCCGTGGCAGCAGCCCCAGCAGCCCGCAGCCTCCGGAGCCCAGCCCCCTCCACCCATGGGAACTCCCTCCATGGTGCCGCCTCCTCCTGGAGTCCAGCCGCCGCTGCCACCTGGAGCCCCTCCTCCTCCCCCTCCGCCTCCCCCGGGCTCAACGGGCATGATGTACGCCCCTCCTCCTCCCCCACCTCCCATGGACCCTTCCAACTTTGTCACCATGATGGGGATGGGGGTGCCGGGCATGCCCCCCTTTGGCATGCCTCCCGCCCCCCCACCTCCTCCCCCTCAGAATTAGCCCCTCCCCCCTAAGAAGAGTGGTGGTCCATCATCAGTGTGCTCACAGAAACATATAACCAGTGCTTTATTTTTTATTCAGCCTCTGTGTTCAGGGGGGCCGTCAGCTCAGTTTGTAAAGTAACTCAATCAGTTCAGTTTTAACGCTCCGCATCGCCGCCCCACTTCCTCCTGATCCCTGAAAACCAAAAAAATTGCTCCGATATCCTGCAGCTGTTTGATTTCTGCTCATAGCTTCTAAAGTTCCACTCAAACTCACATTATTGGAGATTATATATTGGACTTCATCCTGCATGACGCATTAAGGTCATCACTCACAGATTTATACTCCTATTATGTCCCCTGTGTCGGCTTAACATTGAATCAGATGAATATTTTTGTAATAACGACGTGTGAAGTGTTTCTTAGTTCTGTCAGAAGACCTTTTTTGTAGATCTGTCTGATTGTTTTCCAGAAATTTCCAGGGTTTTAATTGTTTTTTTTCTTTTGTTAACTTGCCTGCGTCTCAGTCCTGACGTTGAGTTAGAAAAAAGGGGTGCGGTTCTTGACCCCCCCCTGCACTACTTGAATGCTGAACATCAGATATATCCTCGTCTCTCTGCTCTGACTGTGTGCAGTGTTTGTGTTGCTCTCTGAAGGACACAGATATCAGTTTGTCCCTGGAGTTATTAGAGAAGAAGACAGATGTTAGTTTTACTCTTTCTGGATTCAGTCCCTTGTGTTGAGTGTGGATGAATAGCTGTTGAAATCTTGCTTGGTTTCGCATTAAACTGATCCATTTCACCTTGGAGTGCAGACTGCTTTCTCCTTTCATGGATGTGGGACCCTCTGTGTGCGTTTGAACACTTGCCAAGATTTTTTTTTCCCCCTCTCAGTTGAAGTCTTGCCCGCTGCGCCTTTAACATGTTACATAACTGGGTTTTGTCAAGGATGTCCTCCGCTCCACAAACTCACCAGGAAGTCTGCTGAGAGGAGCAGAAGTGGCTCGAATTCTAGTTTTAAAAAAGTAGGTTTCTAAACATAAACTGTTTAGAAAAAGTAGACATGGTTCCAGCTTTTAAAAATAGACGCTAACTTCCAAGCACAAAAACATGCAGTCCTTCTTCTGCACAGCAGGAGGACTACAGGTTTTAATGGCGGAGTAGACTCCACAAGTCGTAAAAATCAGCCTAACTCACTTCCCACCTGATCCATTACTTCAGTTTTAATAAGCAGATAGTCTGAATTTCTCGTTTGAAGTCGTCTTTAACACAACATTAATTTGGCAAATTATGATCCTATCTAGAGTGGAAACAGAGTAGGATGTAGGGCGGGGCCACCTGGGATTGCCTAATTGCTTCCAGAAAAACTTGTCAGCATAGAGACTTGGCGATGTGTCACCACCCTCTTGTTCAAATACGGACACCGCAGAGAATTGTGGTGTGTTATGACGGAGAATCACGGCCACAAAGAACAGTCTGATAAAGATTTATTTTATGACATTTTCTCACGAGAACAAAAAAAGCCATACTGTCAGAAGTCAAGACATGTAATACAGACTTGTTTAGGACAGTAAAGACAATTTGCAGATGAAAGTATCTGCAGTATCAACACATTGACCCAGGGTCATGTAAACTGTGATGGGCTTAAAATAGAAAAGTCTTGTGTATAGTCAGTGGTATAAAATATAACAGTGTGATACATGGTTTAGTAAAGGCCTGTATATGTCAATTAAGAATCTAAAATTACTTCATGATTCAGGGATCAAACATTCTCCCTGCAACGATTTACATGTTGCCTTAACCCTCTCTTCTCCAAAAACATCAGTGAGAAATATGAGGCAGAGCAAGAATAAAGACGGCCTTTGACTCCTGAGTTATATGAATCAGTGGATGGAGCCACAAAATATAATTTATTTTGAAAGAAACTGGATTATTTTAACAATGTTGTAAAACTACATATAAATAAATTAGAGATTAGAGATGTAAATTTCCAGTTACATAATCATGCAACAAACTGATAAAGATTCAGATATCACAAAGTCTGTTGGTTTAACTCCATTCATTTATTTCTACACATCAGATATAAGTAGCAGAGAGGAATTTACATCTTCACCTTCTCTTTCTATGCTGCATTATGAGCTTTCTCTGCAAGCACTGACTGAAAGTCCAGGACGAAACTCAGGTATGCTGAGGTCAATCCATGAATCTGGAGGGAGATGGGAATTTAAAAATAAAGGTGTGCCTGGAAGGTAACAATACACCAAATGCCACTGTTTCACTTTCCACAGATGATCAGTTGCTGAGTGGACATAACCTGAAGACTCAGGTGTTCAGGTGTAGAATCCTGAGTTTACCTGAAAAAATAATATTTAAGTTTACATACTCAAAAATCACATAATTACAGTACTCAATTAAAGTACTCTTACTGGATTTTACTAGGTCATTATTCATCCAACCAATTGACTCATTCAGATCTAAAAGTTGTTACACCACCAGTTTAAATGTGTTAATGAATAGATAGACTCACACTTATTTTTAAGAGCAATTCAATGTATCATATGTGTATTTAACAGTTTTAATGATTCCATGGACATGAAGTAAATAAAGCATGTAGATAATGGTAAAACAAAGAATAACAGGTTTTTCATTGGTGTTGTGTATGATTAAGAGCACACAGTGCACAGACATAAATAATAGGAGGCAAAAAACAGACAAATGTGGGGAAAAAAAGAAGCCAGAGAGAGAAAGTCGACAAATATTACTTTCAATCTGGTGTAATCCGTGTAATTTTCATGGCCGATGAGAAAAAATAATCCTAAAATGTGAATCAGAGCATCATTTTTTAGTCTAAAACGCTGAATGGACGAGCCTCCATCATTAGGACTTTTTGTTCAGGTCTCAGTTTACCAAATAGACGGCATGAAAACCGGAAAAGGAGATTTGTGACTGTTGGGATAAAAGCAGTGTTTTTAAATCCTTTCTATTTATTTCGCTTAATGAATAAACTCAGCTATTTTTGTGAATAATGATTCTCTATTAAACTATCATAGCCCCATCTTAATCTTATAAACGTGATAATAATGTGTCGAGTGCAATTGTTTGGATCTTTGCTGTGTGGGAGTGCATGACGCATTTGCTTGTGGGTTTTACTTTGAAAGTACGTAACCGGAAACACTTGTGGTTTTGAAGCTAGCTTGATGTATTTTGCGTGACGTATAAAAGCAGCTGGAGCGTCTCATCCCAGCGGCTGAGAGCTGAGAGGAGAGGCTGAAGAGAGACCGGAAGAAGCATAAACTTTCCAATTCAACATTTTAAACTTGAAATAACCGATAGGTATCATGGCCAGGCCACTCACAGACCAGGACAAGAGGAAGCAGATCTCGGTTCGGGGTCTTGCCGGAGTGGAAAATGTCGCGGACCTGAAAACTAATTTCAACCGTCACTTGCACTTCACGCTGGTGAAGGACCGGAACGTGGCCACCAAACGGGACTACTACTTCGCCCTGGCCAACACGGTCCGGGACCACTTGGTGGGCCGCTGGATCCGGACCCAGCAGCATTACTACGAAAAGGACCCCAAAGTAAGATGCCGCAGTGATCCTGCACGTACACACACCGGGGAGGGAGGGGGCGGGGCCGCGGGGCTCCTCGCTGCAGTCTCATAATTAACGGAGCTGCACGAGGGGGTGTGACAGAGCAGGTCCATCTGAACCTCCATGTATAGAACTGATCCTGCTGGTTTCGGATCCGCATGAAAACCCGCTCAGACTGGGCTGCTGTGGACACGCAGACATTTCCTCTGTGCATGTGTGCATGTTATATAATGAGCTGCTCGTGCATCTTTCTGCCATCATGTGCTTATGTGTGTGTCAGTGTGTTATTCAGGATATCATCCCGCTCTGATCTGACTCTGTGTGTGTTTGGGACTCAACTGGTTGTTGAAATATGTGTTACGTAACGGGCTCCATCCATCCTCATCAGCACCGTCACACACACACACACACACTCAAACTCACATACACACTGCGCATCACAAAATGTCCTCACACTGTTAAAACACACACACACACACTCACAATCTTTCCTCCCTGTATAGTCTCTCCGTCCCTCTGTGCATGACTGAAGCAGGAGGCTAAATGGAGAATTTAAAGGGACAACACCTGTTTGATACACAGTCATTGTGTCAGACTGCTATGGTGGCCCTGAAGGTCAGCTGCTTGAACATTTCTCTTTACAGGGACTTAAAGTAGTTTTCTGTATTTAGCATGCTAGCTTTGGTATAAGAGGACTTGGATGAGGACAAAACTCATGCTCACAAAAGTTGAATTCTTTATTGACTATGAGTAGTTTTGACCAATCAGCTTTCAGCAGTCTGACCTTCTGTATGGAGAGCAAAAGCAGGAGAAACACAATTCAAGGTCCTTTCACACCAGGACCATTTTTGTCATGCGATTATTTCAGACATCAATATTTTTTTTCGAACCTGTATCCTGTCTAAAAGCGCTCACATCAGCGACTGTTTCCCGTCCTGCGATATTGCGGCATTTATTTTTGGGGATTTTTCTAAAGTTTCGCATACTGTGTGTCCACTTCTGACCAATCAGATTGTGTGTTGTTACTAATTTCTAATTTCTAAAGATTGTCCACAGCTCCATAGGGATTGCTGTTCTAGGAGTGGCTTCACCCAGCGAGGAGGCAGATGGCGTCCACTTTATATAGAGTCTATGGGCAGAAGAAATCGCAGTTAAAATTGTCGGATTTGTCGCCGGTTCGATTTACTTTTGAAAAAGCTAAAACACATCCATGTGGATTTCAGTGTGTTTCATAGATTAGAACATTTACTTACAGGAGCTTGAGAATAACATTTTTTGAATGTTTGAGAAGGAAACTGTCAGTTAAATTTTAATATTGATCACATGGGTAAATGAAGCGCCCACTTTTCCATAAGGAGAAAGAGTACAGATCTGCTGATACTAGAATAATCTGAATAGGATAAATCAATTTGAAAGATTCTACCTTTTTCTTCACTAGACTTTAAGGTCTGGTTCAAGCTGCCTCAGCCATGCAAACCAGCTGACTATAGATACAGCTTCTGATTGATCAACAGACCAAAACAAAGATGGCCGCCTCTGTGTAGCATAGTCGGCTAACAACAAAAGTTTGGATCAGGACAGTCTGTGAAAGTTCTCTGATCTTCTCGGTTGGGTAGAAAAGCTCCTGGACGTCACAGACACTCAGAGAGTTTGTCGCCAGAAAGCTGACAGTCTCACAGGGCGAGTGGATTTTGTAGTAATTTGGTTTGTAATGATCTTACTTTTTAAGGAGTATTTTGAGGAAACTAAAATTTGCAGCATCATGGTTTGGTGACGTTGTAGCTCAAAAAGAGTGATGTTGTGACAAATAACAACATTCATTCTTTGAACGCAGCCTGTTTTCCTTTCCAGCTGTATATATATCAGTCGGGTGTTTGATGTTTAAAACCGCATGGTGCTTGATGGATTCATTTATGATGTTATCACTGAAGTCTAAAGGGCTCCAATAAAAAAGGGGGAAAGTCCTTCTTTTGTTTGATTGGCCGGTGAGGCTAATGCCCCGCCCCTTTTGCTAAACAGAACATATGCCATTGTTGTCTCCTGTCCTGCCCAGCAGGCCCACATTGAAACAGAACTTTCAGAGACTCTGTTAATCACGTGAGAGTAAAGGGGGCTCAGACCCTCCTCTGCTATTTATACTCCCCTCTGGATGCCTTTGTTCCTGTTGGCTCATGTTCTTTTCCATGTCTGCCTCCTTTGTCCATTCATATACACACTCACACTCACACTATCACACACTATCATTCCTATCAGGATCAGAAATGCCAACACAAGGTCAGAGACGCTGCCACAGTCATAGCAAGGACAAATAACACTAGAACAGCTTTAGTTTCATCCTGATACAGTTTGAATCTGAACGGTTTCATTTCTGTAGCTCTGTCAGTGTAGAGTTCATATATTACTGTATGAAGTCGGTGTTATTTCTCACAGATCTGTGTGGTTGTGTTTTTTTCTGTCTGGCGGTGATAATGTCTGAGGAGCTCGTCTGTTGTTGCTCGGACAGCAGCTGTTGTTTCCGAAAGACAGATAATGTTGCACAGGCATCAGAGACGCCAAACGAAGCACGTACAGTGTTTTGTTATAACAGTCCTCTGAGGAACTTCAGCGTGAAATTTGATCCTTTTATTCTGTTAGATTAAAAAGAAAACATCTGATATCTGTCTGCGCCCTTTGGGTTTACTTTACAGTTTTTAAAGTTCCAGTGAGGAGTTTCCATCGGGTCATTAAACTAACACCGATGTGATAAAGTAATGTCGTACCTTTTATGGAGGTTTTTACACTCACATGTTGAGACTCAAAGGAGTCTCTTCATAATCGCAGGCTGACCTGTTTATGTATGTGTGTCCTCTGTCTTCTGCAGCGTGTTTACTACCTCTCTCTGGAGTTCTACATGGGCCGCACTCTGCAGAACACCATGGTGAACCTCGCTCTGGAGAACGCCTGTGATGAAGCCACCTACCAGGTGATCCCAAAGATCATGGGGAAAAAGCCATGCACATGCAAACCAGCGCTTTCCATCTTTTCTGCGTCACTCCATATCATGATGCAAAACGTGTTTAAACATTTAAACAAATGGTGTTGACGCCCAAACGGCACGCTTTGAGTTTTCTGTTTCAAGCTGCTTGAACCTCGTTGCAGAGTGTTTCTACTGAAACCATCAAGCCCTGAAAATATCTTGTTTTTTCATAAAAGATGATGAAGAGTACTAAAGACTTACAAAAAAACACAGCATGGAGCCATCAGGGTGTCCACCAGTGGTTTGTAGACTGTCTATCCTGTCCTGTGACATCCTGGTTCTTTGGAGCCAGAAGTGACTATGGCAGGATGGGAGGTGAAACTGTATATGAACAGATTTTGCTAAAGCTAAGCTATCAGAGTGATCTGTTTTGGCACAAAGTTAATTTATTAGCTGGCTCATAAGCTAGTTAATACCACAATAACATTACGGATGAGGTAAGCACAATCACTGGTCAAATTAAGTCTCTAAAAGGTTCCAACACCACAAACACAGGCTGGAAATAAATTCAGGGACTGAATCAGCTGAGGTGACTTGCAGCTCCCACCTTCCCTCAAAGAAGCCACGCCCCCTATTATCATTATCTTTAATTCTTGATTTAACGTGAACAAGTAAGTTCTCTCTAAATTCAGTCTGTGCAGGTGTCATGAATAAATAAGACGTACTTGTCTCTGCTGTAATGTTTTAAAATGGCACTCTATGAGGACTGACCTACTTCAGGCCTCTAGTGGACACTGGAACAACTGCAGCTCTGAAATATGTCATTCTTTTGAATCATAGATGTTGTCATTGAATGTTGGTAGCTAGTGCTGTTTTAAAATATCATGTACGTATAAAGAATGTTGAAAATGCAAACTCTGGGTAGGACTAATTCAAGCCTAAGCCTGTGTCTTCAAAGTATGGTTGACAGTCACTTCCCACCAAGATATAGTAGAGGTATTTTTCACATTTCCTGAATCTTAAGAATCCTGAGAGTATTGTAGTGGTTGATTCTCATATCCCTGATGGGAGATATGCCCCCTCCCCTTCCCTGCAAAATGAGTCAAGATTCTCGCCCAAACCTCTGACTTCTCAAAACTTCTCACTGTCACCTCCCACAAAGAGGTAGTAGGGGTGTGGTATACATTTTTTGAATCTTAAGAGTCCTCAGAGTATTTCAGTTTGTAATTCCTGTATCCCTTATGTCCCTGGATGACATATGGCCAAAAGAAAGTATGTTGTTTAGGCAAAAATTGCAGGAAAAGGTGTATTTTTTTTGTGATTTAAAAAGCTCTAGTGACTTCCATGTTGGTCTAAGATGGCCACATGTAGGCCTAAATGAAAGCCAAGAGGGTCCTCTTTAAAATGATACGAAAGTTATTTTAGCGCTTGCCTTCTCCCCCCGGACCTCAGAAACATGGACTCACTACCCCACTTTAAATCCAAACTCAAAACACACCTATTCCAAAATGCATATTCACTTTAACTGTCCACTTTCACACTTGTATGTTGTTTTTATTTATTTTAATTATGTTTCTAGCTGTGTTTTTATGCCCTGTACAGCGTCCTTGGGTGCTCAGAAAGGCGCTTTTAAATAAAATGTATTATTATTATTATTATTATTATAAGCGAGGACAAGGCAAGCGCTACAGTAACTTTCATAGGTGTAGCCATTTTGTTTCTGCCTCCAATTATGCTTTTTTCCCAACTTGGTATCTGAAATGCTGGTAACTCAGGTGTGACGTCATTTTCAGCTTCCACATCTGACTTCAGAGGTAACTCGAACGCAGTATTAGTCAACACCCTCTTGGCCCCCAATGTTTGGTGAAATTACATCAAATATTGACAGAAAAAACTATGTAAAGAGTTAAAGAATATATATATATATATATATTGTGGGGAACTCAAACAAAAATTCCCACTGTTAGCTTTTGAAGTGGCTGCTTTTATCAATATTTTAACATGGGACTCTACATGTCCACTGGACAGCCTCCAGTGGACAAAATAGGAACTGCAGTTTGCAGAACTGTTGGCTTCTTTTTCAGCTCTAAAGGTATCTCTATAACTGTGTATTGCCCCATTTCCTGCAGCTGGGTCTGGACATGGAGGACCTGCAGGACATCGAGGAAGACGCCGGTCTCGGAAATGGCGGTCTGGGTCGTCTGGCGGGTGAGCTCTGTCCTGATTGGCTGCTTACAGACAGTGATGTTGAGTGCTGTGGACAGGCCTGTCTCAAACACCTGTCATCTCCTTGTTGTGTCCTCAGCTTGTTTCCTGGACTCCATGGCCTCTCTGGGTCTGGCTGCTTACGGATATGGCATCCGCTACGAGTTCGGCATCTTCAACCAGAAAATAGTCAACGGATGGCAGGTAAGATCACCTGAGCATCTTAAGATTCAGGAGACCTCTTTAAAAAATCTGCTGTAGGGGTTTTCTTTCTGGGATTCAGACATTTTTTAAATCTCTAACAGTTTGATTGTGTTGTATTTTTGTTTTGAGACTTTTTGAGTTGTACCTGGACAGGAAGAGATAAATAGATTCATGAGATTCTCATTCGTACAGGTGGAGGAAGCAGACGACTGGCTGCGTTACGGAAACCCTTGGGAGAAAGCGCGTCCTGAATACATGAGGCCGGTACACTTTTACGGCCGAGTGGAGCACACGGACGAAGGGGTGAAATGGGTGGACACTCAGGTTAGTGGAAATGTCTGATCTCTGGTATCTTCTGTACAAAAAGCAGTATTATTGTACATGTCTGTGTTTTCATAAGGTGGTCCTGGCTCTACCCTACGACACTCCGGTCCCTGGCTACAGAAACAACATTGTCAACACCATGAGGCTGTGGTCGGCTAAAGCTCCCTGTGACTTCAACCTCAAAGACTGTGAGGGTTTTCACCTATGAATAATCATCATCACAGTAATCTGGATAATGTCCTGAAGAATGAAACTGAAACATGTCTGTTTACAGTTAATGTTGGAGGATACATCCAGGCGGTGCTGGACAGAAACCTGGCCGAGAATATTTCCAGAGTCCTCTACCCCAACGACAACGTGAGCACATTCATGATTTAACCTCTGTCTAAGTGTCAGACTTTTTTTTTTTTTTTTCAACTGAAATCATAGAAATTAAAGCTCCTGTAAGTAGCTTTTACTTTGACATCATGATAGTTTTTTTTCAGTTAGTGATCTATTCCTTGTGTTAAGACAGTTCTAGCTCCACTCAGTGAGAGTTTGTGGGATAAAAATGTGTTGCAGTCATTTCCTTAGCACAGGTGTGATACAGACTGATCCATCAGGTGTGTCAGCTCTTCCTTTTTGCATCGCTGTGCTGCAGTTCTTTGAGGGGAAGGAGCTCCGTCTGAAGCAGGAGTATTTCGTCGTGGCTGCGACTCTTCAAGACATCATTCGACGATTCAAAGCCTCAAAGTTCGGATCCACAGAGTTCGTTCGGCTCGACCTCTCCACACTGCCCGAAAAGGTAACCTATTCAGATCTGAACCTATTCGATTATTCTGCTCTCATAATTTTTTTGTTCAGTTTTCAGACACAAGCAGCTGATTGTCCGAATGTCTCAGATTCACCATCTTCATCCAAACAGGGATCCTTAACTGCTGTGTTCCCTGTCTGTTGTTTCCAGGTGGCGATCCAGCTGAACGACACCCACCCTGCAATGGCGATCCCGGAGCTGATGAGGATCCTGGTGGACACAGAGAAGTTAGTCTGGGATAAGGTGAGGCAGATTTTAGCTCTGCAGGATCACAGACACCTCTGAGTTTGACAGAAAGTCTCAAAGTGTCAGAAACCGTCTGATCAACAGGAGGAGAGCCGCTCTGACGCATAAGATCCTGCAGCCAGACTGACGTTATCCCTGCAAAGAATCTGCATCGCTGAAAGAGTTTATTTTAGCAGCGAGACTATCTAAGGTCACAATCACACCACAGCTGTCACTCCACCTTTAACCACAGCTAGTATGTATCCTTGTTTGAAAGGCAATGAAAGCTAATGTGAACTCTGGTCTGAAGAAAGTGGAAGTAAAGAGCGACTCATATACCAAAGCAGGAAGTGGTATAAACATCTGTGTGAAATAACTTTCACAGTGTCTGTGTATCCATGGCAACAAATCGTATCCTCTCGCTCTCACCGGGTCTAGCCAGACTTTTCAGGACTAATTCACTGGTCTGATGTGAAGAAGAACATGCTGACAGTTAAAGGTTATGAGCCTGAAGTCAAATACGGATGAAACTGTATTAGAGCTTTAAAAATGAACTTCAATAAACTAGGATTAAAACAGGTGATTTACCCTAACATAAGGAGTGCAGGAGGCTGTTTCTTTATCCGACACGTTACTGTTTGCTGTGTAATGGCTCGACACTGTGTTGTAGTCACTGTCATACAGCAGTCGTGTCACTTTGCATCTTTCAGCCCTGCAGGAGCAATGACTCAGCAACAAGTCAGAGAGATGAGGAAACCCGTCAGAGCCGGCTGCAGCAGCACACAGATGATTCAAAAATAAAACAGCAGCTTCAAAATGGTCTAAAGGTTTCTGAGTGACGGCTTTATTTTCTGTAAAGGTTGAAGTAAATGTTCATAAAACTCATAAATTTTCTTTTTTAACAACATATATACAGTACAAACGGACAATGGAGACGAAATAAAGTGACAATAAAGCAGGAACACATAATATTTAGATATTTTAAGTTTGAAGGTGTTGCAAGGCTGTGTTTGAATAAGTGGGGGTGGGTGGGTGTTTTATGCGTGTTGAGAAGTGTGTGTGTGTTTGTGGGTGTAATTATCCTCCACCACCCCCCTTTTAAATTGTAATAATTGTTGAGGAGCAAATGAAAGAAGAAAAAGTAAACGTTATGACATAACAATAATTACAATAATAGAATGATAACAATAATTATTATAATAGAACAAAGAAGAAAAAAGAAGAGAAAAAAAATTTAAAAAGCCAAAATAATAATTAATAAATAAAATAAAATAAGAAATAAGTAGATAAATAGATAATAGATTAATAGGTACATTTATAAGATATCCTGTTTTCCATCTGCATCTGCGGTGATATTAAACACTCCTGTAACCTCCTTTCTCCTGGTCCCGTCTTCTCCTGATCCAGGCCTGGGACATCGTGGTGCGGACCTGTGCCTACACCAATCACACCGTCCTGCCTGAAGCTCTGGAGCGCTGGCCCGTCGACCTCTTCCAGAACCTTCTGCCCCGACATCTGGAGATCATCTACGAGATCAACAGGAGGCACCTGGAGGTATGAGGAAAGTTGATGGTTGGAGGTTGATATAAATGTAAAACCTGCCCCACAGTGGAGCTCTCTGCTGCTGCAGCTCTTTCAAAGGAAAACCTCACACGTCTGCAATTAAGCATTTTTTGGGAGATTTTAGAGCAAATCAAAAATGAACTGCAGACGGATTAAGAAAAAATTTACCCAGTTTTTCTGTCTGCTCACAAGGAGAGATCTGACATTTTGTTTTCCTCTCTCTCTTACCTCAGAAATATTTTTACACTTTAGAGCACAAAGATACAGAGAACGTCCTCAGCCAACCTTTAACTAACAACAGAGAAGTAGGGCCGCGCAAAAATGACCAAAAATTGAAGTTTTGAAGAAAAAAGAAAGGAGAACAAAAAATTAAAAAGTAAATTCCAAAGATTTAAGCCTTGAATTTATCAAGAAAAATGACATTTAGCGGACTTACGTTTTTCATTTACAAGATGAAAAAAATAAATTAATGAGATTAAAACATTAAATTTAAGGAAGCAGCACACTGTAATGACTCAAGAAGAAAATGCAAACCTAAAAATGATTGTTTCTAGGTAAATTCAAGAAAAACTCTGGGATTTAAAATCCAATTCTAGAGGCTTAAGTTAAAAGAATTAAGTCTCAAACAGGACAGCTAAATGTTGATTAGAACAAACCCATAAATAAACCAGAATAACGACGTAAACCCAATAGTAAAAACTCATAAATAAACTGGAATATTTATAAAAATATGTTAAATCTAACCATAGTCGCGGATTAAAGGTGAAATACGTATAAACCTAGAACAATATACTCAAAACTTTGAAGACTAAATGTGTAAAGAAACAATATTTATCTGTAAAATCACTGAAACAGATTCTGAAATAAACTTGATGTTGAATTTAACAGACCAAAACCATTTTGATGAGAATTAAAATGACAAGAATAAAGTCTCATTTCAAGAGAGAGATTTTAAATAAAGTTGTTAAATTTATTAGAATGACCTCATAAATGAGAGGGAAGAGAGTTTATTTTAATCAAATTAATTCCTAAAAATGTGAAACAAATGTTGATTTTTGTGAGGGAAAATAAAATTCATAAAATTAAGTTAAATATTTATGGCATTTAAACCATAAAATAAAAAGAATAGATTTTAAAAAAGTCAAAAATTTACAAAATCGGAATCTGAAATTTCAAATGAATGAAATTAAAACATAAAAATGAGAATGAAGTTTTAAAATTCAGATTAAATGTTAAACTAAATGAAAGAATAAATAAGTTCGATTGGTGGTTTATTTGTAAAAATTTACATAAACAGAGGATGATTCACGTAGTTCACATGAGAAAATCTCTGAGGTTGACAGCGGAGGACAAACGGCGATTAAAGACGTGATGCACAAGAGGCCGAAAAATCTCAAATAGCTGAACCCGAGAAACAGCAGAAGCACTGAGAGATCTTTCTGAGTTGTGATTCGTAGTTTGAGTTGGACCATATTCAACCAGCTGCAGGTTTATTTCACTTTTTTATCGTGCAGCTCAAAGATCTTCTCCTGAGATGTCTTTCTCTGTCCAATATTCAGAGGATCACCAAGCTGTACCCTGGAGACACAGACCGTCTACGCCGCATGTCTCTGATCGAGGAGGGCGGCGTGAAGAAGATCAACATGGCCCACCTGTGCATTGTTGGATCTCACGCTGTGAACGGTGTCGCTCGTATCCACTCAGAGATCATCAAGAGCACCGTGTAAGAAACAGAAAGGTCGAGCTTCCTTCTTCTGAAAACTCTGCGGAACAATCAGCTGAGTTTGTCTGCTCTCCTCCTCAGGTTCAAGGATTTCTACGAAGTGGACCCTCAGAAGTTTCAGAATAAGACCAACGGGATCACTCCACGCCGCTGGCTGGTCATGTGTAACCCTGGGTTGGCTGAGGTCATCGCTGAGGTGTGTTTGTTCTTCCTCCGTCGTCTGTAACTACATGAAATTCTGCTCAGAGATGCTAAATCTCTCTATGTGATTCTTCCTTCAGAGGATCGGCGAGGACTACATCCGGGACCTGGACCAGCTGCAGCAGCTCCTGGACTTTGTGGACGATGACACCTTCATTCGGGACGTGGCTAAAGTCAAACAGGTGAGACCTTTGGAGGAGAGGAGGTGGTGTTCCTGCTTTGATTCTCAGTTTCTGACCTCTGCTCTCTGTTTGATCTCTCAGGAGAACAAGATGAAGTTTGCAGCTCACCTGGAGGAACAGTACAAAGTCAAGATCAACCCCAACTCCATGTTTGATGTCCAGGTGAAGAGGATCCACGAGTACAAGAGACAGCTGCTCAACTGTCTGCACATCATCACGCTCTACAACCGTATGTGCTTCTTTGCCTCCACATCTTTAACAGCTTTAACATCATACTCTATGACGGTTCAGACTAAAGTTTGAGTTTGTTTTTTAATCAGGAATCAAGAAGGAACCAAACAAGTCCTGGACCCCAAGAACCATCATGATCGGAGGAAAGGTAGGAGAAAGAAAAGTAATTGTTTTCTGTCTGAGCTGAGGGTTTTATTGTCTTCACATCACTGTTCTTTACTGTGGTTTAGTCTTTCTGCAGGATTTTGTTAAGCCCCAGAGACCTTTTTTAAAGGGATATTCCGGCGTAAAATTAAGTAAAAAAATTGATTTATTTGACGAGTTGATCACTGAGGGCAGTGGAAAATATATAATCATTACTTTGTAAAAGTGCAATCAGATGGAGATGCTAAAGCAGAAGTACTACAGCGTCTGCAGTGCAAAATGATTATTATGATGATTATTACTTAATGGAAATAATCCGCTGCACTCTGTGATCGACTTTTCAGGGCTTGCCCAGTATTACTATACTGCGGTCGTTACCAAAGTTGGTATGACTAGAGACGCAAGCAGTCTGCAACATTCATCCCTCGAGGGGGTCTCTAACTCAGTGTTACGGTGTGTTTGAAACATCTGAAAAAGTGGGTCGTCTTATTTTCAGGGTTCAGGTATTAATGCTGTTGACAGTTTTGACATCTTCTGCATATGAAATATTGTTGTGTTTACAGTATCAGCTCTAATATAAAACTGTACAATGCAGTAACTTAATGTAAAATCCACTGGTTTCGTGAGACCGGCAGCTTTCAGGCAATAACTCCATCCGTTTCTGTGACGTCCAACATTTTTCTTAGACCCTCCAGACCCAGTCCTTCAACAATAAAGGCAGCAATAGAGGATTTATATTTTGAATTTTTGTGAAATAGTCTAATTTCTGTTAGCTGACATCTTTTGTTTGGTCTACCAATCAGAGGCTGTATCTGTGATGATCTGACCTTCAGAGGTCCAATGAGAAGCCAGGACAGCCTGAGCCAGAGCTCTCGGGGTCCGTCAATAGTGACGGGGATTGATTAGATTTTAATAATTCCATAATAATCACTTCCTGTAGATTTTTAGCCTACCTTCGCTGCTCTGCTGAGAAAGCAACGCCTGGCTTCTGATTGGACCTTTCCAGGTCTTATGATTGCAGATATGGTCTCTGATTGGTTGATAGACCAAAGCAAAGACGGCAGCCTCTCCCTAACAAAATCAGCAAAAAATATATTTAACAGTATTTTCCCTTTTACCTGGACATGTCCTCTTTTGAGGGGGCTGTCTGGCTTTGTCTGGGGGAGTTTTTATAAAATCCTTTAAATGTCTGGGGTTTTGTATGGAAGTTTAGAGTTTGTGTCATGTGGACTCTTGAGTTAGGAGCGTGTAAAAAACACTCTACCTGACCCGAAAAACTCTCAAAATTTACTACACACGACTCCATGAATCTGCCCTGCGTAGTCATGTCCTCTTTTGGGGATTCAGAATATGGTCGCCCTATTACAACTCATTTTGAATGATTGGATCTGAACAGTCTTCTCTGTGAGATGGAAAAGCTCCTGGATGCTGTGCTAGTCTTACATAAAGTGGATTTTACAGCGATTACCTGGTGCTGGTCTGACTGGGCTGATGTTGAGATAGTGGATTACAGCTGTGTTTTTCTGCTGGAATGAAGGCCTGGATAAGAGAGACGGTTTTTGACGTTCTCTTTGTTTTCAGGCGGCTCCTGGTTACCACACAGCCAAGATGATCATCAAGCTCATCACATCAATCGGAGACATCGTCAATAATGACCCTGTGGTGGGAGATCGCCTGAAAGTCATCTTCCTGGAGAACTACCGGGTCACCCTGGCTGAGAAAGGTCAGTTATAGCTTCATATATGAAAATGAACTAATAATACGTATTATTATATACTATCTCATATTAAATAATATAAGGGTGTATTAAATTTAAGGTGCTGCTGGTCTCTGTAGACTTTAAATCTGTCCCTCTGTCTCTGCCTTGCAGTGATCCCTGCTTCCGACCTCTCGGAGCAGATCTCCACGGCGGGCACAGAGGCGTCTGGCACTGGGAACATGAAGTTCATGCTGAATGGAGCGTTGACCATCGGCACCATGGACGGAGCAAACGTAGAGATGGCCGAGGAGGCTGGAGAGGAGAACCTGTTTATCTTTGGGATGAGGGTGGAAGATGTGGAGGCCATGGACAAGAAAGGGTGAGACAGATCCTCAACCTGTCTGGGAATTTTTTTTAATGATGAGTGTAAATAACAAAGATGGAAATTGACACTTCTTTATACCAAGACTCTATTTTATATGATCAACTTCCGTGTTATTCAATTTCTTTGTGTTTTATCTGCAGCTATGACGCCATGTCCTACTATAACCGGATCCCTGAGCTGAAGCAGGCCATGGATCAGATCTCCGGCGGCATGTTCAGCCCAGGTCAGCCCGACCTCTTCAAAGACCTCGTCAACATGCTGATGCACCACGACAGGTGAGAGCACAGAGAGGAGTCAGCACCTGCCGAGTCAGATCACCAAAAGCCACTGTCACAAAGATCAACCTCGGACTCTGACGGCTTTGTTTGCAGCATTAGTGAGCGCACGGCTTTGATTCTGTGTCTGTGCTGCAGGTTCAAGGTGTTTGCAGACTATGAAGACTACATCAAATGTCAGGAGAGAGTCAGCGCCCTCTACAAGGTCAGTGCAAAAACAGCTTCAATTTGATCTCTGTATGTTTGTTAGTTTAACACAAAGAGTCAAATTATTAAGAAGTTTAACTCTGCAGCTCTAGTCTTGACCGAAGAGTTTGAGTGTGATGATGAAGGAAAAGGACTAAAAGTAATCCAGAAATGCTGTTACATGTAAATATAATGTTGAGAAAACAAGTTAAACTTCAGGCTAAGTTAAGTTTGATGCCAAAGGTTACACAATCTGTATTTCTGCCCGTTATTAATGCTGTTTAAAGACCCACTCTGATGAAAATCCTGTTTTTCTTGTTGTCTACATGTTCATATGGCATTTTTCTGACGCTACAGGACATACCATGAGAAAAATAAGTGCGAAATTGCATTTCTGAGTATTTCTGCATTCAAATTGTTGTGAATCTCTGGCAGACCCAAACGGCAGGATCACATTCTGTGAGATTTCCTATGTAGCAAATCCAAGCTCCGCCCCCTGAGCCCCACGATGCAGGCCACACTCAGAAAAGTAGAGAGTATTCGCGGATTTCAATGCTCGTAAGAAAGCTAATTATGATATTAGCTGTCATCATGTCCCTAAAGACATTAATGTCCGAGAGCTGAATAGCTCCTACGTTACCTAATACTTCTACTACACAGGCAATGTTAGGCTGCAAGTTTACGTGAAGAGGAGTTTGCAAAGCAGTGCTGTCTCCGCCCACGACTCAGAGGCGAATTGCTATTGAGCTACTGGTGCTCTCCAAATTGTTACCTGTGTCATTTTCAGGGAGAAGCCCTTGAAAAAGACACAGGTAACAATTTGGCTAAAATCTTCATAATCACAATTAAAAGACAACTGATGACACTTTTAGTAGTAAAAAAAGAAACAACCAGAGTGGGATGATAAATATTGAATATTTTTGCAATAATAATTTGCTTCAGTTCAGCTTACCAACAGGCCTTTGACCTTATATTTAATCTAATGTGTTTTGTTTCCTACTAGGGTCCAGCAGGTGGCAGCAGAAAGCTTTTAGAAATGTTAAATACATTTATGAGGCTGATTCTGCCTCTTACATGTGCAGACTTTTTTCTCGTAAATAATAATTTTACTATGACTGTATTCTCGTAAGTGATGATGTTCCTACGACTTTGTTCTCGTTTGTAATGATTTTGATCTCAAAGTCTTATTTTTTTTTCTTAATGTGGCCTAATACTCAGTCGTAATTTCCTGTATTTACATCAACATCAAATTAAATCCAAATGACCTTATTTATCCCCAAGCTCCTCTGGGTTGAATTAAATTGTTTGAATTGAATTGAGTTGAATTGTAACAATATGCTTTTATTTTGAAATGAAGTACATGCTACTTTGGTCTGAAGACTCCGTTGTACCTCCTGAGTGTACCGGAGTTTCATTTTGCAAATTGACCTCCTCCTCTTCCTCCTCCCCGTGTACTAACAGAACCCCAAAGAGTGGACCAGGATGGTGATCCACAACATCGCCGGCTGTGGTAAATTTTCCAGCGATCGCACCATTTCCCAGTACGCCAGGGAGATCTGGGGCATGGAGCCCAGTCTGGAGAAGATTGGTGCTCCTGATGATCCTCGCTAAACCATGTCTGCCTCCTCCTCCTCTCTCTCCCCCTCCTCCTCTTCCTCATTGTGGTCCAAACACTGAAGAAGACCCCTGTAGCTTTGACCCTGTGTACTGTGGTTCCTTTATTCTCATGGTTATGAACCCTCTGCTGTTTCAATCGTAGCTTCACCTGCTCAGCAGAATCTGGATTCATTCTCTTTATGCAGCTTCTCACTGTTCACTGGAAACGTTCTTGGTCCATGTCAGTCTCAGCAGCTCAGAAACAGCCTGGACTCACCTCTGAACCCGGTTTCTTCAGCTGGAGTCAAAAAACAAGATTTACCTCCTAAGTTTGTTGTAGTGTCTCTGTTTTAATACATTTACTCATTTCTGATGCTTGACTTGACTCTTTCCTGAGCTTAACCAGATCAGGGTCTCGGCTAGAACCAGACATGGACCTCCATCCAACAGTTTTCAGTCAACAGTGATTTGAAACCTTGATCTGACCCTTCACTAAGCCCCGCCCCCTTAAGTGCCTGTCAAAGCACCGAGAAGTAAAAAGTTTCAGATATGCCTCCAAACTTCCGCCTGGACTGATGATTTATTAACCCTGATGGTAGTTACCAGGCTAATAATGCTAACGTTAGCTACTTGAGTGAAAGAGGCTATCATGCCAGGGGCTTTGAAGGACTTCTGCTAAAAAGAGCCTACATGTTCGATGGCTAAAGAGAGGCTAACGCTAACAAAGCTACATCCATTTACTGCAGCTCGACAATGAGTGCACATGCATGATATACAGACATTTGTGTGCTTTTATGCTGTTAACCCATGACTGCATGAATTAAATGTTAGCTGGACTGAAGCAGGATAGAGATGCTAAACGTTAGCCACGTTAGCATCTCAAAAGGGGCTATCAGTCAGCGATGATTGGCTCCTTTTGAAGATAAGATTGTAACTGCACTGATGAATGTAGATCACCTGTTTGTTTTAAACTGGCTGGATTTGGAAGAAGTGTCTGTTAACTGTAACTAACATGCTAGTTAGCTTAGCCATGTAGAAATGTAAAGTTTGCCTGCTAAGTTTGGGTTGCTGAAGCTAAGAGTGGATATCAGCTGTTGGTGGAGGGTTTAGTGAAGGGTCCTTCTAACCACATTCATGATTTTAACTTGAGAGCCCTTTACTCTGACTGGGTGGGAAACCTAAATGCTGTCACCAAGAACTTGATGACTGTGTTTGATATTTTCAAAGTTTTAACTGAAGAAGGAAATCTGATCATCTATTCCTGCCTCTGCAACAATCGGCACTTTGAAACAGTTTCATTCAGGAGTATAAGTATACGCACTAATGAATAGCATTTGGCCTCCCTGTTTCCACTAGATAACTCATTTATGTATAATTTTGGACTTAAAAAACACAGGATTGCAACACAAACTCTGAGCTTGATTCTCATGTCTGACTAACGTCTGGATAAAGATACTGACAGAAGAGAATGTGCAACATCTAAATTCAATGAAAGCTTCTGCCAAACTGTTCAAACGACCCAAAAAGTCAATTTGAACACAAGTCCCACCTCTAAAAAGGTTAAAAAAAAAAAATTAAAAAGCCAATCGTGGCTGAAGATGTTGGAGTGACCAATCAGATTCCCCAGCCCTGGACCCCTCTGGACACATCCCTGCCACTATCCACCCTCTTCTCTGCTGCTCTGCGCAGTTTGCTCTTGTGTTGTGTCTGATTGTGGAGATGCTGTTAGCATCACCACTCTCTACTGTGAAGAACTGTGCTGTGCACTTCCATCCTGATTTTGCATTCTCATCCAGATTTGTCCACATACAGAAGATGAGCTGAACGAGTCGAGGACAATATTATACATTCATTTTAAGGTGATCTATCACTAAATTCCGGCATCTTATTGAACTTCCCTCCATGAGCACACTAGTAACATCAACCTGGACTCTATACAGGTGAGGATGTGTACCTCGGACTGATCAGTCCTATGGTTACAGTTGTTATAGACATATGATTATTAGAAAGTTTATGCATGCCACTTTCCAATGAATTTGAAGGTGACCTGTAAGCAGAAAGGTCATCACTCTTTGTCAATAGGACCATGTTTTTCAATTTTGTTTTCTCTAGTCGGAGTAAATGATCTCAAGCATGCAAGATAATGTCTTCTGCACACAGAAAGATTGTAATGCACACTCATTATTAGATCCACACTGTTAGTTCTCAGGAGAGTCGACATGAATCCAGCAGGAGAGAGAACATTTTCCAGACAGACCTTGCGAAGTGCTGATCCAGCAGGACCAGATCAGATAAATTGTCAGATTTTCTTCATCAGTAAAACATCCAATCTGAAACTGTGTCATCAAGGTAATACCTTGGCCTTTAAGTATCCCACCCTTTGCATTCCTTTAAATAAAATGGCTGCCATGTGAAAAACCAAGCGAAGGAATCTGTAAACCCCAGCACTGCTCCGGTCTCAAACCAACACGTCTTCCATGAAAAAGAGTGGGGACACTCAGTGAAAGTCCTCCTCGGCCTCATAGCAGCACTACGTCTGATGGTGTCTTCATATTCACCTCAGATGAACCTCTCTATTTCAGAAGCAGCCTCTCCAGCTGCTCTGACAGTGTTTTCTGATCCACTGTGTTTTTTCTCAGCATGTTTGTGTCTCTCTCTGCTGTTCCTTAAAGTGGCCTGTGTTAGAACAGAACATCGCCTTCTCTGCCTAAAACCTGAAGTGACTCGACTTACCTTTGCGGGTGTGTGTAATTCTGTGCTGTATTTGTGTGTATAACATAGAAGAGTCCATGACACTGTGGGCATCACTTGGTTGCTGTACTGTAAGAACAAACTGTCCTGCTTCAGTTGCTGTATCTGACCACAGAAAGTACTGTCCACTACACTGACCCTAACATTACTCTGTCAGTCAGTGCTTTTCTTTTTTAGTCAATAAATGACCAAAATATTCATCAACAAACCAGACGTGTCACTTCACTTTTCTTATGGTGTGTTCAAGTTTGGACCAGGGCCTCCAGAGGTCCCTTAATGTTTAAAGAGTGACCAGATTTCATACAGTCTTGATTTTAAAACAAGTGTTTATGTTTGTATCCTGAGCAGGCTTTGGTGTCTGCAGGAGAAACAGTTTTTCTGTGCAGCTCTGTTTTTAAAAGTTATTTGAGGGTTCATGTTTTCTATGATTGACACCTGATACAGCCTGTTGGCAAACGAAGAATGCGTAGCTCACCCTTGGGATACGCTGTTTGAGCCGAGCGTCATCGCAGCGACTCTCAGTGACTCTCCGGCCGAATGCGCACAACTCTACTGTACAACACTGGTTTCAGGAAATGAAGAAAAATCACGGAAATCTCAAGAGCTTTTTGGCTTCAATTTTGTATACTGGCAAGAGGCGGAAGGAAGTTGTCCATAGTTTATATATTCTATGGTCAGGACCTTAAACACATAGACTGTCACAATAAGAGTAACAGGTAAACTCTCATATGTGCTTTAAGAAAGAAAGCAAAAAAAAAGAAAGGAAAAAAAAAGTGTTTTTATATTGTTATTAATCTGGTTATCAGCTACCAGGAGTCTGAAAATCTCAGTCTATAAATGTACATTTTTAATTTCTAATAACTGTCAAGGTCTTGTTTTTGTTGGAAACTCCTTCATTAGAGAGATTCCCTGATAAAATGAAAGTTTGTGATGCTTTGATTTTGACAATTTTTCTCTCGAGGTTTATTTCCTACAACTGAGTATTAGGGCCACATTAAGAAAAAACAGATTAAGACTTCGTAATTACTTACGAGAATAAAGTCGTAATAAAATCATAAATTACGAGAATAAAGTCATGTATTTACGCCAAAAACTTCCCCACTCGTTGTGACCGAAGTTTGTGAAAGGAAAAAGTAAGCTCCACTTCTCCTATTATTATGTTAAATTGGTTAAAGTACTCAATTTTCAATAAGATCAAAACATGCCCATAACTACTGCAAATAAGGACATGAGCTTTTACTTGGTGGGCTGGTATCCTGTTTTTATAACCCCCAAAAATTTGACAAAACTTGAACTGCAAAGAAAAAAGGGCCAGTCTGTTGCAAAGAAACATCCTCTGATGCTAGCTAGGGCACATCATCCGTGATGTATCCTGAGGTCACTGGGTGTTCTGGGTCTCACGAACATCAGACACCCTCACAATTGTATGTTGTTGTCCAGATTTGCTTTTCCTCATTGAAAGAAGCTCTTCTCTTGCGTAAACTCTTCGCCCAGCAGAAGTATCCATCATCAGCCAACAAAATGACAACAAAAATATGAAAAAAAATCTAGCAAAAATTACAGATAATATGGAGAGACCAGACTTGCAGCAACCTCTCGATTCAAGTGCATCATTTAATTATTATCATTGGCTAAATTCATAAATTTTAAATTATTATTATTATTATTGGCTTCTCAGAGATGGTAGGGATGGAGAAGTGGAAATTGTCTGCCGCTCTGCCCTTTTTCAGCACCAAAGATCTTGACTTTTTTGGCTTGACTGACATCCTGGTCCACCCAACCAGTTTCCCAAGCCCCTTCAGGATCCATCAACCTCCAGGCACTTACTCAGTGATCACCGTCAGGTCATACATGAAGGCATGGCTCGATGGCTGGCAAATCCCAGACTTGGACTGAATATTTAATATTGGACTAACCACGTTTTTAAATTGACTTGACATGTAATTCACTCTGGTAATGAATTTATTTGCATTTGGTGTGAACAAGTCATTAGAAAAAAAGAAAACCTAAAGTTTAGGGAGCTTTAAAAGGGTATACTGAAAACAAATGACAACAATCATGGTGTTGCTTTAGCAGTCGCTGTCAGACCTGTAATTTGACTTGATAAAAATGAGTATATGGTCACTTTTTGTCAGAGGCTGACCATGAAACAATCTCATCCAGACATCATGGTCCAGCCTATTTTGTGCGTTTCAAAACTGACGCTCATGCTCCGCCCACACCATCATGATTGACAGCTGTCCATCACAGCAGGCCCCCTCCTTTCATATTAAAGGTCCATTTCACTCAGTGTGGCCTCACTTCGCTCCACCTGATCCCCAAATCCTGACACACCAGGATGGACTGCAGCACGTACGGTAAGACTTTGATTCTTCTTTCAGTTCTGTGTTTGACTTTAAATGATCAGGATCAATCTAAACCTTTTTTCTGGTCAGTCTTTGGCAGATGAACATTCATAAGCAGAAATTCTCTTTAAGCTCTGTTATGTTTTATAATCCTTATCAGTATATACAGGGGCATTTCTGTATTTTTGGCATATTTGTGACTTATAAACAGAAAACAATGTTTGTTCAAAAGGTTTCATCCTATCAAACTATGTTCTGTATATCCAGTTATAATGTATTAGCTCTTCATACACAAAAACAAGCCCTTCACAGTCATAAAACTCTATTTTAATGTGGTTAAAACTGAGTATGATGTTTTAAATTAGATACAATTCTCAAAAATTATACTTTGTTGGATAAAAAGTCACCTTGCTAGATTTCTGCAGTTTTCAGATGTGATTTTACAGCTTGAGTTTAAGCAGGAGTTACGTCAGCTGTCCCACGGCATGCAGAGAAACTTACAAAGATTTTATCACAATTGAATAAAATTTAAAAAAAAAAAATTAAATGTGCACCCATTAAAGTTAAAGGACTTCATCCTAGTGTTGTTTGTCGCCTTGCATTTATTGAGCGGATGTGGTGAGGGGGAACACTGTTTTAAATCAAGTATTTTCCTAATTTTTCATGTAAAATGACTTAAATTACATTGTCAGGATCTAAGAGAGAGATTTTCATGAAATATGTGAATTTATCCGGGGAGGATGTAACATAATTATAAAGGTGTACTTTTTATATCCTGTACTTTTTTGTCTATCTAAAAACCTTTTTGAACTGTGTGGACATTTTCATACACACTTAGTATAATGTCCTTTTAAATGATGATGCTTGCGTTTCCACTTCTTAGTTTTGATACAAACAGTGTAATGAATCATTCAGCCTTAAAAACCATGGAGCAAATAACTCTACAAACATGATAAAACTCTTATAGAATAGGTCATAATATAGAATTTGGCTGAAAATGTGTCTAGCTCGGATTTTCGTCCTGTCAGTGTTCAACGTTTGTTGTAGGTACTGTTTCTGATTTAGCTTTAATGTTTAGTAATTCAATGAGAATCCTTTTGTATGGTTACAATTTCAGAGATGGACCCTCTGGAGGTTCCTCCTCTCACTCCCACCAGTAAGGAGGTCCTCAGTCAGGCACTGAAGGCCAGCTTCTCTGGATTTTCTCAGGAGAGGATCACCCATCACTTCCCTCCTGGTGTGGATCCACAAACATATGATGCTTATTTTAAAAATTATACATTTCTAACCCTTTATTCATGTCCCCAGACCCCACCCTGTGGTCAGACTGGGAGGTGAACTACTGGTTGGACTGGTGTCAGGCTGAGTTTGGGCTCGCCTGTCTGGGTTCAGACCTGCGGGGTCTGCAGGGGACGGAGCTCTGCGCTCTGGACAGAGAGGCCTTCCTGAACCTGATATCGGACTGCACGGCTGGAGAGATCCTGTGGGAGCACCTGGAGGATATGAGGAGAGGTGGGAGGAAAAATCATCATCAGTTACAATACTGAATTTACTCACATTCTATTTCTATGACAGAGTAACGTGGCTTCATTAACGAGTAAAAACTTGAGTTTTCCTGAATGAAGTTGTAAACTTACACATAAAAATAAATCATGAAGCTGAGCAAGAGGTTCTGACTCAACTTGACTACTTCCAGGGTGCGTGGAGACATTACAAAGGTCTCGAACTCTAGAAGCACTCAAAGTTGCAGTTTCCTGAATGTCCAATAGAGGCTGCTAGAATTTCAGTTTCCCTTGGGGGAATCCTCCCAAAGGATCACTTTAGTTCTAATCTAATCTCATCCAAAATCGTATCTAATCTAATCTAATCTAAAATATAATCTAATCTAGAATATAATCTCACCTAATCTCGAATATAATATAATCTAAAATATAATCTTGTATTGAGCTCTATGGAGATTGACTCACCTTTAAAGACAACCTTCTGTGGACAATTGAGGTACTGCAGTTTTTTGCACTTGTGTATTAGCTTAATTCTTCAGCTCCAAAGGTTGCTATTTGGTAAACTTCTATTTTTATCTGTTTGGTATATATGTCAAATCCAAAGTAGTCAATCTATCTTCCACTTTTATTTAAGGTGTGACTGCTATATGTTCAATATCCAGTATTTGTAGATTTGGAGCACATGTAGGAACTTACCTATGGGATATGTTTTCTTCATTATGGGTTTTCTTTTTGTTTATCTATTTTATTTTATTTTGCCTTTTTACTCTTATTGTGTTACAAAAAAAAAATGCTCAATATAAAATCTAACACAAAAAATTTGATTTACCTCTCCAGAGATTGGATACAACTGCAGCTCTTCACTGTCTTCATGCACAACACCGTCATACTGTGAGCTGCAGAATAACAAAGGTACACATCTCCTGTGTGGCTGATTTCAAAGTTAAAATTATCAAAATCAGGAATTAATTGCTGATGTTGTCTGATTCCTGATCTGCACATCCTCAGAACATTTCCCAGACTTTGTGGAGGATCCTGCAGACAAACACAGGTATCAGGCTCAGTATCTTCAGGCTGAGAGGATGGAGCTACACACTATGGACTCTGTCCAACATCAGGATTATTATCTGATCAAAGGGGAAGACCCAAACAGGAGCATCAACCCCACTCTGCTGCTGGACACGGGCAGAAACACAGGTCAGGAAAAAACAAAAGTTTACTTGTGCAAAGGAGACATTATGAAGTTTTTTTCCTGAGATAAAGCTGTGATTAAATACAGTGCAATGAGGAATTGACATAATGAAAGTGCGCAGATTTTTATCTTGTTTCTTTATTTCCAAAAGTCACAACTTCTTGCAACAAGTTTATTTAATGAGGAGCTCCTTAAGGGACAGGATGCTCCATCTGAAGTGTGTGACGGAGAGGTATCACAGGTCATTCCTTCCTTCAGCTGACAGACTCCACAACAGAAACCTCAGTGTGCAATAAATCATATCTCTATGTATATGCTGTGCACATGCATTTAGTAAATAAGACTCATGTATATATCTTTTTTTAGTTTCTCTCTTTTAATTTCTCTTCTGTGTTTGTATTTATGCTGCTGTAATTTTGGAATTTCCCCACGTGGGATTCATAAAGGAATATCTTATTATTTTTGTGCACAAATTATTTATAGGAACAAGTTATCAACTCTGAGTGTGGTATAGAAGTCCCTGAGCTCCATCATCCTCAGGAATGTGCAGATGTTGTACTGATGTGGACCTGCATCAGTCTCTCCTCTATCCATCCCTCTCTTTCTCCATCTCCCTCCCTAAACTCACCTCAGTCTCAGTAGACTGTCCAACATCAGTCTGGTTCTGCTCGAGGTTTCTGCCTGTTCAAGGAAGTTCTTCCTCTCTATTGTCTGTATTGTGGTTGAAGTGTGGGAGTAGGTCTGAGCTTACACTCACAATACTTGTTTTGACTTGTGGCTATAACGATGGAATGATTGACAGACAACAAAAAAATCTACTTAGTGATTGCCCAAATGCATTTGTCCTCAAATACATGAAACTCTGAAAGAACGGCTCTTATAGGCTGTAACCCTCTAATAATCCAAGATGGCAGCAGATGCTGTTTATTCATCCATCTCTCTCATTGTCTTTGTCATTTTTTGACTCTTAGAGACAGACTCAGAGGTGGAGATCTCTCACAGTGATGACTCGGACATCGCGGGCTCTCTGTCATGGACTACTTCGCTGCAGGAAGTAGATCCTGGAATGGAGGAAAGCGTATCTGGAGACGTCTTCATTTTACCACAGACGCACCGCAGCTTCAAAGAATACATCGGAAATAAGACCGATATGGGCCGAGCCGTGATACCAGCAGCCATACTGGCTGGGTACACTGGTGAGTACTGGGTATACTGGTTTTAATGTCCTGTGTAAGTTTTGCAGCAGTTTTTTACCGTAACATCTTCTCTACATCGCAACAGGAAGCGGTCCCATCCAGCTGTGGCAGTTCCTCCTGGAGCTCCTCACAGACCGGAGCTGTCAGTCCTGCATCAGCTGGACTGGGGACGGATGGGAGTTCAAGCTGACGGACCCTGATGAGGTACTGAACACACCAGGAGTGTAAAGCAGAGCAAAGAAAGTTAAACCGCAGTCTTTTTTTTTTTTACTCTTTGTTGTAAGGGTAAGGTCTTTTTCTTTTGACCCCACTGACCTCTTTGTCTCCAGGTGGCGCTGCTGTGGGGCCGCAGGAAGAACAAACCTAAGATGAACTACGAGAAGCTGAGTCGAGGTCTGAGATATTACTACGACAAAAACATCATCCAAAAAACAGCTGGCAAGCGCTACGTCTACCGCTTCGTCTGCAACCTGCAAGGCCTCCTGGGATATGAGCCTGGGGAGCTACATGCCATGCTGGCCCCGAATAATAAGAGTCAGTGACAGAGACTGTTTTGTACAGGATCCTCTTAATTTTTTAAGAGTATAGTTATTTATGGCCATAGACTGTATATAGAATGGATACCATCTGCCGCCTCAGTGGGTGAAGCCACTTCGAGAACAGCACCCTCTGGTGACTGGCTGCAGTATAGGTCATAAATCCCACTTCCTCCAGCAATCCCTATGGAGCTGTGGACAAACTTTAGAAATTAATTACACAGAATATTTTTTTTTCTCCCCCCTGCTTGTGATGTTGACATGTAGTAACAGTGAGACTGGTTTGTGCTCAAGTCCTCTTTTTTCTGTGCAGCTCCATTTTTAAAAGTTATAAGGGGGTTCATGTTTTCTATGATTGACTCTTGATACAGCCTATGGGCGTATGAAGATTGTGTAGCTCACCTGGGGTACACACTGTTTCAGCCACTTGCTACTGCGCAAGTGGTGGAGTGCGCTACTTCGCAATGTTGGTTTCAGAAAATGGATAAAAATCGCGGAAATACAGAATGCTTTTCGGCTTCAAATCCGCATACTGGCAGAAGGCGGAGCCAAGTTGTCCATTGTAAATCAAGTCTATGTTTATGAAAGTCTGATGTGTGTGTGTGTGTGTGTGTGTGGGTGGAGAGACCCTCAAATCTGGACCTCAGTGGGTCACATGTAGAGCTACTGATGTCATTAACAAACAGGTGTGTTTGGGCTGAATGCAAAACTCCAATAAAAGGAAGAAAGTTCATGAAAATGCTTCAGTGTGAACCCCTCTTAAATCTTTGAACACAGTTAGCTGACCTTCATGCAGATATCTGTTCATACAGAGATCCTCAGATCACCAATCATGGGAGCAGGGGCGTCAGCAGGTTCAAATCTGCACCTTCAGATAATGATCCAACAGAGATCTGGATCCTCTCTACAGCTAAGTTGGTGAAAAATCAGAGTATTTGGCATGAACCATCAGCAGAATCTCCATTTTTATTTGTGTTGTTAGCAAACATGTCCATCACCCTTCTGAGCACCAGCAGTATTTAGATCTGTTTAAGCTCTCCCGTGTTTCTTTGTGGAGCCCTGCTGAGCTGCAGGATTACTTCCACAGCTCTGTGATTTTACTTCTGTCTGAATGACTCCCTCCCAGCTGATTGGCTCAGACTGAAGGTAAACACAGATGCAGCCTGAGAGGATCCCTCTCAGCAGGTGTTTTCTCAGAGATCAGCTGGTGTTTGGACTAATGGAAGCTGATAGATGTGCCCGCTCCGTCTTTCTTTCACTCCACTTCGTCCGAGCAGACGGCGGACAGTGTGTGTGGGCGACTGGAATAGCCAGGTCCTGCGGAGAAATCAAGCGGTTTAATTTAACACCTCGTACGCCACACAGAGCTGGTTTATTGATTTCACACCCTCCGACTCCTCATACTGAGGGGAGGCGATTTCTTCTTCTGGGGTTTTTAAACCGGCACCTTCAGCTTGACCCTGTTTGGTCAGTTAAGTTGGTTTTTAATAGACTTTAGAAATCCCCCTGTTATGATTGGTTTAACTGTTTCGCCATAAGAAGTCACTAGGAGTTTCATATGCTCAAACTAAAGCTGGGAGGGTTTAATGTTCTGACTGGACTTCAGACTCGAGGCCTGAAATACTTTTTAAAGTCCTGATTGTTTCCAAGCAAACAATTGCAAACAGCCTCAGGTTTCTAGTTCATGTGAAAGTAAGGATCCTGTTTAAATAATCTATAACACATAGTCTAAAGAAAATGGTACAAAGTGAAAAAGGACATGTCCAACCATTTTTTTTTGTAGTTAGTCCCAGCACCAAGTAATTCCTGGGGTGCAAACATGCAAGGTCAAGTCTCTGACAGCTTCACTCCGATCTTTTTTTTTTTTTTACTTTAAGTGTTCTGAGTGGTCTTTCAATTGTGACAATTAAGTTTTTAGCCAAAATCCCATTACCTGTGTCATTTTCAAGGGCTTTTCTTCTTTGCTTCTTCTTTTGACGCTAGCTTGTAGCCTAACATTGTCAGTGTAGTAGAAGAAGGCGGTAACATGGGAGCTATTCAGCTCTCTGACACTAATGTCTTTGGGGGCATGATGAAAGTTAGTATCATAATTAGCTTACGAGCACTCCAATCCACTAACACACACACTTGTTCTGTGATCGTCCTATTTTTCCGAGTCTGGCCTGCATAGTGGGGCACTGGGGGTGGAGCTTGGATTTGCTACGTAGGAAATCCCACTGAATCTGAGCCTGCTGTTTGAGTCTGTCAGAGGTTTACCGTGATTTGAAGGAAGAAATACTCAGATATGCAATTTCGCACTTAGTTTTCTCATGATATGTCCTCTAGCATCAGAAAAATGTAATGAATGTGAAGACAACAAGAAAAACATGACTTTCATCAGAGTGGGTTTTTAAAGCGATCCTGCTATTTCAGTTTTTGGTTTAGAGCAGTGGTTCTCAAGTCCAGTCTTCGAGGTCCACTGTCCTGCATGTTTTGGATGTTTCCCTGCTCCAACACACCTGATTCAAATGATCAGCTCGTTATCAAGCTCTGTAATGGCTTCATAACGAGCTGATCATTTGAATCAGGTGTGTATAAATGAGGTCGGGCTGGGTCCCTTCTTCCACCGTGGCCCTAAAATGCAGAAAACACACAGATCTCTGAAACACACCGCTGCTGTGGTTTAAATAACAAACGTACTATTAGTAAGAGCAGCTCTGTCCTGACCGCTGAACACGCACTTAAACCCACATTCAAACACTCGCTGTCCCCCACGCTGACTCTTCCATTAGCAGCCTGTGGAGGGTAAGTGGTGGAAGTAATCTCCACACACTCGGTGCTCTCGCTCCGTTTCTGTCTGCGCTCGCTGATGGAGAAAATCAGATCAGAGTTCAGCCGTTTCTCATCACACACACTTTTTATTTTCACGCCTTAAATCTGCAGATGTAAATCAGATCCTGCCACCTGAACACACTGCTTTTTGTAAAAACATAAATAACAGACTGAGGATCGTACTCAACTCACTCACTTATTCACTCAGCTGCATGAGTTCTGCTTTTTAATGTTCATCATGCAGCTTGAAGAATCATTTGCCCTCTGTCACAAAGACAGATGTAAACGGATTAAAGTTGATGTTATAAAGTAGTTCCAGGTTCATGTTTCTGATCATGTGTCCTCAGCTCTTCTTTCACCAACTCTCTGTAAACCTTAATGAACCCAGCAGACCAGGTTCTGGAGTCTGAAAGTGAAATCTTGTCCCATTCTTGACTGATAGAGGATTTCAGCTGCTCATCAGTTCAGGGTCTCCTTTGTCCTCTTTTTGGTGTCATGATGCTCCAAATGTTTTCAATAAGGGACAAATCAGGACTGCAGATAGACCAGTTTATCAGCAGGACTATTCTACTACAGAGCCATGCTGTTGTAATTCCGGCAGAATGTGGTTTGTCATTGTCTTGCTGAAATATGAAGGTCTTTCCTGATAAATTCATTGTCTGGATGGCAGCAGATGTTGCTCTTTCACCTGTTGAACTATGTTAGTAACATGTTGCATCTTTATATTTTTTTATACATTCAAATGTCAAATATGAACAAAAATGTGTTTTTGCTTACCAGAACATAATTTTTAAAATCCTATTAAGTTTTTAGACAGTCTTATCATTATTATTCATTTACTTTCTAATATGTTAGAAGCCTTAACTGGAAGACCCGCCCACAGACAGTTGATTGACAACTTCAGGGATTAGTGAATGTAGAGCTACCTGATATAAAATTCTTCACAAATGCAGAAAAATGAGACTTTTTACACTTAAAAGGCATAAAGTAAATATCTTAACATATCTATCTGTGTCGGTCAGGATTATTTTATGTTTAAATGACTGCTGAGACTTTTAATGTCTAACTGCTGCAAAGTTGACATGAAAGAATGAAACCAACATTAAAATCTATTTTGCATGTCATTCAGATGATCTCATACTGCATGAGTTTTTTATTAGCTAAGCTGTTTGTATTATATGTAGACACCCAGGTGCTTGTTAAGTCCTGTGAAGATCCTGATGTCGGAGTGATTACAGCTGAAATGTACAAATAAATCCTGAGAACCTCACAGGTCTTAGTGACACCTGAGTGACACACACACACACACACACACACACACACACACACACACACACACACACACACACACACACACACCTTCTGCAGCAGTGATTGGTGCCTCTCGTATTCAGTCTCATTTAAATTCATGCTTTCTTCACATGCTGTTTGCTTGATTAGAGAAATGTTCAGACGCTCATATTTACCTTTACTGACTGCAGCGTACATGTTTGTATTTATTTATTTATTTTTTCACTATTACAGTTTATTTTACTGCTTCCCCACTTTATAATATTTGTATTATCAAATTTAGTACAGTTCCTATTTTCAATATTTGCTCTGTTTAAATCAAACCCCTCAGCAGATGAATTTCACATTTTCTCACTATCGACCAGTCAACATCTCGAGCCCTTAGAACAGAAGAAATTTACTTTAGTTTGCAGGTACGACAAAAAAAAACAGTTTAATAGTCATGAATAGGGATGCATGATATTTAAAAGAAATCAGGCTCTCTTTTCATCCAAAATTCAAATCTCTGTTGATTTCATATTTGAACAATAACTTGTCCTCTGTAGTCAGGGTTAGGGCAACACAAAAAGCCGTCTGAGAAAGCTTCCTGTTGGATCCAGCAGAGGGCGCTCTTATCATTACCTGACTACTAAATGACACTCCTGACCGGGGCTGCTTGATTATGGCAAAAATCAAAACCATGATTATTACAAATAAAATTGATGCCTAAAGTGATCACCCAAGATTTTATACCCATATCGTATGCATTTAAAACTTAAACTTAGAACCTTTTTAGAAATTAAAAACTTTTCTTAAAAGAACACACACAGTAAGTAGTAAATAAACTACTGAGTCTACCTATGAAGTGTGTTTTCGCTGTAAAAGTTCTTAGTTTAAAATCTAAATATCTGAAGTAAAATTTTACAGTTTGTCCTCACGGTGGAGCTCCTCTTTCATGTTTTAGGACATCGCGCCTCTTTTGTATGACTGCATTAATATGACTTTTACTGTAGCCTCTATTTCACCGGCGCTGACATGACCTCTAAAATCCTCATGGTACACGACATTTTTACAGTTTTTCTGACATCCTCAGATAAAGTTCTGTCAGTGACAAAAAAGTCAGTAACTTACAGGACAAACAAACATATTTCACATCATTAGAATTTAATGTCGGCAGAGCGTTGGTTGAGTTTGTATCAAAGATGCTAAATCACAGGGAATTATGAAGAATGTGACAGTTTTCATGTGAATGTGTGTCACTGTGCTTTCTGTTTCTCCCACTGTTCAGGCGTGAGCGTCTTCTGTTCGAAGGCATGGATCTCTTTCAGCTCATCGGCAAGACACGTGTTCACCATCCTGTCAAAACACAAACATGTTTTAGCTCATATAAATGTTAAAATTTACACCTCAGAGCAGCCTGGGTCTGATTCCTGATGATCATATCACTCAGGTACATTTGTAGTGTTGTAGACATTTGAGTGTTTTAGACAACTAAGTTCCTACAGCTGACTATTAAAGTGAAGCTGTGTGAAATTAACTAAGGCAGCAGGTAGAGCTCTGGGATCTGCGTGGAGTTAAAGATGTTGGTAGTTTGGGCTTCAGATTTTACAGTATTCACATGTTTTCTGGATCAACCCAAAGCTTTGATAGATAGGAACCGACAAGGATCGTCCATTTCTGGTATTTTTATCAAACCATGCAGGTGTGGTGGGGCAGGAGTTTGTCTGCAGCTCTCTTAGTTTCGTATAAAGTCTGAGAAGGTGTATTTTACCTCAGACACCTCTGCTCTTTAATTCATATCTGAAAAATCTCTGAACAGCTCAAACCTGTCAGACTAGATATTTGGTGGGAGATAAACCTGTGAATCATTTGATGTTTACTGACAACTCTGTCATCCTGTCGCCTTGCAGAGCCAGTTCACAGCAGCTGTTCAGCATTCGCTCTTGTTATGTTGATACTGAGTGTAAAAGTTAAAAATAATTAAAAGCTGGATTTTCTATCTTCCTTTATTTCTGATCAAGCTCTTGGTAATGAGGATAAAGTTAGATATATGTGGGAAATTACCAGGAACGATATGTATATATTTATATATAAAGTGGGTTGTATTTCAGATGCAGAATTAAATGCTTGATTCTAAACGTTATAAAAGCATGTATAATAATCTCTAACCAGTGACACTTTTAGGTCTGACATTAGTGTTTTTATCTAGAAAAGGTAACGGTGATATGTGATATTGGTCTTGTGGGGGCATTGAGTGGAAGATATGTTTATTGCACAGGTACATTGGGACTTTTGTGTGATACCTCGAGACTTTAAAATTATATTTATAAAGATAGAAGATCAAAATAAATAAAGCTGTATTTACAGAGTGGAGAAAGTGCTATGAACAGATTCTGTTTATTATCAAATTTAAAGGGGAAGCAGGGAATTTTGCACTTTGTTGTTACTGCAGATGCTGATATTAAGATATTTAAGCAAAATGTCATTAGGTTAAATTAATCAGTCCATCACCAATAAATCTCTTATTCTATTTCTATAGAGTCTGTTCTGATAAATGACATGGTTGTCTTAGCCAGTTACATGCTTTAGGTTTTTAATGAATAAATAAAACAATACAAATTTTCCTCAAGTTCTCAGAATATGACAGGTATTTCTGTCAATACTAAACAGAATCTTAATTAAAACACTGTTTAGTAGTAAGAAAACTGCATAGCACTTTTCTCAGACAAAAGAGTCACAAAGTGCTTCACATAGACAAAAATAAAAACGTACATAAAAATTAAAAGGCAAAGACAACAACATCAAACTGTCATAGTAGCCCCAAAAACAATCAAATGCCTGAGTAAATATATAAGTTTTGAGTTGGCTTTTAAAGGCGTCAACAGAGTCAATTAAGCGCAGAGAGAGGAAGATCATTCAAAAGCCTGGGGGCAACAGCCTGGAAGGATCGGTCTCCTCTGGTCTGAAAACGAGTGCGCGGAACCATCAGCAGATTCTGATCCACGGACCTCAGAGCCCGAGAGGGGGTGTAAGGCTGGATCAGATCACAAATGTAAGATGGAGCCTGACCATGCAAGGCTCTAAATGTTAGGACCAGAATTTTAAAATTGATCCTAGAGGACACAGGCAGCCAATGTAGTGCTTTAGGAATAGGGGATATGTGAGTCCTCCTATTAGCATGGGTTAGAATTCTCGCTGCAGAGTTTTGCACATACTGAAGATGAGACAGTTCCTTTTTGTTTAGACATGAAAACAAACTGTTACAGTAGTCTAAACGTGACGACACAAAAGGCATGAATGATGAGATTCAAGTCATTTTGTGACACCATTTTCCTAAGCTTAGAGATTTTCCTCAGTTGAAAGAAGCAAGTTTAAGATATACTATGCTTTAATGTATTATGTGAAAAAGGCTTTAATTAAAGGTTGGGTGAAATTGGCCTTGTAGGGGCTGATGCTGATATGATGCTGATTAAGTCAAAATGTCATTAATCAGCCTGATTAATCGGCTCACCAATTAATCAGTCTATCTCTAACGCAAACAGAAACAACATACATAAACTTGCATTATGACAGTAAATTGAACATGCTTGTGTGTTTGTGTGTGTGTGTGTGTGTGTGTGTGTGTGTGTGTGTGTGTGTGTGTGTGTGTTACCTGTGTCTCTGCAGCAGCTGTTTTCCCTCAAACTGAGGCGACACCACCAGGACTTTAAAGCTGGCAGCACATCTGTTCGGTGAAGTATCCTCCACATCCTCAAGAAGACACATTACACACAATATTCAGCTTATTGTCATATTCCTAACTTTCAACAAGAGCTCAAAAACTGCCTCGATTTAGTCCGGGTGGATCCTCTGAACTAAAAAGGCCAAAATTATTTGTATCCCCCCTTTTGTTAGATCATCTTACATCAGCTAAATACAGATTAATCACCATGTAGAACCAAACACCATTCAAAAATCAGTCAATTTAGTAAAAGACTAATTCATGCTGTTAACTCACCACGTGTACAGCTGCGAGCTCCTTCATAAGTTTTTCCTTGATGTGGTCTGCTGTTATCGCCATGTCTGTATTAAAACACACACAAATGTGTCAGTAAACTTAATGTTAAAGAGGTATACCGGTTATTTTGGGGGGACGATTGAGTCCATCTAGAATATAGCATATTGACACCGGAAGTATTACTAAGGAATATTCACATTTATTTAAAAATTTTTATATAAAAAAACAGAAAATCCCCTTTTATGACACAAACTCTGATTTAATGGCTTATAAATACTAAAAGTGTGACTTTTAGGGTTTTTTCTGGCGTTTTCGTTAAAATAACCCACTTTATCTCACGTCTGAGAACACATTACAGACAAAGAAAAACATCCAACCGCATTGCAGTAGTCAAAGTTATGGCCAATCGCGTCACAATTTGAACAGAAAATGGGCGGGACACACTTTCAAAGCAGCGAATCCTAATATTAGCGGTCCTTACAGAATGCCAGACTGAATGTTGAAATAGATAAATGTAACCTGAAGTAAAACCTATTCGAAAGCAAAATTTATAACACAATATAGCTGATGAATCAACATTTTAGCTGTGAGCCTGATAAGCCTGACAGTAATAAAATGATAATGTCTTTTTAACAGGCAGATTTGGAGGCTGCTAGTGGAACCATTGTTTACATTTTGAAGACACAGCAGAATGGTGGTGGAGGTGGAGAGTTTCTTCGGTGTTTACATGCTGTATTGCATTAACCCCAGATTTAAAGGACGGATCTATATCGGCTTCACTGTCAACCCGGAGCGCAGGATCGGACAACACAATGCTGGACGGCACCGAGGAGGAGCGGTGAGGACTAGCGGGAGAGGACCTTGGTATGTAGGACTGGATACGGACAGAACTGCATGATGGACTCACTACATTAACTTTTAATATCCCAAATATATCCATTTGTTTTCCTCATCAGGGAGATGGTCCTCATCATACATGGCTTCCCCTCTGATATCGCAGCCCTGAGGGTACGTGCACAGTAAAACACTGAAGAGTGTTTTTAGAGGTTAAAACTGAACAAAGACTCTTGGATATAAGTTCACACAGCTCTGTAGTGCAAGTCACCACATGTGCTCAAAATCACTTAGAAAGCAACATGTGCTGCTCTCCAGATAATGACAAACCACATCTGGGAAGATGCATAGCTCTGTAGTAGGAGAGTCCTGCGGCCAAACCGGCCTGTCTGTACTTTTAAAATATGTTATAAAGAAAGATTAAAACTTATTAAAATCAAAGATCTTAGAAGGATAATTATTCAAAGTGACAGTGTTTGTTTCTCGGGGGTTTTTATGTCAGTAACACATCAGGGTTAATCAAGTCAGTTATTGTTGTGGAATTTCAATCTTCTTTGTGTTTAATCATAAAATATTTTGTGTCTTGATATTTCTAGAAGTATTAAGGTCCTTACACACTGGGGCCGACGCGAATGTAGAACGCGAAATTACGAAATATTCGGAGGCGAATTTTGACGCGCCTGACTATACACATCAAGCCCTATGCAATTTTGCGGGGAGAAACGACGTGTCCCGAGCATAGACTGTATATAGAATGGACAGCGTCTGCCTCCCTCGCTGGGTGAAGCCACTCTGAGAACAGCACCCTCTGTTGATGGGCTGCAGTATAGGTCATAAATCCCGCCTCCGCTAGCAAAGCTTATGGGACTATGGACAAACTTTAGAAATTTATTACACAGAGCATGAATTTTTCTCTCCCCTGCTTGTGATGTTGACATGTAGTTATTGTAAGACTGGTTTCTGCTGAAGTCCTCTTTTTTCTGTACAGCTCCGTTTTTAAAAGTTATTAGGGGGTTCATGTTTTCTATGATTGACACTTGGTACAGCCTATGGGCGTTCAGGGATTGCGTAGCTCACCTGGGGGGATACGTTGTTTGAGCTGAGCGTCATCACAGTGACTCCCGGTGACTGCACGGCCGAATGCGGAAGTATTGAGAGCTTTTTGGCTTCAAATCCATATACAGGCGGTAGGCGGAACCAAGTTGTCCATCGTATATACAATCTATGGTCCCGAGGAAGACTGTTGTCGGGGGAAAAAATATTGACGTCCGAAATAATTGCATGTAAAAAATGGTCCCGGTGTGAAAGGACCTTAATAGTTAAAAGGATTATAGATGATTTCCTTACTCTGAGATTGTTTTATCACTTAAGGCTTCTACAGACACAAAACCACTTTATTATTTAATATATCAGTTGATTTATTTTTTTTAAATAGATGATTTCATTCCTCATGTTTCCAGTTTGAGTGGGCGTGGCAGCACCCTCACACCTCTCGCCGTCTCTCCCACGTGTCTCGGCGCTCCAGGAAAGAGTCCAGCCTTCAGTTCCACTGGCGTGTGGTCTCAAACATGCTGCGGGTGGCACCGTGGAATAGGCTGCCACTGACGGCCCGCTGGCTCAAACAGGAGTACAGGATGGACTTTGAACCCAGCCTGCAGCCGCCACTCCACATCCCCATCGCCTTTGGGAGCGTGAGAGCGAAGAAGAAGAAGCAGCTGCCGCCCCCTGCAGGAGAGGAGGAAGAGAAGGAGGAGGAGGGTCAGTGTTTCCTCTGCAGAAGATTCATTAAGGTCAGTTTAATTTGACTTGAAAATACCCGTGGAAACCTTGGAAATAATAACCTGGAGTGTTTGTTTTTCCTGTCCTCAGAAGTCAGAGGAGCTGAGCTGTTTCCATCCGGCCTGTTCGATGAGCAGTCATGTGATCTGCCTTGCCAAACTCTTCCTTAAATCAGAGCCATCTCACCTCCTGCCAGTGGAGGGTGAGTGTCCGGCATGTAGGCGCTCTGTGCTGTGGGGGAGTCTGATCCGACACAAACAGGGCTGCTTTGGAGACCTAGAAGAGATTGGAGCGTCTGGGTCTCAGGTGAGGGAGGAGATGGTCAGATACAGCTGATCTTTACAGAAATATGTGACTAAAATGTAAACTCGTTACTTTTTCCCACTCAGAGTCACTCCAGGATTAAAAACAATGATTTTTAGAGCTGCTCTTATGTAATTCTATCCCTGTTTCCTTCTCTGCTCTCTCACAGAGTCACTGGGCGGATGAGCTGCAGGCTTTAGGAAGCTGATTCTGCAAAAAATGAACTTTGAGTTCCTTCCTGATGAAATCTGGAGCCACAAGTTCAGTTTTTTGAAAAGAGTGATGAAGAAACAGAAAAACACTTTTTCACATCAAGCACAGAAATTGATCCAGCACGAAGATCTGACTTCTCTCCACTGGGTGTTTTTAAAAATCGTGATCATGAAACATTTTTAAAGCATGCTAAATGTGTATAAAAAAGAAAAAAGGTTTTAATGCATTTTGTAACAAATAAAATATTTTTTTAGAGTAAATTAATCGTGTCTCAGTCATACATTCATACAGTAGAGACAGCTCAGACCAGTCTGTTTATTGAAAGGAAACGTTAATATTAAAGCTGATATTTTTATGCTGGCTTGTTTAAAAAGAGGCTTATCTTTCAAAATAAACTAAATTTGTTTTTTTAAAAGTATTTAAAAACAGGGAATAAAGAAAAACATAAAAACACTTTAACAGTTGAATTTTGGTGCTTTTCTGGCCCAAAAACTTGTTTCTGCTGCAGACAAGTTTTCAGTTTGTTAACAACAGAAGCAGGTGACAAAGTGAATTTTGACCACTTTCCAACATTATATGAGAAATATTTAATTTCAACAAAATGTTTCAGCGTGTTGGAACAGAAGACAACCATCATTCTCCAAGATCACTTTATTGAATACCTGTGAATGTCAGTCACAAAAAAACAAGCAATAAAACTTTAATTTCATCAGAGTGTAAAGGCATTTTTTACAGGATTCGACAAAAGAAAAAAAAACATTTAAACCTTATTTATTATATTTTTGATTTCTTTTTGCTGAGCAGAAAAAAGATGTTTGAGTTCACAAAAAAGGAAACCTCAGATAAATAGAGCAACACAAGGATGAAGATGAATGTTCAAAACTCGGTACCTGAGAATCATTTAGACCCAAAGAAAATTAAAAAACAGGCAGATGTTGAAACTTGAGACTGTCCGGAAAAGAACTGACTAAGTTCTTTTTGAGAATAATATAGGCTACATCTTTAAAACGTTATTAACTGATAGCATTTGTTAATGACAGTAATAAGCTCCACTCTTCTGTTGAGTCTCTTCATGACTGAGGTCAGCTGACGCTTTCAACCAACACCTGAGGGATGACAGAAGGAGTGCCACAGTGATGGACCAGAACAGAGAGACAGAAACACTCACTTCAGGGTGCCAAGATCTTGAGCGGTACTACATCATCCACTAGCTGTGGCTGTTGACACGAAGACTGGGGGGACTGACTACGAAACATGGACCAAGTTAACTGGTAATAGAACCCGTATGTCAGCATTTCCTTCTTTTTTTATACATATATATCCTCTTGCGCTATTGTGTTATTCTCTTTCTTAAAGAAGAAGTGAAATTAACTGAACTGAAAATTTTGCAATTTACAATGTTTATTTTACAGATGTTAAGGCAGTGTGTGAAACAATAAAAGATCCCTTTATCATAATGATTTGATTGTCTGGCACAGTGTTAGTATAAAAGCAATGATTAGTGCGGCTTTAACGCTGTGTTTGTGGCTGTTCATCTGTCCTCTTCATCCTCATTGTTGGACAGGAGGGGCTTGAACTGTGATCACCGGCTGAGAGGAACAACAAAAAAAAAAGGGAAAAAGAGTCAAATTAAAAGGTTGACTCCTTCAGACTGGGCTGAATTTTAAAATTTCTTATGAAGTTATAAAAAATATACATATACTATTGATATCTACAGTATACTATATACGATAGGCTAATGCTCTTCATGCCGACAGGAGAACATTTTCGAAGTGAAACCAAATCGTATTCTCTGCATTTTAAATCGGCCGGGCCCTAAAATAAGCTTAATATGTATAAGAAAGAGAGATACCTGTAAAATTAAGGAGATAAACACTTGTTTGTATCATGCAAACATTTCACAGTGGTTTCACCTGCATGGGTGAAGAATTGATCATCCAGTTAGATAAGTCACCGTCTGTTTTCACTCACCATTTTTGGAGCTGGAGCACAGCAGTTGACCACCTTGCAGCAGTAAGCGGCTAAAGTCACAGAGATGGCCATCAAACAAACATTAATCAGCACACCTTCAGCGTGGAAATGGGACTGTGTGGACTTCAAGAGGAGAGAGGATGACATGAAAACAAGATAAAATACACAGTTGTGTTTACTGAGGTGATTTCAGGACTTCAAACTCTGAAATAACTGTTGCTGACGTTTTATGTGTGAGATTTTAAAAAGTAAAACAGTAAGATTTATGTAAGTTCATTTAACTTTATAGTAAATCAAGGTTTTTGACTCACCACAACTTTGTGGCAGGTTTCTCTGATGTGAAGGGTGTTGTTGTCATCACCGTAGTACCAGCAGGAGTAATATATCATCTCCATTTTGACAATATTGAAGATCATGTTGAAGACTGAAGCTACACATGCCACAATCTGCATCCCCAAACATGCTCTGAGCTGACACATGAAAAACAAGAGTGGATCTATCAGCATAAGTATTTGAGTTTCCTGTCTGCTCCTTCTCTGTGCTAGACGCTGACTAAAAGAGCTCCATACATCCTTCATTCAAGCTTTGACTGACTAAAAAAAAGCTGAAATACAAGTTTACTGATTGATGATGACTCACTGTTGGCAGGTGGAGGTTCTGTGCTGCTACAGCCACGCTCCCCGCGATAATAACCTGAGAAGGACATAGACATCACACCGTCTAAATGTCGTCAACATTAGGACCAAGAGTGGAGGTCAAAAGGCTGAAAAAACAACCTGCTGGAGGGGAGAACCAAAGTCAGCTCAGCAGGAGAAGGACACGACAAATAAAAAGTGAACTTTGATGATGAGAGGTGTCTACAGTCAATATAGAAGTCAGACCTTATGACCCGTGTTAGTCCACGCAGTCCTGTAATGCACCTGTTTATACTGTAAGTTTGACTCTCACACATATGTCAATTTTCCTCTATCCCTTTATCACTGTCGCCCATCTTCTCATCATCTATTTTGATTTTTGGTTGCACAGGTGGTTGACAGGTGCTCACCAGTACACATGCAATGATGAAGGCGATGTCTCCGCCCGGTCGGCCCAGGTCATTGGCCAGAAACACGCTTGCGCAGATGATCTGATAAGCGCTCATGCCGATCTGGGTGACCTGGAACAGCACAGAGAGTACCTCATATTTAAATATCACAAACTCGTGTTTGATGTCATCTCAAAAACACACTTTCTTCGACACTCGGGGCAGCTCACCCCCAGAAACTTGGGTTCAGCCTCCAGGTATTTGCGCTTTCTGTTGACGTTTCTCTGGAAGGAAATTTCGACCAGAGGACTCTGATTCGGACTGACTCCCTCCTCCACCACCGCATCTTCATCTGAGTGTGCAGCTGAAAACAACACCTGGATCTCATCACTCTAGCACAAACATGCCTCTCCACATTCAGACCCTCACTTGAAGTATTTAGATATAATTGAAGAGCGTCTTTTTTTTACCTTCCATAGTCACAGAAAGTCCGTTAAATCCTCCGCAGACAGATCTCTTCCCGTTTTTTGAGGTTATACATGCTACAGGAAGTTTTGCAACAACCTTTCGGATCTGTCCAAGTCCCGCCCCGAGCCCGTCCTGTCAGCTACCCACGTCCAGCTGCAAGGATGTTTGAGACCAGAGTCCGGATTGGCTGGTTCTATTTACTTCTATTTGACATAGCCTAAAGATAAATAAGGAGCTAATGGATGAGGACTAAATACACATTTACCTCCATAATTGCAGCTTCTCTGATAAAGTACTAAAATCCAACTATTTTATAATGAATTTATTAAAGAAGCTAAAACACTGTTTATGTAAAACAAGTTTTTATGTCGAGTTAATGAAAATAAAATAGTTTATATGAGAAAACTTTGATACGTAGAGATAACGAGATAATAAGTCGTTATCATAGACTGTATATAGAATAGACGTCATCTGTCTCCTCGCTGGGTAAAGCCACCCTGAGAACAGCACCCTCTGGTGACAGGCTGCAGTATAGGTCATAAATCCCGCCTCCTCCAGCAATCTCTATGTAGTTGTGGACAAACTTTAAAAATTAATTACACAGAATATAATTTTTTCTCCCCTCTGCTAGTGATGTTGACATGTAGTTACTGTAAGACTGGTTTGTGCTCAGGTCCTCTCATTTCTGTACAGCTCAGATTTTTAAAAGTTATTAGGGGGTTCATGTTTTCTACGATTGACACTTGATACAGCCTATGGGTGTACAGAGATTGTGTGGCTCGTCTGGGGGGATACACTGGTTGAGCCGAGCGTCATCACAGTGACTCTCCTGCCGAATGCGCACGATGCTACTGCGTAATGTTGGTTTCAGGAAACAGAGAGAAAATGCAGAATTACCGAGAGCTTTTTGGCTTCAAATCCATATACTGGTGGAAGGCGGAACCAAGTTGTCCAGAGTATTTACAGTCTATGGTTGTTATCACTGGATAACTGTGCATGAAAAGAAAAATCCATGGCCGTTCTCGTCTTCCTTATGGAGCCTTTTTAAAAGTGTGACAAAACCATAATATGATACTGCAAATAATTTACACCCTATATTCAACAAAACCACTCAATCTTTATTTGTAGCCTATAGGACTTTTCATACAAGGCAATGTAGCACAAAGTGATTTAGACAGAAGAAGAATAAAAGAAAGATAGAAAGAACAATTAAAAAAAAACAATACATTCAATTTTTTTTTACCTCTGTGTGAAAACTATATACTAATTTAGTCTACATTTGAATTAAACATGTTTCAGAGATGGAACAAAAGACGCCAATCATTTTCCAAAATTATTTATTGAATACTTGTGACAGTCACAAAAAAAAAACAACTTAAATTTCATCAGAGTTTGGAGGCATTTTTACAGGATTTGACGAAAAATATATATATATTTAATCGGTAATGTCTGCGCACAGATGGTTCTACCATCCTAAAACTACCATGAAGCCCATAATATTCAAAAAATCATTTCTTATTGTTGAGCAGAAAAAAAGATGTTTGAGTTCACAAAAAAGAAAACTTCAGATAAATTGAACAACACAAAAATGAAGATAAATGTTTAAAACTCAGTACCTGAGAATCATTTAGACCCAAAGAGAAGTAAAACAACAGGCAGAATTGAAATATGTCTGTCTTTAAACTCTGATTTTAGTTCATTTTAAGTACAAAATACATCTTTAAAAAGTTATTAAAAGGTAGCATTTGTTAATGACAGTAATAAGCTCTACTCTTCTCTTGAGTCTCTTCATGACTGAGGTCAGCTGTCGCTCACAACCAACATCCAAGGGAAGACAGATGGAGAGCCACAGTGATGGACCAGAACAGAGAGACAGAAACACTCACTTCAGGGTGTAAAGATCTTCAGTGGTCCTACATCATCCAGCGACTCTGACTGTTGACACGAAGACTGGAGGACTGATTACAAAACATGGACCAAGTTAAGTGGACTGGTACCCTACATATGAGCATTTACTTCTTTTTCATCCTCTCATGTTGTCGTGTAATCCTCTTTCTTAATGAAGGAGTGAAATTAACTGAACTGAAAATTAGGGTAAATTAATGGATAAACTACAGGGTATTTGTGAATTTGTGATGAACTGTGAGGTGAATTTCTGGACTGGACTCTGAATTTTTTTGAAAGTGGCATCTGTTTTTGTTTGATTTTTAAACACTAACGCCTAAAATCGACTCTGACTCTGTTTGTGGCTCTTTGCTGCCTTAAGAGAGTGGATATTGTTGGTTGTTTGTGTCAGTAATAAGCACAAAAGAAGGTTTTTCAAGACTCTTCAGACTAAGAGAGGAAGTTGACCCTGATCTCAATGTTAAGAGGCTCAAAAATGTCTAACTGGCCGTCACAATGACAGGAATCTGTGAGTTAATAACACAACTCTCACATTCACAGTGAAAATTATAAAAAGAAAGACCAGAGTGTGCAGAGTATTTTTTATATTTCACCTATAACCCACAGGACTGTAGAGGTCACTTTTCAGTCACTTTCTCCTGCTTGGTAACCCCAGCTGTTATCTCTCTTTGTGAGTCTGCGCCACAGTTTGTGATTATTAAATCTTTCTTTTTAAGGAAAGTTCAGTTAAAGGAGATCTCTGCAGGTTAACCTTTAAAATTGGAAAGTCATGTCATATATTTGCAACTTCAGATGATTATTGATTCTGTTTTTAGCTTAAATGCTGCTCTGTGCTTCAGTGCTCATTTCTAACTGTACTTTGCAGATGTTAAGGCAGTGTGTGAAACATTAAAAAGATCCCTTTGTCATAATGATTTGATTGTCTGGCACAGTGTTAGTATAAAAGCAATGATTAGTGCGGCTTTAACTCTGTGTTTGTGGCTGTTCATCTGTCCTCTTCATCCTCATTGTTGGACAGGAGGGGCTTGAACTGTGATCACCGGCTGAGAGGAACAACAAAAAAGACATGAAAAAAGAATAAAATCAAGAGGTTGACTCTGTCAGACTGCATTTTTTTAGTGCTTCTACTTAAAATGAAGAATTTGCCTTCTAGGATTTTGTTGCAGCCTGTTTAACAGCTGCATGAATAAGCTTAATATGTATAAGAAAGAGAGATACCTGTAAAATTAAGGAGATAAATACTTGTTTGTATCATGCAAACATTTCACAGTGGTTTCACCTGTATGGGTGAAGAATTGATCATCCAGTTAAATAAGTCACCGTCTGTGTTCACTCACCATTTTCGGAGCTGGAGTGCAGCAGTTGACCACCTTGCAGCAGTAAGCAGCTAAAGTCACAGAGATGGCCATCAAACAAACGTTTATCAGCACACCTTCAGCGTAGAAATGGGACTGTGTGGTCTGCAAGAGGAGAGAGGATGACATAAGAATAGGATTAAATACACAGTTGTGTTTACTGAGGTGATTTCAGGACTTCAAACACTGAAATAACTGCTGCTGACGTTTTATGTGTGAGATTCTAAAAAGCCAAACAGAAAGATTTATGTAAATTCATTTAACTTTATAGTAAATCAAGGTTTTTGACTCACCTCAACTTTGTAGCAGGTTTCTCCAATGTGAAGGGTGTTGTTGTCATCACCGTATTGCCAGCAGGAGTAATATATCATCTCCATTTTGACCAGAGTGAAGATCATGTTGAAGACTGAAGCTACACATGCCACAATCTGCATCCCCAAACACGCTCTGAGCTGACACATGAAAAACAAGAGTGGATCTATCAGCATAAATATTCTAGTTTCCTGTCTGCTCCTTCTCTGTGTTAGACACTGACTAAAAGAGCTCCATACATCCTTCATTCAAGCTTTGACTGACTAAAAAAAAGCTGAAATACAAGTTTACTGATTGATGTGTTGACTCACTGTTGGCAGGTGGAGATTCTGTGCTGCTACAGCCACGCTCCCCGCGATAATAACCTGAGAAGGACACAAACATCACACAGTTTAAATGGCGTCAACATCAGGACCAAGAGTGGAGGTTCAGCTTCAACAAAAGGCTGAAAAAACAACCTGCTGGAGGGGAGAACCAAAGTCAGCTCAGCAGGAGAAGGACACGACAAATAAAAAGTGAACTTTGATGATGAGAGGTGTCTACAGCCAATATTTAGTTTACACTTTGTCTCACTGTCTGTTGTTTTGTGGCTGTTTGTCCAGCTGAAGGTCAATTTAAACTGCATTTATCCGGTTAATTTCAGGTTTTTTTTTTAAATTACAAAATTTACACTTTTCTTCCTGCAGTCTTTAATGAACATGTGCATTGATAGAAGTCAGACCTTATGACCCGTGTAAGTCAATGCAGTCCTGTAATGCACCTGTTTATACTGTAAGTTTGACTCTCACACATGTCAATTTCCCTCTATCCCTTTATCATTGTTGCCCATCTTTTCATCATCTATTTTGATTTTTGGTTGCACAGGTGGTTGACAGGTGCTCACCAGTACACATGCAATGAAAAAGGCGATGTCTCCGCCCGGTTCGCTCAGGTCATTGGCCAGAAACACGCTTGCGCAGATGATCTGATAAACGCTCATGCCGATCTGGGTGACCTGGAACGGCACAGAGAGTACCTCATATCTAAATATCACAAACTCATGTTTGATGTCATCTCAAAAACACACATTCTTCGACACCCGGGGCAGCTCACCCCCAGAAACTTGGGCTCAGCCTCCAGGTATTTGCGCTTTCTGTTGACGTTTCTCTGGAAGGAAATTTCGACCAGAGGACTCTGATTCGGACTGACTCCCTCCTCCACCACCGCATCTTCATCTGGAAACAAACCAGTTCAAAATCGACATTTATGCCGAGCTGAACTCTGGCAAAAAAGACGTGCATGTAGCCTGTGTGCAGCTGAAAACAACACCTGGATCTCATCACTTTAGCACAAACATGCCTCTCCACATTCAGAACCTCACTTTAAGTATTTAGATATAATTGAAGAGCGTCTTTTTTTTACCTTCCATAGTCACAGAAAGTCCGTCAAATCCTCCGCAGACAAATCTCTTCCCGTTTTTTGAGGTTCTACATGCTACAGGAAGTTTTGCAACAACCTTTCGGATCTGTCCAAGTCCCGCCCCGAGCCCATCCTGTCAGCTACCCACGTCCAGCTGCAAGGATGTTTGAGACCAGAGTCCGGATTGGCTGGTTCTATTTACTTCTATTTGACACAGCCTAAAGATAAATAAGGAGCTAATGGATGAGGAATAAATACATATTTACCTCCATAATTGCAGCTTCTCTAATAAAGTATTAAAGTCCAACTATTTTATAATGAGTTTATTAAAGAAGCTAAAACACTATTTATGTAAAACCCTTTGCTATGTCGAGATAACCACAATTAAATTGTTTTTACGAGAAAACTTTGTTATATAGAGATAACAAGTCGTTATCATTAGATAGCTGCAAAAAAAGGAAAAACCATGGTTGTTCTCGTGTTCCTTATGGAGCCTTTCTAAAAGTGTGACAAAACCATAATCCAGTGCTGCAAACAATTTACACCCTATATTCAATAAAACCAATCAATCTTTATTCGTAGCCTATAGGACTTTTCATACAAGGCAATGTAGCACAAAGTGATTTAGACAGAAGAAGAAGAAAAGAAAGATAGAAAGAAAGAAAGAAAGAAAGAAAGAAAGAAAGAAAGAAAGAAAGAAAGGAGAACAGTTCAGAAAACAATACATTAAATGTGGATATAAAAAGTCTACACACCCCTGTTCAACTGCCAGGTTTTCGTGATGTGAGAAAATGACAGCAAGATAAACATTTTCACAACTTTTTCCACCTTTAATGTGACCTATAACCTGTACAACGCAATTGAAAAACAAACTGAAACCTTTAAGGGGAAAAATAAAAAATAGAAAAGTTAAAATTTCCTGGTTGCATAAATATGCACACCCTTAAACTAATACTTTGTTGCAGCACTCAGTCTTTTTGGGTAGGAGTCTATCAGCGTGGCACATCTTGATATGGCAATATTTGCCCACTCTTCTTTGCAGAACCGCTCCAAATCTGACAGATTGCGAGGGCATCTCCTGTGCACAGCCCTCTTCAGATCACCCCAAAAATGTTCGATGGGATTCAGGTCTGGGCTCTGGCTGGGCCATTTCAAAGCCTCAATCTTATTCTGGGGAAGCCATTCTTTTGTTCATTTAGATGTGTACTTTGGGTCATTGTCGTGCTGAAAGATGAAGTTCCTCTTCATCTTCAGCTTTCTGACGTCTAAGGACGAAGGTTTTGCGCCAACACTGACTGGTATTTGGAACTATTCATGATTCCCTCCACCCTGACTATGGCACCAGTTCCAGCTGAAGAAAAACAGCCCCAAAGCATGATGCTGCCACGACCATGCTTTACTGTAGGTATGGTATTCTTTTGGTGATGAGCAGTGTTGTTTTTGCGCCAAATATACCTTTTGCAATGATGCCCAAAAAGTTCAACGTTGGTTTCATCAGACCATAAGACATTTTCCCACATGCGTTGGGGAGATTTCAGATGTTTTTTTGAAAATTAAGCTGGGCTCTGATGTTTTTCTTTGTTAGATAAGGCTTCCATCTTGCCACCAAACCCCATTGCCCAGACATATGAAGACAGCGGGAGCTTGTTGTCACATGTACTACACGGCCAGTACTTGCCAGAAATTCCTACAGCTCCCACAGTGTTGCTGTCGTCCTCTTGGTAGCCTCCCTGCCCAGTTTTCTTCTTCTCTTATCAACAATTTTGGACGGACGCCCTGTTCTTGGTAATGTCACCGTTGTGCCATATTTACTCCACTTGATGATGACAGTCCTCACTGTGTTCCATGGTATATTTAATAACTTGGAAATTCTTTTGTAGCCCTCACCTGACTGATATCTTTGAATAATGAGATCCCTCTGATGCTTTGGAAGCTCTCTGTGGACCATGGCTTGTGCTGAAGATGTGGCTACAAAAATGTCAGGAAATGTCCACTACAACAGCTGGACTTTAATTGGGGTTGATCAGAGGCACTTTAATTGGTGACAGGTGTGTGCCGACTCCAATTTAACCTGAGTTTGAGTGTTACTGGTTAAATCTGAACACAGCCACATCCCCAGTTATTAAAGGGTGTGCACACTTATGCAACCACATGATCTCAGTTGTTTTTTTTTACTTCATCTTCTCGAAAGATTTCAGTTTGTTTTTCAATTGTGTTTTACAGGTTATAGGTCACATTAAAGGTGGAAAAAGTTGTGAAATTATTTATCTTGATTTATTTTTTTTATATGACAAAAACCTGGCAGTTGAACAGGGGTGTGTAGACTTTTTATATCCACTGTGCTATGAGTTTTTACTTCTGTATAAAAAAATATATACTAATTTAGTCTACATTTGATTTAAAACATGACGCCGATCATTTTCCAACACTATTTTATTGAATACTTGTGTCAGTCACAAAAGAAACAAACAATAAAACTTAAATTTCATCACAGTTTAAAGGCATTTTTACAGATTTCAATGAAAGGAAAAAAAATACCTTTAATCTGTAATGCCTGTGCACAGATGGTTCTACCATTCTACAATTACTGTAAAGCCTATAACTTTCAAAAAATTGGAATTCATACAAAAGTGCTAAATCACATTTTGATTTCTTATTGTTGAGCAGAAAAAAAGAGTTTTGAGTTAAAAATAGAAACCAGATAAATTGAACAACACAAGGATGAAGATGAACGTTCAAAACTTGGTATCTGAGACTCATTTAGACCCAAAGAATATTTCAAAAACAGGCAGAAGTGAAATATGCCTGTCTTTAAACTCTGATTTTAGTTCTTTTTAAGTATAAAATACATTATTATTAAAAGGTAGCATTTGTTAATGACAGTAATAAGCTCTACTCTTCTGTTGAGTCTCCTCATGACTGAGGTCAGCTGTCGCTCACAACCAACATCCAAGGGAAGACAGATGGAGAGCCACAGTGATGGACCAGAACAGAGAGACAGAAACACTCACTTCAGGGTGTAAAGATCTTCAGTGGTCCTACATCATCCAGCGACTGTGGCTGTTGACACGAAGACTGGAGGACTGATTACAAAACATGGACCAAGTTAAGTGGACTGGTGCCCTACATATGAGCATTTACTTCTTTTTCAAAATATCCTCTCATGTTGTCGTGTAATCCTCTTAATGAAGAAGTGAAATTAACTGAACTTAACTGAAAATTTGGGTAAATTGATGGATAAACTACAGGGTATTTGTGTATTTGTGATGAACTGTGAGGGGAAATCCTGGACTGGACTTTGACTTTTTGGAAAGTGGTATCTGTTTTTGTTTGATTTTTAAACACTAACGCCTGAAATCGACTCTGACTCTGTTTGTGGCTCTTTGCTGCCTTAAGAGAGTGGATATTGCTGGTTGTTTGTGTCAGTAATAAGCCCAAAAGAAGGTTTTTGAGACTTCTCCAGACCTTCATAGTGTTGACTAAAAGAGGAAATTAACCCTGATCTCAGTGTTGAGAGGCTTAAAAATGTCTAACTGGCTGTCACAATGACAGGAATCTGTGAGTTAATAACACAACTCTCACATTCACAGTAAAAAAAATATATTAAAAGAAAGACCAGAGTGTGCAGAGTATTTTTTATATTTCACCTATAACCCACAGGACTGTAGAGGTCACTTTTCAGTCACTTTCTCCTGCTTGGTAACCCCAGCTGTTATCTCTCTTTGTGAGTCTGCGTCACAGTTTGTGATTATTAAAACTTTCTTTTTAAGGATAGTTCAGTTAAAAGAGATCTCTGCAGGTTAACCTTTAAAATTGGAAAGTCATGTCATATATTTGCAACTTCAGATGATTACTGAAAATAACATGCATCAATACTTAAACAGTGACAGCCCTTAACACAAGGTTTGGAAGCACAGATGAGCTGCACACAGGGCTAACACACATGATCACTTAGTCACGTTTGTGTGATGGCTAATTGGCTAATTGAATATTGACCCTCCTCTGAACTCTGTTTTTAGTTTTAATACTGCTCTGTGCTTCAGTGCTCATATCTAATTGTACTTTGCAGATGTTAAGGCAGTGTGTGAAACATTAAAAAGATCCCTTTGTCATAATGATTTGATTGTCTGGCACAGTGTTAGTATAAAAGCAATGATTAGTGCGGCTTTAACGCTGTGTTTGTGGCTGTTCATCTGTCCTCTTCATCCTCATTGTTGGACAGGAGGGGCTTGAACTGTGATCACCGGCTGAGAGGAACAACAAAAAAGACATGAAAAAAAGAATAAAATCAAGAGGTTGACTCTGTCAGACTGCATTTTTTTAGTGCTTCTACTTAAAATGAAGAATTTGCCTTCAAGGATTTTGTTGCAGCCTGTTTAACAGCTGCATGAATAAGCTTAATCTGTATAAGAACGAAAGATATCTGTTACATGAGGGAGTGTTATACTCGTTTGTATCAAGCAAACATTTCACAGTGGTTTCACCTGCATGGGTGAAGAATTGATCATCCACTTAGATAAGTCACCGTCTGTGTTCACTCACCATTTTTGGAGCTGGAGCGCAGCAGTTGACCACCTTGCAGCAGTAAGCGGCTAAAGTCACAGAGATGGCCATCAAACAAACGTTTATCAGCACACCTTCAGCGTAGAAATGGGACTGAGTGGTCTGCAAGAGGAGAGAGGATGACATGAAAATAGGATTAAATACACAGTTGTGTTTACTGAGGTGCTCTCATGACTTCAAACACTGAAATAACTGCTGCTGACGTTTTATGTGTGAGATTCTAAAAAGCCAAACAGTAAGAGATCTTTAAATTGACTCACCTCAATTTTGTGGCAGATTTCTCTGATGTAAAGGGTGTTGTTGTCATCACCGTAGTGCCAGCAGGAGTAATACATCATCTCCATTTTGACCAGAGTGAAGATCATGTTGAAGACTGAAGCTACACATGCCACAATCTGCATCCCCAAACACGCTCTGAGCTGACACATGAAAAACAAGAGTGGATCTATCAGCATAAATATTCTTGAGCTGCATACATCCTTCATTCAAGCTTTGACTGACTAAAAAAAAGCTGAAATACAAGTTTACTGATTGATGTGATGACTCACTGTCGGCAGGTGGAGGTTCTGTGCTGCTACAGCCACGCTCCCCGCGATAACAACCTGAGAAGGACATAAACATCACACCGTTTAAATGGCGTCAACATCAGGACCAAGAGTGGAGGTGAGCAAAGGCTGAAAAAACAACCTGCTGGAGGGGAGAACCAAAGTCAGCTCAGCAGGAGAAGGACCCGACAAATAAAAAGTGAACTTTGATGATGAGAGGTGTCTACAGCCAATATTTAGTTCACACTTTGTCTTACTTTCTGTTGTTTTGTGGCTGTTTGTCCAGCTGAAAATGAACTTTAACTGTGGGCATATTGAGTTAATTTCATTTTTTTGTCTTTTTTTTTTGTTCAAAATAATACAACATTGACAGCTCGCATGCACTTTTAATTTTTCTTCCTGCAGTTTTTAATGAACCTGCACTGATTGAGGTCAGACCTCATGACCCGTGTTAATCTGTGCAGTCCTGTTATGCATCTGTTTACACTGTAAGTTTGACTCTCAGACACATACATATGTCAATTTTCTGAATCCCTTTATCACCATTGCATACACACAAATAAATGCTGGGTTGTTTTTTCAACCCCACCACTAGGTTGAGCCTGTTGGTCAATTTATTTGGGTTATTTTCATGGAGTTGGGTATTCTGAGTACCCAATTTGCAAGGTTATTTATGTTGGGATCAGAGTAATTAGCTGTTGGGTTGTAATTTCTTTACAGTTTTGTTGGTTTATTGTGGACTACCCAATACATTGTGTAGATGTTTGGGGATTTGAAACCAAGCACCACCCACTCACCAGATTGATGCAACAACTACTGAAGCGAGGAGACGTACAAAGCAAGGTTTGTTACATTCCCACTATTGCTTTACCATATAGATGACTTGATATCCTTATATGGACCCTCATTTTGTTGTTAAGATGTAACTTTGTGAAGCACTGTTGTGTACCAGGTTCTGTCTTCAGGACTCGATTGGTAGGTGAGCAAGCTAATGGTTAGCCAACGTTAGTAGCATAAAGTACACTGCCTCAAATGTAGCAAGCTAACACGTTAGCTGGTGTGCGGTGTGGTGTGGTGTGGTGTGGTCAGAAATGTTGATCTACTTAATGGGCTCTCTGTCTTGATGTTTCAGGATGATATGGACAATCAGTGGATGACTTTGTGACATGGAGTGGAGTGGATGCAAGATACAACTTCCTGTTCTGTATTATTTATTTTGGAAAGATAAGAAAACCATATGAAAAAAACTGCCAAATATTAACAAACTCCAAAGTTCATCCTCTGTCGGTAAAATGGAAAGAGAGCTGTTAAGGGGCGGCAGTAGCTCAGGAGGTAGAGCGGTCGTCTAATAACCGGAAGGTTGGCGGTTCAATCTCTGTCTGTCAGTTGTGTCCTTGGGCAAGACACTTAACCCACCTTAGTCCCTGTGTGTGTCCTCCACTGGTGTATGATTGTGAGTGTTGTGTGGTGGTGGTTAGAGAGGCCGTAGGTGCAAACTGGCAGCCACGTTTCCGTCAGTCTGCCCCAGGGCAGCTGTGACTACTAAGGTAGTTTACCACCACAATGAATGATGTATCCAATGCAAAGCGCTTTGAGGGTCTCTGATACGGCGCTACATGAAATCTGATGCTTTAATATAATTTAATATTATATTAAATATTAACAACCCAACAAGCTGGGTTTTAAGAACCCAGCAGAGTAGTTATTGTGAACCCTTATTTAGGTTAAATGAACAACCCAATTGTTGGGTTCAGTGAACCAACCTAATTAGTTGGGTAAAATTAACCCAGCATGTGTTCTGTCCAATATTTAACCATCCCTTTATCATTGTTGCCTATCTTCTCATCATCCACTATCATTTTTGGTTGCACAGGTGGTTGACAGGTCCTCACCAGTAGACATGCAATGAAGAAGGCGATGTCTCCGCCCGGTCGGCCCAGGTCATTGGCCAGAAACACGCTTGCGCAGATGATCTGATAAGCGCTCATGCCGATCTGGGTGACCTGGAACAGCACAGAGAGTACCTCATATTTAAATATCACAAACTCATGTTCGATGTCATCTCAAAAACACACATTCTTCGACACTCGGGGCAGCTCACCCCCAGAAACTTGGGTTCAGCCTCCAGGTATTTGCGCTTTCTGTTGACGTTTCTCTGGAAGGAAATTTCGACCAGAGGACTCTGATTCGGACTGACTCCCTCCTCCACCACCGCATCTTCATCTGGAAACAAACCAGTTCAATATCGACATTTAGGTCGAGCTGAACTCTGAGAAAGAAGACGAGCATGCAGGCTATGTGCAGCTGAAAACAACATCTGGATCTCATCACTTTAGCACAAAGATGCTTCTCCACATACAGACCCGCACTTTAAGCATAAATATGCTTAAAGAGCGCCTTCTATACCTGCCATAACCACAGAAAGTCCGTTAAATCCTCCAGGACAGATCTATTCCCGTTTTCTCCGTAGTTTGCAGGAAGTTTTGCAACAACTTTGCGGATCCGACTGTCCGAGTCCCGCCCCGAGCCCATCCTGTCTGCAACCTGAGTCCATTTTCAAAGTCAGCTGATTGAGACCAGGCCCGGATTGGCTGGATACAGATTAATACAGAGTTGATGTATAAGGAGTTAATACACATGTGAATTAATTAAAGAGGCTAAAACACAATTCATGTAAAACCCCGAAGAATTGGCGCTTATATAAAACTTGGCAAAACCGGAAAAAACAACAACAACAATATCTTAAATGTTAATACTATTTGTTTGTCTATCTGAAAAAAATATAGCAATATGCACGTTTGAAAGACAGAACAAAAAACGACCTAAAAAAAAAATAAAATAAATAATAATAATAAATAAATAAATTTATTTATTCATTATTAATAATAATAAAAATAATAATAAATAACGCTGAGTCAATAGAGTCAAGTAAAAAAAGACAAATGTTTGTCAGGAATATGAAAACCTACTTTAGAATTATATAAAAATATACACAGTATAATAAAATGAGGTTATGTAGAAATCGTATTTGTTATGTACCTGCAGTGCTAATTCACGACAAATTGTAAATCTAAAACTTTTTATCTTAGCAAAATTATTTAATCTTTTAACATATTTAAGATGTAACTCTAAATTTCATATTTGGTTTTAGTTGGTTATTAATTCTTGATGGTTCATTATCTAAAATTTTCAAGGAGAATACCGTGATTAATGATTGATTTGGCATTTATTTTCCTCTTTATGTTCCCCTTTACCCCCTATTTACTGCATTATTTCTTTTTTCATCCCATCAGTTTTTTTCCCCATGTAATTTCATTGTATTGCCAACATTTGCTTATCTCTTTTCCTATTATAATCTTTTCAGTGACTTCAACAATGAGTAATTTACAGAAATCTCAAAATTTATTCAACTAATTTTTGAGTAAAATAGTCAGGGGATAACACTCTAGTTGAAAAACATGAACCCAAACACACAGTTTTAGAAATATCACTTTATTAAGAAAGGCAGAACAACAGCAAAGGTGCTCACACTGAATAAGACACTAAATGCCACTCATTCTCGGGAGTGAACAGCACCACCTAATGGACTAACCGGACACAGCAGCTATGATACTTCACCTGCCGAACTCAACCTAAATCGGCTTTTTTTTTCATCGAAATCCGGGGAGTCTGCCATCATTTACACCTGAAAGAAAATGCTGTTTGAAAACCGAGACCTCATTTGGCTTTAGATGCAGAGACAGAGGAAAGTTTTCGGCTGTCACTCAGAGGTGAGTTTGGATTATTTGAACTGTAGCAGTACAGTCTCCATAACTTTTTGTTTTCAAATGGTGTCAGAATTACGAATATTGGCAAAACTCTACAACTAAAGCAGAACGTATATTTATAACCTGGTTAACAGACATGTTTGAAGAGACACTGGTTCACTTTGACTCTTTCCTTCAGATTGTTCCGGATGATGAGCGAGTTTACACTTCCTGGTTTCCTTAATCAGCTGACCTTGTGCAAATCAAAATAGCTAGGTGGTTAACATCGTCGCTAGCAAAGCAGATATTATCGACAAGTGTATTTTCCTAAAAAGTAAACCTATTCCTTCAAACGTACAGAAATCAGAGGTGGATATGAGAGTGGGAGATACACTCAACAGGTGTGATCTTCAAAGTTTAACAAACTCTTTTTAAACCCTCCATTGCTGCGTTTGTATGAGAATTAGCATCATAAAGTATAAAGAAAATGTTATTTTTTTACAGTAATAAGTGCAATAAATGATCCCAGACATAAGTAATCCAGAAAAACATACTTCTTTTTCTTCATTTGTGCTCATTAATATGAAAAAGATCCCTTTAAAAAGTAAAATAATAGCACAGTACAATAGTACACCAGTTTTCATCTCTCAAACACAAAAGAACATTATATATAAAACAGTTAAATGAACGTGGTCACAATTATCAGTTAGTTAATTTTATGAAATCTTTTTTGAGTTTCTAATTCCACTGTTTTTTGAGAACATACTGCAGGTTTGGACCATAGACTGTATATAATTTTTGTTGGAATGGGTCTTTGACCCTGCATTACCCACATTAAGTCATTTTCATCTTGGGTTTCCCACAGCATTTGAACAAGCTCAGGACACCCTGCTACTTAAGCACTCCACACTCAACCCAAACCAGGTTGGTGATCACAGGCCAGTTTTACTTCTGCTAAATCTAGCAAATATTCTTGAGCATACAGTGTTTGATCAGGTTTCTGAGTCCTTGCTCAACAACCTGTTTGATCCACATTGGTCTGGCTTTCAGCTGGGCCATTACAATAAAACAGCTCTTCTGTCATTAATGGAAGTTGCGAGAACTGCTAGAACTAAGTTCTATTGCTGCTGAATCTGTCTGCTGCATTTGACACAGTGAAACACCAAATTCTGCTCTCCTCTCGCACTGAACTTAGTATCACATGACCTGCCCTCCAGTGATAAGTGTACTACCCATAGACTGTATATAGAATGGACAGCGTCTGCCTCCACCTTGAGTAAAGCCACTCCGAGAACAGCACACTCTGGTTACGGGCTGCAGTATAGGTCATAAATCCCGCCTCTGCCAGCCAGCCTTATGGGGCTCTGGACAAATTTATTTCCAATTTATGTTGACATGTAGTTATTGTAAGACTGGTTTGTGTTAAAGTCCTCTTTTTTCTGAACAGCTCCATTTTTAAAAGTTTTTAGAGGGTTCATGATTTCTGTGATTGACCCTTGATATAGCCCATGGGCGTATGAAGATTGCATAGCTCACGCAGGGATATACTCTTGGTGACTCTCCCGCTGAGTGTGCACAATGTTACTGCGCAAGTGGTGGTGTGCATACAACGCTACTGCGCAATGTTGGTTTCAGGAAGTGGAGAAAAAAACGCGGAATTACCAAGAGCATTTCGGCTTCAAATCCGTATACTGGTGGAAGGCGGAACTAAGTTGTCCATAGTATATACAGTCTATGGTTTAGACGGATTTTTGCTGACACAGGCTGTGAATAAAATAATGAAAGGTCACCAAACAGTGAAGATGTCAGTTTGAACAGATATTTCATTATCTGTTACACCATTTAGTGTCTGAAGAGTTTAATACTTTTAATTTTGTGCATTTATCAAATTAAACAGACCTGCCTGGCTTTTAGAAGTTTTTGTAAAAACAAACAAATGAACAAAAACAAGTTTTATTATTGACCTTAAAAATATATAGACGTATGGAGCCCAGAGTGTGTCACTGGAAAAACAAAACGAAAACAGCTACTCCGTATTTTACATTTTATGTTTTCCTTTTTTGGGTAAGAAATAATTTCAGAGTTGAACAAGACAAATCCACTTTCATACTTACATTTTCTTACCTTTGTTCTCTGTTTTGAAAGTGTTAATAGTTTTTTCAAAAGCTGTCACATTTTTTGTTTTCATTTGCTAATTTTGAATTTGCATTATTAATTATATTACATTTCATTTCCATATATTAACATGTGTTGATTTATTTTGATGGGATTAGATTAATCATAATTAATCATTTTCAGTGTAGATTACATTTAAATAAGATTCAAAGTTAACACTTTTATTTTACCTTTGCACAGGTTATTTGATTCCCACTACTTTGAATTAATTTTCATGTTATCAGCTGATTATTTAACATTTTTTTCTTTTTTTAAAATCAAAATATGTATCTACAAGCACCTCCCCTAAAATTTCAGATTTACAATAAACCAATTTAAATTTGTCCAACCTTTTTTAATTGGGGTCCTCAAATGAAATTTTATTAAAAGTATTAAATTACAAGATTTTTTGCTTTTTGTTGTGAATTCAACTTTAAAAAATGTCAAAAGAAATAAAAGAAATAAAACAGTAAAATGTACACTTTTTAAAAAATATATTTATTTTGACTCAGCTGTTAAACTCAAATTTCAATCCAACATATAAATACAGAGAAGAATTCAACAATACAACCTTTTAAAACTAATTTGATTTGTGGATTTCTGAAAGCATCTGATTGGATCAGTTTTTCAATGATTATAATGAATCACTTTGAATTATTCCAGTGACAGACTCCAGTTTCCATACACCGCAGACCTTGTAGTTAAAATGGTAAATTTGGACAAAATGACAGAAAAAAAAGCAGGTTAGGCTTTAGTGGAAGTGCCCTTTGACCCCTGAGAATGATCACAGCCTCACTTTGTTGACACCTGAAGTGACCTCTGACCCTCACAGAGTCTGGTAGCCATCAGTTCTCCTCCGGCGGCCAAGCAGGTAGGCCAGGACCACGATGACGATGAGCACGAGCAATGTCACTCCAACAGCGACGGCGACGCGATAATCGGGCTGGTCTGCGGGACACGGGTCAGCTGGAAAAACACATTCGCATCAGGTTAGACAAACACCTGTCAACACAACCAATCAAAGATGGAGCTTTGATGACCATACTAATGTTAGGGAAGCTTTACTGCTTTTCACATTCAATTTTATCCAACTGAAGCAAAAATCTGTTTAAAGATCTGCAATGTGAAAGAGAGCATGGCCTGAAATAGAACAGTAAGTAAATAAGGCTATATCAGACTTCTTCAATTTTGCTTCAAAATTATGCAAACAGAGAGATCAACATATCTCTCACTGCTACAGATGGATGCAATTAGATAGTTTGAAATATTTTTCACTAGTTTTAAAAGCCTTTGTGAAATCTTTCTTAAAGTAATGTAGTATCAAAAAAGCCCCCATTCTTTTAAAAGGATAACTGTGAGAAATAAACTGCGTTTACAGCTGATCATCTTTTGGCAGTTTGCAGCCGAATGCAAAAGCTAAAGTAACGCAGCTTTAGCACCGCATTGCAAAGACATTACCAGTGTGAGAATATTTTTAATCTAGAAAGTGAAAATACATCTGACAGCCACTGACAGTATGTGCAATATGATCGTTTCACAAGGTGGTTTAATCTGATATGACATAAAGAGTTCACTGAAGCAGTAAAGAACAGCTGCTGCACCAAAGCAACAAACAGTGGACTGAACCAAAGGTTAATTACCCAGGAGAAAATAAAAAAGCCAAAAAGATCTCAGAAAATCTGTTTAACTTCTATATTTTGAACAACAGGCCCAGAGTTCACAGAATTCATTGATTTTGGTGTTCAGGAGTTTGCTTTTGTTGCTGTGGTGTCAGATGGTGGTAGGTATTTATGACCTACAAAAGCAAACAAGTCAATCTGTGACATGACTCATTTTATCTATGCAGTAATTCTTACTCCCTGCAGTGGGTCAGGCATCCAATGCAGAAACTAATCTCATAATTTCAGAAGTGATAAACTTTACTATGAAAAGAAGAAGAGTGAGATTATCTGTTTGAAAACTCTCTTTAAGTTCAGGAAAGGGAAAAACATTGGTACAAGGTAGATGTTTGTCCACAGGAGGCGCCAGAAGCTACTCAAATTTAGAGTCACTAATAGGAGCTTTATTGCAACCTTTAGTTGGTATTATTTCAATGTTTTTTTTTTCTTTCTTGTTTTTGTCGGATGTAATAAAAGCTACATAAATGAAGCTAAGTTCAGCAGAACAGTTTTCTACAAGTTATTAAAGTTAGTTGTTTTGATCAACACTTCTGGGCGTGTGTTTTTGGACATGGTTGTTTTGTTTGGACCAAATCAAACATGCATGTTTAAATGACATTTTTCATTGAGCAGGAGCATCATTTTTAACTTCTCTGTGCTCTGATTTAGTCAGCATGGAGACACTTACGCAGGCCGAACTCGTTGCTCTTGGTCAGGTTGAAGGCCTGCATCCTGTCCTGGTTGACGTCCAGGTACAGTCCTTTCCCCATGTACACAGACTCGCTCTTGCAGGAGTAGGAGAGTCCAACCTTTGCAGGGAAGAGCCTCAGTGACGTGTTGTGGGCACTGAACTTGTTTCCTGCAGTAGTTGAAACAAAGTCATGCTCAGGTGCTTTCAGAGCAGAAAATAAAAACAATGATGTTCAGATATAGAACCAAACTTGTTGGGCCACATTCCACTGAAAGTAGGTTGGTGTTACCTGCTTAACAGTAAATCACTTGCCTAACAGTAATTCCACAGCTTATTTCTAACCCTATTTGAATGCACACACATACACAAACAAAGAAGTCGTTGGCCCTGGTGTGCTTCTTGTCTATGCTAATATTTGCCAGTGTTGCCCAACCTCCACCAGCCACTGAGATATCAGAGCACATGCAGTGACCCAATTAGAGAGTCCAAAGTTTGGACTCTCTAATACGGCTGTAAACCATGTTGAGAAAGTGGAATAAAATGAGATTAATTGGACCTACCAGTTTTGCTCAAAGGGTAGATGAGGTCGAAAGACAGAGTGTGGACATAAACGTCTTCAGCACTCTGTGAATGTAAAAAAACAAACAAACAAAAAAGACAGGTTTGTCCTCCAGTGCTGAACAGAGCATATTAAAACCTTAATTTGTTTTTAGTCAAAGTTTTCATAAATAAATAAATACAACCATCACTAACTTGCGATGTAAAATAACTTATAAGGACTTTTACTGTAGGGTTAGGGTTTAGGTACAAAAAATCTCTGACAACAGTCAATAAAACACAGCTTATTTACTTTATTAACAGTATGGGATCTCAGAGTCTAGCACAGCTAGCACCATCAGCATTCAGTCCTCCTCGAAGGTTTTTTTGTCCACATACCTGTGCTGGTTACTCTTTGCTCTGGTTGAGTTGTTATCAGTTTAACCAGCAAACATTCAAATTTATCTCCATTTTCTGAATCAAAACAAAACCATGTGAACCTATTTAATGCCACTTGTCACCTGTTTTTGTTTACACCTGGGAAGTAGAGCATTTCAGTGTTGTGGCGGGAGCTTTTAGCTGCACAACAGTTTAGCCACAACATAAAACTGGAATTTTAATGATAACCAAATGATAATTCTTGTAACTACTAGCAAGGTTGGCCATGTGTAGTGATCTAGTTGACTAAACCTAAACATCCCTCGTTTTAACCTCACTAAAAATCATCATTCAATTTAGTACCACTAATATGCGATTCCTGCACTTTTCTAGCAAAATTAGCATTTTTGCTTAATCACTGCTGATACAAAATGTAGCTAAGATGCTGATGGCAGCCTAGCTACAGGTAACTACTGCCTCACACTACAGTTCCTTTGTTGACAGTAAAATAAAAAGTGAGGTTAATAATGATAACAATAATAATATCTTGCATTTGTATAGCGCCTTTCAAGATACCCAAAGCGCTTAACAACACACTACAATAAACATAACTGGATACCAAAAGCCTGGATAAACAAGTGTCGCTTCAGAGCAGACTCTCATTGAGTGAAATGTTACTGACCCTTAACTCCCTTGAGATAAAGGTCACCTCTCTGTATTTGCTACTGCTATTTTGCTACCGTGATTATTTCTAGGTTATGTCAGCAGTTTGGCAGTGATGCACTAGTAGAGACAACCTGTTAATCTTTGGGGGAGTCCCATAGAAAACCACAGAATGAATCACACAAGGACTGTGGAGTGAGGCACTTTCCCTGTCACATGCTCTCATAGCAGGCTTTGTAACCTAACTTCCTCTTTTTTAAGGATTGTTGCCTGATTCCATTTTCAATGTAAAAGCACGGACCAAATTTAAGGTCATGATTCAAAAAGAGTGAATGTTTGGTATGTCAAAGTCACTCATGCTGCGGGCTTTTAGTGGAGTCCCAAACTACGGTAATGAGGTAACATATGAGGTACTACAAAGACAGAGATTGACCAAATTTTGAAAAAGAGTGAATCTGAAGTACCTTGTTGAACAAGAAGGTGATGGATCCCTCAGTGAAGACCAGGGTAAGGTTGGCCTTGGGGCTCTTACATTCGCCTTGCACTTTGGTTGACTTTGGCTGAACAATGAAGGTCCCATTTTCCTGAAAGATTTACCACTTGTATTAAACATTCTCAGGACAAATGATTAAGAAAGCAACATTGCTGTGTCATGAAGGCTTAGCAACTGTCACATGACAACTCATCTGACAGACATCACTCATCACAAGCAGGAAATCCAGACTTATAAAAGGACATTTCTCAATTCCTGAAAACTGGTTGCTGACACTGCTTTATTACAAGCTAACTCATCTCAGTTTACAGAAAGTTCAGTCTGTGTTCGTAAGTTTCTAAGTGGCCTGTTAACTCTGGAGGCTAGTGAACCGTACCTTTTGCGATACCAGTCGGATCTGCAGCGCCATCTGAGCCATCAAGCAGATAACATTTTTGTCTGACATCAGGGTGTAGTTGCCTACAGTCAAGTTGGTGGGGGGGGTTGGTGTAGGTGGTGGTGGAGGCTTGGTGGTAGTTGGAGGCTTGGTGGTTGTAGCATTTGTAATTGGAGGCTTGGTGGTTGTAGCATTTGTAATTGGAGGCTTGGTGGTTGTAGCATTTGTAATTGGAGGCTTGGTGGTTGGGGGCTTTGTAGTTGTAGGCTTGGTGGTTGTAGGCTTTGTTGTTGTAGGCTTGGTGGTTGTAGGCTTTGTTGTTGGGGGGTTTTTTGTTGTAGGCTTTGTTGTTGGGGGGTTTTTTGTTGTAGGCTTTGTTGTTGGGGGGGGTTTTGTCGTAGGCTTTGTTGTTGGGGGGTTTTTTGTTGTAGGCTTGGTGGTGGAACTTGGCTGCTGTGGGCTGAACTCACCTGGAGGAGCCACAGTTGCAGAGGGATCAGATTTCTCTCCCTCTTCAGCCAATGACAGCGCTTTAAACAGAAAAAAGAGAAAAATTAAATAATTCAGCTTGCATATAAAACGTTTCAAACTCAACAAGAATGTGGTTCTTATTCATATGAAAAAACACCCTTCAGGTTTAAGCTTTTGCTGAGTAAGTTTATAAAGCAAAAGTTCAGTAAAGTAGATTAAAGCATCCATGTTAGTGTTGGTATATTGAAGAATTATAGTAGTAAGATAAACCTTATTGTCCTCAATAAACACATAAAATGGCCCCTACAGAAAACAAGATTGTTCTTCAGAAATTTGGGTGGTGCTCATGACAACCTTGGCTACCCTGTTCTGCAGCCAAGAACATGGTGAACCCACGGAAAACAAAACTTTCCCCAATAAAAACATCAAACTACACTGAAAATATAAGATGGCTCACCAAATGAACCAGATAGTTTCCCATGACGAAAAGGTGATTTTTAAGGATAAACATGATTTGCCCTGGCCAGGACAGGATGGCCCCAGTCAAAAGACAAAAAGGTTGCTGAGAAACAAAGTGATCCCAAGTTAGTCAGACTCCGACATCAACAATAAAAAGCAGGAAAGTCCATATGAAAAACAAGATTGTGTCTGGGGAAAACAATCAATCAATTTTTATTTATATGTTGTGCCAAATCACAACAGTCATTGTCCCAAGACGCTTTCCAAAAGAGCAGGTCTAAACCACGCTCATTGTTTAATGTATTACAAAGACCCAACTGCTTCTACTGTATGTGAACTAACGTGATTTTTAAGTTTGAATTTTTGCAGGTTTACTCTTTAGTAAAGTAAACTATGTTCCACTTTGCTGTGATGTTGCCTTCAGACAGAGTTAGCAGCTAAACGTCCTGGTGTGGTCCACATGGATCGAGGATAGGCCATGGGGCTGTTCTGTGTTAATGATAAATCCATAACCAGGAAGTGTTTCTCATCTACACAACCTGATAAACAGTCAGGAATCCACATATGGCGTTTTATTTTGAAATTTACCTGATTAATTATATCCTGCTTGTGCTTCATTTCCTGTCTGATGCTATCTGCTCTGTTAAGACTGACGCGTGTTGGAAGCATAGTGTGTTGAAAACAGACTTGGTGCGTATCTTAGGCAGAGCAGCACGTTGAGATGCCACTGGCACAGAGCAGGGATGGAGCTGCGACGCTTCAACAAGCATCCTGTGGGTTTTGGCCTTTAGGATAATTGGTTGCTCCAAAGAAAAACTGAGATTGACTACAGCTTAACCTCAGCGCGCATAAAAAAAATCTGTCCCTCCAGAAAACAAATTTGTCCTCTTTAAAACAAATGGTCATTGAAGAAAACTAGACTAATCCACAGCCAGATGGCCCCTAAAAAAACAAGATCATGAATAACGGTAAAAGTTGGTCCTTTGAGAAAATGATTTCAGCTGGGACATTAAGATTGTCCCAGCTGAAAACAGGATAGTCTTATTAACTGTATACTCTAAATAGTGAGCAAGATGGGTCCAAGCAAAGAACAAGCTAGTATCCCAAAAAAAAACAAATGGTCCCTGAGGATCACAGGTTGAATTCTTGGGAACAACAAGATAGGCACTTGAGAGGACTGAATGGTCTCTTGTAAGAGCAAGGTGGTTGAGCAAAGATGGTCTCTAGTTACAAAAGGACGGTCGTCAGGAAAAAACAAGATGCCTCCTAGAAAATAAAGCCTGTCCCTAAAGTAAACAAGATCATCTGAAAACAGGATGGTTCATTGGAAAAAGAAAAGGTAACTGGGCGACAAAGACCAACATAATCTACTAGAGAAAACAAAATTGCACACTGCATGTACAAGAAACTACCTACTTCAATGTGGTTCCTTCTCAAAACAAACTGTTCCTCAGGGAAAGACTGTCCCTGGAAAAAGAATGGTCCAGGGGGAAACAAGACTGTCTCTAGAAAAGCACATAGTCCCTGGACAAAACAAGATAGTCCTTAGGGAAAGGAGATGGTCTCTGATAGAAAAAAGATAAGATTATCCCTGATGTAAAAGTAATTGTTCCAAGCAAAAACAAAGATGGTCTATGGATGGTGCCACATGAAAACACAGGATAGTCTGTGAGGACATTTAAAATGGTGAGAGACCATACACGTTGGATTTTTTTTACAATTCTCTGTACACACAAGACCCTTCAACAAGACTGTTAAACCACACACTAAATGTTTCACAGAAACCAAATTTCACAGAAATGCCCACGCCTTTTCCTTTTCAGTTCGGTTGTGGTTTGTCTTGCATTAAACTTCAGAGAGGCTCTTAAATCTGGAGATTAAGTCTCTTTTCTTGTGTTATTAAGCACATTAGTGAACTCACTCAGTATTGAGCTATTCAGACCAAAACTGTTCTTTTAACCTGGCTAATTTTTACTCTAAAAGTTGGCTTTTTTCAATGAGTGTGAATGTAGATTTTAGTGCTTTGGAAGCCAGCCTCTAGTGGATACTCAGAGAACTGCACTTTTTAGCACAATTAGCACACACTTACACTTGATTTCTCCAGACCAAAAGTTACTGCTTGTTTGGTTGTAGATGTATCCAAGTCTGTTTTCTTCACTGGGTATTGTGAGTGATATGACGGAGGCAATCCTAAGAACGTAAAATATTCACACTGACTATGCCAACCACATGCCTGAGGCTTACAGGGCCAAATAATTAGGACAATCCACAAATCAGGGCGTGCACATCAGTTACTGGAGGTTACAAATCGAACCTAGATCTGGCCTAAGCCTGTTCTTTGCTGACCTAAATCAGCTTCCTCATCCATATCACAGTGATGTATTGATACAGATGCTTCCCGAACATGCTCTGGCATTAGCCTCTAGCCTAACCCTGTGTTTAAGCTCTCTGTCCAAATATGGTAAACTAGACAGCGGAAGGAAAAATACCATAAACACATCCAGAAAGAGCTCATGATGGCTCTTTTAAACAAAGTCCAAAAAAAGTCAGAAATAAAAAGCCTGGAGATAAAATGATTAGCAAGTTGAGGTGTTAATTATTTGGAGGTTTGATAATACAGGTAGTTATACACAAATTATTTAACTGATGTGTTGATGATGTTAAAACAATGTCACTAAGTTTTAGTGACAGCTCGCTAAAACAGCTGATCTAGTAAACAGACATAGAAACGATCAGACTGCCTCTGTCTAAAAACATGACAGCTCTCACAGTGGCATCAGGTGACTCAGTCATATATATATATAAAAAAAAAAAAACAGGTCATGACACACAAACAGCTTATCTGCAGGTTCAGACGGAGCTTTCAAATAGTTTTACATGAACATTCAAATTAAAGTGATGACTCAGCTCTGAAAAACATTCTCTGCTAACCAGAGCCCTTTTGCTAACTGGCTCAACGGATGGATGGGAAGTGTTACGACTGCAAAAAAAACAAAGACTTCCAGTCAGTGTCAGCACTTCAAGGAAAATCTCCTGTCTTTGTAAACTCTGGTTTCATTTCTACGTAACTCAGGGTTTAGTGGTTTTAAAGTTTCCAAAAGTTTGCGAAATGCTCCCATTGATTGCTTCAGTCGTCAGCTGTAAAGAAAGCTGAGCTGTAATCCTCTGAGGGTAAATGTGCCAAACCAAAGTTCATCCACTTAAAGTTCCTGTTTTTGTCACTCACATTTTGATCCCCATAAAGATGGACCTTCTGGTTGAAGATGCTCCATTTAAAAGCACCAGAGTCCATTTGAAGACCTAATAACATGAGAGCTGCTGGTATGCTGCTGCATCAGATTGTTGAGCTGTTAAGTCATTTAATGACTCTCCTGTTTGTCTATTTAGAGTTTTGATCCAGCACAAGATTGATGAAACAGAAACATGTAAGTGATGGAGTCAGAAGGACCGGAAACACCGGTTCTCAGAGCACTAAAATTATTGCTTTTGTTCACAGAGTCTGCTTGTTCTGAGGAGAGCGAGTTCAGTTTAAAAATAATCACCTTCCTCTTTATGGCAGAGATCAGCATCTGTGGGGAACTTTTCTATAGTGGAGGAAAAACCTAAGCCTGCCAGGGGCAAACACAAGAACTTTTTAAAGGATGAACTTTGATCAGGTGTGTTTTCTCCAAAACAGATTAAGCTGCAGTTATTACAGTCTCTAATACCACCAAAACGTTTATACCAATGAGACCTTTAGATCTAGAAAAAATAACAATAAATTTATGGTTTCACAATATTAGTCATATAACAGAATTCTCAAACATTACAAACTGGAACACTGCATGTAAATTGGACATTTTAAAGCCAGTTTGTGTGTAAATTTTTTAAAAAATGTGCCTCAGAGATCATGAAAATCAGAAAAAATAGCATCTCAGATTTTTGTAATATTTTCTGAGATTATTTAAAATATGATTTTAAAAAAAAATGTCACAACTTTTTAAAATGTATTTATTTTCACATTCAAAACTTAGTTGAGGCCCGACTAAATGTTTGTTTCTTTTGTAGCTGATGGAGTATTTGCAACTTTTTTGTGATTTTTTTAATCTACTAAGTAGTAACTGTATTGAAAAGTTGCAAAAGCAGCTACTTTTTCTTCAAGTGTAATAAAACTGTCAAATGATTTTCAATGTGCTGTAGAGACAAGATAGAGAACTGAAAATGAAAGTCAAATTCCAGAGTTTAAAGTCAGAGTTTAACATTTTATTCCTCATAGAAACAGTGAGGTAGAGATTAATCGTCTGCTGTTTTCAATCACTGCTGCTTTTTGCATTTAAATGTTGGCAGAAGTCAAGTTGCAATCCATCCTGTCCCTTAAAAAAAACATCTTTGTTCTGCCAGCTGACATGTGACTCAGACCTGCATCAAGGTCGAAAGACTGCGGAAATTTTCTGTTCCCTAAACACTCCAGGAAGTCACGCTGTGGTCTCTTCAAACCCTGCACAGTGTCACTTATAAAACCCAACACAGACTACGTTTACAGGCTGTTTTATTACAGCATGAATGCCACTTTTAAAATAAAAAACATGAAATAAATAAAGCTGCTTTGTTATTTGAAGGGTTTTTATATAAACTTTTCAATTTAAATGCTTAAAAAACTCACTTCACTTTCACTTCACTAAATTAATGAGTAAATTAATGGTTAAAAATCTCACCTGAGAGAGCACAGAGGGCTAAAAACACGAAGACAGCGGTCCTCTTCATGGTGACAGGTTGTTCCAGCTGAACTTCGTCTGACTCTGGATCGATGTGCGGCTGCCGCTCTGCGTCTGTGCTCATAAACAAACACCTGCGTCAAGCTGCGCGAGGCACGCGGAAAGACCGGAAGTGTAATAGTAAAAATAAAAGCATCCCTGATATTCGATATTAAAAAAATATCCAAGAAGAGTTTATAAAAACACTGTAGTTTTTTTTTTTAAAAGATAACAATAAACAATATAAACAATAAAAAGTGGGCTATAAACTTGACACAAAAGGGTTTCTATTATTTTAACTAGAGCTTGACTGATTTATCGGCGAGCCGATTAAATCGGCCAATTTTAGCCCGTTTGACACTAATCGGTAATCGGCCAAAACTCTTCACGAATAGTCTCAAACGGGCTAAAATTGATCTTCCTGTCGGCATGAAGAGCAGTAGCCTACAGTATATCTACAGTATAAAGTATACTGTAATTATATATATATATATATATATATATATATGTATATATATATATATACTGTATATAAATTCATGGGAAATTTTAAAAATTGGCCAATTAATCGGTAATTTCCCCCTCCTAATAATCGGTATCGGCATCAGCCCCAAAAAATCAGGCCCAATTTTAACGATACTTTAAGGACCAAACTGTAAAATCTAATTTAATGATTAATATACAGATTTATTCTTATTTAACATTTTGGATCACTTTAAAACATTGATTAATGGATATCAGTGGTAAACGCTTTGACATGTCACATTATTGGTCATCAGCCACATAGTTTGGCTGATTCATGTCAACTGTATATTGAGTCAGATTGTAATACTTAAAAGAATCTTGTTTGTCTCTCAACTGGACAAAATTACAATCTTGCTTAGTGTCTAAAGCACCAAAAGAAGATTTATTTTTGAATTTCCTGAGATGATATAATAAAACTACATTTGCATTTAAGTCCAAATATGAGATATTTTACCATGCAAAAAAAAAAAAATGTTGATAAAAAATTGAGAGCACTGTGTATTTCTGCAGAGCCCCGCAGTCCCAAAAAAGGGTCATTTTTGATGATTTGCGCACAAAATAGTACCTTGCTTGCAAAATTTAAATATCTCGTGCACACAGGCTCATTTCATGAGCTGGGTACACACTTTTGAGTTGTTCGTCTTACAAAACATGCCGTGATATGGGTACGGGTCTTTTGTTTTATTTTGAAAGAAGAGACCGGAAGCACCTGCATTTACAGGCGGTGTCTTTATCACACTGAACTTTGTGATATCAACGTTCAGGAAATGAAAGTGACAGTGTGACTGCGGGAGGAACAGCCTAAAACTGCAGCGAAAGGTTGCGTGTTATTTTCCAACAATCGAAACTTTAACACACGGACAGACAGATAGACAGACACGTACACACACACGCACACACACTGCCCTTTGTTTAAATCTTTTCTTTTTAATTTTATCCAGTGTCTTTAATGTAACAACAGTAAAAAGTTATGACACCTGTTCACTTTATACAACTCTACATGTGTTAACTGCATCTGTAGGGGGGCCACTGACAAATAATTAAAGGGATATTCCGGCGTTAAATTGAGTTCATAAATGTTCTTCCTTCGTCCCCCAAGTCTCCCTACAAACAAGCGGCTGCTGGAAGAGAGCGGGTGAGTTATGTTCGGTCTCTTTGCTAAAGAAATCAGGCCAAGCTAAAAAGATGTTTGGTGGCTAGTACTTTGGCTGGGATCCTATATGTACTGTTGATGAAGTTAGGTGCTGTTCTGAGCATTATTTGTGGCTATAGAGTGGCTTTTTGGTTGAGCGCGTGGCTCTCTGTATTGCTATCTGCGTTTGTTTGGTATAAGTTGAGAAGCAAGTGGTCGGCAACATTCATCTCTCGACGGGGTGTCTAACTCGGTGTTACGGTGTGTTTTATCCTAACTTAATTTTACGCCAGAATATCCTTTTAAGGATTTCATCTGGTTTCATCCGAATCAGAGGGCCTTTTCCCCCTTGCTCTGAAGTGAACTGTGAAGTCCCTCAGGGTTTAATACTGGGACCAAGTTTCTTTTTTATTTACATGCTGCTGCTACAGAGACACAGTATTTAATTTCACTGCTACGCTGATGACACTTACCTGTTCCTGACCGTTGTTCTTTGTGTTGTTTTCTCAAACTTTAATAGTGAGTAGACAAAATACAACATCCTCAATCATTATGAATCGTATTTGATTTTAAATTTTGCAGTTTGAATTTTAATATATATAAAAATAACTGTTTAAGTTGCTGAGAAAAGAAAGAATAGCTGTTGAGTTTAATTGAGTAGACACCATCTAGACTAGTCTTTGTGTTCCTTCATTTTTTCTTCATTCTCACAGTTAGAAAATCAAAGCCTAGATCCCCCCCTTGAAGAGGAGATACTGAATAAAACAATAAAAACACATGACACCCGTCCTGACAATGTCACATATCTGTCACAGGTCAGAGAAGTAACAGCAGCAGAGGTGGGAGTATCTTTAAGATGGTGTAATCACAGTTAACTGCACTCTCTCAATATTAACAGTATTAAGAATTACCTTAATGCAGATGAAATGAAGTTTAGTATGTAGTTGTGGTTGTCATAATAGCAATTTGACACCTAATAGGTGCAATTTTGGTGATGGTGCAGTGAAGGCAAGAATACTATCACAGTAGTTTGAGCAGCTGTAAAGGTTGTTGATGCAGTAACAGCTTAGGACGTCTGATGGTCCTGTTGTCAGTAGATTATTTGAACTTACATTCGTTCATTGGTTCATTACTGCAGCAGTAACACTTGTGAGGATAACAGCCGCCACAGTTTGTTCCTGCAGTAATCAAGAACATGTTAAATATTTATTCTGACTTTTTTTGTTCTGCAGTAAAAACAGACTCGTCTTGAAGTATTTAACGTGTTTTGATGCTTTTATCAGTAACAGACAGAGCAGTGAGGATATTTCCTGACCTCATGTGACTCAGAAAAGAGGAAATAAGATATTTCCCTGAATCACATTCATGTGAGCACACGGCTTACAGTGACAGCGTTTAAATAAGCTTTGCTAACACACATGGGTTAAAGAAGGAACCCACATAAAGTCAGAGTCAGGTCTGTTTGACCTCAGACATGTGACCCAGTTACAGCACTGTGGCTGATATGATCTGAATATATATACACTTATAAAGGTGTTTTACCCACAAACATTTAGAACCAGCGCTCATCGCAATAAACCAAAAATAAATATGACAGAAACCTTGTTAGCGGGGCAGCAATTTGGGTTTCAGCTCATGCTCAGGTTTAAAAAAATTCAAATGTTGAAGCATCTTACCGCTGATATCCAGAATAGAGTTTACTGAAATAATGAGTTTGATATTTTTCCGCTTAAGATTGAGTTTGACAATTTTCACCTACAACAACAAACGCGGCTACTGGTTTGCAACATGGAGCAGATAAAAGCAGCTGACTATTAAAGTCACACATTTTTTTTAAACTAAATTAGAGAAGTAATAGCAGAACCACCTGGATCAAACCGTACATTTGGATGTATAATTTGTCCCATAACTCTCAAAGCTGTGGGACTAGTAGCAAATTCAAATTTGTCCTAAAGAGGAATAAGAAAAAATCCACAGTATAACAATAGTGCCTTAGTGTGTTTTCCTTGTGGCCCTAATAATCAGTCAGCTACAGTTATCTGATTAGCTGGAAATTAACTGCAAATGTTATTATCTGGAGACATCTGAGGCTCCATCCTTTTTTGACAGTTTCAAAACTCATATGGTGTAAACTTTCTGGAAATGAGTAGCTAACTGTAATGTAGGTTGGAGTTGGTCATCTTACCCCCATAGTTGGTAAGTTGACCATAGGATACCACTTTATTTTGGCATGCTATATAATCAAGACAGTTGTGTTTACACGCATTCTGTTGGTTTGCAGGGATGCACAACATCTTGAAATATATGCAGATACACTAGTTAGAGACAAAACTATGATTGCCTTGATGTAGTGATTCGAAATTTGGCTCATCTTACCCCACTCTCCCCTACTACTCAATATTTTATCAAAGTTTTAAGGTTTTCCTGTCCAAATTTTCTGTTTTTTAATGTTATCACTCAAGTAAAATGCCCTTTATTTGAAATATACACACCCTCGAAAAAAGTGTTTATCGCTGTTTTAAAATAGTCTGTGTTTCTACCGTTAAAACAGCCGAAATTTCGTCTCTGTCTTATCGCTGAAAGCACCGTGTCTTTAACTCCTCCATTGGTCTTCTTTCCCGGGAAATTTTTATGATAATGAGATAAATCTCCGCCAATCACGCAGCTTCAAACCTAACAGGTCCCGCCTTCCGTGACGACAGCCGCGAGGAAACTGTACAATACCAAATAAGGAAAATACTCCCGCATGCGCAGTGGTCGGAGTTTTGTTTGAAGTGAACTGCTGCCTGGGACTGCCCTACAAGCTGTAAAGTCGCCAAGCATTTCATTTTAACAGTATATTTTTTACATTTCCTCCATACTGTTTCGGCGCCTCTATGCATCGCAGAGACGATGTTAGGCCATCACTATCCGAACACCGAGAAGTCGCAGCAACTGGTCAACTATGTGGAGGATTACCTGGAATGTGTGGAGTCCCTGCCTCTGGACATACAAAGAAATGTTTCCCTGCTCCGAGAAATCGATGCAAAGTATCAAGGTACTGTGTCTCCATGATTCTATCAATAATAACAACCGACTGTTAAAGACTGGGGAACATTTACGGGGGTCTGGCAGGCTGTGCTGAAACGGTTCAGGCAAGCCGCGTTCCCATTTTGCCCAAACCGATTCCCCGGTTCAGATCTCCACCTCAAAAACCGTAAATGTGTATAACAGAAATGTTTTAACAACTTAGACGAAGCGTTTGTCTTTTTGAAGAAGTCTGTCATCTTTTGACACGCATAGCCCGAAAACAGCCCGTGCTGAATTGTGTCACACCAAACCCCCTTAGGAAAATCTAACATTTTATAACCATAACTCGCCATGTTCACACACAATATGTATAAACCGATTAACCACGCGTTATGAATCCGTAATGTTCATTTGCAAATTCCGCATTAGTTACAGTCAAATGCAGTGTTATTTAATGCTAAAATTTGAACTTTTTCATCATGTATACACGGCCGCCCACTGTATAGTAAACGCGGCGGATTATCGGGAAAACAATGCACAAACTTGAGCACACATTTGAATTGGACGCAGCTTTTGGTAAATAATGTAAGCCGAGACACGGAACGATGACTCACGATGTAAAGAGGAGCATTTCACTTGCTCATTGAGGTATGAACCTTGAAAGATAACTAATATGATCACAAACTGCTCTTTTTGTCATGAAAAACAATCCTCGTTTTTGCTTGTGCTGACGCACGGTCAAGCTGCAGTTCACAGCCCTCCTCCGCTACAGACAGCTACCTCGACATATCGCACACACCGTGGGAGTCGCACTGACACAAACAGGCGACGTTTTGGGTTTGGATTATTATAAAATGAGATTAGACATCTCGGAGAGCTGACACAGTCTCTGTGCCCCACTCCGCTCCGTCGAGTGTGAACTGCAGAGCCGGATGGCTCGTCTTATGAACAACCCCCCCCTCCAACATCTGACCGCCGTCATTTCCTGCAGCTTCAGACCTCCTCCCTCTTTCTTCCACAGATTTTGCTGTAGATGGACTAACGATGTGTTACTGCCTCCTGATGGACGAAATCAATCTGAGGTTTCTCATTTTTAAAGTCCAGTTTCTCTCATAAAGGCGCAGCAGTTTTCTGCCCTCCATTTTGCGACAGCAATGTAGAATATTAACCGCTTAATTTTCACAAGAAAAACACTGAAATCACTCTTTAAGCTATTAAGAGGATAAAAATGGTTAATAATTAAAAGAAAACACTCTTTAAAGAAACTATTATCTGTGAAAACTCCTCTTCCTTAAAGCTATTACTGTGGAAACTGTTGATGAAAAAAGATTTGATTTATGCAAAAATATTAAGCCTCTGAAATTAATGAGAAGTTTTGCAGAAACTCCAGATCAAATGTTGAAACTAGTCTCCATGGTTCACGAACATTTACAGAGAGTTACAAACTATCAGACGCTGTTTTTATTCACATTTTAAAGGTCACCCATACTTTATTCAGACTTATGTTGCCATGCAAACTTCTGTAACCTAATAAGAACTAAAAATAAGTTGATGTGGAAGCAGACAGGTTTCTTTTAATGATGCATTTTAGTGAAGCTGCTAAAAAACTGTTTTTACAGTAATGTATTCAGGAGCAACAATAAAAACAGGCTGATGTTTTGAAACAGCCTCCTGATTAATTTGGCATTTTTAATAATTTGGTTCTTGTTCTCCGGCTTATTAACCAAAACTTGATTCTTTGTCCTGTGTCTCCTCTGCAGAGGTGCTGAAGGAGGTGGATGAGGTCTTTGAGAAGTACAAAGGTGAGCAGGACGCTGCTCAGAGGAAGCGTCTGCAGGTCCAGCTGCAGAGGGCACTCATCATCAGCCAGGAGCTTGGCGATGAGAAGATCCATGTGGTGACCCAGATGACAGAACTGGTGGAGAACCGCTCCCGCCAGATGGACTCTCACTCTCTGTGCCTGCAGGAACCCAACGAGGCTGAGCGCCTCACCACGGAGCGCCGCTCCAGCGTCCAGGACTCTCCTGCCCCTGAACGCACCTCAGCTCGCCGCCCCAGGCGACAGCGTAACAGTGAGAGCCGCGACTCCAGCCACCCATCAGCAAACGGCTCTCTGGTGGATGACCCTGTGGAGGAGCTGAGCATCCCTCCTCCTCGAGAGAAGAAGTCAAAGTCTGCAAAGAAGAAGAAGCGTAAGGCCAAACAGGAGCGAGACGCCTCTCCGGTGGACTTCGCCATCGACCCCAACGAGCCCACATACTGTCTCTGCGAGCAGGTGTCCTACGGAGAGATGATTGGCTGCGACAACGAGCAGTGCCCCATCGAGTGGTTCCACTTTTCCTGCGTGGGGCTCACCTATAAGCCCAAAGGGAAGTGGTTCTGCCCCAAATGTAGGGGGGACAACGAAAAGACGATGGACAAAAGTCTGGACAAAAACAGAAAGGACCGCAGATCCAGGTAGTGACCCGCCCCTGAGGGTCCAGACTGAGGAGAACTCAGTACTCGGGATGTTAAAGAGCACAATCCAACTCTGTCAGGACTCAGTCAGAGCAGGTGCGACGGTTACCTGAGACACCGTTCGTCTGTAGTCCACCTGCTGACAGAACCCTCAGCTCCGAGCTGCCACCCTCCTCCAAACTTTGGTTTCTACACCAGGAGAAAAAATGAGTCTTTGGTTTGATTTTAGTCTGAAAAAGGTCTGAAAATATCAAATATTCATTTCTTCTCTTTAGTTTTTAGTCGTTCTTTGAAATCAGCGTACAGAAAACGACTCCAGAGAGTGACAGACTCAAGTTTCTGTTTACAGACAGAGTCGCATTTAAAGACGGGACACTGGAACAAAACCTCATCATGTTTTTTTTTCTTTGTTTTTACTGCTTCACCTTCACTGTTGTGTTTTTCCTTTTTATATCCATTAAAACAAAGTATAGTCCTCCACTGCTCTCCTGTTTCTGCTTCAACTCTGCTCAAAGATTTCTGAGTCTGCTGTCAGGCTAAGGTGGCTTGGAAGGTCTACTGCACAACCAGACCATGACAAAAACATATCTTAGAAACAAAGATTTCAAAATATGCAAATATGTTTCATAGAAGAAAAAATCAGTTCACACAAAAACACAAAATTCTAACATAAACAAAAAACATTTTGTGTAAAAATTTTTTTGCAGAATCCAATAAATATATATATTTTGGATCAGCAAAAACATGTCACGAGGAAGAAATGAGACTCTAACACACTCACAAAATATTTGACATGCATAAAAAATGACTTAACAATAACCTATGTGATGCAAAATAAGTTCAGATTCAAAAATATTTCACTAAATGTAAAAATATTCATAAAACATGATTTCCCCAAAACAAAAAGAAAACTATCTGGAAAAAAACTTAATTATAAAATAATTTTGTTTTGTTAAGTGAGACCTCTTTATTCATACACTTTTTTGCATTTCATTAAATATTTTTTTCTGTCCTAAATGTTTTTGCACTTATTGACTTTTTTTTGGTGGGATATTTTTGTATTCGGTAAAAAGTTGTTGGTTTTAAGGTTTTTGTTGTTTCCAAAAATGTTTTTTGCCTTGTGAATTTCTTGGGGAAATCTTTGTTTATTTGAACTAGTTTTACATCCTGAAAATATTATTGTGTTTTCTGTTAGTTGACCTTTCTGGGCCACCTGCTCTAAAACAATAACTGTCTCTTAACATCTGAGATATTCTAGTGACGTCTGAAGATGTTCATGCACATCTGAGGATAGACTGTTTTGACTTTGCTGTTCTGACCTCACGTTTTTATCTGGGTTATCTTCTCTGTCAGCTGATTCCTGTGGTTTATTGCAGATGAAGAAGAACAGTAAGTTTTCTGTCTCCAGTTGAATCCTTCTGAACACAGGCGGTTTGTTTTGAACTGTTTCTGTAAGAGAGCAACGGCTAGAAAAAAGTTGAGCAACAAGTTAAAGTTAGCCTCCTCAAGCTGATTTTCAAGAATAAACCTTGGAGGACAGAAGGTATAAACTCTTATAGAAAAGCTGTTATTCTGATTCCCTTAGAAAATAGGAGAATAAAGCAACTCCACTCCTGAGAGGAAAAAGCATGTTTGGTTTTCTGGGAGAAACTTTCAGAAGAACAAGATACAGGTAAAACTAACGTAAAAGAAATTATTAATTAGATGAACAGTCAATCAAAGGGACTAAAAAGTTAAGATGGTGAGTCAAAATGATCTGCTTTTGTTGAGTAAGGTGGGATAAAGCAATTAATGAGATAAATGTGAGACTTACAGGGTGAAGTCAAAACAGTAAGATGGTCGGTCAGTCAGTTACTTTGACATCGTCTCATTTTGTATCCTGTTTATCTTTAAACATAATTTTGATCTTTTTCAACACAAATTCCAAAGTCATCCTGTTTTAAAGTCATATTTGGCAGAAGTTAATGCTCAGTGACACATTTATATGAACATTTTACTCTATAAATGTCCATTTCACTGTATGATTAGAGTGTCAGAGCTCTCTTGGCTGTATTTTTAAAAAATACATGTTTTTCAGCTTGCATTTGTCTCCTGTTGCAGATCCCTTATGAGGTTTTGAATTAACCGATGGAAGACTGACTGCACAGACCTGCTGCTGCAGCTTCAGGTACACCAGCAAGGTCCTAACACCCTCATACATACATCAAACAGATTTATCACACACCTTTGGAGCAAACTGAGTTTATTTAAATATAAAAATGAGACTTTTTTCACCATTAGATTAAACCAAACATTTGTTGAAATAAGAAACTGGTGAAAGGTGTAACATTTTCTGTTTTTAAAAATCCATCTGCTTTCAGTCACAGACACCCTAAAGTAACAGCGAGGAGCTACCTGACACTTGGACATGTCCATCACTAAAACTCTGTCCAACATTTACTGCTCAGAGGCCAAGCAGCTGGACTGAAAACACGGCAGTGACAGCGAGTCTCTCAGACGCCCTGATGAGGACTGAGTGAGTGTTTGACAGAAACTTGTTTCCCTGTTCACTCAGAGACTCAGGGCGGTCGTCCTCCTGTAAGTCTTTCCTCAGGGTGGAGCGTTAATGATGAAGGATGTGAAGGCATCGAGACGGAGCTGCAGCATCAACAAGCTTCAGAGTTCAGTTCATCCTGAAGCAGCCGGTCAGAGCACTCAGAGCTACTCGTCATCTTTCCCTCCTGTTTTACTCAACTGAAAAACAAGAGTAAGTAGCAGCAGCATTTAGAGAAAGAATTATGACTCACAGTTTTACTTTGATCCATCTGATTAGTACTTACATGCTGGAGGAGGAGGAGGAGGTGATGGTGAAGGGAAAAAGGACAGATTAATGAATAATATGAATGCTGATTTAGAGCTCCATCTACTGGAAAAAAGGAGAAAGGCACCTACTTTAATCACATCCACCCAGTTCCAACCTCTTGGCAGTTCACCTTTGTGATCTGGGAGCAGAAAAAAATCAAAATATGTGAATAAAAAAAGCATGAAAAAGACTTGCATGGAGAGACAGAGCGGCAGAATAAGTACAATACAAAAAAAGAGAGAAATTTGATTTTAATTGTGATAAAGTTCCTTATTTAAAATTGGTGTCAGTGTGTTTGACATTCTGAGGTCATTATGATGTCTTGTTTATCTTTCTGTTCCTTTAAATTTTCGTCACAGGTCTGTGGTGATTCACTCTCTCTAAAATAACGCTCCTGTGGCTTTAATAAAGCTTTTGCCTGTCATTAGTCTGATTATCTGCTCTTATAGCTCGGCTCAGACAAAGTAGCTTTAACTTATGGTTTATTGGTGATATTTTGACTCTGTTTCAGCTGTAATCGGTGTGACGCCTGCACCTGTTCTGCTGATCATCTTCCTCTTTTGAGATTTGGTCAGCTGCTCCTTCCTCTCCTTCTTCTTGGCAGTGGAGGTGACAGACGTCGAGTCACTGCTGGATATCAACGTCTGCACGGGCAAAAGTAATCAAAAGTTTACTTTTTCATACAAAAGTTTTTAAAAAGTGTACCAATCAGACTTAAAATACCTGAAACTATAATTGTAATTCTAATAATCTGAAAGCAAGATGTCTCACTCCTCATCATTTCCGCTGCAGTAAAATATCTTAAATCTCACGAAAACGTGAGCAATGATTTCTCCAACGGCTCTTTGTAATTCTCCTGCAGCTGATTGTGAATGACTTCATTCATTGTTCGTTGCACCCCTGACACTTAAGAGCCAAAGTAGTAAAATTAACTGACCACACTAGTGGCTACAGGCTTGTGGTTCTCCATCAGAGCCTCCTGGTTTTCTTTGGCCCACTCAAACAAAGTGTACATCATGGCAGTGCCCAGGTTGGCCTCCACTTGCTCCTCCAGCTTAGACAGGATGAGCTGCTTCGTCTCTCCAGAGCTGTCCCAAAAATCAAAGATAATACTCAGTTTAAAAACATGTCCAAGATTAACTCAAGATGAATCTTAACCATTGATTCTTTCGTTCAAGAATTATTTAGCTGTCCTGAGAGTCTGGGACAATCATGAATAGCAGAGATATTTAACAGCACTCATTTTTGTCTTTACAGCTTACATCCTGTTGTTGAAAAAGGCATCAAGGGTCATTTGTGGGGACGTCTCCGGGTACGTCTCTGGCCAAGTGACGTCCAGGAGGAAGGCTTTAGTGTCCTCGAGGTCTCCTATCTGTTACACAACAAGAATCATCCTTAGAGAGGTCAGGCGTAAGATTGTTCTGACTGATCCATAGACCCTGCCCTCAGTCTTTGGTTTTGTTTATGTATCAATCAATGTAGGAAGGCATGGAGACAATCATGGCCATTAAACCTGCTGAGAAGCCTCATGATGCTATGGATTTCCCTTCCAACAGGACCTGGCACCTGCCCACAGTACCAGAACTGCTACCAAAGTTTCAACTTCCTAAGTCTTCTGGTAAACTGTCAAAAAAGCAGTCTTCCCTACCATTATTGTAGTTGTGACACTGAACTAGACTGAGAGAAAAGTCATATTTATAATTTTTCATTTTTCATACACTTTAGTTTACGTGGACAGAGTCTGGTGAATATGAAATTTTGCACTTTTTAAAAATAACTGAAGGAAATGTTGCTCTTTTTCACCATTTTTGTACTTTTTAAAATGTACCGATAGTGTCAAAAACACACATAACAAAAGATCTTGACTATCTTCAGTCTGCCTTAACCAATATCTTGTTGATACAGACAGTAAAAAGGACAATACTTACCCTAAACTGAAAGGAAACTGGACTGATCTCCTTGAAACACTCATCCCCCTCATAGATGGAGCGAAGAGCCTCCAGCTCCATCTGTAATTGAAACATGGCAGCAACACAAGGAAAGAGAGAGATAATAGCTTTTAGCCGCCAAACCTCATTTAGAAATGTCAAAACTTTTACCAGGCAGTTGTAGAGTCACTGCTCATGCTATGTCACACAGTCGGGACTGTAATTAACATTAATCTATAATCTAATAAAAACCATACATCCCGGATGTCTCCTATTACATTTTTGTTATCAAATAAAACTGTAATATTAGATTCGTTTGTCTCAGTTTCATCCCTAGAGATGAATCCAATAATCGGCAATATATTGAACGGAGTTTGGCGAGATAATTCCGTTATGATGTAGCGCTTGACAGCAGCAACACCGACATTTAACACTCCATAAGGACTTAAACTCAAGTTATACTCTGATTTATTACACTAAATGGACGCCATATCACTGACTTTGTCAGCTGTAAAATGAACAGTAGCTAGCAGCTAGTAACATGCTAGCAGTTACACGGTGCTAACAGAGGCTACTGCTGGAGCGTAAACTCTTACCTCCTGGTCCTCGTTCGCTGTCATGATTTTCCTTCACTTTGTGCGCTATCAACTCTATATGAAGAGTTCCAAACGTACAGTCAATATGACGTTAATGGCCCATTTGTGCTGAGAAAACTTCACTACTGTACAATGATAATCTCTCAAACTTCTCCAGCTGGATCATCCAGAGCAACCATGATACTACACGCATGCGCGGTAGGAGGCCTGCGTGAACTCTGAACCGCAACTTTTGCACGAAATATTTTGTGGACAAAAAAGACAAATATCACACAAACTATAGATAAATATAAGTGACCAAATACATGGATTAATAAACAGTAAGTCTTCAGCAGTAAAGCATGTGTATAAAAACATTTCAATTTTCATAAATCCTGTTTCAAAATCCTCAAAACTAAAATTGTCCAGTCTTGTGACAATGGAGATCATGTAGCTCAGACCAGGAAAATAGAGCTAAGACATATGCAGGGTTATATATTACTCTATTGCTGTATTGCCTTATATCATCACTATGTAAAATTTCGGTTACAGACGAAACATGGGGGCTTCAATAAGAGATTCTGGACCATACATTTCAATAATAAAACAATTTTATAGCTAAACTTTGTGCTTTTTTTTTTTTTTTTTTAGAAAATAAACACCGTATAATTATATAACTTGTGCTTATTTTGTGGGAGCAGTTCAGAGAGGGTATCAAGTGTTTTGGCTTGTAAAACATCAAATATAGTGTGTGTTAACATCACCAATCAGCCATGTATAAAGTAAGCTGGTGCAACACTGACGTAGAGTTACAGTTAATCTGTCTGATTAGAGGCTGAGTGTTCAAGTGAGTTATCTCTGAACCAGCAGCACACGGGCAGATGAGAGGTGTCAAATGCCGACAGCAGAGTTCAGTGAGGGGGAGGCAGGGAGAATTTCCTCTGTGCAGCTGAATGTGACACATGGTGTTTGACTTGTGATTACACTGATCCTCTGAGTTATTCCCCTCAGGTGGAAACGGCTTCAACAGAGGAGGAGGAGGAGAAGGAGGATGAAGAGAGAGACGAGGATGCTTTTGGATTTAGATGCTGAGGGATTCGGTTTTGAATCTGTTCTGATCAGACAGGAGGGTTGACTTGATCAAATAAACCAGCAGACAAAGATGAACTTGCTCTTTTCAGATTTAATTAGACTTTCGGGACGAGGCTGATGTTTTTAATGTAGGTCAGTCTTCAAAGATTCTCTTTTGATATCTGCTTCCTTCAGAAACAATTTTCAGAAACAGCTCAAAAATATGTGGTTTAGATGGAGTTATTCCTAACATCTTCATCCATCTTTATTTTCCCTCTTATTTAGAGACAGATTGCAAAGCTTTCCTGAAAGTGTCGAAACTTTTTTGTGCAAAATCTCTGCTTGTTTATTCTTCTTGTACTGACTGTCTCATTATCGAGACGTGTCTCTAAGAACACAGCTCCAAATTGAATTTTGCGTTTTAACTCTGTTCATAGTGTTGAATCACATTGAAAGTCACTGTGAGAACATTGTTTCTCTTGTTAAACTGTCTTGTGTTGCATTTGTGCTTGTTTGGGGAATAATAACATGTACGCTTGCCTCTATGTTCTCATGTAGAGTGTGCAGAGGATAAGCGGACGCTGTTCTTCTCACTGACACAGGGTGGCGCCTGCAGCTCAATTTTCATCAAGCGTTTTGATGACTGTGACATCTTCCACACCTTCACAGTATGTTCCCAGTCACTTCTGATTAGGAAATTGATGATGCCCCAAATTTTTTCAGGACTGCAGTCAGACCAGTTTATCAGCAGGACTCTTCTACTACAGAGCCATGCTGTTGTAATCCCTGTTGTCAGACTGTGGTTTGTCATTGTCTCACTGAAATATGAAGGTCTTCCCCAAAAAACAGTCATTGTCTGGATTGCAGCAGATGTTGCTCTTAAACCTGTAGATATTGTTCAGCTTTCACAGATATGGAAGCTAACATGCCATGGACTCTGATGATCCCCATACCATCTGGGATGTTGGACTTGGACTGGGAGCTAGGAATCAGCAGACTGGTCCATGATTTCCAAAAAGAATGTCAGATTTTGATTTATCATCACATTATCTCGATCTATCTGGTTTCCTCTTGACATTTTAACCTCATTTGTGGATGCAGTGATAAACCTTGTTCACAGACAATGGTTTTTGAGGTGATTCTGAGCCCATGTGGTGATTTTTACTCCAGAGTCTTGTTTGTTACTAATGCAGTGCCTCCAGAGGGCCTAAAGATCAGGACCATCCAGTCTTGGTTTTGGTCCTTGTCCCTTCAGTTCGGAGATTTCTCCAGATTCTCTGAATTTATTAATGATATTATATTCTGTAGATGATGAAATCCACTCATTCTTTTACATTTGACACTCAGGAACATTTTTCTGAAACTGTTGAACTATTAGCTCATGTAGTCGCTCACGATGTGGTGAACCTTCTCACATATTTCTTTCTAAGAGACTCAGTCTCTCTGAATGTCCTTTTTAGACCCCGTCATGTTACTTTTTAATTAGTGTGGACTTCTAATGATTTGCAAACCCCAAAAATCTGTTAAATGATTTTGCATTGGTTCCTTTCTGGGTTGTTCAGTGTGTTTTAAGGAGTTTCATTTGCTCATTCTCTCTCTCTCTCTCTCTCTCTCTCTCTCTCTCTCTCTCTCTGTCTCTCTCTTTCTAATCTTACTGAATTGAAAAGCAGGATCAGCCTGGTTCAACCCTTCAGTGCAGATTGATCAGTTTGTTCAGAGCTGTTCAACCTCAGTGACCCTGGCTGCTCCTCTTTACTCTCTGATATTAATGTAACATGAGAGCAGAGAGGCAGAGCCAGCTAACTGTAGAGAAAGTAAATGTTTGCCTTTATTCTTGGAGCAGAAAATGAAAACCTCCCATCCTCTCGGTGGTAAGATACTATCTTCACTGGTGAACTCTGGGGCTGTATAACACACTGATCTACAAAACCCAATTCCATTTAAGTTGGGAAATTGTGATAAACGTAAATAAAAACAAAATACAATGATTTGGAAATCCTTTTCAACCTATATTCATTAAATATACTACAAAGACAAGATATTTAATGTTCAAACTCAAACCTTTTTTTTTTGCAAATAATAATTAACTCAGAATTTCATGGCTGCAACATGTGCCAAAGTAGTTGGGAGGACAGGGGCATGTTTACCACTGTTTTACATCACCTTTCCTTTTAAAAACACTCAATTAACAGTCCGGGGTCTCCGTTGTCGTATTTTATGCTTCATAATGTGCCACACATTTTCAATGGGAGACAGGTCTGGACTGCAGGCAGGCCAGTCGAGTACCTGCACTCTTTTACTATGAAGCCACGCTGTTGTAACACGTGCAGAATGTGACTTGGCATTGTCTTGCTGAAATAAGCAGGGCTTCCATGAAAAAGACATTGCTTGGATGGCAGCATATGTTGCTCCAAAACCTGTATGTACCTTTCAGCATTAATGTTGCATTCACAGATGTATAAGTTATCCATGCCTTGGGCACTAATGCACCCCCATACCATCACAGATGCTGGCTTTTGAACTTTACGTCAATAACAGTCCGGATGGTTCATTTCCTCTTTGGCTTGGAGGACACGACGTCCACTATTTCCAAAAACAATTTGAAATGTGGACTCGTCAGACCACAGAACACTTTTCCACTTTGCATCAGTTCATCTTAGATGTGCTTGGGCCAGAGAAGCCGGTGGCGTTTCTTGATGTGGTTGATAAATGGTTTTCGCTTTGCATAGTAGAGTTTTAACTTGCACTTACAGATGTAGCGACGAACTGTATTTACTGACGGTGGTTTTCTGAAGTGTTCTTGAGCCCATGTGGTGATATCCTTTACACATTGATGTCGGTTTTTGATACAGTGCCACCTGAGGGATCGAAGGTCACGGGTATTCGATGTTGGTTTCCGGCCGTTCCGCTTAAATGCAGTGATTTCTCCAGATTCTCTGAACCTTTTGATGATATTATGGACCGTGGATTTTAAAATCCCTAAATTCCTTGCAATTGTACTTTGAGAAACATTGTTCTTAAACTGTTCAACTATTTGCTCACGCAGTTGTTCACAAAGTGGTGAACCTCGCCCCATCCTTGCTTGTGACTAAGAATTTTTGGAGAAGCTGCTTTTATACCCAATCATGGCACCCACCTGTTCCCAATTAGCCTGCTCACCTGTGGGATGTTCCAAATAGGTGTTTGATGAGCATTTCTCAAATTTCTCAGTATTTTTTGCCACCTTTCCCAACTTCTTTGTCACGTGTTGCTGCCATGAAATTCTAAATAATTAATTGCAAAAAAAAAAAGGTTTATGAGTTTGAACATTAAATATCTTGTCTTTGTAGTGTATTCAATTGAATATAGTTTGAAAAGGATTTGCAAATTATTGTATTCTGTTTTTGTTTACATTTATCACAATTTCCCAACTTCATTGGAATTGGGTTTGTACATGAGAAAAGTCTGTCTTCTGCAGCTGAAGTAATTCCGAACTCTCAGTCAATATTTTGTGCTGTAGCTGCTGGTAATCAATAATTGGAACAATGAACAAACTTTTTGTTAAACTTGACATCCATGCTTCATCCTCTGGGCTCACTTTCCGTTCTCCACAGTTCACCTTAACAGGACCCTGGTGCCTGTTGCTCCCTGGGTGGATGGTCCTGGCCTTTTCCCAGTCCATAACAGGATTTTCTAGAGGATCCTCTAATGGACAAAAACAGAGACTCAGCAGAGACAGGTTTGCAAAAACAAAACACCAACAGCTGGAGATCCATCAGAGAAATCCCAGCTGACTGGTCTTTAACCTAGACCTGGACACGGTTCTTATGGGGGAGAGAGTCCAGGTTATGAGATGAACCCAAACATTTTAGTTTTTTGTTTTGAGACAGATCTGAAAGGGCAAATATTTGTATTAAAGTCATAAAATAAAGAGATGGATTCAAAGGTCAGACTCGGAGGAGCACACTGAACTGCTTTACTTTCAGCCATCTGCT